AGCGAAATGGACGCCCTCTTCCCTATATCGTGCGTTCCTAACACCCTATATCGTGCGTTCCTAACAGCAATGGGAGCTATATTTCACAAAGTTTGACTCTGCTTGCCCAAGAACAAGTGAGTTTTCATGCCGTCTTCTGGCCATCGTCTTCACCATGATGTTGTTTAGCATGTAATTCTTCCACGGGAGCATCGACACGATAATCCATCAATGTGCGTAGGTCTGCCAGGAAGTAGCACAAAAACACGGCGACTGCTGATACCGGGGCCGCAATGATGAATACAAGGCGCAGAGAATCGGCCGATGCTTGCTTCACCGCAGCGGCGCAGGCGGCAAGGACCGACGGCGTCACTCCAGCTATTTTGCCCAGCGCATCGCCGTCGTTGAGAAGAAATGCCTGGACAAACTCTGGGACGGAGCTTGCAGGAACCCCGTTTTTCGCAGCGGCGGAGGCGACCATGGCAGGTGATTTCTTGCTGATGGAGTCGGTAAAGACCGCCGTGTACACCGAGACACCGACTGTCAGAGCGAAAGCACGAGTTGTCGTAAGAACGGCGGTCGAAGTCGCGATGAGATGATGCGGCGTGCAAAGCTGGATAGCGGTGACGACTAGAGCCAGGATCACTCCAAATCCCAGCCCTGTGAGCACGGCCAACGCTATCGCACTGACCGATTCACCGGGTTGGATCGTGGCGAAGCCGACCAGCCCACCAGTCAAGAGGAGGTATCCTGCAGCAATTCCCTCCCGTACGCTGCGCAGCTTAGTGCTAAGATAGCCAAACAATGCACTTCCGAGGAAACAGCCGACGTAAAAGCCTTCCTGACGGGCCACCACCTTCATGGGATTGGTGGTGAAGAGCGACTCGCTCCTATGGGCGTTCGTGGTTAATAAGTATTAAGGGGAGGGCCGGAGAAAGGGTGAGACAGCTCACATGACTGGATAGAAGATAACGAAGGAGGCGCCGACAAATCCTTCGATCAAGATGAGAAGTGCAGAGATCCACGCCGTCCGGCCAGCCCCTTTTGGTCCAGTGAAGAGTTCGTGGGTGAAGATGCCGGTTTTGGTACCGAGCCACTCATACAAACCAAATGCGACCAGGAAGACACCCCCGATGATGAGCGTGGACAATACTCTTGCGTTCGTCCAGGCGTACAGACCGCCTCCTAGACTCAAGCCGGTAAGGAACAGTGTGAGACCAACGGTGACCAAGAAAGAGCCCGGCCAGTCCATCCGGCCAAGTTTTTGCCAGGCAGAAAGATGATCAAGCCTTGTATGCCGCTTAGGAGGCCGATAGCCGACGAAAATGCCAATGGTAGTCAATCCCCAAAGACTCATTTGCACCCACTGCGAGGGACGTTAGTATAGCGGATCGGAGAATAGGGTGCTGTCCTTTTATACATAGAAATTCCGCCACCCTCCTACGCTGTCCGTTTGCAAAAACGCGCCGAGGATGACCGGTGCGATCATGGCCCCTACAAAGCCGCCAATCTGCATACAAGCTTGTACCACTTTGACAGGGTCAACTCGGGTTACCGTCGTCGATAGAGCTACTTACTTGGCCGCCACTTGCGGGGGACGATCTCGCTCGGGACGCAGTAAGCCAGTGGGACCGACGCGAACCCAACTCCAATCAATGATTGACCGGCAATGACCTGATACAAGGATCGAGACCGAGGGACGATAGCAGCACCAACCACTGATATGAGAGATGACCCAACGAGCAGCGTCTTGCGAGCTTGGAACAGATCTGACCCAGAAGATATCACCGGTCCAAGGACTGCTTGGACGAGTGAGAGGGCATTGGGAACCCAAGACTGAAGATCCTGCTGACCGAACTCCCCTGCGATCGTTCCAAGCTACATGAGGGCTTTGGTTAGCATGGGGGCTTTCTCTTTTCTCGACAGGAACCGACTCATTCACTGACAAATACTGGTGGGCCATTCAGCGCAATAAGTTGCACCATATTCAACATGACCATCGCCGCGAGCGCGATCCAAGTCCGGGCGTGGAGGACGGGCTCTTGGTCAGCCTCATCGTAGTTGAGATTCGTCTCTGGGGAATGGAGGATCTCGACCTGTTGCGCCACAGGACAGGATTTCTCGTCCGCGTCGTCGCTGGCAACCCGTGCGGGCGCCTCGTGCTGGGTAAATCCCAAGGCCATGTCGAGAAGACGGCCGATGTTTTCTGGCACCTCGCTTTTCTGATAGAGAATGTCGTGACTGCGTAGACTGCAGTCTCTGACAAAAATCTATTTAAGTCCCTCGACCTTTCCCCGTGCTCTTAAGACCCCCATGGGGTCCACCGGAAATGCCGCCAGATGGACGAGGAGAATCTAGACTGCCAAGTGAGTTTCTTCAGCCACCACCACACCCCAAAATGCCCCGATGGGCGTGGTCGAGGGAATCACCGCAGGCCCGTGAAAGCTAAATCTTCGCTAGCACCCAGCTGAGCGATTAGGATCTGAGACTCGGAGCAGGAACGATGCTGTCCGAGGTTGAAGGACCGGTTTTACGAGCATGCTGCCGGCTATGTTGATGCCGCCGGGAATTCCGCCTACACAAAGCGGGTGGAGATGAAACCTCCTAAGCATTGTGCTTTCTCCCGCTACCTACCACCACTGTTGGGTGACTGTCCTGCCGGTTCATAATTATTAAGCACTTTCCTTGTCGTTCACGTATGTAGTCGGTGTTTAAAAGGCCGATATGCTGGGAGAAGCACGAGGCCACATCAACGAGGCTAAGTAAGGCTGATATTCGACCACCACGATTTCACGCCCTCTAGTCATGGCGACCAAGTTCTGCGTCGGTGGGATTGAAGTCGCATTTAAGCCAGCCAACCGAGACTTCAGCAAACGCTGGAAGGGTTTCGGCCCCTCCAAAGAAGTGCTTCCGAAAGGATGGCGCAAAGAGCCAGGTCGGCGCCCTTTGGACAGTGACCTGATCTTCGAAAGGGATGTACCCGTTATTCTGCGAGACGGGTGCAAGATATATATGGACGTATTCCGGCCTCCATCTTCGGACAACACACCCGTCGCAGCCATTGTGGCATGGAGTCCGTACGGGAAACAGGGCAATGGTACGTCGCTCAGCCGTTCCTGATCGCTGGGAATCACCCTAAGCTCCGCGCAGGCTTCCAGAGTCTGGATCGTGTCCCCTGGCGAGCTGGGATTCCCAAGGACTGGACAAGCGATCTTGAGAAGTTCGAGGCTCCCGATCCCGCCGAATGGTGTCCACGAGGCTATGCGATCGTCAACATTGACGTTCGCGGCACCTTCGACTCGGAAGGAGATCAGGTTGCCCAAGGAACACAAGTGAGTATAATCCACTAACTTACAAGCTGTCACTGTCCATCCTAACCGCGCACGACGGTCCAGGAAGGCCGAGATGGTTACGATGCTGTCGAATCCATTGCTTCGCACTCGTGGTGCAATGGCGCCGTTGCCTTTGCCGGTAACTCGTGGCTTGGAATCTCCCAGTGGTAGATCACAGCCTCGATAGCGCCACCCGGGTTCATGGAGCTCACACACCGTCCAGGTTCATCGCGGCCGAGAGACCGCCTCATCTGAAGGCCATTGCTCCTTGGGAGGGTTTGGCCGACAGCTACTGCGAGATGCTCTGCCGAGGGGGCATTCCGAACCCTTCATTTGTAGACTATCGTGGCGAAGGCTACTGCGGTAAGACATGACCGTAAAGCTTTTCCACCGGCCTCCCACGCTGACAAGACCTTCTCAACACCACAGGCAAGAATGGCCGTGAAGATCTCGGCGCGATGGTCCGCAAGTACCCGCTCTTCAACGAGTACTGGGCGGATAAACGCGCCAAACTGACCCAAATCAACGTCCCTGTCTACGCCCTGGCCAGCTTCTCCAGCGGTATACACACTCTGGGCTCCATCAAGGGTTTCTTGTTCTCATCCACCAAAGATAAATGGTGAGTTCCCCCTCCAAGTGGCTGCCCCTACGAATAACCCCTGATATGCCGACAGGCTTCGAATTCACCACACGCAAGAGTGGCACGACCTGTATCAAAAGTCGGCAAACGACGATCTCCAAAAGTTCTTCGACCGGTACCTCTACGGGAAAGCCAATGGCTGGGAATCCACGCCCCGGGTCCGGCACAGCCTGCTCGGCTTCAACATTCCTTCGGTCGTGGACCGGCCGGAGCCTGTCTACCCACCTACCTACGTCCAACACCGAACATTCTACTTGAACGGTCAATCTGCCGCCCTAGAGGAAAGCGGTCCACCCCCCGAGCCTTCGACGTCGAGCTACACCTCCGACTGCTGGGAGGACGACGGCGCACACTTCACCTACACATTCGGAGAATATACCGAGCTGATCGGGTTTTCCCAGGCCAAATTGTACGTGTCGTGCGCCGAAACGGACGACCTCGACGTCTACGTGATTGTGCGAAAGCTGGACGCCCACGGCCGGGCACTGAAGCACCTCAACATCCCCCTCGACAGTCTCCCGGCCGGGACCACGCCCGACAATGTCCCCGACCTGAACATTTTCAAGTACCTCGGCCCCAACGGTCGACTCCGCGCCTCGCATCGACGACTGAGCGTCGACCCGAGCATCTCGGCCGAGCAAAGCGCAATGCTCGCGCCCGCCGTGGCTTACCACGCCCACGACCGGGAGGAGAAGATCCCCCCGGGCCAGATTGTGTGTGTGGACATCCCGCTGTGGCCCGGAGGGATCGTTTTCCAGCCGGGGGAAGCCATGCGGCTCGAGATCAAGGGCCACGAGGTGACGTTGCCGGAGTTTCCGCAGCTGTATCGCGCCGGGGAGAACCTCAACCGCGGAAAGCACGTCGTACACTCCGGACCGGAACACCCATCCTCGATTGTAGTGTCCCTGGCTGCAGGGCCCCCTTCTAAATAGAGCGTGCGTGCTCAAGGGGGAAGGAAGGCGTGCTGGATGATCATAGGGAGTGCTCAAAGGGGGAAAACCTGAGTGCAAGCAACGCTCAGGAAACAGAGGCTATATTTGTAGTATGAATCATGTTCCCAAAACTTCCAGCTCCTGTGCCCACCGTGTCCAGAACGAAGCCTGCTTGCTGTCGTCGAGCGGATAGCTGTTGAGCCAGTCGAGATCGCCCATGGCCTCCTCCTCGTCGATAACCCCCGCCGTCGAATACGGCTGCAACAGCGGTTCCACGCCTCCGGGCCCTTCGGTCTGCTCGAAAGACGTGGGAAGGAGCAGTGCACTGTCACTAAAATCCACTCCGCGCGTTGATGATCCCTGCCCTCCGTGCAATGCGGGCTGCGGAGCCCTTTTCGCCCGAGCGAGCGAGCGCTTGATGATCGCGGTCGCGGTCCGGGCAACCAGGCACTCATCCATGGCTTGGAGGATCAGCACAGCACGGTCAATGTGGACGAAGAGGTTGTCGAGCGCGTGCTGGCTGGTCGCGAGTTGTTGGAAGACGGCGGCGAGCAGAATGCTGACGGCAAACAACGTGTAGGTGGCGTTATACCACCTGAAGTCAGGATGAATCAGCGACGGACAGGCTCAGACATCAAAAGATATCAAACTCTTGAGCTACAGCTGGGGGGAAGAACTAATGCGTACCATGTCTGAAAGAAATGATCGCTCAAGAATGTGTTGTATATGAGGTCGATCGTACTTTCTGCGGCCTCTAGGCACTTGCGCTGACACTCGCGCACAGACATGGCATCGCCTGACGCGTCGGTGTCTGATTGGGTCATGAATGCGGCGTGGACTATCATGCGCAGGTTCAGGTAGCCTAGACACCCCGGTCAGAAGGCGCCTGTTCCGTGCAAAAAGAGGTCTGGTCTTGATACTTACGCAGCTGGAGCACGACGGACTGTTTCTTAGCACGGCTGGCCAGGCCGCTCGGTTTGAGGGATTGGCCTGGAACCTGGTGGTGGTCGATGCGGAGGTAGGCTGGGATTTGCTCGTGCCAACTACATAAGCCGGCATCGAGGGTCTGTGCTCGCTGCAGCTTCTCGTCCATCTCGCAGGGGACCGTGTACAGAGCGAGTGCCACTTGTCTCATGATCCTCGAGAGATGCACCATGCAGGGGACAATGTCTAGAGCGTTGGTGTTCGAACGTGCTTCTTCCACAGATTTGTTGGGCAGGTCTTGTGTATGGTATTCGTCAGGCCCGAGGCTGTCAGGCCGGCCCAGTGCAAAGCTGGTCTGTCTGGATGGAAGTCAGTGCTCGGCTACTCTTGGAAGTGGCTTTTTGTCGTACATGTCCAGACAATAGACAGCCCTGGTCACATCAGCGAATCATCATTGGAAAAGTCAAAGGTCTCGCGTAACGTACCACCATGTTCTCGATGCCATCATCGAAGCTCTCGGATCAGTGACGTCCGAGTTGACTGGTCGTCGATTGATTCCGATCGCCAATGAAGTTCTGGCCGCTTGACCGGAGTATAGATAGGCCACTAGCAAACCATATTAGGCCAAGTGTCGAACAAAACGAAGCCCCCACATACCATGAGGGTTGAGTTCATGCTGATATATCTTGCTCTTGGTGAGGTTGGTGTCAGTTCGAGACGTCGAAGCATGCACCGGAATTGCTTACCATCATGTAGAAGCACTGGACCATCTCGATGTCGGTCGTCGTGCCGAGCCGCATCACGATGGCGAGCGCTCGATTGAACAGCCTGCGACTCCAAGTAAAACGATCGGCTCCGGCAATCTCGGGGGTTTCAAAGGTCATGACGAGGCTGCCCAGACTCAAGGTTGCATAGTAAAGCGCCACGAAAGACAGCGGTTGCCTTTCGGGCGTGTTGAACCAGAGGTCCTCGCAACGACTCAGAAAGACGTCTTCGTCGAAAATTGGTTGGATGTGGTGGATGTTGGAGAAGTAGGTGTCCAGAAACCGCCTCGCAACGCGGAAGTGGAATCGGTCGGAGCTGGTGCTCGCCTCTGGCGCTGCCTGCCGGTCGTGCGGCGTGTCGGGGCGGAACTCGGTGTTGTGCAGGAGTGAGGCTAACGAGTACCTCGACTGTCCGCCGATGGGGTCGGTGGTCTGGCTGTTCGACAACATTTCCATGTGACGGAGGAACGCCACTGAGGATGACGATCCGTAGAATTCGAGGTTGCTGGTGTGCAGGTTCGTGTCCATCACGTCCGACGCCGCCCTTTGTGGCGTGATCGAGACCGAACCGGCACTGTTCATATTCATCGAAGACAAAGCGGCCGGCTTCCGCGTCTCGTTGGTCGGTGGGAGACGGGTAGATGTTCGTTCGACGGGCTCTGCATGGCTCAGGGCATTTGGCCACGACTCGACGTTGTTGGGCTCGGATTCTATGACGGGGGATTGATGGAGCCGTAGAGAGTCAGGATCCATCCTCTGTGACTCGATTTGCACGATAGGTCTGTGTATGCAGATGGTCAGGCCCGAGCTACACGCACGGTCGAAGAAGAGCCACTTGCCGTGATCGTGGTCTCCTGTCGCGATGGACTCGAGAATATGTGCATTCTAAGCCGTGATCTGATTCTTTGCGTGAGCCAGCTATGCAAGGAAAGCCAAAGACCGCAGAAAGCTTACCTACGCAATATGTGCACGGCTGGTCCTCGCTGCAGCGGTTTTTCCTGGTCCGGCATACCTCACATGCCTGAAGCGCCCTGGCGCGCTTGGGCCGTCCGGTTTGCAGCATTCTTCGACAGAAGCAACCTTGGGACGGATGCTTGATATGAGAGTTGTTGCAGATCACCGTCTGCGGGTAGCCAGAAGAGGAGTCAGAAGAGTCATTGCCGTCGGGTGGACGGCGGGCAAGGCAATCCCAAGTATATGGTTGGGGGGTGATGAGGTGATGGAAGACGGGGAGGGAGGTAGCGAAGTTGGCGCCCTCATGGCTGGGTAAAAGCTAAAAGAACTGGACGCCGGCTACCAGACCTACAGGGCCTCGTAAGGCCTGGACCACTCCCTAAATAGCTGGGCGTATCCCGTATTATTAATATACAAAGGATAGCCTTTAGGGGGCTCGGATGCAAATGGCGACGTCCAGCCGGACCCCCACAACCTTTCTTCCACCTCGGCGTAGGCTACGGAGCAAGTTATCTTGCTGGCATACACTTGGCATATACTTCTCTTGTTACAAGCAATTAATCAATTAATCCGACTTCATCAGCGGTGCTCAGGTGGCGGACAGAATTGATCCTGCAATCCTCCCCAGCTCTCCTCGGAATAATTGGGCTGTCGTTTGGCGCACTTGGTCAACCCCCAGTCCGTGATGCCAACCATATAACAGCTCTCGAACATGAAAGCCATACTTCCTACCCCAGCTTTGACAGGCACAAGCTCCTCGTTCGAGGCTTTGTCGAAGGCCGCCCTGTCCGGGCCATGGCTGCTCATGCAATTGTGGAGGCTGGCCCCGGCTGCTTGGAAGCCTCCTTTTCCCCCCTCCTTGGCGATATAAGAACCTTGTATCAGCCCCATGAACTCGCTCATGCAATTCCGATGGTACGATGGAGGCCGGAACGTATCTTCGGCGACGAGCCAACGCGGCGGGAAAATGACAAAGTCCGCAATAGCGGTGCCGGGATGTGCGTTGGAGGTGGCGGTGAGCACGGTGTTCAAAGACGGGTCGGGGTGATCGTATGAGATGGTGCCGATGGTGTTGAATCGCCCCAGATCGTACTTGTAAGGGTAATATCTCCCTTCCCACGCAACCACGTCAAATGGCGTATGAGTTTGGCTAGCCCGGAAGAGTTGGCCCCGGAATTTGTTGTATACCAGCCAGTCCGACTTGGTATCGTGGCTGTACGCGGCGACGGGAATTTGAAAATCTCGGGCGTTGGCCAAACAATTGGATCCTATGGGTCCCAGCTCGGGAAGCTGAAAGTGGCCATTGTAGATCTCTAGGGCATATCCCCTGATCGGCTGCTCATCCACCAGATCCACGCGGTATCTGATCCCACGGGGCAAGACACAGATTTCGTTCGGTCGGACAAGCAGCCGGCCCATCTCGGTCTCTATGTCGAGCGCACCTTGTTGCGGCACGATCAGCATGTCGCCATCCGCATCATAGAAAGCAGTTTTGTCAGCCATCGACCGGGTGGCACCATAGATATAATATGCGACGCCGTTTTTCAAGGCAGGATCTCCGGCTCCAGCAACCATGTTCAGGCCGCGAATCCAGTCCACGTCGGCGTTGACGTCAAAGGGATCCCATCGAAGTTGGTCAGGAATGTAATTGAACCTGGTCTCCAGACTTTGGTCTGTAGACACAGGCGCAAACGTCGCATGAGACGCCGAGGGGATGATGCGATATACCCATGCCTGCTGGTTTTCCCACCGGGGCGCCGTGAATGCAGTGCCGGAGATCTTCTCTGCGTACAGGCCGTAGGGACATTTCTGCGGTGAGTTCTGGCCGATGGGCAATGCTCCCAAGATGGCCTCCGTTCTAAGCACCGAATTAGCGTCGACATATCAATATCCTCAAGCCACCCACTCCACATTGGCCAGGAAACCAGTCTGGTACGTATATTTCTCTGGGATTTCAAAGGTCGTGTATGGCATCTTTACTGTTCAACTTCTCTGGAATTATGATTGCAGAGATGCGTCCGCAGCATAAGATTGCTCCGTACTTTAACCGCTTTGCTCGATGTTGTAGAAGAACTACATGTCCCCTGACGGAACTGTTCCAAACTTGCGTGTTTGTCATCTACAGGGATGGAGGGGGGCTTATGGCGGATATGGACCATAGCTTGTTCAAGCACTTCGGAAGCATTCCGTGATCAAAGGGATGGAGGATGACATCCGCCGGGAAACCCGCCTGAATGGTTCACGCTTGCCAGAGCCTCGAGGACAACATGTGAATGTCAAGCGATAAAACATGAAGAGAGGAAAAGAAGGGATGTGGTGTCTTCAGACAGGTGTGCTCTAAATCAGATCAGCAGAGATGGGAGCGAGCAGTTGGTTGGATATCCCCAAAGGGTCACATTTCTCGCTGGCCAACCTACCATTTGGGATTATCACGACCCCACGATCGGGCGAGAGACATGCAGCAGTGGCTATTGGGAATCTCGTCCTGGATCTACACGAGTTCGCGCTTCATCAGGGCTTCTCTGGACTTGAAGGCTTCACCCCCAGCCATATTGCAACCTTTTCAAAACCTGCGCTCAATGACTTCGCCGCTCTGGGCCAGGATGTCCACAGAAAGGTTCGCAGATATTTGCAGGATATCTTTGCAGAGGAAACTCCATTCCCGGCCTTGCTGAAGCATAGCGTCGAAGCTCAGCGTGCCTGTCTCTTTCAGCAAGACCAGGTCAAGATGCACTTACCCATGAAGATCGGAGGCTACACCGATTTCTTTGCCGGGAAAAACCACGCGTACAATTGTGGTTGCATATTCCGGGATCCCGCCAAAGCCTTGCAACCCAACTACCTTCACCTTCCTGTGGCCTACAACTCACGAGCGTCATCGGTGGTCGTGTCGAGCACCGATGTGCGCCGACCCCTAGGACAGTTCTTGCGGAGTCCGTCCGACACCCGGCCCAGCTTTGGCCCATGCCGACGATTGGACATCGAGCTGGAGTTGGGGGCGTTACTGTGCAAAGGTAATGAACTGGGCGAACCGATTGATGTGAATGAGGCAGAGCAACACATTTTCGGCTTTGTTTGCTTGAATGATTGGTCGGCTCGGGACATACAGCAATGGGAGGCGGTCCCTTTGGGGCCTTTCTGTGCGAAAACATTCGCGTCGACCATCAGCCCTTGGGTCGTTTTGAAAGATGCGCTGGAGCCATTTCATGTTCAGGGGATACCAAACGAGACGGAGTTACATCCCTATCTGCAGGAGACCCGCAAAGAGAATGTCTACGACATCAATCTGGAAGTCGAGCTGAGAGGTACGTCGAGACTGCGATCAGATTGATGCAATTGGCAAAAACTGATGGATATCAAACACAGCACCTAACGGCGAGTCTGCAATTTTGTCACGCACAAACGCCCGCAATCTCGTGTTCTCTTTCGCACAAATGCTCGCCCATCATACCGTGGGCGGCTGCCCTCTGGAAGTGGGTGATCTGATAGGGTCAGGGACCATCAGTGGCACAGAACCCGGAACTTTGGGCTCTTTCCTCGAAGCCTCCAACGGAGGCAAGAAGAGCTTCCATCTATCTGCTACGATCCGCCGGACTTTCCTGGAGGACGGGGACAGTGTTGTCATTCGAGGCTGGTGCGGTGATGATGAAGCGAACCTGGTGGGCTTTGGCGAGTGCTCAGGAACGATCTTGCCATCGATTAAACCGTCCTGGATATAGAAATATATTGCAACCGAGACATACTTGGGCTATCACGGTGCTCCGATAAATAGATGTAATCTTAAGTCCCTAACACATTTTCCTTTACCGGAACACGAGTATCGCGCTGGAAGTCGGCGCTCCACGTCTTGTAATGGAAGTAGTCGCTCACAGAAAATCCTCTGCGGCTTCTCTACTTGACTACGGTGTCCAAGAGTCTCGCAAAGACTTCGGTCCATCTCATCTGCAGGTCTAGCGTTTCGGATGACAGCCTAGGCTCGAACAACCGCCGTCCCTGCCAGGATCCGAGGATATTGGTGCTTTCCGCTCGTGCAAGATGCCGCCGGATGTCCCGGGCAGGGCATGGGTAGAAGCGAACAGCTCTTCGCGGTTAGGTGGGTACCTTTGTGCTCGAGAACTCCGGCCAGACTGATTGTAGCTATTGTCCTTGTGCAAGAGGTGAGGTTGGGAATCTTCAAAAAGACTTTCAATCGCTGAAACCACAAAAGCAGAAGGTAATGAGGACGAGCTGGACCAGTACCGTGCCCGTTTGCTCTGGTTCACCGAGAATGGGAAGCAGCATGGCAGACCTGCTGCCGGTTGCAGCGGGGAAAATCCACCGAACGGCGAGGTTCAGTGAGCTTCTGAACGCTTCCTTCGGGTGGTTTGCGATCTTTGCTGGGCTGGTGTTTCTGGTCGGGGTGGTGTTGATCTTCGACACCACAGACGTCCCGCACATCAGACACCTGCCCTCCGTACCTGGGCTTCCCATACTTGGAAGTCTGGCTCAATTGGGGAGCGAACAGCCCCGACGGCTGGCAGAGTTGTCCAAGAAGTATGGACCGGTGTTCCAGATCAGGTTGGGGAACAAAGTGAGCCCCAGAATGAATCTTCACTCCAGTCTGAAAAGCAAAGGCAGCTGACAGGTCAATTCTTCTGGCTAGAGGTTCGTTGTTGCAAACAGCTTCGAATCCGTCAGGACACTCTGGGTCAGGAATCAGTCAAGCCTGATCTCGCGGCCGACATTGCACACCTTTCACAATGTGCTATCTTCATCGCAAGGATTCACCATTGGCACATCGCCATGGGATGAATCTTGCAAAAGGCGACGCAAGGCTGCCGCCACTGCATTGAATAGACCTTCTGTTGTGTCTTACATGCCATTTGTCGACCTGGAATCCTATGCCAGCATCAAAGAACTAGTGGACCACATCGGGGGCGGCGAGGACCAAGTCGACCTCGACCCGTATCCCTTGTTTCAACGCCTGGCACTCAATCTGAGCTTGACACTCGGTTATGGGTTCCGCATTGGCGGCTCGGTCGACAACGACCTTTTGCGTGAGATTATCACCGTTGAACGGGGCATCAGCACCCTCAGAAGCACCAGCAATAACTGGCAAGATTTTGTCCCGCTGCTGAGGATTTTCTCTACACGATCGAACCACGCATCTGACCTCCGGCACCGGCGAGATGTCTACCTGGAATACCTCTTGCAAAGACTGAAGGAAAAGATCGCCAACGGCTCCAACGTCTCTTGTATCACCGGGAACATCCTGCAGGATCCTGAATGCAAGCTAAATCACGGTACGGTTTTTAATTTCCTTGACCCTTTTTGTTGTTTGATATCCGCCTGGGCCAAAGAGGATACGTTACAATACGAAAACATCCACTGACCGGGACATTCCATGTAGCGGAGATCAAATCAATCTGTGTAACGATGATTGCCGGAGGACTGGATACCACTCCGGCCTGCATGCTGCTGGGCACTGCCATTCTTTCGGGACCCCAAGGAGCCTCACTGCAGAAGAAGCTCCTCGACGAAATCGACCGCATCTACCCCGACGGAGACGCTTGGGGAAAGTGTCTCGTCGAGGAGAAATGTGCCTACGTGATGGCCTTTTGCAAGGAAGTCCTTCGCTTCTGGACGGTCATCCCCATGTCTCTGCCACGAGTGAGCATCAAGGATGTGGTATACCAAGGGGCAACCATCCCCGCCGGAACGACGTTCCTGATGGTAAGTCGAACACCTGCCCCAGAAGATGAATTTCCCATCCTCCTCGCTTTTTTGTTCTCGTCAGATTGAGTTTGACTGACGTGTCCTCCAAGAATGCGTGGGCGGCCGATCGCGACGCGGATCACTTCCAGGCCCCCGAAGAGTTCAGGCCGGAACGCTTTCTAGACCTCGCGGACGGCTCGGGGACGCAGCATTTCGCCTTCGGAGCAGGCTCGCGCATGTGCACCGGCTCGCACTTGGCGTACAGGGAGATGTACATCACGTTTATCCGGATGCTTGTTGCACTTGAAGTCCTCCCGGCTGAGGATCCGGCTCAGCGCCCGGTCTTGACGGGTCCTCTCGAGTGCAACGCCAACCCGACGGGGCTGTCCATAGAGCCGAAACCGTTCAAGATCGGGTTCCGCGTGCGCGACGGGGGCCGTCTTCAAGAGTGGTTTGCGCAGACGGTCGAGGCCACGAGCCACATTGAGCAATGATTAGACATAGATATGATGTACTCGAGGCCCAATGATCTCTTTGCCTCTTGTCAACAAGCCCCCCCTTTGCAACATCCACGCCGCCTGCCGACGTATCTTTCTAGGCCTTTTACTAGGACAGAAGAAAATACAGACCACGCCCCAGCGCCTTCATTTCTTCATGACTGGCCCATGTTCATATGAGAAGGTAGTCCTTGAAACAGGCACAGAAGGAGAAAGCAATCACGTAGCCATGCTGACGAAAGATATTTTCATTTCTGCTACCTTAAACGAACGGTTTTGGCAACCATACTCGATTCCTACGCATCTGCCATTCTTGCCAACTGGAGGATCCAGTCGACGGTCTCCTTCTCGGCCGTCAAGTTCGGCATGTGGCCCGTCCGCAACGCCGTAACGTGTACGCTTCGGCCACTTTCCCGCTCGACCCTCTCGATCCAGGACCTTTGCAGATCGGGAGGCCCGACCAGGTCCTCCTCGCAGAGCAAGTACGAGACCGGAATGTCCCTGTACCCAGTCTGTGTCACCGGGTCGAGGAAGCTTTGGGCCGAGTGCTTGGCAAAATCCCCGACGATGGCGGCCCCCTTGTCAGGCGGCAGGTGTTGGAGGATGAGGCCGGCGGTCGCCGCGGGGTCGGCCATCAGCATCCAGCCATGTTCCTGAAGCAATGAGGATTTATGAGCGCGAGCCTCGAGCCGACAGCGGCACGGTCGAAAACAGGAAACGAGCATCTGGGAAAGGGAGAGGGAAAAGGCTTACATCGACGTCGATGGGAGGATGTTTCTCGGCTGGGATCACGCTTATGGCTCCGCGCGCTGACTGGCCGTGGGCGGGGATGATGGCACTCATGTAGCCCAGCCGAACGATGCCGCCTGGTTTGCCCTGGGCCTTGCGCTCCTCCTTGCCCAGGCCGTGGGAGGCTTGGGTCATCGGGACGCCGCCGTAAGAGTGGCCGACGATGACCACGTCCTTGCCCTCATCGGCCAGCCTTTGGACCTCCTGTGCGAGCACCGCTGCATCGTCGTACATGGAAGGTGCTGTCCGCGCATAGCCTTGTCGACTGCTGGGTCCTACCGTCGGTGGATGGATGCCCTTGATCTCACATCCCGCTTCGGTGACCGCGTCGATGACGGGCTGGTAGAGGGGAAGCAGACAATACGAGCCCGGGAAGAAGAGAATGGAAGTTTGGGACATGGTGATAGTTACGACCAAAGACCCCTTTTGACAGTTCGCGTCATTGAGGCCAGGACCGTGGCGATTCAGAACGGGTCCCTTTTGAGCTTTTTCAAAACACTGTAATCGCCCTGGCTGAGACAGACGGGTTTCGGTCGAAATGGTATGTGTTTGTCATGCTAACACGCGTAGCTCGTTACATCCGCTGGGTGTTGAGAGGGCGCCGGTGCTACTCGTTCCGTATAGACGGCCCGAGGTGAAGGTTAATGTCGGATTACCCGCCGGCAATTCTGCCACATAATATATCAAAGGAGGATTCGTCATGGGATCGCCCAATGTGAGGCGTGACTTGACCAGACGTTGGTCAATTTGCCAGGCTGGGTTTTATGAATGACCCTCAGCGGGACGGAGTCGTTACAGGTCCCGGGTCACAGGTCCCATTGACGAGGCTAGAGAAGGCTGACCGAGGCTGACCAACCGGAGGTGGGCACAGGGGAAGGAAATCGGGTATTGCCCTAACCCTATTAGGAAGGTTAGCCGATCCGACCTACATTAGGTAGGTTAGGTGAGTGACACTGCGGCACTTATTGCCACCTAGTCTCTCCACCTTCGATAGTTGCTAGTAAGACAATCAATCAATTCAGTTGGTTCTACAGGGCTACTCGAGGGGCCGTGGTGCCGGGGTTCAACCGTTCGAGCGATGCTCAGAACAGAGACAACGGCCCATGATCTTTCTTCACACGCACAGCCAGCCGTAAACACCATCGAACCATTTCGATAGCCATGGTTCCTAAGAGCTTGCCAAAGGCTGCATATGCATGTGTCACATGCCACAACAGGAAGGTATGGACCCTGCTCCGTCAATGTGGTCAAAGCTCAAAGAAACCCCCGGTAGGTCCGATGCGTGATAGACGCAGATGGTCCAAGTTGCAAGGCATGCCGGACTGCGAACATTGACTGCATGTAGGCATCACTCCGTGCTCGATGCCAGCCTATGTCTAACGGAAAGTCAGACCACGATCGCGCAAGAAGCGTAAATGCAGTACTGTTGCCTCGACAGCTCAAAATCTTCGCAGCGTGTCGACATCGCCTCCAAGCCCAGCTGATGTCTCGAGAATGGAGCGCTCAACTGTGCCCCAGCCGACCATTTTCTCGCACAGCGTTCGAATACCCCTCGACCAATCGACAACGAATACACCAGGAACACCACCCACCTACACTGCAGTTGCTGACGAGCCCCTGGGCCAGCGCTCGGGACTGCAAGCTGCCACTCCGCTACGATGGAATCAACCCCGACCAGAGGCGTTCTTTGGCTGGGCTGCTCCTCTTCCCGCTCCACATGTGACCTCAAATGGTGGACTGGACCATCCTTTCGGCCATGTGTCAACAGAACCACAGATCTCAAGCTATGGCTTCGACGTGCCACCCAGGAGTGTACGACAGAATCTAACCAACACTTTTCTCGAATACTGCAATCCATGGCTGCCGATCGTGGAGCACGCTGACCTTGCGAATCTTGCGCGAATCGAGCAGCAGTCAGCTTCGATGCTTCTCGCGCAAGCACTTTGGTTTGCGGCGAGTTGTATCGAGCAATCTTCTACTGCACCGAGCGAATTTTACCAACGAGCTAAAGCGCTCTTCTGGTCGGGCAGCGAGAACGACCCGTTTGTCGCCGTCAAGGCTGCGTTGATGTTGATGTCGCATGACTGGCAAGTTTCTGAACACGGTACGTTTGATAACAGTGAGCTTTGGCTTCACGTGGCAGTCACCGTTGCATACCGAATCAAGCTGCACAGAGATCCTCCGCCAGACTCGAAAAGTGGCATCCGTCGCCGACTGTGGTGGACCATTGTTGCACAGGATTCTTTGATGTCTTTATTATACGCTAGACCTCGCGCCATCAATCTCATGGACTCTGATGTCCGCGGACTAGACGATATGGATTTCATCAACAGCCAAGCCGACCCTGCCGTCTTCAGCTTGTACGTGGACATAAGCAAGATCCTAGGTGATCTAGTCGAGTGCTACCGGCGCGGATTTACGAGCTACACTCATAGATCAAGTATCGAGAACAGCCTTCATCTCTGGCGCCTTCGCCTGTGTCAGTACGAAAGCGTTGATGTCGACCGGGATATCTCCCAGTCAACAGATCAGAGCCTGGCTGTTCGCCAGTTGAAGCTGCCTTATTTGACAGCTCTAGTTCTGTTTTCTAAGAGCCAGCACATTTTATCAACCCTCAAATGCTCCTCTGCATCAAGCTTACGGATTTCGGCGACGGCTTCAATCGCTGCTTCGTTGAGTGCTGGCATCTTCAAGAGTATGCTGGAACATGACGAGATCCAATATCTCGGACCTGTGTTCACCATCTACGCATTTTCGGCAAGCATGGTGCTCCTCCGACTCTGGGCCTACCCAAAGCTGTGGGAAGCCGTTCAGCCAGATCTGCAGACATTAAGAGAGGCTTTGTCGAGTCTTACAAGACATGATTCAGCTGTGGCTGACGTGGCAAAAGCTTTGGACAATGCACGTGAATACGTGGAAACAACACAGCAGCATCGTCCTGTTGATCTGCCGACTGTATCCGACCGGCCACTATGCTTCAAACTCCTTGAGACTATGTCACCGGCGGGTTGCCAGTTGTGGAGTCACGTTGCAGAGCTTGCTGACGACTCGGAGTCCTCGGATGCAGACCAGACCTTCAATTCACCGGCAAGTGGAGAGGCGAGGGCTGAAAATGCGGCCGTCTTTCAGTCACAGCGCACTGGTAGGTCTTCAGATAGCTTACTTTCGAGCCATGGATTTGCCTATGGTCAGTATGAAGACTGGATCCTCCACGATGGCTGAATACAATGAGACGGAAAACCGATCTTTTTTGACACATACATACAGACTGACATTTATTTTCCGGTCAAAGCTTGCTCTTCGCCTTTGACTTCTGGAGATTTCTGAGCCTGACTTTCTCAAACTGTTGCTGCGGTATACCGGCGACACTTCTCGCCATCCCCTCAAACACTTCCTCGACATTCTGAGCATGCAGATCGCGCCTTTGCTTGCCTCTGATCAACGCTTTGATCCGAAGCATGCTTTCCCCGTTGAGATGATCCCCGAACCCATCTTTGATCTCGTCAAGCACTGCCCGTTCGAACGCGGCTTCATCACCGCCATCCGTCGTGAAGACGCGGTCGACGAAGCCGCAGCTCAGCAGCTCCTCTGCTCCGAGCCTGCGGCCTTGGATCAAAGCTTTGTTGGCCTTGGCGATGCCCATGCGCTCCACGAACGCCGCACTCGCACCTCCCTCGGCCACCAGACCCAGGCTCGCGAATGGCGTCTGCAGATAAGCGTGCGGTACCGCGTAGATGAAGTCAGAGTAAGCAATCATGGCCGCGGACATGCCGATGACGGGCCCGTTGAGCGCCGTCACCAGGATCTTGGGATGCATGTAAAACGCCCTGGCGAGGTTGAGATTCGAAGCGACCGTGTACGTCAGGAAATGCCGATACAGGTCCGTGCCTGGTGGTTGTTTGCGTGACACGGACACATCGGCCCCTCTACAAAAGAAGGCATTGTTGTCAGCCTCTCTCTTGGAGTCCAGGATCCAAGTTTATGTTCCATTCTGGTTTACAAAAAGTAATGGATTGGGGGTTACTGGTTTTACCACCTACGCAGAGAAGAATCGCCCTCGCCCGATCAGCAAGGTCACCAGGATTTCATCTCGAGCCGCAACTTCGTAGAGAAAGGTCGCCAGCTGATAGTATAGGTCTTTCGTCAGGGCATTCAGCTTGGTCGGGTTGTTGAGAGTGATGATGGCTAATGTATCGCGATACTCGAGTGTTACCTTGTCGTCCCTGGTCATGTTGCTGGCCATGGTGAGCTGACGTTTTCAATTCCCGTAGGCGTGTGCGACCTCGCGATATGATGGAGGGCGGAATATCGATGATCCATGCGCGTCCCCTCTTGGAAGGGTTGTCTGTTCCGCGGATGAGGTACTTCGTACAAGGTACTCGGTAGATGGAGAAGAGTCACGGAGCTCCACCCTGGATGCCCCCACAAATTGCCGAACCACCGAACCGCCGAGTTCTGCCCCCCACAGTATTACTCGGTCCCTGCTATTAACAGACAACGCCTGAAAGCTTCGTAAATGGTGCGATCTACGAAGTATCTCCGTCTGCAAAGCCTATACGAGAGCATGGCATTCTTCGCCTTGCACTAAGCTGTACGACACTACACCTCCAGTGGACAAAAAGCCAAGGTATCAGAAACTTAGGTATTCCCCAGATCTATTCAATCAAACATTCCACAACGCTAGACTCACAAATATCATTTCAACAACCGGGTCGTTGCAGCTGGCTGATCTGGTTCAAAAGTATTCGCACAAAACAAAAAACGCCATGGCTCAAGCAGCAGCAGCGAACATGGACCGCTCGCAATGCGTGCCGCCGCATTCTGGCGACCACATTCTCCCCAACAGCCCGCTGTTTGGCAAACTGATTCGTCACGCCAGACGCGGGCGTGTGGCTCTGCGGGATCGGGGTCTGGGCGTTGAGAAGACGTACGCCGAGTTGCTCGACGCTGTGCTGGCCTTTCGCAAAGTCGTCGACGCATCTCTGTCGTCGGACGCTCGCGCAAGGCTCCACCGCGGCGATGAGGTCTACATCGGCGTGCTTGCCGCGGGGGGCTTCGAGTTTACCGTGGCGATGCTGGCTGTTCTGGCGCTGGGAGCCGCAGCCGTGCCCATGTGTAAGTTTTGAGCGAGCGAGCGAGCTTAACCAGCCGCGCTTTTCGTCGACTGCCCGACTACAACTCTTTGGGCGCTGACACACAGAAATACTTCTAGTCCCGACAGCACCCATCAACGAGCTTGTCTACTTCATCACCAAGTCGCAGCAGGCCGCCGTGCTCACGAGCTCCGCAGCGAGGGACACCGCCACACGAGCAGGCAAACAAGCAGGCGACGTCACGACCATCGACATCCTGTCCAATCTGCCCGAATCCCCGAGATTCCGCGCATTGGACATGGCCATGTCGTCGGACCCGCCGCAAGACGACCGCGCACCGGGAATCGTCATCTTCACATCCGGCACCACGGGCCGCCCGAAAGCCGTCGTCCACCGGCGGACGTACACGCACGAAACGGCGACGTCGATCGGCGAGGGCTACGACGTGGACCACCGCGACGTGCTCCTCCACCTGCTACCCGTCCACCACACCACGGGGCTGGGCACGTCGTTCTTCCCCTTCCTGTGCGCCGGCGCGTGCATCGAGTTCGGCGGAGCTGCCACCGGCGGCTTCGACGCCGAGTGGGTCTGGGACCGTTTCCTCCGGGGAGGTCTGACCGTGTTCTCCGCCGTGCCGACCATTTTCATGCGGTTGAAGTGGGATTTCGAACGGCGCATCTCAAAGCTGGCCCCCGCCGAGGTCTCTCGCCATGTCGCCGCGGCGAACCAGTTCCGCGTCCTGCTGTCCGGGTCGAGTGCCTTGCAGGACCACGTGCAGCAGTTCTGGACCGAGCTGCGCGCCGGCACGCCGATCCTGACGCGGTACGGCGCCACAGAGTTCCCGGGCTGTCTGAAGGTGCCCATGGACGCGGACCACAAGGCGCTGCCCAAGGGTTGCGTCGGCCTGCCCGTGCCGGGCGTCGAGTTGAAGCTGTCCGAAGGCAACGAGGGGGAACTGCTGGTCAAATCGCCCTATATGTTCGCAAAGTACGGTTCCTCCTTTGGAAAGCCCCGTCTTTTCTTTTTTTTTTTCCCTTGGGGAACTCTCCCGACACACAGCTGACACAAAAATTTCCTTTTTGGGCAGATATCTCTACGACGCCGAGGCCACTAAGCAGGCACACGATGACCAAGGGTGGTTCAAGACCGGCGACATCGCCCGGCGGGACGGCGATTTCTACACCATCGTGGGCCGCGCCTCGGTCGACATCATCAAGTCAGGCGGCTACAAGATCTCGGCCATCGACATTGAAAGAGAGTGCTTGAGTCTTCCCTATGTCAAGGAGGCCATGGTCGTCGGGGTCAAAGACGAGGAACTCGGCCAACGTGTCGCGGCTGTCATTGCCGTGAAGAAGCAGCAGCCCCAGGAGGCCGCCAATTTGACGCTGCAGCAGCTCCGCGCCGATCTGCGACCGTCGCTGGCAAACTACAAGCTCCCGACCATTCTGCGCGTCGTCGAGGGTGAGCTTCCCAAGGGCGTGACGGGCAAAGTGCAGAAGAAGGTTTTGGGACCCGAACTCATCCCCTCGCCGGGATATGAGCTGCTGCCGGACGTCCAGGTATGGCGGAGGGCGCAGAAAGGGGGCCGGTTACAGGCAAGGATGTAGTGAGGGATGACATGTGGCAAAAGACGAGAGCTCTCTTTTTTGGGCAATTTTGGTTATTTAGGTACTCTGCAGCAGATTTTTAGATATTAGAAAACCAGTCTTCAGTGTTGGTCCACATGAACTGTTCGAAATCCGCGTCATTGAATGCCCATTGATCTTCGGATACTCTGTCAACAACAGAGGTGTCAACTAAGGGAACATTCGTGTGCGTCGTTGCATTCCCATCAACATGATCCTGACCTGCAGGATTAAGTCTACAATGTTCGTAGAGGGGCGCCCAGCTAAGACAATAGTCTCGCGGGAAACAGTCGAAGAATCTTCTTTGGTGGTCGGTCAGCCACACGACCTTCTGCACAGCTCGCTGCGGCTGCTTCTCTCGCAGGGAAATGAAATGTTCCAGCGCCCTCAGCCCCGATTTGGCCGATTTCCATCTCTGACCCAGTTCCTCGAGAGATTTGCGGAAAACATCCATGTCGGATTGGCAAGCTGCCCAGACCTCTGTGAGAGGCTGCAACAGGGCCAGGAAAAACCCAGAGGCGATGCAGTATCGTGAGAAGATTGGTGCGAGATGTTTGATTTCGTCCCGCGCAAGGAAGTCCCTGAAGATGCCTGCCACGAAAGAAGCCGCAATGACAGGTTGAGCCGAGATTGTTTCCCTTTTCAGTGAACGACCGATGATGGCGAGGCTGAGCAGGTACGGAAGGTGAAGTTGGCGGAGGTTCAGCTGAGACTGCAATGACATGTATCTCTCTGTGCTCACGCCGAATTTGGGGAATCGCAAGTGTTCGGGGATTTGGGAGGGCCATTCCTGCAAAAGGGTTTCGAAGTTTTGATGCTTTGCCAGCGTCATGGTGTTTCTTGAACAGGTCTCCGAGATCTCACCGAGGATGGAGCAAATATTCGTGTACGCGGCGAATAATTGTCCATCGCCTCTACCAGCGGCATCGACCAGATCCTCCGGTCGTATAGGGCCCACATCGGTGTCGTCTGGGTTGATCGCCCGGGGCCGACCATGGGCTACTGTCATGCACGCGTCTCGTGTCTGTCACTTGAATCAACCGAAGGCAAACTTGTAAAAGGTGTTGGACTCACCCTTAGAGTCCACCAGATCCTTCTCCTTGCCGCGGCAGTAGGTCCGGGTGGCGACTCGCGGTGAAGACCAATCTGAAAAGCAATGGCCACTCCGACTCTAAGCCAGAATTCACCTGCATCATAAGAAACTTGCTCCGGCCCCACAGGCGTGTACCACTGCAGCATGATCGTAGCTTTGATTACCGCCAACGCGTCCAGCTCGTGGTTCATGAAGAAAAGAGCCTTTGCTCGCTGGTAGAACTGATCTGTTGTGGCGAACGAACGTGTACTTGGAGCTGTCGAGACCCGACTCGCAGCCACAAACATCGACTGACAGATGAGGTATGACAGAGCTTGCTGACCGCCGAGATCTATATCGCCACGCGTGAGGACAGGTGTCCAAGGCTGACAGTACGTGAGAAAACTATCGAGCAGACTGCGGAAGACTGCCCGTGGCGGCAACTCGAAAGCATTGAAGAGCTGTAGAACAGCATTTTCTGACTCGGAGGGCTGCCGTCGCTGGGGGACCGCGACGTCGCGAGCCTGTGTTTCGTCAAATGGCGTATCATGGTCCAGATAGTGCGCTCTGCCAATGTACGTCTCGTTGTTGGGACTGGGGTCTTCGCTTTTGCCGACGGGAAGAGTTGGACCTGGCCAATTGGTCGACGACGACTGCCCAATGACCAAAGACGACTGTTGAGAACGGGCTCGTGGATGCTCGTCAGTAGTGACGGTGCCGTTGCCTTGCGAGTATGGCGTGTTGGAATATGACGGTCTGGTGTAAGAGAGAGTGTGTCTCCCTGTGCCCGTGCGTCGTCGCTTCCTTCCTAACGAGCTAAGCTTGTGAGCACGCTGTGAACGCCAGTCCAGACCAGACGCGAAACATACAAGCAGTCAAGCTTGTGGGCTTTGCAATTTTCGCAGGAATCACTCGCCGGCAGGAAAATGCACTCGGCCTATCGTTCGTCAGCATTCGGTCTCACCAACAACAGGAGGAAACTTGCCGAGGCTTGCTCACAAGCCAGACAAGCAGGGGTTTGAGACAGCATGACAAGTCGTGCTCTCGCCCTTGTTCAGGAAGTGCTCATCTGGATCCTTGGTAACTGCATTCCCGAGTCCACCTGGAGTCATCCTCCTGCCCCGCTGCTCGGCGAAAAATTGATATGTATGTCGCTCGTAGCTTGGATTCTGTCTGACAGCCGGTCCTTCCCCACAATGTGCCGATTCCCCCGGGTTCCCCACACCGAATTCGGCATTCCCACCCGTCATTCCATGTCACAGACTCAAGGTAAGGACGGAGGAGGGACGAGGAGGACAGCACAAGCCTTGCCAAACATTGCTTGGGTATGCCGTAGGTTAGCTGCAGCAAGCTTCTCGGCGCGAATGACTTAGCCAGCCCGGCCTGAGTCTCGAGTGGGATCTCTATACTGAAAGCTCCCGAGTCCACATTCTCGGCCATTGCTGTCACGCGATGCGGTTCTGCGCTCGGCGTTTTCTCCCATGGAGCCCTGTGATCCTGGAGTATATTGTGCGGAGTATATGGGGGATGCACGCGATTCATGGTTCGGAGTGAAAGGATCATAACTATCGGCTCGTGGCCACCCTTTGGACGATCTCATACCATTCCGTCTCATTCACTTTCTCTATCAGATTCCATCGGAAAATGGCAAAATATCTCGGCCTGAGAGGCCTCAGGCTCAAGACGGCCATGGTCGTCCTTGTCGTGTTACCAAGTTTCATGCTGTTCGGCTGGAATAATGGCTCTACTGGACACGCAACAGACCTCGAATCCTTTGTCAAGGTATAGCACACTCCCCAAGCGCATGTCTGAATTGGAGTCTGACCGATGACTAGCAATTCCCCCGACTTGACACGGTCAACACGAAAGGTTCTACCAAGTCGTATAATGCTCTGATCCTGGGTACGTCGCCCTATTGAACCGCTTTCACAGCCCATACTGACCAGCACAGGCGTCGTCACAGCCTGCTATGATCTCGGAGCCGTTGTTGGGGCTCTTTCCTGCATTCTCTACGGCAACAAGCTGGGAAGACTTCGCTCCGTGCTCCTCGGTCTAGTGTTATCGGTGGTAGCACTTGCTATCGAGACCTCTGCCTTCCAACTTTCGCAATTCATCATCGGCCGTCTCCTCGTTGGGGCATCGATCGGCATCATCTCGGCGAGTATTCCCATCTGGCAAACAGAATGCGCCACCACCAGGCATCGGGGCATGTTCGTCATTATGGAAGGCATTTTCATCAGCGCGGGGATCGCGTTGCCCAGCTGGATCTACCTGGGCACCATTCCAGGCCTGAACGGATCGGCTCAGTGGAGGGTGACCATGGTTCTGCCCGTGGCTTTCGCCATCTTCGCCATGCCATGGCTCTTTTTCATGCCCGAGTCACCCCGCTGGCTGGCGCACAAAGGACGACTCGACGAAGCCCGAGAAGTCGTGGCGGCAATCATGGACCGGCCCCTGAACGACCCGCGAGTGACGGCAGAAATCAACCACATCCAACAGCAGCTGGAGCTGACCACCGGCAGTTTCCGATCATTCTTCAAGCACAGCCCCGAGCGTCCACTTCAACGCGCCTTCATTGCATTGCTTGCACAGAGCTTTACGCAGTGGAACGGCTGTTCAGCCATGATCTTCTACACCGGCGACGTCTTTGCCCAGCTAGGTTTCTCGGGCACCCGTGGTGAACTGCTCGGCGCTGGGTTCACCACAACGTTCACCGTGGCCGCGTTCGTCCCTCTGTTTCTTGTGGATCGGGTGGGAAGACGGGTGCTCTTCATGATCGGTGCGAGCGGCATGTGCATCTCGATGGCTGTCCTTGCCGGAACGGGTGGTCATTCGAATCTGGCACCCGTCGCGCTCACCTTCATGTTCATCTACGCCTGCTCCTACGCCATCGGATACCTTGGCCTCCCCTTCCTCTACGCCAGCGAAATCGCCCCGCTGCGATTCCGCGTCCCCATCGCGGCCATCTCGGTCACAGGTCAGTGGTTGGGACAATTCGTCGTCGGCCAGATCACCCCACCCGGCACGGCGAATCTCGGCAGCCACTACTGGATCATCTACGCCGTCTTCAACGCAAGTTTCCTGCCCATCATCTATTTTTTCTTCCCGGAGACCAATGGGAAGTCCCTCGAGGACATCGACGAGATCTTTGAAAGTTCGACCGCGTTCGGTGTCGTGCGCTCTGCTCGGGCCATTGGAAAGTCGGGCGAATCGGGTATTCAGAATATGGCGCTGGACAAGGACTACGTTTCCACCGAGGTAGAACATGTCAAGGCATAGGGCCGGCCGGAGAGTCTAGAATATTCAGATGACAGAAAGGGATTCACTTTTCCTGCGTTTTCGCCCTTTTGTCTCGTGTGCTTTGATCATCTCTGAATGTGTCTCCCACCCCCTTTGCTCCCATGGCCAGAGGGCTAGCAGATCCCTTCCGCCTCTACCAAAAAGAAAATCGGCCCCTGTCATTGTTTCCAACGCCTCCACATCCTCTTCCTACTCTCGGGGGTGGTCATGAACTCATCAAGTCTAGGTTACTAGCCAAGAGCGTGTAACCTATTGAAATAACAGGAGTATTCGTGCCTTGGAGACAGTTTCTTCGTAAGAAATACTGTCGGTAATGGAAACGAGTCAATTCAACTGCGTACGGTTCGTCTATCCCATCCCAGGTTACATACAGATTGCGCCTGTTCAAGCCGTCGCCCATTTCTCTGCATATTTCAATCATTCATTGCAGCAATTTCTCCGCTTCGTGCTCGATGTCATACAGGAAGAAAAAGTCGTTGTATTCCTTGGAGAAGGTCTTGGCTTTAGGACCGGGAATGTCACCAGCATAGTACCTCTTGACCTCTGCGATCATCTTGTCCGGCGGGCCCATCATCTTGTTGGACATGGTCTGCACGGCGCTGACGCGGGGGAGGCGGAGCTTGTCGAATAGCTGGAGCCGAGCGCGCACCGTATCCGGAGAATCATCGACGTCTCTGAAGAGAAATTGTAGCGCCAAGGCGTCTTCCAGGGCCATGGACGCGCCTTGGCCGTGCGTGGGGAGCATCAAGTGACCGGCGTCGCCGATCAGGACGGCCCTGCCTCGCGAGAAATTCTCAATCGGGTCGCGCCACATCTGGGTGTACACTTTGATCTCGGTGGCGCCCTCGCACACAGCCTGCACGGCAGGATGGAACCCCTTGGCGTCGGCAAGCACGTCGGCAAGCTCGGCGGGCGAGTCCCAGCCCTCAATACCCTTCTCCTTGGGTTTGGTCGGATGCACGAGGGCCACGTACAACAGCTCTCCGCCACGACAGGGATAGGTGTTGAGGAGCAGGCCCGGTCGGCCAACCTCTGTCTTGTAAAAGGTCGCGAACCCGGGCGGTTGGTTCTCGTAGAACTGTCCTGCCTCGGGGTGCTCGAGGACCTTGTCAAAGGGCTGCAAAAACCGGTACATGGACATGGGTGACTTGCTCACGGGGTAAGGTCGCCCGATGACCTTGGCGATGAGTTCGCTGTGGGCGCCGTCGGCGATGATGACGAGATCCTTCTGGACTTCCTCGCCCGTGGCAAGCTTGAGAACACCGGTCTCGACGTCGACGTCGACAACTTGGATGCCCAGGTTGATGTGTGGTCGAGGATGCTGGCAAGCCTCGACCAACTCCTTCAATCCCGCATGGAGATCGGCACGATGGAAGAGCAGCCACCTGTCACCGTACTGTTCCTTGATGTCAGTGAAGAACTCCTCCGAGTCGACCTCGATGGTGTCGGCCTTGATCCGACGCATCTGGCTGTAGTCCAGGGCGCCTGCCTTGATGAAGTCGAATCCCCACTTGGACAGGATCCTGGTGCCATTGGGCCCGATGATGATGGCTGCACCGGTTTCATTGCGAAATCTGGATTTCTCGTACAGCTCGACAGCGTGGCCGGATCGGGAGAGAGCGATGGCAGCTGCAAGGCCAGCGATGCCGGCGCCGACAATGCCGACTTGCAATTGGCGCGTTGGCATGGTTACCTACCCAGTAGGTATCTTTTGGATGATTTAATGAAAAAGGGGGATGTGGAGAGTGGTTGAGGGCCCCGTACGAGTATATACGGAGGACTTGGACTTAAGAGTTTCTCTCACCGACACGCCCGCTGCTGGCGGCGGTCAGAGGAAGGAGCATGCTTGTTGCTCCTTCAGGCCGCCACCTCTGCTACCTCCTAGTCGTACAGTTAATTAGAGCTTGGTTTACCTCGAGCAATTGGGGGCAGTGGGTTTCCGAAAAGGTTCTTTAGTTAGGAAGGAATTAGCGCCGGGAGGAAGTTGATCGGGTGCATTGGGTGCATTGGGTGCCTGACTGAATGGAGTCGTTCAGACACGCGTCGAGGAAGAAAGTCAATAACCATCAATAGCATCACCGACGTGACGTGGCAACTGCAACAACCACAACTGCGCCCAGTCCAGAACCCAAACTCACCTTGAACTCTTCTCTCCTGCCCTGATATCACACCCTTCACCGTCCCTCGAGTCCAAGGTCATCCCCCATCACCATGTCCTCCGACTCTGCCTCCTCCGCCGTCCTTCCCTCCCGCATCCTCCTGTCTCTCCTCGGCCTCGCCTCCGCCGCCGGTGGCTACCTGGCCGACTGGAACGAAACCCATGTTTTCAATCCACGATGGACGCCGCATGCAAAATTCCATAACGGCCAGACCATGTCGACGGGGCTGGGTCTAGGCCTGCTCACATGGTACTACACTTGGCGGACCACCAACACCTCGACCACGTCGGGCCTGCTGGACAACTTGCTCACGGCGACGCTGATGAGCAGCTTGTACTGGGCGACGCAGGTGTCGGCGATCCTGTACCCGGGGACCAAGTGGGTGGACGACGAGTTCAAAGAGAGTCATGGCGAGCCTCAGAAGCGAGGGGCGCCCGTGTTGCTTGGCTTGAGCTGGGCCGCTTTCGGGCTGGGCTGGTATCGGTTGACCAGTGGGGGGAAATCGATCGCTCTCTGAAGAGATGAATAAGGGGTTGCTGCGAGAATGAATCTCTGGGTCTACTAGTGGGTATACTACACAGCCTCTATTGTGGCGGGGGAGGGAGGACAGAGCATGGCAGATGACCAGCAGGGCTGGATGTTGGCACGCAACCCTGGGTGTCCAGGCGCATCACGGAGAACATACAGAGAGAAGCAGGCAGCACGGGTCTGTCAGCGAGCAAAAGCAAACTTGTGATTATATTATGTGGACACAGGCAGTCTTATCCCAAGGAGGGCAATAAGCGATGCCGTCGCCGTGCTTCTTTAGCACAACTGTGCCAAGTGGTAGGAGGTAGGAAGAATGGGTGATGCACCAATTCTCCCAGGGCACCTCGAGCATCAATTTGTCGTGCTTCTATGATACGTCCCTAACATCCCCAGGATCGATCCTCAGTGCAGGCGTTCTGGTTTGGAGGGAGTACCTACATACTCGGTATATTGCACCAAGAATAAAAGCTGGCCGGCTCGCATTTCTCATTATCTCCGGCCGCCTCCTCTGCTTCTCTGTTGGCCCCCAATTCTGTGGAGTTAAGGACTCGCACTCGTCCTCTCCCAGGCTAACGGCTCGTCGGCTGTTACGAGCCGCTCGCCTGAGAGTCGCCCAGTAATACTCCGTAAGGTGTCTGGGAGAAGCTTACCTAGGTACCTACCTAGGTACCATTAAGTCACCTCTATCTAGCGACCACTACTGCCTCACTGCTTGTTTTATGGGGCCGGCTCAGGCATTGCGTGCTTGACCGAGCCGATTGAATCAACCATGGTTCATCCCTCTTTATCTCCTTGGACACCATACTATGTACCTTGACTTGATGGCGTTTCGGCTCCGACATTCTTGTCGCTCGGGCGCGACTGTCATCGAGTCGACATCATGGTTTCATTATCATTGAGTACTTGAGATCTGACTGCCAAAGTATATAAACCTCCAAGACGGCACTGCTTGTTGAATTGGATGAACAAGCAGAGCCCAACAACCACAATAATCCAACAGAAACAACCATCACCAACATCATCATCACAACAATCACCACCGACAAAATGCCATCCGCCGTTGCCACAGCCTCGACCAACTTCCTCCTCGCGACAGTCGAAAACCGCTGTTCATGCTACAACCTCACCAAGGCGTCCCCCATCGCTGACTCTCGGATCCGCGAGATCATCGAATCCGCCGTCAAGCACACTCCATCCGCGTTCAATGTGCAGTCCACCCGCGCCGTTGTCCTGGTGAAGCAGGACCACGAAAAGCTGTGGGACATTGGCGACGCCGCCTTGAAAAGCGCCATGCCGGAGCAGGCGTACGCCGCTCTGGCGCCCAAGATCCAGGGTTTCCGTGCCGCCTATGGCACCGTCTTGTGGTTCGAGGACCAGTCTGCCCTGGATGCCTTGAAGGAGAAGAATCCGGCCATCCAGCACGTCATTCCACAGTGTAAGTCCAGTCCTTCTTGTTCGTCTCGTGATTGCTTCTTTTTCTTCATATCGAAGACAATGCTGACCGGTGAAAAACACAAATAGGGTCCGGCCATTCCAACGGCATGCACCAATTCCTCGTCTGGACCGCCTTGGAACTCGAAGGTCTGGGCTGCAATCTCCAGCATTACAACTTCATGCCCGAGTTCCGACACAAGGTGCAAGCAGAGTGGGACATCCCCTCAACCTGGGCTCTGCATTCACAGCTTGTCTTTGGGACGCCGGCGGATGGTCTGAAGAGGAGCAGAGAGAGGACGTACTTGCCGCTTGAGGACCGTGTGAAGATGTTTGGCGGGAAATGATCTGAGCCAGGTACGCGTGTCATGACTGGGAAGCCGTAGAGGCAACAGTCTGAGCTTCGGGCTGCGATAGACAAGATTCAAATGTTTTTGCTTTGATTCGGCGTCCACTCAATCTTGGAAAGCCTCATGTTCCCTTATTCATTCCTTTTGCAGCTCTCCTGGCTTCCTTGAGTATGTTTACAGCTGACTTTGTGCCGTTCCCTTGTCTTGTCGGGTTTCCCTACGCCTTTGAACATTTGCTCTTTCGCTATCCGGGCGCAGGATTGTTTCCCAGGCCACCGCTGACGAATACGACGAGCACTGCCGCGTATGCTGCACAGGCCGCGAAGATCTCTCCCCTTCGAGCATTGGATATCAGACTTATGCTCACAGCAAACGCCAGAGTGTATCCGGCTATCAGACCCAACTTGACCTGGTCTCGCCGAACATAGTACAGAGTGTAAATGGCACCGAACAGCAGACCAGCGGCGAGGACAATGGTAATGAGGTTTACCGCTAACGAGATCCTCTTCGCTGAAAAGTACTCGACGCCTGTGCTCTGCGTCTTTGCGCCAGCAACCTATCCAGTCAGTCCAGGCAACGCTCTGCAGGTACTTGGTAGGGGAATCTACCTTGAAGGTTCTAGCACAGTGCTTTCGGAGCAGCTGGGTAAGCCGATCCTCGTTATCAACCCTCTTCAAAGCTACTAATCGGCCACGGTCCTCATAGATGAACTCGCTATGCCCGTCAAGGGTCGGTATCCTGCGTTTGCCGTCCTTTTCGTTCCAGAACTGACGGAGGAATGCGTCGTGTGCCTGTCTCGAGGGCCTCCTCAAGCCCAGGATTGCAGATTCCATAAGAAGTGCTTCGCCTGATGCCTTTGGTTAGCGACAATGAGGTGCCGTGGTCTGTACGTACGGTATTCCTTCAGCTTCTGCCTGATCGTGACGATGTGCTCCATACGCTTCTTGAAATGAGCTTGCATTGGTGAAGGCGAGGAAACTGTCGCGCTCTTGAGAGCACCCCAGTCTCTGGATGCCGTTGACATCGTCTGCCATGATGCGGACTGCAGCCGGTGTTTTGCGTCTTCTCGATCCATATCGCCGAGCTTGGCTTCCAGTTCTGCTAATTCGCTTTGCATATACAAGAGATCTCGGGACGCCAAAGTATTGAAGCTCTTGAATATGGCAGTATCGCCATCGGCATCGCTGGATATGAAGGTTGCGAGGTCCGCATATCCACTGATATAGTGGACCGTGACATCGTCTTTCTCGACATCTCTCTGCATCTTTTGGCTTGATGCACGACACAAGCAACCTTGCGAAGCCCTGCGCAGCTTTGGAGAAACCGGCAGACTAAATCTGGGCACGCCGTGGGTGATAGTACCAATCCCCAACATGCAAGAGTTTGGATGATCGACCACAAAACCTGGTGGTATTCGACCTAATCCACAATCTGCAACGACAACTAGCTGGCAAAGTGATTATCCACTTTCTCCCAAATCCTTTGAGTGCAATAGACCACTTCGAAACGAAGCACCAGATTGTGGCCAGGACTTGAAAACCTGGAACCTCGACGGTCCGAAATGCAAGGCGCCCGGAGTTGGGCAGTGGGAAGAGTTGAGCCATTCAATCATTCGTTCATTCATCAGGCTAAAGTTGACTGGGCGTACTCAAGCGGCGGACAATGCATGCTGCGCCTCAATGTGCAAGCACTGGAAGCTGAATCGCCTTGCGCCTTGCCTTCATTGGATCAGATGACAAGGCAATACGAAAGCAGGGCGCTCAGACGGTGAGCGACAAAAGATCCCACAGTGCCCGTCCATGTCTTCGCAACAAGATCGCAGTTTCATCTGAGAACACCAAGTCGCTGTAGGGAGAGACAGTTGCCAACCTGCCATATTTGCTTGGATCTCAGGATTTCCCGCAACCAACATCTCCCAGACAGGTGAGTGGCACAACAGAGAAATCCCAATTCTCGACTGAGACGCCTCGATAGGATTTTATCGCCGTTGTACCTACAGCGTCGCTGCCCGGCTAGGACTTTGCTGATCGTTGAAGATGGTTGGAGATATAGACGCAGTGGGAACCACAAAAAATGGCCCTCGTTTCCTCTTCCTGTCGGGTTGGGTCAACGGTCCCATGTCAGACTTAACTGCCCTCCCGGTTGTGATTCCAGGCGACGCACCCACACCCCTACCGGCGAGGAGCAAAATCAAGGCTCATCTCCAGGTTCGATCGTATATTGATATAGATCTGAATGGTTTCACTAAGCCTGCCGTCGCCGACACTGGGGCACAAGAGAACGTCATGTCAGCTGAGCTTGCAACGAGCCTCCGTTTGATTATCAAGCAACCAGCAAGCGGCTATCAAGTTCCAGAATTTGTCAATCCGGTCGGAAAGTCGATGATGGCCCTTGGCTACGTATGCGTGCCATGTAGATTCAAGGGCGAGGTTGAAGAGATCGCCGAGAACCGGTTCTGGGTCCTGCCCAAAATGATTGTGCCTCTGGTTGTTGGCAGAAAGTTCCTCGACATCACCCAATCTTTGACAAGGTTCCGCCATCGTCTCCGGAAGATCACCACGTCCTTCAAAGGCTTTGGACCGAGAGCTTTGCACATGGAATTACCTCGACAGCGACTGCGTTGCAACGTTGGGGATGAAATGGTGCAGACAGTTCCTGATACAGGCTCCGATCTGGACTTGATGTCCTTGTCGCTCGCACAGAGTCATCACTATCCTATTCGTCGCTTTTGCGGCGAATGTGAACTTGTCCAGTTCGCGGACGGCTCTACAAGACGACTTTATGGAAAGGTAGTTGTACCGTTCTCCATCGGACCCTTGAGTATCGAACGGCGCGAGCGGGAGTTTTATGTCTTACAGGGGCTCACATCCCCCGTATTACTTGGAAATAGCACGTTGGAAGAGTTCGATGCTTTTAACGCGCATCAGGACGAGTTTGTAGATTTGGACGATCTCGATCCCTTCTCTGACCTTTACTATATCCGTTGGATCCAGAGGAACGAGGTTGAAAATTTCCTTGAAGCTTCATTCGACGATTGGGAATTCTTGACAGGTTTGGGAGGTAAGAGATCCGCCCATTCATCACAATGAGCTTTTAACTAACGATTACCTCCAGGAAATCTATCTGATCCGATGCAGGGACATGGCCAACAGAACTTCCCATCACGATTCCGCCGGTGGTTCAAACGATGTCAAGGACAATCGAGCGGGAGGTGCTTCAGCGGTGAGGGCACCAGAACCTCCATTTTGTAACAGGAAGCAGCTAATATGTTGTGTGTCTCCGCAGTCCGTGATTCGGAAGCAAGGTGTCACCAATACCTTACCTACCAGGATGACAAGGAAAATCGACGAAGAAAGAGCGCAGACAGATGGATCGCGGGGCTTCTGCCTGATGAGCAAGTAACAGCAAGGGGCCAGGAGACTGTTATGCGAGCAAGGTATGATGGCCAGCGAGAAGCTTTTGTGACTCGGTACCGTGCCGCTGTTTCTCCAGCACAGACAAGTCCGCCAACCTGATCGACTTAACGAGATGGGGGTGGTCAAAATTCATAAGTCTGCTTGAGAAGTCGTTCAACGGAATTTGCAAGCCTAGGGGGAAGGGCAGATCCGAGTAAAAATGTAGACTTTTTTCAAGACCCCGAACGGACAGGACAGGGGCAATGGCAAGGAGAATGCTGCCAATGCATGCAACACCCCAGCCCAGCGGCCTCCCGCATCAAAGCTGGTCCAGGCTCTATTCCACGGCGGTTCAAAGTTCAGAGCCACAATCTCCATGGCCGAAAAACCAACCAACCAACTGCGGTGCAACTGAGTCCAAAAACATGTCATGGGTGCGTGTATTTGGGTTGTGAGAGTCAGCTAGACCTTGATGAATTCCCAGATGATCTCCTCGCCGCTGGGATCCCCGTCGTCGATCTTGGCCAGAATTTCATCTGAATTATTGCCGCCGCTATCGCCGCGGCCAGATTTCCCTGTTTCTTGCTCGAACCGTCTCGTTCCGACGCGCCAGAGCCTCTCAAAGTGCGTGGTGAGCAACAGGTACCCGCCCTCGGGACGGGGCCGGAGGGCGAAATTCTCCCAGCTTTGCTGGCGCGGGGCTACACAGACGAGGCGGCCGTGGCGGTTGCGGTCCCCTTTGCCTTTGCGGCCGTCGTAACCTAGGAGTTTGCCTGACGCGACGTTGCGGAAGCCCAGCCACCCTTTGGTCTCTTCGCAGGTCCAGTGCACACTGCTGCCCACGGCGGCGGGGGAGCAGGGGCCGGTCACTGTGACTTCGCCGCCGTGTAGTGCGAGGATGTGGCCTGAGGGTATCGTGCGGATTATGTATGTCGAGCCGGGCCAGGGACAGAGAAATCGTTGTGAGGGCGGAGGAGGTGGTAAAGGTGAAGATTGGGAGACCTTGGTTGATGTGGTGGTGCTTCGAGAGATATTCTCGCTACTTAGGGATGGATCGTGTTCGAGGTTGTTTTCATCATACTCGTCGTCGTTGTTGCTACCTTTATCCGAGTACGTGGACACGGTTGCCGGTGGCGTCCTGTCCATGATCGTCATTGTCGATTCTGTGTAACTGGTGCAATAACCGTCATGGCCTTGGTCTAGATCCAGATGCGTGGCCGTGGCTGGGTCAAGTGCGGCGGCCGCGGGGGCGGTCCCGGTGGAAGCGACTTTGTTGAGCGTCATCACTCTTGTATGTCGGCTTAGATACGTGTGCGGTCTCTGGCCATGTCGAGGTTGATAGAGGTTGGATGAGATGTCAGGCTGATGGATGTCATACGAATATCCAGGCCTAGATAGCAGGAACTAGCTCGCTGGGTAATGATGACCAACGAGCCGCCTAACAACCTGGAACTTCCAGGTTAGACTTTGTGGTCCGGGCACTGACGGGGAAGGTTGACCTTCTCCGTAGAGAGTTAAGGGAGTACCTGGGGGTGCTCGGCAGCACAGATTAATTGAGGAGTGTTGGTCCGCAAACTTAGGTAGTTAATGTTGTTTGCCTTCCTTCATGCCTTCGCTTGCTACAGTACTCGTGTATTCCGTACGGAGTACATATCCCACACTCCCCTCGATGAAATAGATTTGGAGGGATCTGATCAGTCAGACAGTTCTCCCCATCTCTGAAACAACAAGATTGAATCCGCTCATCCCATCGGAACGGCCTGCTTTTTCACCACCCTTCCACAAGACCTGTCGGGGGTCGTCTCACCTATGTAGTCCAGCACGTCCCCGCGCTCACTGAATTCCCCGCTACTGTCGAGCCGGAGAAGGAGGCCTCGGCTTCTGGCCACAAACGACAATTCTGGCGCACGAACCTGTAAGTTCCACAAGAAGAAACAGCTTAGGGCTCGGAAAACCCGGACTCCGGGGTTGACCAAAGAAAACCAACTCACATAGGCCAGTATGCATGAATCCTCTTATCCTGCAAATCCCTCCGTACCGCAGGGAGATATCCCAGGACCTGTTCGCGCGTCCAACCGTGGCCCCGTGACAACAGGGCCATGCTCAGCCCGTCGAGCCCGTCGCCGATGTTGGCCAACGTCCACAACCCCACGATCTTGTGCTTCGGGTCCTTGGGCCAATGGTTCGACGGCCACTTGAAGTGTCTCACGGACACGTTGGTGAAGCCCGCTGCGATCATGTGGTCGCGGTGGCGGATGGCGGCGCCTAACGATCGGCCCAGTTTCTCACTGGCTTCGAGTAATAAGTTGCTCCATTCGTAGATGGCCTGCCCCTCGTGGAACGTCCCGTCGTCGGTCCCCAGAGGGAAAATGCAGTCTTGGAGTTCCAGCCAGCCGCCGGGGGTTAGATTCCTTTCGCGAGCAGAAGTGCGACGTCCCGTCAGTATCAAAGTCGACCATTGGAAGAGACGCATGGGCAAGGGATCAGGGTCAAATAGGCTCTAAGGAGAAAATTGTTGAGCAGCAAATGAAAAACATACTCGTAAGCTCGGCCGATAAAACTAGGCCAGTCAGCAAAACTTCCCACCATGAATCGACTGAAGATGTAATCGAAGGGGAACGACCACGTCCATTCCTGTTCGACATCGTCAATCTCAAAGGAACAATTCGGTGGCACACTGCGTTGCTCGTCAGCCTATTTGCCGCGAGACCTTTCCCCAAGCCTCCCTCTGTCACGTACTGTGTAGGCTGTATCGGGCTTAAATCGACGCCGATAACCTTTAAATCAATCAGAGTCAGTACATAGTCGCGACGTTAGCCAGCCATTTTCGCTTAGGGGCCGGGTACCTGCGCCGCGGGATGTGCATCAGCTGCGACACTCATCAGCAACTGCCCGAGGAAGCGAGCGGGTTGAATAAAATCGCGGTACCGTATTGGATTGCCCAGATGCCAGTTCCAGTCCCGACATCGAGCACTCTCTGGGCCGTGTCTGCTCCTGGTGCAAAGTGGGCGCGGCCATCAAAGGTTGCTAGGAAGTGTTCGTTTTGGATGTCTGTTGCCACGTTGTCTTGGTCAGACTGGGGAGTCTTTTCCAACCTTTTACAATGGATGATTGAAACCCCTACCTAATCGTTCTTTTTCTTGCTGGAAGGGGGACAGATCAGCAAGGGGACACGCCGGAGCGGAAGAGACAGTGAAAGACCAAGCGTTACCTCGTCATTGGGCAGGATATATTCTGCGACATGGTGGGTCGTTAGTCTCCGTCGACATGACAAGCCAGACAGCAGCACTGACTTCCCGCACTGAGCGCGTGATACGTGTGACCATTTTCAATCTGAAAATGCCGAATCGTGGATGTCAGTGAGGCAGTCGAGATTTGATCTTCACCCTGTAGCCACTCGGTGTGTTATTGCTTTTGGCTTTTGGTGAAGGGCATCTTATCTTGGCCTACCAAGTCGAGGGCCGAGTCCTCGTCGGTGTCGGCTTGCTGGAATGGGAATGTCAACGAATGGTCACCATCACAGCGGGCTGTGTGTGTTCTTACTAGAACGTGGTCGACATGCTGCTCGTCGTCGGGTTGCTGCATTGTCTTTGAACAACAACTAGTATGGAACACACGGAGCGTTATCCCCTTGGGAAGAAGAAAGTGGAAACTCGGTGTATGGCCGATGGAAGAGGGGGTTTGTCGTGATCGTTGGAAGCTATCTCTCGTTAAGGCTTCGGCTGTGAGCCACGGCCCATCGGCCGACTCCGCTGCTAGAGACGCATCCGCGCGAAGTTAAATCACCATCTAATGCCGGGACTGTCGCGATAGCATCCGGCGACAGCAAACCATCAATTAGTTTACACTGTTAATTGGGGCGTTGATTGATCAGATGTTCGCCACTCGCGCATTGGCCGCCTCCCAAAATGGGCACATGGCAGACGGACGTGAGTTGGTCCTTTCAGTAATAATACGTTGTGACCAAAGACTAGGAGTTCGGAAAAGGACGGTCCGAGTAGTGACTTCTCATTTGTAGATAAAGCTGCCCTTCTTGGATGCTATACGACTTGAGCCTGCTCGCGAAGTCTTGGGGAGACTGATACATTTCTGTGCTATATCTGTAAATCTGTAGATGTCTCCTTCCATCGCGGTTGCTGCTGCCGAGGATCTACACTGGACTCTGACGCCTCGTGATCTTCATCATGAGGTTCGACTGTGTCATGACGCCGTAGTCAAAGGTGTTCATTGGATGGGCTGGATTGACAACGGTAAAGTCGAATCGTCGTAGAAGCTGCAAGAATGAGTCAGGTACTCGCGCCATGATGGCTGGCCCCTTACCTCGACAAATACCTTGTTCAGCTCCAACAAGGCAATAGGCTTGCCTAGACAACCCCATTTGCCTTGACCAAAGATAAGCTCAACGGTGTTTTTCATGATTCGAAGCTGCTCGCCCTGGGTACGCAGCCATCGCTCAGGGGCGAAGAAGTCTGCATCGTCGCCAAATACAGCCTTGTCTCGCATTACTGATCGTGCGCTCCAGCCGACGTTTGTGTTGGCGGGAACCCGATAGCCACAGACCACGGCGTCTGTGTCTGACATGCGAGGAACGATGCCAGTAATCGGAGGCCAAATCCGGAAACATTCCTTGATGAATGCCTGCAGATATGGAAGCGCCCGTGCTTCGGCATCCTTGATTGGAGAGGATATCTGACCAGCTTTGGCGCCCCTGTCGATTTCTTCTTGCAGTTTTTGATATACCAGTGGCGACGTCGAGGCGTGGAAGATCCCTATCCTGATCACCGTGGCGGTGGTGTCAGAGCCCGCCACGATCTGGACGAGAGACTCTGACTCGGCGTCCTTTTGCGTAAGGCCGTGAGCAACAAAGGATCCCAACATGTCTCGTTTGACAATCTTTGCATCGCCGTATCGCTCGGCCACAATTTCTTTGGCAAGCCCCATAATCTTGCCGAGTCCCAGGGCGTCAGTATGCGTGGGACGGATCGCTTTGAATAGAGGTGACTGTAGGACGCTCAGGAGCCATGGCAGTAAGGCTATCATCTGCATGAGAGGAAGTGACTCTTCCGTCGTCTTGATGTAGTCATAGAGGTCGTCGTCTCTATCCATGAAGCCAAATGTCCGTCCTAATGCGAATGTGGAGATGAGGTCCAAGGTCAAGAACTGGATCTTACGAGCGAAATCAACTGGGCGGAAATCCGTCTCGGTCGAGAGATATTTGCCCTCTATGAAGTGAATGAATTTCGCTATTTCCTGATCGATCGACTCGTGCAGACCGTCAATGTCCTTTCCTGAGTACTGTACCACCTTAGTCCTCGAAAGGCCTGTTGGCGAGAATACTTACGCCCGGGAGAAGTTTGGATCTGAGCGCGGCGTGCAAGGTGTTGTCACGTATGGACAGGGTGCAGTCGTTTGGTGGATCGAGCTGAAACCCTTTGAACCATGGTGCTCGATCGAACTGAGAGCGTACTCCCCATATGCGGCGAATCTCAATCGGGTCGCCGCAAATCAAGTAGTGGGGGGCGATGCGGATAAGAGGCCCTATGGTAGAGGCGCAATCAGTGAACCAGGCGTGTATGATCCCAGGGTTTTCTTAACGGAGAGCGCGCACCATATTTGTGGCATAAGTGATCAAGATCCTCATACAGTGACCCTCTGAAAGCTCGCCGGAGCATCCACAGATCAGACCAGCCGCACCAAAACGGGCCGGGGATGTGCCGCAGTCGCCTCCATGCCAGAACCTTGGTGGTGATGACAGAAACGGCGATAAGGGCAAGGCCAATAAGCCAATACGCCATGCTGGATACTTGTTCCGTTGAGGCTTTCCTCTGAATGTCTGGCTCTGGACGGTTGACGCAACAGTCTGCGAAGAAGCTGGGTGTTTGAGATGGCGGAACTAATCGCGCCAGTGAGCTCTAGCTAGAGCCGACTCGGCTAACTGAGAACTCCAATTCCCAGGGCCCCAAAGCAATCTGCATCAAGACAGCGCCTGACTTATCAAGAAGTCTGGCAATTTCGCGCCAGCACCGCAGCTGGAAGTCGATCATGGGACCCTGCAGCGTAGATTGATACACGGCCTTCTTTGCTTATCTAAACGCCAATTGCACGGACTGTGGAACCCAGTTTCCCTAATGGCAATGTAGGTTGGCGGAACTTTGATGGTGGTGGGTTGTTGTGGAGCACGAGTCGAAGGGTTTCCAAACGGCATTCCTCCCTGTTGTTATGGGCTTCGACCATGTCTATATATCAGGAAATATAGCCATCCTATTCGCCATGCCTTGTGTCGCAGGTGCAGTATCAATATCAAGTCGATCTCGACCGATGCCCATTCTGCTGCTTTTTGACTTCCCAATTCCTCCAGGTCCCTCCATCCACCATTCCCTCGAAAAAATCCCCAACGCCGTAGCCCTGCTTCCATTCCCTTTTCTGGACCGACTCACTTATCTTCCAAAACAAGGTTCCATCATAACAACCCCGGAGGTCGTCTTTCCACACTCTACCGTCTCTCTGAAGTAACAGCCATGTCGTCCACATTTCCATAAATGCAAAACACCAGCCGGCCACGTCGGCTGCAAGACGGTTCTTCTTCCACATGTTCCACATCTCATCAGCACTCAGCCCGCCACATCGCGAAGTATCCCAGCGGTCAAACATGGCGTCGAACCTGTCGGCGTGAAAATGCCCGTCGACATCGAAAATACCAGTGTCGGAGCCGTGTTTCGCTTTGTGGATGCTGCCGACATAGATCCGGAGCAAAGGATCAGGAAACCAGCTGTGCGCCAGGCTTGTTGGGTACGAGAAAAACAAGGGGATGAGAAGCGAGCCGAGAGAGAAAAGTATGTTGAACCCCAGTTCGCGGAACCCGCTGTAGACGTCCCAGGGATGAATGATGCCGTCGTTGTCGCGGTCCCAGAACAGCACATGTTGTTGGAGGGCGGTGAGTTTTGACTGCGGGTTGGGCGGGGAGGTTGACGTGCCGTCGTTGAGGCTACCGTGATTGTGGGTTTTGTTCTGTGCTTGCTTGAGGACGGGAGACGCTGGCACTTCCCCTGAATCTATGGTGAAGTCACCCATCTCGGATGCTCCGTATTATCTTGATGTGACAGTGAGGAGTTAGGAAAGCAAAGTCTACAACCCTCTCGCAGTCACCGATCCCACAAGGAAGAAAATAAAGCCCATGGATAACCCCAAGTCGATGATGCAGTTGACCGGGCAATGTTTCCGTGCGAAAGATATTGGTTCATACGAATTTTCAAGTCAGTACGAGGTACCTAGGTACGCTACTCTGACCTTCACCGCTTTGGCGTGTCCGGATCAGTCCACTTTTATCTGACATGCATCCGACTGGGAGAAACGGAGCACATGCGAGAAAGCTTGTTGTGCAAATGTTAAACGCCCAACAAAAACGGTGGCCATGTCCTGAAAAGAGCTTAGTTCGGGTTAGAGGAAAAAGAGACAAGCACACGACAAGCATGCGGATGGTCATACAAGTGGTGATGACGAAAAGAGACCCGAGAGTGAGGCATCGGTCCAGGCCTTGGCACCTGGGCACGTAACTCGCTAGTCTGACAGTGCCTTATTTCCATGTACTAGGGACCTAGGGACCTACCTAGGTATCGCTCGCTAGGCACCGAGCACCTAGGCGCATGCGAGACACTCCCTCCAGCTGCCGCTGAAATGAAATGACAGCCTCAGTCACTCTCCAACTCCCCCCTCACACAAATCACCCGCTGCTCAAAATCAGTCTCTCCCAAAACTCCAAATAATATCTCTCTGCCCCTGACACCCGCCAAATAGCCAAAAGGACTCAATGGGCGACCCAACAGAGAAGCCAGACTCAAATCCTTCCCCCGAACAAAATCATGTGGGGGACAAGTACGAAGTACCCACGTACGAGGCGCACTCCTCGTTTGACAGCTTGAAGCAACGGATACGGCATCACTATGAAATAGCTTCAGACTATTACTACTCTCTATGGTACGTACCCTTGCTTTTCAAATATTGCAGTGAAAGAGGAATATCGGCACTCAACCTCACGCCTGTTTTGCATCGAGCTCAGGTATCTGACCGGCACACCAGGGGCCAACACATCCACCATGCCTACTTCCTCACCCCTGAAGACACCAAGGAGACCGGTCAGATCAACCTCATCAACCTCCTGCTCGACATCTCCAAACTTGCACTCAATTCCGCTGTTCTCGATGTTGGCTGTGGCATCGGCGGCACTACCCGCCATCTGGCCCGTGAGCATGGCTGCACCGTGACCGGCATCACAATCAGTGGACGACAGGTCCAGATCGCAAAGCGTCTAACAAGCGACGAAGCTGCCAGAGAATGCAGAAATGCTGTCCCTTTGACCGCGACTGCGGCTGCTCCCTCCCAAGCTCCCAACGGGACAGATAAGTTTACAACTCTGGGGTCCAAGCAGGGCAAAGTCGACTATTTCGAACTCGACGCGGAAAAAATGGCGAGCACTTTCCCTCCAGAGTCGTTCGATTGTGTCTGGATCTCCGAGGCTCTGTCTCATTTCCCCGACAAGCCCTTGTTCTTCCGCAACGCCGCCCGTGTGCTTCGCCCCAACGGCGGCAAGCTCGTGCTGGCCGACTGGTTCAAATCATCCGCGCCCCTGACCCCCGAGCAGGTGGAAAACGACATCAAGCCCATCGAAGACGGCATGCTGCTGCCGCCCCTCAACACCATGGCCGAGTACGTGTCCATGGCCGAGTCGGCAGGTCTGCGCGTCTTCCACGAGCCAAAGGATATTTCCCAGCAGGTGGCTCGAACGTGGGACATCAGCTGGGAACTGGTCAGCAACCCCAGCCTATGGGCGTTTGCCATTTCCCAGGGCCGGGACGGGCTCGCCTTTCTGCAGGCATTCCGGGCCATGAGGCGCGGATACAACAATGGCACGTTTCGGTACGGGGTCATGTGTTTTGAGAAGGCTTAACTGTTTGCACGCACATATACATATATTTATATAACATCCCGTTTTAGCCCTAATAAAAGATAGAATCCTTAAAAGAATGCCCTTATACGTGGCCTGCTATATTACTAAAAAGAGTTAACTGAATCTCCTGTTCTCCTATGTAAGGCTTCTCTTCCTGTTAGATTCTCAGCCTTGTAAAGCCTCGCCACTTGGCACCACCTGATTGAGGCGATAGACGTCAATGGCGGCGGCCACGAGCCCAGCCCGCGAGCATAACCGAAAGCGCAGACCGCCAAACCCGTTCCGGAGACCCTGCACTTTAAACTATTAGTGCGCTTGCACGATCGATTGATTGCTGCCTGGAGGCCGCTTGCTTCTCCTCACTCGATGCTGTTCGAGGCTTCAAGGCTTCAAGGCAAACAACGCGGAGACGAATACACAACCCTTCCGTTCATAACATCTCCCAGCTAATGGAGCATTCCCTTCTATGACCCTTACGTCACAGTGAATCGGACAACGCAGCATTTTAAACCTCAATCGAAAGTTGGTACACACCACCCGTGAAGCCCGACATCCACAGAACCATCATGGCCACGGGAAAGAAAAAGGTCGCCATCATCGGCGCCGGACCCGTAGGCTGTGCCTTTGCAGTGCATCTCGTCCAGGCCGGACACGAAGTCACAATCGTCGGCCGTGGTCAACGGCTTGCGACTCTCCAGGAAAACGGCGGCGTCGTGGCAAAGAAGTCGGAAAAGGCCACAGAAATCTCCAAGACTCCTGTGAAAGCCGTGGGATCTCTGGATACCGCACAACCCTGGGACCTGATCCTCCTAACCATCACGGAGCACCAATTTGACGATCAATTGTTCGCTACCCTGAAAGCATGTCCCCAAGGAACCGAGATTCTCTTCATGTTCAATACTTTCGCCTCGCTGGATAGGTACTTCGACGTTCTGGGCAAGGAACGCTGCATCATGGGCTTTCCGGCGGTCATGGCATCCTTCTACGATGGGGCGTCGGTGCACCAGTTCTTCGGCTTCGGACAAATCACCATCATCTCATCGCCCGAATGGCGATCGATCTTCTCCGCCGCAGGAATCCCCTGCGTCCACGAGCCTGACATGCAAAGCTGGCTACGCACACACGCCGCCATGGTCGTGGGCGTCATGAGCGCGACCGTTGCCGCCGCCAAAAAGAAGTCGGGATTGTCTTGGGCAGAAGCAGGGCTGAGCGCTGGCGCTGCTCGGGAAGGGTTGCATTTGGTTAAGAAGCTGGGGAATAGTGTCACGCCCAGATTCCTCTACTACCTTGGTGTTGCTGCGCCGAGTTTCGTGCTCACCGGCTTGCTTTGGACGTTGACGAGACTACCTAGTATGCGCAATAATCCGCAGGTGCCCAACTGGGAACGAGAGTTTCTTGGTTTGGCGGACAGCATCATTGGAGCAGCGCCTTCAGAGGACGACGTGCGACTGATCAGCCAGTTAAGGTCGAAGTTCATATAAGTGAATGGTGTATTGGCCTTACTGGTGTGTAACCTAGTGAACAGACTGCCTTTCAGGGGGTACATTTTAAGATATCGACTCCCAAACTTTTACTTTGGACTCTCACTGTACCCTCGTCTCAAGGAAACTACGGTAGTTGCTCAGTCACGTTCACCGCACGCTTTAGATACTGACCTAAAAGGCTCAGCTGAAACAAATAAGGGGTTGAAGCTGAGCAGCTGTAACAAGGCCCAAAGGGAGCGAGGCCGCTTTAATTGGGCACGTAACAGAGTATTGAGGGAGAGTACACTGAGCGAGCCGCAAGGAATATCCATTCGCAGAAGCCAGTTCGGGCTCAGGGGTCCCCGTTGGGCCTCCGCTACAGTGCCCCAGCTTGAACACTCGCCCCTTTTTGTTTCAGCAAAGCCTGCTGCCTGGAACTTCTCTCATGGCAAAGAGTGCATTTCCATATCCAAGAGGCATGTTGAGCATCTTGGTTTTGGTATTTACTGTGATAGCGGCCTCCAAGATTCCGTCTGTTTCCAGCGAGTGTGTTTTCCACGGTCACTTTGTATCAGGTCGTGCCTCGGGGCCAAGGAGATGGGTCGGATCATTGGGTTGTATGGCCATAACGTCAGGATCGAAGGAGATCTGCAGGATCTTTCAGCTCGCATCCGAGGCACAAACAGCCACTCCAAGCGATAGCTATACATACCAGAGAGTCGAAGATGGACCAGTCACCAATCAGTTCCCCGTCCCCTGCAGCATACATGGTAGATCTGAATTGCTCATCAGACGTAATATCCGGCACATCTGTACCCAGCCCGGTACCTATCCTGTTGGTGTTACCCGGAGAGGAGGCTTCGAGGGGTTGGGAGTCGCCGACCACAAGAAAGGGCACTGCCAGTGCTGACGTGGATATCTGCTTCATGGCTTCTTGTCGCAATTCCTCCAGGATTGAAGAGTATCTGACACACATGCGATTGACACTGGCTGCTGCTGCGAGGTGCTGTTGACCTCGCTGAGCGAAAAGGAACACTTCTTCCTCACTTTCCGAAAGTCGCTGCGCCGCCCTCGTGCCCCGGCGAGAGTTGAAAATGATATATAGATACAGAACAGAGACCGCCGAGAAAACAGCGTGATGGATGATCCAAAAGGCACCAAACACGCTTCCTTCCTCGGTGCCTTTGTCCCACAAATTCACCACCGTGCATGCTGCACGGACGGCTCGCTCCACCTTGTCGTCGTGCGAATGGGTCACATCATCAAGGCCCTGGTCATCGGCATCAGATTTGCCCAAGAGGAATGGTCGGTTGGCAAGGACGATGGCATGATTGCACGAAATCCGCAGCTCGATGGTTCGTCGCCGCAGGCTCGGTGACAGGCTATCTGGATGGACCTCTCCCAGCGAGGGTGGAAGTCCTCTCCAGAAATCCATCAACTTGGCCGTGAGCCTTGCAGAATTCTCGGCCTGTGGCTCCCTTGCTATGCCTTTCAACGGATAGATGTCAAATGAGATTTCGCCCATGATCTGTGCGAGCCTACAGGAGGTGGATGAAGTTTCCGTTGGTCAGTCTCGTACGGGTATAACTTAGGCTTTTGCAGACTCGTACCTGTGTGTAAAGTATGGTCCATCCAGTGAGCAGTCGGCTGCGCTTTCTATACGGCAATCCAACCCGAAATTGGGTGTCGCAGCCCAATCGCTGAATGTCAGTTCGGGGTAGTCGTCATCAATCCGCTCTGGAAAAGGCTGGTCGAAGAGGTCATCGAAAATGAGTCGTGGACGACCCAAGATGATGCTGACATATCGGTCCAAGGTATAGGCTGTCCAAAAGCAACGTCGGATGGATTGAATTTCTGTGCGGAAAGAGGATGGGTGCTCATGGCCTTTCCGATGCATTCCTAGAGCCGTCATTATCTGTACTGTGCGGCCAAGCACGTACCAGCTCGCCTCGAGCTTGGATGTTGCAAGGAGGTAGATGCTGTGCGCAAGCCGGGCCTGGACTGTTTCCAGTCGATGGTAATGCTTCTGCATCTTCAATGACTGCCGCCCTGCGGTGAGAAAAGCCTTGCTCATTCGCGATCCAGATATTACAGCCTCTCCAGATATTTCTTGATAGTGGAGAGATGTGGCAAATAACATGAACAATATGGACGCTTTATACGGGCCGAGCGTTTGACGATAGCTCTCCGAGATGGCCGAATCTCCAGCAAAGAGGTCATCAACCCAGCCGAGGACCGACTTGCTATTGAGAAAGCGATATGAAACGACTGCCACATCGAAGTAAAAGCGGACTAAGTCCGTAGCTTGTTGATGAGTGATCTGAGGGAGGACAACAGCTGGATGAGCAGAGGATTCGACATGCCGATTGTTGGAGTCGGCCTCTGGAGACAATGTTCCCGTATGGCTTGGTGAGAATCGAGTCATATAGTGGTCCCGACGAATACGCCTCCAGGACCGGCTGATGAAGGTCTCTCCAGCTGTTGGTCCGAGATATTGACTGTCATCATTGATCACCCCTCTCGACGGTGAATGTCTCGGCGAGACCTCAGCTATGGCTGTAGCCTCGGGCGGCAGCAGAAGCCCTGTGGCTCTTTCGACAGACTCATCATCACCTGTAGTCACACTCGATAAACCATCAGGTGGGCGTGGCAAGTGTGGGTGTCGACCTCGAAGATGAGGAAGATTGTACTCGCAAGGAAGACGATGTTGAATGCATCGAGCACAAGGCTGACTGCCGGAACACCGGATCTTTTTTCTGCGGATTTTCTCAGCAGAGTGTATCTCCAGAATCTCCGGGGAAAGACCCAATTCTACAGACCTTTTGCAGAGATCACAAGCCCGACTGATGTTTTTGCGTCCATTGTTCCAGTTCTGGGGGTGGATGCGGCGCCGGACCTTGCCGTGTCTGCCGCCCAAGGAGCTATCCTTTTGACTCACTCGGACACTGGGCTCGGGAGTCTGTTCCATGCTCTATTCGTAGTGACTCTATCATGGCAGAGCAGCGTGAAGATAATCTCGTTGAAGTTGGAATCAGTGTTTCCGGCAGCCGGAAATGGCCTGGTGGGGGGTTGAGGAAGATCCCTCGGCTTTTCCGCCGACTTCAGGACGACCAATGAGTGAGATGCTCCATGATTTATTAAGGCGTCTACTTTCTCAGGGCGGCAAAATGGCTTCTACAGGAGTAGGCTTCTCAATACGCTTCTGCCCGTATCACAATGACTGTCGCAGTTCATCAGCCCCTCGGGGCTCTTCACTTAGGGAATGATGCCGTGAGAACTGACAACATCAAGTTGAAGTCAACTGGAGGACCAATCCCAGACGCCATCGGACCGCTTCAGTCGTTCTCGAAGGACACTCCCATGGATGAACTGCGTGCATTCTACGACAAAGCTGGATATATCTGGATCAAAGGACTCATTCCTGCCGAGGATGTCTGGAAGTGCCGCGAATCGTATTTCGACTACCTCTCCAATACCGGGCTGCTCAAACAAGGCACAGCTCCTCGAGATGGTATCTACTGCGGTGGGGACTGGAAGATGTGGATCGCGCCTGGCAAGCTGCGACGCAAGTTTGCGCAGGTCCAAGACACCGAGTACACACGAAAGATGGTGGCGGCGCACACAGCGCCCTGGTATCGCGAATTCTGCGAACACCCAGCAATGAAGGCCTTCATTGAACGGTTCTCTGGATGGGCGGATGCTTCTCTTCTCGAGCGTTCGTTGCTGCGTCCCAACATTCCGGGAGGAGAGATCACCCAGGTGCACTATGACCAGATATTCCTCCGGGCTGGGCCCCCGACCTCTCTCACCGCCTGGGTGCCTATTGGAGACTGTCCCATGGAAGGAGGAGGCCTTTTGTACCTGGAGAACTCAGTCCCACTGGGTCAAAAGCTAGAAGCAGAGTTCAATGCCGCCGCGGCAGAATTGACTGCTGAGGAGAGGATTTCCGCATTCAACAGGACTATGATGGACACTGGATACTTGGAAAAGGACGCCGGAAGGTTTTCCAGACTGTGGCAACGACGGTGGCTAGCTGCAGACTATGAGGCTGGCGATGTGGTGATTCACAACCCCTACATGATTCACTGCAGTGCGCTCAACGAACATCCCGCTGGAATCATCAGGCTAGCAACCGATCTGAGGTATTTTGAGACCGGAATGCCGCACGACACACGATGGCAAAAGGTGTGGACAGTAAGACATTGTCCCTACTCTCGCTTTATTCACTAGATTACTGACAAGCCCGTACTACAGCCCGATGATGGACTCTGATTGTTACTTTTATCAGGACATTGATCCATTTCTAAATTTGAATGCGCAATATCATCTTCGAATACTGAATTTCAATCAACTGGGAGCACCCTACAAGCTTCATAGAAGTGTTCTCGTACTCTTCGTATCTGAAGACATAATCAGCTAAGTTCTCGCCATTAAGACCTGCCCGGTAGAAATACACAATCTACGCTCGCTGTCCTGGAGCAGTTTGCATCAAAGACCTAGCAATAGACCCGGAGACCTTGACGTGGTACAGTTTGATTCGGCTCCGTACCTTTAAGCAGCTCCCTCAAGTGGCGCATTGATCGTCTAGACCGTTCGTCACCCGACCGAAGCCAGAGGAACGAGTCTTGTGGCGGCTTTCTGCCTGTATACCACCAAAGTCTCCATTTGTTTTGCCTTTTAGTCGCTCAAGCCCCTATTTCCGGGATCCGCTCTTTGACCCTCAGACTCAATCTACGGGAAAAGTGTCGTCTCCGGTGGTGGCAACATCTCGCGGCCACTGTAGTAGTATACAAACAATGACAGTCTCGGTCGATCATGAGCCGTGAAGACTCAGACTCTCTTTCCGAGCGTTTCGGAAATGCAACAATCCGGAATTACCAGAATTGGATTGCGAATATCGCCTGAATTCTTTGCGGAAATCCGAAAAACGTCTTGGTACGAAGTGCTCCTGGTCCCTCATCCCCATCTTGGCGGTAGTGTGGATGAGTAGTCCAAAGGCTGATGTTACCAAACTGGTATTTCGGATCCTGTGCCAAAGAGGTACAGGACGTTTCAATGGTAACTAACCTCGCTTCCTTTTTCTCCAGGTCGGTGTATCGATGAAAGGCGAGTTTCATTCTATTGACGTTTGTTCAAACTTTTCTTCTTCATCATCTGAACCAGGTCTACTTCCTCACAGACTCAGATATGCCCCCCGACAAACGGTGTACGGAAACTTACCGTCTGACAGAGGAACAAAAACAATTTTGGCTCGAGAATGGGTATCTTAAAATCCCCCATTGCTTCACAAAGGAAGCCGCAGACGACTTTACCTCAACTATATGGACACGCCTAGGCGCCACGCCGGACGACAAATCAAGCTGGCCGTCCAACAGGCTGAATATGCCTGGACATGTGACGATCCCGGCAAAAGACTTTGCGCCCAAGGCGTGGGACGCCGTGTGCGAGCTTCTAGGTGGTGAGGATAAGATCGCTGACTGGTGCAAAGACTGGAAAGACGGGTTTATCGTCAACTTGGGTGACGTCGACTCTAGTAAGCCTGTCGAAGAGGTCAACTTTCGAAAATTGGACAATTGGCATGCAGACGGCGACTGGTTTTATCATTTTCTAGATAGCCCCGAGCAGGCGCTCCTTATCATCCCGCTTTTCACGGACATAAAGCCCAGAGGGGGAGGCACAGTGATATGCACCGATGGTATTCGCCTTGTGGCACAGCGATTAGTAAGTTCTCGGCAAGAGAGAAAAGTATCTTGATAGCGACGGCTCCATTCTAACTTGCAGGGCGCATCACGGATCGAGAGCTGACATGTTCTCGATGTACGGGCAGTATGAGCATCCAGAAGGGATGACACCGTTCCTGGCTCTGCGAGATGCAAATGCAGCACAGGATCCCTTCAAGCGAGTCTTCTGGAACGAGTGGGCCCAGGACCACCAGTTAACACGAGACGAAAGCTTCCACGAGGTTACGGGACAGATCGGGGACGTTTTTCTGCTTCACCCTTTCATGCTTCACTCGGCCTCGCAGAACTTGCTACGACTGCCACGCATCATCACGAACCCACCCGTCATGCTGAAAGAGCCGTTCAACTACAACCGGACAAAGCCTGACGAATACAGTCTCGTTGAACAGAAGACTCTCCGAGAACTTGGACACCCTGAAGGTCTACCTGGGTGGAAAATCACAGGGCCAAGAGAGCGGATTGTGCCGACTCGTGTCAAGGTGAGGGACCCCCTTAAACCAGCCCAATCGCCTCATTTGACGTGAAATGGCTCTAGATCCAAGCAGAAATCAAATGTCTCGAGAAACGGAGGTTGGCAGAGGCAGGCATGGCGCCTAACAAGATTGCGACGACGCCATTGGTTGACGAAAACTATCCAGCATAGTAACTGAGGTAGCAATTCCTTATTTCTGCTGGACTGCATCACTCATCAAGACATATTGGGTTACATTCTCTTCGATTCAAGTATTGGTGGCATTTAGTCATTGTCTCTCTGGGTAACATCAACCTGTTGAATTACCATTCCGCTCTTTGAGCCCATAGGCATGGCAACAAGAGAGCCTGCTATCCTTGGTTTCCGTTCCTCGAGAGCGGCACAGGGGGTCCCAAACCTGGGCTTCGCAAATGCCAGCTGCGTGTCGCCCCGGGCTAGAATGTGATATTCATTGGCCGACCTCCCTTCGTTCATACCCTCCCACTCCTCCCCGAAGTACCATGGGACAAAGCTCCTTGCATCACAGAAATGTCCCACAAGGCACGTCGCGGCGTTGCCCCCTTGTTCTCGAATGACCGATGGAGAATGTTGCCACGGAAGAAGACGACGTCTCCGGGCTTTGCCGGGCAACTCTCCTCTTGGTAGCGGATGGCGACGCTAGCTAGCTGGTTGGTCTCGACATCCTCGATCGATGCGGTGGAATTGTCAAAGATGCCATCCAGATTTCGGGACTGGTGCGTGTACTCGTTGTCAACTTGCGGATAGACGGGTTCGCATTGAGAGCCGACTCGGAACCAGAGGCAGCCATTTTCTTCTGTGGCCTCTGAGACGGCCACCCAAGCTGCTATCAAGGTGTTTGGGAGAGTTGGAATATAGTACGAATCTTGATGATAGCTTGACAGGCGAATCAGCAAGTGAAACAAACCTGGATTAGAATCTGAAGTTGTTCCGGGCTCACTCACCCCTGACCAGGCTGGCCAGGTTGTTTGAAAAAGGACATGCTCTGCAGGGCGAGGATGTCGGGTCCCGTGAGCTGTTCCAGAACATCCAGGATGCGAGGATGGAGCAAGAAGCGTTCGTGCAGGGGATGGACTCGATGGGCGTTATGAATCCGACTGAACGCGGCCAGGCGCTCTGCTTCTGACATGGACGGCTCAATCCTGGGAAATCCCGGTGCACTGGCTTCTCCCCGCAGAACGCAGTCCATATGTTCGGACAGCTCCTTTACGTCTGCCTCCGGGATCAACCCGCTGATCTTGAGGAATCCTTTCTCGTTGATGGTCCGGTAGTCTGCACTATCGTTTCTGGTCAAACATTGCGGATTCAGAGAAGACATAGTCTAGTGAGTGGTGGAGAGACAGACCGGCAACAGAGAGCCTGACGTATTGATGGCGTGTGTATTTCGCATTTTCATTGGAAGCAGGCGGGGGTTCAACCGAGCCAATGCTGGTGAGAGAGGTTTTCCAAGAGGGAGCATCTCCCAAAAAAGGGGCCATGCCGTTTCACTACTCGACGAAATGTTATAACAAGTGTTTCGAGCACAGTATATTGTTGTTGGTGGAAAAGAATTCTATTCAACGAACTAGATCATTGGGAGGCGTGACAATAATAGGGTAATATGATGAGACTTGCCCAAACTAGTAATTCCGGTAGAGCAAGTATAATGCACTATTCTCCGTCCCCAGATCTCGGCTAATTTGTAATGCAGACTGAGAACGAGTAGATCGACAGTGGTCAACGTACGATACGCCCGGCCCTCCTAACCCGACTTCGTGTCAAAGAGGGGTAGTCAACGAGGAGGCTGCTGTCACGCAACGGTCCTCGCGTCTGTATTCCCTGAGAACATGCAGTATCCTCTCGTATTTCTGTTTTTCATGTTCGAACAATTGCCACACGAACGACCAACATGGCATCTAGAAACAGCATGACCCCACACCTGCGTGAGACCAAGTCCTCGGCGCAGCTAATGGTCAATGGGAAGCCCTTTCTCATGCTCCCTGCTGAACTTCACAACTCTTCCCTGTCCTCGGCCGAATACATGTCGACGATATGGCCCAAGATGCAAGCCATGAACATCAACACCCTGCTCGGGTCTGTGACCTGGGAGATGGTCGAGCCTGTCGAGAACCAGTTCGACTTTTCCGAGCTCGATAAGGTGATACTGGGCGCGCGGCAACATGGATTGCACCTGGTCCTGCTATGGTTCGGTAGTTACAAGAACGCCAAAAGTACGTACGTGCCGACCTGGGTCAAGCGCAATCCCGGGAGATTTCCGCGGGTGCATATTCTCGACGACCGTCGCCGTCGTAAGACCCTTGAGCTGCTCTCGCCATTCAGTGAAGAATCTCGAAAGGCTGACGCCAAAGCTTTCTCCAAATTGATGCAACACTTGAAGGAGATTGACGAGGAGCACTCCACAGTGCTGATGGTACAAGTCGAGAACGAACCAGGTCTCCTGGGCGACTCAAGAGACCGTTCTACCCTTGCAGAACGTTCTTTTAGGGAGCCCGTCTCTTCAGACCTACTGTCATACCTTCAGAAGAAGGACCAACTTCACCCACAGTTCCAAAGGAGGTGGCCTAAATTTCAGAGTGAGGCAGCTAAGGTGAACCAACCTACGTGGAAGACCTTGTTTGGGCAAGGAGATGCTGCGGACGAGCTGTTCATGGCAGACATATTTGCTCGCTACGTTGCCCAAGTTGCCTCCGCCGGGAAGAAAACGTACGACCTTCCCCTGTACACGAATGCCTGGCTGAATTTCGAAGATCCCGCTCTGCTTGGAAACGATCTTGGCTTTGGCGCTGGAGGACATGGAGGCACAGGTAATACACCTCTGGTCGCCGGGGGCGGATCAAAGATCGGAGAGTATCCCAGCGGAGGTCCCTGTCCACATACCCTGGATATCTGGCAGTGCCACACTCGAGGTGTTCTCGCGTTCATATCGCCAGATCTGTACCTGCAAGATTACGAATGGATGTGCCGGCAGTACAGGTACGACAACCAGCCACTGTTCATCCCCGAGCAGAAGGCGGACGAAGAAGGTGCTCGGCGGACGTGGTTGGCCTACGGCACATACAGCAGTCTAGGCTGTTCGCCGTTCGGCATCGACAGCATCGATGTCAAGGACAGCCCCTTCACGGAGACATTCGGTCTCCTTGGGTCTGTGAGTCAATTCATCCTGGAGGCACAGGCAGAGAGACCCGATGACATGTTCGGCTTCTTCTTTGACGAAATCGACAGTGGGAAGCCCGGGCGAGAGAGTTGGGTCCGAGTCATTGGAGAATTCGAAGTCACCGTTCAGCGATCCTTTGTCTTCGGTAAACCTGGTCCGGGCCATGGGATCGTGATGCACCGAGGTGAAGGTACATTTCTGCTGATTGGGGCTGGCTTTCAGGTCTCTTTCAGGAGCACCAAACCGTCAGCGACGTTCACCGGCCTTTTGATCTCAGAAGAAAAAGAGGTCGATGCCAATGGCAATCTGCGAACGCTCCGCACCTTGAATGGTGACGAGACCAAGAGCGGCGCATTCATGATCATGCCCAACAGGGATCCGAATTACGGTGGTTTCCCCATCCGTGTGACGATTCCGGCACGAACATGCATTGCTGAGTGCACGGCCTACAGTATAGAGGAGAAAGAGGAACACTACTGATAACCCCCGGAATAGAATTAAATAGACCAGGACCATGATATTGTCTAGGTTGTCAGCTTAAGCCGGAAAGAGAGCGTTTGCTTCAAGCTGCCGTGATTTAGGACTTTGGTTTCACACTCCTCTTTACTTCACTCCACAGCGAAATTCTGAAACCCAACAGGCGCCTTCCAAGTCCCACTGGCGAAAATCGCATAAACAGCACCCGTAAAGTCATTGCCGCTCAATATTTTCCCCTCTGCTTCACCAATCTTCTTCTCTCCATGGCCATCTTTTCCCTGGGTGAAGAAAAATTCATATTTCTCTGGTGTGGCTTTGATCGATAGATGTACGACACCACTATTCCTTGAGAGTGGAATCGATGCGAGCCTGCGCGGGCCAGGGGCATCAACTGTTTCAACTTCGAAGACAAGGTTTACGTCTCCATTCGTTGCAACGTCGAGGATCAAGGAACAATGTCGGTTTGTGTCCTTATATACCGTGAGACCTGCGCGGAGAGTCTCTCCGATAGACTGGTCGCTGCCCGGTAACAGAAGCACTACTCTCGCCAGGCTGTCGAGGTGGTATTGACGTTGGCCCAAGAATGTCATAGTCCCCTCAACGACAGAAAGTGGTTCGTTAACCGGGGTCAAGTAAAGGATATCGCCTTCTTGCCGGTAATTGCCGAGTTCTGGGGTTCGTAGGAAGATTGTCTTGGGATCCTGCAAGGCCACCTTCTGGCCTTTTCCACGCAAAGCGTCAGACTTCAATTCTCGCAACGGCGCTCGGATGTTCATGGATTCCTCCACAGGCGCAAAGCGTGGCCAGCCCCCTTCGGGCCAGTCAACACTTGTCAAGAATGTCTCACGGCCCAGCGGGAAACTTGACCGACCACCACTGCGTGCTGCAAGGACTGTCGCCCACCAGGTGCCAGAGTCATCGTCGTAAACCAGTTCTCCATGCCCGATGCGCTGAATAAGTGGACAAACATCATTGTTGGCGCGGATGACGGGATTATGCGGACAAGGCTCGTAAGGACCCCAGATCGACTCTTTTGCCCGGGCCATGGTCAGCATGTGGCCGTCAAAGGTTCCCCCTTCGGCTACAAGCATATAATAATATCCATCTTTGCGATAGATGTGTGGTCCTTCCGGAATAATGCCCGAGTGGCCCTTCCAGATCTCTTTGATGGGACCCAGACTTTTCCCGGTCTCGATGTCTATCTCCAATTGACTGATGGTCGTCGCCTGAACTGGTCGGTCGTACCCAAGCATGAAGCTCCCTTGAACGTAAACGCGGTCTTCTTCAAAATACACGCTCGGGTCGATGCCGTAAAATTCATAGAACACGGGGTCTGAGAACGTGGACGGATCCTTCAGGTTGGTCGAAGTAATGAAAAAGTTCTGCGGGAAGTAGTCTCCATCCGGCGCGTCCTCCGGTTTGAGGTACAAGTTCGTACAGAAGATATAGAAGGTCCCCTTGTGGTGACGAATTGTAGGTGCGAAAAGTCCGCCGGTGAAAATCTCATTGCGTGAGGGAGTGTTGCGGGTCGTCGCTTGGTTGAGGTCGAGCTGTGACGGCCTACAGATGGCGTTTCCTGAAATCCGTCTTTGTCAAGATCGAGGAGTCTCAATAGGCACAACGGAAGTTGGGATTAACCAACCGATATGCGTCCAATTTACCAGATCTTTGGACTCGTGGATGGGAATACCAGGGAAGAATTGGAAGCTGGAATTAACCACATAGAAGGATGATCCGACTTTAATACATGACGGATCCGGGAAGAAGCCGGATATGATGGGATTCTTCACTGACATGGCTCCTAATCCAAAGTCGATGAACAATCAGAATGAAGAACGAAAAAGACGAAGGAAGACAGGCTCCCGGTTATATAGAATGATGGGCGCTGAACTCCACATTTCGATTTTCGGCTAAATAGATCGAGCGAGAGGAGAGATCCGAACGCACTGAGAATAACGTGAAGGTCGAATTCTGTCTACTGTTTAGTGTCGTTCCATGGATACGTGAAGTTTTTAATGAACATGGTGAGGCTCTGTCGACTGGGCTGACCGAAAGTCATCAAGAACAGATGGATAGAAAAAGTTGACCTGATGTCAAACCACCCAATTTTGAGTGCTTCGAAGAACTTGAAATTCAGCAGGTATCTATCTGCTCTATAATTGTGCCAATGGTGCGAAAAGTTTGTATGGAAGGGACCATTCGCCCATGCGTTCTCCAGTGGTTCGAACGACTAAGACTCAGCAGAACTATTGGTTCGTCATGACTGCACTCAGAGCGAAGCCTTACAGATTCTTGACGTGGCTTTGTACTGCAAGGGATTTCACTCATTGGAAGAGGTAGAACTGATTCTTTGGCCAGCATGACCTTTGATTGCATTCCACATGGGCAATTGGAAGACCAGGTCTCTCATCTGCTGCGACCCGTGTCCAATTACTACTACAACATGTCCGGTCACGAAGCTGTAAGCTTGAAGCCTCTACCAATCAGTCCACCCATGCTGTTTCAATGCAGCCTCAACTCCGGCATAAGCAGGCTTTTTGGTCCAATTGGCGAAATACAAGTCTGCCTCACCATAACCATCATAGTATTCTGGAATCCAGGAGTTCTGTGAGAGTAGAAGTCATCAGCGGAGACACATACAATAGCGGTTCGGGCAGAAACGACGCACTTGGTCCCAAAAGTCCCACACTGTAATTCCCACACATTTCTCGGTCTCAAGACATGCATTAACCGTGTCAGTGTAAACGGCCGTTTGTTGGTCCAGCTTTTCCCAGCTGTCAGGGAGCAAGATCCTAACATCGAGCTCTGTGACGGCCAGTTCGAGGCCTAAGTCAGTAAAGTCCTTCATGCACTGTACCTGTTCCTCCAATCCCGGTGCAGTATCGGGGGTGAAATGGCTTTGAAATCCGATGCCGTCGATTTTCAGACCTGCATCTTGGATCATCTTGACCACTTGCAATGCGCCGTCGTGCTTGGGACCCTTGAACTCGATATCATATTCGTTGTAGTAAAGCTTGACGTCTGGGTCGGCCTTGGCTGCATGTTCAAACGCAATAAGGATGTATTCGGGCCCGATGATGTCGAGCCACATGTCAGAACGAAGGGTTCCGTTGTCGTTGAGCGCTTCGTTGACGACGTCCCACGCATAACAGCGGCCTCGATAGTGGGCAACCTCCTCCTCCACATGGTTGATCATCACTGCTGTCAGGTTTTCTTTGTCCCATGTACCGTTGACCACTGTTGATGGACGTCTTTGTTAGCGTGTGCTCTCACAGTCACTCACTCGACGGGGGGTACGGACCCCAATCTGGCAATTGTTCATGCCAGACAAGATTGTGGCAGCGCAAGTATTGCCCGTTCTGCTGCGCCAAACCTGCAATTTGATTTGCCAAGCTGAAATTCCATTCATTTTCCCCAGGCTGGATGACTTCCCACTGCGGCGCATCACATTAGCCTGATACAACACTGTTGCCTTTGTATAGATATGTGGCTGGGTTGCTTGACTCCTTGCCCTGTCTTGACATACTTTCATGCTGTTTCCTGGCACCAATTGTCCAAACTCATGTACATCATTCAAGTGGCTCAAGTATTCGGTATCATTGAACTCCCATGTCTCGGTCTCAGTGCCGAAATAGAGCTTCCCTCGTTGCTTCGCCAGGTCGCTGAGTTGCCCCAACACCAATGCCGGCAGTATCGTCACCGTGGTGTACATAAAGATGGCAGACGTCAAATACATGTTTGCCATTTGCTGATGCTGTCAGGACAATGGAGCTCAGCTGGCCGCTATGGTAGCTTTAAGAGACACCTTAGAAGACTCTCCATTGATGTTTTTCCTCACACGAACTGATTCGCGATGATGGCCCTGCATTGGAAAACACATTTTGTTTCAATTTAGCCAGAATATGAAGACTCTACCAGGTTTGCTGGAGCAGTACGAGACATGGAATGCAATACAAGGATGGGATCCGGGGATGCAGTATGATGCTGCTTGCATTGTAGCGAGCCCACTTCTCCAGATATCTGGGGTCCTACAGCGGCGCTAATCTTTCCGAAGAAGAGTGTTTCCGAGTGTCAAGGGCTGTTTCCGAGAGCTAACAGGTGTTTCCGAGACCCCAAAGGGGAAAAGAGATTTTATTTCTGCCTGCCCGGATATTACGATTCTGCTTTTCGTGAAGTCCCCAGACCTGGCCCCACCTCCACGTCTCTGAGATCTTCTTCCGGGGAATACCTGCCCCAGACTTGGTAGGCAGGTCGCAATCTCAGTCAATTCCATTGATAACACACTGAGTGGGGAGGTGTTTTGCCCGTCTTGTATAGATTACCAATTGGGCAATTTCCCCCGTAACCTTTGTTTGGCACGAGATATCTCCCGTCGTCAACACTAAACCGTTACGCCTTGTTCTGATTAGGACAACGCATGCCAGATTTAATTTTGGTCTACCAGTGAGATATTTGCCGATTTTCTCATGAGGCATTCTAGGTATCCAAGCTACAGGATGTCGGTATTGCTAAGCTATGATTTCACTAGAATCACTTCCGCAGCTTCATTGTGCACCACATAGTTCTGCGTAGAAGAGTAAAGTGGCTGGTTATCAGTTAGTAGAACAGGCGAAAGGACAAGTACTCGGGGATGATATATATATAATATACATATGTACAGAGTACTAGTCCGCCACTCGTCTATCTCCCTCCTCTTCTGCCCACCTCTTCTCCATCTTCTCCATCGCTTCCTGTGTCAACTCCTGCCGATTAATGCGCTCCAATACATCATTCTTGCGTGTTTTGCGATCGCCGATCCAAATCAGCAGTCCTGCTGTTGCATTGCACGTAATTGAACAACACAAAATGACCGTCGTCAACGCAAAGGGGCGTTGGCGGTAGCTAATACTCCATGTGACGGTGCCCAAGGCAATCTGCAAGAGGGAGTGACAGTCCAATAGAATGACGATGGCGACCAGCAGTCGCAGGGGGAACGCGTGGTGCGTTTCCGTCTCGTGCGGTTTATAGAACGTGTGCGACTTGTTAAACTTGGCGCCATGATAGTCTAAGAGTCGCTGCTGCTTGTGGGTTAGTACGCTATACTCCCCCGGCTCTTCAAGGCCCTCTTTGGCGCCGAATCGTTTTCTCAGGTGGAGTTTTGCGGCTGCTTTATTCAATACTCGATCACGGTTTGCGACTGCTTTATTCAATATTCGATCGCGGCGGCGTGATTTGGCCTTGGGGACCACAGGTGGCGGCATCTGGGTAGGAAGATCGTTGTGGTTTTTCAATTCAGGCATGTTTCGCTTCTTGCGCGTCGACCAGGTGACGTGGTGGTAGCGTGCAATGAAGATCATATGATACGTGTCAACAGCCCTGAAAGGGGCAAGGCCATCGCCGACGATGGCGAAGAGTGCAACAAGGACATTGTCAATCACGTTGATGATATACAGTTGCTTCCCACCCACGTTTATCCAGCCTGTTCGGTGATATGATAAGTACACATAGGTTTGAAGGGCTCTAACAACGTACCGATGAGGAAAAGAACCCAGGCCAAGCCAAAAAGCGTGATCAACGTTGCATAGAGGGTGATGCAGAAGCCCAGAGCTACAAATCAAAGTTAGCAGTTGCTGACTTGCGATCGAGATAGTCAGGCTCACGTTGGCGAACATATTGCATAAACCCTTTCATGGACCTTTTGAATTTCGACCGGCGTGAGTGAAGCATATGTCGAACATGATCATTGAGCTCCAATCGATCTTGATACGTCCACCCTGACAATGATGCTCCTTCGGGAAGAACCGCATACCGAGAATCACTGAGCTTCGAGTCGATTGTGCCACCGGTAGGAGCTCGGTATATTGGTGCAGGGCGTGCTATCTTCGGTGCTTTTCCCCGCCCGGGCTTATCCTTCTCTCCCGGCTTCAATTTCTGTTCAACGTCTTGCAAAAGACTCGTGAGTGAGAATGTCGGTCTTCTGTTCACATATTTGCCCAGGTTGGGGACGAAAAGCGAGTTTTGAACGTTGGTCAGAGAGATGAGAGTTTGAACCTCAGGATCTGACGATATCGGTGAGCACAGAAAGTCTTAGAGAGCCCGTGATGATAGGGAACGTACCCAAAGCGTCGAGTGCATCGACCATATCTGCATCGTAGTCGCTTTCAGACTGCAAAGTATCCCTTTCTCCGTGCCAAAATCCTAATGACTGGCGAGTTCTGTTCCACAAGTTTCCTAGTCTGCCATTATCGGACCGGTCTGCTTCTCTAGGGTTCGCGGCATAGTCGTGGACTGCCCCAATGTTCGCTTCAGGCCTCGAAGCATTATTTCTGTGACGAACAAGTCGAATGCTGGGGAGATAGACATTGTCGTCTCTCGCAGCGAGCAATTGTCTAACGCCAGAATCGGGCTCGTCTTGTAAGGCCGGAAGATGACTCGATGTCGGCTCCTCGACCGGCGGTTGCCTCGCTGTCCCGGCAGCATCTCGTGGTGATGCACTTTCGGTGGTTGGTGCAGCTGGGTCGCTACGTCCCAACCTTAGAGACGCGACGTGGATGGCATCACGCACGCGGTCCATCCCAGAGCTATGTGAGTCTGTGCCTTTCCACAAAACGGCGATGCTTTTGGCAGCGGCAGTCCTGCGATGCACGCAGACAGCGTACTCATACAAGACGAAGCTTGCATCGCCGAAACTGGGTAGAAGGGATCGAGATTATCAACGCGGTAACTCGGTACTCCGAACGCGTACCGAAAACTTGGAAAAGGACATGAAAGCCAACTGCGAGATGATGTCAATGGCTGCAGCCTCGAAGTAGCGGGGAAGCATTACGCCACTCATTCCTTGGAAAACGTGGAAATTGGGGGCGACGAGGGCGTGCTAGCCGGGGTTATTAGGCTCTAAAGAGTAATCTCGGCAATCTTCAGGCACTACCTACTAGTAAGTACCTCGTAGATACCTACCTAGGCTTGCTAGGTACCAAAAGGACGATTTAGCCACAAGATTTGATTTCACCTGAGCCGTAGTTGTAGAGACACGCGGTGCTTAGGTTGATAAGAATCGATAAGAGGCCTAATAGAGAATGACGCAATGCCAAGTCCGCCTGCTATTGGTCACCTGACCATCATTAACATTCTTTACTCTGTTGTATTGCTGTACCGTGACACCCTCCCGGAGTGCAAATTCAGTCTGTCCTTCTGTAGTGATGCTGATGTTTGGCAGCGTCGACATGGTCATGCAATCGCGAGTCAGATGTCCAGGTGGCGCACATTCCGCAAGTCAACTTACTCCATTACCTGGACATTTTCTACCTGGATCACTTCTGCTTCCGTGGCCTGGACTTTCTTTTCGAGAGCCTGGACTCTCAACTGTTCCACTTGGTCTGTGCCATCAAACAATGTTGCGATCTCCTCGAGTGTCGACCCTCGGGTTTCAACAAAGAGAAAGATGACGACGAGGAGCTAAGGATTGGGCTACTCGTCAGAATGGAGTCACGAAGACATATCCAGGACCTCTGGCAATGACATGACTCACCTCGATGACTAACCATACCTCGTAGACAATATACCAATGCCAGCCTAGTCTTTCGATACCAACAGGGTTTACGTATTGGCCAAAGAAAAGCGACAGAGAAACGCTGAAGCTGAATGCGGTGAGCCCTTTGGCGCGCAGATGATAAGGAAGAATCTCGACCGGATACGCAACATTCAGAGATGTCCTAGACATCATGTCAATCAAAGGCACTGCATGAACGAAGTTTTCGAAGCGTACCAGACTAGGTTATACGCAAGGGTATGCAAAAACATCATCACGAGTGCTCCAGTGCCAAATTGAGGAGAGTTGCTTTGGATGGTCACTGCAGTGAATGCAATCCAAAGTCCGAATGTCACGACCATACTTGAATTGGATGCCAGGAACATTGGCCGTCGACCCAAGTAATCGACCAGAAACGCTGCACTCATCGCTTCGACCCAGTTGGTGGCTGCGTAGATACCGTTGATCTTGTTCTGGAAGAGGGGGTCCGTGTAGCCGAGGAGATCGAGAATTTTGCTTTTGGAATCATGAGTGGGATATCTCAATTTATGATATGGATGAAGAAAGAAACAGCAAGAAACAGCAAGAAACAGACTCACTTGAGATAGTAACCGATGAGGCCATTTCCACTCAGCTGAGAAAACATTCCACAAGCGATACAGATCAAAAGTCGTCTGCGATTTCCCGCTACGACTGACCGTCAGTGGATGCAGCAATCATTCACAGATATGCCAACCTACGTGTTGCAAACAGAGCTTTCCAGCCATGGTTCTCGCCCTCTTTCTCGATTTCGAGGGATGTTCGAATCTCGGCGAACTCGAATCGGAGCCATTCATTGCTCCGGTCACCATTCGTATGGTATTCGACCGCGACAACACAACTGGCCTTCTCACCTGTTTTGGAGCTTTGCCTCCGCTAATAGTCAAGAATTATGTGACTTGGCTCAACTTCGGCTCAGCCTCAGCGTGAGGCTGATAAGCCTACTCAGGACCCCCGTTCGCCGTCTTCATCAGCCGTGCTCAGACTTGTTTCAATTCAAACGCAGGTGGATTGCTACCACCAATCAAATACTGAAGAGCTCGTGTCAACAATCTTGAATCCTATACTATACGTACAGCGCCAAGGAGTCTTCAATGAAAGTGGCACGGAATGTTGAAAAACACATCGGCGCAGAAGATGACCACCGTTACCTCAACTGAGGTCTGAATTTACAAATAAGACAAGTGTAATCGATGCATTTTCATTTCATAATATCGATATACAGTAAGTTGGATAATGCCTTGCAGCTTAACGACAGGGTAGGGTAAGGGGATTTGTTGGCCCCTTATTTCTACAGAGAGGAGTCTGGCCCTTGATTGTTGCTGTTGGAGTGATATCGACGAATAGTTGCCTTGACAGGGCCGTTGAAGTCTTGTCCCAGGTCTCGATATGAGGCTGGCGAGTTCCACAAAACTAGCCTAGGCAAATATCGACCTCTGCCAAGTTTAACCTGTCCCAAACTAGTTTATACACGGTCCCTGTAGCATATCGATAAGTAATCCCAGCATCCCATTTCACCCATAAGACATTATGAAACTCGTAGAGCTTAGCATCTCTTGGGCGTAGCGGAGAGAGCCATTCATCGATAACACCTCTATAGTCTCCTCCTTCTACAGCGCTTCCGATTGACAGGGTGATTAGCTCGCAATGCTGACCTGATAGGGTGGGATCGAAATGATTGACGTTGAGACGAATTGATCCAGCCCAATCACCTTGATCATCAACAAGAGTTGCAGCACATGTCTCGCCAAAATTTTGGGCTTCGCGAAGTTCCTCTCCAATGACAAGCCACGTTTTCTTGGTACGAAATCGGAGAACTGGGTCAAAGTTGAACATTAAAGGATTCCCACACTCGAGCGGGACTGGGTAACGCATGTCACATCCTGCAGGTAGCTCCGGATGTATGTAGCGGACATGCTCCTGGTGTGGTGCAGGATAATTTTTCCTTTCCCAGCCTTCTGGAATCGTCACAACTTTGTTATCCTTGTACTTCTTCTGTAGGTCGTACCAGATATTTTGAATCGTAGACTGATGAGCCACTGAAGATCCAGTTTCATACCATGTCACAAGAGGTGACACCAATGGTTGAACCTCGATCATTTGGTGATCGTAAATTGGACTCGCGAAAGGTGAGGAATGACAATTACCAATGATGATTTTGCCTTCCCAACCCACCCACGACCAACTCGGGAGTTTAGGCTGTGTTCGGGCATCTTGTCGTCCCGTTCGTCGGCGAACAACATTATGGGGCTTCCACAATATGCAGAGGTCGAAAAACATCTCTGGTATACCCCATAATATCCTTCCCCCAAACCCGGTGGCATAAAAGTTTTGCAGCCCTGCAAAAGCGTTCAGGACATCCTCATCGTATGTCAACTGTCGCGCGTTGAATTCTTCCACAGACGTTATCCAGCCATCCAAATCCGGCCAGACGCGATTTTGAGCGCAAAGTGGTAAGTCAGTTTGTTGCGACTCAGCTGGATCGGTGGAATCAAAGCCTTCGGATTTTTTTTCAACAAATTCTGCCCAGCTTGATCTCGCGCAACGCCAAGAGACAACGCCGTGAAAAATCAAACACCTCCGTGAGAAACGTATTTCTTGATACGTCCATGCTCTTGTCATCCATGGAGAATTGGATGGAAGCTCAGCATCCCAGGCATGAACGATGAGCTCTTGAGACGCGTTCATAGGAAAGCTGTTACATGGAATTTGGCGATCCTTCGCCAGCCCACCAGTGCCACGAAGCCCCCAGTTTGCGTCTTTGCCATCGGCTGCGATAATTGTAAGCCACGCATGGGAATAGATGGATGCCATGGAATGAAGATAGAGCCTCTTGGCTTTATCGTCGTCTTGAACAATACAAAAGCTATCGACCCAAACATACCGTTCGTCAAGGTTTTTGACCAGGTTTAAGACATCACGTATAGTGTCCGGGATGATAATCGGCGAATCCACTGAAAGACTGCCCTGGGTTTTCAGAAACGAAAGATTATCGCCAGTGGTCCTTGTAACCGGTGCCAGGCCCCACACATAGCTCAAGGTGATGTACCGTGTACCTATTGGCAAGGAGACCAAACACTCATCCCGGGCATCGATCAATAATATCTTGTCCAGAGATTGCATCTTTGTTGGTAGATCGCAGCAACCAGTGTGAGACCCTTCGCACTTGTCCATCCAACGCCGAATCAATTTCAGGTTCGCCAATTTCGGGTTAAACTTTCGTGCAATTTTGGCTTCTCCGCCTGGATAGAGTCTTGAATGAGAGAATGTTGAATAGAGTTCGATGCCTTTATCGTCCCCATCACTTGTTCTGATATTCAGTCCTAGCATTTGCGGATCAAATAGTAAGCCCGTATTTCCAGTAAGGCCTTCATATCGTTGACTAAAACCATGAACTATAGCTTGACAAGCGCCGCAATTCTCTTTTTCGAGCATTTCATCCCATGTTCCAAGGGGGATTCTTCTGAGGGTCAAGTCTGACGCCATGACCTCCGGGTTTTTTCGCAAAATACAGTCAATTGCCTGTATTAACTCCTGGCAATTCTGGCAATAACGCCGTAAGTAGTATCTGTCCGTGTAGGAACGCACTGAGTGGTCTCGTCGTAGCATGCTGACTGTGGCTACATATCGCACCAGCGGGATTTGATCCGGAGTAAGGCTGAGACGATTTCGTCCCGCTAGGGATAATCTGCGTAGTCCTCCACTGTTTGCCGAAATTTGTATAGAGTATCACTTAGAGGACAGCAAATATTATGAGTTCCTGTTCTTCTTGACTTTCGTGGACGGAAAGAATGCAGGTAATTTTTTGAGAAGGCTAAGATACACTGGCTTTGAGGTGCGGCGTTGGTGTTCGGTCTGGCTAAATGAGGAGCAATGGACAAAAACATTGCCGCTATCAATCTCAAATTACACGTGACAATAACTTCGAAGTCTTTGTGCAATATCACTTAAAAGGGGTTGGAACGTCGTTAGCCTTCCGTGTCTCAGGCAGAAAAATGGGCTGCAGAGCATTCGTGGCAACAATAACCGAATAAAAGAGCCCGGAAGTTGGCCCTTCCCAAGACGCGAAACCTCAAAAGCTGGGTCACCGGGGTCAAGATATCGCCCTTTATGGGGCGCTCACGGCTGTACTCAGGGTACTCAGGACGAAGCTCAGAACATGCCAAGCGACACTCAGGCTTGCACAGCCACAGCTCAGAACAGCTTAGTCATGGCTCAGGCCAAGCGGCGGGATGCCCAGGTCTGGAAATAGAAGGGGATTTTGGAGAGGTCAAGATTCGCGGCTGAGTATGATGGTATTTGGCCATGACATCCAGGGCATCATCATAGCGCTCTTTGGAGACTAGATATCGAGGACTTTCGGGTAACCACCAGATGAGACAAAGTTGCAGCAGACTTGGGACAGCCTGAAGCAGACTGGGAAGCCGCCAGCTCCAGTCGTTCGTCATTCGAAGAGTCCCAAACGTTGTCCATGCCGCAATCAGACTTCCAAAGTACCTAAACGACAACATCGGAAGCAGGAAATCAGATCAGAGCGGTGCACATACCAGAAAGTGTTGAACACGGCTGTGACCTTGCCCCTTTGCGCTGGATGACAGAGTTCCGTGATGAGCAGGGGTGAAGCGACAATAGTCACAGAGCTTCCGTGCCCAACTGGGAGACCAGACATGTCAGCCAACGAAGGCTACAGGACAGGTAGAAAAATGGAACTTTGTCTTACTGAAGAACCTTCCCGCAATGAACATGCCAATGTTCTGGGCCGCGGTTTGCAGAGCGACTCCAAGAGCGACGAAACACGAGCCGAAAAAGATGGTCTTTTTTCTTCCAATGGAATCGGCCAGATATGGTGCGTATGGCAGACTGCAAATACTTCCGACCGACTGGATGGCATTCAAGAGACCCAATGTAGCTCCTTCGGGGTGGTTGAAATCTACAACACGATCCATCAGCACCCTTGCCCTAGACCCCAATCAGAAACCCCGGTGCTGCTACTTACAGTTCTGCCAGTAGATCAGGGTCTGGAGTCCGTTCATCATCGAACTGAAAAGGTATCGTCAGCGACGACAGTCTTGCACTGGATGGACGTGGGTCGAGGTATTACCCATCGTAGCCATTGGTTGCTGAACTGAGGATGGCTACGAGAATGAGAAGATACAACCTTCTCAAGCCAGCATCCTGCCACCACCATTTGCCCTTTCGAGATACATCTGATGGTCTGGGAGGTCTGCTTTCGATTGCGGACGACATCGTGGCTGCTTGCTGTGATGAACCACACTACAGAGAAAAGCAGACGTCCCACCCACAACCTTACAGTCTAAAGACTCAATTAAGTGCCAGCGTCGCCCTCGAAGTATAGGATTTGTCTAAGCAGTTCTCGTGCATGGTTGCGGAGTACCTGAGCATTCCCTCCGGCACACCCGGAAATACACCCACGTCTCTACCATTTCCGAAGTGGCCGGAAACAGAGGATACCGGTTGGACTATCATCGGAAACCCAACAACCCAGTGACCCAGGATCAGCAAGACCGGGCTACACTTCACCGGTGGATAGGTTGGTGACAAGGTTGGATGATTACCCAATTCGTTGTAGCCGTTGTGATCTCACATCCCGGCTTTACCAGAATATAAAAGACACTTGTGCATGTGGTGACAAAGACTAAGAGCGGCCCACTGAGCTGATACTGTCGTCGCACTATGATGGCTGGACTTGTCGAAAACCCTGTTCTAATCCCTTTCCCCCAGAACGAGAAAATCGCTGTTCACACTCCCAGGGATCCCCCGGTTGTAAGGTGGAATGGCGGACGTTCAAGCAACCCTTCCGCCATTGGGTGGCTACGAGAAACGCTTAAAGACAGTCCCATTGTCGAGATGCGGAGACGGTACGAAGAAGATGGGTACATTCTGATCAAGGGCCTAATTCCCCGAGAAGTGGTTCTCGATATGCGTGAACAGTGAGTTTGAGGTAAATTGTCTCCCAGCCCACCAACTAAGACTGAGTCTCAGCTACTTCACTCACATGCGTTCGACCGGCTTGATCGCACCGGGGAGTGACCCTAGAGATGGCCTTTTCGATTTTTCTTCGTCGCCTGAAGAGTTTAACAGCATCGGTGCGCCTTCATATCCCGACCGCACGAAACTCCAAGCCATGGCGGCTGCGCACTGCACACCAGAATACCTTGATTTCCTACAAAACCCCCAAATGCGCGAGTTTGTGAGGCAATTTATGGGCTGGGGCAAGGAAGTCCTACTTGCTCGGACTCTGCTGCGACACTGCGTGCCTCACGGGATCAGTTTAGCGATCCATTACGACAAAATCTTTCTCCGAGGGGGCAACCCGGCCAACGACTTTTTGACGGCGTGGGTGCCCATAGGTGACATCACACACGATGGCGGCGGGCTGATTTACCTCAAACACTCGACCGAGATAGGTCGACAAATCGAGGCCAACTTCACCGAGAAAGCCCAAACACTACCGCGCGAAGAACGACTCAGAGCATACAACAAGAACATGGCCCCGAATGGATCTCTGGGACCGACGCCCAAGAGTTCTACGAGGCCGAAGGTCGCGATTTCAGGGCAGCAAAGGAATGGCTCACGGCGGACTATGAGGCTGGAGATGTCATCTTTCACGACCCCTACATCGTCCACGGCACAACGCTGAATGAGGACAAGTTGAATCGGATCAGACTCAGCACTGATCTGCGGTTCTACCAAGAAGGCACAAGCGTAGATGAGCGGTGGACGAAAGTCTGGATGCCCACGGATGGCTTGTAGTGGACAGACTTGGGTTGAACAGGGTGAATTGCCATGTAATTTCCTACAGGTCTTGAGGAGACTTGTCAATGGACACATCTCATGCCTCCGGAAAAGGGAGCCAGCAACGCATATAACCCGGCGATGGCGAAGATGGGTGTAAATGGTAGCGTCCAGCTTCTTTCCACAGCCGGTGAGCCGCGCGCAGATACGTCGTCGACCTGTGCCTCAGTGTCAGGAGACCACAAAGAAACTCTCGAGAATGCTTGCATGAGCTATGTAACTACCTAGCGAGTACAGAACGACCAGTGCTCGCCTATCCGAAGGCAGTGTGGTGCCAAGACGCTAGCCCCTGGCCAGGCAGTGGCCAGGACCGTGCCTGCCACAGTCAGGGGCAGTTTCGGCTGGCGCGAGACCGGAGGTAGGCACAGAGCCGCCATCACATCACCCCTTTCCCAAAACAAGGTGAGTCGTGAGTGAGCTTTGTACCCAGAACGGGGATTCAGTTGATACTTGTTCAGCAAAGCAGTACAGCACGTAGCAGGGCACCCTCTCTCTCTTGGGGATCCCGCCTTTTCATTAGGGCCGAAAAACGGTCCCATCATAGATAATAATATGATCGGGATAAAGTTAGCCATATTACATTCGGTAGTAGTCGACCGCGACCATTCTTGGAAACGATCCATCTATCCCTGCACCAGACAGGAACAACATCCGACTTGTAATATTCATTGCCACTTGTCGAAATTGGCCCTGTTGAACACACCAAATAACGATGAGGCTGCCACAAAGGCTGCCCTTCTCGGTCTAGACTCAGGGCAATGTTTGTGACGGTGGTGGTTGACATGTACCAGCATCGGCTACAGCGCTTTGCATCGAACCAGCCCGTGTAAAGTAATTGGTCAATAGTGCCAGATTGAGGTCTTTCATTTGATAGCAAGCAATTCCTTTACAAGGCCGCATACGAGAAGCGGCCTACCAGACCTCTGCTCACCTTCTTCCACAAGCAAATGTCGGGGTGATGCGTACCGAATGAACACTGATCAAAAGCTCAGACTTAGAATACATAAACTTTCTTCGAACCGATGGGACCCCTCACGTTATATGAGCCAAAAAAACTCCATCATCTACCATAATACCCGTCGCGCCAGGCAAGCGAGAGGCAGCTGGAGCCACTTTTAGAGTTTTGCATCTCATGAAGACCGGAAATCCCAAAAAAAAAGGCTGTCGCCTGAGCCTTGTGCGGGCACACCGCAACTCCGTCGAACAATCAAGCAACAACTCGTCTAGCCGCTCCGGTGCCTTCGCACGGCGCCTAGAAACTTTTTCTTGCTCCTATGATTCCGTCTTCGCAGTCCAGAGTCGATCTGGTCAACAGGGCCTTCACTGGTGTAGGCACTCCACGACGTACACAGGTCGTTGACGCTCGATGGGATCTCGATGGACGAGGCGATGAGATTCGGTTGTTCCTGTCCCCGAGTTAGTAAGTTGGCGGTAATAGTTCAATGCTGGGAAAATTGACTTACCAGAATGTTGACGTACAGTCCTCCGCTCACGTGCCAGGCGATATGACAGTGGAACGGCCACACGCCCGGGTTATCGGCAATGATTTGAATGGCGATGTATCCATCGGGTTGCACCATTTGGACGTCCCGCCGGGTTGGGTTGGAAGGGTTGACGACGGTCCCATCCCAGCTGCCCGTGCCTTCGTTCAGGACGAACATGTTGTGGCCGTGGATGTGCATCGGATGCATCAGAGGAGTCTCGTTGTTGAGAACAATAACAAAACTACTGTTGCTGCCAAAATCATAGACGTTCCACTCCGGGTCGTAGGGGTAAGAGTCGTTGCCACCATTCGCTAGCATGAGGATAGGGTCGTTGTAGTCTGTGCGGAAGCTTGAGCCGTCCATCGTCCACAGAAAATGACCGGTGCTATTGATCTCGAAGTTGAGAGCAATGTCAACTGTGGTGTTGACCGCTGGTGGGGTGATCGAGGCATAAGGGACAGTCTCGCTCAGAGGGTCGTTGCCACAGACGGTATCATTCACGGTCCATCCCGACGACGTTGGGGTAGCTGTGGTATTGGCGTCTTGATAATACACCATGGCCAGGCCGTAAGGTTGGTCCGGCAAGGAGCATTCCGTGCTGATCGTGGACCTCATCCAGTACATGCTGTCCGCCGTGCCGTTGGCATGAAGGATCACGTCGGCACGTTGGCCGATCCCCAATGTAACGACATCGGTGGTGTAGGGTACGATCTGGACAAAGTCATAGGCGATCACCGTGAGGACATGGTTATCAATGCTGAATCGTTGTAAACCCTCGGCACCGCCATTAATGAGTCGAAGTCGGTAGGACTGTCCTGACGTGATTTGAAACTTGGAGTACCCCGCGTTAGAGACGCAGGTGGAATTATCGGTGACAAGTGAGCAATTAAAGATTCCCTTTCCGTTGATGAGATTGTTAACGGAGGTTGGCGCAATTTTCGTGAGATCGGTACCCATAACCTCCTCCACGATTGTATAATAGGAGTCGTGATAATAGTCAGTAACGAAAATCGGCCCTAGATCCTCGTCGTAGTCCGCGTTCGTAGGCCCATGAATGATCATCGCTCCAAACACTCCGTCTGCGTATTGCGCACTATAATGTGCGTGGTACCATGATGTTCCGTAGAGGTCGGCGTTGAAAGAATACGTAAACGTCTGCCCGGGCGCGATCGGGCATTGAGTGATTCCTGGAACACCATCCTCATAAGGTGTTCCCGTTTGCAACAGGCCGTGCCAGTGCAAAGAGGTCCCTTCTTCGGGGTCGGTGATGTTGTTGGTCACTGTAACTTGAATTGTGTCGCCCCAATTTGCCTCGATTGTAGGGCCGGGGAAAGCACCATTGACGAGTATACCGGAACGATACACTCCGTCTGGGGCAATTGTTGCTCTAGATATGACGAAGTTATAAGACCTTACCACTCCAGTGGATGGTGGGGAGGTGTAAGGGTTGGTATATGCAGAGCGATTCCCCCAAGGCAAGCCGCCAGCCTGGCTCGAGTCGGGCAGGTACTTTGGAAACCTTGGTGCTCCAAGGGTCCCGAGGGGAGAATTTCCGTTGGTCTTGCCCTGAGGCAGGGCATTGACCCCCAGAGAAGCCCGTCGTCGGTCTGGACTCTCCGGTACTGCTGAGGCTGACGGGAAAATGAGGGTAGAGAGATAAGACGGTAATTCCGCTGTTCCTGTTATGGCCGGACCGGAGTACGATACTCCAGTTGAGGAGGTCTGGACCTATCGGTCGTGTCAGTTTCTACTTATATAAGTGGATATGGACGGAAAAAGTACAGTATGACAAGTCGGGCACCGAGAAGCACTGCTGCGACTGTGGCTAACGGCTGGTGACGGCCGATTCCAGGACCAGCTGGCTGAGGCATGTTCATTGCAAGAGCTCGTGACGGTCGTCTTCGCGGGCGAGACCCGCGATTTGTGTGTTGCAGTGTTGTCTCCTTGCCCACTCCAATCGTTCCACGAGACGTCGCCAGTCTGTGTGCCTCCCACGTTCACAACCGTAGCAAGAAAGACTCCGACCCATAAGGTTAAGAGCCGGATCCCCATATTGACGGAACTCAACGACCGAAAATAAGGATGGGACGAGTAGAAAGATACTCTGAAATGAGTGGACGACGTTCCTGGACGTCTGCGGTTCGACGAGACCGGACAAATGATCTTGTCGGGATGGTGGAAGGTCGAAGGAAGGTCGAGGTCTGAGCCATGTGGACTGTTGCGAGATCGAACACAAGATATAAGGAGAACATACCGCGTGGCATCTCCTGGGAACGGTCAATGTGGGTCAAAGCCAGCAAGTTGTTGTTTATGCGTTTCGAATCAATTTTGGCCATAGTGGCCCTGGCCGATGAATGTGCGTTGCGGGCCTCCAACGGGTAGACAGATTGGACTTGGAGGCGGATTCCCTACAGTGGACACACAGCTGAGATACCGTCTGCACGAGGGCCCACAGAGCGAACTCAGTACAGGGCTAGCATATGCCGGGCACCTACCTAGGTAGGTAGACATGTTTGCTCCTTTTCGTGTTCAGCCGCTGTGGGGAGGCGAACGACGAGTGTTTTCGCATGGCACAAATTAATGGTCTGTGGGAACAACATCAGCGTGTTGTAGTGGGCTATGCTTTCCACATCAACCGATCGAAGGCAACGCCGGTCGCGAGTTGACTGAAGTCAAAGCGCCTCGTCCTACAAAAACCATCTCTTCTCTTGGTCGCTCTCAACGAGCATCCCATGATAAACCTCGCTTGTGGCTTCATCGGGCGCGTTTTGGAACGTCAGAACTGCAAAGTTTAATCCGTACCGTTCGCTCCGCAGCGTTGCTTTGGCGCATCCCCGCCCCCTGCAGTCTGCAGGAACTCCGCACAAACCCACTTCACCTGGCACGGACAAGCATGGACCAGCATGGAGTCTGGCCACGAGTTAGACACGTTATCGTAACCAACGGGGTTCGCTTCCAACGCGTCGGCTACCAGATTAGGCCTACAGATATCACCCCCCACCGGTGACGACGCTCGTGACGCATCCATGGATCCTAATTCTGAAAATAACTTTGGCTGAAAGACACCGGTTTTGTTTCCCGGTCACAACAAGCACCAACCGTAGGCGCCGGATATCAGTAAGTCTTCAACAGCAGCGCTTCATATCCACGAAGCACACTCGTAAGAAGCGAAGGCTGGAAGTCTCAGCGTGGCGCCCACACTCCTGGGGTTGTCAGTCACAGTATCGACGAAGCAGTGTCGTCTCTCATCCAGGCACCACATCGTAACTATCACGAGAGGATGGGGTCGATGAGCTCGAGAACAGCTGTACGTGGAGAGACCTACAAGAGATTAAACAAACAGAGATAAAGCGGATTAGATTTGATTCTTCCGTAAACGTCGACAGGGGACCCTCATAGTCCCCAGAAGCGTTGAGGTTGGGGGTTTCCTTCAAGCCTGCGTTCCTACTAATCACCTCGCAGCTGGGTCGCGTGCCTCAGCAGCCATTTAGCAGGTGGCTGTACCTGTACCGAGTACCGGGTAGGTAGGAATCGGGTACCCCGTAACTGGAAGTTTGAACCCCTTGCCCGCCGCCTTGCGCATCCCCTGTTTGAGCGAGTACGCTATGCCGATCTAAGACAAGTTTGGCGTGAGGCGTGCCGGAATTATTAGTGCATTGCGTCGCTGAGAACATCGTCCTGCAAATGCAGCGCTCGAGTCGCGCCTTGTAAATTCTCGTGCTGTTGCTTTTACAGTGGTGGTGGTAGAGCAATAATATGCACACTGAACACGAGTATAACACAGAGCAAACGAGAGGAGAACCAATGAACTAAGAGAAATGAAACGCAGCCTCGCAACCCTGAACGTAGCCTTGCTACTGTGCACAGCATTTGGAGTCTGAAGACGTTCTCTAGGCGACCTCCAATAATAGGATATGTCCATCGCGTAATTGTGTATACGAAATACGAACTGTTAAATAAGCATAACAGAGGAGCCCTGTGGTGTTGTGTTGACAGGAAGAAGTGCATTGTCATCTTATGTTGATAGCAGGCTTGGCTGTTTCTGTTTCGGCAGCAATGTGAGTGGAACTTGCCTGGTGCCTCTTGCCACCACAGGGCGTCTTATCAAGATCTCCAAAGTTCAGCGTTGCCCGATGTTGAGATAAGTGTCTAGTATTGTGGGAAATGGTACGACTAGATAATTACAGGGCAGTCCGCTGAAGATAGTGACACCGCGCGGGAGGTTATGGTTTCTCGACGCGTCACTAACGATTACGACGTCCACAGGCCTGAGAGGACTTTGGTCATACTGGGGACTCAAGACACGGTGGTTCGGGTTTCATCCGTCATTCAACTTACTGTGCCTCTAAAGAGTCGATTTCCCCACGCAGAACTAGATCCGCATATGCGAACCGTCATATCCGAAAAGTACACATAGGACGTCACTTGCTTCACGATACCAGCGAAACATCGAGGCACTGGCTTCTGCCAACTCTGTATGGTAGTTTATTTCTCGTCAGTTAGTGGTGACAGAGCCCTTGAGACCCTTTTGTTCTTGGAGAGGAGGACTGACCACACTTAAGTTCGTAACAACCTGCGGTTCTCGGCTAACCATCCGGCACCACGATCGAAAGCGGAGGGTTCGGCATTTCTGAATCCGGACATACCGAGCCTGTTTGGCGGCGACATGAAGCTCCTCGGTCCAGATGGAGGTATAGAACCCGCAGCCGGGCGACATTCCGACCTGTGCAAATACTCGTCCACAAAGCAAGCAACATGGCCAACGAGCAGATCTTGGTCACGGGTGCAACTGGCGTGGTGGGACGCTCTGCTATGCAGTTCTATGGTGAGCGGGGATACAACGTGATTGCTGTGTCTCGACGGAAGCCTTTGAATACATATGGCGCCTCGTGGCACTCGCTGGATCTGTCAGACGAAGCCGCGTGCAAGGCTCTGTTGTCGCCGTTGACGGGCATCGTGCAAATCGTGTTCGCGGCCCTCCACGAGGAGCCGAACCTGGTGGCCGGGTGGCTACAAAAGCAGCATATCGATCGCAATGGGCTCATGCTGCGCAACACGGTCGAAGCAGTTGCGCCGTATGCCAAGGGACTCCGCAATGTCACCATCCTGCAAGGCCCCAAGGCTTATGGGGTGCATGTCCACCCGATGCGCCACGGAGCGCGAGAGGATCGCGACGAGGATCGAGCCGTGCCCAACTTCTACTGGGCCCAGGAAGATTACCTCAAAGCCCGACAGCAAGGTGAGAATTGGAGCTGGAACATTGTTCGACCTTCACTCATCATCGGCCTGAGTATCGGGGGTGCCATGAATCTATACGGCACGATCGGTGTCTACGCCGCCGTCCTCAAGGAACGGGGAGAACCCCTCTACTTCCCCGGACACGCTTTGGGCGTCTTCGAGTCGACCGACGCTGATTTGATAGCCAAGGCCTGCGAATGGATCCTGCACGAACCCAAGGCAAAGAATCAAATCTACAACTTGACCAACGGCGAGAGTTCGAGCTTGCGGGAAGACTGGCCCTTGGTTGCCCAAACCCTCGGCATGCAACCGGGCCCTGACAAGCCGTTCTGCTTTACCAAGGATCTTCCAAGCTTCAGCGAGGAATGGGATCGGATTCGAGAAAAGTATGGGCTCAAGGCTCCTGGATTGGACGAGTTCCTGGGGCAAAGCTGCCAGTTCACCGATTTCATTTTCGCAAAGGCTAAGACCCAAAGCAGTTTCATGAGTTGCATCAAGATCCGGAGGGCTGGGTTCTCGGATACGGTCTATACCGACGACATGATTCGCAAATGGTTCAAGTTGTACCAAGACGAGAAAGTCCTCCCGCCTGTTTAAGCCAGGAGGACTGAGCCTGGACTATCTCGTCATGAGAATGAAAGGATGTGTGATATTCCCACTAGGACAGATTCTGCTGACATCCGCCTTCTCTTTTGGATGGGCGCACTTTGCAACGTGTTGTGTGCCAGAAAGAATGGCATAATAATGGTATAATCTTAGTCAAGTATTGCGAATATCAGTCGACCCTCCTCGAACACTTTTTCGCGGAAAGAGAACCAGGAGCACGCAGGATCTGAGCCAACTATCTTATCTAAGGCCAATAGGTAGAATTTCGGCTCGCGTTGTTCAACATACAAGGCCAGGATTGCGTGCTTCACACATGTTGGCTGCCGCGACGCAATCGACCAGCGGGGAAAAGATGTATAAGAAATGGGTTGGACGACGAATATATGGGCCGGTCGAGAGTCAGAAACGGCTTTTGTATTTTCTTCTGCGCGACAGCTGTTGTTGAACCTGTTGATCAGTCATCATGGGCAAGGCAGCAGAGCAGGAGGTTGCTCTGACCACAGTGGACGTCGAAGCCAGATCCTCCGCCTCTGCCGAGAGCTCGGAGGAACTCATCGTGAAGCCGATCTCGACATGGAAAGGCTATGTATGGGATACATGGGAGCTCCCCAAAGAGGAGCGATGGCTATTGTTCAAGGTAGACGCATTTGTGTTGACCTTTGCTTCGGTAAGATCCCATCTCTTCTTCGCAAGGCTCTTATGCTCTGTGGTTTGGCTTATGGGACTTCCTAGATCGGCTACTTCCTCAAGAATCTTGATCAATACAATGTCAATAATGCATTCCTGAGTGGCATGGAGGAGGATCTTTCGATGTTTGGAAATCAACTTGTGACAAGCACGTCGATCTGGACCGTGGGCTATGTTGTAGGCCAGATTCCATCGAATTTGCTGCTGACGAGGCTGTCGCCCCGGGTCGTCATTCCTACGGTAGGCAATTCTAATGCCTCGTGTCCGAAAAGTTCTGCTTACTATCCTGGCAACCACAGCTCGAGCTGGGGTGGGGAGTCGCGACTATGGCCACGTCATCTGTGCAATCTTACAAGTCGCTTTATGCTCTGAGATTCATGGTTGGCTTGTTTGAGTACGTACAAATTCCCCCCTTCGGGATCCTGTCTAGTGCGTTTGGTCACTCATTGTTCAAACCTAGATCTGGTTTCTATCCTGGTATCCACTATCTTCTTGGAAGCTGGTACACTCCACGCGAACTTGGCAAGCGAGCCATGATTTTCTGGCTGGCCGGTTCAATGGGGCAACTCTTCAGCGGGTTTCTCCAGGCCGCAGCATATACTGGCCTCAACGGTATCCACGGCAGAGCAGGCTGGCGTTGGCTGTTCATCATCGACGGCATCATCACGCTTCCTCTGGCGGTTACAGGCTTTATTTTCTTTCCCAACCTGCCGCAAGACGATAACAAAACGTGGTGGACAACGCAAGCGGAGCATGAGCTTTCAGTGAGGCGCATGAAGGCCATCGGCCGCGCTGGAAGGGAGCCCTGGACGTGGCCCAAATTCAAGAGGCTTCTGTTCAGTTGGCATACATATCTTCTCCGTGTGTATCTCTTGCTATCTAACCCTTGATTCTTCGTGCTAACAGCCAGATCTAGCGATGCTGTATGTCATCTGGAACAACGGCGGATATCAACCGGCTATGGGCTACTGGCTGAAGAGCTTCGACAAGAAACCTTATCCAGTCCCAGGAACATATTTCACAATTCCGGAAATCAACTATCGTGGGTCTTCTTTAGGCCATCTGTGATTTATCCGCACTGATAAGACGGGGTAGTGCCTAACGTTACAATCGGTATATTCATTGGCATGTCTTTCGTATGGGGATGGCTTTCCGACGGCCCCCTTCGAGGCCGACGTTGGCCTTTCATCTATGCAGGTGCCTTTATCACCGTACGCACATGGCGATCGAGCGTGAATGTTTCCATGACTAGGATATGTACTGATATGGAATGCAGTTGATCTTTAGCGTCGTCCTCCGCCAAATGCCGCTCTACACCGACGTCTATGATCGAAAGGTCGTATATTGGCTCAGTCAGATCGGATTTGGAGCTGGCCCACTCATCCTCAGCTGGATCAATGAAATATGCTCGAGCGACACTGAGAAGAGGGCGTTGCTGGTGGCAGCAGGCAATGACTTTGCCTACGTCGTGCAAGCCGTGGCGCCCAATTTCGTTTGGAAGACTGTGGACTTTCCGGCCGCAAGAAAGGGTTATACGTGGTCCCTTGTTCTCCAGGTTCTTCTCAGTAAGTAAAGCCCTTATATTCTTTCCCACTCGATGTGGCGCAGCTAACCAGTTCCTCTTCTCGCAGTCCTGTGGACAGCTCTTATTCAACTCCTGCTTTGGCGAGATAAGCGGATTGGCGCAAATCATAGGGCTATTGACGTCGCTGAGTCTGAAGCAGAAAGCACTACCAGGAGGAAAGTGCCTGCTGAAGCAGACAGGAAACGAATAAGCTTTGACGCTGCTGCGATTGCGCCTGCGGCAGGTCCTATCAGTCAATAGCCATCAATGTAGCGACGGCCTGCAGTAACACGATGTGATGAGATTGGATGTCCTCATCAAGGGTGAGATGAATGCTTTATCTGCCGCCAAAAAGTACAGAGCAGAGCTGCGGCTAAGTAGAGTATGTGAGTACACCTACTAGCTTAGAATGAACCATGCATCTTCTTGTCAAGCGCTCGCTCATTACCGCTCTTCTGTCCTATTGTCATGAGGCCCATCATTGTACAAACAGGAAGTGTCGTCGCTTCACTGTTAATACTCCTCAAGGGTTAGACAACCATGGTCTTGCATCCCTCGTCGGCACATATGCCCCACGCCAACCGTCGGACTCCATCAGCTCCACGTCGTTATTGTGTTGCTGAGTCTGTGACACGTTCACATTGGTGGACTTCACTGAGTAATTCCGAGTCATGCGTTCCGGCAACTGCGACTGATAATGCGGCGCATCGAATACACTGGGCTGGCGGATGTACGAGCCCGCGTTGGATTTGGTCGTCCCGAATCTGGATGGCCAGGCTCTCTGCAAGAACAGCCGCGCGGCCGGCATGCATGCGCAGACGATGCTGATGTCCAGTTCAATGGAGCTCCAGAAAGAGATTGGTTCTAGGTGAACTGCGAGGGGTTGACGGGAACGAAAATCAGCAGAGGTTCTGGATTCCAAGGCCGTCGAACAAGATAGAGACGAGTGTTTCCTGAAATGGGGCAGAAGCTAAGGAGTCACGTACATGTAAGGTTGGAATTCTTCGCAAAGTTGATCAGTGATTGAAGTCTGATGCAGCTGACAACGGTGATGCTGTAGAACAATCGAAGAACCCGTCAGTATTGACACTTCTAATCCAAGAGCAGATTGGCCACTTTCGAACGAGAGAGAGAAAGAGGGAAGACTTACAACGATCCCACTCCAAACATGCTCAAGATCTGGAGCTTCTGCTGCCGAGAGATCTCGAGCTTGAGGATGACAGGCACCGGCAGCGCGAGAATTGCGAGGTCAAGCCCGATGTTGATGCCCGCGGCTGCCCAGCCTCCAGCGTTGATGTTGATACACGTTCCTGCGGTCGGATCACGCCATTGCTCCCAAAAGAAGTTCACAGGGGTGCATTCGAAGCCGAGAACGAACATGTACGAAACAAAATAACAAATGCACAGGCCGATGACGATGTACACGCCTTTCCGGAAGTATGGCTGGGGGAAGACGGCCAAGTAGAATGACAAGACGGCCAATTTCGTCAAGACCGAGATAAAGATGTACAAGAATTCGCCGATGAAGAAGTTCTGTGTGGTGCCTTCGTCAGCCTTCAAGTTTACCAGAGTTGAAAAGCTCGCCCCAAGCCACATCATGGCAACACCACCACCCTTAGTCTTACCTTCAAAACGATATCGATGTCATCGGGCGGAACGTTCCACAGGTCTTGCCCTAGGCCAAGGTGTGCAGCTGTGTAGTTCGCAACAAGCATGTGTTAGTCAACGAATTGATGATTCGAGTAGGGTCGTGGAAGAGGGCGGTCATATATGTACCCTGAAAGTTGATCGCCGTGAAAACAACTACGCTGAGCTGTGTGGAATCTGTCAGCTCTGCCAGAGCGTTTATGGCCTTTTTTACAAAGTCAAGATATCACGTACAGTTGCCACCATCATGATCCCGTCGTCGACTCGGAACCCCGGAACGAGAGGCGGTCGGACAGAAAGCCTGATCAGATAGAAGACGACGGCAAGTGCCATGAAGATCGATGTGACGATGATATAGGTGTGAGACGTGTTTTTCGGCATGACACCGCATGCTTTTCCCGTAAGATTGACGGCGCCTGCGTGAAAGATTTCGTCAGATCAGGCAGGGAGAATATCTTCTCTCTCTTTCTCTCTCTTGCTGGTCATATCATATACAGGCCACGGTGACAACAGACTGATAACTTACGCAAAGCTTCGATCACGGTGCAGTTCGCGGTGTTGCACTGCTCAATGCGCGTGACGAGAGATGCATCAGCGCATATGCATGCCAGGTCGGTCGTAGCGCATGTCGAGGACGGAAAGAGGGATTCGGCGCACAAAGCCTAGAAGCGGCAAAAGCGAAGGCCTAGTGTCAGCCATCGTCCATCAAAGAGCCCATCCAAGGAAGATGGAATACGCGGTGATATCACCATACAGCGCATTGAGGGACTGCAGCCAACAATCCCTGGACCGACTGTCCCGCGGCCATACTTGAGAACACCAACAACAAAAGTCGCTTTGAAGGATTGAAGTGACAGCAGAGACAGGATGGCGTGGAGATGGTGATATGTTGTTTGATGAACGCTCACATGCCGTCCAACAAAGCTTGAGCGTTGCAAGCTTCTCTCTAATTCTCTTCTTTTTCCTGCTACTAGCATCCCTCGACAGTTCGAGAAAAACGGCCGCCGCCGCTGCCTCGTCACGCCCCCGTCCCATCGTCTAGGTTTTCTTGTGGAGAAGTGGATGTCAGAGGGCTTCGATTCGTTGGAATGATGACAGAAGAAGATCCAAAACGAAAACTACGGAACGGTATGCGGGGCCGCTTGTGGATTTGTCTGATCGCCAGGGCAGGAAGGGCAGGCAAGATCCTGGGACCGTTGAGGAGGGTGTTGAGTAAGGATCGATCCAGGCAAACGGTACGGTCCTTCAGATTGCAACATGTCCTTGGAGTAAAAGCCCCGGAGGGCGCGAGTGAGGACAGTGCGTGACAGATCCTGAGGAGATCGGTCGGGCAGAATATGCATACCTAGGATTGGTTATCCAACGACGTTGGGTGGCCATGTCAGCTTCTTCCGTCGCTGTTCTCAAGCAACGCCTGTCCGACCGGGGACGACTGTGGATTTTGGTTTCACAAGAGCGAAAGCCTGCAGATCATTATGTGTGGGTGCTACTGTGAGTTACCCCTGCGTCGGCGACCTGTACTGTTCGAGCAAATGGCCCCGATGAGGTTGAGGCGCCACCTCTTCGTCATTCCGCAGGAAAAATAGCCGACGCCTCTCGAAACGAGTACCTTGCCTGATGGAGGTATTTGGCTGGTGAGATCCAGGACAAGCAGGGACGGGGCGTGGGTAAGGGTGGGAATTGGGACTACGAGTACTTACCTGGTTTAGAATCTTTTGCACACATTGTCTTGGTCCCGAATTCAACCCGATAGTAAACCTGAGGCACTTTGTCCTTGGTCGGGATATTGGCAGTTCCCCATAGTCGCCGGCTCTTTCACCCGCGCCTTAATTGACGGGTGAGTGTCACCATGGGAGGATCCAAGAAAATTCTGTCTAGAATCTCCACTGAACTTCGCCTCTTGACGGGCCCCCCACAACCACTGCTACGCCAAAACGAAGCAAAGCAAAGCAAGAGCACGTGCTATTTCTGTTCTTCATATGTGTAGTAGTACTCGGTACTTGTTCCTAGAACTGATGTGATAATAAGAAAGGGGAACGTCGTATTGCTTATCAAATAATACAAGGCGTACGTCCACCCATCGCCGCGGAGGTTTACGTTGAAATTTCTATGCGGCCTCACTCCCTTTCCTAACTGAAAATAATAAGGGATAAAGTACAGTTCGAAGTGTATATATATAAGAAAAGGACACATATTTAGGCACCATAATCTTGGAAAGCTCTGTATATACGAGTGCTCCCTGGGAAAATTTCACGCAGAATATGAGTGGATATAGTTGAGAAGCAGAGGACACTGCACAAAGCGAGCAAAGGAATACAGAAGATCTGGAGACCAGAGGGATTAGGCCCCTGAAGGATCCAGGATTGTTCCATATGGAGGAGCGTGAGTTCTCTAATGACAATAATCCCTGCATTTGTTGGCTATTTACCTTTTCGCTAAAATGTGGTTCCTCTCATCAGCACACAAAGCAATCAATCTTTTGATAGTAGATACGTATATACTTTGAAACCCAAGTGTCGTCCCATGCTATGCAGAGCAGTCAAAAGCAAGGAGAGTGGCAATCTGGAAAACTCAACTCCCCACCCTCAGATCTCTTGACAAACCAGGCAGGTCGAGATATGCAGCAATGCAAACAAAGTCTGGTATTGAAAGGGTACTAGCCCTGTCTTTCTTTGTTTACTCGGCATCGCTCTCCTCCTCGGCGGTGTTGTCATGGAAATTCTTGCCCTCGGTGGTCTCGTTGATGACGCCGGCGCGGATGGTCCAGTCACCGAACCTCTCGCCCTGGGTGCGCTCCTTGGCATAGCGACCCAAAAGACCCTGCATGATCTCCAAAATCTCGTCCTCCTTGATGCTGCTGCGGTACAGCTTGTTGAGGCGCTGGCCGTGGTAGCCGCCGCCAAGGTACATGTTGTAGGCGCCATAGGCCTTGCCGACGAAGGCGGCCTCGGCGACCCAAGGGCGAGCACAGCCGTTGGGGCAGCCCGTCATGCGCATCACAATCGAGTCCTGCGACAATCCATTTTCCTCGAGGCAGGCCTCGAGCTTGCTGATCAGCGTCGGCAGGTACCGCTCCGACTCGGCCATGGCGAGCCCACAAGTCGGGAAGGCCACGCAGGCCGAGCTGGACAGGCGCATTCCCGAGAACTGCGTGTTGTCTAGCTTGTACTTCTTCATCAACTCGGCGATGGCCGGTTTGGCTTCGTCCGTCACATTCGACAGAATCAGGTGCTGGTTGCCCGTCAGGCGGAACTCGCCCTTGTGGATCTTGGCTATTTCTCTCAGTCCCGTCCGCATGGAGAAATCTGCCGTATCCTCCACGCGCCCGTTCTCGATGAAGAAGGTGAAGTGGTTCATGCCCTTTTCGTCGCGGAGCCAGCCGAATGTGTCGATGTTGGAATCGAACTTGTACGGCCGTGGCGTGTCGAAGGTGATGCCCAGTGGCGTGAGGAGCTCTTGGACTTTCGACTTGAAGACTTCGTTGCCCATATCGTCCATAGTATACTTCAACCGTGCGTGCTTGCGGTTCTTCCGGTCACCGTTGTCGCGTTGCACAAGCATGATCTTTTCGCACACCAGGTGTGCCACATCGGCAGGAACATAGCCCATCATGTATCCCAGTCGTGGGTAGGTCTTCTTATTATTGTGTGTCACACCCATGCCTCCTCCGGCGAGAATGTTGAAGCCCTCGAGATGGCCGTTGTCCTTTGACCGAATTGCAATGAGTCCAACATCGTGAGCGTAGACGTCAGTATCGTTGTGTGGAGGGATGGCAATGGTGATCTTGAATTTTCGAGGGAGATAGGTCGGGCCGTAGAGGGGTTCGAAGTCTTGCACGGCGTCACCAGCGACTTGGGTCTTCTCACCAGTGGTGTCATCCTTCAACCAGATCTCATGGTAGGCCGTCGTTGAGGGCAAGAGATGGTCGGATATCCTCTTCGAAACAGCATGGACTTCCTGGTGATACTCCGACAAGGTCGGCAAGCTCGAGCACATGACGTTTCTATTGATATCACCGCAAGCAGCAATCGTTGTCATGAGTGCCTTGTTGATTGCTCGCATAGCTGGCTTGAGCTTCGACTTGATGACTCCATGGAATTGGAATGTTTGCCTTGTGGTGAGCTTGATGGTTTCGTTGCCATGGGCCGAAGCAATTGCGTCCATCTGAACCCACTGTGAGGGAGTCGCGACACCTCCTGGCAGCCGGCATCTGATCATGAACGAATAGGCTGGCTCAAGGCCTTGTGCTTTTCGTTCATCGCGCAGGTCACGGTCGTCTTGTTGGTAGGTGCCGTGGAATTTGGTGAGCTGCTGATCCGACGCCGAAATAGCACCGGTCGAGGTATCCGCAAGTCCTTCTGCAATAGTGCCTCGGAGATAATTTGACGCAATCTTGATGTCTTCGTTTGTCAACGGCGGCGGCTCTTCTGGCAGACCTTCCACATTTGCAACGTTGAGTGCTTGCCAGAGCCTGGGCTCCCATTCCTGGTATCCGGTCTGGAAGCTATCAGGGTCTTGGTCGTCACCCAAACCAATAGCCGTCAACAGTTTACCTCCCAGGAACTGAATGCGAGTGTCAAGATCTTTTCCGGGCTTGTTGTAGAAGATTTTGTCCTCTTTGCGTGGCCAGTAGTGGCTATCTCCAAGCGCAAAGACTGAGTAGTGGATATTGGAGAGGTCGAGGTCCGCAGCGTCTTTGATCCCTTCCCAAAAGGCACGTCCATTCTGTGGGAATTCACCTTGCCCAGCTGTGCTAGTAATGAACACCACGTTCTCCTCATTTGGAAGGTCCTCAAGTGGGTAGTCGTCCATGGCGAACACCATGGTCTTCAGACCTCGAGCTTTCCCTCGATTGCCTAGCCTTTTGGCCAGTCCTTCTGCATTACCATTGTCGGAAGCGAAAAGGACTGTTAGTGGCGCTCCGTATAACCCCTCCAGCATCTGTTCGTATGCGTCCTTTGCTTTGCGTTTCTGCAACTTGCGAACCTCAGAGCCGTACGATTCCGAAAGGCTGGCAGCAAATTGAGGATGGCGGTTCATCACCTGTGTGAGCTGGTTATCGCGACGCAAAAATTCTTCCAACTCCCGTTTTATGCGTTCGGAGTCGAGCGAAAAGGAAGGTTCCCCTTTTTCTTCATTGGACGGATCCCATCTGTACAATGGCCAATAACCCATGTCGACGGCTTTCTTCGTTTCTTGCAGGACGGTCAAAGGTGAATCGGTTTCCTTGTTGTAAGGGAGATAAGCCAAAACGACTGATGGGCCATTAAACCTTTCAGCCTCAATCATCGCCTGCAGGACCTGTGTGTAAGAACTGTACACGGCCACCGAAGCGACATAGGCGTTGCCAAAATTCATGGCATAGAGCCCAATGTCTTTCTTGCGTCTCATTGCATCTGCTGCCGCTCGTTCAGAGTACGGTTCCGAATCGATGATGAGCAAATTAACATTGGCACCCGAGGCAAGAACATGATGAACCCCCGAGTTGCCCAGATCGTACGCCCAAGCATCAGAGCCAATCAGCCACTGCGCTTCCTTTGGAAAGAACGCTTTTTGATCAAGCAGAGAACTGGCTAGCCTCGAGCCGTCTGTGGACAGACGTGCAACCACCTCTGGAGCAATCTCATTTGCTTTTACCGAGTCATTGGCGTTCAGTGCCCATCGTGACAGCCATTGCTTGGGGGATTCCGTGATGAACTGGTTGCTGCGCGCTGCCCCTTCCACCTCCTTTACAAATTCTTGACGCCGTTCAGCCCGGGCGAGCAAGGAACCAAAACCGTACTCGGGTGAAGCAGCAATCGTAGAGGAGACGCCTGCATTCTTCTTGTCAAGCAAGTTGGCAATGTAAAGTCTCGTGCTGAACAACTGGTCAAGAATTTTGAGATAGGCATTCTCAGCCTCGGGCTGTTCAGGGACGAAACTGTCAACCACAGGTTCTAACTCGTGGCCAATGCTGAGGTTTTGGATCGAGACGGCCGCAGCTTGGGAATATCCGCGACGTCGAGAGTGTTTCCGAGGCGTAATCGCAGGTGCGAGGTTTTGGAATATGCCACGAAGTGCTTGCAGGGCAGTTGATGCATCAATTTGACCCAGCCTGTATTGGACCAGCGAGATTGCACTTTGGCCGCCAGCACCCGGGTTCAAACTTGACAGCAAATCAAGGAACGAAGGACCCCATTTTGTCGTCTTCCTTCTGATCTGCTCCAGTACCGCAATCTTCTGAATCGTTTTCGGGATAGAGTCCAAAAGAACAGCGCTCCCAAGCCATGGCCGGTATAACCGCGCAGTGATTATACCAAGACTTGAAAGATCGGCGGGGACATCATCAGCGTCGAGGACATCGACGAACACTCCAGTCGAGCCAAAGATATAGAGAGCTGCTTCGGCATCCGGAGGGCCCGAGTATTCGATTGCAGAATAGCTGCGACCAGTTATATGGGAGATAGCGGCCCAGATCTCACTGACGTAATTGAATATGTCAGTAGCGCTCAGAGCGCGAGAAACCGGTGTTTCTACTGTCGTCGCAATCGACGATGGCGCGGTGCTGCCCGAGGAACTCTGTCGTCGTGAAGACGAGGAAGCGGCCGACGACAAATCCGTGTGCCCGTTAGCTGAAGTAGGGGCGGCAACAGGTGAGAGAGCTTCTCTTGCGGTTGGTGCTGGTGCTTGCGACGGAGTAACTTCTGGCAGACCAAGATCAGTAACGGTGGCGGTCCTTCCACTGTTGGCATAAAGCGTCTGTTCGGTTTCACCCGTGTGTGAAGCTTTAACACCAGTCCCCAGAAGTGCTTGGACCAGCTCGCGACTTTCGATGGGGATTGGATGGTCCTGAACGGAATTGCTGGGGTCGTAGAAGTGGATGACACCTTTACCGCTTCTCACGGCCAGGGCGTGAGCCGTCAATGCAATATCCTGTGCCTCCTGCAGGGTCTCCGACTGCAAAAAGGTGAAGCCGCATTGTCTTATTGAGCTAATCTCTGAGAAGTCTGGATTCGGTGTTGCCAGCGCCACATGTAGGACAACTGGATATTGGGCGAGTTTATACAAATGAGGTACCGAGTTCAAGAGAATGGAGGAGGGAGCCGTAACCGAGACCAGTTTACCGGCCTGGAGGGGCGTGTATGCAGAGAGCAGCGGATCTGCATTTTGGCGCACAGGAACAATCTCAGGAAGGGATTTCGAGACGAAATTCTTCGCGTTGTTGGCAACAAATCGAGAGAGATGATAGGAAAACTCGGAATCAGTGCTCAGCGAAGGCTGGACGGAGAGAACGACATCGTTGGCAAGGTATGCGATTCTCGCGACTGACCAACAACAGGCGTGTTAGTGCTTGCAACTTGCCAACCCAGACTCCCAAAAATACGGACGGAGCGGGGAAACGCAATCAATAGAAACATACCGGCTTCTGCGGGGCTAGCAACGGACCCCATGTCGCTTGTCGCTTGTTTGGTGGTCTAAGAGAATGACAGTAAACAAAGCATACAAGGTCGAGAAAAAGCAGAGCAGGAGGAAGAGGAATTGACCGAATTGTAATACTCGAAGCAATATTGCCCTTCTGCACCTTTCTCCGCTTCCTGATGCCTCCACAAGAGCCTCGATCACCGCCGGTACGCAAAAGCCGCCTCTCAAATTTTTGCTGCTACGGCTGTCGGTCTCGTCATTCGCTCTCCCGCCATTCTGATTGGTCGCCTCCCGATTGCGACATCGTGTGCTCATGGTTCGTGACGGCGACGGGGTGAGCGTTTGCTAGCAAGATCGGACACAATTGACAAAAGAGACAGACTTGCCTAATTCAGACGCCGGGATGGGATCGTTGGATGTCGTGATATGGCTGGAGTTGGGAGGCCATCCCAATTCAGCCCAACGCACAACAACTCCTGGCGGCGTATATCTCACACAAACTTTTTGGGAAATCTCCGGAGCATTGAAGAAAAGAAAAAGGGTCCAGAAACAGATGATTGAGTAATATGAAGGGGGAATGGGACATTAACCACCGGCTCCTATCACTGTATAACTTCGAGAGAGTGCCTGTTTTGAATATCTGGCTGACGGAAAGATTTCTCTTGTTTTGTACGTGGGAGACTCGCCATACGCACTCAACAATCATTGACGTCTCATTAGCCTCATAATCTTGAGCTGCTTTCTCACCTCGTCATGTACGCTGGTTGCAGTATAAATGTATGTGTTGCACGTAGATTATGACGTGGAAATGGTGTGCTTCAAGCGATCAACAGAGCCAACGCCGAGTGCCGTTGCTAGGAAGGAGAAAATGGGTGACAGCCTTGCAGCGCCGCAGCCTTGCATGCTCCCTGCAGCCAAATCTCCAGCCTTGGCGCGCGTCATTCGCGGATCGTTTTTGTAGCGCAGTTTGAGGGATTGAGGATAATTTTCCACACCAGATGCGCTGGACGACCAGAGGGTGTGTTCACTGTTGCCGGTTCAGCTACAATGGCCGACGATGATGATCCAGTCATTGCCTCCTACGATGTCTGCTTGACCAGCAGCTTCTCATCTCCTGCCAGAGATTCCGCCAAGTTGTATCTCCTCCAGTATCCTTCCCACCGTCCTTACCACCTCCCTTACAATGCTGCAACAGCGCAAACTCCAACCGCCCTTCGTCTCAAACTAGAAGCTGGCTTTATAGAAGTCGAAGTTCCGATGTACACGCACGAGCATTACAACGAAGTGGCCGGCGAGAGATTTGGGAAAGCAGTGGCTGAGAGCCGCACCATCAATGCCGGAGGTTCATTTGGTCTAGCTGGTGGCTTTGGGGCGGGCACAGCACAAACCAGATTGAAGGATATTCCTGCGCATGATCAACCTATATCGCCTGCGCCGCTGCTTGAGACTCAAACCCTGGGTGGCAAGATACCAAACCAGGGCACCCGCGATCCGATCTACCTGGTAGGGTGCTTCCACCAAAACCAGATCCACCTCTCCTACCTGGATGCTGTCGTGCAAATGCGGCCTCAGCTTCATCACATTGATGCTGAAGATGAAACCAACCAAAAACGACTCGCAGGTAGCAATAATACCGGTTCGTCCCGCCAAAAGCCTGGCCTGGAGCAGCCGACACCAAAAGTAGAGTCGAAAGCCATCGAGATCAAAATCAGAGATACCAAGGACGATTCCAAGGACCGTACCATGAATGACAACGCGAGACAACTGCGAGACATCCAAATGGATGAGTGGCAGAGTTATGAGTGGGTGGATGCGGACGAGCCCAATGCAAGGAGGATATTCGACTTGCGAATGCGCCTTGTCTCGGATCCATTGCACGCTCTTCCCAAGCTCCAGAGCTGTATCAGTAATGGTGACTGGTTGGACAAAATGAGTGCGCCCCGAGAAGATGGCAAGAAAGGCTTGTTGGCCAAGTTACGCGGACGAGAACGAGAGCGAGCTCGACGGAAGAAGGCCGAGGAGGAGAAGCGACAACGTCAGAAGGAGGCGAGTGGGGCAGCATCGAGCAGCCATGGCCCCCTGCTTGGAATGAGCGAGGACAGCGACTTGAGTAGTCCAGATGTTACAGACGATGACGTTCAAGAAGAAGAAGCGGCGGACAATATTCAGATCAAACAAGAGCCGGCTGCTCCTTTCCCACCCTCTAGAAGGAACCTTATGTCGGCAGGCACAAAGTCTGGCCCAAGCAATCCTCCGAAGAAGAGAGGACGACCGAGGAAGAATCCACCTGCTGACTCGATACCCCTTGGGGACTAACTATGAGAACCGGTCTGGACATACCGTCGACCAAGGCCAGCCTGCCCTAGGTGGCAGTGAGATGTTCTCTACCTTTTTTTGCTCTGGTGAGGAACTATTTTTGAGGCTTGCGAGGCAATTATGATACCCCAAAATTTATACCCAGGCTAAGGTTGGGCCCTAGTTCCAGCCTTCATGATCATTTGAAAAATTTTCAGATCCATCTTTGCATCCTTCGCTGTGGTCTTTACTTCCTTCCTGTGGACAACCATCTGGTACAGTTCCTTCATTTCCAAGGTATAAGGATCTTCATAGGTACGCTTGACAGTCGACTCTCTGTATGCTCCGTCGATGTTTTCGCAGACAACCATAGTCACAGGCAGACCCTTGATATAGGGAGTGTCATATTTGACCCGAACGGATTTTGCCATGCTATACACCTCAATATGGGCATCAAAGCGAGGAACATTGTCGATCCCAGACTCATAGGTTACTGAAAAGGTGGGATATTCCAACATTGCACTGCGCACGTCAGTCAACTAATTCCAATGATCAATATGGTCATTCGGGTTGGGCAAACAAGCATACCTCCAGAATGGAAGATTTATGGATGCCCCAATGACCCGGTCTGGCATTCCGAGGGCTTCTCTCATTGCTGACAGGTCATGAGACCCCAAGCCACCCAGCAGTCGCCACATTCTCGTGGATTCGGGATTGACAGGCAATCCACATTCGACCGACAATGCTTGATGCACTATTTCCGACGCCCTATCATTTCTGTCTTGCGCGACTTCAGGTGTGAAGTCTGTGAATACCTTTGGAAATGTGCCTGATTGTGCGACAAAGTGGCTGTTGGGACCGATGATATCTGTTCAAAGGTGGCTACCGTTCAGCGTTTGGGCCACTAATCACTTGAGGCAGGAGAGTTCGGTACCTCTAACTCGAGCATACAGAATCTTATCCATGCCACCAATTTCCTTTGTCATGTCTACAAAGGCTGCAGCATATCGACGCATATAGCCCACCATGACTTTACCTTTGGATCTTTCCTCGGCCTCGATTATAGCGTCAGCATCCCTCACGCAGAGCGCCATTGGTTTCTCGACAAAAACATGCTTGTCATGCCTCAACCCCTCTATCACATGCACGGCATGGTACTCGTCAGAGCTCGCTATGAAGACCAGGTCGACGTCTGGTGACGCACAAAGCTCGGCCGGGTTTTGGGTGGTTTGGGGGATGTGATTGATGACCTTTTGAGCATTGTGCCTGAGAGATTCTGCCGAAACATCACACAGGTACGTGATGGTGAAGAAATCAGAGAGAAACCCCAATGTCGAGATGTGTGCCACCTGCGTTATTTCGCCACAGCCTATTATGCCCACCTTGACGAGCTTGTTGGCGGCCATCTTGAGAATGGATTGTAGAGAGCAGATGGACTACCTCGTATTTCAACAAGCCTCAGGCTAGACCCTGAGATGCCTTTTTCCCACGCACCCGCAGGTGGGGCCGGACCAGTAGCGTGCGTTAAGATCATTGGCTATTTGTGTCCATGGCACGTGAGTCTGGCTCCTTCGGCAAAGCTCCGTCCAATGCTGGGCAGGTGCCGATGCTCCTGAACCCGAAATGATTTTTTGCCATGCGCTTCAAGTCACTCCATCTTCTTCCCTTCCACGACATTGTACATTCACCTCAGTTCCCTTTCTTTTCCATCTGTTGGGCGCTGTGCAGGGCTTCTGTGATGATAGATTTCTCTGAAAATCCTATCATTGCAGCTTCTACAAGCAGTTTTGCCTCCGTTGCCGCGCAATGCTGCGCACGCGAGCTGCGGCCAATTCGAAGCATGCCCTTCAATATGTCCAACAGGCGGCAGAAAGGATACAGTTACCCTGGCTGTGTCCCGCCCTCGCTGAGCCATACACTGCCCGATACCAGCGCAGATCAATAACCACACGTCCAACGGTATCGCGCTCAAAGACCTTGCCTGCACCCATCACCCAATCCAGACATCTTGCCTCCCCAGCGTCCGCGCACGAGAACTTCGACCGCAGCGATGATTATATCCCTTTTACCTACGGCAACCGAGAATATCCCATAGCCCAGAATCCGCACCGATCCTCCACAAGTGACCTTTCTCCTTTTGACCTGTCAGAGATATTGATGCTCGATGCTGGGGAGCTTGTCGAAGACCACCTCGAGACTCAGGCAGGCAACAAAAAGCTGAGGAATATCGATGAAATCGAAGCCACGCTAGACGCTTGTCTGCAAGTACACCGATGGGATCGGGCATTCACACTCCTGTCACAGCTGAGCCTGTTTTGTCAAAACAATCCCTCTCGGCTGCGAAACTCATTCAACCGCGTCCTTGCGACCATGGTCGAGGATCTCATATGGAATCGAAACGTTGATCATGAAACACGGATAAACAAATGGATTGAGGTGCACATGAGAAAAGCGAATCTGGAACCAGACGCTCATACATTTGCGTTAAAATTAAAGGCGGCTTTGGAGACCTCGATCGGCTCGAAAAGGGATCGGACAGTGCGTCGCTACTGGGATATGACCAAACGATACCAGTTGGAGAGTAAAGTTCTGAGTATGCGGGATGTCCTAGATGATAGAGATCTGGGCAAACTCTCTGAAATCTGCACAATCGAAGTCATGGCCCGTCAACCAGGGCGTTTCGACGATACCCTGCAGCTGGATTCAGTGCAGCCCGCATCCATAGGGAAAGCGCAGGTCCACGTTCGAGAAACAGAACAGAAAGGGTTGGGGTTGTCCTCACTTAGACGCTCGCTGTCTCTGTTCTCGGAGCAGACGGAAAACATTGTTGAGGCAAGGTCAGAGGAAGATTCTGCTACACAAAGGCAACGACGGTTGGAGAGAGACGCAATACAATCCGCTCTTGACCGGTGGAAGGCCGAATTCAAGAAAAGAGCTAGCATAGGCATTCTGCCGACGGATCTCGCTCATGGCGAAATTGGAGCTTTGCTCTGGCAATGGCATGAGATAATGGCCGAAAAGATCAAGCAAGAGATCAAACAAGCCAGGGAAGAAGAGCATGGACTGACTGGTCCAAAGTCAGCACAACAGAAACTCCGAGCCGAATGTTCACCATTTCTTGAGCTGCTGCCTCCGGAGCATGTAGCGGCTGTCACCTCCATTGCCCTGATGCAGATCATGAGCAAGGTCGGCGCATCGAAATCGGTCAAGCTAGTCCGGCTGGTCACTTCACTCGGAGAGACACTCGAAAATGAATACAACGCGACGAAAATCAATCGCGAGTTGAATGCCGCGCGCAATGCGAAGAGACGAGGAATCATTGAATCCCTGTTCGAGCATGGAGTCAAGCTATCCTCGCAAATGCACAGACACTCACCTCACCACTCTGCTAGAGCCTTCACATACAATAAAGAGTGGACCAAAGCAATACATGCGAAGGTCGGGGCTCTTCTTTGTGAACTTATGTTCGAGACGGCCAAGATCACCATTACAAGAAAGGACCCAGCTACCGGAGCTGCGCTTTCAATGCCTCAACCCGTCTTTCTGCATTCCAGTGCCTTTCAGAATGGCCGAAGGGTGGGGACAGTTTCCTTGCATGAAGATTTTGTCAGGCTTCTTGCTAGTGAGCCTGCAGAACATCTGATTGCCAAGCAGTTGCCCATGGTGTGCCCGCCCAAACCTTGGAAAGGCTTCTACGAAGGGGGGTTTCTGGAGTCCAAGCAACCATTTCTCCGAGTCAAACAGAACGAAACGGCGCAAAAAGACTACGGCATCGCTGCTGCAAGCCGGGGTGATCTAGACCAACTTTTCGCTGGCGTTGACGTCCTTGGCAAGACCGGCTGGCGGATTAACAAGGATGTGTTCTCTGTCATGCTCGAGGCCTGGAATAGTGGCGAGGAGGTCGCCAACCTCCCGCCTCTAAACAAAGTCTTTCCTGAAATCGAACGGCCTGGGGAGAACGCCACGCATAAGGAGCGTTGGGAGTGGTTCTCCAAGATGCGCAAAATCGACAACGAGAGAACAGGCATCCATTCAAATCGGTGTTTTCAAAATTTTCAAATGGAGATTGCAAAAGCCTACCTCAACGAGACGTTCTACCTTCCACACAACATTGACTTTCGTGGGCGGGCCTATCCTATCCCACCATATCTCAACCAAATGGGTGCCGATAATTGTCGAGGGCTCTTGCTGTTTGATAAAGGGCGCGAGCTGGGCCCCGACGGACTGCGCTGGCTGAAGATCCACCTTGCGAATGTCTACGGGTACGACAAAGCTAGCTTATCTGACCGTGCCCAGTTTCCCATGGACCACCTGGACGACATTTACGACACTGTTAAGAATCCTCTCAACGGAAGACGCTGGTGGCTCGCCGCGGAGGATCCGTGGCAATGTCTGGCCACTTGTTTCGAATTGACCAACGCCCTCGAAAGCCCCGATCCCACGAAGTTCGTTTCCAGACTCCCAATTCATCAAGATGGTTCATGCAATGGACTGCAGCATTACGCGGCCCTAGGCGGCGACCTCGCTGGAGCCAGGCAAGTCAACCTAGAACCAGGCGACAAGCCCGCCGACGTTTACAGCGGTGTGTGCGAGCTAGTCAAAGCCGAGATCAAGGAAGACGCTGCCAAGGGTGACTCGCTGGCAAAAATGCTTGACGGCAAAGTTACACGCAAGGTGGTCAAACAGACGGTCATGACCAATGTCTACGGGGTCACCTTCCTCGGTGCGATCCGGCAGGTGCGAAAACAAGTGGAAGTCCTTATTCCTGAAGTTGAAGCTGCTGGCCTTTCAGGCAAAGCATCAACGTACATTGCGAGAAAGATCTTCAAGGGTCTTGGTGCACTGTTCACGGGAGCCCACGACATCCAGTACTGGCTGGGTGATTGCGCCAATCGTATCAGCAGCTCGATCTCGCCAGCCCAGCAAGAAAATATTTACGAACAGGAAGGCTCTGGCGTCCCAAAGGCCAAAGAGCGGACAGGCAGAACCAAAGCTAAGGGCAAGGTCGTCTTGGAATCTGCAGCCTTCCGGTCACCGGTCATTTGGACCACGCCTCTCAAACTGCCAGTGGTGCAACCATATCGCATAAACAAGGGATTGACAATCCAGACTAATTTGCAGAGCATCATACTTGCTCAACCGAGTGTTTCAGATTCTGTCAACAAGAGAAAGCAATTGCAGGCATTCCCTCCAAATTTTATCCATTCCCTTGATGCCACGCATATGATCCTCTCGGCTTTGAAGGCCAGCGAACTTGGACTGAGCTTCTCTGCCGTGCACGACAGTTTCTGGACGCACGCTGCCGACATCAACTCTCTCAGTGAACTTTTGCGAGATGCCTTCATTCGAATGCACAGCGATGACATCATCGGGCGGCTTGCGGCCGAGTTCAACAAGCGATACGATGGACATTTCTACTTGGCGCAAATCAACAGAAACAATTTGCTGGGGAAGGCCATCACCGAGTACCGTCAGCAGATGGTCGCCGAAGGCGTCTTCCCTGTAGGCACTGGATCGAGAAACATTCAGCAAAGACGGCATGCCGAATTGTTGCGAGAAATCCAAAAGAAGAAATTGATGGCCAGTTCGGACCCTCAACAGAAAGAAGAAGGGGAAAGGATGGTGACAGCAGCGAGTCTATATGAACAATACGATGGAGACAAGTATCTGTTCCACCGTGATTCGCTGGGAGAGACAGCCATTGGTGCAATTCCCGAGACGATGGAGTGTGCCAAAGAGGAAATTGTGGATGCAGCTCTCCATGCCAGCGAGGTTTCCGATGACATCGACCTTGCAAGCACATTGGATCCCCTGAGAGATTCAGTCGCCAACGAGAGTAATGAAGACACGATTGACGTCAAGACCGACAACACCATGTCTGATGCTACTGGATCCGACCCAGTCGCCAAGGCGCACCAAGTTACTGTCAATGCCTTTGGCCAGAGGCTACGAACACAAAGTAGAAAGACTGGCCAGAAAAGCAAAAATAACCAAATCTGGTTGTGGCTGCCCATGAAATTCCGGCCTGTGCCGAAAAGGGGTGACTTTGACGTCAAGAGGCTGAAGGACAGCACATACTTCTTTTCATGATTGTATTACATTCTGGGAACTATTGAAGAGGAGGCGTCTATTGCATGGTGCAGCTGCATAAAAGATGGCATTTGGGAGCAAGGAGTTAGAAGGCCAGGAGAAGGCATGAAAAAGCGCATGCATGATAAAAGGCGTTGCATACATAACGGGCGTTCTCAATAGGAGGGACGCGGAACGGGACATGGATTGTACAGAGCAGATTGAAGGATCTCCTGTCCTCTGAGGTGTATGTGTATATATATACCAACTCTCCCCGTCGGACCTGGAATGTGAGATAGTACAGAGCCGATACTTTGCTGCCTACCAGCTTATATGGCCTGCTCTGGCCCTTTAGGGACCGAGTGGCATAGCCCCTGAGCATGGGAAATGTAAATTATATGCTGTGACATCTGCCATTGGCGTTGTGCTCGAGGAGATCAAGTCCTCCGCATGATTCCAGCCTCAGTCTCCCAAAGGAAGGAATTATGGCCATTGTTGTCGTGACGATCTCCCCCGAACTTGGCCAGCATACATTATATCTAGCAAGATGTCTGAGAGTCCCAGCGTTACATAGAGTCGGTAAGATAGAGAGTCACGGAGCCGCCACGCGAGTTCAGAAAGAAGTCGCACACTCAAAGCTCTCGGCCTTACGCACGTCCCCGTGTCCCTTGTACCTAGCGACGAGCGGATACGGGCACAGCGGCCTGGTGATCTTGTCGCCGCTGCCGTCGCCGTCGCCGTCGCCGCGATTTGCCCTGGTGAAGCTCTCGCCGTGGAGCACGTCGGGCGCGATGCCCCGTTCGACCCAGTCGCGCAACTTGGTCAGGACGTTGACGGGCAGGGCGCCCTCGCCGTATCCGCAGTGCTGGACGCCCGGGACGAGGAAGAGGCGGAAAAAGTCTCGCACGTGGCCCGCGCGGCGGTCGCGGTCGTCGGCACCTGAGCTCGTCGGTGGAGTCTCCGAAAAGTGCCGTAGCACGGCTTCGTAGTACTCCTGCGTCTGGCCCGGCGGGATGGCCTGGTCGGCCGTGCCGTGCCAGGTGATGATCTTGCCGCCGCGGCGGTGGAAGGCGCTCAGGTCCGGGTTGCTCGTCGAGATGACCGAGTGGTACTCCTCTTCGGACTGGTCAAAGAGGCGGACGAGTTCGGGGAGCGTGATTCGCTCGGCGAGGTCCTGGCTCGTCAGGCTCGGGTCTTTGTAGAGAAATAGCCGGATCCAGTCCATCAGTAGGGGAGTTGGGTCGGCTACGCAGCTGTGATTCTGACGGAAACATATGGTAGATGCAAAGGATGATAAAGGCGTCGAGTGCGTCAGACGGTGCCAGTCGGGCTGTCTGATGGAGCCTCGTGCAGCGCCCCAGAGATGCCACGCAATATGCGCGGCAGCGTAGCCGATTTTGATCGCGTGGTTTCCTCGCTGTTGGCGTCGTTCGTCGCCTTCGTCTTCGTTTTCGTCGTTGTCGTCGTCTGCGTACTCTATCTCACAGGGGATTTCCTTCCCGACAAGCTTGAACGGGTCAAACTCACATTCTTCTTCATTGGCGATAATCCCGTCCTTGACACCATCCAACTCGTCGCACCCCTCGATCGCGGCTCTCGTGATCGCGTCCAGTTCACACGCCGGGGGATACGCCTTGAGCGAATGCATCATCATGTACGGGAAATAGTGCATGACGACCAGCTTGGGCCAGTATATTCCCGGTGCGCCCGCCAATATGCCGTCGTAATCCCGGGGGTAGCGTTGAGCAAGCATCAGGCCTTGTCTCCCACCTGTGGAACAGCCCTGAAAGTAGCTGTATTTTGGGCTTACGCCGTAGAATGAGGTGACGATGGATTTGGAGATGACGGCCATGTCGTGCAAGCATACAGATGCAAAGTCCTGCAGGAGGTACAGGTTGACGTTGCCCGGGGAGAGCATGGCCCAGGTCTCAGTGTCGGGCTGCTCAGGGCTCATGGTTTGGGGCGGATGACCACCGTCGGTGCGCGATATGGCGTAGCCCTGCGAAAGGTAGGAATGGGAAATGATGTCGGGGAGGCACATGGAGAAGCCACCGCCGCCTTGGGAGAGCAGAAGGCCGTTCCAAGACGGTGATGTGGTCCCGCCGTTGCTGTGGCGGGCGGGATCTGGTCCGGTGTCACCTGGGCCCTCGAGGACTCCGTCCGACATGGAAAGGGGCAGCCACAGAAACACATTGATCACGTCGTTTTGGCCCGGGTGCGTATAGGTAACAGTAACATTGCAGAAGGAGAGGTCGCTGTCTTCGCCGTAGAGCGGCGGGTCCGAGTTAAAGAAGAATGGCGGCTGCCAATACTGCGCGGTATAGTTGCTTACCAGGGACGAAGTGACGTTGAGAATCTCCCCACCAAATAGAGATGGACTGGGAAGGGTCGAAAAGAGACATGCGGCTGTCAGGTTCGTAGAAGCCGAGCCAGCGGGGGTAAAGGAGAAAGGAAATTGTGGTGTGAAAGAATCCATGGTCTGGATCATCCAGCAAATGTACTTGAGATCTGTTTGAGAGAGGACAAGGCTCCACGAAGCAAGAATGATGATTGGCTACTCAAGGACAGGCTCTTGAAAGAGAACGAAGAAGCTAAGGAGGTTGTGTGCTCACATTTATGTGGAGAATTACCAATAGCAAAGTACAGGGAAGCGATACTGTTGAATGAGAGGCGGCCGTTCAATGGGCTTTCAGGCAGATGGATTGTGGCTGTCTCCCACGGATGAGTTGTACTCGCAAAAGCTTCTCCGCAAAACGGGTTGCCTGGGTTGTACTCGTACGTACAGACGACAAGGGTGCCAAAGATGTGGAGGAGGAGGAGCAGGTGGTGGTGTGGTGGAGGTGATGCTCGTGCGAAGAGAGCACGGATCATTGTATTTCCGATGCCCGGATCATCTATGGTAACTTCCACTCCGTGCAGGCCCTATTTGATGCATGCTCTGGACTCGCCCTCAAAGCTTCCTCTTTTACGAGCCTCCTATCATCTAGAGTCTGACGAGCATCGGTATATACTGCCAAAGAGTCTACAGGAAAGACAATGAGCTCGCCTCCCCTCCTTCGCCCAGCTATACTTGTCATCTCCGACACCGCGGCAGCCGATCCATCAACCGACAAATCCATCCCCATCCTCAAGGACGTATTCTCCCAAGACGGGGCGGGGAAATGGACTGAGCCGCTGTTTGAGATTGTCAAGGACGATGTGCTGGAGATCCAGCGGGTGGTCCGCTCGTGGACGGATTCCGAGAATGAAACCACGAATGGCGGCGTGGTCAACTTGGTCGTCACGACCGGGGGCACAGGCTTCGCGCGACGAGACTTTACTCCGGAAGCTATTGCGCCTCTGATCCACCGTCATGCTCCCGGTATCGTCCACGGGATGTTGTCTGCTTCGTTCCAGATCACGCCCTTCGCCATGATGTCGCGGCCTGTGGCTGGCGTGAGAAATAAATCCATCATTATCACCTTGCCCGGGTCGCCCAAGGGCGCCAAGGAGAACCTTCAAGCTGTGTTGAAACTGTTGCCACATGCATGTTTGCAAGCGGCAGGCCAGGATTCCAGAGCGGCCCATGTGGGAGGAGTAAAGAAGCTGGAGAAGGAGGCGGGAGTTGGCCCAGCAGCTTCCGGTGGTGCTGCTTCAGCAACGCTGAGCGCGACGGCGGGGCCAGCCGCTACAGCAACTGGCGGACATGATCATGGCCATTCTCATCAACACAATCACCATCACAACCACGACCACGACCACAGCCATGGAGGCGGCGGGCACAGAATCCCAAAAGCACACACCACCCCCGCCGAGCGACCTCAACTACAATCCAACGACCCCAGACTCGGGGCCACCGCACGGCACCGATCATCCCCATACCCCATGCTGAGTGTCTCAGATGCCGTGTCGAAAATTCTAGAGACCGCACCGTCTCCCACAATCGAAATGAGAGGCGTATCACCCGACCTGGTAGGCTACGTGGCCGCGGAAGACATCAAAGCCGCAGAGTCTGTGCCGGCCTACCGCGCGAGCATAGTGGACGGATACGCAGTTATCGTCCCCACCGCCGACAAGGACAAGGCGACTTCTTCGCAAAATAGTAGTATCAAGGGCGTCTTCCCCGTCGCCTCTGTCTCGCACGCCCAAGCGTCGTCCTTACCCCCTCCTCTCCAAAAGGGCCAGATCGCCCGCATCACCACGGGGGCGCCGCTGCCGGAAAATGCCAACGCGGTAGTCATGGTCGAAGACACGGTCATCTCCACACTCACGCCGGACGGGAAGGAAGAAGCCAGCGTGGAAATCCTCACGGATGAACTCGTGGAGGGTGAAAACATTCGTGAACCGGGCAGCGACATCGAACTGGGTCAAGTGGTTGTGGCCAAGGGCACGCAGATCAGTGCGTTGGGCGGAGAGATCGGAGTGCTCGCGGCAGCGGGGATCAAGACAGTGCCAGTATACAGAAAACCACGGGTGGGAGTCATGTCGACAGGCGACGAGGTGATGGACGTTACATACGAGGGGCCACTAAGCGGCGGCATGATCCGCGACTCGAACCGACCATCGCTACTGACACTGTTACGAGGATGGCGGATGTGCGAGGAAGTCGTGGACCTAGGGGTCGCGCGGGACACACCGCACAACGAACTCGAACACAAGCTGCGCGACGCGTTCCAGCTCCAAAATCTGGACCTGGTCATCACAACCGGGGGTGTGTCGATGGGCGAACTCGACCTTTTGAAACCGACCATCGAGCGCGCGCTGGGGGGACAAGTCCACTTCGGCCGCGTGAGCATGAAGCCCGGCAAACCCACCACTTTCGCCAGCGTGCCCATCAAAAATCCCATCCATGACGCCGGTACGGGCGCGGGCGCTGGCTCGCGAGAGAAGAGACTCATCTTCGGCCTCCCGGGAAACCCAGCCAGCGCGCTCGTCACGGCCAACCTGTTCGTGCTGCCCTGCGTCCAGCACATGACGGGCCTTCCCGAGGCAAAGGGGTGTCAGCGTGTCAAAGTGCGCGTCCAGGGCCGGGTGCGCTGCGACAAGGCCCGCGTCGAGTACCATCGCGTCTTGGTCTCGGTCGATCCCAGTGACGGCGCGGGCAGGCTCGTGGCCCGGAGCACGGGCATGCAGAGGAGTTCGAGGGTCGGCAGTCTGGCGAGTGCCAATGGATTGTTGGTCCTTCCTCAAAGGGAAGGATATATTGAGGACGGAGGCGAGTGTGAGGCCCTGATGGTCGGTATGGTGCTTGGATATTGAATGGGAGGGATTCAACATGGGAAGAGAGGTGGGATCACTGTAAAGACTCAGACGAAGTTGTCAAGAGCACACGTTAATACAGTGGGGCGAAAGCTCTTGCTTTAGCAGGTATAAAACTATTCCCAGCCTGTTTATCCACCAGAGTGCAGAGAGGGGTATCAATGCTATAAGAATAACACGCCGTCACATACCCAAGACCCGTCGCTGTAATTCTACCGATGTTTCTCTAGCCTTTGTCCTTGCGTGATGCTGGGGTCTGTCTTCCACACTGGGTCGAACCGTGATTGAACGCCCACAGAAACCGTACTATGCAAAGCTGCTCCTGAACCAGATACGTGTGTGTGCAAAGTTAACCACCTCAAGGAATATCCGCCCTCTTATACTCGCGCCTCTTGACCGCCCTCAGCGCCGGCAGTGTTTTACCTCTCCCAGGCTCTCTACCAATTTCCACAACCAAAAATCTGACAAAGTCCTGCAAAATCCAATAACTACTGTGCGCGCTGAGCATGTTCAAGTATTGGAATTCCAAGGGGCCGGCGCCCGCTGACAAGAACCAATCAATCTGCCCATTGTCATTGAGCAGATACATGCGCTTCTCGGCAATTTCTTCACGAGTGAAATTGTGCGTCTCCAGTTCCACGGTGCTGGGCATCTGGGTGAGTTGTGGGCGGGCCGGCGAAGCGATGGCAGAGTACGGATCACCTGTGGTACCGGATGCCCAACGTAGACTGTGTCCGATGCGTGTCATGAAGCTGACACTAGCGCTGGGTATGACTGCCGGTTGAAGGGACTTTGCGTATAGTTCATCCACGGAGGCATTTTGTAGGTAGGAGATTGGATCGTTTCTGTGGACGATATTATAGATGTTGTCGACGGCAAGACATCCATATTTTGCTTCGCTGGCAATTCCTGCTTGCCGATCATCTCCTTGCATCCCAGGTTTGTCCCTGCCTTTTCGCGGGACTAGATTGGCGTTGTGGAGAAGCAGGAAGAAACCCGAAGGACTCCCGCAGCAGAATATGTTGGTTGTGTCAAACTCGAAGATCTTCTCACTCGGCCTTTTGGGGTCAAATTTGATGTCCTTGCCAAGTCGAGTAGGCTGTTGACTGAGAATCTCCATCGCCATGACAGAGCCGAGGGAATGAGCAACCAGATGCACCCTGCCATAGTCTTCGAACCCTGGATTATTGCGACACCAAAGTCGGTAGACCCGGTTGGCTTCCCTGATGACGGCCGAGGTCATCTTCTCCTTGTGGTGTGACATATAGTAGGGAATATCCAGCATGACGTCGCTGATAATGGATCGCACGGCGGGGAGAGTATCCGGAGTGATGTCCTTCAAAGCGTATTTATTCTCGGTGCTTTCAGAAGCAGCCTTGATGTCCTCATCGAATGAGACGGTCAACCGCCAATTTACGGGTAGGACCATGATGCCTGTTCCATGCCTCAGATTTCCTTTGACGACTTCGCTTGCCAGTTCAACGTTGAATTCCCGTCGCAGACCATTCACGGCGTGCGTGAAATGGAAGCTGTCTACTCTTTCTGATAGCTTTTGCCCAATACCGTGGATGACGAAGACAAGGTCAGTAACCTTGGGCGCTTTACTGTCTTGTTCGCATGCTGCGCATGACATTCGGCGTCCTCGGGTAGTGGCATCTCCTGATTGGGACAAATAGGCTCCAACCTTCGCATGAGCAGCTTTAGCATCCAGTTTGGGGTCGGGATGGATTTTCAACCATGCTTTGCGGTCAAACCCACGGATCACTGCCACGCCGATCTGTCTCCCTTTCCGAAGGGAGCTCAGCGGGCGGCGATTCTGTGTGATGGAAGGAAGCAGGTTAGGCTTCAAGATTTGAGCATTCCGAGCATCCGTGTAGATGACGCTGTGAGTTGCAAAGAGCCGTTTGTCCGGGGTATGTCGAGGGTCTGCAGCAGCATTCTGGACAGTGTCTGGGAGGTCTTTGCTCCCCTTCCGCTGACTATCGCTCTGATTGGTTTCCTTCATATCCACAGCAGTTGAGGGCCTGCTAGATTTCGGCTCGTCAGGCCACAGCTTATACACCACCTTCATTTCCGCAGAAGCACCATTATCAATGCAGGCCTGCATTTCTTCTTGGTAAGCGGGGCCAAAGGGCTTTATATATTCGTAACCGATTTCTAGACGATTTGCCACGTCAGCTGGAACAGGTAACATGGTGTCTTTGTAGAACCAAGTGGCCCGAATCACATTGGATGTGTCGTTGATGGGAGACCAGTATATCGGTTTCATGACAAGGTCGGGCATTTCAACCAAATGCAGACGAGATACGCCGACCGGGACATAAGCTTTCTCGTTTTCTTTTTCCTTCTTGCGACGCCGACCGGGACTTTGAGAACGACTTCTAGACTCAGCTTCTGATTCATCCGAATAGGTGCCCCCCGGTTCATAGGTTAGCGCAGCATTGATATTGCGCCCGCTAGGCGCGCGTGCGAATGGGCGACCGCTGATGTCAGAAGAAGGGTCCGGTGGGGGTTGTGTTGCAGGTGTAGCCGTCTGGTCCAGATCGGCGGGCTTAGGGAGAGTATCGCGGCTGTCCTTGCGTTCCTTGTGTCGGCGATGAAAGGGCGAAAATCGCCTCTTTTGTTTGCTCGAGTCCTTGCTGGGCTGTTGCTGGAGCTCGGCATTCTCCCGCAACTCTTCGGCATCCACCGGTTGAGCCTCGACTTTTGAATCACTGTGAGCATGTTCCAGCATGACCTCGGATCCTGATGAAGGTGACATGGGGCTGACACGTGTACGGCCACGCGAAGTGCCTTTGGTCCTAGAGCGACCGGACTTTGTTGCTTGTGATTGCCCTCTGGCGTCCTGTCCATCTCGGAGCTGTGAAAATGAGAATATTCCTTGTGCCAAGTTCCTCTTTCTGCTGCCTCCTTCTTCACCGTAGGCCGCTTCATCGACTTTCTGGAAGGTCTGCCATGCTTCTTCCAAGGCAGCATTGTCCCGGACCGAAAACGGTTGAGGAGGAAGATCAGTGGCCTTGTCCGCAGTCACTGGGGGCAGAGGGGAGAGAGGGTCATCAATCGGGAGCGAGGACACGTAGAAGAATTGAGCTTTGACCTTGGGGGGAGTTAATGCGTCGGTGGAAGTGTCATCAGGGTCGTCCTCATAGAAGGCACACGTAGGTCCCAGCGTGTGGACTTGCTGGGCCATGGTTCTGGAAACAGTTGCATGTAATTAGTCGAGTCCGGTATTTCCTGGGAGAAATGCAAAACTGCCTGAATCCAAGGACTCCAACAATGCATCCTACGACATTCCCTGGTCCCAAAGTGAATTTAACGAAAAGGAAGGGCCAGCCATAAAGCAAGCAATATCGGGTGAAGGTCTTCCAGAAACCTCTTTTCTAGCATGTCGAATGACACGATGGAAGCCTGAGGTTTGACGCAGCGACTCGAGAAAAAGCCAACAAACCAACAAACGGTGACGTATGTTGCTGGCTGCATCTGGTGCCTTGGGTGCGTCTCCCAAACCTCCATCTTGGTTGGGTGAACCAAGCAACAATAATACGATTTGACTACTAGTACATCTCATTTTGCTAATGGCAGATAAAAGAGCTGGACATGAAAGTATGTATGACGGACTTTATTTCTAGCTTTTAAAATCGAATATCCATCTGTTCGTGTCGCGACCGTCCTCAGAACAAAGCCTCGCCTTGGGTCGCTAGAACGTTCAGCCTTGAAACCCCCTAGAGCAATGCCTCCCCAAGCGTACCTAGGTAAATATACAGAGTCTAGCCGGGACTTATGCAAATATCATCCCAGCATTCCCCATTCATCCAGAGTGATGTATCCATCTCAATCTGCTGCCCCAGCTTCAACCTTTTCCCGAGAGCCCTCTTTGGCCCGCCTGCTCAAGTCCAGCCACGGTCGTGCTAATACCTTTGTTTGAGCAGCGAGAAATCTCCCGCTTATTGAAGGTCCTCCTCGTAGCCTTGCGCCAACGTGCTCGGTCGCTCGCTCACTCGCTCGCCACCACGTCCAGCGTTCATGCAAATTCCTCGGCCTTTGAACTGACCAACAGCCCAATGATCAGCCCGAACAACCCCAAGACACTCGAAAAGATCTCAATCACCAACACCTTCACGAACATACTCGCATCCGCTGCATCAGCAAGAGCCGCGCTGCTCCCATTGATCCCGACGCTCACGCCACAGATCAAGTTACACATCCCCACCGTCACTCCAGCCCAAAATAAGGCGTAGCCGGTATAGTAGTTCGGTCCAGTGTATAGTGATTCTTCAGGTACAATACTGATTTTGGAGGAAAAGACGATGGACATGATGACGCCGTAGATCGCCACGACTTCACAAAAGATGATCGAGATGAGGTTCTTCGTTCGTATTCGTGGAGCCTTTACGCCGCCTCCGAGAATAGATGTGCCGGTGATGAAGATGCCCCTACAAGGCAGAGGAGAGTCAGCGATGAGGAGAATAACCTCGAGTCCCCTGCATGTAGAAAAGAGCAATACCAGAAGGCACCATGCAAACGGGAATCCGGAGCGTTCTTACCATGCCGCACCCACGACCGACAGACCTATACAGAGACCAATGCCCAGATCTGCCCATACGTATGGAGACACTGTTTCGAGGAATTGTCCGACCTGTAGTCTCATAAGTCAGTCCACCGATGGATTGAGCGCGAGTCTTTCTGCGGCCGGCCGCATACATTAAACTGTTCGCCCTCGCCATTGAAGAGCATATCTGGGAGTACTCCGTTAGCATGGGTTCTGATCGCAGGCACTGAGTCGAGAATCTCACAAAGGCCAATCACCCCCAATGCGGCAACAGCGCCACCTGCAGGGTAGATGATGAGACTCATCTTGAACCCTCACCAATGTGGGAAAGCTTGCAAAATGATTGAATGTGTTGCGGTCGCGGGAAGCAAACGGAAAACGAGCTCATCATGTAGCAGAGGCCGCAGCTTGGGGAAACCTTCGGCCTAAAAGCCAGGGGAAGGTTCACCGAGCTAGGAGTCACGTGGAAGGCTACTACTCAGGAGTTGAGGGGCACAGGCGGCATAAACCTATCTACATAAACAAGAGGATTGATTAGTGGTCACAAGTGAATAATATTGTCTTTCAGTCGTGTCTCTACTCTGTAGAAGTTCTTAATGCCCACAGACAATTAGTGGCGATGATGGAAGTCCATATCCAGCTTTTAGCCTGCCTTGATTGCTGCCCAGCAATCGAGTCCAGCGCCCATTCTCCCAACTTTTCCGAAAACCCCCCCAGTCATCAATACGTGCTCGCGTTCATCATCATTCAATAGACTTCCAAATGGAGATATTCTTCTCCATCTCTGCTCTCCGATCGATACCGGCTTGTAAATCCATTTCGTACAGTTTGTGCATCTCCTGCAGCCGATGCTCCATGTTAAAGCGGTATTTAGCCGCCAACTTCAAGCTCTCATAATCATTTCGGTTCACCGCATCATAAAACACTCTTCTCATGCGATCACTGTAAAGCTGGCAACTTGTTCCACGAAGTGAAGAGTTTTTGCGCAAGACAGGCACAAGTTTGAGCGTCTTGGAGACGTCTCGTGCAATGGGTCGATCTCTGAGAGGCCACACAACTTCCTCATAGCACTCCTCACAGATTGTAAACTCTGGAAGATCAGAGATATAGTGCCAAGACTGGGTTGCCAGTAAGGTATCCTTCACACAATGCCGGTTGCGTGAAATGCGGCGAATAAAATCCACGAACTCCTGAAAGTCCCTGTGCCGCACGGTCTCCTTCGAGCGCTCAGCCAGTCGCTCTAGCTCATTCAAGACGGGCAAGAAATGACGGCTGGTTGTGTTCAGATTGCATATCTTCTCTTGCTCTTTCTTCTCCTGCGGTCGATCAAATACACAAAATTGAAGCGTGGGGAAGATCAGATCAATATTCCTTACGCAGGCGGAGCATATGTCGAAATTGTCCACCGGCTTTTTCGTTCGAGGATCGGTCAGATGATACCATCTTCTCATATCGACTTTAGTGCCAGCGCATGGCTTTGTCCCCGCTGGCGGGCCGTTGGCTATTTGCCAGACGAGCGAAAGATCTTTTCGGTCTTGTCGTATTGATTGCAACCAAGCAACTCGTAGCCATGGGAAGCTCATTGCACAAGCAGTTGGTCGGCGGGCTTCTTTCGGTAGACTCGGGATAAAGTAGTCGCGAAAGCGAGTGGCACCCAGAAAACTCATGCAAGAAGGGCAAAAATCCAGGAAGGGCATATCTCGGATTGTGTACCAATCATGGTGTCCAGCAATCGGTCTCGACCGCGGACACGGAGGCAATGAGTTTGGTCTAGGTGCGCTATTGGACAACATTGTCGGAGGCTCCAGATTCATTGGGCTTGACGTCAGCGCCGGTTGGGCAGGGAAGAGATGTTGCTGCTGGAGCCCCTGAGCAGGTATGCTTGAGAAGGCCCTGAAGGGGGCTGGAGGGCGAAGCTCAGGAGAATGGGAATAAGAGGATGATCTCGATGCCGTACGAGGCGGCTCGGGTGGCGCCGGTGCGTACAGCGCACTCTTCGGCGCCGGACGTTCTTCATTTACCACGTAGGTCGTTGTCCGTGTATTCAGGCCATCATTTGGACCTGCCATAGAATTTGTCCGAGAAAGACCCTGATACGCTGGTTGGGACTCTTCAGTAACAGGGGAAGGTTTTCTTGAGCGCTGACCGCTGCCTGGCCTGCTCTGAGAGCTGCTGCTATGCGTCTCCAGCGACTGGGAAGTGTTTGACCGAGACAGGGCAGGGATCGCCTTGGCCGCCAGGGAAGCACCCAATGTCGCGGCTCCCAGGAGGGATGTGACATTTTTAATGTCTTTGAAATGGGTGTCATCAATTGACTGCGGACGAGACCGTTGCTTTGATGATCTTGACGCGTTGTGAGGCGGTTCGAAATAGCCTCCGGGCGATCGGTCTCCGGCCCTGGGTGTCTGTGGAGGACTGGGTGCTGGAGAGCCTCGCGGAGAATCATGGCGAGAATGGCTGTCTCCATTGCTGAATTGTTTGTTTCTATTCGCTGTAAAGGCCCTTTCAAGAACATCCTCCATGCCCGATGTTGTTCGGGCAGAGAGCGCTGGCTGACCCTCACGATAGGGTCGTTGACCTAAGGGATATTGCTCTTGATTGGACTCGTCTTTGGTTGACATGTCATGACGCCGAGATCGGGTGCGGGTTAGTGTTGGCCTCTCATCCTTGTCGCTACAATTTCGCGAATTTCGTCTCGACCGACCTCCTTTATCAGCCTTTCTTTCATCAACTGGACGTGGGCGACGGCTATGACCTTCTTCAGCGGAAGAGTTGTACGGAGAATCCACAGTCATCCTTGACGATGTCTGACGGTTGCTTGGCTGCTCAGCGACAGTGGCGTTGTCAATTGCAGATGACCGTGTGGAGTCATTGTTCAGCTTGGGGGTCTGAGGGGGTGTGATGTGGTCTTGACCAGTGTATGTATAGCCGGTAAAACCTCCTTGAGACGGAGCCGGGCTGCGATATCGATGAGCGCGCCGACTGAATGTGCCTTCGGGGCTTCCGTTCCTCGAACCGAGTTTCGATGGCTTGACCTTTTCAGATTCCGACCTATCTGAGTGGGAAAAGCTTTCCCTTGCAGCCCGACTTCGGCTCCGTTCTGTTCTCCTCCTCGTCTTTGACTTTCGATCAGAGTCGCTGCTTTCTCGGTCGAATCCTCCTGTTTTAGGATGTACAGACGCCGACCTTCTTGGCTCATGGGGATGCATTGGCGACAGCAACGTACTTTTACGTTTAGTGTCCGGAGCAAGAGTGTCCGCCAAACCCGCAGGGGTATGCGCGTAGGGAGAAGCAGCACGGCGGTGACCTGTCCGAATGCCCTCTAGGCCTGGCCCTAGATCTGTGTGTATCCTTGTGACATGAGGTCTGTCCCTCGGTACAGCTTGCTCTGGGAGCTGAGTTGTTGATTTAGATCGCTGCAATGGCTCGGTTTGGAGGCACGTTTCAGCCTCAGATTCAGAGGGCTGAGAGGGCACGATGACAAATCTTTTCTCGGTGTTAACAGCTGCTTCTTGTTGAGCATCTGGACATATCCCATCTGACGCCAGCTCATTCTCCTTGGAGGGGCAGGACTGGCCCGGCGCCTGGGTGTCGAGGATGATAGGATATTGATCCACCGAACCCCTACTGCTTGCAGGTTGATTCTCGCTTTTGACTTGATGTAGAGTGATGCCAGATATGTGTTCCTTCGATAATGCCACTTCTTCGTCCTCCACGCATGGAGACGGCGGCCAAATCTGCGTCATCTCAACTAACTCAACCTCTAGGCAGGATCCAAAACCATATACTCATTGCCAGGCTGTCCCACGTGCAGTCCGGCCACCCTTATATACAGAATCTTCAAAGCACCTCAGGCCACACATCAAGGCAATTGAACGCGGTCTTGCTATGTTGTTGGGGCAAACAGGGCGAATTTCAAGTATTGTTGGACGGAGAACCGTCACCTGAGGAAACCCGTATCGTAGGGCGCTGGAAGTTGGGGTGGTTGTGTTTCGAATAGTGTCGCAAGCGGGCGCAGGTTGTGTAAGAGGAGAACAGCCCAGATCGAAATCAGCACCTGATATGCAACAGACGGATGAACTCTTGGTTCCCCGGGCCCGGAACAAGTGAAGGAGGGCAACGCAATCGACTCAACGTGACAGTTCTGTGGCCGAAGATGGCGATTTGGCAAAGCGTTGAAGCCGCGTGGGTAGTTTTGATAGAGAGGCTACACAGGTGGCTGAGGGTTGTCCGAGACCAAAGAGGTGTTAAATCGGGTGCGCCCTCAATCGAAAAAGCCTTCGTCTCCTCCAGTCAAGGCCATTAGGAAGCAGATCGGACAACAATGGAGCTGGGCAGAGAGGAGAACGGTAGCGGGCCGTCAATGCCTGCGATCCGGAGGGGCATGCAGCATACTGCGGTGGTGGGTACCCGAAAGGTTCTGTTTGAGGCGAAACTCGAGTGGAGATGAGGGAGTCTAGAGAAATGGCGGTGTCCCCGGGTCTGCCCAGGGCAAAGACGCATGTGAACAAGGGACATAGATGAGGCTTTTCGGCTTTTCTGTGCAAGGATGGTTGTATGTAGATGGGATCCGTAGGGCTCTAGGTCTATCACCAGAGACGAACGATTCGACGCCGGGATCACTGATCTGACGGTGAAGCTGCGCAGTTGCGCACCGAAACACTGCACCTCTACACCCCACACAAAACTAAAACAAACCTTCAGCAGAGTGACTAGTGACCACCACCAAATATCATATGCCACCATATATCATTATTGCATAGGTGCCAACCTTCGTATGCACTACTGCATCCCCTGGCCTTGCCGCCCGCCCATCTGCCCCCCCCTCTGGCCTCATTTGTCGGCTCACACGCCCTAACGAACCCATTGGGGAGCCCCTGGGACTTTCAGCGCCTTGCCTAGGTACAGCCTGTGGCCACCCTTCTTATGGTCTACAAGTACTGACGGCATGCCGTCGGTGGCACAAGACCATGCTCTGGCTTTGTCGATGCATGATTGCGTGAGTGCCGACTATGCCTGCTCCCTTTCATTTGTTGCTTCTGGTAGACGATTGACGCAGTCATATACGCTCCGACGCCGCCATGAACGCGACCGTCGATCCTTCGGCCGCTTCCTCGTTTTACCATTATTAGCCTGCAAATTAGCACATTACAAAGGTACTTGGTGCTGACAGGGCCATCACCATAGCCCCCGGATACCCTCATCGACGTCTTGGGAGGACTTCAACTCTGCAATGTACTTCCGCAAGCAGCTAATGTGAGGTGGAATGCTTGGGCGGTATATGAAGAAAGTCCCTACAACTTACCAAAAGGCCCTGCTAGTGTACTCAGCCCAATTGGATTGAAACTATCCTGACAGCCCATTTTTGCGAACCACTCACAACTGCATGGTGCCTGACATGGATCGTCTACCGGCGAAAAATGCCACACATAAGGGCACGGCCACAATCCTATGGTGAGAGCCAGTGGCAAGACTTGCCATCACAGCGGTGTCTGCCCAAGCCTCGTTGTCAATCTATCAGTGGCAGGCCTTTGTCCCATACATAACGCCACGGAGCTCATTCTTGTTGGGAAGAACGATTTGAACAGTGCTGCATGACTCAGCTTCTCCTTCACTCATACCGGTGATACCAGGTAGGTAGATAAGAGATGGAAGCGAGCGCCCAACAGTCACGCCAGATGTTTCGTTCCACCGAGCCAGACCGTTCTACACACCACTTTTGCTCTCGACTATTGCCTTGTTGTCAGGTTCCCCCAACCCAGTAACCGTCTACTGTGCAGATGCCCGTCTGGGTATGCAACTAATCTCATGACAGCATGCCGCAAGCGAACTTGGAACTTTTGTGTGACGCTTGTCACTTGCGGAAATGTGGTCGAAGGAAGACCGGTCAACGGCTGGTTCGTCACGCCTTACAAGCATAAATTGGGGGCGCAACCCGCAATCTTTTCCTCGTGCCCGCACGGCCCGGAGTTCGCCATCCTCATTCAGGCGTTCTCGCTTCACACTTGTTCCACGGCAGAACGTCTAGCTCCCTTGCCAATCAGGTCTTCCCTCATGTCAGGCTTGGACTCTACAACTTGAGGCCGGGGGCTGGTAATCTTCGAAGGGATGCTTCGTCTCAGCTTCGGTCTATAACGGATAAATTGCCAGCTCCAGCGGTCCGAATCGCCGAAATAATCACGCCAAGTCGATTTATCGAAAGCCACTTAGATTGTGAGGGGTTCGCGGGGTAAAATGGTGAACGAAATAGCTTCCATACAGCTACCCCGAGCACCCCCGAACCAATCTAGGACGACGATCCCGAGAGGTAGTTGGCTCTAACCGCGAGCAAAAGAGGTATCCAGTGCGGGAGCAAGCAAGATAATCTAATGAAAGCATCTGCTTATTGTTTACTGGTACTAGGTAAGGCGCATCTGCGATATCGGCAAGGTCACTAGTGACTGGTGCTTCCCATGAGTTTGCGGAGAGAAGGTCGAGTTGATCTGCTTGTGCTTAGAAATATATGACGACGATGTCGGCACTACCGTTTCTCCTCACCAAGTCCCAAATTACCACATAAGAGCCCAGGTAGTATGTGTTGAGGTCTAACTGCCTTGGATAGGTACCTAGGTAGTTGGAGATTACCGCTGAAGCATCAAGTCGTACGGAAACAGTCCGCGAGAAACTTCCCGTCTCCGTATCAGAGAAGGCTATATCGCAATTGTCACATTCACTATTGCCCCGAATCTAGCGCGAGTTCAACTTTCATACGAAGTTCCATGTCTCTGAGGTCTCGAGCTGCATTGACCACGATAACAACCACAGCGACAGCATCCACCCGTCTCGGCAGTCTCACTTCGCAACTATCCCTCCGCCAGAATCCCTCATTGCGCTCTAGTCTGTACCCCATCGCCACCCGTACCATGGCATCCCTCCCATCTACAATGAAGGCGGTCTCATTTTCGAAAACCGGCGGCCCCGATGTCCTGGAATATACCGAGTCCCAGCCTCTGCCCAAACTCGAGCAGGGGCAGATATTGGTCAAGAACAACTTTGCCGGCGTCAATTACATCGACACCTACTTCCGCAGTGGCCTGTACCCCGCATCCTATCCCCTGATCCCCGGTCAAGAAGCCGCTGGCACAGTCGCAAAGATTCAAGGAGATAATCCATTGGGATTTAAAGAAGGAGATCGTGTGGTTTGGATAAAGCAAGGAGGTTATGCCGAATACACGGCAGTGCCCGCGGATCGAGCAATCAAGATCCCAGAGGGTGTCTCGGATGAAGATGCGGTCGGGGGTTTCCTCATGGGCATGACTGCTCTCTCGCTCGTCAAGGAGGCATACCCAGTGAAGAAAGGCGAAACGATCCTGGTTCACGCCGCCGCAGGAGGCATGGGGCTACTCCTCTGCCAAATATTGCGTGACATGGGCTGTACCGTGATCGGCACCGCTGGCGGGCCTGAGAAGTGTGCTCTAGCCAAGGAGAACGGTGCGACGCATGTGATCGACTACAAGGCCACAAGCGGGCCGAGTTGGGTCGAACAGGTGTTGAAATTGACGAACGGCGAGGGTGTGGACTGCACGTTTGACGGAGTGGGCAAGGACACATACGAAGGCAGTATGGAAGTCGCAAAGAGAAAGAGTAAAGTCGTGTACTTTGGTAACGGTAAGCCTCACAATCCCCATCTTCTCATATATACCAAAGCTATCTATCCCCTGCTGGATGCTTCCACTTTATCTCCCACCAGGTCTCTCTAACTCTTTTGAGAAAATAATAGCATCTGGCGCCATTCCCCCCATCAACATCGCCCGCCTGACGGCCAAGAACCTCTCAATCATGCGCTCCACTCTAATGAACTACATCGTCACGCGCCAGGAACTCGAGTTCTACGCAGACGGCGTACTGGACCTGATCAAGGCAGGGAAACTTAAAATCAAAGTCCACAAGGTGTATCCGCTCAGCGAGGCAAAGCAGGCACACATAGACTTGGAGGGACGGAAGACAGTAGGGAAGTTATTGTTGAAGTGTTAAAAAAACAGTGAGGATTGGTGAGGGAGGGAGGACATGTCACAGGTCCGACATCTTCAACTATTGCCGACAGTAACGGGGAGTCAACAGAGGTCAGGAGATGGGAAAAGTAACCAACTCTCAAAAGCTTCAGGCGTGAATGAGGCTGTCCTCCCGAACATGTATCGGATCGTTCCTCGCTATGTCATAAAGACCCCTTGACAGATATTCTGCCACATTTGTTCTTCTTCTGTATCCTGAAAGTTTGTAGCTCATCCCAGCTCCTTCCTCGTATTAATTCCTGACCAGTGTCCAAGAGTTTCTTCCATAGCACAGCAAACCGTACCTAGGTATGGCACACAGTAAGGAGGGAACTCCCGTACCCAACGCCTTTCACCACGACATGCCAGCCCTCTCTGATGGGGGTTTCTGTGTGTCGTCAACAATAGCGGCTAACAATCTTGTGCTCAATCCCATAGTCGGTGGCCGGTTCCATTCGGTCAACTTTGCCTCACAGCTGTACATAGCTTCCCGTATGGTGGCCACATGCATATCGACACCTAACAAGACCACCTGCTATGGGGTCTTCGTCCGACTCTTTTGTTCCCCGCCTGTAGCTTCTTCAGGACGCGAGAAGTGCGCCGCGTTTTCCACCTGTATAAGGAGGGTCGAAACCGTACACTGGGCTTCCCATCTGCCAATAAATGGATTCGCTGGTCAGCATCGACGACCTCGCGATCGAAGGGAAAGAAGAAAACGAGAAGGGCAAAAGGGGTTGGAGAAGAAGAGAAATGACTCACGCGATACAGGACAAATATGACATCCCTCGTTGTCACGGTCTATGTTTCTCATGTTTGGATCAGTCCAATCAACTTCGAAAGACACACACAAACCCCCGAGAGACTCGGGGGGTAGCCACCTACACGTCTTCTTTGGCCGTGGACGCCCATGAGAAGCGGATCCTCGTGATTTGGATCACCAGAATTCCCGAGGACTATTGTGAGGTTTTTGATGACCTGCGTCACAAATAACGAAGTCAGCTCCCTAGGATTTGAATAGCCGATGAGAAGTCCGCATGAGAGAGGAGTCGACCGTTTTGGCTCGGAGAAGAAGAGGATGAGAGAGCAGCAGATAATGCAAGACTCTTGTGGTGAGGGTAGAAGAAGATCGAGTAACTCAGAACTCACTTCCCTCAAACGCCCCTCCAAAACGTTGCGAGTCGTATCATAGATGCCCCGCTGAATCCGGTAGACGCCTCCCCTCCGTGCAAGCCGTCTGCATCAATTTAGCATCGGTGATATGAGTGAGATCATGGGACGACTCCCATACCTGATGTCTCCCTTAGCTGTGGGTGAAGAAAGACCTAGTCAGCTAATCCAACCTGTTTCAACTCACATATCCAAGGCCCAGGATTGATGGCCAAACAAGTGAAGAACGTTTGGAAACTCACTGATGCAGTTTAAGTTATCTTTCAGCACCTTTCGATGGCGTCTTGGTACCGTCGGCCCATGTAGACCCTTACCCCTGAAGGCGAGCGGCGATGGTGACATGTTGAGAAACCAGGTAGAGTTTCCTGCAGTGAGATAGCACCGGTTGGAAACGCTGAAGTGGATGAGAGATGAGGGCGAAGAGAAACTGCAAGAGCGTTGCCGGCACTCGGTGCTTGAAAGAGACTGAGCGAACGAGGACGAGGACGAGGACGGTGGAATGAGTCGAAGAAACGGAAGTGAGAGATGTTGAAGACCAAGAGTCAAAGAATCGGAGTGAGTGGTGTTGAAGACCGGTTGTGAAAAGTGAAGTGAAACTGAAACCGGAGGAAAAGAAAGGTAGAGTGAAGCGAGAACCTGTCCAGTGAAGAAGAGTTTGAGAGTATCGAAGAATTACACATTAAACAGCTTGCTAAGACATATCATCGCCCATATTCAAACCATGATTTGCCTATTCAGCCCTCATCCAATTTCTATTCCAGTCATGCAATGTCATGAGTTCGAGAAACATGAGTGTGGTGTTTCAGTCTTTACGAGATAAATGTCGCCTCTGTCAAGACTTTGCCGGGCTCGGAGACCTCTGCCTCATCGCCAACCTTGACTTTCAGCTCGAGTTGGTCGTTTGATAGATACTGCTCAACATGTTAGAAAAATGCCTTGTGCAAGGAACTTCCAGCAAGGGCATGGGCGCTTCTTACTTGGAAGATGTGAGGCTTCAAGCCTGTCGCGTGACCAATGAAAGATTTGACGAAGCCGGGCAAATGTGCCAGAACATCTACCCGGTCTGACTTGGCCGGCAGTTCGCCCCTGACCTCACCATGAACAGGCTTGCCATCCTTTTGGCCATCCCACTTCCACAATATCGTCCTTGGTTCTGGCCAGTCGTGGGGTGTCTCCCGCATGGAAGTGAGATGTTCGGCGGTACATTCGCCGGCGCATATCAATTCGCCATCTTTGGCGATGCCACCAACGCCAACCGTGGTTTTCCCGTAAGAGGCAGGTGTGGTATATTCCATGAGGATGGCCGAATAGTCTTTGGTATGAACGTTGGCAAAATTCCACCTATTTGCCAGGTGGTGTGGCTTCATCCCCTGGAGAGCGTAGATATAAGTGCCTTTGCCCTCCAAGTTGTACGTCTTCGAGGGGGTCTGCATGGTGCCGGTCACTGTGCACCGCGGCCAGAAAGCGTGTCGCATTGAGCCCCACGGGTTTTTTTTATCGGTGCCAAAATAGGTTGTGCCATCTTTACCAATTTGGAATCCCGGCGCTGCTCTCTTAACCGTCAAGTTGACAATGCAATTGTCATTTCTGGCAGACTTGATTGTGTACGTGTCACCCGCCTCGTTCATTTCCAAAGCCACGTTGTCGGCGTAGAAGCTTGTCTTCGGCTCGTCGAAACCATAGTCCTTCAGCGGGTCTGAGCACCAGAGATGTTTTCCCGGGCCTTCGTAGTTGAAGATTTTGCTGTTGAGCTGTGCCGTGGTATGGAGTCCCCTGCCAATTGATGGTCAGCGCATATGAGCAACGGCGGACTCGCTTATCGTGCAATTCCTACCCGACATTGCTGTAAATGACTTGAGCAAGAGCGGTCGTCCCGTCGTCGGCGTAGAAATAAAACGTCTCGGTCTCGACATTTGTGTGCTCCATTGCCTTCCACCGCAAATCATCCTTGGACAGGATAGAGTAGGGCACTTCCTGCTTGGTCACCGGCTGGACTGCGGAAGGCCCATATTCGGGCTCCTCAGTGCCCACGACGTTGGCTAGTTGCTGCTTGAACCAATTCATCTTGTCTGTGGTGTTGCGACGCAGAGTCTGAAGGGGATAAAAAGGGAAACCACGAGGTGTTTATCAATTGCATCAGGCAAAATGTAAGCCTGTGGATGTACGGGAGTCGACTGATGCATCAGCCATCCAGGGGCACTCGACGTCACCATAGGCGAATGGGATGCCTGCAGTGCCTTGGGGAAATCGTTGTCGCACTTGAAGAGCCGCCCACCGACTAACAGAAATTTTGCGGCTAGGCCTCGCCTTTGGCCCTTTGCAGGCTGTAAAGCCACTATTATTAAAGCCCAGTGGCCGGCTGTTGCCATCTCGGCGGAAGCAGACGGGATGCCAGTCAGCAACCTGCGCTAGATCCTTCAAGGCTTAGTTGCCAGTAACTGCGCTCCTTGCAGCTGGCGCTACAGGGGTCGTGTTTGCTGCATTGAATTGAGCTTCAATATTTTCCAATATTCATCGCAATCTCAAGCTCCTTGTTAATCTATCCTTGATCTCTCCACTACGAGTCTAGTCACCTATTGCACCAGAATTGAAGAGCTGCTGTCGACGTCAACCGATCACTCTGCATTGAAAGCCCAATCCTTTCATCGAGTCTGCCAAAAACAACTCTATCATGGCGAAGAAGGCCCCTGCTCGGGATCAGATCGTCAAACTGATTGTTGGCGCTGGTCAAGCCAGTCCGAGTCCGCCAGTCGGTCCCGCCCTTGGTAGCAAAGGTGTTAAGAGCATGGACTTCTGCAAGGTATGAATATTCGCCAGGGCGGCAGAGAAGTGCGCTTGCTGATGTCGGAGAAGGAATTCAATGCCCGTACCGCACATATCACCACCGGTGTCCCAATTCCAGCGCGAGTGACAGTCCGGCCCGACCGCTCCTTCAGCTTCGACATCCGCACTCCCAACACCTCTTGGTTACTCCTCCAAGCAGCCGGAGTGAAAGAGGTCAAGGGCAAAATCAAGGGTGCTCAGCGACCGGGCCACGAAAGCGTCGGCACAGTTTCTCTCAAACACATATACGAGATTGCAAAAATCAAGCAGAGTGAGACACGGCTATCTGGACTGAGTCTCGAAGGTCTTTGCAAATGCGTCATGTGGCAATGCAAATCTATCGGCGTCAAAGTCGTGCCGTAATCCGAGCCGCCAGATCAGCTACAAGTGTGTCTGCTCAGATTGAGCCTCGGAGCAGCTCTGATTACAGTGCGCATTGCTCGACAGGCCGAGGGACGGAGCATTCAACCTAGCAATACATGCGCACCCCGTCGATACCTACGGTCGGCATGTGTCGGTATGTGTTGCATCCCGACAAACGAGCAGAGCAGTCTGTGAACAGACAAGGATTTGGAAAGCTACAACCTCACCTTGTATGACCCAGTCTCAAACTCTGGGCATAGCTCCTGCAAACTGGTGGATAAAGTCCCATCGGAACCAAGACCAGTGATCGACGTCTGCGCAGTCCCTCTACTGGGTCACCACAGAGCGCCCTTAGCCGCAACGTGTTCAAGGACAACGGGTCATGGGAGCAAACAACATGTCGAGCAGGGGGATGATCATAGTCCACGATGCCCCGAGACCCGGGGAGCTGCCTCATGGTGAGCCGAGAGAAAGCCGAGAAGGAATGTGCAGACTCCGAAAAGGGATATTGGTTGACTACCCCGACTGCCCTTCGACAATCTTGCATAGGGACAACATCAGACAACCACGCGACCCCACGGGGACGGCGCTATGTTCAGCATGAAGAAGCCCCTGGGAGGGCCAGCTTGTCGCATGGATTCCGGTGGATTAGGATGACCACAATATGTGAGAATTAGGCCCAATGGCACATGTAATGCAAAACAGTCACGGTATACGCATCCTTCAATCAAAAGGACCCTCCGTCTGGCGACGATGACTCGTCACTCGGGAGCTTCCCAAAAGAGTACGAGAATAAAGATGACGTCTTGCCTGAAAGAACCTTTTGCCTCGCGTTCAGGCAGACGCCGACACCTCGTCAGTTGCGGCCGGGTAACGAGTGGGTGTATAATATGCACATTGTCATCATATTGTGTCCGGCTGGACCGGAAGGAAATCCTAGGATGGACGAGAAGCTGCAGGCAAAAACCGAGCGAATATCTCAAGTCATAGTCGCAATGGAAAAAGCAGCTTGCGAGGAGTGCAGGTGTTTGTCACAAACCCTAACCTGATCGGCTCGTTCTGCGCTCCGCTCAATGGCCCGTGGAGCGCGAGCAACGCCTTGCCCCCAGTAGTAATAGTTGAAAGCGGCGGTGGTACTACGCCATCTACCTAGATGGTTCCCGTGAGCCGGGCTCATGAGCTTGATCTTGTCAGCCCATAATTACCTAGGTATGACATTTGTCCCATAGTCAGAACGGAAAAAGGGTCCTTCTAATCGCCCATGGCTATGGCACCGAGGAGAGTTCTGGGACCGCAGCCGGTAGAATACCTCCCGCTGGAAGAGGGAATGATACGCTGAGATGGGCGTGTAGCGGGGCAATTCTTGAACATCCCACCTTTTTCGTCTCGCTCGCTAGGTTCCTGTTGGTGGTGACTGTGGAGGTTGCTTCGCCTGCACTGAGTCGCTGAAATTTCTCCCGCTTGCCCTGCCGCATTTCTCGAAAGCCCGTGTTGGGTTATTAAGTGAGCATGCAGCTGTTATTACTGTACCTGACATCCCTGGGACACCGCTTTCATATGCCTGAGAACCAGAGCTTCTGCCTTCCTTCAGCTGTCTCACTTCCTACCTTCTCATCTGTCCAACTGTCGCTCCACCAGATCCGCTTCTTCTCGGTCTTTCCGATTGCGTTTAATAGATCGGAAGAAGGAGATTAAAATCTCGCATTCGACGTAACTGCATAGCATGTGAGTTCAGTCTCCCTTATTGACCCGGCCAATGCCTTTGCACTACCCGTATTAGCTCATCTGTCCCTCCGACGAACCACCCCAACGCGCTCTCCTCTGATAGTAATCTCTGTTCTAACATGAATTCGACTCAGATCCTTCATTTCTAGCCATATCTCACGTTTTCGCTGTTCTCGGGAAAGTTGGACGCAAACCACCACTCGTTAATGTAGCCGCTCACTTTCGCTTCCGATCTCTACCGCAGTCATCACTCTTCCAGCCCACGATCTTCCGATAACATGACTTCCAGACTATCCGCAATGTTTCTCCCCGGCGACGACTCCAAGACCGACTCAGGTACGAGAGAGTTGTTGAAGGTGCAGAATCATGGTGCAATTGGCTGACTCGCCGACCCTAGATGCCAAAGCGGGACAAGAACAGCAACAATCCACCGAGACAAAGGACAAACCAGAGTCAACGCAAGGTGCTGTGCGATTTGCTTCGGAAAATGAAGAAATAGATCCTTTGGACGAGTCGAGGCGTCTTTCCCAAGCTGGTGGAGTGAAGAATGAGGAACTCAGCCCCGAGGCACATGAACAGATCAGGAATTTGGCCATGTCTCTACAAAAGTCACGGTTGCAGGAAAACCGCATGGCAAATTTTGCCTACGAAACGGTGTCTATGCCTCCCTCACGGGTATGCGGAACATTCCATCTTACTGTATCAAGCTGACAAAAGGCTTTCAGGTCCCTTCAAGAGACAGTGAGACGCCCGGTACTCCTCGTGGCTCGATAAGACAAGGCCACGGCTCCATGTCCTCTGCCTTTCAATCTCCTCCCTTGACACCGCATGGCTCAAAAGACGGGAAGCAAGACTCGGTTGCTGCAGGACGTGGCCAGCAAGGCCAGCACGCGATAACTCCGCAAACATCTCCACCTCCAGACTCACAGGGCAAGGGACTATCTCAGTCCATATCGCCTTCTCATCCTGTCTCTCCCCCTCAGTCCTCCGAACAAGCCCCGGGGAAGCCGGAACAAGCGCATGAGAGGCGTATTGCCAAATTTGAGATTGGTCCCTCTGAATCTGCCAGCCCAGTGGACCAGAGTCCCGTTGGAACACCCAAGCTTCGACCTTCCTCCCCACAGCCAGCTACTCAACAAAAGCCGCCTGAGCCGCGACATTTCGGAAGCATTGGAAGAGGCTCCCTGGCCCCGGCTATTGCGGCGGCAGCAGAGCGGATACCACGACAATCAAGTTCTACCGATCTTTCTGAGAAGCGTGGGTCAATATTTGGATCAAACAAGAAAGATCCGTATTCCCACGTCACTGGTGACAGTGGCAGCGACAAGAGTGGCTTAGACGGGAGGAAACATGGGTCCATGTCTGAACTAAAGCGATTCTTCAGGCTTGGTCACGGCCATAAGAAGCACAGCAACCAATCAGACTCACTGGCATCGACTGTACCAGCCTCGCGTAAGTCCAGCCAAAGGTCGGGAACCAGGACGCCTCCCCACCAAGCTCCACCGTCCAATGTACCATTTATGGACGACCACAGCCTTGAAGCAAAGTATGGGAAATTCGGCAAGGTTCTCGGCTCTGGCGCGGGCGGCTCTGTGAGGTTACTCAAGCGAAGCAGCGATGGAGTCACCTTTGCCGTCAAACAATTCCGAGAGAAGCATTCCTGGGAAAGCGAGAAAGACTACTCCAAGAAAGTCACAGCAGAATTCTGTATCGGCTCAACACTGCATCACGGCAACATTATCGAAACTATGGACATCATCCAGGAAAATCATCGGTGGTACGAGGTGATGGAGTACGCCCCCTACGATTTATTTGCCATTGTGATGACGGGCAAGATGAGCAGAGAGGAAATTGCATGTTCTTTCCTCCAGATTGTCAATGGTGTGAGCTATCTGCACAGCATGGGGCTCGCACATCGCGATCTCAAGCTGGATAATGTGGTGGTAAGCGAGCACGGCATAATGAAGCTGATCGACTTTGGGAGTGCTACAGTGTTCAGGTATCCTTTTGAGAACGAAATTGTGCTGGCTTCAGGTTCGTAAATGCTCCCTGGCATGGAAACCTATGCTGACATGACGTTGCAGGAATTGTTGGATCAGATCCTTATCTCGCCCCGGAGGTGTACGAGGAAAGGAAGTACGACCCAACAGCCACGGATATCTGGTCTTTGGCAATCATCTTCTGCTGCATGTCTCTTCGCCGCTTCCCGTGGAAACAGCCACGACTTGTTGACAACTCGTACAAACTATTCGCTTCTCCGCCTACACCGGGAACGCCTGTCCCAGATTCACACCCCCGCAAATCTTCGCATCTAAGTCCAAGCGAAGACAACGCTTCGCGACAAAATGCCGATGCCAACGGCAGTGCTAATGCTTCGTCGCATCATCATCATCACCACTCGGAAAGCGTGGATGAAGCGCGGCCTTCGACATCCGGTGGGGACAAGCAAGAAGTGATCAAAGGCCCATGGCGACTCCTTCGCATTCTTCCGCGGGAAAGCCGTCACATCATTGGCCGCATGCTCAAAATTGATCCAGCCGAACGAGCGACGATGGAAGAAGTGCTTGAGGACGACTGGGTATTGAGCGCAAGGGTCTGTTATCAAGAAGAGAATGGAACTGTTCATCATGCAGAAGGCCACACCCACGTTTTGGAAGCCGGATCCGGTGGACCTCCGCCAGCCAAGTAGCGCATAAGGCTGGGGCTCGCATGACCACGTTGAGTCCTGGAGACCTATGATGGAACGGCTATGTTCATGTCGCACGGCAACACTAATGGGATCGCATTGTGTAGAATCTGGAAGATTGAAATACAACTGGAGCATGATGGGTGACGGGTTGATTCGTCTTTTGGCCGAGGGCTCTGGTTGGATTGCGTGTTGGAGAAAACCCGAGTGTTGAAAATGTCGTCTACGAGGGGCCTTGATATTATTTGTAGATACCAGTTTATCATGTCAACCACAGATCAGACCTTTCGAGGTATGTTTTTGAAGCTGCAAGCTCAACAGGCAGAACCATGGTGCCATGCAAAAGACCACTTCTCCCCTCGAACTGTGAGTTTGTTTCGGGTTAATGTGACCCGGCGAGCCGCTATCTTGGAGACGGTGACGGTGGCTTGTCACGCTTGTCCCGCCCCCAGCTTCTGGAAAGGGCAGGGGCAGGGGCACTCGTCTGCCACTGCCAGTGACTGCCACTCGTAAGAACTAGCTCCTGGGTGGCTCCTGACTGGCGTACCATTCACCATCCACTGCGCCCGCACTTCACAACGGGCGCAGGCTAAATACTACCACTACTACCTGATCTGCCGATGCAGCTCTTCCGTGCTTCTGCAACCTCTGCAAAGGACATTGGAGGCAAAGTCGTGTTGACGGTAGTGTTCTTTTGACTGGATTCCGCGGAAATGGCCGGTTGAGGGAGACCGATTGTGTTTGTCGCAAAGGTTAGAGAATCGTGAGGGCTTCACAAATCACCCGCATATGGCCAAGAAGAAGCGCCAGAGGATCAGCTATGGTTTGTCATCTTTGCCTCACACACAGAGTGCGTGTGACTGACAAGTGAGCAGTACTGCCTCTGGCAAGTACGCCAGGAGGCCATAGACTTGGGGTGAACGGGCTAGCATTTGACGAGGATCGCTCCATACTGTGCGCAACCGCCCCCTTGATATCGATTGCAGCGAACGAATACTGAGCAATGGTATAGATACACTGGCGGCCGCGATGGCGTGATATGCGCGTGGGATCTGGACTTGGAGGCGCAAAGATTGAATCAACGAGAGGCAGACGCAGCAAAGGACAAAAAGAGCACTGTATCGTTCCGCAAGCAGGTGCAGGCGCACACTCACTGGGTCAACGATATTGTCCTGGTCAAAAATAACCTTGGGTTAGTCTCTGCCTCGTCCGATGTCACTGTCAAGCTGTGGAGGCCTCACGCACACGAATCGTCCCAAGCGTACACCATCGGTTCTCACAGCGACTATATTAAATGCCTTGCAACGCCGGACCGGACAGCCAATTGGGTAGCCTCTGGGGGCTTGGACCACAAGATCTGTCTTTGGGATCTAAACGGAGGTGGCAAGAACCTTGAAATCAATGTGGGAGCGGCACAGGATGTGGTCAAGGGATCTGTGTACTGCTTGCGTGCGCGGGGATCCTTACTCGCTAGCGGAGGACCTGAAAGCGTCGTTAGATTATGGGACACCAAGTCTGGCAAAGGCATAACAAAGCTTGTTGGACATACGGACAATGTCAGGGACATCTTGATCAGTGACGATGGCGATACACTGCTCACTGCCTCGTCCGACCAGACGATCAAGGTCTGGTCTATTGCCGCAGGTCGATGCGTTCATACCTTGACCATGCACAACGACAGCGTCTGGTGTATGTACTCGGACGACCCCAATCTGGCTGTCTTCTACTCTGGGGATAAATCAGGTCTGGTGGCCAAGACTGATACCCGACGGGCAATGGAGATTGATGATGGGGTATCCGTCGCCGTCTGTCAAGAACACGATGGTATTGCTCGGGTACTCCCTGTTGGCGACTCTGTCTGGACAGCAACTTCAAGCTCAAGCGTCAATCGCTGGCTCGACGTCGATACCGAGCTTGAGGTTGAAACACCTCCGGCGTCTCCACGTGAAGAAAGGGCCGCCAGCCCAGAAGCCAGAAGTCATTTGAGCCCCGAGCCCCTAGCGTCTTCGTCGCCTCCGACAACGAACGGCACCACGAACGGTGAAGTCGAGCACAAAAAGAAAATCCCTCACAATGCAATCCTTCGCGTCTCAAACACAGCCCTTCATCCTGGCAGGAAGCATCTCGGCACACATACCAACGTATCGACCACAAATTTGAGGAAGGCTTCGGAGGCCATGATCGCAGATGACCTGAGTCTGGTTGTCCCTATTAGGGGCCAACCCGCTGAAACCATTGAAGGACAAAATGGGCTCATCAAACACGTCATGCTGAACGATAGGAAAAGAATACTCACCTTGGATACTGCCGGCGAGGTAGTCCTGTGGGACCTTCTCAAGGCAAGGCGTACTCTCCTGACGGCGGTATCCGCACACTGACCTTGAAACAGTGCATTCCCATCAAGTCCTTCGGCCGCCGCCATCTTGACGAAGTCGTGCCAGAGGTCAATACAACTGAGAGCGTTGCTAACTGGTGTGGCGTGGACACGAAGACTGGAAAGATCACAGTCATGCTCGAGGAGAATTACTGCTTTGATGCTGAAGTTTATGCAGACGAGCTAGACTTGCCCAGCGATCTTACCTTTCGTGAGGATCAGAGAAGTAAGTCGATCCCAAATCGAGAACGCTATGGAAGGGGGCTGACAACCAACGAACAGTCAATCTCGGCAAATGGGTGCTACGCAACTTGTTTTCGAAGCTAGTTGACGAAGAAATTGCTCGGGATGAAGCCTATAGAAGTACACTCCAGAATTCCGTCAGTGCTCCTACTCCAAGTGGCATTGTTCGACCTGGAGCGCCAACCAGCATCAAATTGCCGGAATCTGTTGGCACGACACCCATGGTATCACCGGGGACAGTTGTGACGCCTCGCGCCTCGAACGGCTTCTCTATGGTTCCTGCCACTCCGGGATTCGTGATTGGCGCTGCTACTCCCGGCTTCGCGCCACTGACCGCTACACTTCCTCCCACCGCAGAAGAAGAGCCAGCACAGACTCCCAATGGAGCGCCTCCACGGTCACCGCGAGCGCAGACTCCCCGAGTGGGAACCCCTCGAGCGCAAACACCTCATGTGCAACCAACACCGTCAGCGACGGAATCCCAGAGTGTCGACTATTTCTCTTCAACCAACACTACGGCCAACAATCAGTCTGAGGCATCTTCGGAAAGCGATAAAGTCCCCAAAACACCTGGAGGTGGCCCGGCATCGACGGAAACCAACGCTCAGGGTATGACACCAACGTCACCAACCGAGGAGAGGAAAAAGGGCCTGTTTGGCAAGAAGTTCGGCATGGGGATGTCCTTCCCGAAGAAGATGGCGAGCCGTGCGTCTGCAGAAGTGAAAGCGCCAGTTGTATCAACAGAAGAGAGATCTTCTGACACGGCGTCAGTCCGGTCTTCGGAGAAAGACGTCGAGAAGGTCAACATCGAAGATAATTTCTTCGGTGTCGTTCAGAAGATCCGGCTAGAGTATGATGAACATCTCGAGACCAAACCAGAACAGCCCCTACCGCAAGGGATAACTCCCTCCCTACCGGCGGAGACGCCTGTGCTACATCCACCACCGCACACCACTATCATTATCCAGGAAGATAACCCGGAAAGTGGTGGATTGGCAGATCAATATAGGGGTGAGATCAGTGAGTTGGGAAATCCTGCGGAGGTGGACGCCCTTGAGAAGATTGCCCCGATGTGGTTGGGTGACTTGTTACTGAAGGTGAGTTTGGATCGTAATATTGTTTCTATCCCTCCTCTATCCTTGCGTTTTCTTGTGTCATTTCGGCAAAGATGGAGCCGTTGACTCTGTGTTACGTTCAGAATCAAATCCCATACAAAGACACCGTCAAGGTGTCCTTCGTCTTGCACCCCTATGAGAATTTGCTCCCGCCAATCGCTTCACCTGACGGCAATTCTCGGCTCAACGCGAACCGCATGCTCCGCGCAAAGAAAATCATGGCGTACATCGCTGAGAGGATTGAGGCTCCTGCAGCTCAACAACATGCTCAATCCTCCGAGACCACGGAAGGTGGATTGCAATCCAATGATGAAACGCAGCAGCAGCAGCAGCCAGACATTACCGCCCCTGCTGTTGAAGCAGAAGCAGGACCAGAAGAGAACCCGGAGGAGTCTCAGCTCAAGCCAGAGGAGTATTTGGAGCTCTATTGCCAGAACCAACTGGTCCATCCCAACACGACGCTGGCCACGCTGCGCGTGCACGTGTGGCGAACAGGTGGCGATGTGGTGTTATATTATAAATCCAATGGCAGGAAGAAGTTGATCTTACCACATCCCTCGCAGGTGCCTACGAATGTGGAGAGTGAGGAGACGACGGGTGTAGTGAGATAGGCAGAGCAAAGGGAATGCAACGAGGGAGACAGGCATAGAATTGGCGAGCATTGCAAGTGCAGCCATCCCAAGCAAGTGGTCAAGCTGAGTGGACTGGGAGGAAGAAGCACCTAAGGCATAGGAGTGACTACAACAAGGCTGAAGGGTAAGGGCTCCCCTGATTGTTAGGTCTCGACTCACGAGAGACCATTTGAATAATTAAGAATGGGTTCATTGCAAGTGCAAGAGCCGGTCAACACTTGCTCTGGGAGAAAGAAAGGAGAACAGGAATAAAAAACTCAAAAGGACAAGCTGCAGAATATACATGAGCTGAATTTATAGAATGCTTTTGCTTTTTCTATTTTCTGAGCGCCAAAGCCCGTCCGGAGCTTGTAGACATAGGGTCAATGCAGATCTATGCTTCTTCGGCCCCGAGGAGATTCCAGACATATTGGTACGTTCCGAGAAATATCGCACCCCCGGTACTGATCCAACCAACGCGGGGCACGAAGCCACGAAACAGGCCTGGGGGGCCTTCGTCCCGCCAGATCTGCTGCAGGACTTTGACGGGGCCGGCTCGAGTTGAGGAAGTGCCACCGCCTGCCTCCTTGCGAGCGAGCATGATCCTTGTCTTGAGCACGTCCAAGGGGGTTGTGAATCCTGCGGCAATACCCCCCGCGACACTGCCAAAGATTGCGCTCTCGGAAGCGGTGACCAGTCCCTCAGGGCGACCGGCCATTCTGTGCTGTCGCTCCGAGTAGGACGTCTTGAAGTATTCCCACAGGCTGAACTGGGTGATGGTGAAAGGGATCTCGCGCATGATGGTCACGCCGCCTCCTCTGTACAGCTCCCGGATCATGGTGGTGTAGCCGTCGGTTTTTCTGAGCGAGAGTATGTCCTGTAGTGCGAGGAGCGTCGAGCCGCCGAACAACCCCGCCTGAGCGCGCTGCTTGACCACCTCGGTCGGCACGCGGATCGCGCAGGCCGCGATCTCCCCCAGTGACGAGGCTAGCATGTGCGCGTAGGCCTGGTGCGCGGGAGACTGTCGGGTTGGATCAATCAGTGATCTTTTGACGCCGTCGTAGACGACGAAGAAGGATGCCGCGGATGGCATGGAGCCCAGCAACGCCGAGGGGAGTCCCGCGTACATGCTCCGCAACGTCCCCTGGATGGTATGCCGCGGGAGGATGGATGATGCATCATATTTGGCACTTGTCAGGTTGGACTGCAGTCGTGTCTTGATCGTGTCGAGCGGGTAGAGGGAGAAGTCGACCGTGAGGCCGGCGAAGGCGCCTGCCTGTATTCGTCAGAAAATAATCATCATGGCCTCCGGTCTCGAGGGACGGTGGGGGACGGAGGGAGGGAGGGATTTACGATGAGGGACCGAGTCCAGAGTGAAGTGTGCGAGTTCGCGAGGAGTTCTCCCCCGCGTTGGGGAGCTTCTTGCAGGGTTGTCACATCATCCTGCTTCTGCTCGATCATCCCTGAACGTGCCGGTGCCTGGGAGAGGCAGAGGCCGACCGCTTCAGGTTGTGGGAGCAGGCAGTGAGGTGCAGGTCGGCGGACCTGTGTAGAAGCATCAGCACCTCAGTAGTAGGAGAGACGAATTTGAGGTATTGAGTTGGAGATAATTTTCAAATGACGGCAATGTGCCTGTCAGTGTCGGAATGGGGAAACATGTCTTGCTCCCGTGGGATGCAAGCTACTACCGGATTATGGCTTGCTCTACTTACTTATATAGTTCATGCTTGTTCGACATTACTAGTATATACGGGTTCCTTCTCGTTTCAGACTACATGGCAAGCTCAGGCGCGTTCTATCCCGGCCCGAAGTGGAATATTCCGGCTTCACCAGCCGAGTAGGACGTTCAGCAATTGCTAATCTTCCACAGCTCGAGTCACATCACCCGTGTGGTGTCTGATCATAAACCCGCCGTCTCCCTTCCTCAGCAGAGTCTTGATCCAATCAACGCCAAAGTCCCACCAACCATGCCGGTCTGGCTTTGCCAACTCGATAGATCCCGGATCGAGGCTACCCACGGCGACATCGACAAATGCCTGCGGAGTATCCAGGTATTTGTGGCTCAGGTATGTGAGGTTGGTACCGCAGCGTGAACAGAAAACCCTCGTTGCCCGATCAGTGCAGCAGAAGCGCGATACGTAGGTCGAGGTCGAGGTCGAGGACGACTTCTCTTCATTCTCTTTGGCCGGTCCCACAGCTTCGCGGGTAGATAAATGAAGAGTTTGCCCGACGTCCCCCGCAGCTTCATCTTTCGGTTGCAGGTCCCATTCCACCCAGTTGATGGGCACTATGAGCCAGCATTGAACCAAACAGCCAGCCTGGCGGCGGCAGTTGCCGCAGTGGTCGATGTCAACCAGGGGCAGTTTTGTCTGGACTTTTTCGGTCGAAGAGATGGGAGTGTCCAGGGCGCCAGGAACGGGAGGGCGCTTGTCCCAGGCTGGGACTTTGACGGTGTAGCGGATGGCTTTGCAATAGCAGCCGCCCGTGAGGTTAATGGCGTCTTTGGGAAGATACGACATCTTGTAAGTCGTGATGGAATGTCAGATGGAGCAGCTTCTCCAATTGATTACTTGCTGCCTGACTGTGAATTGTAAGGTGCGCCGTGAATGTCCAGGTCAGCGCTTGACAGAGGGGGTATCGACTTGCCTTTTAAACCATCTGAACACGTGGTCGAAATAGTCCAACCTGCTCGCTGTTAGGAGGGCACGGAAAATCCGTGTCCCCTTCAATGGACGATAGAATGAGGCCAGCGTGGATTGAGCAGCGGGGAACTGGGTGGGTGGTGCTGGCGGACGTCGGTGGTTGCCTGGCAACGATGCTATGTGTGGTTTGTGTGGTTGTGGGGCTGCAAAAATATCGGAGCCACGGAACAAGCACGGAACAATACGAGGCATCGCGTCGCAGTTCGCAGTCCACGTCCTTACCACTAGACACCAGCCACGGGTGTCCCGCATGCTCTACGAGGTACGATGGTTCGGACACTCTAACAGCCTCTTCGCTATGGTTACAGCCAACATTGTTTTTCTATATGCGATATCCTCGTCGCTTGCTTGAGCATTGACTCGTGCTCCCTCACGCGATCCTACCCATTGATACCGCCCATTCACCTTCATCCGCATTTAAATTCACCCATTACCTCCAATCCCCCAGTACCACGAAGCACGCACAATGGAGCCGTGGCTAGACTCGCTGTCTGAAGACTGGAAGTCTGAACACCGCTCATCCTCGCCCGCGCCTTCTCTCTCAAGCAACCCTCAGCACGGTAGTGTCGCGCTGGGCCGCTCCCAAAGCCGCATTCCGCACCTCGCCAACAACATCCGCAAAGACTCCTCCGCCGGAAGCTTTCTGAGACACAGATCAACTCGCGGACAAGCTCGACAGAGCAGCAAATCCATCCTACGCGAACGAAGTGCCTCCAGTCTCAACTTGCCTGCTGTCTCGGGCTCACAGAAACACTCAAGCCTGCCGCGCCGAACGTCAAGTGCTTTCTCAGAGTCTCAGAACTCGGTCCAACATCATTCCGTCCGCGAGAAGCCCTCCTTAGCAGAAACGCCGGAATGGAAGAGACGGCTTGTCGCAGGGGAAGATGTCAACAGCGACGGCTTCGACCTCTTCTCGCCTTCAAAACTAGAGGGCGTTTTCAAACAGCCAAATTCGTCTCAATTACAAAGCGACAGAGTCGAACAGCCCGAAAGTAGCTCGGTCCGGAAGCCTTTCAACCTGCCCGCCACCAATCCTTTCCCCGAACAATATTCCAGCTATCGAATCAATAAAAGTCGGCTGAATCTTGAGATCCTGGAAGAGGTCAATGAGGAAGAAGAGGTGGACCAACAAAACTTGTCTGCACTGTCGTCGGATATTGTCAGGACTGGCTCTCTTCGAGGCCTAGTGAAACAGCGAGTCCAGTCTCTCGAGCGCGTGGGGAGAAGTCGGTCGACGCCATCGTCACCAAGTGGCTACGATGCGCAAGATCCACGATGGAGGACAATCAGTGGCCAAGAGGAATTGCGAAACGAGTTCATCTCCCCGGTCACAGTCTCGAAACAAAACTCGATCCGCGATACAGTGCTACGGACAGATATCGATATACAAGCATTGAGAAGCAAGTTGCAAAGCGCTGCTTCAGAGGAGGAAGATCGGCCAGGCTCGAGCTTGAGCGACAGTCGTATCAGCTATATGGGAAAGAAGGATTCGGAAGAGCATTTCAAGGACGAACCACTACCTGATCTGACCTCTCAATCTTTGCCCGACGACTTGTCTATGGGTACTCAAGATTTCGTTACACATGGAGGCTTCATAAATTCGCGACGGGGCGGCCGTTCGAATGAAGCTTCGTTCCTCCGCAAAAGCCTGAGCCTCAGCCAAGAGCCTTCACAAATCGAACCAGGTTCGCGAGCCGATGTACACTTTTACAGCTCACCACCTCCACATTCCCGGCTCTCCAACGATGCTATCGACCACAGCAGACTCAGCGCAAGTGCCCCAACCACACCTCAAGATACGAGTGTGGTTCATCATACAGACACCCACCTCCGGCCCGCCTCTTCTGGAAGCCCCTTGAAGTTGTTCGGGAACCGAGACACGTACACGAACAATAAATTGATGCGCATTTTGAGCCATTTCGAGGAGCCCGATAGTTCTTGCGAGAAACTGGCCGAGCCCGCGTTGACAGAAGCACAAGAAACCGAGTTTCGAATGAGCCAATTCGGGCAGGGTGACCTTGATGGGTTTGGCTTTGAGCAAAACGTCCGCAGGCCTTCGCCGGTCGAGCCAGTAATAGTGAACCCGGAAGATAGGATCTTCAAAACTCTTTTGTCAGAGTCGTCCGACATTTCTGAATCAGCCCGTGATGCTGCCGCAACAAGAGCAGCACACGAACCCGCCCAAGGGCGCACACAACGGGAAGAGATCATCAGCCACACTGAAAATGATAGAACAACCAAACGACGCAAGACGCTTGTCCAAGACCAAGTATTGCCATTGGACCATCAAGTTGAAGTCAAGGTCGCCGAGCCTGGAGAAGCAACCACATATGCTGGGAAGAAGAGAAAGGATGCCCGGCCTGGCGATGAAGGCGTCGAGGCGGATCCAGACGTTCTTGCTTCGCGAGATCTGCTGAGACCAAAATCGGCGCGAAGGTCTTCTTCCGTCAGTCGCGCCACGGTGGTACCAGATGTTGAGGTTATCGACCAAGATCTGGAACCGCAAGGGGCCAGTGAGGATCTCACTGAAGCTTTGGCCGCAGAGTTGGCCACATTCGCACAGGAGGCAGCTCAAGTAAACAACGATTCGCGCAAACCATCGCTCGCCACCAAGGACTACATGGAGGAAGCCAACAAAGTCATGCAATTCATTCGATCCCGAGGAAAGCCGAAGCCTGTTGCCGCTCTGCCAAACATTACTGAGCCGACTGACGTGTCAGAGCTGAATCCAGATGCTATCCTGGATCTGGATATTGACGCAGACTCTACTAAGGACGATTTTTCTCGACCGCCATCCCGAGAGCATGTGCCACGGCCCGTCCAAGACCGTCGTCACGCACGCCATGACTCTAGGACAGCGAGCTATTTGCGCAAATATCGCGACGAAGACGATATGGACGCTCTGGGCAGCACTTCGGTGTTTGGCACCCTTGCACGGGTGAATGAAGCCGTCACTTTTGAAGCAGCCGCACCCACAACTCCAGAGGAGTTGCAGGAGAGCAATCCTCCCAACATGCGTATTCTGAATGTCGCCGATACTATGAGAAAACGAAAGTATTCCAGTTCCACGATCGAGGGCCAGCAGGATTTCACGCAGGATCATCTAGCTCACACTCAACAAACCTGTCACAGCTCCAGTCAGCAGTCCTTCCCAACACGGTCGTCCGCATCCGGTCACAAAGGTGTCATTACTTCTGGTACTGTATCGATACCCGACCGCGTTGGTACCATGACGTTTGATCATGACAAGAAGGTCTGGGTGAAGAAGCTGTCTACAAACGACGGCTCGAGACAGATAGGCCGACAAGACCGGCAAACCATGACCGAAGACGACCCTTTTGAAGATATCCCTGACTTGAGCATTGATGAACAACGAGAATTGCAGTCCGGTACGAGGCATGCCACAACTTCAGCGGACCAAAAAGAAGCGGTGTTTGGTGCCAACATCTCTGATGCTAGAGGCGTCTCTCATCCTTCCCCGCAGCTTCTCCCAGACCCGGACGCCAACCCCAAAAGCGAGCAACCTCATCACAGATTGGCAGTCGAGGATGATATTGAGGAAATTGACCGAAGCTCCCTTCGTTCCAAGGCTTCAGCGCACGAAGCAAAACTCCACAATGGCGTCCCTTCCAAGCCTCCTAGCCAGCTCAAAGACGATCGCAAAGCTCGAGCAGTAACCATCGCTTTTTCGTCCCCCATCGTGTCGGCTGTGAACTACACAAATCTGTCTGAGGACGACTTTGACAACCTCCCGCGCGAAGAAGACCTTCCTCTTGATGACTCGGCAATTGACCTTGTCGTCGAGCAACGTGAGCAAGACTTGCCGCAAACAAGTATCCTGCCTCTGTCCACAGACTCCTTCAAGAAAAGAAGTCAAGTGCGATTGCTCAGTCAGGAACGGGCAGTCACCTTCCAGCCTCGGACGATATCGCCAATTGTGGAGGACGATGAAGAACGTTTCGAGCCCCAGATGAGCCTCGTCCACGTGCAACACTCGCACATGGTAACTCCTGCACCACCAAAGACCATCGCAAAACTACAAAAGACAGGAAACAAAGCGTCAAGCATTCTGTGTCTGACTCCGCTGTCTGACTTCTCCCTACATCAAGTTGACAAGGCGAAGGATCCTGACCAGAGCTATGTTGACGAAAGAAAACATCCGAACGCGCTGCGGCAAGCTCATGGCTCGCTAGCGTTGGTTGTGGACGAGCTCATCAAGGCCATAACCGATGCGGCACCTGACGAACTATTCTGGGATCAGCTTCGCCGAATGACATTTGCTCCAGCCAGTGTGTCCTCAGTTCACGGTCTGAAAGATTACTGTCCAAGCTTGGAAGAGCTGAATATGTCCGGAAACAAGGTATCCCAGCTGGGTGGCTTGCCGCCTACCTTGCGGATTCTTGATATCCAGGAGAACCTGGTTAATGACCTGACTTCGTGGAGTCATCTCCGTAATCTTCAGTACCTCAATGTGTCTGGAAATCGGTTAGAAAGCTTGGAAGGCTTCAGTTCCCTGGTTCATCTGCGGAGACTGGACGCCAGTAACAATCAGATTTCAAGTATTGATGGAATCCTGGATCTGGATGGCCTGCTCGAACTTAAGCTAAGCGACAATGACTTGACGAGAGTTGATTTTGAAGGCTGTGATCTGAAACGACTGAAGACATTGGACCTCAGCCACAACCAATTGGAGGTCATGGGGAACATTCAGTGCCTTCCTGTCCTTGAAGAGCTTGATGTATCTCACAATGCTCTGCAGAACTTCCTGACAATATGTGACGATACGCCCATTCCAATACGGAAGCTGCGGATCGCCCACAATGAACTAGAGTCGATTGGCCTGAAGCATATGCCAGCTCTTCGACATCTGGACCTGGACAATAACAAGATCAAGGACATTCAGGGCCTACAGTCGGCATATCACTTGGAGTTTTTGTCTCTCAGAGAACAGAAAGAACAATCGGACATTGTTGATCTGGTTCTATCTTCATCGAACGAATGCAGACATATCCGTCTATCGTCAAACTTCGTGGTGAACGGGACGTTGAAACTTCCAACATCGCCTCAGAACAACCTCCGCGAATTGGAGATCGCTGCCTGTGGCATTTCGGAGCTCCCTGAAAGATTTGGGCTATTCTTTCCCAATTGTCGACATCTGAACGCGAATTTCAACGCCATCAAGGAGGTAGACCCATTACGAAAGATGGTGCATCTCGACACCTTGCTCCTGGCGAAGAACCGTGTCAAGAGGCTGAGACGAACTTGCCTAGTCATGTCTAGGCTTCCGTCGCTGAAGCGAATTGATCTGCGCGAAAATCCTTTGACTGTGGGATTCTACAGTCCTGCATCGGCTCAAGTGGCCGATGCGGACTTGGCACGATACTACCTGCCTGATCGATCGGAGGCAGACGACATTTCTTGGCTGAAAGTGCTTGATGAAGCGACGGGTCTCAAACGACGCATGATTGAGTTGATGCTAGCGGAGCACTGCAAGGATCTGGTTCAACTTGACGGACTCGGCTTTTCTCGTGAGCGGTTGAGGTCAGAGGACGAGACATGGGATAAATTGACAGGCCGAGGAGTGCTTGTAAAGCCGACCACAATGGCTGCTGAAGAAGCCGGTGGTACAGAGAGTCATGGACAGGATGTGGACGATGGTGGACAAGGTCGGCAGTCTGAAATGTCCATTGCCAATGATGGGGATGTATTTAATGGTTGATGAATGTACAACAGCTTTTTCGGTCTTGGGGTTTGATGGGTTACAGGGCCTGGGGTTTCAAAAGTCGCTTGCTTCGGGTTCTTTTGGACATCCTGCGGGGGCATTGGCATGTTCTGCTGCTTGTTGAACAAGTGTTGGAGAAGCACACGACACGCTCGGCTTTGTGTTGGTATGTATCAGTGCACGAATAATGAATCCATTAATGGATGCGATGAAGCTTTGACCTCTTTCAGGGGCCCGTGTGCATTCCCGGCGGAACCCCGGCCACCTCCTGGATCTTGTCAGCCTTGCCTCGACTCGCGTGTGCCAGCCTCGTCTGCCGAGCACTTGCGCTGGCATTCCTAAAGGTGTTTTCTAGACGACGCACAGACTCAGCCGCCAGCCTTGTGCATTCAATGTGCATAGGCACCTCCCAGCCCGAGGATGAAGACGGTGTAAGTCGCTGGACATGCTGTTCCCCTGAGGGTACATATAGAACCACGATGGCAAAATACGGAACACTTGCCCTTTCTCTCAGACATTGATCTTTCGATTTCAACGACTCTATTTATTTCGCACTGGGACTCCCTTATTTTCCCATGATATACCACCAAGTCATGATCCAGCCCTTTTACATCCCTCTTCTCTTTTTCACACGTGTATGTGTATATGCGTCCCCGATAGCACAACCACTGCCCCAGGCTGTGACGGCGGCGATATGTCCATCACAACCGCCGCCGCCGGGATGTACGGGCACATTTCCCGGCGTGTTTGGGATCGCGTTGATGAATATCTCCTTGCCTGCTTCTGCTTCGGTGTCAGCTTCGGAGGCAAGTGGTGCTGGCAGACGGCGTGGGAGACGGCAAGAGACACCGGCTGCAATTGTCACGATGGGGGCTGTCTCGCAGATTGGGGATGGTCAGGTCCAAGGTGGAATGCACACGGCAGCTATTACGGTGGCGGCACCTCTGGCACCTGTGTCTCAGATTGGAGATGGGCAGATTCAGGGTCCTGTTGTGACTGTTGTGCCTGATATTGCCATGGCGGCGGCACCCACGACAGCAACCTTGGCCACGCCAACTTCAAATGTCCCTATTCCTTTCCCTCCACAAGGGACAAACCCTGGGGCGACACCGAGTAAGCCACCGACTGTGCTGGAGCAAGCTTGCGGCATCTCGACTCGACCGATCCTCAGCTCGACCTTACTAAAACCATCGTCGGCGTCGGCGTCTTCCCTGCAACCCAGCTCCTGCACCTCCGGCTTCCTCAACATCAGCACCCCCTCCCCAGCTGCCACCACCACGTCCTCATCTCCCCCGTCGCAGTCCCCAATGTCGTCCTTAGTGTCATGTCTCACGAACTCGACCCTCCAGCTCCATCTGACCAACAACAACCTCTATGACGCTTTCAATCGGACTGGCTATATCGCGTCCAACTACCAATTCCAGTTTGATGGCCCGCCGCAGTCTGGAGCCCTTGTGACGAGTGGGTGGAGCATTTGTCCTCTCGGCAGTAACAACACCACGACCTCCACGACTTCGAGTTCCAGTGCCAGTGCCAATGCCGTTCAGGGTGCTGGAGACACGCTTGCCCTCGGGGGAAACACCACGTTCTGGCAATGCCTCAGCGGCGACTTCTACAACCTCTACACGGAGAACTGGGCCGCTCAGTGTAGTCCGGTGCAGCTGAGGATTGTTAATTTGATAGACTGTGGTCAGTGAGGGATGATGAGGACACCGAAGTCAGACACGAAGGAAACGAAATGTGGCGGGTAATGATGTTTCTGGATCGTGAATGAATGAAAAGGCGTTATGATAGATCGATAGATTGTATGGGGTTTTTGTGAGCTACTACTAATAATGAATGATATGAATGATTGCCTCGAAGCTCCTGGTGACAACTTCCCTCGTACTTCGCGGCGGATGGACTACCTACAAGTTACAAGATCTTCTGCTTCGACAAATGCTTCTCGCCCATACTTTCGTCTGGGATACTGGTCCCCGCCCGCCGTTGTGTTTGAAGTGATCAGTGTCTTGATGTATCACGAGGTCAGTTGTTTCCTTGATCCTTGCGCCTCACCTCAGCCCATGAATGAATCCTGGCCCAGCATCCATCCTCCAGAGATAGAACGGCATAAAAGCCCAATGGCTATGGCGCAGAGGCAGCTTGGGCTTTATTCCAAAACCACCAAGGAAGAGACGTATAACAAGAAGAGTAAGTTTCCCAACGAGCCCGCTGATTGGATTTCAACCACTCATACTGATGCTTCTATCTACATCACTCCAGCACGCTGCGCACCCCCCACAGATCCTTGAGGTCGTTCTTGTTCCATTCCCAGTTGACCTTTTGGAACTTTTGCTCGAGGACGTCGCGGTTCTGGGCCAGCTTGACCTTAAGGTCGTCCCAGTCGACCTTGACGAGGCGGCCGGTGCGCTTGAGCACCTCGCCGTTGACCAGGACGGTGTCGACGTCGGCTGGCGTGGCGTGCGTGACCAGCGCAGCCGAGTAGTCGACGCTACCGACCATTGAGGGCGAGTCGGTGCGCACTAGCACAATGTCGGCGAACTTGCCCACCTCCAAACTTCCGATCTTGTCCTCCATGTGAATCGCCGCCGCGCCCCCCAGTGTCGCCATATACAACACGTCGTCGGTGTGCGCGGGCACCAGGTCCGGGAGCTTGCCGCGCGCGTGGAAGGAAGCGTTGGCCCGCATTCGCTCCTGCTGCAGCGCCAGCCGCATCGCGAAGAACAGGTCCCCCGAGCAGATGGCGGGCGAGTCGATGCCCAGCCCAACGCGACACCCTGCAGCCCGGTAGAAGTCGAACGCCGACGGGATCCCGTGTGACATGGCCATCTCCGACTCGGGCGTGGTGACGATGCCAATTTGCCGCGCCCGCACGAACTCGATGTCCGCCGTAGACGGCTCGCACGTGTGCGAAAACGTCGTGTGCGCCGGCACCGGCATGGCCTTGTCCCGCAGGAATGCCAGCGAGGGGAGGTTGTATCGCGGCACGTCGTGGAACGTCACGGGGATGTCCTTGTCGCGCGTGAAGGTCAGGATCTCGCGTGCCTCGGCCTCGGGGATCCAGTGAATCGTGTCGAAGCCCAGCCCCAGCGTCAGCCGGCCGTCGTTGCCCGGCCCGCCCAGCGGATGCTGGCTCCACAGCGTCTTGAACAGCTCGATCTGCTTTGCGTGGTGCACCGTCATGTCCGGCAGCGTCATGGGGTTGAGCGACATTGGGATCGCGAATGGGGACGCGCAGTACACGCTCCGGATCCCGGACTCGATGGTAGCCCGGATGCAGCGCTTCGCGTGGTCCGGCGTCACCACCACGTGCGAGTGGTCCATGACAGTCGTCACGCCGCAGAAGATAGCCTCGCTCGCCCCCGACAGTTGCGAGAGGTACATGTCCTCGGGGCCTAGGAACGCCATCCGCCCTTGCAGCAGATGCGCGCAGTACTCGAGCAGGGTGTGATTGCTGACCGTGGACCGGAGCTGGGACTGGAAGACATGTCGATGGCCGTCGATGAACCCGGGAGTCACGATACAGCCGGTAGCATCTATGACCTGGATGGACGCATCGCTGGCGTTGACCTCGAGGTTCGGCCCAACCTTAGTGATCAAATTGCCTTCGACGAGGATGTCGTGCTGAGGGAACGACGATTTCCGCCCCTGGTCCCAGATCAGGACTCGACCGTTCTTGATCAGATATCCTGGCATTGTATTGTTCTGCACAGTTGGGCTCGGAAAAATAGAAGGGTTTCAAGCAGGTGATAAAGGGGGAGTGGAATGGATCAAGGACAAACGGCCATGGCCCTTCTTTTCGAAGAACACCGTACGTGTATGATGCGGCCATCGAAACTCTTTAAATGGGGCGATCCAGAGCCATCCCTCCATCCTCTCTCGACATCAGGGGGGGCCTCTCCACATTGTCCATAGCAAGCAATCTTTTACCAAGACCTCCTGCTCGGTCATTTCAAGCCGATGACTCGGTACACCGGGCAGCCTGTAGGCGGACGGAGCCAGGGCGGACCAAAAAGAAAGATGGACCGGTAATAGTACCGACGAGCCGAGCCAAAAAATATGCGGGAGTCCAAATACACACACGGGGAATTACAATCGACCACCCCGGACCCCATACCGACGGATGTATGGTTGGACCGCGAAGCTAGCCTACCTTGAAGTAAGGTCATATAACTACATATTACTATGCTCCATTGTACGGGGTGGGGCCGTTGGTTTTTCCTGATGCGGCGATACATCAGGGACTGTGCCGCCACCGCCGCCGACGACGACTACAGGATATCGATCAACTTTGTTCTTGATGAGATGCTTGGGATGATTGGTGCCCCTGGACATGTCTATGAGAGACTAAGCGACTTGAATATTGTGAACATCAGAATCGCTTTCTATGAGGTGGGTAGGTAGGCGGTGGGTGGACTGGGGACCAAGCAGCAATATTTACAGGGTATTCGGTCCCGGATTGGACGCTCAGCTCTACTACTACAGACTCACTGGAGCTAGCCTCATCCTCCTCGAACCATAACATAATAAGTTGGATCGATACGGTCCCGGCCCCAAAAGTACAACGGGTTAAGACACGACCACAACCAAGCACAACTGATTGCGAGGTTGCACGAGCACGGTAGGCGAATCACAAGATTGGAAAAAGGGCTCGAACCATGACTCGACTCGATTCGACCCAAGTCCCCCTCAATCTTCCTTTTCTTGTAACGATCCCGTCCTCCGCCGCGTGTTCGTATCCACCATACCACCCGCATGGAGTGCGAACCGGAGCGTACGAGCCCCAGCCCGCCAGGGCCCAAATTTGTCATCCAGACGCGCAGCATTTCCGCCTGTCGTAGTCTGCGTGTTTCGCGTTGCGTGACGCGTTTGCCAATTGAAAACAGGGGCTTTGGTCTGGAGGGGTGGGGGAGGGGGAACATGGATAACGCTCCGAAAGAGAGCAGGGGAAACGGGGGGGAAAATGTGACGCCGTCGCGCATCTCGGGGTGGATGGATAAAATTATTACCTCCCCTTGGGCAGTATCTGCCGAAAGCTACCGCGGGTTGAATGACAGGCAGTCAATCAGTCAGTCACTCAATCTGTCATTCATTTGTGGATTGATGGATGGATGGGTGTATGGATTATTAACCCCCATGGGGTCTCCCGTTTCTGGAGAGCGAAAAGAAGTATACTCCGTAGTGACTCGATTCTGGTGAAAAATCGGTCCGAAGGGGGAGAGAGGGAACCAGATCCGCCGAGGCTGTGCCAGAAAAGGGGGGGCGCTTGAGGTACCTATTCATTAATTAGACCGAGCACATTCCGCATTCCCACGCATTCTCCAGGTAACGTTGTCGGCAATTGATGCGTGCTGCGTGCTGCTTGCGTCTTGCGTCTTGTGTTTGCCAGACATGGCGTTTCATTCGGCGGACAAGGAGGGGTTGAGGGGAAACAGGGGAAGAGCGAGGCCAGGCAGAGAGAGAGCTGGAGCTTAAATACCACATAACTATATGGATGGCCATACATACACAGCTGTGCTGTCCCTCTCAGATACGCACGATTGTATATCTTAGCATTTCAATCACTCTCCCCTCTCTTATACCTGTTGCCTTATTTCACCTAAAAAGAACAATGCTCGTCCTCATCATTGGCATCACAGGCAACGTCGGCTCCAAACTAATCCACCCTCTTATACAACATGGAGCCCAAGTGCGCGGCCTAGCACGGCACAAATCCAAACTCGCGCCAGAGAAGGTGGAAGCGTTGGAGAGTTTCCACGAAATGGAGGCGTGGTACGATGTGCCGGCCATCAAGAAGGCCCTAAAAGGTGTTGACGCCGTGATTTGCGCGTATGGACCGGTGCCGGAGTTGGTGCTGGATGCACAATTGTTGTTAGTCAGGTTGATGGAGGAGGAAGGCATTACGGTACCCAAACCACGCAAATCTGAAAAGGCGATATATATATGCTGACTTGTATTCGCGGTCGGGCAGCGCTTCGTGCCATCGGCGTGGAACCTAGACTGGTCGATCCTTTCGTGGGGCGACATCGTCTACTACGACCTCTTCCTGGCCTTTCAGCGCCAACTCGCCATGTCCTCCCGCATCAAGCCCATGTACATCTTCATCGGCTTCTTCGCTGAAACGTTCTTCTCCCTTGCGGGACATGGCGTATTTAACCCGAGCACACATGGCGTTTGGGACTCCGGTTCCGTGGCTGCTGGAGAAGCAGCTCCAAGAGCAGAGTTCTGGGGTACAGGTGACGAAAAGTGGCAGATCACCACGGAACAGGACACGGCGGACTTCACCGCGCGTTTGATCACTGACAGATCAAAAGAAGATGGCGGGGTGTATAGGTATTGTAGTTGGGAGTACTCCATCAAAGAAATCGCGGAGATTTATGAGAAGGAAAGGGGCGTGGGTGTGAAGTTGGAACGGTTGGGGAGCTTGGAGGATCTAATGGTTACGGCGCAGAAGAGTCAGCGGGAGTTGGGTCTTGGGAGATTTTGGGAGTGGATGGGCTATACTTACCAGATCCACCAACTGGGCGGTAAGATGATGATGAAGACATTGGATGACGGGCTGTATCTGGATCTCAAGAGGACGAAATTGGAGGATTTCTTGAGAGAGCATCAGGAGATATAGCATGAACCAATCGATTCATTTCGTACGGCGTGGCGTTTTTCGTTTGGAAAAGATGGTGGCTTCCAAATTTACGGGCATCCAATGCCCGATCTGATGCTCGAGGCTCTACTCTGAAAAGCGATCCTCCGGAGAGGCTCTTTCCTGTTTTTATCAAGAAGACGTATTATGTCTGAGGGCAACCACTCGGAAACAGGTCGGCGAGATCGTTGCCCCAAAAGTCCCAGTTGTCCCCGCAGAAATCATACATAAAGGCTTGAAGTTCACTCCTCTCGGTGGGTTTGTCGGCCGAAACTGTGGTGGTGTCGAACGGTATTTGACTTGCGCAGGGCTGGGTCTGGGTGTAGTCGACGTCATTTGGCATTAGCATGGTGGTCCCGAGACCAGCTTTGGTCGCGGCAGAGGTGCTATCCCTCCCCTTTGCAGCACCACCATTCAGGTCATTCAAAGAACTTGTGCCGAGGCCGCTGCTGGCAAAATCAGCCTCGCCGAGACGTCCAAGAGCATCTGGGCCACCAGCACTGCCTTGAGAATCGGCCAATCGCGCACCAAGCTCGCCGAGCCGTGAAGCCAGGGTGTCGATGTTTTTCAACATCAATTCAGACGTCTTCCAGAATTTGTGGCTGTGGTCCAGGGTGAGCCTCAGAAGGTCGAAGTTGGACTGTGCCAGCTCGCGTTCGGCCTCATCCTGGGCAAAGGCCTTTTTGAACAACTGAGTGGCCGCGCAAATCCAAAAAGTGCATGCGAGGAGCGGATGGCCGTATCTAATGTGGTTGGGCGACGCGTTTCGGACCACGCGCATGATCTCCTCGGCAGCCCCGAGATATCTCTCCCAGGCAGACTGATCGTCCGAGAAGCCCAGGATCGCTCGAAGTTTCTGGGTCACCGAAGGCTCACTGAGCGACAGATACTCGACAAGCTTCTTGCCTCTGAGAACCGAGGGACCGGTGTTTCTGATGCAGTAGTGATGCAGGATCATCAGTCTGCCCAGATGGGTCATGGCATGGATGAGTTGTTTGTCACAGTCCTCCTTGGCTGTGGGCTTGCTGTATGAGTCGCCAGAGATGGAGAACGACAAGTAGTCGCCTTGATATGCAAGCTCCTTCGGCAGCATGGTTTTGTTGTACAAAATAAAGTCGTCCAGAACCGCGAGTCTCCGCTCATCCACGGGATTGCCAGACGGCGTATCTAGCAAAGGGGATACATCCCGCCCGGGTAGTCCGCGATCGCAATGCGAGGTTGGATTGGCCGTGGTATGTGCATCGCGAACTAGTGAGTTGATGACAATAAACCAAGCATTCCCATTGGAGTTTGCACATTCGCGGAGCTTTCGAGTTCGATGAAGAGGATCAGGGTCCAGGAAACAGCTTGGTTGATAGTGTCCTTCGAACCAAGATCTTTCAGTCACTGGGAGGAGAACAGCATGTTCTCCATCGTGTATGCACGCCGGGCGTCTACGAACAGTCGAAGCGAAGACGTCAAGCTCCCATAGCAGCCACCAGGCCCTTCGTTGTTCTTCTTTGCGCGACCACGACTCTGTCAAGGCCTTTTGCTCCTGGAGAGACTTTCCTTGCAGCGATGAGTCTGTCAAATGCAGCTCTATCTCGTGTGCGACGCGGACGCAGGTGCCAAGGGATCTCCACGCTCTTCCTCTCCCACTGACAACCATCTCGTAGAACGTTATAAGAATGAGAGCTTGAAGGAGCGCGAGTGGTGGCTTGCCATCACCGCACTTGTCCAGCTGCTCATTTGTAAGTGCGCAAGCCAGCTTGTAGAAATGATCCGGCGTATGTGTGATATCCGGATGTCGTGAGTTGAGTGAGAGGCTCGGACTTGGCTGATCTTCCACATAACGTGCAGCGATAGCACATACTGCAGCAAGAAGAGCCGAAGATGTGCCCTGCTGGATCTTATTATAGACCATCGCATCGAATGTTGGTCTGTGAAAGAGAGACAAATAGGTCACTTTTTCAAAGTACGTCCTTGTTCTGCATGTTCTCATCAGCGCGGCTCTCGCTTAACTTATTGCAGTGATTCTTACAGTGTAAACAGCATTTCTTTTGAAACGCCAAGAGTTCGGCAGACATGGCTGGTATTGTCTTGTGAAGGCCACGCATACGCCGCCAGAGACTCGCTCGGGATCGCATTGTCACATTCTGTGAGCGGCGAAATGCTGTATGATTGATCCTCGTGGAAATGATGGAATACCCAGGATTGTGCCGTCGTGGACTCCGGGCTCGAAGCATCCGAGGCTGTGCTGGTATTATCTCGGTACAGGGCTAATTTTTGTCTCTGACGTCCTTTGTTCCTTCGAATGCTGTTGCCATCTTCTGCCTCCCTGATGTCCTGCTGATGGTGGTCAGGCAAACGATCTTCCAAACGCCAACAAATGCGTTTTCGGTGCTTGGATGAGTGCGACCCTGTAAGCAGCACGGCATGAGCGAGGTCAAGATCATATCGGTGCTGTCCAGAGGTGGACACCTTCATACCTAGTTTGGGTCCTGGCTTGTGTTGGACCTCTGGATAGCAGCATGGCATGGCATACTTTGTGCAGACACGACAAGCAGGAAGGGATTTATCACTATGCAGAGCAGTCAACGCCTGCAACTTCTGCGACCGACAGGAAGCGACGGGAGAATAACTGTGACGAGTACAGGTAGGACAGACCACTTGACCTTGCGCCTGCATCAAGATTAGCATCTGCCAGCAAAACAGGCAGAAAGGCACTCAACCTTCTGCATGAATAACATGCTAATGCTGATTGATTTTCCGCAGTTAATCTGGTCCCTTTTCCCAAAGTCCAGCTCTCCGAACGGGACGATGTATGTCTCGTCGATTGAGATTCAACCGGATCTGTCAGATCTGACATGTCGTTGTCAAAACAACCACAGAGAGAGGTAGGTAGAAACGGTGCGTGCTGAGGATTCATACATAAGGTACCCATGGCTGACGAGTGCCTTGTGATATGGAAGAAGCTTGTAAGATGAAGATGTGGCAGATGTGAGATGTGGAGAGAATTGCATAACATGCAGTGGGAGACAGAGACACCCAATAGGGGTGGAAATTCCCAATCAGGAAATACACCGAAGATGCAGCGAGGAGCTCGTGTTGTGGGCTTCTGGGGAACGCTTGACGGACCATGGAGCCGCAGAAGTCACCATTCACCCTATGGGATCCCAAGCAGCCCGAGTCATCCCGGAGGACGTGGGCTAGAACCATTGTCGTGTGCCAAAAGGGACCGTACTTGGCCTGTGCTGGTAAGAACATTCCACATTTTTGCCTCCTAGAAACTCCGGCTAACTACCTAGGTACGGTAAGGGGAGGAATGTGTGTGCAATATTAGATCTCGACAAAGATAATCCATCGCCCCTGTAAGACGAACCTTGGCCTTTAAGCTGTGGCAGCCCATTGGTTCCTGAAGTTGTTGAGCCCAGCCATCAGCCCAAAGAAGCCAACCAACCCAGTATTCATGCCTGGAATGCCCTCGGGGTACAGGCTGTAGTGAACAGCGACAGGCATCCAATATGCCGCGACCATAAACTCATTCCACCACTTGCGATCATAATCTTCCCTCTCCTTGGCCGACTTGCTGCCCCTTTTTTCCTTTTCAATCTCAGCCTCGCGCCACAGGCGGAGGAAGTCACTGGCCACTCCAATGCACCACGCACGACAGCTCCATGCAACCCACTTGGCCACCCCTCCTCGCTTTTCGATAAATGACACAGGTACGACGCCTTTGCCGGCCAAGTGGTAGACGTTTTCCAGCGCCTGGAAACCGATATAGCCGGCGCATTGCAGTAGCGCAACTCGGTGGAGGGCTGGGTCCATATCTGCCGAGGCCTTCTTGGACAAGAGCGTCTTCATCCAGATGTATAAGGGCAGCAGTCCCGTCAAGCGGAGCGAGGTACGCGTATCAGACACAAGAGCTCCCAACGGTGTGAGGAACGAGGTAGGAGCGGATGGAGCTAGAGCCCCGACAGGCAGTTTCGAAGGTGTGCGACCAATGAGGCGCGAGATGTATGCAATAACAGCAGCGCGGGTAGGAGCTTTTGAGTGAAGGTATGCAGCCAGATATATGGCATAATTGAGAGTTGAGAGCGCGGCACCGAGGCCTGCGGTGGTCTTGATCAACCTGTGTTCGGCGCGTTAGCGGAGGTGTCCTCGACTCCATTGTTCCTGTACGCTGCATACTTGCTGATGCGCAGAATGATCTCATCGGCCTTGGAGATGGTAGTTTTGACTTCTTTGGGCACCTTGTTCAAAGCTGGGTGTTGCGAAGGCTTGATGGGTTCAACGTCGCCCTTGACTTCAACAGGGTCCTGGGGGACGACGCTGGGGTCGGGGTTTGCCGCCACGCTGCTAGACATGTTTGCGATCCACGGGAAAGAGTCTGGGCAGAAGGGAAAGGGGGTTGTTGTCAGTATAAAACGATGGTACAAGAGTGCTAGCTCAACCAAAAGTAATCATGCGAGACCCGCGGTCTTACGGCCGGATCTGTGGCTCGTATTGGTGACTACTATGAAAGGACAAGTGAGGAAATGCGTCAGAGTCAGACTGCAGCAGTAGAGCAGGAGTTTTTCGAGGTGATGGAGAACCTTCAAGTCATTGAAGTAATCATAATTACGAGGTATGATTTCCCCATCCAACATCTCCTCCTCGTCAAATCGGTCCCCGGTCCCTTTCAACCGAGGCTTGGGGACGGCACCCACGGGTCGCTTTCGGCTAGATCCATTATTCTAGGCACGTGATTTAAAACTGTCACGTGAATACTTGAGGAGCTTTTCACGTGATACGACCGGCCGCCCCCGCTGCAAATCGCTGGAGTCCGTAAATACGTCATCCGTACGAGGTATGTCGTACTCAGCCTCTGACAGCCTTGCACAGCCTCGCCCTAACGTGACTCCAAGACTGCGCCTGGGAGCCTTCAAGCTCTCACCACCCACCGCAGGCAACTTCATTTCTTCTGCAAAAGTTGAAAACTTTTCTTCCAAGGCTTTCGCTATATCTTTGCGATTCTCCTTCCTGGCTGTCTTTTGTCGATGCCAATAATCATTTCGAAACGACAAACAACCTTCACCATGACATGTGGTGATATCTTCTTGGCTTTGATAGCCGTGCTCTTCCCCCCAATCGCAGGTATGTCGCCATCCACATGTGTTCACCTATGGTGATCTTTTTACTAACATTCTGGATCACTGTAGTCTGGATCAAGTCCGGCATCTGCTCCGTTGACTCCCTGATCAACATCCTCCTCTGCATGCTCGGCTACCTCCCTGGTCTTCTGCACGCATGGTATATCATTGCCCGCAACCCCGAGCGAGACTATGACTATGAGGTTATCCCCGATTCCGAGCGAGGAGGTCAGGGCGGTCGAGTGACATACTACTACATCCGCCATGAAACCGTGCCGCGGCGAGACTATGGGACTCAAGCTCAGTCGCACAACCGGCCTGCCCCTCCACCTCCCGCTGGCCAGGGCAGCAATAGGCCGGCGCCGCCACCGCCTTCAGATCCCTCACCCCAAGGAGGTGAGCCTGCTGGACCAAGCGTGGGGGCCGGAAGCGACGAGCCTGGAGCGCCGCCCAGCTATTCGGAAGTCGTGAAGGGCGATCACAAGATCCAGAGTCAAGATTAAGAAAGCGCCGGTCCGACTATACGAGCTGGGTGCGGAGGCTATTGTACCAAAGTCCGAAGGGAGTTTCAAGTTCGTGTTGTACTTTTATGGGTGAAGGCGCAGGTGATAAGGTGGCGATGGACGAGTCCTGAACGTGGAGTAACGGAGAATTGGTGCAGTGGGAGGGGTGGCCCCTTACGGTAGGGACTTTATGAACTAATGGCCAATTGCTGGCTCATGCAAATTTCCATGTCGATCCCTGCTCGGGCTAGATAGAGCGCTAGTAAATGTCAGAAACTACGAAAATACATTCATGCAGCAGACGCTACTGATCGACCCCTCGCTTTTCACACATTCCAAGTTCCCATGTGAAGGTGAACGGCGGGAGTCTGACCGCATCGGGATCGCGTGCATGCTTGCTGCCTCGAAGCAAAAACGGTGATTTCACTTCCAGACTCACAGTATCCAGGTTCAAAATGATTAGCTGTCTTCGCAAATGGCGGGATGGTGCTGTCCTTTGTGCCTTTTAAGGCCTGTTCAGACTGATGCCAGAGGAAGTGATACTCAATACGGTATAGCTTCCGGTTATTATAGCCGTCGAGTTACTTCACAACTTCAACGAGGACTTCGACGCCAATATCCGTTGAGCTAGCCGACTTACTCAGGAGCTCGTTTGTTTTTGACCCTTTGGAATCGATCCAGCACATGTTGCAGGACCGACTTGCAAGAAACCCTGCAGAGAAGCTGAACCCGTGTGAGAGGCGGCCAAGAACTCAGCCAGCCACTGTCATGCCCTCCTCCTTTGTCCCAGTCAAAGCTGAAGTGGAGGCGAAGATGCTTTCCATAATGGGAAGGAAGGGGTAAGTGAGCGATGTCACTGATGCCAGAGCTTCTCAGCTCGCCTCGGCGTGCAGACTCTGTGCTTCGTGTATGCATTTCTCTCAAAGTCATCGCCAATCAGGCCTCCCGAGAGCTGCCATCTTCTTTCAAACTCGACTGAGGAATACACCCTCTCAGTCGTCAAGGCACCTTGTTCGCGACCACTCTCATGCAAGTCATGGCCGGCTCTGAGCTGAACACACCTTCTATCTCAGTCCGGGCGCATCTGCTGGGCGAGTGACATCCTCATGTCTGAGACGATCATGTCGCGCTGGCTCGGTGAGGTTTTCGTCACCGATTGTGACTGGCTCCCTAAGTGACGGACTGAAGGAGGCATGGCTCATTGGAGGGAGGTGCATGGATCGCCAGGCTGAAAGAGGAAGAAAGCCATCAGGCTTGGGATCGGGATGCTCAGACCAGCGTTCGCATCATCAAGCAATGAGCGGGGTTATGTTCTCGCTCCTATGAGACCCTATTCATATATACCTTGTGCTCTTTTGCTGGTCTGGCCCCATCATCCACCAAGCTTGACAGTAGCAACATACCCAGAGCCCCCCATCGATATGGCTCCAATACGAAGATTGTGGATGGGGATCGTTTATTTCTTCGACTTCCTGACAAATTCTCCAAGCCAGCTTTATCCTTCAGAGAACACTCCGGATCTTCAAATTCCAGTGCAGCCGGTTCAGCCCATCCAGCCGCAGGCCACCAAATACCCAATCTTCAATCCACCAGATGAACTTGAAGATGAACCTTTTCGATGTGAATACCCCGACTATCCCGAGAAGGACGGCTGGAGAGCCTGCAACACCAAGACAGACAGGCAATGTTGGCTCCAAAATATCAAGACTGGCCAAAAGTTCGACATCCATACGGATTACGAGAACAATGGCCCCAAAGGTATCGTGAGACACTACTATCTGGAGCTGGCGGAATCTACTCGCAACCCTGATGGCTTTGGAAATCTACCGGTGCAGCTGTTCAATGACAGCTTCCCTGGTCCTCGAATCCAAGCTTGCTGGGGTGATCAAGTGCATATCACAATCAACAACACGTTGGTGGGCAAAACTCCGGATGAAGGAAATGGTACCACAGTCCATTGGCATGGGTTCAGACAATTGCATACCGGCTATATGGATGGCGTCAATGCAGTCACACAGTGTCCGATTGCTCCGAATACCAGCTTCACATACATTTTCAACATCACCCAATATGGAACTTCGTGGTATCACAGTCACTATTCCTTGCAGGTTTGTCACATCTGACCCATCCTTGGTTCTCTGGTCCGTGGGCTGAAATGTTTTGGGCTAGTATGCCGCTGGTGCTCTAGGACCCCTGACCGTCTATGGTCCAATGTCCAAAAATTTCGACCATCAGTTGTATCCCGTCATAATGAGCGACTGGCTCCACAAAAGGTACGTGACAACTGTCGGTGAATGTCTATCCCCACGTCTCTGATGTCGGTTGCTGTCCAGTGTGTACCAGAAGTGGGATAACTCCATCCAGGGAAAAGGGTCACAGATATTTATTGACAACATTCTGCAAAACGGCATTGGTCAGTCGATAGTCCATCGGAACAAATTCATTAGGCTAAGCCCAACCTCTTAGGTCACTGGCCGCCTCAAATTGACATTGCCAAAAAGCCCAAGTTCAACGAGGTATTCTTCCAGAAGGTACCAGTCTCACCATCCTGGCGCTCGTCAAGGCCAAGCTGATGTGGAAAAAAGGGTGTGAAGTACCTGATGAGGCTCATCAACGGTGCCGCGGACACGACGTTCGTATTTTCCATCGACGACCACAAGTTCTGGGTGGTCTCCACCGACTTTGTGGCGATTGAGCCATATTATACCGATCACGTCGTGGTAGGGATAGGTAAGTGTTCTGGGGGACAAGTTGCTTCTTGGATCTGACCACAATGCGGGCTTTCAGGGCAGCGATACAACATCATCGTCGATGCCAACCCGGAGAGATACACCAGGGACCACAGCTACTGGATCCGTACCATTCCCGCGAAGAACTGCAGTTCTTTGGCCCCGGGGGCTCCCGTGCCTGACAATCGCACTGGTATTGTTCGATATACTCTCAGTGACGAGCTGCCGAGCACTCAGATGGGAAATTTTAAACCAAACTGTTCGGACGAGACGTACTGGCGGAACATCACTCCAATTGTCCCTTGGGAGGTCAGCACTTCCAGAAAATGTAGGAAAATGAAGGCTCTCCGCCCGTTCTCCAGAAATGAAATTGCTAACTCAAACATTTTGCAGACGTGGATCCGCTGTATCTTACTATCGAGGAGATGCAGGGCTTCCCATACTGGCCATGTAACCAGACGGTCTTCCGATTCGATCTGGTACCCAAACACCCAATGTGGCTCAACTTCAGCGAACCAACACTCTTCAACCTTGACCAAAACTTCAGCAAGAAAGGGTGGCTGGCCGTGGTGGACACCCAGGACACCCCGGCAGAAGACTGGGTGCAACTGACCATCATCTCCGGGCCCAAAAAGGGCGGAGCACCACTCCTCCCACACCCGGTGCCCAAGGTGCCCGGCGCCTTCATCCCGGGCTTCCACCCGATCCACCTGCACGGGCACGACTTTGCGGTGCTGGACCAGTGCGTCCCCACCGACAACTCGGAGGAGTGCGACGTCTCCAACGCCAACCTGACCCTGCACAACCCGCCGCGGCGCGACGTCGCCTTCCTGCCCGACGGCGGCTACCTGATCATCGCCTTCCGCGCCGACAACCCGGGCGTCTGGATCATGCACTGCCACATCGCCTTCCACGCCTCGTCCGGTCTGGCCGTCCAGATCGTCGAGAACGGCCACAAGATCGACTTCCCGCCCTTCGTCGAGGAAGAATTCGCAGACATGTGTCGGAGATGGGACGACTGGAACCCGCGCATCCACGACTCTTCGGATCCGTGTGGCTACCTGGATCCGGATGAGGAGCCTCTCCAGACTGACTCTGGCATCTAGCCCCTCCCAGCTCTTTATCATCATGGAAACAAAAGAGACTCGGACTGCCGCCATGGGATCACATAGCCAGAGAGAATCAGTTGAGAAGGGGAAAGTCGGAGAGAAGAGAATCGCACGCAATACAACTGCACGCAGTACAACAGCACGTAATATAACAGCACACAGCATTCCAGTAGCTATCATTCGAAGATCGAATAATAGTTACGAGTAAATCTATTACTTGATCGGGTACATGTCATTAGTTCCTGATATTTCCTCCAATATCTGTTGTCCTCGCAGCCTCCTGGCCCCTGTGTGATGATTCATCTGAGATCCATTCCACTTCGACGCCACCGCCTCTTATCAGTACCTAGGTAAGCTTATAGGTGCATCCGACCCCTTGATTCCCCCAGTCCCATGCATGAGCTCTTACACAGAGATTCCAACCGTCACCTCCTCATAATATTCCATGCCGTTCTTGATAATCGCGATTTCGCCGTTCCGTGCAAAGAAGACATCCCGTGCGGTGGCGGCAGAGACTATGTCTCGCGTGCCTGAGTACCAGTCATGGGGCACGAAAAAGTGTCTGGAATACTGGATTGGCGGCGATGTCGAGCGCGGCCCTGGAACCGCTTCTGGTGCTGGTGCCGGTGCCGTCGCCGGGGTAGATTTCTCAAAGCCATCGAGATCGATAGAGCTGACCCAGGAGTTTGTGTCTAGGAAGACAAGTTTGCCCGTGTCACTCAGGTGGATTATATGGGAGACGTGGCGACTTAAGGCCATGAGTTGAGGGCGGAAGAGAGGGTCTGTAACTTGTTGTTGTGGGTAGGACTGTGTTGTTTCTTCCCCCACTACTGGATCACTCAGAGAGCTATTGACCTCACTTGGTAGAGCTGCTTGAACGGCCGGGATATCCATATCGATAAGTCTGTTGAATCCAGCTTTCTCTCGTTCCGCCCTTTTGGCCGCGGGCATCTCATTTTCAAGCTTGAACGACGCTGCATCAAACACATAGAGGCCGCGGGTCCTGGAAGAGCCATTGAGCTCAGTCAGTTCCAGAAGCATGCGCCTTTTGTGGCCTGAACTGTATCTTCGAAGGCTCTTCAACTGCAGGCCTGCCATATTCACTGCGAGCTGGCGGCATGAAACTTCCGAGCAGTCCTCCCAGCACAAGATGCGCGCAATCTCCCCTTCGAAACATATCGCGTGGGATTCGGATAGAGGATGCTCTATCCATAGTCGTACGCCTTGTTTCTCCAGATATGGCCGTGCGGCAATCTGCTTTCCGTTGCCATCCCATAGATAATCTGACTCGCGTGCTGAAAGAATGAACCTATTGGTCGATTCAGACCTGAGAAGTTGGACAATCGCGTGACCGCAATCCAGCTGGAGGGGAAATTCAGTTGATGCCCATCCTCCTGGGCCCTTTGTCAAAATGGAAGCATGTATCCGATTCGCCATATCCACACTCATGGCAACATGATTGCCACCCTGCCAAGTGAGACTACGAACTTGACACTTGTGTCGATGAAGCGTTTGTAAAAAGGCGCCTGTTCGAGCGTCGTGCAGACAGACTGAGCCGTTATCCTTGCCACAAATGACTACCTGGTCTTGATCGTGAAGGACCATAGTACTGATTCTGATTTTATCTTCCGATGTAGTTGCCTCAATTACGGACATTGAGGTGCTCTCACCCCAATCGCCTGCGACCGTCTCACGCAGTAGCATCGCTGGCTCCCAGATATTGCATTGAGACCGGCGTATGTCAGCGAAATGGAAGTTGTCTCGACTGAAAACTAGCTGTTTGATGTCCAGCTCAGAGGATCTGATCCTGTAAAGCAGCTTCAATGTGCCGAATTCGTATATATGGATAGTCTCACATGCACCCACACCTCCATGTAGACGTCCATTCGGGCTCGAAGTCAAGGCACGGCAGTTGGCCCGAAAGCTCCCCAGTTCTTCTCCTTCGAAAGGGTCAAGGAGGGTAAGTTGGCCGTCAAGGTATGAAACAGCCAGAAGTCGAATGTCAGGATTTGGGTTGAAGGAGAGCGATGTCACTGGATGCTTACTGATTTCACCATTGACAAGCATTTTTCCACAGCTGCCATAGTATTCGTCATATTCAAGGTCCCAGATAGTGACAGGTTGACCAACATACGCCACGGCGAGTTTTTGATGTCCAGCGGAGAAGGAAATTGCACATGGTTGAAGGCTGGAAGGTTTCGGTGTTTCTGCATCCGAATGACTCCAAGGCTTGTTTGCTTGTGGTGTGGCATTGCTGTTCAGGTCCCAGGACCTCAAAAAGTTTCTTCTCGATGCCACCACAAGTATGTCATTGTCAAAATGAAGTTCTATGGGTCGAAACGGAGCCGGGAGTTTGTACATTTCAGCCCCTGTGCGGCTATTCCAGACCGTCACATTCGTCAAGCCACATGATACTAGAATGTCAGACCTTGGCCTGAATTGTAACAGTCGGATGGTCTCCCCATGATTCAAAACCTTGTGTTCTTCACATGAAGTCGCATGATAAATAGTGACAACTCCGGATGTTGTCCCCACAGCGAATAGCTCGTCCCCGTAAGCAATGCTTGTGAACTCATCGCTTTGAAGGTCTATGCACGTCAAACGGTCGTCCCAGTGATCATAGGATAAACCGCTTATTGATAGACTTGTTGTCCGACATCTCATACCGGCTTTGTATAGGGTAGAGGTGCGAGGGCAAAAGGGGGGGATGAAGATATAGATGGAGGCTGGTGCAGCTGTAAGGGCGTCAGAAAACTTCGCAATCACACGGATTAGATCCGTGGTAGCTCCCCTAATCGCTTGGAGTTCTTGTGAGTTAGGCGCATCGCATTTTTTGACGTACGCCCGGAGATTTGTCGCTGCTTGTATTATTGGAGTAAGGATTCTGGTCCGAGCGATGCCTTCAATCCACGAAAGGACGTTGGATTCTAAAAACCTGGAAACAAGAACAAGAATGTCGACTGATTCACCGTCTGCGTTGGCCAGGTGGTGCGCGAAGGCGGTGCAGGCATATTTGCAGAATGCAATCTTCGGGACCTCCGTGATTATAGCCGAGCGCCGTCTTGACCCTCGTCACCAGGCGGTGGAAGGTCTCATTTCATCACTTGTGAGGTAGCTCAAGCATATCATGGCGAGCCTCGTATGCGCCTGCGACTTGCTAACGGCAAAAGCGGATTGCAGGTCGTCTCCGGTGATATATTCTCTGACAGTCTCGTGTACAATTTGAACGTTGCCGAACTTGTCGATAGCAACGAGTTGGCCGCATAATTTTGGGGTCATTTCTTCGAGTGCGTCATACTTGTCCCCAAGATCTAAATTCAGCGCACCAGTGAGTTCTTCCGTCCTCAGCGGCCTCATAGCACAAGACACCCACTTGAGGATGGCCTTAGCTACTCTCCTGCCACTGTCCCCTGTGGTCATTTCCATTGATTCCAGCACTCTTTGGTACAACAAATTCATGTCTCGGGGGACTTCGTCGAGCACCTTCTTGAGCCCCGCTTCGCCGTAGGTGTTTGCAAGTTCTTCTAAGACCAAGAGAGTCCACAGGAAGAGCCTTGAGACTTTTCAAGCACCTTCTCCAGTAACGCAGCTCGAAGTTCATCATCTTTGACCGTTAGAGAATTCGACTTTTCGTTGATGACGGTTTTGATATCCTGGAGAGTATCGGGCGTTGAAATTGGCAGTTCACAGGATCTGTGACCACCGAGGCCCAGAAACGCTGCCTTGATCTTAGGCATATCCCGAGCCGTGATGAGAACTCTCAGATTTGTGGCAGGATCGAGCTTGCCAAGGAAGGACTCGATGAAAACCTCAGAACTTTCGCATTCGTCTAAGCCGTCGATGACCCAGTAATGGAGATCCTTGTTGTTCCTGAAAATTGCGGAGACAAATATTTCGCGCCAAATACCGCGTTCACTCACGGAGTCAAGCTGGGCACTTTCTTTGCGCAAATCACTTAATATGCGTCGAACTTGCTCATTTTGGCGGCCCATTTGTAAGGCAAGTGACCGGAGACAATTGATGAGACGGGACTTCGATTTTTCGCCATGTTTGAAGAAATAGTAGCTGCAGTCTAATTTCCGCTGTTGCAGTTGTGTGATGATATAGCCGGCAAGAACAGACTTGCCCGTGGCAGGTTTTCCATTTATCCAGAGAATGGTTGGTGCGTTTGCGGCAAGATCTCTCCACGCCAAGTAGCTCTCTTTCTGTACAATCCATTCGCAGGTCCCAGAGAGCCTAGAGCCTTGCACAAGCTCAAGGTCATCTTCTGGCTGGTGAGGTATGCGCAAGTACTCGTTCAGATCGTTTAGCTCGCGCTTCCGTTGTGCTTTCTTTCGTTTCACCCATTCATTCACTGTTTTTGCGACTGTCGTGGCAAGTGAATTCCGAAGTCTCACATAATTCTCGTTCGTTGTGGCTTCGAATTTGCAGATCGATCGATGATCGGCGGCCATTGGGGTTTGGATTTCGCCCGGCAAATTGAGAACTCCAGACTCAGGTTCAACCACCCTAGATCCAAGGTGTTTCATTGGTTGCAACTCGTAGAATTAAAACAACTCAAAATTATCAAAGTAGTGGCGGAATTCTTCATTGATAGACTGGAGTGCTGCAGAGCCTCTCTTCAGTTCCTCCACAAAGCCGGGCGAGAGAGAGAAGGCACTTAACATGCGATCTAGGACCTTTGCCCAATCGGAGCCTTGATGCGGTGTTGCAAGGAAATACATCGCTCGGAACCTAGTTGTTAGAGGTTCGAGAGTCGTGTCGTGTTTGGCTAGCATATAAGCGCTCTTTATCACCAAGCCTCCCATGCTGTGCCCGACCATGATCAGCGGCGTGTCTGCTTGGCCGAGAAACGGCGAGGATCCCAAGTCTGCCAGCAGGGATTGACCAAAACGGTGTATGGTCCAGCTATCATTTCTGTTTTGGACATAGTCCGAGTTGTACCCGAAGCTGTGAATGCGGACATTTTTGAAGGCGGCGTCTTTGGGAAGCCACTCTTTTGGCCAGTAATTCTGTGCGATTGAAGGTCTAAGGCTCCATGTCTTTCTTGAGCCACCGCCGAGGCCATGGACGAAGATCAAGTCAATCAGAGGCTCAGAGGGTGTATAGAGCAAGGTGAGGCCGAGGGGTCCTTTCTCATCAAGGACGTCATTGTCGTTAATTGAGCTTGGATGCGAGGAACCCTCGGAAGAGCGATTTCTTTCGGGAACGACGAGGTTGGCAGCAGGTTCGTCCATCTTGTGGCGAAATAGTCTGCTTGACTTCAGAAAGATGGTCAGATCGGCCAAGGACAAAGTCGGAGAGCAGGATGGAGCCTACCATCTTGTGCACACAAGTTTGAACCCTAGATCACGATCAGATCCATGACGCATTCTGGATAAAAAGAAAGCCCCATCGCTTGCTTTTCCAAGGAGACCCAGCTCAGCTTGGTGACAGTGCCGTGCGAGAAGCGAAGGTTACACAGAGCAGGATAGAGCAGGGAGTGAGGCTGAAACTTCTCATGATGGTGGTGAGACATTCGGAATGGGTTCCGATGCGGGAAAAGGCAGGCGCTTCTGGAGACGTGGAGCACAGCATGTTTCAAAGGTAGTTGGATTGGTGGCCAAGCCTCAGGAAGATGAGATGTTTAGGTTTGGTGCCACATGGCAATGGGCGCCAAGCTGCACCTAGCTGCGCCCACGAGCCTAGCCGAAGGTTTATTGACGAGAGGCTTCAGGGCCTACTTCGCTGGGTGCTTTTGGCGCCCCTAAAGTGCTCCTGAGTCCCTCGTATACGAGAATGCCGCTAGCTTCACCAATCCCGGTGCAGCTGCCAGTCATTATGGGGGTCTTGTAAATCCACCATTTCACACACCTTCAAGCGCCGACGCAATTCTGTATCCAGGAAATATTTTCTTTGGATATTTCGCCTTTCGCCGACCTGTCCCGCCATAAGCGCTTTTCATCCGTGGCGCCTACCCTCCCCTGGGCCTGCCTCAGCCGAGAGGATGGCACCCTGACCCCCTCGTGCCCTCAAGTAGGCATGAGCATGGTGTGAAGTTGTTTCCTCCATTGCGCTCACCATGTCCTATTGATCATGTCCTGCCGTAGAGGCTTTGAATATCCGGTCTCGAAGCTCTTGATTCTCAACTTGTCTGACCTCGACACCCGCCTCTTCAAGCCGCTTTCTGCCTTCATTGACACCGATGAATGTTCCAGGTTCTGTGATGCCCACATAGACCAGTTTGATCTTGTCTTTGAGCGCGAGGATTCTCTCCACGCAAGTTCGATTGCCGCTCAGCCGCTCGTTGCATGGTTCCATGGTCGTGTAAAGAACCGTGTTCTCGGGTAATACTTTGCCGACCTGATCATCTGGGACGTTGTGTCGCTCGGCGACTTTGATGAGGCAGCAGTGTTCAGAGTGTGTCGAGCCAGGGTCTCCTGGTCTATCATCGGGCAATTCCAATGAGTAACCTGTCGACAGAATCTCACCACTGTCGCCGTCGACAAGGGCCGCTCCGACACAGAATTTTGTAGGTGCTGGAGGTGAGAGTCGTGCCTTCTCGAGAGCATATTCCATGTAAGCCTCATGATTGCCTACCTTGATGGTAGGGTGAGGCATTTCTTCGGCCATGATCAGTGATCTGGTAGTAAATGCTGAACAAAGGGGAACGGGTTTTGACGAAATAAAGAAGAGGTGGGAACCCGTGTTCTTTCGGTCTGTCAATCGATTGCTGCTTCAAAGGCGAACGATTGAGGTGAAAGTGAAGCGTTGATCATCGCGGACCAGGTGAAAACAAGACGCCGGGCCGCCCCGCCCAATGGCCCAATGGAGCTCACTACCTAGCCACGAAGAGCATTACATACTCGCTACCTATGTCCTTAGTACCTTGTGAGATAAATCTAGGTAATAATACTGCGCTCCCTTATAACTTCACAGGTCTACGGACACAGTGTCCAGAAAAAGAGTCCTTGGCGTCGGGAATCTTGATGAGAGAGAAGAACCTGAATGTCGAGGGAGTCGAGGGACGAATACTATACCGATGTCGTCCCGACTGTCCTTGCGGAGCTCGTCGAAGGTTGTTGCATTCTCTGCGTTGAGGGGCATGGGCTGAGCTTCTGGGCAGATACTGCGCGTATTGGCATCGTTCTTGCGGATGGGCTTCCAGGAAAATGCTCCCTTATCAAGGTCCTCTCCCATGATAGAGGCCAAAACATGATACATGGCAAAGTCCGAGTCGATGAGAATCACCTACATCCTCCAAGCAGACTTCATACCAGAGTCAGCTGTCTGGGGCTCATATCAGAGCAGTCCAGACACACACTTCTTCGTCTGTAAATGTCGAGAGATGATAGATGACATGATTGACCTCGAGAAGTTTTCAGCACGACTGCCCCAACTGTACAAAGAGCAGCAAAGTCTCCGAATGGCAATTTCAGATTTCACATCACAACCTACAGTGGCAACCTACCGCAGTTGAACGACTGGGAGGACAGTTGGGAGACATACTTTACGAAGAGCATGTTGTGGGCACTCGACCGGGATTGAAAGTCAGAGCACCGGATCCCTATTTGGACACCTTGACTCCGACCCTGATCGAAAAGGCGATTCCTCGATTGCTTCGACCGCCTGAGAGTGAAGACAGATCTGTCAAACCTTCCCTGGTGCACGGGGATCTCTGGTATGCCAATTCAGGGGTCGATGCCGATACAGGTTACCCATTGGTCTTTGATGCGTGTTGCTTCTACGGCCACAACGAATGTATGTCAAGCGAGCTCGAAGTGTCAAAAGTCCCTCCGGGCCTGCCTCTACGACAATACCATTGTCTAAAACACAAGCTAACACCGAAAAACAGACGAATTTGGCCAATGGATGCCAACTTGCAACAGATTTGGCGCCCCGTACTTGATGGCGTATCGCTCTTATGTGCAAATATCTCTGCCTCAGGAAGATTACCAAGGGCGGCTGGATCTCTACAAGTTGTGCGTGAGTGAGCAGTCATGGCTCTCCAAGGACATGTTTTCTTTTCATTCATCCATACTAACAAATAGGGAAACAGAAGATTTAATACACACGTCTCTGCCTTATTCCCCGAGAATGAGACTTTGAGAGAACAGTGAGAAATCTCAGATACTAGTCTCTCTTGCAAATATCCAAAAGCTTACTCTTCTCCGTGGCCAGGATGCTAGGAGACCTGAGGGATCTCGCTGTTCGATACGGTTGACAATGCAGTCGGCGGCGAAGAGCGCCTCTGTTCATATACGATACACCTATTCCAGGCCCGCCAGCTTAGCGAGACAGAAGGGTTCCGGAGAACATGTGCAACCCACATTATACGGATGGTCGACGTGTACACATAGACAATTCATTCATTGACCACGCCTTCACCTACCACTCAGGCTCAAGTTTCAACAAAGGTAACCCATTCAAGATCGTCCTGGGTCGCCGTTCGCCACGCCTCCCCATCCATCACCCGGCACAGTTTCCCGCCAACCTGAACCGAGTCGACAATCCCAAACCCCAGTATTTTATAACCGATCTCGACACGTCTCAAAAAGACAGGCCATGACAAGCCCGACAACAGCCAGGCCTCGTCGGAACTGTTGAGCGTGTAGTACCATCCCCTGGATTTGAAGCCGACATGCTTTGAATTGATCGCCACAGCTTCATTGAAATCGGCAAGTACGGTCCGCACCGATTCAATTGCGTCGTGTATAGTAGCCACGGGCAAGTCGAGAAGCGGGCCTCCAGCTTTGGATTCCGCGACTGCAATGACGCGCACTAGCAGTTGTTGCAGTGACGTATGCACGCTCGGCACTTTGGATATTCGAACCGTGCGGTTCTCTTGAACCTTAACGTTGACATCGAAGGAAATCCTGTCCGCATTGGCTTCAATTGACATGCTCTTAAACAATGCATTGGTGACTTGTTGCAACAAGTCGCCATTGCTGTAAAAAGAGCTATGGATCAACAATATTCGCCCTAATGAGTCAAACAATTCAATATCGCGAGAAACATCAGAAGGTGGGTCATCACCATGCTCAGCATCTGGGTCAGCTATACTGGCTGCTGAGCTGCAACTTCCAAGGCGCAAACCTAGCACTTTAATAGACGCTTCTTCCAGTATGACCGTGGACCCGTCTGTGGGAACACATTTCGTGGTCTGCCAAAGGCTTCCTAGAATCCCGCACCGAGGTATGTGTTGTTTCTCATTGAGATAGTGGAATATAAAACGTAATTTATCACATTCATTATCCCACAAGCGGTCGAACTCGAGCAGACGGCAAATCCATGGTTTTGATCCAATAACACAGTTTAACAAGAGTATGTCCAAAGAACCAGTCGTTCTGATGAACCGCTGTGTCATGAGCGCACAGAGCTTTTCCGGGTGTAGATTGTAGTCGGGTTCGGCAATAAACGTTCTGTGGTCGAAAGCTAAGCCACTTATCGCATAAACTCTGTCGACCAACTCAGTTGTCTGACTTTTCCGTAGTTGGAACATCAGGCTCAGTAGATCGATTGGCTGGCGGCTTCGGCGTTTTGCTCGAATGTCCCAGAGATTAACCATATGCTCGAATAAGTTATAGCAATACCCCCTCCATTCAGTAAAGGCTGTAGGCTCAACCTTCGCCCACACATTTTGCGAGAAGAGCAATTCGAAGACGGAGCCGTCTAGATATTCGGGACCGCAGCTCACTCTGATATTGGATGCCATGGCGATTTCTTGCGCAACCCAGAGTCTCTTCCAGTAAGGGCGCTCCAAAATATTTGTGAAGACTTGATCGAAAATATAAGTGGTTTTCCCACTTGAAGGCCTCCCGTTTCCAGGAGCCAAGAAAGATTGCGCCCAGAACTGCTGCTCCAGCATCGAGTGGTCTACATTCCTCATGAAATCTAGCAGGTTATCGGATTCCGGGGTTGCAGATCCGAGCCAGACGTCCACTGTCTCGGCTTCCTGGAAAATGGTGGCCATGCGTCCCACTTGAGCCGATTTCTCATCTGGGTCATTCTGGTCGATACACAGGGCATCGACCCAAAGGCTGTGAACTCCGCGATTCAGAAGCACACATAGCGCTTCATGGAGGTTTCGGGTGATCCAATGTGGGAATCCGCCAAGCAGGATCTTCTTTTGATGTGACAAGTCTCCCCAAGTGTAGGATAGCGCGTTATATGGAGGATGTCCACTCATGGGTACGTTTTGTAGGGAAATGCTCAGTAACTCTCCTTCTTCCTCCTGAACAACCCCATGCAGCTGAAGGATTCGGAACTCGTTCTTCCGAAGGTTGAGGGGCTCCCATTTGTAGACACCATTGGGTCTTTTGTGTACGGTTTCCGTTTCCATTGGTGATGTGGACAGACTGGTAGTTCTCTAGCCTGTCGGAGAGGAGAGAGCCTTTGATATCGAGGGGTTGCCAATTGATGGAGTCTGCGATATCTGTCACAAGGTTATCACTGCAAGGGATGAACTTCGAGTGTGACGTTGCAGCCTGATCAAGGCTGGTGAGGCTGAGGGTGGACTCTGAGGCCGATGCCTGGCGAAGTCACAGGGCGCTCTGAACCGTAGTTTGTTTTTATGCCCACACGATGAGAAGAGCGGCATAAGAGAACGAAGGAGAATCAATGCAAGGCGTTGGGAAAGATAGGCACGGTGGTGGGTGACATCCAGGTGGTGGCTTCGTTTCCTGGTGACTAAGCCAACTACACCCAGCGGCTGCAAGTCGATGGTGTGGCAAGGCGCACGCAGGCGCCAGTGGCAGCACAACAGTCAAGTTATCGGGGCTCAGACAACGTCATTATACATAACATGAAGCTGCCACTCTGCGGTTATAAGGCTGTGTGTTCACTACCAGAGGGCGTCAAGTGATCTAAAAATGTACTTGTACAGCACAAAGCCAGGCAAGAGGAATCACTAGCAGAAAGGAAATGACCATCCACATCCTTTGGGCCTTCGTTTCATGCTGGATGTGGGAATATCATTGACAGGCCACGCTGCGGACTTGATGATCGACCTTCGAGAAGTGTGTGGATCACAGTGGCTTTGTATATAAAATATCCAAAATCCCACCCCCTTGTCATAGGAAATGCTCGACACCGCTACCATGCCCTTTTGACGCCCGTTTGATTGCGCTCCCATCTGGCTGTCGGACCTCACTCACTGGCCGCCTCAGAGTTGTCCAGCCCGTGGCGTCTCATACTGTAGCCCTTGGTGTCCGGCCTCCCTTGCCGGGTGGTTCGCGCATAGCTCGAACGGGACAACGGATGTCGACGGCCCGACCCACCATCCAACTACATGGTACGTCTATGAAGAAACGCTGTGAACGCGCTCATCACGAGCTTTTCTTAAGGTGAAGCCAACCAGAAGCCTCTTCCGCTTGGCATATGGTGACATGGATTCTGAGATGATGGCGTATCTAGGCAAGATATGCGGGAAAACTGGCAGTCGGCCGAGGCGTGCTGTGGTAGTACTGTAGCTACTTGCGCAAGCCAGGCGTGAAAGAACGGGTTGTAGAGCAATGGAAGCAGCGGAATCTATCTGTTCAAGGGCCACCTTCTATCGACATTCGCAATGGAAAGGTACGGATTAACAGTAATACTGCACAGAGTACTCATGTGTAGCGGCAGTGCCTCTTCCCAACCTTCAGTCAGACCGCGTGGCTAACGCACGCGCTTCCATGCTTTTACTCAGGCATGTCGCGTTTGCGAATCATATGGTCAGCCATGGCACGGAGGGAATCTCATCATCATAACAACATAGTCGTCGTCAGTTTGGAACCCGCTAAGAAAAGTAACGTAAGGCCGAAGGACCAGCAACGCCATTTTAGAAGCCCCCTATCCTTTTGGCTAGAACTCCCACTCAATCAGCATTCCGTCTGGTCCTCTCATCTCCCCTGGCCTTGCAGCCCCATCCTCCCCCTCATAATCTGCATCTGCATCTTTCTTCTTCTTGCTTTCCTTCTCCTTCCTCACCACATTCTTTGGCGGTGGCTTATCTCTGTCCACCTTCCTCAGGAGGCTTGGAATATTTTGCCGGCGAGACAGACCGACTCGGTAGATTACTTTCCGGCCGGAACTGCTCAGACTCGGTGGGTTGATGGGGGAGTGCTTTGTCGGACCTTTTTCTGCAGACGAGGGTGGTGCAGCAGGCTTCGGCCTTGCTGGTGTGGTGATCGGCTCATTTCTATTGCCTGCGCCAGATACCGCATCGTTCTCTTCCGCCGGCGCTCGTGGCTCAGCCTCTGGTTCGGGAGATGTGATCGGTGAGACAGTCGGCGCCTGTGTCAAGTCTTTCTCGGTCAGACTCTTGTTTGTGCCGGTGAGTAGGTTCGTTGACTTCTCAACTAGCGGTGAGCGAGCTTTTGAATGTGATTCTCGTTCTTCTCCCCTTTCTTCATGAGCCTTTTGCTCCTGTTGCTGAGGTCCCGTTTTCTTGGGCTTCCTGCCTCGCTTCTTAGGTTCCACGACAGGGTTCTTAACCTCTGGATGGTTGGGAATCTCGATGCTGATATTGCTGCTCTTACCACTTTTGACCTGATCGATCTTTTGTCTGTGTTCATCCTCTTCCTCGCTCTTCGGGGCATCAGATTCTTTTTTCAGTGCTTTCAAGTCAGGCGGCAGGTCCAGCTTCACTGGCGCAGGCTTCGAGTCCATCCAAACAACATCTTCTTCACCATCGCTCAACATTGGATCTGCTTTCTTGAGCAAAGCCGCCGCAGAGGTCTTGGCACGCTTCACTTTACTCTTCCTACCTTTCTTTGTGCTAGACTTTGCCGCAGTTATGGTAGGGGTTTCTTGCTCTATGCCGATGTTGCTATTGCTTTTCGCTGGGGTGCGATGTTCATCATCGGCTGCCAGTGGAGCCAGAAGAGTTTCGTCCTCGTCAATAAACTTCTTTGATCGCGCGCGGCTGGGGCGGGGCTTATAAGCTTCTTTTGGTAATCCAATCACCGCTTCATCACTGAGGTTGAGCTCGCTTGTCGGTTGTGTGACAAGCGAAAATTCAGCAGTTTGTTGTTCTGTCTCGTTTTCCACAAATGCTTTTGAGCGAGACCGACTGGGGCGCGGCTTATACGCTTCTTTTGGCAGCCCGATCACGGCTTCCTCGCTTAGGTTCAGGTCTCCTGTCGGGTGGTCCCAGCCGAACGATTCCGGAGCATCCCCTGCGGGTTCTTCTTCATCAATCTGAGTTGATTTTCCTCTCTTTCGCTTCTTGCTGGGAGGATCCTTCGCAGAGATCTGGGACGCTTGAGACAACGACTCTAGTGTTCCTCGTCGAGCTCTGGTCGAGTTCGCTAGAACCGAGAAGGCCGTATCGTCCGGATCGTTATCCACACTAGGAGCAGGCGATTTGGAAGAAAGCCTAGAATTCTTCGCTTTACGTCCACGTTTTCTGGGAGCTGATGCCTTCTCCATGCTCATTGCGACGTTTCCCGTCGCGTTGGCTGGATCAGGCATATCGCTTACGATCTCAGGTATTTGGAAGTGACTGGGTCTGTCGGCGTAGAACGGCGCTCCCTCTTTGCGCATGATTCGAGCGGGATCAACAGCCTGAGACCTCGGTGGTGACGACTGTGATGAGACTTGCAACGAATGGTCTTGCCACGGCTCATGGAAAGAAACCATGTGCTGATTTCCACCAACATGAGTCGATTGTGCTTCATTAACCTCGACCAAATCCGTGGGGTTTTCGGGCCTCGCTTGGTTGTGTTCTTCTCTGAGGGAGACTTGACTCAGCGATCCGAATGGATTTGTATTGACGTCCAGCCCCTGACCGGCGCCCCGGAAGTCTATATTAATAGATTGGTACTTTCCCATCGAGGCCATTGATGTGGTCATGCAGTGGGACGAGTCAGCCAAGGATCGTTCGAGGAGCGGAATCACCCCAGTTTGGTTGCTTGTGTCGGTCAAGAGCGGCATGTTCAGATCATCGGACATAGGACGTATGTCTGACGCTGTGTGATCAGCTGCGTCCCTGTCCTGATCGGTAGGCTCTGGATCCCGGGTTCCAAGAGCGCATTCTGGAGGCGGTGCAAACAAATTGTCATCTTGAGTGCGAGACTTGGATCCTGCCCCATACGTTTTTGATCTCTTCACTTTTGGGTCCCCGCTGGGTTCCTCATGTAGTGAATCACCAATACTGTCTTGTAAAGCACTATGGGCTCTCTTCTTAGCTGTCATTCCCGATAGAATTTCTCCAAAGAGTGTGGTGGTTTGCAGGTCGGCTATTCTAGCAACGGTAATGTCCGTAGAGCCATCAAGCTGATTGAAGTCACTGAGATGGAGTGAGACAGAGGATGAAAGCTTTTGAGTTGGATCTAGATATTCATCGCGAACGATGGGTGGAGCTGAGGCCAGAGTAGGGAGGGGATTCTCTTTTCCAGGCTCGTGAGCCGCAGGTCTCTTGACGGGCGAATCGAAGTCTGACTCGGCGTCCGAATCTGCTATCTCGAGAGGCATTGCCGCAATATCGTCGTCCAGGTCTCCATGGAATGTTTGGTAAGCGACAACAAGTGGTTCGTGGATCGCGGAAGTTGGCAGTGGTCAAAGCGCGCATTTCCGCAGACGCGACATGACGCGCGTGAGCACGTGACGTGGTTTAACCTCGTCCGGAGCCAACCCTTCTACGTGTCTTGGTGTGTGGCTGGTTAGCTTCATCTGTCAGAACGGCGAGTTTCGATTTCGCTAGACATATGGTCCATCGGTATATTACATGTTCGGCAAGAGCAACAACTACCTCGTACAGTTCGAAATCCAGTAGCGAGGGCCAAGGCTGCTGATTGGCTTTGCCCCAGGCTCGGAATCTCAGCCTTACAGGTAGACTATCCCTACTGTGCAAAGTTCGTGACCAGGATTACAGCCGCGGCCTTGCAAGAAAGTTTTCAAGAGGAAAAAGAATTCTGAGGGCATGCAACTAGTAAACAGGGCGTAATGCACCGATCTTGAAGTCATCTGAGTTGTCGTGGCAGTGCGGTGTGATCGCATAATAAAACCATAAAACAAAATAGTGTCACATTCAGCTTCTTGCAAATAGCAGTATCAATAGTTCCACCAAATAGTGCAGCATGCCATTGGGTTAATATCTCCTACAGGACTGGGAGAGTAGGCGAAATCACAGCAGAAGTATTGACAGCTCGCTGTTGGACTTTACTGATCTTCACGGGTCGGAACAAGATCCACAGTTGAGACTATCATTGACTAGTCCGGAAACCCAGACTGATGGCAAAGTCCCGAGACCTTCGCATGGAGCTTTCCAACCTCACGTCACTCAAAGAGGCAGCTTAAGGGCTACTGAGATGGCCAGACGTGCTTCAGCTTGACGTTGTGATCTGTGGTGCCCGTGTCAGCCAACAAAATCGAGGCGCAAATTGCGACTAATCACAATGGCCTGCGAATTTCGATACTTGACACACTGGACAAGCTTACCGCAATCCGCGGAGCATTCTCCTGCTTGAGCTGTAAGTTGCGTTATGCTTCTTCTGCGAGCGCAACGTTCTCGCTTGTTCACTGCCTTGATCTAAAGCTCCCCGAAGACACGGAGGGCCTGCCGGAAAATAAGCCGGCAGACGTCAGGGTTATCGAGATGTGCGGGGTTGAGAGCAGACAATCGCTATAATTCGAACGTTGCCTCTACCCAGTGAAAGTCGGCAATCACGGTGCTTTCGCTTGGACTCACCGCTCGTCACGTCAAGAAGTTCGACATTAAGACTTACGCTGGTCCACCTGAGGTAACTAGAAGGGGGCTTTCAAGAGATTGTGGAGAAATGAACGTAGGGGCTGTCTGCTGGGTAGGAGGCCGGAGGAGAACCCCAAACTCCAGCGCAAAGGGCTTCGTAGAGTTCTTGACGTCGCATTGGACCTTGATCTTCCGAATGGCATCGCTACCTGCGACAACGGCTCCTTGACGAATGCGTGGACTGCGGACATTCAAGGTACCCCCCAGAGCCAGTGACTCCAAGAATTCGGAGAAATTGAGGGAGTCGAGAGAAGCCCAGATGGGCCGAAGACTTTTTGTACATGACGCTTTTGTCTCGTCTTTCGGTAATGCAAGTGTAGGGTCCCCAAGTCAGGAGTCTGGCCGTCAATGCTGAGACTTGCGCAGACACGTACATTAGACACGGCACGGAACACCTCGGATCGCTTTATTGGTTGATCATCTTGACGTGAGGTTGAAAGAGAAAAGCATGATTGCAGATGTTTGCCACTTAATAGCAGGTAGGCAACGTCTTACAACAGACTTCTTTTAACGCCACATGCGACATCTCTGGAATGTCAATGGTGAATAGTCTGGCAGACTGTTCTGCCTCTCTGTGTCTTATAGGGCTTACCTACTGCGTACCTCGTATTCGAGTCTTTCCCGGAGGAGCAGGCCCACAGCGGAGTATTGCTCGAAGCTTGAGGGACTGGATGGTCTGGTTCGGGACGCGGATTCGAGGATAGCGGAGCCTACTGCCCCAGACCCTCGAGCTTCCAGGGTGAGTTGAGAATGTGCATCGTATCGGATCGGTCGACGTGGCTTCAAGATGGTGGATGAAGCGTCGATGGGGGGAGACGGAGAGCATGTTCCGCTGTCCGGCAGTCATAGCGGGTTATGCATGAGAGCAAAACGTGCAACGACGGCGCTCAAGGATTGGTCACAACGAAGTGGGCAAGGAAATCATGTTGAAAGAAAGCGCCGCGAGCCCCTGGAGCGATCGGGTCAAGGGTTAAGATAGGCTCCTTGAGAAATGCGCGGTGTGGAGGACATGCAGCTATAGCAGACAGCGTGATGAGAGCATTGCAAAATTGGCAGGAGTTGAGTTCGGAATGAAACAGAGATCCATGGATATTTTGAATGGCGGAATGGGGAGAACCACATTCGACGCTTCCGAAGTGGGCGCACGCTGTATTCGCTCTGAGTGGCCAGTCCTGCACGGGGAAGTCCATGAACATTACGATATTCAACGTCATGGTCGCACAGAAAATTTGGGCGGAGGAGAAAAATATGGAGAAGGCGAGGTGTTGGGCAGTGGGCACAAGCCGGGCAGCAGTTAGTAGTAGTACCTAGTAATTAGCAGGGAGCGGGTAGGTGATGAAGAGCCCTCTCCGCTCCCAGAGACTCAGAGAGCAAGCACCTGGGTGGCACCTGGGTGGCACCGAGCACCTAGAGAAGGGAGGAGAGAGCCGCCTGGAAGTTTGTTGCCGCCACCACCACTACCACTGCCACCTCTGTTGAGCCGACTTCGCACCCTGCATCTATACTTGGCTAGAAAGACTCGGACGTGACACAAAGAAGATAATTCTCTGTACACGCACCACTAAAACAGCACCACAATACCCAACATCCTACCACATCCTACCGCTCCAGGTCGTTGACACAAGGCACCGTGCATCTGGCAACCTTCATCATCGAGATCAACGCACCCCCCCCCCCTACCGAGTACACCCCTCCCAACCATCCCAAACAACACGACGCTACTCGCTCACCGAATCAACATCCCTCTCGACACTCAGCCTCTCGCTCCTCCACGTGTCTGCTGGACGACTCCGTCCTGTCCCACCAGAGATTGACCGCCTCGTCCGGCTCTTGTACCTGCTCCAACCCTCGTTTCCAGCACGTTGGCCTCCTCAGCACTGCCCGACGTTTGCTCCTCTGCTCGCTTCTCTCCTCTCGCCCCCTTGACGGATCATTTGTAGCGAATCGTCGTTACACGCACGGCCGCCTCCCTGCTACCTCCATTGACCCAGGGAGCAGTTGGGACCGCAGACTGCTCGCCCAATGTGCTCCCCATGTCAAATAGCGCTGCCGCCGGAAGACCGTCCGCGCCAGGTTCGACGGTAAATGGACACTCTTTGCTCCGCCATGAACCAGGCTCTACTTCCACTGCTACCAGCCTGAGTCCCTCGTCCAGTTCCAAGCCAATTCCCATCTCACGGGGGACAAAAGGAATATATCCTTCCGCGAATACAAACAATGGCAGAGGTCCGCTCTACACTCTTCAACGGGCAGCCACGTTGGGCGAGCACATTCCGCAACTATCAGAAAGAGACAGTATCTTTGCTGAACACTATGTATCTCCTCCGAACGAGCCTTCCACTTCCCTAGACGGGGCAAGAACGTCTCCGTCCTCCATCACACCGCGGAAAGCACCATTCAATATGTCGACCATGGTCACCCATCCAGTCTCCCCTCCCGATACCAGCAAAACGCCGCGCACCCATTCCCCACGAAAGCTGGATTGGCTTCGACGCTCCGACTCTTTGACTGATGTAGACACGCCTCCTTCCCCGTCCCATCCTTCGACCGGCACGATACATGGTATCAGACGGATAGCCTCCGATTCGAACTCATGGACTAAGAAATTTCATGTTACCTTGGGGAAGACGGAGAACCAGGAGGCGAAAGAGCAAGAAATGGGAACAGCACGACAACATCCGTACGGTGGAGTGGGCTCAGAGAGAGATACCTCTTCGGAACAAGAAGGTGGGCAACATGCAGTGGTTGAGAGAGGCGAGGCCATGCGTGCTGTCATGAAAGGCCCTCGTACTGAGCGGAGTGTCAGTCGTGGCCGGGCACATGTGGACAAAAGTATAGAAGCTACAGTCAAGAACCCCGAAGTTGGAGGCACAGCACGTAGCAGGAAGGCTAGCCATATGATGGGTATCTTTGATCCACGAACTGGCTCGCAATCTCCAGGGTTGAGCATTGGTGACCAACTGAGCCACGTTGTTGGCAGCAGGGAACCCTCAAAGTCGTCATCGCGGCCGACAAGCCCCGCTACTCAAGATACCAAATTCCCATGGAGTGCACGTCGACCTTCAAGGGAATTCGCTGACCCTGCCGTTACCATTTCTCAAGACGCTACTCGCCCTGGGAGTCTACGCAGCTCCCAGGCTACCTCTCCACTGAGGCCAGACCTCGACCCTTATTTCCGTCAACAGGACCTTGCACAGAATCCAGACGTGAACGAAAGGGCATTGGATGACGGCAAGGAAGCCTACAAATCGACAGTCCATGATGTCGCCCCCACGGAGAAGTTCACGGGAGGGAACAGAGAAGAGGATCATAACCCTTCTGAGGAGGAGCACATATCAGCAGCTGTTTACTATCCTCATCCAGGTCCGTCTCCTGAAGAAATTGAGCGCTTCACCTCCCCAGGAGAGGTCGCTTCACCCAATCTGACCAACAATCGACAACTTCCGATCCCGACAGAGGAGATCGTTCTCTCCACCGACACCAAAACAAAGGAAGCATTGGGAGGTACTGAACATATCGACATCTCGGTTGTATCTCAAAATGAGAAAAGAATGTTTCACGGCAATTATCGCCCTCTGGACGAAGCTGCAGGGGAAGGTCAAGTGCCAGCTTTGTCACCTCTTGAAGAGGCTCCCTCAACTGCCATTGTTAGTACTTCCGAGTCGGAAATTGAATCTGGTGACGATATCAGCCGGCAAAGTCAAACAGACGATATGTCAACCACGCCGACACAACGAAGCACGCTATCCAGGCGGCCGACAGAAGTACAGGGGCCGCCGAGGACGAAGGGGAAGGTCGTCCTTGAACCTTACAAGCATCAAGTGGGAGGGCATTCGACAATATTTCGCTTTTCTCGTCGCGCGGTGTGCAAACAGCTGAATAATCGGGAGAATGAATTTTACGAGCGAATCGAGCAAAGGCATCCGGATATGCTCAAGTTCCTTCCCAGGTATGTCTAACTTTCCTGGTCAACTCGCCCCCTATCCTTCTCCAAGACCGAAGAGAAATGGAATTATTGACGTGGTGACAGATACATTGGCGTACTGAATGTGACGTTCTCCAAGATTCCCAAACAATTGCAGAACTCTGAGGCACCACCTGATGATAATGCAAGGACTGAAAACCCTAGTCAGGACGAAGACCGTTCCAGAGAGACAGATAACATGTCCGGCATGGGCTCGAGGTCAATCATTTCATCGTCTGGAGATCAACCACGAATCGTCAGCCACTCGATCCAACAGATCGGCAGCATACCTGAGGTCATTCTGGAACAGAACAAACATATCATTCCCTCCAACTACTTTGCTCTGCCGGAGCGGCCTAAGAGCGCCGACCCTAATCACGGTCGCCGGCGAAGTAAGGATTTCGATCTTCCAGATGCCCTCACGCAGGACGTCTCTGAAGCAGAGAAGTCCCCGAACAGACCGTCAATGCCCGAGCATTCCAACAGTTGGGGGCATACCACTGTCAATGAGGGCTTGAAGGACAAAATCCTACGCGAAGTATTCGGTCCTCCTCCCGTCCAGTATTTCCGACGTCATATACCATCGCACAGTACTGTTCCACGACTCAAAGGCCATCGTGCGCCTCGCCGGAGGAGTAATCTCTCCACAAATTCGTTCCCTCATACGGATGCTAAGGATTCTGCTCAGCCAAATGATCATCTTGAGACGCCGATACTAAATAACGAGATGGCTCACATGCCTCCCCTCAGTGAGATACGTCCACAGGCCAGCGACGGCGGCGTGTATTCTTCATCAGCTTCGGCGTTTGATGACCTCAAATACAACCTCGAACAAGTCAAAACAGCCGGCAGTGAGGTGTCAACCTCTTCTGGCGCAGAGAACAGACAACATGTGAAAAGGCGCCATTCGGGCATGGGCTTGCGACGTCGGCGCCAATCAGTGAACGAGAAACAGACTCCTGAGCTAGAATATTTCGAAGACGAAGCCTACACAACGGATTTTGGTCCTGACACTGGGGATGTCTTCAGCATGGACCAGGAGAAGCAACGGGATACTACGAAGCACCGCCCAAGTCATTCGAAAACCAACGGCTCGAACAAGTCTCAAGCGGGAGAGGCGAAAATCTCCAACGCTCACTCGAACAATGCCGGCAGAGCCAGAGAACCAGATACGACGAGCATGATACCGTCCAATCCAAAAGAGGCTCAAAAAACTTACAGTGCCTCTGGCGATCGAGTCGTCTATTTCATTTTGTTGGAGGATCTCACCAGTGGCATGGGCCGTCCTTGTGTACTTGATCTCAAAATGGGAACAAGGCAATTTGGTGTCGAAGCTAGCAAAAAGAAGATGGAGTCTCAGCGCCGCAAGTGCAAGTCGACGACCTCCCAACAACTGGGTGTCAGAATATGCGGCATGCAAACTTTCAATGCAAAAACTCAAAAGGTATCATATGAAGACAAATACTATGGTCGTGACCTGAAGGCTGGACGGGAATTTAGGGACGCGCTCACGAGATTTCTGTATGATGGTCTTAGCTACCACAGTGTTGCACGGCATATCCCCACTATCTTGCACAAACTCTCCAAGCTTGAGAGCATGGTACGAAGACTGCCTGGATACCGATTCTACGCGAGCTCCCTCCTCATGCTATATGATGCCGAGCCTTACAAGTCTCGGGAAGCCGAAGAGGCGGCCAGGAACGGTATCGATATCGCCGAGCAAAGAAAAAAGGAGGGCAAAAAGTGGCCGCCACCAATTGACATCAAGATTGTGGATTTTGCCAACTGCATCACAGGGGAGGATGAACTTCCCGCCAACGCTCAAGCGCCACCAGCCCATCCCAAAGACATTGATCGAGGCTACTTGCGTGGTTTGAGGACCTTGAAGGCGTACTTCGAACGAATCTTAGCCGACATCAAAAACAACGAAATGAAGGAGATCAGTGGCAGAGAGGAATTAACCACGGACGATGAAGGTGCCAGCAATGTCTCAAATGGCGGGAACGATGCGCCTGAGGAAGAGGGTGAAGTCAGCGTCTAAACGGCGAGCTGGCTTACACCTTGACTAGATTAAACACGGGGCAACCCCGAACTTGTCAGAATTCATCAGCTTTAGCGAGGAGTGTGGAGTTATGAAATGTTTTGCTCAGGATTAGAGAGGCTGTTTAACCTAGGATGGGCGGCTTTGGCCATCACAGCCAAGTATTATTGATTATCCGTCAGAGCATGGAGCTTGGAACAAACCTGGAATGTCCCTTTTCGGCTTGTACGATGTGGGCTTGACGGAATTGGACTGATGCCGTGATACTTCTCATACCATGTTGCGAGTAATGCAGTGTACCGGTCACCCTAGACTATAGAGGTGTCTGAAGATTAGGACGAATGCATGAATGAATGAACATGGCGTACAAGTCAGATCCCATAAATGACCAGAAAAGTGACATTCTCCAGCGCAGCCAAAGCACCGAAACCGAATCGGGTTCGGTGCGTTGCCTACATGGTTGAAGCTCCTAACGAATGAGGCTTGGGTTTGGCTGTGCGGTATCCTCGCCATCTCCAGCTGTACTCGGTAGTCGAATACGATCCGGTGTTCCTCGAGATGCTCGACCAAGACTTCAAGTTGCTCTGGCTTGAGGTCCTCGCTAAGACGTGGCTTGCACAGGACCAGCGCGAGCACTTTTGGTTGGATCGACCAATCACATTGTCAGAACCAGCCAGCCTTGTCCCTTACCACTGATTCTTCGAGGCGTTCCAGGATATCTCTGAATTTCGTCCCGGTTAGACAGACAGATGCATGGTTGAGGACCTTCGGCGGCAATTCAAGGAATGATGTTCATAAGACAGGAACGCTCGCCCTTGCTTCCCACCATGTCCATCTCCCACATCATCGTTGAATGCATACGGTCCTCTAGAGCAACAAGCACACCGGTACCAACATCATCCTCCGCCTACCTTCACCTTCGACACCCTCCTTGAATACAAGGACAAACATCGGTCGATACGCGGACAAGCTCTGCACCCCGAACGTCCTCCTGAGAAATCCTTTCACGGAGAGCCTCAAAACACCCACAGCCACCACCATAACGTCAACCACGAGATAGATATGTCTCCCCTTTCAACCGCGGCCAGATTCCTCGTCATCTTCGAGAAGATGGGAGCCTCACTCCGCAAATCCGGCAAGAGGTTCTCTTCCCGGTTCTCTCGAGAGCAGCACCAGCACCAGCACCAGCAGCGGAGGGCGACCGCCGCTCCAAAGAAGCCGAAAGCAGATGTGTGGCGGGGCACGTCGTACTTACCTTATGGGATGGAGACAGTGTGGGAAGAAGAGGAGGCGGTAGTCATGACGTGCCTCGGAAGCTGAAAAGCTGCAGTAGTCGGAGGAGCAGCCGTTTATTTTCCAACAGAAGAGGTCTGCAGTGGCACCAGCGATATTTCCGCGGAGGACGCCTTTGACAAATCTGGCGATAGGTCCCGGCAAACGAAGTGCCTGGGCGGACGCCTTTGGTGTCGTCCAAGAGGCCATCCCAATGACCGCGTTGAAAACTGTCTCCTTCACCTCCGTGTCTGATCTCTGGTCGAGAAAGGCACGAATAGCGCCGGATGTATAAACGGTCTTCACCTGTTCGGACCTCGGCCTGTGAGAGCGAAGGCGCTCAAGCGACAAAATCATGCCGTCTTAGGAGGATGGGTAAGGAATGAGCCGGACTGGATATCGGCGGCCAACCCTCCCTGATGCATTCATGAAAGGCTATCGACCTTGCCATGTTGAATGCCGGCTCGACGTCTTATTCTTGGTTGTGCGTGTCGCATATGTGGTCCATGTTTGGCATGGTCAAAGAGGGGAAGTGAAGTAGTCGAGAGAGAAGGAATGTCTGTTGTCCCATGTGGATATGGAGACGAGATTGGGGAAGACATCAGCTTACCTCGTACATAGGTAGATGAAGCCATAGAAGAGGTGTTTGGAGAAGTGAGATTAACTGGTAGTCAGCCCACTTCGGTCCCTCTTGTCCCGCGATATGGAGATTTACCCCTGGCACGTGACACGAATTTTCCCTGCGGCAATATTTTCATTCTCGCATCTCGCATTCCGCCGCCTTTGAAGCAGATCCATTGACAACTTTCAGCCCGGTTTGCCCACCCCGCCGTTCCTTCTACACTCGCTGTGCGACACTCGTTCGAATTCTCGCTCAGACCGTCTCTGTCGCACTCGAGTCTGCTCCCTCGTTACTTGGTCGAACCGTCAAAATGTCTTCGATAACAATCACGCGCGACAATGTCACGATCCTCTTCCCCGACGTCCACACGAGGTTAATCGGCGCCGACATGGCGCCCAACGCCATCCCCAACGGCAGTTCAGAAAACAACTCGGACGATATGCTCGCAGGCTACGACGAGGAACAAATCCGGCTCATGGACGAGGTCTGCATCGTCCTCGACAACGACGACATGCCCATCGGCTCCGCCTCCAAGAAGGCTTGCCACTTGATGTCCAACATCAACCAGGGCCTTTTACACCGGGCCTTCTCCGTATTTCTGTTCGACCCTCAGACCAAAAAGTTGTTACTGCAGCAAAGGGCCAGTGAAAAGATCACGTTCCCGGACATGTGGACAAATACCTGCTGCTCGCACCCTCTTGCGCACCCATCCGAGACCGGCAACGGCGAGCTGGCCAGCAACGTCGAGGGCGCCAAACGGGCCGCGCAGCGCAAACTCCACCACGAACTCGGCATCAAACCCTCCCAGGTCCCCGTGTCAGACTTCTCCTTCCTCACCCGGATCCACTACCTGGCCCCCTCGGACGGCAAATGGGGCGAGCACGAAATCGACTACATTCTGTTCATCGAGGCCGACGTCACGTTGGACATCAACAAGAACGAAGTGCGGGATACGCGGTGGGTGGGTCCCGAGGAGCTGAGGCAGATGTTTTCGGACGTGGAGACGCAGAGCGGCAAGGATAAGGCGCTGAAATACACGCCCTGGTTCCGCCTGATTTGCGAGGGAATGCTCTTTGAGTGGTGGGACAAGCTGGTCCAGGGCAAGTTGGGGGACGTGGTGAACGAGACGCAGATTCGGAGGATGTAAAGTGATATTCTTTTATGGGGAGCAATTCGATTATCCGCATGGAACTTGTGCTGTTCGCCCACGCAATATGGGACAAACAATAGAGCACGGTACCATCCTTGCTGTCAGGCGTTCACAGGCGTTAAGGAAAACCACCTGCAAGCGTGAAGATAGGGAATACTGTACAGATACAAATTACCGAGATCGATACCCTGGAGAACGAAACATGCATTTTTTAATTTTCCAAAACTCCCTGAATGCGAGCTTCGTTCCTATGTACACTCTACGTGCACGAGCCAATGTCTGTGTAGGGTCTGTTCCGTGGTCTGGATCTTCATTACATCTATTGTAGCTGTATCTGTACGGCAAGATCGAAGCATCTGGAGGGACTATCTAGGGACGGACCTGGGGGATATACGCGTATAAAGATCACTTTTTGTACGTCAAATCACATGCCGCCTTCGAGGTTCCTAGCCCTCGCCTCGTCCACGCTCCTCTGCCAATCCGTCCTGGCCAGATACACGAATTCGATCAGGGCCACCAGCCCCAGCGCGAGCGCCACGCCGGTCCAGAGTCCCCAAAGGCCCCACCCAGCCCCAAACGCCGTCCCAAAGCTGATGGGCATCGCAAAGACATAATAACAAAACAGCTGCACGTAGCCGCCGAATTCTTGCCTCCCCAACCCGCGGAGGATGCCGTTACAGTTCGCGGCGAGGGCGTCGAAGAGTTGGAAGGCCGCGCACAGGGGCAAAATGTCGCTGACGATGCGGACCACGTCCGGGTCGGAGGTGAAGAGGTGGGGGATGTAGTCCTTCAGGGCGGAGAGGAGGGTCACGTTGAGGATGCCGACGATGATGGCGGCAGAAAAAGTCACTCGTGTGGACACCTTTGCGGCGTCGGCCAAGGTCGCGCCAATGAGGTTCGCGACGCGCGTTGAGCCCGCGATGGAGAGCGGGAAGGGGATCTGGAAGGTAAGCGAGGTGAGGGTTGCGAGGACAGATTGTGCGGCGAGAACTGTCGTGCCGAAATACGATGCCGCAAAGGTCAAAATTTCAAACGCGAGGACTTCGGCCTCAATCATCACCACCCCGGGCAAGGCGAGTTTGACCATTGGTCCCCAGTTCTGGAACGCCTTTTTCGTAAATCCATTCCAGCACGACATTCCGGTCTTGGAGAAGAAACGGACGTAGATAAACAGACCTAGTGGGAGCAAGTTATCCGTGATGGCAACGGCGATAGGAGCGCCCACAAAGCCCATATCTAACTTCCACACGAACAACCAGTTCAAGAACGCGTTGAAAGGGGCACAGAAGAGGAGGACGTAGAGGGAAGCTGAGAAGAGCCCCTGCGCTTGGACAAAGCGTTTCCCGGACTCGAAGGCTGCATAGCCAGGGGCACCAAGCAGGACAACCTTCAGATACAGCCCTGCGAGCTTGGCCACCTCCGGCTCCGGGACCAAGGCAAGGAGGATGCTTTCTGCGAGCAGCCAGATGATGCCAATGGGTATCGTGATGGTCCATAAGAAGTAGACCATGCGCTGCATCTGCAGGCCGACAAGTTTCTTGCGGCCGGATCCGTAGGCTTGTGCGCAGAGGGTGTCAAGAGACGTGGCTAGGCCTTGGTAGATGGCATAGCCGGTAATGTTGGCAGACATTGATGCCAGGCTCACTGCCCCTAGTTCTACTGTCCCGATATGTCCCACGGTGAAAATGCTCGCGACTGTGAGCGAATATTGGAGGACAAATGTCACCATCAAAGGCGCAGAGTAGCGAGCGATGACTTTGGCTTCACGCTGCCAGGTTGTATGAATCATGCCTGCTGCCACAGCTTCCTCCCACTTCTGACTTATGTTCTGGGGGTCATCTTGGCCGCCATATGGGAGGTTTGGGTCACCTAACAACGGCGAGACTTCGGTCGCAAGGCCCACGTTGACCTCTACCGCGGGGGCAGCCTCTTCATCTCGAGAGACTTTGCGGTCACCGCCAGGTATATGGAAAATGCTTCTCTTGCGACCACCTTGGTCGGCCGCGGCCTGAGGATGTTTGGGTGGGATTAGATTGTTGTCTCTCAGTAGAGACCGCTCCTCTTCCATTGCCTGTTGTCTCTCTTCCTTGGAGAGGCGCTCATGGTCTGATACGAGCCGGGGAAGTAGAGTAGCTCTGTTTCCCGCTCCAGCAAAGCTCGGTCTGCGGTATGACCCGACAAACGAGTATGCTCCTGTTCCTGGGGCAGAGGTGGACGGACGTAGGGTAGAGCTTTCTGACTCGGACTCTGTACCGGCGGATTCTTCGTCTGTGTCTTCCTCTATGTCCCGGGCAAGTGAGGCTTGAGCGATGGGCGAGGGATCTGGGAGCGAGCGGGCGAAGACTCGGTTCGTGGCGCTGGTGACGCGTTCGAGAGTGCTGGGATATTTGGGAGGCGTCGCCATGTTGGGCAGACCTGTTGACGAGGAAGAAATACTTTTGGTTGTGACTCGAACAGGTCCTCAAGGGATTCGGGTTACTCCGCGATCTCATGAGACAAGATGGGTGGCATGCTCAGATGGAAGAGGACCTTTGGATCACTATATATTGAGAAACAAGCAAAGGAAGAAGGATGGCACCACGAATCATGCACATTTCCGCATTGGATCAAGATTGAGAAGATAGGATCCAAATCCCTGAGAGTTCGGTTTCTCGACTGATAAAGCTCTTGAGGACCAACTACCTAGTAGCTACTCCGCACATGTGCGCAAGGCGAAGGGAGTCTCCAAATGGCATCGGCTGCAGTGACCAGATCGGGCACCAGCTCTCGCCCGCGCCTAGCCGCTTCCAGGTGCCTGTGGGTGCCTGGGAGCTGCTTTTCTCAGTTTCCTCGGGCGTCATTGGCGCCCCGCGCTGCCTATCGTTTGGAGGGGCAAGGGCCAGGGCTTGTAAGGATTCTCGCCCGGCTCCGGCTACCTGGTCGAGCACGAGAGCACCAACCAAGAAAGAAATTGCTGTGTACGAGTAGATCGATGGCGAAAAAGAAGAAAATAACTTGTCAGATAGCGACATCCGTGGCTATCAGGCCTAGACGGATATCCAGGCAACTTCCTGGGGTACTCCGCCATTGATTTCACTACTTCAAATTGTCCTTCAGGCGAGGCCTGCTACAAGTTGGAGTCGATTGGGAGACGTTTGCGCTCCATTCTTGACAATTGCGGCCGGCGGTGTGTTCACCTCCCGTGGCGTATGGCAAACCTCAATCGTTCAGGTTGAGTGGCAGGAATATTTCAATGTCTCTGCCGGTCCTGCCAGCTGATCGAATCAAGACTACCATCATAGGCTCGTCGCACGACTACACGATTGACTGGGTATTCCGAGACAAATTCTTCGTGGCAGTCGGTATGGAGCTCTCCGACAGCTGAGAGTCGAATCTGTGGACGTACCCGAATGATACAAAACAAGCATTTGCGCAAAGCGTCGCGCCGAACCTGGGGACATAATACTTTGGAGCAACTTATGAGCTGGTGCAGCAAGAGAAGGCAGTGCGTTCCGACTCTCCAGGATCGTGCGGCGGACAATTCCTCCAAAATTCTGCGCCATGTAGAGGAGTTTGTAGTCGAAAAGGTGCATATTCTCAGGTGCAAACCCTTCACTGAGACGGCCTCGCCAAAAGTCTCGTTCACAGTGCCTGATTATCAGACCCGACTGACTCGCCGCCCCTCGTCCAGGAGGAAACGACAGAATTCCTCCCCCACGCGGCGTGGTACCCGGGGAAAGGAATCCCATGTCCTTAGCGAAGTGGGAAACTCCTGGGAGCAATGGCAATGCAGGCCGGGCCTTTGTATGCTCGGCGGAGGAGGGAACTGCCCGTGATTCTTGACCCACACCAAGCCCGAACCAATCACAGCTTCACAATTGGTATCAACTTAGTATCAAGGCACTTTAAACTCCACCTCGAGCCAATCATGCCAGGCTGCGAAAATCAATAGTACCGGAAAGTCACTTGCCATATTCTCACCATTTTGCACAGTCACTGACGTGGTAGTGGTGGTGGTGGTGGTGGTGGTGGGAGGAGATGGTACGATGACATCTTGCTGTCGGAGTCGAATATAGAGGGACCAAGAACCCAGCCTTCACATCTCTTCATTCTTTGCCCTCCCTGATCTATCCGAGATACACTTACCCGTTTTACAACATATCACCCTATCCATGGCAAAGCTAAGGGCTCGATACGGTGTGAGGCGGATTCGGCTGTGTAGGGACTGCACCAGGGAATGCGATTACATCACTCGGGATTCGAATATTGAGCGATCCGAGTACTGTAGCAGCCGTAAGGCACCAAGCCTTTCTGGTGTTGGTCTTCTGTCCAGGCTCAAATCACTAACCAACGTGGCTTATCAGACAAATGCAAGTACAGACACTGCTCCCATCGAGCATTGAGGTCTTCCCGATACTGCGAGACTCGTACGTCCCAGGGCTCCTCAGCTCTCCCCTTTGGTGCTCCTCTGCGTTTTGGAGGGAAACAAATGGAAATTCCTCTCCCGGCTGACCATTGTCCTCCTAGATACTTGCCATCAGGAGCGTTGCAATGCCGCTATTTCCAATCTCGAAAACCCCAACGCACGATACTGTGAAAAACACGAATGCCAGACGGCGGGTTGTTTTGGCCCCAGGCAAAAACGTCACAGCGGCGTGTGGCTTTGCAACGACCATCACGTTCAAGCTCAGGCGGCGGAGAACAACATCAGGCTCAATGACATGTTTGCGCGACTGTTGCAGACGTTCGAAGACATGCATGCAGCGGAAATCGATACCAGGGCCGATGAGCTTCTCGCGTATTACTTACAGATTCGCGAATGCAATTATGCGCTCGCGTGAGAGTTGTGTAGAACCTCCACTCTGCCGTTCCCGTCGGCTTGCTCACTGGTGCGAGCGGGACAAGAAACAAGAAAGCGAATGTCTGGAAGAGGTAGATCTGTCAAGTCGCAATCTAGCCAAATACGCAGAGAGGGCGCATTGATGTTTGCAGTCGCTCGAGGACGGAGTTTCCCTATGTATGTTAGCATGAAGCAGAGCCATATAATTGATAGATAGTGAGAGAATGTGTCATGACTCAAAACAATCATTTGAATCCGTCAGCACGCTAGCGAATGAGGACGAGAGACTGACAATGAGAATCGTCTAAGGTGTTGGTATTCAGTGTGATGAAGATGAAGACTGTGGACTTGGTCCATTGTCCCTGCTGCTTAAATCAGCTTAATCGGAGCCAGCTGTTCTCATTGGCGGCGAGCACTGCCCAGGGCTCTGGCTCGTGCGTTAGGTGGTGGTAGTTCAGGCATGTACATAGGTGGGTAGGTACCTGTCGAGTAGGTAGGTAGATACCTAGGTACCTAGAGGACGCCTTGGGGCTGCCGCGGCCCTGCAGTTCTTGGTGCTGGCCCCAGATCGATTGCGTCATTTTAGAGCCTCGCGGATCACCCAGAGCTTTTGCGATTCCAACCACCATCTCCGTGGATTCAAACAGCATCGGTCAAATCAGAATATCCATCCATAAATGTACGTCCCCAACTTGAACGTTTGTGTTCCCACATCCATCCACAAAAGACATGGCACCTCCCCCGGACCCAGACATCAGCCAGCCTCCTCCAGTCGAGGACGCCTGGCATATCCTCTACAATCCCTTCAGTGCCACCATCAATGTTGACGAGTAAGTTCTTCACGCTCACGAGGACAGTGAGTAGAGCCAGGGCCCTAATCGACGTGTGATACAGAAACCATCCAGGAAATCCCATCAAGATGTTTCTTCTGCGACCTCTCTACGCGCCCCTTCTGTTTTCCAATGTTTCATCTGATGCCCGCGATCACTGTGCCAACGAAAGGACATTCTTGTCCTGGCTGCGACTATCCATCTACATGGCTGTTGTCGCTGTGGCGATCTTCGTCAACTTTCATCTAAAGAGCCAGCCCACTTCCTTGGAGGAGCGACTATCCCACCCGCTCGGCATCATCTTCTGGGTCCTTTCCCTCGCTTGTCTGGTGAGCGGATTGGGCATCTACATGCGAACAGTCACAAAATATGCGAGACGACGGGCTTTGGTCCAGACAGGGATGAAGACCCAAATAATCTTTGGCGTCGTCTCGACTGCGATTATCGCCGCTTGTGCGTTGTTCTTGGCGGCCGAAGTTCAGGCATCGCGACAGCGGCAGGCCGCCGCTGCTACGAGTGTATTATTATATCGTACCTAGGTACCTAGCCCAAGAAAGGGATCCTTGGTGATAATGGATGTTCACATGGCGAAGGAGAACTCTATGGTCTAAATTGTAACGCGCTCACTTGCCGAAGCTTGATAATGTGACTTGCTCGGCGTTGATTGGAGTACGTAGACGCGTCGTCCGTGGTCGAGCGTGCCTCGACTGTTGATTCGCCATGTAAGGGCTCCTGTCAACCCTCCCGTCAACCTTGTGAGCCGTGCTTTACCTACACACCAAAACTTCCATCCTTCGACCACCTCCGCAGCCTCAGACTGACGCTCATCCACGCTGCATGAGTCGACTCAAGGCTTCATCCGCAGGCTTTCCAAGCTAACTTTCATCATTCCCTCCAGTCTGTCCTTCGCTCGTTGTCGCTCCAGTCATGGATCCCACCACTCCCACTGAGTACCCCGCCGATTCGGCCTACAGCCCTCACATCGTCAATGACCAAGACCAGCCGCAAGAAGACACTACCGCGATTCAGAGCGGCCATCAATCCCAGACTTCTACTGTTACCGCAACTCCGCCCATGGACAATGACTCTAATCAAAGATACAACTCTCCCAGCCTCTACCAACAACCGACGTCAAGACCTGGGTCTGGAATGGGCGGACATCAACAAACACAATATCAAGAGAACAGACAGTCACAACCGTCCAGCAAATCCAGTGTCGTCATCAAAGTTGGAATGGTCGGAGATGCTCAAATAGGGAAGACAAGTCTGATGGTCAAATATGTCGAGGGCAGCTGGGATGAAGACTACATACAAACATTGGGTGCGCTTTCTTCCCCTTCTGATGATTTAGCCGCCCATAAACTAATCCCTCTTCCAGGCGTCAATTTCATGGAAAAGACCATCTCAATACGCAATACAGAAATCACCTTCTCGATTTGGGACCTCGGTGGTCAACGAGAATTTGTCAACATGCTCCCCCTCGTCTGCAACGACGCCGTCGCCATCCTCTTCATGTTCGACTTGACGCGGAAATCGACGCTCAACAGCATAAAAGAGTGGTACAGACAGGGCAGAGGGTTTAACAAGACTGCCATCCCTTTCTTGATCGGTACAAAGTACGACCATTTCGTTAATTTCCCAAGGGAGGATCAAGAGGAGATCAGCAACCAGGTAAGTTGGGAAAAAGAATCCGCTGACAACGGAACATAGTGACTATCACAAGAGACACTGACCACCAATGTGTTCCGCAGGCCCGAAGATTCGCAAAAGCCATGCGTGCAAGTCTCATTTTCAGCAGCACGAGCCACAGTATCAATGTCCAAAAGATCTTCAAGATTGTGCTCTCCAAAGCCTTTGATCTGAAATGTACAATTCCGGAGATCGAGAACGTTGGCGAGCCACTGCTGCTGTACCAGTCGGTCAATTGATGCGGCAGTTCCCAATTGTACTTCACTCCCGGCGCAAAGGAGGGCCCCCTTGCAGCAAGCGACTCGACCTTTACTGCTCTTGAGATGTACTAAACGAGTTTGGTAGGGACGAATGATTATCGACTGGGCAATGCTAAATGGGACCTATTCATGCGCAGAATCGAACACGTCCTCAAAAACAAAGCTCGACACCACACCCTATCCTCGGAATGTCTGGGCGGATGTCAGCAAGTCATCGGATAGCATTTCAATGAGGCTGCGCCGCTCTCAACCTGTATTCTGTGTGTTCTTCACGCCCGATTGTCGGGCATAGTGTTGAGATCTCTTCTTGAATTCCAGCAGTGGCGTTGAGGGAAGTACCGAGCTATCATGTTTCATGTTTTTGTGACCAGAGCTCCTTTCGGAAGGTGTCCCTTTCTGCATTTTTATCTCTACTGGGTAAAGAAAAAGCAGAGTGGAATGGGGCCTAGCATTGTGGTCGGAAGATTTCAACTTGGGGGAGCTTTACATGAGGGCACCATGATCAAGGGAGCGACGAGTATTTCTTGAAGCAATGAGGAGGATGTTCAAAGAGTATTAGTTAGTGCAGAGACCACTCGCGTGGCCCAAAACCAGTCGATGACCCCAGAATGAATCTGAATGAAGAAAACTCCGATGAAGATACAGAATGCAACGGTCTGTGACAAAATACACATTCACGCACTCTATCTGCCGCTGCGTTGAATTAACTGCCCAAGCACGTATAGGCAAGATCTTACCCCCTTGGGAAGGAGAGGGGACGGACGTATTTGGAAATGCATTCCAGCCCATTCGTGACGAGGCAACGAGTTAAAATTCAAACGTCTCTCCTACAAGCCGCTCGCTGAGCTCCCAAACTTGGTCGATGTATTGCTCATGGCCCTCGTGGACACCAACCTTGGCCACCTGGCAGTCGTCGAGGTATGCGCCCGAGTCAGTGGCAAGACTCGGGTCCAAGGCAGCACGTAGCTGCGTTGCGCAGCCCTGCTGCAGGGTCTTGGGCTCGGGGATCTTGAACTCTGGGTTATACCGTCTTGCGACTTTGATGGCTTTGCTTCGCATGTCGGCGTCGGCAAGCATGTGCCCCTGGAGGTTTGTCCGGATGCTTCCTGGGTTCAGGCTGAAGACGGAAATGTCGTGGTGTCTCTGTCTGAGCAGCCTCGCGAGTCGCTTCCCGTAGAGGACTCCGCAGGCCTTGGAGAAAGTGTATGCTTGCATCGGGTCGTAGGCGCGGCCGTGGTCGTAGGATGGATCACCAAGGGGCTGGAGAGCGTACTCTGCCATGCGTTCGGACGCGGAGCTACTGACGATGACGACTCGCGACCGGATCAGACCGTTCTTCAGGAGGAGGTTACAAAAGAGGAAGTGGCCCAGGTGGTTTGTGCCGAACTGCGTCTCGATGCCGTCTTCCGTGAGCGCGTACGGACAGGCCATGATGGCGGCATTGAGGATCACGCAGTCTATCTTGTCGTCCTCAGAAAGAAGGAGAGCTTTGACGTCCTCGACTGCTTGCCGTACAGATTTTTGGCTCCCGAGGTCGAGCTGGATGAAGCTGGTTTTCACGCTCGGGTCAATCTCCTGGACTTGGCTGATGAGAGGTTGGATCTTTTGTTTTGAGCGGCCCGCGAGGATCAGATGTTTTGGGCGAGCTCGCGCGAGACAGAGTGCTGATTCGGCGCCGATGCCTCCTGGAGTTGGACCGGTGATCAGGACTAGAATCTTTGAGCTGCGTTATTTCCGTCGTCTTTGAAACTTGAGAACTTACAGGTCTTGCCCTTAACTTGGTCTCTGAAGGTGTCGACTATCTCATTGCCGGTTGTCTCAAATCCAAAGGCCATTGTGGTGAGATGGGAGAATGCTCTGTATATGTTCTGAGACTTGGGGACTGTAGGGAAGTCGTCGGTGGTGGTCTAACTCATGCCTCTTGTGATTGAGGATTTCATCTCTTTATATTCCACTCCCTCACGCAGGTTACCACGGCCCGCCTGCGATGATTACTTACATAGCCACTGAGCTGTTTGTTCCATGTACGCGGCATGCATACCTGGGTAGGTAGACTTTTTAAACCCGTAACACCATCTGTCAGCGTGTGGCATCTCTCTAGATCGACCAATGCCCACACTGTTCACGGTTGAGGCTGTCCAATCAAGCGAGGCGCAGCGCTTGTTCGTGTCAGCCTTTGGGGGAGAAATGCGGGTGAGTGGCGGCTTGGACACGTCTCGACGCCTATCTCCGGCTTTGTCGTGCAGCTTGCATGGATCGTCTATGCAGGAACGAGTAAGTCTGCGAGGGTTGTAGGGGGTGTATGGGTTGCAACACACCAAAATGTGTCATGGTGACAAATTGGCTCTCGCGTGGGAATAAAAGTGTGTCCCACAGGCAATTCGTGCTCGACTTGGAATGGAAGCTCCGAGTCCGTCGTAGGCCAACATGGAGGTTGGAAGGAAGTTGCGCCGTTTCTGGGCGGTGCCGCCTCCTCCTTTGCTTCCTCAACTCAACTCAATTTACTCCATGTCCAATAACTCCACAAGAAAGGACAACATTCCACATCGCAGCAAACGCACCAAGCTTGTCGGCAATATTCAGGGCGATATAGGAATCATACAGCCTCTGAAATGACATTGCACCCTCCGTCAATGCCAGTAAGACCTCAGCCACAGTGCCTTGCCAACGTTGTGTCATGCAGCCTATTAGCTCTTCAAGACCCTTGTGCAATTCATGTCTGCCACTAATATCTATCGTCCCATCCGCAACTGGCCGGCAATGATAATGGTGCCCAAAGCTGTTGAAGCATCCCTTTCCACGATGGCGCTCTGCGGAGGCTGACGATCAATGCCAGAGTCTCGAACGTTTCGTAGAGGCTACCGTTCAATGCTTCTGGAGATGCAAAGAAGGTCAGTTATCTGTTATCCCTTGAACTTTTGAAGTACGGTATAGGCACCGTCGGGCGCAATATTCCACGTCAGAGCAAATCAAACGGAGACTTCATCGTTTCCGAAGAAACTCGGCTCTTAGAGGCGATAATCTCATCACAGGAATAGTACCATGCAGGGATCGGACACAGCAGGCTCTACTTACTTCCAAAAAGGTGGCGTCCGAAGAATCCACACGAGCATCAACGACCGCTCGCCCAGCGCGCGGGACCGTTCTTGGTTCTCGGTTCTCGGTTTAAGGGTACAAGCTTGAAACGTTTTCGAAGACCCAAGTCAGTATATGTGCATACAAAGGCAAGGAGACGCAAGCAACGAACAACCAAGCCCATTCAGATAAGTATAAGCTTCTCTTCGCATTTATGCAGATGCCCTAAAGGCTCATGCATATCGACAGAGGGTTATTTGGTCATCACGGTCTGGCTTGATTGATGTTCGCGCCTACGAACGGAACTTACCATGCACGTTTCTATTTCCAACTTCGCCTCTTGGAGCTTCTTTTGCTGAAAGAACCGACAATGTGCTTGGAAAACATATGTGGTTGCCCTTGCCTTTGGGCGTTCTCACGGCCTTGTATTTCGGCGTTGGCTCCGATTTGCTGTCATGTTCCATGGACTTTCTCTATCGGAAATATTCCTGGGGAGTGAGATGGCCGGCGTCCGGCCTACTGTACCTCTCAATAAGGATAGATTCAGGATAGACGAGCATGAGTCCGACGTCAGGAGGGGGATTCGGCAGGGATGACCTCGCCGTTGTCGACGGTCAAGCATTTTGCTATGGAGTTTTGTCATCGAGGCTCTGCTCCGAATACGTCAGCATTGGTCTTGTGTCATCCAGCCCTGCAAGGATCGGGAAGAGAATCATCATGTCTTTGTCGAAATGGGTGTCTTTCTCTTACCAACGGATGGGATTTGTCTCATTCTCTTTCCAAGAAAGCATCGCGCGTCTGGCGGAGTTTTTGGTCAATTTCGGAACAAACAATGCCTTGATCTCGCCCAAAGCCATTCAAAGGAACAGATTGTTTCTGAATTGAACAGAGACCGGCAGTATTGAATCGACGGAACGAAAAGGAGCGCTCAAAGCGGAAGGTTCTGTTGTCTCTGCCGCATTAGCACCAGCCGCGCCCCGTCTTGAATCTTGCATGCTGCGGCTGGGGTGGCGGCTTGTATCGTCTATGAGCCGCAATGAACAATAGGAAGTACTTTGATCTGAATCAACTGGGCTCAATTCACACGCTGTGAACGGCCCTATACTTGGCTTGTCTTTCAACTGTGATCCAGATTCTTCTTTACAATTGCCTGTCTCTGTCCACCATCCGTCTCCTTTCTGTTCTCGTTTTTGAACATCCCTCAACAGTCTACAGATACACACGCACGAATACAATCCAGTTCAAAGCCAAAGAGCGTCGAAACAAGCAGTGTTTGCGAAAAAGGCCTCACAAACTCCTCCAACGAACGCGTTCGTGCATCTCCTTCCAGGGGCAAAACGACAACCAGCGTAAGACTCTCGTCCACAAGGGTTGACAAAGAAAGGTACTGATAGAAATGGCCTCGCGGCCGCGTTCTAGCTCACAACTTCTCACCGAACCTGTTCCAAGCAAGCAGCCAGCCAGCAGCCGGCCAGAATGCTGAGATTCGCCATCAACCAAGTCATGTGGTCATGGCTTGTCGTGATTCTGTGGCTGCAGTGGGTGTTTGGGGAGTTTATTCGCCTCCTTGAGGAGGAAGGAATCGAGCCGTGGGTGGGCGTCAATCTAGAAGATGGCCTTCTCCAGCTTCGCTGGACGTGGATGGAGTATTTGGCGGGCTTGTTGGGCGCGTTAGAGAGGTTAGGAAGGGACTAAAGAGGGCAATTAGATGCCATTTCAAGCGTCAGCGCCAGCGCGCAGAAATTGTCGAGTCTTCCATGGGTCCTACGTGCGGATTCTGCATCAGCAAGCATGCCAGCTACTGGCCGTTCCAAGGCGCTGTTTCAAAGGAAGAGAAGGGCCTGCAGGCAGGTCTGTAGTTCAGAATACAACATTTCAGCCTGATCATTCCCATTCTTCGGGACATGCAATAGTTGAGCGCATTCATGCTAAATGGATATATCCTTAGATGCGTCCGTCCGAAATCCGTGCGGTGTATTGATCCAAGCCTACGAGGCTGGCTCGCGAAAGGGGCGTCCCAGCCTAGTAGCCCGATCGGACCACGGCCGCCCTCGTGTACACCACACCGCAAACGCCTCTCTGCTTGCAGCGGCACTCTACACTCTCAACAACATGGGAATCACTCCGTCTCTACCAGTGTACGCTTAATGGACATTCTCTCAAGAAGTCGTTATTGTTGTGGGCGTGTCTCATACGGGTAAACCGGATCAGATTGACGGCTATGAGGCTAGCGGACTCTGCACTTTAGCGATATGATGATCCCTCCGTCTTTGCCAGCGTACTTTCGAGGGTTATGATCTCGAGAAGTCCTTATTGTTTTGGGAGTAAGTCGTATGTGTAAACCCAATCACGGCCCTATCTGGTCGCAGCGGTATCTACAATCTTAACGACAAGGTGATCCGCCGTGTCGACCAGCGTACGCTTGAAGCATATTCTCTCAAGACGTTTTCGTTACTCTGGGAGTATATCATACGGTCATACCGGACTTTAGACTGTGTCTGCCAGCCGTACGCTTGACAAACATTCTCTGATGAAATCCTCATTGTTCTGGGAGTGTATCATACTGGTAAGTCCTATCACGGTTTTGTCTGGTCATAGCGGCATGTACACTCTCAACGACATGACTATCCCTCCGTCTCTACCCAGCGGACGCTTAACTGACACTCTGTCGAGAAGTTCTCAATGCTTTGGGAGAATACCATACGTGTAAACCCGATCACGGGGAATCAGCTAGCTACTCACAACTGGGGGTTGCCCAGAAATCATCTCTTTCGAAGTTCAAGCATACTTTCCCACAAACGCGATCAGCGCATTATCGACCTCCTTGGGGTGCGACGCGGACAAGAAATGCGCGCCACCCGGCACCACGACCAGTTCTGCCGACGGCGAGTTTGTGAAGAGCTTGATCTCCTGCTCCGCATTGGCGACGCTGTAGACCACGTCATCTGTGCCCTGTACGAAATCCCAAAGGTTAGCATTTGACGGCGATGATACTTGTGATGTGCGGCCAGAAAGAAGGGGGGAGTTCGCTCACATGTAACCACATAACAGGACACTTGACATCGAACAACCGGCCGTGTAGACCGTCTCTTTCACGCAGATTGATGGCGGCCATCCTGGCGCGCCTGCGCCCGTCGTCGCCCTGGTAATTTGCCTGGATGGTTTTGCGCCAGAAATCGCGCGTCTCTTGCGGGCAGTTCTTGCCGAAGCCGATATCAATCAAAAAGTCGCAGTAGTCGAGATCCGGTTGGAAGTCGGGCGTAGGGTCTTTGCTCGTCCACTTGTCGATGGGGCCCGTGCAGGCCGCGACGCCGTCCCAGCAGCCGAGCTTGCGTGTGCGTTCGGATTCATAGTCCAGCGAGGTACCGAGAGGGATGATGCCTTGGATCTGAAAAGGAGGGGGGGTCATATGTCAGCACATAGATTCCTAACCCCCGGGGAAGAGAGGGTGGTGGCATAGCAATGAAAACCCATATGTACCTTGTCAGGTGCCAATAGCGCCATTCGCACCGTAATCCACCCGCCCTGGCTCGTGCCCAGGACGAAGGCCTTTTTAATGCCCAGCGCCTCCATGACCTGGATGTTCATGATCGCAGTGTCCCAGTATGTAAAGTTCTCCGACTTGGTGCGCGTCTGCCCGTGTCCGAGCAGCTCGATCGCGACGAGGTTCATCTTGTCCGTGAGTTCCTTGTTGGCGTACTGCTTCCGGTACAGCTCAGACGACGTGGTGAAGCTGTTCACGAGGATCAAGGTCGGCTTGGACGCGTCGTAGGGGTGAGGCATCTGGTACGCGGCATCGATACCTCCCAGATGAGGGACGTGGACCGTCTTGGTGTTGAGCATCTTGTGGTTCTCAGAGAGGAGTATTTGGATGGTCGTGGGCTGCTAGTCAAGGTAGTATACAACGAGACGAGAAAGACACAGAGTTTCTTTCTTGCAGGATTTTCTTTTGTAGCAGAGACTTAAGGTATCGGGCTCGGAATGGTGCTGCGCACTTGGAGCCCGGACGCCTGGGAAACCCAAAGGATTGTCTTTATAATACTCACCACCTTTGTTCAGTCGCGGTTTCCATAGGCTTCTCCATCTTTCACGTCTATCTCTCCCCTCATTTTTACCATCTTGCGGTTCCGCTCTGACGGCGCCCTACCGCGATCGGGTTTCAGCAGGAGGACGTGTACGCATTACTGGGAGGGAGAGAGGGGAAACCATTTATGTCACTGTGGGACCGTGGATGGCCTCTTCACGCTCTCTGCTTGGCTCGGTCGCTTGATGATGGACCCCACGAAAAAGCAGACCGGCTCGCCGAGTCTGGCGGGTCCGAGCTGTTTATCTAACAAGCTCGGTAATATGCAACCCATGGATTGGGAGTGGAGATGTGATATTGAGGACAAAATTTCTGGGATTCAACCCCGGAATTTGTCCGGCCCCCTTCAAGCTGGCTGCGCTCTCTGCAGCCCATTTGGCCGATGGTTAAACGCGCCAAGACGAAGTTGAAGCTGCAGATTTGGAGAAGTTCGATTTTAGAGATCGACCGTGACAAAATCGATCGTCAAGCTCTGCTTTCGAAGGTGGTTGTTGCCCGAGAATCCAAAGACATCGAGGAGTGGAAGCAGTTGTTTCATTTCGACCGACGGTTGAGAGCACCATGTCCTTGGACGGAAGTAGATCGGACTGATGTGATTGGGCTGAACGGATGTAGGAACAATGTTGAAAATATTTCGACATACATGCACGAAGCTTTGGGGTAGCTGTCATGGTGGCAGCCGGTTTGTGATATGCCAACCTTGCCCCGAAATGGGGTTCAAGCGGGCCCCGTATCATGCTTGGGGAATCGTCTTGTCTGTTAGACGTGCGAGGTACTTCTACTCCATGAAAAAAAAAAGAAGGGCAGAATTGGAAACAAAGCCAGCATTGTGAAAGTAATAGGTGTCTCTTTATTCTTCTTTGTACAATAAGCTAGCTACCTATGTCAAACCGAATTAGACACACTCGTGTGCTGCGTGTATGTACTCCATACTATTCAATCCTTCAAATGCTTCATATGCAATATCTTTCTCTGTCATATCTTCATCCTTGAACCGTCAGGAATCCAGCGGTGTAATATGTGCGTGTCGAACAATCGATCAAGCCAATCGAGTATTAGTAAGTCGTAAGTCATACAAAAAGTTTCGTCGTGGAGGAAGAACTGCCGAACTGAAGTGTGATGCGATAAAGTGCTGTTGAACCTTTTCCCTTTCCTGGTGCTCCCCGACCTGCCGGCCCAGTGATCATGAGCCGTGATCCACTGCATTTTACAAGTTTTGCAAATCTCATTCGCTCGCGCCCTAGAGCATGAGAAAAGCAGCAACCAAAACACCAAGAAGCGCACCCGCAGGCGATCCAAGTTTGTTCCCAGCGCCGGCAAAAGTAGATGCCATTGGTGCGACTGGTGTGCTGCTTGAAATGCCCACCGATACAGACGACGTCGCACCAAAGGTCCATGTCTTGGTCGGGGTGCTCATAACTGTAGAGCTCGATGGGATCGAAGGGAGAGTGGGCATACTGGTCCAGTCTGCCCACGTCGACGAGGCGGCTTCGGTGGGCGCGACGGACGGCGTGGTGGAACTCCAGTCTTCCCACGTGGAGCTGGTGGTCTCAGGAGCAACGGGAACGCTTGAAGTCGAAGTGGTCCAGTCAGACCATGTCTCCGAGGTTGTGGTGCTGGTCGAGGAGATCCAGTCGGACCATGTCTCTTCTGCCTGACTGGTGGTCGTCATACTGGGGCTGGTATTACTCCAATTAATCCACTCAGAAGTCGAGGCCGGCGTGGTCGTACTCGACCAATCCGCCCACTGCGAAGGAGAAGGCGTTGTTGGTGGCGTAGTGGTGGTCATGCTATAGTTTGACCATCCAACCCATTGAGCTGATGCTGAAGTAGTGGTTGTGAAGGAGGTTGTGATGCTTGTCCAGTTGCGCCGAACTCCTCCGTTTGTAAAAGAAGTGTTGTATTTTGCTGGGTCGCGCTGCTCGGCACAGTACGTGACCAGTGCACCTATCACGGCCGCGACAGATTCAGGTGGGGCTGTTGAAACGACGCAATATTGAATAGCGGCGACGGATTCGGGATTGCAGATGGCTGTTTGGTCTGACGAGATTGCTGCAATGCAGGCAGCCAGGTAGTCTCCTTGAGCTGGAGCAGTGGTTTGTGGCTTTGGAAGTGCTGAAGATAAGGGCAGCAAAGAGAGCGCGGTGGCCGCGATGGCAGCGGATCTTGTGAGGGAAGACATGAGTGGACAAGAAACGACTGTCGTTTCAAAGTGCTCTGTAGATGGGTTCTGATGCCAGATGAGAGACGATATAAAAAGCACACTTGCTCGGTTATTCAGGGTTCTGATCGAGCTACTCCTCGGTTGTGTCTTGAATGAAAACGGAAAGTGCACAAACCTCTAAACGACCGTGCGATATATAGTCGTGATGCAGGACCCTGGGCTTGTCCAACCCAGCCTCCATTGTAAGAGACGATGATCCCCATCACCCTTTATCAGTGGCTAGCAATCCAAATAGGCAAGGGCTGATGCAAGATATTGGTGGCATTAGAGAAGAATCCAGAAGGCAGGGGCTGCTATTGCTCGACGCCAAGCTTTTTGCATACCTTTTCTCTATCCCCATTGGTTGAAAGCTAGCTGGTGGGTACACCAGCCTCTCCGCACTAGACTTAAATGGAACAACGTAAACAAATATGGATGGTTGGTTCACGTTGGCTTCTCTACACCGACGGCTGGGCATGGGTGTGCTCATCGCCATCGCTTCGAGTTTAACCTTATGTTGCGAATCTGGGGCTATATGAGATCCTGCATGCGCAGCCTCACGCATCAACCCAGTGTCACGTGCGCGACCGGACAATACTTGAGTACCTAGGTATACAAGGGTTTACTATCTCCTTTGTTTTCACTTTTATGCAGGCGCAACAGATGCTGGTAGAATTGAAGCAATCCTCAGTATCTGTGACTCGATGTAGATTTTTGAAGCTTGCATCGTTGAAGAAATCTTCTTCGTGTGGCCGGCAGTCGCGCCCTCTGCGGCTTGACAGTGGAAGGCTGGGTGTTTCAGCCTTGTCGATCCCACCTAGTGATTTCGAGCACTCGGTGCTTGGAACTCTCCTACGCAACCTCCGTTTGCTCGGCTAACTACTACTGGTAGAGATGTTCTTTGCTCAGTCATATTACCTATATTCACGATTTCACACTTGTTCAAATGGCCTGCGATCATGAAATTCATCTACTGAAAACCCTCAAACTTCCTGCGCATTCCTTCGAAAAGCAAGGCCATGGTGGCAAGTTCAGGCCCAATGAGTTGCGCTCACGGTAATTGTCGAGGCAATTAGTCAATCCTTCAGCGGCTCCTGACATCCTCGACCAGCCTGCGCCGACTCTAGACGTCAAGGATAGATTAGACAAGCTGCTGGAGTCCCCGGGTTTCACAAGGAAGGCACTTGAAGAGCTATGGAAGAAAACTTTTGGTTTCAGATGGGAGGACGCTCGCTACTTACGTCAACATGAGCAGTGTATGTATCTCCCCCCTTCGATATTTGCGCACTACGGCTGATGAGACTCCTATATAACGCTCTCGAGCAACCGCTTTCTACCTTGGCACACGCAGAGTCTGTCAAGACGGCATGGGAATTCGACTTTGGCGCAAATCGAAGGGAGTTGGACGAGTTTGACCTGTCATTTGCAAAGGAGGCGCGAGGATTGCTGGCTGACTTTACGCGGAAAGGCAAAAAAGCTAGCGCAGATCGACGAGCAATGCCACTACTTACCACGCATGAGATACAGTGGTTGATGAATATGGACTCCGAGTGGAAGGGGCTATGTTTATTTGTTGACAAAAGACATGATAAACCCAAGGGAAAGGGACAGGTCTAGTGTGAGTGAATACCAGCAACTTGGTCGAGGTCGAGGCTGAGTCTCTAAGCGTCACTGGTCGTCACGGTCTTCTCGTTGAAATGGGCAGGCAAGGAGGTCGACCTGGGGCTGTGAATTAGGTGATAGAATGGGAGGAGGGCTGGAGACGTGTTTTGAGTACCTCGGACAAAAAGAGCTTCTGAAAGGTGGAGAACTAGACGTGCAGTGGCCTTGTTATGAGTTAGCATCCACTATTATCCCAGTATTTTCCATTTCCCTTTTCTGCCAGTGCTTCCACAAATTAGCCGTCTGCAACAAAAGCTCCACCAGCAGGTATTTTGTAGTTCCATTGTAGTCGGAACTGACATTTGTACATGGCCATTGCGCTGGCATTGTGCAACCTTTCAATGACGTCCTAAAGGGTTGTTCAGGCAACACAGACGGGCACAGACCGCCCTGCAATCAATCATGATGTTGTGAGATACCAGTGCCTGCAGCATTCCGTGAGCTGCTATGCATTGTTCACCACACGCGTGACCAGGCGGTTTGCCTCGACCTGTTTCGAATGATGTTCGACTGCGGTGCCCCCGACTGGTCTTGAAAGTTGGTGATACCGGGAAATGGCCGCGTGACTGACCTCTATGATCAGCTTAGCACTGGGCAAACAATACCTTGTAGAATCGAGAAAGTAGCAGAATTCCTAGTAGAAGGTCTGTTAGGGTCCTCAGTTTGGCTTGGCATAAGGCTGGTGGGCTGGTGAGGCTGCAGGTGGAGTGTCGGTGTGAAGGCGGCGAGGCGCAGGCGCAGGCAGAGGCCGGTGCGGCGCAGATGCAGGCGACATGTAGGAGCCGTTTGCTCCTTCGAAGCACCACCAAACCGACCTCGAGATCCCGCCATGATTACTTGATCCTGGCCGTCATTCAACTGTCTCGCCGTGACGCATTCTTTGTGCCTGCCTGGATCATTCCAAGCGGAAACGTCTTTCTACATGAGATTTGCCGTTCGCCTGGCATCCTTGGCTCTCATCCCTCTTCGATCCTCGTGCCCGTCCCGCCCTCGGCCGCCATCGAAGCCACTGGCCCCGATTCCTCGATTCTCGCCAGCTTCTTCAACTCGGTCCTTCGCTACCGTCATGAACTCAGTCAGGCGCATAACAGACGAATTGGAGAAGCCAGACCTTGACGACAGATCCTACCGAGTCATTGAGCTTCCTAACAAGCTCGAGGCCCTGCTCGTCCACGATGCAGAGACCGACAAAGCCAGCGCAAGTCTCAACGTCAACGTTGGAAACTTCTCAGACGAGGAGGACATGCCGGGTATGGCTCATGCCGTGGAGCATTTGCTCTTCATGGGAACCGAGAAAGTGCGCTCACCCTGTCCTCTTTGACCTCTGCTGTTTGGCATGCTGACCGACCAAACAGTATCCCATAGAAAACGAATACAGTTCCTATCTCTCGTCGAACTCGGGGCATTCAAATGCATACACAGCCGCTACGCAGACAAACTATTTCTTCGAGTGTGCGGCGCGCCACGAGTCGAATGACAAGCTTACCAATGGCGTAGTGAATGGGACTGCCCACGACACGGTGAATGGTACGTCGAGGGGCCCTCTCTACGGAGCGCTGGACCGCTTCGCACAATTCTTCGTGAAGCCACTCTTTCTAGAAAACACTTTGGACCGAGAATTGCGAGCAGTGGACTCAGAGAACAAGAAGAACCTACAAAGTGACGGATGGCGCCTATCTCAGTTGGCAAAATCGCTATCAAACCCCAAGCATCCGTTCCACCATTTCTCCACAGGTAATCTCCAAACCCTGAGAGACGAGCCCGAGAAGAAAGGTGTGAAGATCCGCGACGAGTTCATCCGTTTCTATGAACGACACTACTCCGCAAACAGAATGAAACTCGTGGTTCTGGGTCGTGAGTCCCTCGATGAACTAGAAAACTGGGTAGTCGAGCTCTTTTCCGAAGTAAAGAACAAGGACTTGCCGCTGAACCGCTGGGATGATATTGAAGTCCTGAGCAAAGATCAATTGTCCACCGAGATCTACGCAAAACCGGTCATGGAGTCTCGTTCTTTGGAAATAAGTTTCCCTTGGCAAGATGAAGAAGATATGTTCGAGACACAACCTGCTCGGTACATCAGTCATTTGATCGGGCACGAAGGTCCTGGCAGCATATTGGCCTATCTCAAGGACAGAGGTCTGGCTCAAACCCTCTCCGCTGGCTACCATCCTGTTTGCCCAGGATCCGCTTTCTTCGAGATCGATATCGGGTTGACACCTGACGGGTTGAAGAACTACCACGAGATTGTCAAGATTGTTTTTCGGTACATCGGGATGATGAAGGCGACTCCCCCAGTTGCCTGGATGCATGAGGAGATGAAGAACATGGCGGAAGTGGATTTCAGGTTTCGCCAGAAGTCTCCTGCAAGTCGGTTTACCAGCGCCATAAGCTGTGTGCTGCAGAAGCCTGAGTTGCCACGCAACTGGCTGCTTAGCAGCACGAGCAAGTTCAGAAAGTTCGATGCTCAAGCCATTGCCCAAGCTATGCAATATCTCCGGGAAGACAACTTCAGGCTCATGCTAGTAGCTCAGGACTACCCCGGTGACTGGGATCAGAAAGAAAAGTGGTACGGGACAGAGTACAAAGTCGAGAGAATACCTACCGATGTGCTCTCGGACATCCGAAGGGCCCTGTCCGATTCGAAATCAGACAGAATACCGGAACTCCATCTACCACACAAGAATGAATTCATTCCTACCAAGTTAGATGTGGAGAAGCTGGACGTCAAAGTACCTGCAAAGGCGCCAAAGTTGCTTCGAAATGACGACAAGGTTCGCCTATGGTGGAAAAAGGACGATGCCTTCTGGGTGCCGAAGGCAAATTTGTACATCAAGGTCCGAAACACCGTTACCTCTGCAAACATTGCGAACTACGTCAAGACAAACCTTTTCATCGACCTCGTCAAGGATGCTCTGTCAAGCTACTCTTATGATGCCGAGATATCTGGCCTCTCTTACGCTATCGGACCAAACATGGTTGGCTTCGACATTAGCGTGCACGGCTACAACGACAAGATGGCTGTTCTCTTAGAGAAAATCTTAACCACAATCCGGACGATTGAGATCCGAACAGATCGATTCGAGATCATCAAAGAGCGCACCGCCAGGAGATATAAGAATTGGGCATATCAGCAGCCGTACTATCAGATCGGAGATTACACCAGATGGCTGTTGAACGAGCGCTCGTGGATGAACGACGCATACGCCAAGGAACTTCCGCACGTCACAGTAGACGACATCAGAACATTTGTTCCAGAACTCCTCCAACAGTCGCATATTGAAGTGCTCGCACATGGAAACTTGTACAAAGAAGAAGCCAAGAAAATTGGCAATCTGATTGAGTCAACATTGAAATCCCGCGCATTCCCCTCCTCGGAATGGTTGTTGCGGAGGAATGTCATCCTGCCGGAAGGAAGCAATTTCGTCTACAAACACGTGTTGGGCGATCCCGCCAACATCAACCATGCGATCGAGTATTATCTGGATGTCGGCCACGTTATGGATCTAGACCTGCGAGCGAAAACACAGCTGTTCAGCCAGATGACGGATGAACCGGCTTTCGACCAATTGAGGACCAAGGAACAGCTCGGATATGTCGTATGGAGTGGGATACGTCCTGCAGCCGTAACGATGGGATACAGGGTACTGATCCAGAGCGAACGAGATCCGGACTACCTCGAAACGCGGATCAATGCCTTTCTACTTAAGTTCAAATCGGATTTGGAGTCGATGTCGGATGAAGAATTTGAAGGCCACAAACGCAGCCTTGTCAACAAACGATTGGAAAAGCTCAAAAATCTTGATTTCGAGACTGGTCGCTTGTGGGCCTACATCAGCGCGGAATATCTCAACTTCTACCAAGTGGATCGAGATGTCGCGTCGATCCGGCAGCTCACCAAGGATGATATGAAGCGCTTCTATGCACAGTATATCGATCCGGAGTCGCCAAAGCGAAGAAAACTGTCAATCCATCTCGAGGCTCAAGCTTCAAGCCCAGTGCCGGAGGTTTCGCCAGCTCAACAAAAGGACCAGTTTGTGGGGCTAATTGGACAAGTCCTAGGGTCTCTCAGCATTGATGTTGACGAAGAAAAATTGAAAGTTCAATTCGAAAACGTTGACCCTTCCAGCCTGCCCCAAGTCTCGAATGCAGTCAAGGAGTACATTGGGACGTCGACTTCACCAGCAAAGAGCAATGAAACCCTGGAGCAGATGAAGCAAGCTATCCCACAAATGCAAGTTGCGCTCAAGATCAAGCCGGTGGAGCCGCCGAAGGATGTCACGGAGGTGGCTGCTCAAATCCCAACGCCCGTCATCATCAAAGATGTCGCAAGGTGGAGAGCTGGCCTGGAAGTGACCAAGGGACCTGTCCCTGTTGAAGATGTGCACAATTTCGAGGACCTCGAACCCAAGTTGTGAAATTCAAAGAGATCGCAACCCTGCTTTGAGACGAGGATTCAGGAGCATGTCATTGCTATATCAGCGCCTGATAGCATACGACGGCGTTGTTGGCAAACTCGTCAGACATCTGTATAGTAGACATAGATCCGAAGATACGCTTCAAATAAAACATTAACAGACTCGCAAAAGCTTGACTCGTTTATCTCCTCCCATCAGGGCCGGTTTCTCAGTCGATCGAGTTTATGTCGAGGCTGAAATTGTGACCGTGAGGTCTTGGGTGTGGGCGCGTCGCGACATCGGCGCAACTTGCGCGCATGCAAACACCTAGGGAACCTCAATTCTAAAGACTCGTGGTTTCACAAGTATTTATCCCATTGCCCCTGCACGCTCCTGTTCCCTTTCGTCGTCTTTTCGACAGGCTATTCACTCGTAGTCTTCTCATCCCCAATACTTAGTCCCTCACGCGGTCGATGTATACACCATGTCCACACTCACCACAACCACATTGAAATCTTCTTACCCGTACGAGTCTGATTACAACCGTTGAAGTACAGAGATCTAACCTGCTTAAAGACCTATTCTACCCCCTCCATTCACGGCCAATCAACCACCAACTATCAGATTATACCCGCTTTCGAACTACACTTTTGGAACCAAAGAAACACAACCGGAGGAGGACCCTTCAGTCGTAGCCAGGTTAAAGAGACTGGAAGAACACTATGAGAAATATGGCATGAGACGGACGTGCGAGGGCATCCTGGTCTGTCACGAACACAACCACCCGCACGTGCTCATGCTGCAGATTGCAAACGCCTTTTTCAAATTGTATGTCTCTCTGCGCAAATCTCTCTGGTGCCATGCCAGCCACTGTCCGCTTGATCACTGACCTAGCGACAACGCCCTGGACCAGGCCAGGGGATTATCTTCCCCATGACGCGGACGAGATCGAAGGCTTCAAACTGCGGCTAAACGAGAGGTTGGCACCCACGAACCCGAAGGAAGGGGACACGGAATGGGAGGTGGGAGACTGTCTCGCGCAATGGTTTGTCTCTCTCCCCAGTCCAGGCTCGGGATTTTCTATCAGTGAACGACTATCATCCCCTAACATTCATAACCAGGTGGCGTCCCAATCACGAAACCTTTCTCTACCCATTTCTCCCGGCCCACGTCTCTCGGCCCAAGGAACTCAAGAAACTCTACCTGATCCATCTCCCGCCCAACAAGGTGCTCAGTGTGCCCAAAAACATGAAACTGCTGGCCGTCCCCCTGTTCGAGCTGTACGATAATACCGCACGCTACGGGCCGCAGTTGAGCGCCATTCCACACTACCTGTCACGGTATAGATTTGAGTTTGTCGACGAGGAAGGGAATGTCGCGAGCGTCATGCCTGGTGGAGGTGCTTTACCGGGCCCGGATGGGAGGATCGAAGTGAAGGTCTTGGGCGACGGAGAAGTAAAGGAGGAGAAGATGGAGAATGGTCATTAAGCGGTAGGACTCTATCAGGGAGGTGAAATTGGACCTCGACGATCTGAACGAAACGCTGCGGATTCAACGGGCTGCGCCATTGTCAGAGCACCCTCGAGAGCCGCACTTTAGAGACAACACAAATAGGCAGTCTCTACCCTATGCGGAGCAACATGACTGCTCTGCCGTTGTGAGGCACGTCGCAAGACCGCACGGCAGGGGTCGCCTAACTGAGGGTGACAAAGTGACGCTACTCAGCTCATGCTCGGATCTGGGCTGCAGATCGAAAGGCACGAGTTGGGATCAGCTTTAGTCACTTCGGCGCAGAGTGCACGCAGAACGTGTGGTCCGCAGACGAAGTTGAACAAGGAGAGATCTCCTATGAATGTTGTTCGGGGAAGCAAGGCTTGGACGTTTCTCCATGATCTGGGGAGGGAACCTGGAGGACCTCGACGAGTTCAGCTCGTGCTCACGTGCCTGGATCCGCGGCTCAAATATGATGTGGCGGACCAGATTGCGTCTTGCGCTTCCCGCCACCCACTTCATTCTCTTTTCTCCATTCTCCAAATCGCTTGGCGGACGAAATTGCGATATAGCAATCTGTCCCGTTTGTCTCTTCAGAAGGGACCCGCTACGTTTAGAATTGCTTCCAGCTGCCTCAGTTCTCGAAGAACCGTGATTGCGATCGCTCATCTCATCCTCTTCACGCATTTAATCCCACAACTTCCACCATGAATTTTATGAATCCTCAAGTGTACGATGTTCCACCCGCTGAAATGCCTGAGCTCGTGACTGACCAGTCTGCAGCACCAACCTGGTGATCATCCTCGGGATGATGCAGGTCTCGAAGCGGATACCCTTTGACGACCCTCAAGTTCTCATGGGCGTACGGATCCTTTACGTCGTGTCCAATTTGCTCATCTTCGGCCTCTACTACTATATCGGCCTGAAGATCAAAGCGAAGCGAGGTACGCGGAAGAAAGGTTGTCCTTTTGAAAACATGCGGGCTGATGACCATATGTGTAGATCTCACCACACTGAAATATGTCGAGCCTGCGCCCATGGGCTCGGGCGAGGAGCCCAAGCTCGTCACCACCACCATCCAAGAGTATGATCAAAACCAGCTCTCGTCAGCCTACAAGGGCCAGTTGATGGGTGTCGGTATGATGGCATTCATGCACTTGTACCTCAAATACACCAATCCACTCCTCATCCAGTCCATCATCCCCGTGAAGGGTGCATTCGAGTCGAACTTGGTCAAGGTCCACATCTTTGGCAAGCCTGCGGTGGGCGACTTGAAGAGACCATGGAAAGCGGCCGGGGGCATGATGGGCATGGGAGCGGGTGAGACAAAGAGTGATAAAGCTAGCATTGAAGCTGCTGAGCGCGCAGGTCGGGGCGGAGCGAAGGAGGAATAGCGGCACCATGAATCGGGAGAAAGTCGTGGGCCATGGCTCGCCACCGGGCTGAGGGAATGGATAGATACGCTTTTGGTTCTGCCAAAGGCACATTAGAACGAAAATCTTAAGCTCACTGTCTACAAGAACGGGCTGGCCATCTCTTGCGTATGCGCTGTTTTTCTCATCTCATGAATACGCCATGTAGTAGACGATTTGCTAGAGCCCAGGAAAATTTCGAGCTGCTCTTGTAATAATCCTGCTCGATAGACCTGCGTGCACGAAAAGAGCGCGGCTGCGACGGAGGGATTGGCGGATTAATGCGATGATCCGAAGCGAGTGCCGCATAGCCAGAACAGACACGCCAGCCGATTGGATGGAACAAGCTGTGTCTGATTGTTGCTGCTTTTGGTCCATCGACGCAGGGTACGAGTATGTGATAATCAGCTGTCGGTTGAGTCATGCCCGGTGCATACCTACCTAATGCCTCTGGAGGCTTTCTTCCTGGAGACCTTGTGATCGGCGTGAACAGACCCTGGGGCTGGGATAGACCACGGTATAAGTATCGGAGACCGTAGATGTTTGGGAGTTAGAAAGCAACCAGCATCAAGGAATACCATCCAGATCAGCCCTTGAAATCTAGAGAAGCGCCGTTTATTTATCGCTCTTCGGTGAAAGTGGCACTGAGTCTATCAGGTAAGTTATCGCAACCATTTTCGTCGTCCCCCGGAAGGCGCCTGGTGGTCCTCAAGGGGGAGGCCGGAAGCTGTCGTCGGCCAAGAAGCACCTGTGCTTTGGAGGACCACTGGCCCAGCACTGGCCCAGCACTGGACCAGCTTTGCCCCTCAACGTCAACACTGCCCCACCATTATTCACCTGTCGCTCAACTCACCACTTGCTGTCGCAGGGACAACAAAAAGCTTTCCTCATCCTCCCGTCACACCACCTTTGTTCTTTCCTCGAGTTATATCAAGAACTCTTCTCGACAACCCTTTGAATCCGGACATCCGAATCCTCATTTACATTTCATGTGAGTTGTTCGCAGTCCTCTCCCTTCAGTGTTTTGCTTCCGCCTCGTGTTCCCGTCGTCAGAAGCTGCCATTGAGATTGTTCTCAGAGACTGACTTTGACAAATTTTCCCCCTCCTGCAGTCTACACACCTCAACGACATCATGGCTACTCTTGTCGGAATCAACGGCTTTGGCCGTATCGGCAGAATTGTAAGTCGCAGCCAGCACCGTCACTGGTCGAAGTAGCTAACAGCAAGCTAGGTCTTCAGAAATGCGTGAGTCTCTCACCACCACCTCTCCTCTGACTCCGAAGGTTTCCTCTCCTCTAACCGCAGCACTCTCTAGGATCGAGCACGATGATGTCCACGTTGTCGCCGTCAACGATCCCTTCATTGAGCCCAAGTACGCTGTATGTACCCTTCCCAATCCTCCAACATCTCGAATGCTCCGTTAACATACCCGTCAGGCATACATGCTCAAATATGACAGCACACACGGTGTCTTCAAGGGCACAATCGAGGTCCAGGGAGACAGTCTGGTCGTCAACGGCAAGAAAGTGACATTCTACATGAAGAGAGACCCGGCCGAGATCCCGTGGTCGGAGACTGGTGCTGAGTACATTGTCGAGTCGACCGGTGTCTTCACAACCACAGAAAAGGCTTCTGCCCACTTGAAAGGTGGCGCGAAGAAGGTCGTCATCTCTGCTCCCTCAGCCGATGCTCCCATGTTCGTTATGGGCGTCAACCAGGAGTCATACAAGTCCGATATCCCCGTCATCTCCAACGCGTCCTGCACGACCAACTGCCTGGCACCTCTCGCCAAGGTCATCAACGACAAGTTCGGCATGAAGGAAGGTCTCATGACCACCATCCACTCATACACCGCTACACAGAAGACCGTCGATGGACCATCGGCCAAGGATTGGCGAGGTGGCCGTGCCGCGGCTCAGAACATCATCCCCAGCAGCACCGGCGCCGCCAAGGCTGTGGGGAAGGTCATTCCATCTCTCAATGGCAAGCTCACTGGCATGTCCATGCGTGTGCCAACCTCCAATGTGTCTGTGGTGGATCTCACCTGCGTCCTGGACAAGCCTGCCTCTTACGATGAAATCAAGCAAGCAATCAAGGACGCCTGCGCTGGGCCTCTCAAAGGTAAGACTCACACCAACTCCAGTCCGCCACTTTCGTCTACAGCGTCTGACACAGAGCAGGTATCATGGCATACTCCGAGGATGACCTGGTCTCCAGCGACTTGAACGGCGACACCCACTCTTCCATTTTCGATGCCAAGGCCGGTATCGCCCTCAATGACCACTTTGTCAAGCTCGTTTCCTGGTACGACAATGAGTGGGGATATTCCCGACGTGTCATCGATCTTTTGGGTGAGTGCATTATCCGATCGGGATTATTCGGGACATGGTAAACTGACATGGAGATCTAGCGTACATTGCCAAGGTTGATGCCGGCAAGGCCTAAACGACAGGTACTGATCCACCAAGTCTTCTACGGACGCCAGTAATTCTTTCCCAAATGAGGCTTCGGAAATCGAGGTTAGTGTCGCGTGAGGTAAAAAGAAGATTGGGCCAAAGACGGGACGAAGCGCAACATAGATCAAGTCTCACCTGGTGATCTGCTTTGCTTGAAAGCACCGATACGTATTCTTACTACGACCTAGCTCAGATAGGAAAATGCGAGTCTCCCTGTATTGACTGCAAGAACAAGATTATCATCCTCCGGATTGGCGCATTCTAAGCAGTCGTCTCGACTCCTTTGCACGTGATCACAGCCTTCTTTCGTTATCACGTGAATGATCTCTTGGCACTCCCTGGCCGGGCCTCGTCTGGAACGTTCCCACCTCCGATGTATTGATTGCTCCAAGCAAACGTGAGAAGATCAACAGACGACCTCTTTGGCCATTTCACATATCTGTCTGAGGCGCTTTCATTCGTATCGTCTTCATTCGAGGTTTAGTAAAATTTGCGAAGCTCTACTCCGAGAACAAAGAGGCTCAAGCTCCGGCATAGGTATGTGAATGGCTTGATCCCGCCAGCCAAGAGCGGCTCGGTATATGTACCAAACCGCCAAGTCTTCATATGCCACCGTCTTAATCTACCATGCTACGATATGTCCTTTGGTGGCTGACGCCTCCTTTCTAGGCTGCTTAGAGAGTGTCCTTTTTGAGTCTAGAGTGGTTCGGTTCGATACACTATCATTTCCAAGGGTGGCTTTTACAACCACTATGCAGCCTCTCTGACCCATTTCCAGCTTGGGACCAGAGCTCAGGGCAGTCTTTGAATTGTACCAACTAGCTGGATCTCTCAGGATGGCTCAGATACCGCCGCCAGGTCGGGAAAGACTTGATTCCTCTGATGGCGCTCTGTTCCCCAATCCCGTTCTGCGGGTACAAGAGCCAGTCATTCTGTCAGGTGACACATCTATGAGAGAAACCCCCGATGTCTCTGCAGATATCGACAGCCGCTTGAAAATCGAAAGCCCGTCGGATGATGAAGAAGACGAAGACAGCTTGTTATCTGACACGTCTTCCGAAGCCCACGAGCCTCTCCCACCATCCAAACGTGGTCTGCCGATTTCCAAGCTACCCACAGGCCTATGCTACGATGAACGCATGCGATACCATGCTGAAGTGGCGGCAATGAGCGTCGAAAATGTGCATCCCGAAGATCCCAGGCGGATATACTACATTTACAAAGAGCTCTGTGAGGCCGGATTGGTTGATGACAAGAAGCACCCGCCGGTGGTGGAGATGCCCTTGTATCGAATCCATGCCCGCGAAGCTACGAAGGACGAGTGCCTTCTGGTTCACAAGGAAGAGCAGTATGAACTGGTCAAGGAAACCGCGGGTAGGTACCTTTGACGAACACGAACTTTGTATCCAAAAGTTCTGAGCTAATTCTGGGGGAACGCGTTGCAGCAATGAGCGACGAAGATCTTATCGATCTTTCGGAGCGTTACGACATGGATTCAATCTACTTTAACCAGCTATCGTTCTTCTCTGCCAAACTATCCACAGGTGCAGCGATTGAGACATGCCGAGCTGTAATGTCGCGAAAGGTAAAGAATGCGATCGCTGTCATCCGGCCCCCGGGTCATCATGCCGAGATCGGGAGGCCCATGGGGTTTTGTCTTTTCAACAACGTCTCCATTGCTTCTAGAGTCTGCCAGAATGATTTCGGGGAGGAATGCAGGAAAATTCTGATTGTGGATTGGTCAGTTGACTTCCGCGCAGTCGCACTCGATTGTCAAGCTAACGCCAAAGAAACTCTAGGGACGTCCACCATGGTCAGCCACAGCGCACTTTTTAAGACATGGCCGCTCAAACTGACATACTTTAGGCAATGGCTGCCAACAAGCTTTCTATGATGACCCCAACGTTCTCTACATTTCCTTGCATGTCCATATGAATGGGCAGTTCTATCCCTCAGGAAATGAAGGTGACATGTATCACTGTGGCATTGGCGCTGGCGAGGGAAGGTACGTTCAAGAACCTCTACTCAGGCCTTTTTGGCGCGAAAACTAACACCCGCGGAAGAAATGTCAATATTCCCTGGCCCACGAAGGGCATGGGCGACGGCGACTACATGTACGCGTTTCAAAACGTCGTAATGCCCATCGCCAATGAATTTGACCCTGACTTTGTCATCATTGCCGCGGGCTTCGACGCCGCTGCCGGAGATGAGTTGGGTGGCTGTTTCGTCTCACCGCCCTGCTATGCGCATATGACGCACATGCTAATGTCCCTTGCCGGAGGGAGGATTGCCGTGTGTTTGGAAGGAGGCTACAACTTCAGCGCTATCTCGAAATCCGCACTCGCGGTCACGCGTACGTTGATGGGTGAACCACCTGATCGCCTGCAAGCCACAGCGGCCACACAGAGTGCGGTGGATACCGTGGCGAAAGTTCGAAATGTCCAGTCGAGGTACTGGAGAAGTATTTATCCCAAGGAGCCGGTCGGCGGAATATTTGGTGGAGAGAGATTGCATGGTAAGGACTAAGCATGAGATGCGCTCTTTTCCCCTACAGGTATCTTTGCGAAACAAGCTCACTCCTTCCTTCCCCAACTAGACATCATCCGCCAATATCAGGCCATGCACCTCTATGACCAATACAAGTTTACCCAACTTCATGTCTACCGCGATACAGTGTCAAAATCGTTCGACCAGCAGGTCCTCGCAACGTAGGGGCGCAATCACACGGTGGATTCGGAATTCCTGGCTGACACGAAAGACAGACCCAACTACGAGAGCAAGAAAGCTTTGATGATCATATTCCATGACTCGTAAGTTTTGCACCGTACGCTCATAGTTATCGCAAATGGGGGCTGACAAGTTCTGGTGTGCAGGCCTGATCTTCTCAGCTCCAACAATGGCTTGTCCACGCAACAGAAACCCCATGACACATGGCTTGTACGTACCCTTGTCGTGTTTCTCTGCCTCCACCTTTCCTATATTCCGCCCTCCCCTCCCTATCAGATAGTAATGGACCATTCCAACTTGCTCACACATGCAAAGGTTGACGGCACACAGTCGTACGTCCACTGGGCAGCTTCCCACGGCATGGGTGTCATAGACGTCAACATTCCCGAGTACATCAGCATTTCTCATGCCGACGATAACAACTTCCAATCAGAAAACTATCCACATGGCTTGTCTATGACAGATGTCGAGTACGCCTCCACCACGACCGACCTGGCAAGAAAAGAAGGCGAGAAACTCGCCTCGTACCTCTGGGAAAACTACATCGAACCCTACGAATTCCCCTGGGGAATCATGCTCATGGGGGCGGGCCACGCCTTCCACGCCATCGCGAAATTGGTGTCGGAGAACGAGCACGTCTACCCAACCTTGCTGGGGATAGTGTGTTTCATATCCACCCAGCCGATCCGGCCCATCAGCAACCCTGGGGGAAACCATTGGGTGAGCCAGTGGTATCGGGAAAACTCGCTGGTGTTTGTGAGTAGCCGGCACAGTCTGTGGAAGAAGGAAAAAGAAGGCGGCAAAGTCAGCAAGCGGTACGGACGGCTTGTGAGGTCCGAGGGCGAGATTTTGAATCAGATCATGATGCAGCACAGGGAACAGGTCTGCCAGTGGATATTTGACAAGGTCAGCCAGCGGAGGGACGAGATGAGAGGGAGTTCGGCGGAGGTGGAGGAGACTGCGGAGGATGAGAATGCGGCAATGGTGGACGAGCATGGAGATGCAGAACGGAGCAGGGATAGGGAAAGGGGCAGGGATAGTGATGGCGATACCATCGATGACCCGGCCACCATGGAGGCTGAGCAGGTTCCCCGAGCCGCGCAGACTGGCGACCTTACAACACTGACCGCCGTTGGCGCAGCGGGTAATGGAAAAGCAGCAGCCAGTCGTGGGTTTCTCGACACCTCCACAGCAGCAGTAGCGGACGCGACAACAGCAGCGCCCGAAGCAACGGCACCACCAACATCAGCGGCAGATTACCCACGCTCAGCATCCGCTGATGCCGGCGGCGATGTGTACATGAAGATGGTGCTGTGATGGACAGACAACAAAGTCACCCAGGCTCATTCTGGGCTGTCCGCGCTTCATCGCGGGGAGCACCTGCAGGCAAATTGGAGGCAAGGGGGTAGCTGTGGTTTTGGTACGGTACGTAGGCTCATTGTCAGTCGGTCAGTGAGCATGGGCGTGGCTGCGGGTAACAACAGTGGGAAACTGAACTGTTTCACGTCATCAACTCCCTTGGTCAGGGTCAAGCGACTGACGGGCGCGGGAACTTTGAATATCGATATGGATGGGTATGGGAGGATTGGGGGTCTGCGGGCTGTGTTTCTGTGTAAGGATGCCGTACGATCGTCGATAGCTGACATGCCACACAAATGCTCTCCGTCGCTGCAGTTCTCTACCCTATTTCGTGGTCTCTGCTCCGGTTGTCTAAGTAGCTCGTATTGATCTATCTGTTCCATTCGACCTAGTCTGTCCCCATTCTGAAAGTCTCATCGTACTGCTTGCTTGCCTCAGCCCGTTAGGAATCACAGAAAACGAAGACAACGTCTCTCCAGCTTTCGATGTGACTCTAATATCCCATCTGCCCATATTCGTCGGCAAATGATCCGTACACATCTCACCTTGCAAAAGCTCGCGACTCCGGCCTGCTGTATGGGAAGTTTGACACTCCGATTGCTAGACACAAAAGCTTTCCTTCTTTGTCATGGTGCCTCGAAGCGATATCTGTTGCTGCAATGGTGGCGCTCTCATGGACGAGCTAGCTTTCAATTCGGGTTGCTAGAGAGATCGTAGAATCCGACTGGATGTTTTTTCTTCCGCTTGCCACGGAGACTGATCCACTCACTGGGACTAATTGGTCTTGCTCTTTTCCTGCGAGGTCCCTGGTCCAACAAGTCCAAATTCCGCCGTGAGCGCCGGCCTGGTCTGATGATCTTGTCTTCGGCGTCACTTTCCTCCAATTCAACAACATCGCGGCATTCATCTTTGGGGTGTCCAATCCTGTTGCTATTGTTCTCAGGGTCCTGGGAGCTATCGGCGGTGGCATCGGTTTCGTCACCCATTGCCTCGCTATGCAACTCATCCATGGTGGATTGTATTCGCTGCATCAGGTCTCTGAACTCCTCCGAAGTGACGCCTGTCATTCGGCTATACATCTCGCTTTGGATCTCTCTGATCATGACTGGAGTTGCTGTGTGTTGGGCGGCCCTAGCAATTTTTTCTCCAAAGGCACTGTTGTTCAACGCATGATTCGCCATAGCTTCGATCTCTGAAGAACTCATGTCCAGGATAAGAGCTTGACGAACGACTTCGGTGTTTTCATCTTCAAGGCCATCTTCCAGCTCCTCCTCCATTTGCCGGGCCTTAATCTCGCTGTCACGGATCGATCCTTCTTCCTTGATGATCGCCTCTCTTAACTGGTTAATTGACTTTTGCACGCAAACAACTTCCTTTCGCTTGACTTGGTACTGGGCTTGAGCTTGCTGGATTTTTTTGTCCATCTCCTCAAGACTTCTTTTTCGTGTTAAAAGAGTCTGCTCTTCCGCCTCCAGATTTTGGCGCAGTTGTACTTCGCGGTCACGGCTGTCACTCAGCTCCTTTTTTGTCTGCATCAATACGTCGCGGGTCGCCTCTTTCTTTCTGTGTTTCCTCTCGATCCGAGACTGGACGTATTGTGCCCATCGATCAGATGACGGAGGGCATACTGGTTCTAATGTGACGCTTTTCGTCGATGTGGATTCTGCGACAGTAGTGGGTGGAGTCGAAGCACAAGCAGCCGTAGTAGTGGACTGGGGTGATGAAGTGCTATCCATTGCGCTATCCATGGCACTCTTCAAGGCGCTATCCATGGCATTCTTCAAGGCGCTGTCCATGGCATTCTTCAAGGCGCTGTCCATGGCATTCTTCAAGGCGCTGTCCATGGCATTCTTCAAGGCGACTGTAGGGGGTTTCACCGAAAAAGCGGGAAATAACAAGGACCAGGGAGATCAGGTTTGTCAGAAAATGAATAGTTGCTTATATCGTCAGTAGGCGTCAGCATTCACAGCACCATGAGGTTGGGATACAGTCAGAAGGAGAGATGGGTGATCTTCTGGGTATGCTGGAATGCCAAAGGCAAACCTCAGAGAGCCCAAAGCAAAATGAAGGTTCGACTCTGTGGGAAAACCGCTAGCTGTAAGCTTCTTCCTTCTGTTGCGGCGCCGACAAGACGTAGAGTTGTGAATGAGTTGTAGATAACTGAGTGTGAGTTGAGTGAACTGTGAGTTACAGGTGAGTTTGACAAGCTGACAAGCCCAGGGCAGCGCTTTCAAAGACTGGGCCTATGTTGACTTGAAGCGGATGTCGACCTCCTGAATTGCAATTCAGTAGAGGTGACGCGAGCAAACCCGTTGCATGCAAAACGTAGGAGGAAGGGTTCGCTTATCTCGAAGGCACCACGAGAACGTGGGTGCTTTCGAGGCCGATCTCTTTGCTCATTTGAATTGAGCCTGTCTATAAAGGTTTATTTCGAAGTCGGGTTTGAAAAGGGGGGTGTTTTGGTAATTTCTGGTGAGTAGTATGCTTCGCTTGTCGGTAGTGGATGCGCAAAACAATCCATGTCCGATGGGTACTCATACCGCCACGTTCTGTATTTTTCAAGAACAGCCTGAGCACATTTCAAAGGCTCGATGCAATGAACTCTCCCTGGCTCTTCAGGTTTTGGGCTCCACAGGCCTTGTGAGTCTGAGAGCGAGGTCATTTGAAATAAGTGACCTGAGAGAGATAGAGAGTCAACCCGATATCTCAACAAGCCTAGGAGGGCCTTCACCATTTGGCCGCTGGCTCCAAGGCAGGATGCTGGCTGGTGCCGGGAAGGAAGGAAGCAAGGACGTTGCCGAAACAAACGCTACTCGCTATCCTGAAGACGTTTATCCGCACCGAGGCGATCTGTCGCTTGCAGGCTTCTTCTTCTTCACAAGTTCAAGACCCTTTCTGCTTGGTTACTCTCTATGTGGCTGGCGGAATGAGAATCTGCCACTTTTTTGTCACTGTTGTCGAATATATCGCCAGCAAACGACGATGTGGTTTGGAGTCCATCCGAGGCGGAGAAAGGCTGAATAGGGGCGGACTCGGAGACTTTGACACTAGACAAGGATTAACGATGTTCCGAAGGTCCATTGACATGCACTTTTGGGGATGCGGCTCTTCATCGAAAAACATTCATTCCAGTCCACGTCCCTCTACCATCACATGTGGACCATCTGCTTGCTTGTTTCCTCGTACATACAGTCCCTATGTCAACTCGGACCCATTTGATGTCTCAAGATGCATCGTTCGATGGTACGATGTACCTCCTGTCGAGTTTCAATCCTCGAGGCGTTCACTTCTCTCGCTGGCGTTTCAATCCCAGTAAAGCCCGCTCCTCCTCCACGACTCCTCCGACCGTCAAATCAGCCAACTAGAAAGTTCACTCGCTTTGCGCCTTTACGACAGTCTGGGGCGCAGCCTTTGTCAGACTCCTCGACGCAATCCTCGTCGGATTCCTCGTCGGAACCCCCTCCGTCTTCTGTGGTGCCGTGGTACCTCCAGATCGAAGATCCCACTCCGCCCGCTCCTATATCACCCTTGCTCGCCTTGCAGGAAATCCCTCCCTTGCCACACGACCCTCCGCCTATTCTGTCACCTGTCCTTACCCACCTGTCAACGCAAATTGGGCTCGATAACCTCACCCTTCTAGACCTCCGGCACCTAGACCCGCCACCAGCGTTAGGCTCTAATCTCCTGATGATCATTGGCACTGCACGCTCCGTCAAACATTTGAACGTCTCTGCAGATCGGTTCTGCCGTTGGGTTAGGAAGGAGTATAAATTGAGACCCTACGCAGACGGGCTGCTGGGGAGGAACGAGTTGAAGTTGAAGTTGAGGCGGAAGGCGAGGAAGATGAAACTGGCGCAGAGCGTGGGTAATACAGTCGCCTTGAAGGATGCAGATGACGGCATCACGACGGGGTGGATCTGCGTAAACATGGGCCCGGTTGATGAGGCTGTGATGCCGGAAACGCAGGAAGATGAAGGCGACGATCAGATGGAGACGGAGGTTGCTGAGGAACAGCGTGCCTCTTCCGCTCCCGACGCCAACACTACCATGACAAGAAAGATGCAGGAGACACTTGCAGAAGACGAAGAGGAGGAATATCACAATCCTGCAGAGACATACATCGGTTTCGGCTCGCGGTCAGACTCGCCACGTATCGTGGTGCAGATGTTTATAGAAGACAAGCGGGTCGAGATGGATCTGGAAGGGCTGTGGGACGTACGAAACACGAGACGAGCACAGAGAGAGGAAAAAGCTAACGTAGAGGCCGAGGCTGCTGTGGGTCGATTACAGCAAGCACAGGACAGGAGAGCTTTTGGTAGCGAGGCGGGTTTGTGAACAGATATCCGCATGGACGAGGGCAGGGCTGCAATAAGAGTACAGAAGAGAGAAAACGTCCAGGTTCAAGAACATCTTAGATCTGGACGAATCCTAAGAAGCATTTGGTGAAGCAAAACCCATGGACTTGATTTGGCCCAAGCCAGACCGAGCTGATTGCATTGTCTCATTGTCGTGAAAGTCGTCGTCTGAATACCGTTGACAAGCCTATGTCATTCCTGTCCTTTCCTGTCCCCTCGTCCCGTACCCATGAGTTCCTGCCGTCCCAGCCAACCAATGCACAACACCTTGGGTATGCTGCAATTTCGAGCCATGGTCAGACTCGAGAATACTCCTCTCCGGACAATGCGGCATGCGTTTGTCGGGTCTCATACAAAACTCGGCCCAAGCATGATGACGCTGAATCTCAACTCCCCTCCGCTCGCCTCTTCCTCCCGCTTCAAGAAGGCTCTAACGCCCAGCTCCTGGCCCTTGTCACTCAACACATCGTCATCAGGACCCAAGAAGCCTCTCTTCAACGGCCCCTTTCGCGACCCATCCATCTCCCACAGGTATCCATCCTTGTCCTTGACGAACGCGACAAAGTGGAGGTCGACGTTCGCTTCGGCCTCGGGGGCTTCCGTGTCGCCCTTGGCCGCGGCCGTCGCGTGCGCTGCTTCGAGTGTGGGGCTGTTGTACAGCAGGTCCGCCCGCGCGGCTGGCTTCAGCGGGACGGCTTCTTGGAGCAGTTTCTCCAGATCACTGCCCTGCTCGATGTTGGACCTCGCCTCGCCGTTGGTGATGGCGTGGAGTAACCCGATCAAGCCGCACGCGTTGCCGATCGTCTGCTTGAACCATATCACGGGCTCCTTGTCGCCGGAACCGGCGTACTCCTCGCGCGACGAATCCTCCTCAGCCCGGAACTTCTCGTACGTGCTCGTGACGGGGAAGACGAGGAGCAGGGCGATGGCCGGCCGCGGCAGGAATTCCAGCAGGGATGGCTCGGTGAGGGAATACACGTCGTGGAATTGCAGGGATTGGGACAGGCCGAGTTCGTGGACTAGGTTGGTCATCACCTCGGGATTGTTCTCTGGTACGTACACACCAGCAGTTAGTGGGGGTTGTTGTCTCAGGGTATTCTTGGTCATTTTCAAGGTATGAGGGGATCTTTTACCGAGAGGGACAAACATCTTTTTCTGGGCCGCTTCCGCCATGGTGTCTGGAGTTGTAGATTGGGTCTCTTCTCACATAGAATGTACAAGACGGTAGGGAACAACAGTGAGGCTTGTGGGCAACATTAAAAATGGGAAGAGTCAGGCATTTGCCAATTGCGTCAACCGCGGGGAGATTCAGGCACCTGAGGGTTTTCATTGGCGGAAGTGCACAGCCTTGCCGGAGTCAGCCTCGTCTTTCTCACGGTGAGGCTGTGAACTCCCCCTCGTTGTTTGCTATCAATTACAGTTGGTAGCGCAGTTCGAAAAGCGCGGTTTAACATCCTTCTTCGGATCGCCCATAATCGTACCATTGGCTCTCATGCTGGAATTTCAACACCTCGTCGCCCCACGACCACCACCCGGCTGTCAGATTCCTCGCAAACAATTCGAGGGCGCTGTACTTTGGCGGGAGCTGCTCTTCCAACAATACCTTCAGACAGGGTTTTCGCGAATGCAAGTCTGGAACACTAGCAACAATTTTTCGCACAGGGTCTTGGAGAGGTTGACCCTTCCGAAATAACAGCAGGATCTCGTACGGCCTCCGCCAGACTCCGTCAAGTTGGCTGACGGGAACTCCTTGGGAAGTTATTTTGATCCATATCCATTCCTCGTGGAGATGTAGATCTGTTGTTTGCATCGTCTGCAATACCCTAGCGCGTATGGAAGACTTGTTAGTGATCCAGATGGCAAGTAGGCCTTCCGGGGCAAGGAAATCCCGGGCAATCCCCACTGCTTGCAGAAATGGATCCTTAGCCTGAGCTTCCGACGTTCTGTACGCATTAGAGTTGCGGACCGAGCGATTGGGCCAGGGGGGATCCATCAGGATGAGTTCAAGATTCTTCTTCTCGGGTGACAGTGCGTGGCGGGCGGAGAGGAAAGAGGGAAACCCGCGTTCGAGACTTGCCAAAATGAACGACGACCCCGAAGGGACAATAAAGTCACCAAGTCCACCAACTTCAACTATCGCGGTTTCTGACCGGATGTTGTAGACGATGGTACCATGCAGATCATCAAGAGCGCGAAACTTGTTGCGTCTTTCTGTGGTGGATAAGACCACAGGTACACCCGTGGAGAACCAGTCAGTGCTCACAGACCACTCTGGAATGCTTGTTTGGGCTGGTGATGGGGACGTCGAGTCATGATGTGAGGTCAAAGCGTGGCGTGGATGGCACCAAACCCCGCCCTGGCCATGCAACTGCGTCCGGATCTCGATCAATGCAGCGTGTATCTCCCTTTGTACGGATTCATGGTAGTGCTGCTCGCCCATGGTTGTTGTGTTGAGCACAGCCTCTCGCTTCGACCCCTTCGGTTCGGTGCTAGGGTAGGGGCTATTGAGAGCTGGAGATGATCGGAGCGTGTAAGGAACTTGTTGGGCATCGCGGATAGATTGCGGGACGTCGATCAGGACAACAGTAGCGGCTTGGTTGCGGTAGAGGATCGCCCCCGACATGATGGGCGTCCAGGTGAAACACTAATGGAATCGAGTTCCACATCGTGGGTTGTTTAATATGGTGGATTGTTTGATCCAACCATGGGGGGGTGTCTTCGGATGTTTGGCACAAGGTTCGAGGGGTTGACACGTTGGGATACGGAGGAACGACACGGTTGAAGACGAACATGGAGACAATACAAAGCCAGTTTGCAGAGACACTAGCCTCCTTTTGGAATGTGTGTAGAAGGGGGACTTCAGGCCTACCAAGGTATGTTTTCCTCCTCCTCCTTCTCCCTCTTTCCTAGGTACTTCTTCTCCTCGAGTAAAACCCCCCAAACTCCAACACAGACCATCATCCAGCTCTCGCACAGATCACTCACACGCCATTGCGCCCATGATGGCCAAGGCTGAGCTTCTCGATGACGAGCCTTCACCCCATGGGCCTGTTATCCGGCCTCTTACCCGGCCTCCATTCCTTTCTTGATCAACCGAAGTTTGCCAAACGCATCACAACAACATTCCTCACGGTGGGTCTGAACTCTTTCCTCGCACGATGCAGGGACTTTCGGAGGATCGTCCCCTAGATCATCTCCTTTTCAGTTGGTGTTCATCATTTGCTCCCTCTTCAGTGTCGGTGGTGTCTACCGTTGAACGCGTGCTACAAGAACCCATATTCACGGTACTTGCCATCGTCCGATCTCTTTGGTCATCTTCCATTGCTACTGGTCTTATATTCTGCAGCAGCACACCCTCGATCTTGTGACTTTTTGAGTAAAGCATGTTACGAGTGATGTTGGATTTCTGGTGATCTTAAAACAACTCCTCTCATGGTTCGACTTTCGCCACCGGAGCGAGTATCAGACATCCTCGAGCCAAACACCGGCAGAAGCACCTCTTCACCCATACTAACATGGCCGAGGAGCCCTGATAGCACGGGCAGATCTGGCATAAGTGCCGGTGGTGCGTTGAACGATGAACAAAATCAAGCCATTCTGCTGGCCTCGCTGATATGCGCTTGCATCAGTTTGGTCGTGGTCTTGGTAACCTTACGATGGTTCCTCATCATGCGAAGGAGCTTCCGGCATCGTCTGGTTCTATACCTCATCATCAGCGACACGTTCAAGGCTGTTTGGTACTTCATCTTTCCAACCGTGGTGTTCGTCAAGGGACCGGTCAACAGCGGTTCGAATTTCTGCCAGGTCAGCGGATTCATGCTTGTGCTTGCCATCGAGTCTTCCGACATGGCCATCCTCATCATTGCCCTGCATTCTATTCTCTACATTCTCAACCCTGGTAGCACTTTGGGGGAAGGAGGACTCTATCGATACCGCCGTTGGACCTACATCATGTGGCTTGGCCCGGCACTGCTGGCAGCATCATTGGCCTTCCTTCACGATAAGGACCCATATATTACAGCTGGCACATTTTGCTACCTCCCCAAACGGCCAATTGGGTATCGACTCGCCCTATCATGGGTTCCCAGATATCTCATCATAGGTGTAATTCTGATCATGTATATCTGGATTTACATCTACGTCCACATCAAATTCCGGGGGTTCGATAACCTCGGCGCGACGAATTCATCACACTACAACTCCGGATTGAGAAACCGATCTGATCTTTCGACCAGGTGTACCGATCCCGAGAGAAGGGCCATTGACCAGTCACCGGCTCTACCCTCCCAAGCCTTCATGTTGCAGACCCAGAATCCGTTCCTCGGAGGCGCTGTGGCACCCGAAGAACGTCAGCCTTGGGATGACGTGAAATTTATTACCTCGAAGCCGCTCCAGAGCATCCCTACTGAAGCTCCTCGAGAAATCGAAGGGAGGAGTATGTTAGCGCGGGGAAGCGAGTGGTCTGGTGAGACCCAGATTCCTCCGGATCATACCCTTGGACCGCTGTCCTCGATTCCTGAGCTGCAGGACAACTCAGCGCTGCCGCGATCTCTGTCCGCTACGAAGGATCAAATCATGGGAACGTCCGTTGTCTGCCCAGTGACCCCGTCGACAACATCCACTGGGCTCAATGACCCTCTCAAAAGAACCAGATTGGCGATACGCAAGCAGCTGCGTTATTTGTTCATCTATCCTCTTGTCTACATTCTTATGTGGAGTTTTCCGTTCGCGTCTCACGCTCTGAACTACAATAACTACTACGTCGCTCATCCTATCTTCTGGCTATCTCTAGTGCAAACAGTTATGCTGAGTCTCCAGGCCGGCGTTGACAGCGTCCTCTTCTCGTGGACAGAAAAGCCGTGGAGGCGAATTGACCCGAATTCAAAATTCTCCATGCCTTTCCTGCGACGGCGAAGCAAGGAATTGCTGCAACGTCGTGGCAGAGGACACCAGGCTCCGCCTTCTGCAGACGAAGGAACGATGCGACAGCCTTCAGCAGGACAGCACCAGCATTGGTGGGAAGCCGAGGGCCGTCGGCGCAACGATAGCGTCTGGCTTGGGACAAATCGACTATCTGACTTTTTCTCACCCATCACCACTCGAGCGCGGTCAAGGAGCCCAGATAAGACCAGAAGGAGTATGCACTCACGGACGCGAAGTTCCGAGCAGGGAACTACGTTTGTTCCCAGGCTGCAGACGATGTTTCCAGCAAAACTTCGCATTCCGACAAGACAAACGTTGTCCCCCGTGGCAATGGAAGGGTTACTGGAAGTGCTGGAGTTGACTTACAAGGCAGAGCAGCGTCTCAACGAGCAGGAGAGTCCGACAAGTCCGACTAGTCCGACTCAAGCCTGATGTGGCCTTGGGAGCATGAGAATATCAGGGACAGATCTTGCTGGAAGAAAATGTACCGTTAGCTTTTACGACCCTTGAGGAATGTCCAGGTTCGGTATGAGGGGCCGACCCTCCGCGAAGCAATATGCCGTGAATAAGCGGTTCTCGCTCTTGAAACAGCACATTGGTTTGACATGACTGTGGCTAGTTCTCGGAAGGGGCTTCGTGGATATGATCAAGGTCTTCATCTGGGCAGCTTTTGATCTACTCACGACGCATTGAAAAGGAAGCCTGGTTAGAACAATAAATATTTCGTAGACCGGTTGTCGCATGCCCTGTTCTTACCTAGGTAATAATAAATAATGGCCGTTGGCTGCTGGGTGGCTGCTCTTCCATCGCCCTCACGCCCCATTGTTCGAGATCCGAGAGGCGAAAACCGCCGAGATTGCAGCGGCCCGGCATCGGAAAAAGGACCTGGCACCCACCGAGCCACCTGGGGCCCTACCTAGAATCACTCCGTCTCCCACCCCCCAGTCACCCATAGTCACCCACAGTCACCTGCAGTCTTTCCTCCCTCGTTATTATTACATGTGCCCTCACTGGCCACCACCACCACCACCACGGCACCACTCTTCCGACGTCACAAAACCCCATGGTTCCCCTCGGCCGTTTCTGTGAACATTGTTCTCCCTCGTGCCCGCGCCTCAAGAGTCATCCTGGTCTAGACATGTTCTAGGATCCTGTGAATGCCTGTTTCCGGTCAAGGCCATGCAGCAACATCATCACATTCCTCACAATCACCAGAGATGGACAGCCGAGGCGCCTCGAGGTTGCTCGAGGAGCCACCCCCGGGCCCTGACCGAAGACTGTTCCCCGACAACGATGCCTCGATAACATTGACCAGACCTGCGTCCCAGGCGCAGAAGCCTCTGGATAAGCACAGCCTTGAGTATATCATACGCTCCGGGCTAGCAGGGGGGTTGGCAGGATGTGCGGTACGTGGACGGCGGCCAGCTACCCTGCTAGGACGATTGCTAACGTGCTGTTGTAGGCAAAAACTGTTGTCGGCCCTCTTGACCGAGTAAAGATCCTCTTCCAAGCTTCCAATCCTCAGTTCGCAAAGTACACGGGCAGCTGGTTCGGCGTGGTGACGGCGATCCGGGATATACAAAAGAATGAAGGGCCCCGGGGTTTATTTCGCGGTCATTCTGCGACTCTTCTGAGAGTCTTCCCATATGCCGGGATCAAGTTCCTCGCCTACGAGCAGATAAGAGCCGGTGTCATTCCGGACAAAACCTATGAAACACCATTTCGCCGCTTTATATCTGGGTCTATGGCGGGCATCACTTCAGTCTTCTTCACCTACCCTCTCGAGGTCATCCGTGTGCGGCTAGCTTTCGAAACTAAGAAGGACTCACGCTCGTCTCTGACGAGAATATGTCGGCAGATCTACCATGAGCAGCCTCCGCAACCAGAGAATCTCGCCGGTCATAACTCAGTTGCAGCCGCCACGAATGCAGCGCAGAAAGCTGTGCCAAAGTCGGGACTTGTCAACTTCTACCGCGGATTCTCTCCGACCTTGTTGGGCATGTTGCCATATGCTGGAATGTCCTTCTTGACGCATGACACGATAGGCGATTTATTCAGACATCCCCTCCTGGCGCCATACACAGTCCTACGCTCAACATCTACGGCCGCAATCCCTCCCGTAGAAACCCGTTCAAATGCCAAGGTCCAACGGCGGGCCCAACTGACTGCCCCAGCGGAGCTCACCTCGGGCGCAATAGCTGGTCTAGTTTCTCAAACCTCGTCTTACCCACTTGAAGTGATTCGGCGGAGAATGCAAGTCGGTGGCGCTATAGGGGATGGCCATCGCTTAACTATTGCCGAAACAGCGCGTCGGATATGGCTTGAAAGAGGCTGGAGAGGGTTCTTCGTCGGTCTCACCATTGGCTATGTCAAAGTCATACCGATGGTCGCCACAAGTTTCTATGTCTACGAACGCAGCAAATGGCTCTTGGGAATTGGTTGATAGAAGGGGAAGTCCATGGATCGTGTTCTGGCCAACCTGGGGAGTCTGGATGCCAACCCTGGTCTACCCGCTATTTTTCCCTTGCAATACCTTGGCCAGAAACAGAGCAGCTGCGCCGTTTCCTCCTCAGGGAAAATGATGGCTCATGAAAATCCCAGTCTCGGGCTGAACTCAAAGAGAAGCAGCCAAGGATTTACGGAAGGCGACAACTGCATGGCACCGACCCGCATAGCGCCGATGAGACCTGGAAAGCCGAACCTGTTTCCCACTATCCAGTACCGCACTTGTTCCTGGGTAAAGGTGGTGGTGGGGCACAGTCGACGGCATACCTTGCACCAATGGTGCCTATATTCATACACCTGTTTTGGGAACAGAAATGGGGTATTCGAGCAGTTTCTCTACGATTCAGATTTGGGGTCAATATCATGACATGGGGAAGTCTGCGCTTCTCAGCCACGGTGAAGCTGAGGCACATGGGTCCCAGCGATGTCCGTACGGGGCTCCTTTGAACCTCTGGGCTGGAAGTTACACCTGGTCGGTGATTATGAGGTCGAAAAGTCTTTGGGCGTTTCCGGACGTGCATCTGGCTCTCGTGTAATGGGCTCTTTTTCGGTTTCTGAAGCAGAACGTTATGCTACATTGGGATGTACAAATTGGCGGGCTTGGTACGGGGTTTCAACCCCCCGCCTGGGATTCTCATATGTTATATATCTTTACCTAGGTATATCATTATCGAGCGAGCGAAGCGAGCGTGGATTATGTACAAAGGCATGTGTCCTCCCACAAAGGCAATTGCTCTGCCGATGCATTTCACATTTGATTGCCCATTTTCCCCCTCCTCGGGGTTTTATATGAAGAATAGACCAAGAATACTTGCATACATACCTAGGGACGTCTACATGCCCGCCTAGGCGATGTAGCGACTCATTCTCTCCTTAACAGGTGATGTTCGAGGTTATCCATGACATGCAAAGGCGGAAAACGGAGGTGGATAGATCTACGGCCCGCGACCCATCACGGCCTTCCTTCCCTTCCTTTCCTCGGCGTGGAACCGGAGCGCTTGGCCGAGGTACCTAGGTACCTTACCTCTACCTCCATACATTCATATCCACGTACTCGGTGCTCTCTCGCACGGGAGCACGAGGTACACGGCCGAGATCAACCAGGGGGCGCACGGGATTGAGCGATCTGGATCAGGGACATGTTACAAAAGTGCAGGTGGTCATGAGTGGTATACTAACAATGTTTTATGACAAGATGTTATCTTTCTTTTTTGGCTTCTTGGTCTAGTTATTGCTTTACCCCCATTCTGGATGGCAGTGGATGCCCTCTTAGAATTCTATAGTCAGTGAGATCATAGGCGTTCCACCCCCGTGGCGTAGGGAGGGTGGTTAAGGATCTCTCTTGTAGTTCCTCCTCAGCATCTCAGCGCGGCGTCTGCATTCTCCCGCATGGACGCTTCCTTGAAAAGTCATGGGTGCATTCCAATGTCACTCGCGCCATGCTGACGAGCTGGGATCACTGTCGTATTTTCTTGATCACTCCCTCCCCAGCCTCTCTCCATCGTCCGCCGTCATTTGGTATGCTGGCTTATAACATTCCTTCCCCTGCTCGTCCGTGTACCGCAACTTCGGATTCTTCACCGTGTCATTGACGCCCCCTAGACTTGTATAGCCCGCGTCGTACATTTCACAGTATCTCAATGGAGCCGCCGTGCCCGCGGTCCCTGAATCTCGCCCATCGCCAGTCGCGCTGCCATTCAAATAACGGCCGATGTCTTGAAGGTGCGGGGAGCGCAAGAAGCACCAGATTTCCGAAAGACGCCAATCAATCACCGGATGGATGCGCATGAACGGCGGCCAATTGTGGTCGGTAGGGTCAAAGTGCGTCAAGTGAGAACCGTGCGGGTCGGTGCGACGGGTGCCGACGAAGATGGCTTTTATGTGCGGGTTGGAAGAGAGGTAGAGGGCAAAGGCGTCGCGGAACGAGATGATTGGTTTGTCTAAAGGCTTCTGAAACGAGTTGTTGGTGGTCTTCTGGTTGGGCGTGACACTTTCGGGTCCTAACCCTGCCAGAGGAGCCGTGATGGGAGGATTGGAATGTGACCTCCGTTTCTTTCCCGGACCGGGATTGGTGGATATATGGGTCAGGTCGAGGTGGTAGAGGCGCGCAGAATAATCGACAAAATCCGAGACGGCGGGGAAGGGATCGGGTGGTTTTGCATAGATGGAGGGAATGGATTTGGGAAACTCTTTCCGTCTGTTGCTGGGCTGCGTGAAATGTGTATGGATGACGGCGAGGTATAAGATGAGAAGAACCAAGCAGTCTTTCCCGCCGTTATAGGAGAGGGAAAGAGTCGAGAATCTGTGTAGCACAATCCGCTGTCAGATCTTTTTGGCTTGGAAAGAAACAGTCGAGAGCAGGATCGGCGGCGGGGTTGTGGCTCACTCATATTCATTCAACGCCTTTTCTATAACTCCCATGGATATCCTCGCCTGCTCTTGTGTACTCCTGGTCACCTCGTCCTCGGGAACCGCAGAAAGAAACGAAGAGACCTGCGCATGGACGAGAGCACAAACATCCTGCAACGAGTGGGAGGCAGGAGGGATGTGGGCGGAGGCGGACGACGAGGATACATCAGCTTCTCCATTGACCGCGGCGAAGGTTCCATTGGCCATGGGGGCATTGGGCGGCAGCGATGTAGTGCTCATAATGGCGCCGACATGTATAAGGAAGGGGTGGCAATTGTGAGGAGGGACACGAGAATAGAGAGCGTGTCACCAGTGTTAAAGCGAGAGACCGAGTTGCCGTCAGTTAGGATCCGAAAGAATCACAGAAAATCGGAGAAAGATGACATCGGGTGGGAGAGGGTGAGTGTGGGGGAAACCCCTGCCTACCGGGCAAGCCTGGCACCCTGGGTACCTGTAGTGAGCCTATGCGAAGGCTTCTCATAGGTACACCCGGTATCCTTCTAGGCACTAAGGTAGTTTTATCCCGCCCGCCGAGATACGGCGAGACGGGTCTCCAAGGCTGACCACAGCCTGTCACCCTGCTGCCGGAGCCTCCGTCCCCGTCGTTGACCGAAGCCGATAGAAAGATAGAGACAGATGGCTCGTCTATCCAGTAAATCACCTTTTGCATTGCCCCGCGGAAAGATATTGGCCCCCACCATCTTGTCGGGGGCAGTCTCCAGGGTATGGAGGATGTATTCATGTTTCGAGTGTATTCAGCCGACCCCCATAAATGCGAGTCCCCCAAACAGCGCCCAAAATCCCACGGCTTGGTCTATCATCCGCCAGCTCAATCGTGACACATCCCAGGGCCGACGGGGTAGTCCGATCTGGCTCGTCATATTGCATGCAAAGAAGAAACAAAACACCTTATACCATCGTCGAGCAACGAGATCAGCCCAGCACCTTCATCTTCTTTTTCTTCTTCCCATCCTCACCCTTCTTGACGCCCTTCTGAAAGTCGCGCCAACTCCCTATTCGCTGCTCTCTGGTCTCCTCCCAGTCCTTCTCGTGATCTCGTTTCCGTTTTCTCTCTTCCAACTGCGCATCCTCTTTCGCCTTCTCACGACCCTCTTCTTGCATTTTGGCCTTCATCTGTCGCCGTCTCCGAGCCTCTGCTTCCACCAGCACTTCCACCGTCTTTTTTCGCCATTCCTGCTTGAACTCCTCTGTTTTCAATTCCTCAGAGTCCACGGTGTACTTGTGCTGTCTGATCAGCAGTTGCCTTGCATCTGCAATGCATTCATCCAGATGCTGACGCTGTTTCTCATCCAGTAATGCAGTCTGTGCCTTCTTCAACCGGTCAAAGGCCTCAGGAGCCGAGGGGTTCTTGGTCTTGTCCGGGTGGATTAGTAGAGACTTCTTGCGATAGACGATCTTAATGTCTGATTCAGGAACTCCAGGCTGGAGGTCTAATACTGCGTAGCTGAAGATGTGTTAGCGGCGTTAACGTGCACTAGGAACTTGAATGCGAACACTTACGCGTCGAGTTTAAAGGCGTTAAGAATGCGGTCGATCTCAGCGTCCTGGTAGCAATGTTAGTCAAATGTACATTTTGTGGGTCAGTAATGCACACCTTATCATACTCCTTCGCTTCTTTTTCAAGCACATCGAGAGCATCGGACTCATCATTAGCCATGGTGGGCTGATAGTATGTAGCTTACCGATGACTGTCAAGATCTTGACCTCTGGGAAGAGTATTTGTGTCAGAAGCAGGTGAGTTGACCGCAAGAGAGCAATAACCTTGACCTCGAATTGGAGATATTGATCGGACGCAACGGCAACTGTCCGTCAAACTCGAGGGGCGATAAAGGCGCAAAGCAGGTCGTGGTAATACGAGACGCTCTTCAATCTACCTCGTACTCGATTGGGAAGCTGTTCCGACAAGGCTTGCCGATGTTTTCCCGTTTATCGATAACCCGCCTCACCACGTGATCACAAAAATAATTTGAGCCGCAACCAACCCGCGCCGCCAAACCTCCACACAACCTTGTCCCAGACGCAGTCTTCACAGTATTGCAATGGGCTCGCAGGGGCACCGGAGAGGGGCAAGGGGCCCGAAGAAAGATTTCCAGAGACCCAAGGTGCTCAAACGGAAACGAGAAGAAGAAGACCTCGAAACCCTTGCACAGCGGGTAGCCAACTTCGATGCGAAATCTGCGTCTCCGCCAGAGAACTTCGTCGACCTCCCATTGTCTCAAGCGACCCAAGACGGGCTCGCAGCCTCGCACTTCAAAACCTTGACTACGATCCAAAGCAGGACAATACCGCTTGCGTTGCAGGGTGCGGATATTCTGGGCGCAGCAAAGACGGGGTCGGGCAAGACACTGGCATTTCTTGTCCCCGTACTAGAAAACTTGTACCGCAAGAGATGGACGGACTACGATGGTCTGGGAGCGCTGATACTCTCTCCCACCCGAGAGTTGGCCATCCAGATCTTCGAGGTGCTGCGGAAAGTCGGCCGCATCCACACTTTTTCTGCTGGCTTGGTGATTGGGGGCAAAAGTCTACAAGAGGAGAGAGAACGACTCGGACGGATGAACATTCTGGTCGCCACGCCGGGGAGGATGCTACAGCACATGGACCAGACGGCGGAATTGGATATTGGAAATTTGCAAATGCTTGTCCTGGACGAGGCGGACAGAATTATGGACATGGGGTTCAAGCAGACCATTGACGCCCTGCTTGAGCACCTTCCCCCGGATAGGCAGACTCTCATGTTCAGCGCCACTCAGACGAAGAAGGTTTCCGACCTCGCAAGATTGAATCTGAAAGAACCGGAATTTGTCTCTGTCCACGAAGCAGCCGATAGCGCTACGCCGTCGTCCTTGCAACAGAACTACGTCGTCACCCCACTGCCAGAAAAGCTCGATACCTTGTGGTCCTTTATCCGTGCAAACGTCAAAAAGAAAATCCTGGTCTTCCTAAGCAGCGGCAAGCAGGTTCGCTTTGTGTACGAAGCCTTTCGGCACCTCCAGCCTGGTATCCCCTTGCTGCACCTGCATGGACGACAAAAGCAAACGGCTCGGGTTGAGATCACTACAAAATATTCAAACAGTAAATACGTATGCTTGTTCTCGACGGATGTCGCTGCCCGAGGATTGGACTTCCCTGCTGTGGATTGGGTCGTCCAGGTTGACTGTCCGGAAGACGCTGACACTTATATCCACCGAGTGGGGCGAACAGCACGGTTCGAGCACGATGGCCGGGCGGTGTTGTTCCTCGACCCGAGTGAAGAAGAAGGCATGTTGAATGCGCTAGCGAAAAAGAAGGTCAGCCCCGAGAAGATGAACGTCCGGCAAAAGAAAATGCAGCAGACCATCCGAAACCAATTGCAGAATATGTGTTTCAAAGACCCCGAGTTGAAGTACTTGGGACAGAAAGCTTTTATAAGCTATGTGCGCAGTGTCCATATTCAAAAGGACAAGGAGACATTCGATCTGAAAAAGCTCGACCTGGAAGCTTTTGCTGCGAGTCTGGGCCTTCCTGGCGTACCTCGCGTCAAGTTCGTCAAAGGAGAGGATGCAAAGGCGAAGAAGAACGCTCCGAGACAACTACTGGCCGCGCTGGAGTCGAGCAGCGATGAGAGTGATGCTGAAGGAGAGCAGCGATCCAAACAAAAACAACGGAATGGAGGAGTCAGGACGAAATACGACCGTATGTTCGAACGGCGCAACCAGGACGTCCTGGCCGAGCATTACACAAAGTTGATTGAGGACGACGAGGAAGATGACGGCAGCGACGACGACGCGGCATCGAAAACAAACGGCGCCGCCACCGCTAATGACGAGGTGGACGATTTTCTCTCGATAAAACGCCGCTTCGAAGCCGGCGACTCGGATCTCGACCAGGACAGCGGTAACGATAGCGACTCGAGCTCGTCAAGAAACCCCTCTCACGCACCCTCGTCAACGAAACGAACGAAAGGATCTTCATCCCTGGAAACCAAAACCATCCAACTCTCCACCAACCCCTCCGCCCCTCCACTAACCATCGACTCCCACCGGCGCGAGAAACTCCTAGCGTCCAAAAAGAAGCTGCTAAAGTACCGCGGCAGAGGATCTCACCTGACCTTTGACAGTGACAGCGACACGCCCAGGGACAAAAAGGCGTACCAGGACGAAGACCAGTTCACGGGCAAGGCGGAGGAGGAGAGGCGGGCGTTTTTGGAAAGAGAGGCCCAGAGAGCGAGGGAGGCGGATGTCGTGGACAAGGAGATCGCGAGGGGTAAGAGGAGGGAGAAGAAGGAGAAAAGGAAGGAGAGGGAGAGACAGCAGCGCGCAGGAGGTGGTGGGGAAGGAGGACGAAGAGAAGGAGACGGAGAGGAAGACGAGGTCGGCGGATACGGCGTCCAACTGGTCCCGTACGAGGATGACGCCGCCGCCGACCTCGAAGCTGCAGAGGACGAGGCCCTTCAAGATCAGTCCTCCCCGACCGAACACGAACCCAAACCCAAACGCCAGAAGAAATGGTTCCAAGACTCGCCGTCTGCGTCCGATGAGGATGACTACACCAAGGGCAAGGAGAAGAAGAAGAAGAAAGGCAAGAACCGCCGCGCCACAGATGGCGGTGCCCAACCGCCGCAGACACTGGAGGATCTGGAGGCCTTGGCCTCTGGTCTCCTCGCGACCGGCTAGATTACAACAGATCCAATTTAGTAAGAAGCACAGTACCCACAAGGCTTGAGAAATGTGTTCGAAAAACAGCCCAGCCAGGAGCCATCGTGATTGTATTTCTACAGGAAACCGCAAAAGCCTCCTTCGTATGACATGTAGTAGACCCATTCCGTTTCCATTGTCCTTCTCGGGCCTCCATTTGCTGTACTTGAGGGCTGTCTCAACTCGTTTCCCCGACAGACCGTTTCCAGAATTCCCAGCTAGGAGGCCGTTACTCCCCTGGGAAGCCCCTTGCTTCATATCCTGGAATCGCCAAATGCCCTGTTATCGTTGTATTCATCACCACAAAAATATGCTGCGTCGTTCGGCCAGGAACCGGGATTTCGTCCAGGATTTAATTCTGTCGAAGCGCCCCGTCTCCTAATCACAAAATGCCACCCACGTGCCGCAGCCGACTTCTCGGTTTCCACGTCCTCTAGACGTACGGATTGGATGACTGCCCCATTTCGCCAACGCCCTCTTGTTGGATTATGCACACATGACGACCCTGCCACAAAAGAAAGTTCATGATTTTTGCCTTTGCATCAAGGAAAGTGTATGGTCATGAGGCCCGTCGCCCGGCCGTTATGGCATACGAACGTGGTTGGCCACGATCGCGACCCATTTCACGTAAATTCTATGTCGTGCTGTTGACCACGTGCGTAGAACGGGTATCAAGACCTTGATATGAGATTCGTTTCGCGCAAGTCGATACCGACCTGCGCACTTCCGACACTAGCTCGAACTTTGTCTTCGCATTCGTGGAATTGTGTCCCTCTGTTCGAAGAGGAACGCGGAGTGTTTCTGCCGTTTCTCATGCTCTTGCATCCGTTAGAAAGGTACAATCAGTGCTGTGTCCAGCACAGACCATTTTGTGCCTGATTAAAATAGTTGTACAGAATTTTAAGACTGGGAGAGAACAGAAGATAATGGTGCAGATTTGACCCTCAGACGCTCGTGGCTTCATTCAACAAAGGGAAAGATTTCGTAGCATATATACCATCAAAGGCGTGGTATTTTCAGGTTTGACCCTTGTCGTCCTCCTCGGCACACGTCAAATTTATTCGTTTCGCGGACCGAGGATGCCCTGGATATCCATCTTCGGTCTTTTCGCATCCGGCTCTTGCGTGCCTTCGTTTCTGCTTCCCTGTTGTCCTCGGGGAGACGGTAGAGTTTGTTGAGGATGCTGCTGCACAATCGCCGGGTCGATCGGGGCGGGCGGGGCGGGAGGTGCTGGTAAGATTGGTGGTAACTGGAGACTGGATGATGTGCTCAAGGGTGGCAGCTGTTCAGAGGACAAGGATGATGGAGGACGCGAGAAAATAGGGTTGGGAGTGTAATACGCAGGTCCCAGCTGCCCTTGCTGGGCCGGGTAGTTGTAACTGCCGCCGTAACTCATCGGTCGGAAGGTGGACTCTGGTTGCGAAGTGTTGTAGGAGGAGGGTGCTTGCCCCGGCATAGGAGCAAGACCGCCGTGATATTGACGAGACGAGGAAGGTATAAATGTCCCTTCTGCCATTGCCAGGCTCGGCGATATTGATGGCGCAGCGTGTAAGGTGAAGGCTGATCTTGGTGCCTGTCCCAACCGAGAAGTAGGGCCAGCATATGGCCTGAGTGGCGCATATCCTGCTGTTGCGGCATATACTGGTGGGTCGCCGAATCTCCTCGACGGGTCGCCCAACCGCCCGGGCAAGGGAGTCAATGCTGCTTCAAAGGGTCGTCTTGCATTCGCATCGTCTGGTTTCAGTGGCGGACGTCCCCGCTTCTTGTGCTCGACATCTACACAGGAGTCCTGGAAAAGAAGAATCATTAGCGCAGTTCCCCATGTGAGAATTCCACAATTGGCGCACCTCTTTGCCGCTCTGTACACATCTCCGACATGGACGACTGCTATCACATCTCAGATGCTTCTTCTTGCAATTTACGCAAGCCGATGCGACGTGCGCTTTGGGTTTTCGCGTAGTGCGTGGTGAAACAGGGCTTAGTGCCAGAAGAGGCGGTGGCACACTGATAGACGCTGAGGGTAAGCTCAACGCAGATTGATGTGAGGTTGGAGGAAGTGGATAGTTCAGCGCATACGGCCCCGGCTGAACAGCAAACTCGGTAATAGTCTCCCCACCTCTTGATATCGCACTTGGTCGAGGACCGCTGGTGTCCAAAGGCGCTATAGGCGAGGCAACGGCTGCCGTCGTCGTGACTGTCGTTGTTGGAGGGGTGTAAGATCGAGATCGCTTCCTTCTTCGACCGGCAATCTGGGCAGGTTCAGCAGGTGGTTCCGGTGGAGGAGAACCGGACATGGGAGGGGTGGGGAGAGATGCCCACACGGGCGCAGCGACTGGCTTCGGCAGAGTGAGGTGCTCTATGGTGAATCTCGAGTTGTCGAGGCTGGATCGGTGTTTCTTGAATGACGGGCAGAGAGGGAACTGAGGTGGGCGTGAATGCTGCATCAGGTACGTTTCTCACTGAGATCGCTCGAAGATCGCATAGACAGCCCGCTCCGCTTTCGCCTTTCACAGATTTTCGTCGACGGAGGAATGGTCCAGTGGCTGCAATGCGGCCTCTCCTTCAGATGTCCGTCCTCAGATACCGTTGCAAACTCAGAGTCGCTCTGCCTCGACCATGTACCAAGTGTACCTCCGACGCTTATTTAGATGTCCGTTGCAAGTGCTTTTGGCTCAAGTCAGTGTACTGCCTCGAGACCCAATGGATTGAAGGAGAAGTTGGACACAACATATCCGCCTAGGGTTGTGTTGCCTACCTGATCAGGTTTGCCAGACTCCCTTCTGGCCCCCAATTCGATATCCAACCAATATTGTCTAAACAGAATGAGAACGAGTACAAATGCCCGTCGTCGAGGGCTTGAAGGATAGAACAGAAGTTTGGACGTCGTCAAGTTCGGGTGAAACCAGAGGGCACGGTGCGCCAGCTGGGCAAGAGCGAATGACTAGGCTTCAATTCCAGAAAGGAGCGTCTGGACTCAGTGGTCCATGGTCCGTGAAGAGTTGAAGTAGTAGGAGAAGCAAGACTAGGCGGATATGATCCGAAAGTCATGACAGGACCAGAGAAGCGAACTCGCTGTGAGAGACGCGGGCCAATGTGGTCGTAGACTTGCTCATTCGTATGCAAGGGCAGCAGCCTCTGGGCCATGCAGAGACAAAGCGGGAACCTGAGCAGCAGACAAATTTCCTCATGTTCGTGAACCGTGACGGCGATCTGCTCTATTGAGAGGCAGTAGACGGAGTACTGACCCAATAGTCCCGGTTAACAGCTCCACATTGGTATGGATGCGCAGCCCACTCGCTCATGCGATCCAGGGATCCAGGAAGCTGAGAAGCTGAAAAAGGTATGCATTAGCTTTTGCATCGGAGCGGACACTTGGCCCCGTCTCCCGCTGTCAATTGCGACATCCTATAATCCGCAGGGTTATGTGGAAGATGTTTCGCCGCCTGTTCGCGACAGCCACGGAGCCATGGTGTGCATCTCTAGGTCGGTGGCACTAGATAGTGGTGTCTCGGCAAGCCAGCGACGCGATGGCACCAGCCACAATCCGCCCCCCAGGCTGGCGGGGAATATGAGGCCAGCTATACGAAATGGCTTGCCCCGGGTGAGCACTGCCTGATTTGCTTCAGAACAGGCGCAGCCAGGCGCAAAGGGTGGCCAACCTGACCAAGCACTCAAAAAGTATACTTGTACAGGTAAGCTTCGCCCGGGTCCGGGCCCCAATGAAAGGATTGTCATGGAAATTCCCCAACACAGGTGGTGCTTTGCAGAGGCCGCGGAAGAAACATTCTGGCATGCCAATCGAGAACCCTCCTGCCCGAACTCCCCCCAAAGGCTCAGGGCTCAAGGTTCTCACCATTGGCCCGCGAAAGGCTGGTTTGGGTAAAGCAGTTGAGCAAGGCCGGCCGTTGAAAACGGAGCCTTGATAGCAACGTCGATTGGCGACGCCTTCACAAACATGGAGAAACAGGGGAGAGACAAGACCAGACGGCTTCTGCCCGAAACGACCGAATCAGCGTCGGTCATTCCCATCATGCAACAAGAGAGGGTAGAGCGCTGGCCCCCAAGCGACCCAGTGCAGGCAAGTTTTTTGCCTTGTTTCGAGGAAGCAGGAAGTAGTTCGCCGGTCTGTGGCCCAGGATCGGCCAGGGGTGAAGACAGAACAGCAATGCTCGCATGAGTCGGGGATCTGATGTCGTTCTGCCAATCTCAAGGTATTGACTATCGGGCTGCATTTGGCCAGAAATAGTTCAGCTGTACCACCCGATGACGCGCTACGAACCTCCGCGGTGGGCTCCGGGTCCCACAAATCCTACTGACAAGCTGGAGAGTTACTGAGACCTTTTTCTTTTGGTTATTGTTGCTTTGGCGTCAATCCGGGCTTGGGCCTTTTAGACATCCGTGGCGGGGGCCCGACGTGGATTCAATAATGATGAGCAGAAACCCTTTGTTGACCCTGTTGGGTCTTCTTTCTCCTCGAGTCCTCGCCATCATCATCATCATCATCATCATCATCAGCCACCGCATTTCCAGGGTTAGCAGGGGAGCCCAGCCGATGGAATAGCCGCAATCGATAAAGGGATCTTCCTTCGATTCCATTCCTCGTAGGACACAGAACTCTTTGCCCCTTTTACTTCTTTCTTTTTCCCCTTCGCTCGGGAGATGCCAGGCAAGCTGACGCTTGGATGGCAAGCTATATTGGCGTGCATGCCTGTGCATCTTTGTGGCTGATGTCGCCCCGATCTCAGTCTTGCTTCTGCCACAAATACTCGAGGGTCTTGTCGCTTGTATTTGCCATTGATGTCGGTTTCCCTACGAATTGGCCTTGTGATTGGCTGTCAGTGCCATTGGGGTGGCTAGAATCATATGTTCAAGATGGCTTCTGCTTGCTTCAGCCAGACCAGGGGTTTCGGATCAATACCGATGGATCCCGAAGTTAGAGAGGAATCTCCTGTTGGTTGAGACATTTTGCGCTGGTTTCTCGCTTGGTTGTAATCTTCCGGCTGGGCTGGTCCTGCACTCCCTGTTTGGGACTCCCTGGAGGATAGGCCCCCAATGGTATGAATTTTGTTTATCCTCGGCCATGTGGGATATATTCTCCTTAGGTGTTCCATAAATAATCCTGTCGCGGCAGGAGGCGAGTGACCGTCGCGTGCCCCTGGGTTGGAAGAAATCCACTCTTTCTACGGAGGACGGAGCACGAGGGACTTGTTCAATACCTAGGTATCGTCGCTCGTACTCGAGCTCGTGCTGGTAGGAATGGTGGTACTAAGCCGGAACGGAGGTCATCCATGTTGGTTTGTCTTCCTATTCTGCGGGAAGTGGTCATCCTTGGACCCTGCCCACCAACACGGTGTCGGGGTTGACATCTCATATCCGGTAGCCTATAAGGACCCCTGACATGACATTCCATGGTTCAAGCATGCCAGTCAACTGGGGTTACTCATGCAATTGCATGCATGCCCAGATGGGAGAAGGACCACCGCAAATAATATCAACCCGGGTCTTGCCAGTTCGACGGTGATCTCATTTTGTGTTCAATAGTTAAAGTGCTGGAGAACAGCCGTCGATCAAGGCACTATTGGTTTCTAGTTGGGGGAGAGATCGCCGTTAAACTTCTGGCTTCAGGCCGGGCGCACCAGGTTTCCGAAGACGGCGCCTCAAAAGCCTAGTTGGGATCGATGACGGACAAGCGAGAAAGAGGCTCGATCCGCCAGGGTACTTTTCGGGTCTTCAGTTATTCTCCGCAAAAGCTCCGTCCAACCTGCGATGAAGTTGACAGGTTTGGCGTCGATCCGTGGCGAGTTTGCACAGGCCATACAGGTTCAAGTCTCGTTTGGTTTTCGCTCAGGTGAGATTCTGGAAAAACGGTGCAGAAGGGGGCCAGTTCCAAGATCCCTACATATGTAATTTCGAACCCGCGTAGACATGTTCAAGGGCTCGGGGTTAGTACTGTGGGAGCAATTCCAACGGCGAAAACTGGAGCTTTGTCTGATGCCCCTAACCCTGTATCTTCCCACGCGGACAAGGGCCACTAGGGCTTTCACTCAGCGCAAGACTTCATAATCGTACCCCTTTGAGCAGTGAGCACGCGTCGTACTCCGTATCGTTTCGAGTGTCGAGCGGGCTTCCGTGTCCAGGAGCCAGGGTGGCACCGGCGGAGGCTGCACTAGAAGCCCATTATTTTCCCTAGTCCAGCGCCACTCAAATCTCAATTCGTGATTTCTTGGGGAAACCCACGTGGCAATCATAATCCATGTCTGGCCGAGGTTAGACTCTAGAGTACTGGGGTCTGTCAGTGCTTCTTTTGAGACATCTCAGCTGTGCAAGACCACCTCGCCTCTTTCGCATGGGGCTGTACCGAGTCCAGGAGATTAATTTCGAGGAAACCGGCGACCCGAGAAAATTTTATGCGAGAAAAGAAATTCTCCGAGGCGGCTGGCAAGCGGATGACAGGCGTTCGCCTTCTTTGCGAGGATGTGATACTCGTACTCGTGTTCATACCGCGGGCTGCGTCAAAGGACCTCCCATACAAAGAAGGATCGCCTCATGCTTCAGATTGCGCACCGTGGAGACAAGACGTTCGCCCGAGTTATGTGATTGACAACACCGCACCAAGTTCGCCAATGTTCACTTTTGCCTGTGGCACTGCTAGTGCTCGGCGCCGAAGCCACACAAGTCAGCGGAGTAGGGGACACAGATTCACCACCAAGCGCATGCATTCAACATTATGGCGACACGCAACCGGGCCGAGAATCAGAGCCTAAATTTGCGTAGAGAAAGTGAAGATTGTTTGTGCCCAAACCTCTGGGTCAGCAATGCTCGTTTGATTGCGATGACATTCCTACCTTGCTTTTCGGACAGTAAGAGTGACATTGGGCTGACAGCGCGGCATCCCAGGGGTGAACAAGCGAGTCAATCGCAGTGCGATGGCTTACAAGCAATGGATTAGGTAGGAGGTACCTAGCTCGCTACCTAGTAGTAGGTAGATAGCATACCTTAGCTACCTAGGTACCTAGGTATGTACCGTGTATACCTAGCAAGTCGACTTCAGAAATAAATGGCACAGTCTAACTAGTATCTAGTAATAAGTATAAGGATCCCGCTGTGCTCAAGAGTAGATAGGATACCCTATATAAGTCAAGATAACCTAATAGTTAATAGTTAATCCCTTCTACTTTGCTACTACCGTACTCTCTTCTCGTAAGACTTGTGCCACTTATTTTTGAAGTCGGCTTGCTAGGTAGTATGTACTGTGTATATGTGGGATGCTGCGTGGTGGCTGCCAAGAAGTGAAATGACGACAACCCCAAAGTAGCAGCGAATGTCAACTTCAACTTCACATCAACAATCACCTCAAGGCATCACCTCGTTGGACGACGGCGGCGAAAAGTCCGAGCATCGCATCGCATCGCCCATGCCCTGAACTGCGTCACGTATCAGCCATCGTTAGAGCCTCCTCAGCTCCTCTTGCAAAAGTTGGTTCTGCTTGTACCAATCCAAATCGCGTGTCCTTTCCGATCGCCCTTCAATCGTTGGACTCTAGTAGAAGCCCGGTATATCTGCCAAAACCCGGCTAGGCCTCCAAGATAATGGCTGCTCAAGCTGGCGCAGAAGATCCTCTTGTCTCGGCCTTGCCTCCGGCCACCGACTACATGACTTACCTGACGTTATTGGAGTATCAACTGACCCCTCGGAACCTTCCCACATTGAGCAGACTCCTTAGCGACGATGACGGTAAACTTGCCGAAGAAATCGGATGGGATCTGTTGAAGCTCATCCTTCCCATGTTGAAAGATACCCCTGAAGAAGCTAATCGATGCTTGGAGATTGTTGCTCGACGGGGCAATCCCAGAGAAGTCGTCGTTCGCGTTGCCGAAGAGCTGGAGAAGCTGAGTGATGAAGTCCAGGGGTCAGAAAACGAAGATGACTTTGACGAGAGAGATGACCAAGATGACCTGCCGACCTTCCCTGGGGAAGCACCTCGAGTCCATCTGGGACAGATGACCCTGCAAGGCATGCCCGCCGATATGCCATCCCATGAAGGCGCCGGCGAATCGGGCAATGTACAGGAAACAGTATCAGACAAGGCACTAAAGTTGCAAGCCCTCTTCAATATGTTGAGCATCCTTCACCCTAGGATCAAAACACAGTTTCCCAGTCGCTTTCTTGCAACATCCCTGCCGGCCGCCCTGGGCGCTTATCGACAGGTACCCATCTCGACCGTGACTACTTCTTCATTCTTAACCATGCTGGAGAAGATAGCCGGCAGGAAACGGCCTCCATTGCCTCCACGCACCAGCACCCAAGGTGAGGGACCGTCTTCGAGCAAAGTACCACAGGATGTGCCTGCGTCGACCGCTCCTTTGCCGGATCCAGAGGCTAAGGCTGAAGAGGAGGACACTGGGGTCAATGAGCCTTCACAAGGTGAAAAGGCCATCATTTTCCGACTACTTGACGCCGTACTACTTGAGGTCTTGGACGAATATATGTCCTCACTGGCAACTCACGACCATCCCTCCATGTCCTGGACCGCTCGACTGCGGGAATATTGCGAGCCAAGAAGGGTTGTGCCTGGGAGGCCGACAGAAAACGCGGTCTGGGAGAAAACACCAGAATTGAAGGAACGTGACGCTCTCTTGGCCCGATTCTTCTCAATAAGCAAGCAGATGCAACTCGACGCTAACCAAGAGATTACAAAACTCGTCCACGAAGACGAGGACGAAGATCTCGAGAACCCCTACCATGACGAGACACCATCAGAATACCCAACTAAGCCATCTCAAATCCCATTCCCCAGAGCCGGAGTCATCTTCCTACACGCTTATCAATCCTATATAAACCCTTCCGACACAGAACCGCTGCTTACCACCTCCGAGCTCACAAAACTTATCGCGCATTCGTTTCCCCTCAGCGCAACCCCCACCATACCGCTGCCACCACTCCAGGACTCGCTCCTTTCTCTTTTGTACAAACGATCTCTGGCAGTCACTGCTGCCCCAACAACACCACAGCCCTCTCCAGCCAAATTTCTCCTTTTGATAAGCACATTGACTCAACTCTTTACCATCACCCCTTACCCGTCTCTCCGTGACTCGGCACATTATATCGCGACAAAATTGATACACGCGTACCCCGATCCATCCCTTCGCTTACAAGTCATTGCGCAAACACTTCGAGGAGACACGCTGAGCACTAACTGGGCAGAAATTGAAGATGAGCTGGAAGAGACTGAGCCGCCAGCGCCGGGGATTGATGAAGAGACGGGGCTCACAAGGAGCACTTCAGCGTTGCAGCCGCATCCAATTCCACTAGCACCTCCGCAGCAGCTCGGACTGTTGAAGGCTGTTGGGGTGGATTGGCTGAAGGCTGAATTTTCGGAGTGGATTAGTGCAGGAGCGCGAGCCCAGGCTGAAGAGGTACCCATGGTGATTGGTGCTCTGGATCCGTCGGCAATCCTCTTTGCACCGAATGATGCGGACAGAAAAGAGGAGACGAGTGAAGACAAGAACGACACAGACCGCTCACTGATCGATCTCCTCTTCCCGCCGGATATGCCCTCACTCGCTCTCTTCTCAAGCTCCTCCACAACAACCTCGACTTCTCCAGAAGAATCACCATTGGACAAATTACCCGACCTTCTTCTCTCGATCCCTTTCTACATCTCGACCCTTAATCTCATTTGCATTGTGCTCCCACATCTACCTTTCTCTCAGCATCCATCCTCATCCCTCAAATCTCGGATCTCGGCTCATCTCTCGTACCTGAACAACGCAGTGAATTTGCTGCTTGAGTTGCTTCAGCATGCACAGGCGTCGACTTCAAGTACGGCATCTGGAGAACCAGGAATGCGGGGAGGAGGCGCCGACGAGCATGAAGGATTCCTGGAAGAATCGCGTGCTGATATCTATGCGTTCCAGGATGCCTGTGTCAGGGCCACCGGGGTGTGGGAGAAGGTGGCATAATGGATGATGGTGGGGAGGGAGAGGACAGTACAAGGCTATCTATCCAGCATGTACACCTCAGCAAAAATGTTGGGACTGCGAGAAGGCAAAGGAGACAATGAGGAAGACTGGGAGGAAGTGAATGAAAAAAAATGATTGAGATATGGCAGTTACGTCCCAGTACTTCTTCGGACAGGATAAGGCACCAAGGGCGGCGTAGAATCCTTGTGCTGATGAGTCTTAAGAGTACGAGGATCAAAAATGAAGTAACCTAAAATGACAAGGACGGAGTTTTTATCTGTGTGTGGGCTCAAGAGATGGCTAAAGATAACTGGAGGTAGTCTAGTTTCCATCCTTGGATTCACTCTCTGTCATTCAATCAGTTCGTTTCTCTGTGATGATTGATTTTTCGATTGCGTTTTATGATTCGGTCGGGTGAGGAGATTATTTATTCGATCTTCTCTGCTCTGCTATCTAGCATCCCTCGACTGAGCAATGCAGATTTTATGTCCTTTGTCCACTTCTCCAGTCTCCTCCAGAAATTCGTACGCGAAGAACTGATCCGTTCCTGCTTGAAGCGCGAGACCTAACAGACACAAAAGGCAAAACAGGGCCAAACAATCCTCGCCTCTCCTGACTCTGTCATAAACAGCGATGGCGCATCGAAGAGCACAGTCCGAACCCAAGTTGTCTAGTTCGCCCTCTCCCCAGTCTAAAACTCCTTTCCGTTGACGCCATATTTGCATTCAAAGGACAAAGTCATGAACAGTTGAACAAGCAGTTCTGTTGATCTCGGGTCCCACAATCCAGAACACAACGCCAAAGGGGATTCGATGAGTCGGGACGAGGAAGCAGGACCAAGGACAAAACTCGCGGAACAAGTCGTGAACATTGGCCAGACGGTTGGTTCATGTGGCGACCCTGTTCTCTCCGAAAGCCCGAAGGCGCGGAAACTCGTCGGAACCCCACATTGGCTCCTTGGTTCCAATCCAACCCCACGACCAGTTGACGAGATGTGACCATGTGAACAGCTGAACCTTTCCGATTCTTTCCAGGTCGCCCTTCCGATCTTCGAACCAGAACCTGGGGGAGGAGACACGCCTAGAGGGCAGATCTCTCCTCACTGACATGGTTGTGGTTGGTTTTTCTTTTCGTATGCGCATCATACACCCCTCCGCGTTTATCCCGCCAGCTCCAATCCCCCCTCCCCCCGAGCTTTGATATGCGATGTCTCTTCGGCGCACGAATGCAAAAGCCGAAGCTCGACCGCAGTATCTCACATCGGCTGTGTTGTACCCTTCCCGATCAACTGCACAGCATCGACCTTTCCAAGAGTGTCTCAAAAGTAATCGGCTTAGTGTAGTTGTTTACGACCAGACGTCTTCCTGGTACACTCCACTGCTGCGCATGCTCTTGACCACTTGTTCGGCCTTCTTCTCATCCACTCCTCGCTCAGCAGCAATGATCTGAGCAAGGACTTCGTTGACTTCGCGAGCCATGTGAGCAGCATCACCACAGACGTAGAAATTAGCCTTCTGCTGCAGCAGATCATTGACCAGTTTCGCATTTTCTTTGAGCTGGTGTTGAACGTAGACCTTCTTCGAAGTCTCGCGAGAGAATGCGTTGAAGATGGTCAATTTGTCGCCCAAGACCTTCTTGTATTCCTGAAACATTCGGTTAGCAATCAAGCCCATGAACCAGATGAACAAAGTGTGAACTCACATCCCACTCGTCCTTGTAAAGCCAGTCTTCCGTCGATCGACGGCAGCCGTAGAAGAGTACCGTATGTCCGACTTCTTCACCTCTCTTGGCTTGCTCTACACGTTCTTGCACAAAACCTCGGAAAGGAGCGACACCGGTACCTGGACCGACCATGATGATGGGTTTGCTGGGATTTGAAGGCAGTTTGAAGTTGGAGTGACGCACATGAACCGGGACATGGATGCCATCGTACTTGTTGCGGGGCCCAGTAATGGCGTAGGTCAGACCGTGAGGTGATGGATCGGGTTCGCCGTTCTGCTTCTGCTTCAGAGCCAACAGATAGTTGGTAGTGACACCTTTGACAATGTGACCAGCACCGGGAACGCGGATCGATTCTACCACTGCAGTAATGGAGATCTTATCCGGCTGAACCAGTGAAGACGAAGAAATGGAGTAATAACGAGGTTGCAGCTTGTTGAGACCCTCAACAAGGCAAGAGAACGGGACGGCGGACCAAGGGCCAGGGTGAACAGCCGAGACAGCCTGGGCAATGTTCAACATCTGCGAGGCGACCTTTTCCTTGAAATAGTCGGCATCGGAACCCAGTTTCGCCATCTCCTTCTTTGCTTCCTCGTTGGGAGCAAAGGCGGCCAAGGTGGACAAGAACTGACGAGAAACAGGGGCACAGATTTCCATATGATAGCGAACAGCAGCGTCGTAAGTCGTTGGAGTCGGGAACGGCACCTTGGCGGTAGCGTCCATACCCTTCATGCTGATAACCTTGTGTCTCTTCTCTTCCAGACCAAAAGTCTTGATCAAGCGATCCACTTCCAAGCCTGCGTTCGTGGGCCAGACTGCGATATGGTCGCCGGTGGTGTAAGAGATGCCAGAACCAGACACGTCGATCTCGCAATGCAGGCAGTTTCGATCCTTGACCGTGAATAATTCCCTCGACTCGGCAATCGGGGCAATGAACGGGTTGTGAGCATTATAGGGGCCCTTCTGAGAGCCTTCGAGGTGGTTCTTGTTGGGCTCTCCCAGATAAACAGTGTCACTTTCTGGGGACAAATCATCTCTCTCTTCCACGCTGAAGACTGGTTCGTAGACGGCTTCACGTTCTTCCAGGCCCATTTTCTCGGCCAGAGCAGCCCACATGGGTTCTTTCCAGGCCAAAAAGTCTTCTTCCATGGTACCTGCGCCGTCGTCTCCTTCGCCCGCAGCACCGATTCTCTCCGCGCCCAACTTGGTCAAGATCTTGTCCAAATTGCGAACCATGGAGTTGTAGTGCTCGTACGTGTTATTGCCGAGGCCAAACGCGACATATTTGAGCTTACTCAGGGGCTTATCTTCAGAGCCTTCGGAGAAGGAAGGAGGATCCTGGTTCATGAATTCCCAGAATTCGACTGCGTTGTCGGTCGGTTCACCCTCGCCATAGGTGGCCATGACGAAGAAGGCAACTTTGTCCTCGGGGAATGTGTCTAGATTTTCATAGTCGTAGTCTTCCAGGTCCGCAGTCATTGTGCTCAACCCAAACCGAGCGTGACCTTCTTTTGCCAGACGGGAGGCATAATCCTCGGCAGTACCGGTCTGGGAGCCATAGAAGATGACGCAGTTCTTGCCCGACTCCTCCATCTTCTCGAGGATGTTGCGGGAGCCCTTCTTGGAAGCGCTGCCATTGAGGGCAGAGGTAGCGTAGGGGTCCTTGGGGACGCCCCAATAGGTGCCTTTGGTGAAGTAGGCGATGCTGCCGAGAAGCAGCAAGACGAGGACAACAATGTCCAGGGTGTCGACCTGAGCCATGGTGGGGATTTTGATGGGATGAGGCTCAGTGGACATGAGGTCTGCGAGTTGGTTCGAAAAGTGTAAAAAGAGGATGTCCTAAAGAAGCAGAGCGACGCTGCTTATATACGACCGCAGCCGCTCAATGGTGAGCAATTGGACAGCGTGGAGATACGGGCCTCGACGGGCACCCAACGGGTACTTGGGGGGCCGCGCGAACTGTGTGGCCTGATGTGGCCAAGATTACGGTGTGCAGAAGTGCAGATGTGCAGGTGTGCAGGTGCGCCGGGTGTGCACCTGGGTTGTTGGGTGCCTTGGTGGGGTAGACTGCGCAGGCGCTGTGTTTCCTCTTTTTTGTTTTCGCCTTGAATGTGTGGGCTGGGCGTCGCGTTACAGCTGGGAGATGGGGGGGCAGAGGGCGAGGGCGAGGGCAGTGTACGGTTCGGATGGAGGCCAATCAGTCGGTATGGCGGATGGCAGATGGGGCTAATTGATGAGGGCCTTATCGGGGGTGGTTCGTCGCCGTCGGAAATGGAAACCTTTCACAGAATTTCTCACTTGGGCTTTTGGGCAAAGAGGTCTTTCTGACTTGGACAAGTACAAAAGTGTAGCGTGAGAGAAGTTGAGGGTGAGCAAGCGCAGGTTTTTAAACCAAGTCTAGGACGTCCAGGATCAAAGCAGTGCGAGCAGACCGGCAATTGGGAGAATCGAGGAAATATAGAGGATCTGGGGTCTGGAGAAAGTGGCCTTCTAGGTTGCAGCGGCAAAGCGAGGTCGCGGAATTATTTGGTGGGTTCGGGCGAAGAATCACGGCTTTGCGCGCGATGCTCAGTGGCTCTGGTGGCTATGCGGCACCCGTCCTTTGTGGTGACTGGGCGACTGCCGGAAACAAACAATGGGCGGGATGAATGTTCGGAATTGGGAGAGCGAGGGAGAGCGAGAGCCTTGTGAGTCCCCCAGTAGGAATGTCGGGTTGTGAAGGACGGCAGTTGAAGTTTTTGGGCGGAGCGAAGAATGAAGAACAACAGCGAAGACAACACGGTAGCACTCTGAGGGGGATGCTGTTCTTCTTATTTCTATCCTCATCCAGAGATAGATCCGTCCCTTGGATACTACCCGATGTTCTCTACCGACGATGCCTACCTAGGTAATCATGGTGGGCTGGTGGCCTCTGACTGTGAATCTGAATGCAAGAATATAGAGAGTACCGAGTACTTTATTGTGCCTACCTAGGGACCTAGGGTATCTAACAGGGTCCGGGTCTGTGTGGGTTCATGTGGTGGCAACCCTTTTCTTACCTGTGCTGGCGGCCGGCCGCCCTCGCCGCCATCTCTTGCGAGTCTTCTCCCCACATCCCACGCATCTCCCACTGACACAGCATAACCAATTACCTCTTTCAAGGTTTACCTAAGCTACTCAGCACAGTCAGCACCACCCAAGCACAATATGAGAAGACGCCCTGGGTACAACACTCTCATACTACACGAGGCTCTTTTGCGGATGACGCTTATCCTACCCTGTAGCCGCCGCCGCCGTGGCAGGGGAAATCTTTACACCGCATCCAGCCAGGCAACCCTCAATTGTTCCCTCGTATACAAGGTACGAGGTACTAGTATCGTCTCCATGTCTTACGAGCCTATCGCAATCCCATTCGGACTACTCCGTGTGTCTCGTATCTACCAATGAGTCAGCCCAAAAATAACTTCGAAACATGGGCCCAGAAATTGCGCACAATGCACATAATACGGGGATCGCCTCTGAGGTGTCAATCTTTTGGGTCTCAGCAGGAGAGTGGGAAATGAATAACCACCATTTGGCGCCCAGTGCGAGTCAGCCAGGACTGTGATGATGAGACCGCCAATATCGCACGATGTGCTTGCAGTCCGCCTACAGTCCGCCTACAAGCACATCACGCTTCCCTTTTAGCTAGTTTCGTTTCCATGGTGCGGGATATCTATTGGTGTGCCTGGCTTGTAGACCGACTCAAACCGTTAAGAGTCGTCAGGCTGGCCTCATCTGATTCGACCACATGTGCCTTGTGACAGCGAATCGCACAGTGTAGCACATACAAGCCGGCCAATTTGTCGACAGTGACTGTCTTTTCGCAAACCGTCCTACACCCACGCTAGACAACAGAGGGCACTTATAGAATAACCAATGCAGCTCTCACTCTACCTGATTTCCTTTCTTCTCATCTCGTAGATGTCCTCCAGGATTGAGGGGCCTTTTTATGTGGATGTGATTGGTGGACATTCCTCGTTTGTACCTCTCCTTCGTCGCGGGCGATTAAAATTCCAACTTCAACCACAACTCATTACAGTCTTTCCTGTCTCTACACTCTGTACACTGCCTCCCACACCTTGCGCTATTCGGCTCAGAAGCAATGACGCAGTCTCTGCCCTCTCTTCAACGTCGGCCAACAGGGGCGCACAATGTTGCATAACCGTGAGTGCCAATTCGGAATCCTTCCGCTGCCGTTCAAACGATCCAACCCTCAATTCTCCCTCTCCACACGCCTGCAAGCTTTGCCCACGATCGATGCTCTGCGTCAAGATGAGCCCGGCAATGAGCACATGACCCCGTTCTAACCGTGTCCAATGCTATCAGATGCTCAGTCCGCTTCCAACGAGCCCTCCGTCTTCCCCCTCGATGGCCCCGGACCTGAACAGGTTTCCCAACCCTTGCCGAATGGCCGTCCACAACTCGCTCCCCCGATCCATACCAGAGACCCATCTGTGACGAGAGGCAGGCCTCAACAACCCGCGACGCAGGCATATCCTCCCAGTATCGCGGCTTCATCGCGTTCAGGCTCGGTGCAGCCCCAACCACATGGTTCAGAGTCATCTGTGAGCTCAAGAGGTGGATCCACAATCGATACCGCCCTGCAGAGGCGAACGTCAAACAGTTATGGCCATCACCGCCAGACATCCGTCATACATGGCCTGCAGCACTCCAGAAGCCCCAGCTTCAACTCTCCCTCAACCGCAAGCCCCCTAACCCCGGACTCATTGCTGAGCGCCCCCAGCTATGGGAGGTATCCGAATGCGAACCGACGCGGTCAGTACTCGAGTGCAGAGAACACCTCGGCCCACACCAGTCCAGTTTCCCCGTATCAAGGGCATACGCAAGGGCATTCCATTGATTCCCTGATCGATGGTGGCTCCTCGGTGCATGAGTCTGCTCCCTCCCAGCACAGGAGGCGCAAGGAGCAGTCGCGAACAAGACGTGGCCAGCAGGGTCATGCATATCACTCGTCCAGCACCCACCAGCAATCGGAACCGCGCACTCCGGGTGAATACGCCCTCTACCATCTTTTCCATGCATTTGTGGTGCGGGCTGACCACAGAATCAATCACTGCCTTACCCTTCTGGACAATGCTGTTGCGCCTGTGGAGCAAGCCTGTGGCCCGGGCGTTGACGTCGGGTTTGATCAATTGATAGCTTCGCTTGGACACATCTCTCGTCAAGGTCCAAAGCCTCTGGTGGATTCTTTGATGCTCTGGCGCAAAGGAAAGGGTGATGCCGCGGCCAGTTTGAAGAAGCAGGTCTATCAGCAGAGACTGCAGATGGGCCTGACCAATTCGTCTCTTCCTCCTTCACTGCCCAGACGTCATACAGAACCTCTTCAAGTTTTAGGAGAGAATGGTCTCCCACAGGCTGGCACCGAACAGAGTGCTTCCACGGAAGATGATCTTACGCAGGACTATCTGCTGGCAGATCGCCGCGCTACGATTTCGGTTTATATCCTCTGCCGAGTCCTGATCGCAATTTTTGAACAGAGCAGCCTGGCTGCGATAACCCAAGATCTGGCCAACAAGCTGGTGGACATCTTATTCACCCAGATAAGGGAGGTCGAACCTTCACAGATTTTGTCTTCGACCATCCGACTTGCCAATTGGAAGATCTATGGGGAGGTCTTAGGTCACATGAGTCGCCTCGACTTTGTCAATGTCACGTTCCGGTTTACCCAGCAACTTGAACAGTGGCAACTGGATTTCTCAAAAAGCCCGGGGACTGCCACAGCCAGAGACATCGAATCTCGTCTGGAATTACTCCTGCTGGGTATGCGCCATCTCCATATCTCTGTGGCGAGAGAAGCCGCCCCTAGTGTCGCCGAATTCTTGAGGACTCTTGCCGCCCTGTTCTCTGATGCACATGGACCTCGTGTGAAGCAAGCATATTGCCAGCTGTTCGAGCGGATGCTCACGGCCGTGGCAAGTAATCCCGAGTATTTTCAGACCCTGCCGAAATGGAAAGACTTCATAGAGATTGTCAACTCACGCCTAGGAAATATGTTGGTCAAGGTTCGTCATTGGAATACTGGCTTTCCGGTGTCGATTCTGCTCATGTGCGTTTCGCCTATTGAGGTGTTCTCCACGCAGTGGCTGCCAATGATCTCGAACCTGGCCCCAAAACTCAAAGATCGGTCGACACGAGCTTTGGCTTTGCAAGCAATCTGCCAGCTGGTCTGGACGTACCTCACACGGGTCACAGAAACCACCCAGGTCAAATTGCGTCGTTTGGAAGACATCATCAAAATCACAATTCCGCAAGGGAGAAAGACTCATGTTGTCTCAGAGCCATCTACCGCCGCCCCCTTAGTCCAGTTCATCAGAATCATCGGCTTTGCCGCTCAAGACCTCTGCTTCCGTTCAATTATCTTTCCCCTTCTCCATTATGACATGTTCCAAACGAGTCGAAGCCTCAAGATCGAAAACATGGAGCCAGAACGAATGGTTATTGGCATACGAGCGTTTCTCGCCGTCATGGCCGATTTGGAGAAGGATAGCACAAGCGGCCCTCCATTCCCTGCCTTCACCGGTCAATCGCAGAGTGCCGATGGTCTACCGTCCTCGCCCGGGAGCAGGAGGACTAGCCTGGGGATTGATTCACCGCTCCGACCGCGATTTGAAGATGAGGATCCCTCTTCGTTGCCAGTCAATACGGCCATCTTGGACGAAAACGCCAAGCAATACTATTTGCAGTTCTGTCAGATCTTGGGCAAGATCACGATCCTCTGCGACAACACTTTCGGCGGACAAGCTACGTTGAATGAGAAGCTGTCCTCAACGAGCGTGACTCCCAAGACTCCTCTCGCTGATGCCTTCACGTTAACTCGTGGCCAAGAGGGAACGGCTACAGACCAGCGCCAATTGTACTACGAACTGCTTCATGTCGCGATTCAAGCTCTTCCCCGCTGCTTCACCGATCATATTCCTTTAAGCCCTCTGATCAACCTTCTGTGCACGGGCTCTGCTCATGTACAAGCCAACATAGCAGCATCTGCCACACAATCTCTGAAAGCAATTGCAAAGCAGGGTCACGCTCAAGCTGTAGCAATCGCCTTTCCACGTTTCATTTTCCACTATGACTCCCAGTATTCTACAATGTCCGACGAGGGACGTCTTGGGCCGGCGCATATTGAGGCGACGTTGACGCTTTATCTTGAATTGCTACAAATCTGGACAGAGCAGCTCAAGCAAAAGGCAATGGCAAGCTCTTCAGAAACAAGAGATCGTTCAATCCCAGGGTCCCACCGAGCCTTGCAAATGGAACTCACAAATGTCATCCCGCATGTGGATGAAATCGAAGCCTATGGATTGTTCTTCCTTTGTTCGCAGTCTCGGCGTGTGAGAGCATTCGCTATCAAGGTTCTCCGTCTTGTCATCCAATTTGATTCGGTCCTCGGTCAAGAAGTACCGTCTAGAATCATAAAACTTCTTGAAGGCCAGTCATCAACAATTCTGGACCTACAAGAAGATGCGCTCAACGTCGCAGAACGCAGCCGACTGCAAAAGGACAAGCGTACTGGACCTGGCCAAAGCACGCTGATTGAGATTTGCAGCTCTGAAGTGTCATATGATTCAACCCTCTGGTTCAAGGCGTTTCCCAACCTGATCCGCGTTGTTTTTGATGCATGCCCAAATGCCATCGCCCTATGCCGTGGGACAGTCACGGACAGATTGATGATGATGCAGAATGATATTGAGGCCTTTTCAGAGACGACTGGTGCAAATGCGGCTGTACTCGAGTATCGCATGCAAGGACGAAGCTCGGCAACGTCTGCTGAAGTACTCTTCGAGCAGTGGAAGTTATATTTGATCATGGCCTGCGTCACTCTAAGCTCTCCCGGGGGCCAGTCTCGGAGCCAGCTTGCCGATGCTGCTGCACACTCGAGGAAAACTTCCAAGAGTACCGCAACAGCACAGGACAAGATGAGTTCTGCTCGGGCGTTGTTCTCTGCCATCATTCCAATGCTTGGTGCTGCCCCCGACGCTATTCGCGATGCGGTGGTCTCTGCTCTTGGCTCCATCAACCGCAAACTTTGCCGTACACTTCTCGAATCGCTGCAGTATGCCGTGATCAAGTGCAACGATGAGGCGAAGGCGAGAATCAATCATCAGAGAACTCCAAGTAGCCCACAGCGATCTCAGCAGACTGAACGACTGCGGACCGAGGTTACACATGTATACAAGCTCACAGCGGCCTTTTTACGACATGAGGACATCTACGAAGACGACTGGATCCTGCATAACCTTGTCAATTACACGAGGGATCTGCGCATCTTTCTGAGCGATACTGATGTACAGAATGATTGGCGATTCCAAAAATTGCGATACCATTTCTGCGGTTTGGTGGAGGAGGTCTTCGAAGGCGTGAACAGATCAAAGGCGCCATCCCGCTGGATGCCTTTCGAGTCGAGGAAGTCGGCATTTGCCTTGATGGAAGACTGGTGCGGCTACTCTGCAGAGCGGAATTTGATGGATCCTAGTCAAGGCCATACCCGCGATTTGCATGATCGGATGAACGCAAGTGCTGCCCTTGAGAAAGAGAAGAACAACTTGAGAGTAGCCGCTCTCAGCGCAATGGCGACCTTGTGCGCTGGCCCGATCAGCATCAAAACTGACAGCAATGCGATCCTGTCATTCAATCTCCAACGAATGCTGTCATGGATTGATACTATCTTCGCAACCAGCAACCATAAGATGCATACCATAGGGCGACGAGCACTTAAACTCCTCCTCATGCACAATCCAGAACATCTTGTGCTTGCAGAACATGCTATCGAACAATGCTACAGGACCGAGTCTTCAATGGCGTTGGAAAGCTATTTCAGTGTGGTTTCTGAGGTTCTCATTCAACAGCCGGAGTATCCTTTGGCCTTTTGGAAAATTCTCAGCATCATTGTGTTCACTTTGGGAAATGAAAATCGTGAAATCAGAATGCAGTCGGCGCATCTGATCCGCACTCTAGATGAGCGCCAACACAAGAGCACCAACCTTCAAGAGTTTGACATCAGCATTTCCGACAAGACGCGTGCTGTGTACAAACTGGCTCAATTCGAATACTCCAAAAGACTCGCCAAGGCCAACTCAGATATCGCATTCATGATCTTCTCCGAGTTTTCGCTCCATTACAAATCTGCGCGGAACGATCATCAGCGTAATATGGTAGTCGCCATCTTACCGTGGTTGCAAACACTCGAGCTTCAGGTCGACCCGGAGACGGGAACTCCCACTGCCGCCTCGTATATGCTTCTGGCAAACATGTTCGAGATAACGATTTGCTCGAGCAGCGCGATGCACAACGAAGTGCAAGCCTTGTGGCAGGCTCTGTCAACCGGACCTCACGCGGGAAATGTGCAATTGATCCTTGACTTTATTATTTACCTTTCGCTCGATCGCCGCGATCAGAACTTTGTCGAATACGCCAAGCAAATTGTCGTATACCTGTCTTCCACTCCTGCCGGTTCACGAGTGCTGGAATTTTTCATGTTGCAACTGACTCCGAAGAACATGGTCAATGACACAAAGCATGCTGATGTAGTGATGCCTGATACGAGGAACCTTCCCTATGTTGCTGATCTGACTTCTCTATTGCCCATGGGCAACAAACAGGTATGTTAGCCTTGGTATTCTGCAGAATTTCATACTGACGAGTCCATAGGTTGGTCTTTCTTTGGGTCAAGTCTCCGTGATTTTCCTAGTCGACCTCATGGTCACTCCGGTAACTTTGGCCAAAGATGAGGCGATCAAGCTCATTCACACAGTCCTTATCCTTTGGGACCACTACACAACGTCAGTTCAGGAACAGGCGAGAGAGATGCTGGTCCACCTTGTTCACGAGTTGGTTACCACAAAGATTGACTCGCAGATCCTTATTTCTGCCAAGTCCAGCATTGAAAGTCTTGTTGCGGCCATTCGAAGCAACAGTTCTCGGATAAGCTGGTCTTACGAGAGCAACACGAGAAAAGACGAAGATGATGGCGCTAGCAGAGTCCCGCAGGCAATGGGGGTCCTCACCTCAGAAGTTGTCAACATCTTCAACCTCGCGTTTGACAACTTCAGCGACAGCTGGGCCAAAGAAGCGTTGCACTGGGCCTCTATCTGTCCAGTCCGGCATTTGGCATGTCGGTCATTTCAAGTATTTCGCTGCATCTCTGTCAGCCTCGATGCTAGGATGCTTGCCGATATGCTTGCTCGACTTTCTAACACAATTGCCGACGAGCAGACGGACTATCAAACTTTTTCGATGGAGATCCTGACGACACTTAAAGTCATCATCGGAGCTCTGGAGCCCAAGAATCTCCTGCGATATCCGCAGCTCTTCTGGACGACATGCGCTTGTCTCAATACCATTCATGAGCGAGAATTCTATGAGACCTTGGGAATGCTCGAGAAATTCCTCGACAAATTGGATTTGTCCGCTCCGGATGTCACGGAGGCTATAATGAAGGGTCTGCCCGGAAAGTGGGATGGTGGTTTTGAGGGACTGCAATCACTCCTCTACAAAGGGCTGAAGTCTGCCGACAGCTTAGACAAGACTCTTTTCATTCTTCACAAGCTCGCAGAGCTGCCAGACTGCCAACTAGTCGGAAACGACAATCGTCTTCTCTACTGTGTCCTGGCAAACCTGCCACGATGGCTTCGAAACTTTGACCTGGACGATACCGAGCCTATGGCGATAGCTTCTGCACAAAGACTAGCAAAAGTGGCAAGTGCCGCCGGCCATGATCTTCTCTCGGCCTGTCTTGGACGCTTCGCCAACAACGAAATGACATCAAGTCAGGAGATGCTCAGCACAACCATTCAAGCCATGAAGGCAGCGTACTTCCCTGCATGTGATGCCCGAACCTTGATCTTCATGATCGGACTGTTAACCAACAAGACACCATGGTTCCGAGTCAAGCTGATGGACATTCTGTGCGAACTGATCCCGATTGTGAACATGAAAAGTCATGCCATCACAACGCATGGGCCGGATCTTATCTCTCCGTTACTGAGGCTATTGCAGACTGAGCATTGCACTCAGGCTCTGGAGGTGATGGATTATATCATGGAAGTTGCAGCTACGCCCATGGAAAAGCATCACATGCGTATGAGCATGGCTTCTGGTTCAGCAAAGGCTATCAGAAAAGAGTATGAACGGACACAGAGCCTTTACGGGATCCCTCACTCATCCGGCTGGTCTATCCCGACGCCTGCGATATATTCTAGCTTGACTAGGCACAATGTCCATGCCGTCTTCTATACATGTGGAGACTCGGAGTTCTCGAACGATCAAGACACCACCACTCCAGACGTTGAGTTCCAAGGTGACGATGGCTACACGGATTCATACTTCCCGCCTCAGAGTCGTGCCGAAACCATCCGGTCACTGGAAGTCGCGGCAGATGCCAATGTGAGTGACCTGGTCAACACACTTGACAGCCTCGATGATTTCTTTGACGACGTCGATGGTGACGACGTTCTGACTCCAACCGGAGCCAGTCAGCTTGGAGTCTCCGCAATCACCATTCCCACTCTTACTGAACAGAGCACGGCATTGTACGACGAGCAGACAGCTCCGATTCTTCGTCAGAGTCTGGCGCGGACTGCGTCGACAACGACGGTACAGGATGGATTTACCGAAGCCGGGCCCCTTCCTGGCATCAACCATCGAACTCAGCCCAGTCTCTCTTCTCCCCACTCTAATGCAGCTACACAATCATCCTTCTCCTCGATCGACGAGTTGGGAGGCCCAGGCCCTTCATTACCTAGTTCAACAAAGAAGCCAATACTCCAGAGCGTAATCAACCCAGTCAACTACACTCGACCTGGGCTTCACGCCAGATCAATCACCTCTCCAGCCAACCAATTTCCGGTGTCGCAACCAACTTCAAGTGGAATGGCTCCCATGACTGAAGGTGCTTCACTCAGGTCTCAGGATGATTATGCTGATCAGTATGATGAGGCTATTCTGTCGGATGGAGAGAACAGCCCTTTTCCCTCGCTGAGCATGACAATATCGAACCAGACCAAATCTTTGTCAGGGCCAGGGCCGTCCGAATTTCAGACAACCCCCGTTTCTGCAACCGAGAGTGGAGGCGCGTTCAGCCTGCAAGGAATGCGACGAGGCATGCGACGTCTCACAGGCGGTAAGAGTGAAAGCCAAAAAGAGAAGGAGAAGATCAAAGATTTGGCACGCTTACGCGCGCAATCTGGGGGCCAGGGTCAAGTGACTGCGGCGTTGCAGAGTCCCAGGGTTCCAAGAGTCCCTCCGGAGTATCTCAACGCTCCCAATACGAGCGGAGTCAGCCCAACCTCGAGCCCTGGAATTTGAGGGCATATGGGAATGAGATTTCTTTTTCGAATTTCCGTTTCTTTCAGCACGACGACGATACCCATAATAGAGCATCATGGAGCATGACAGCAGTATCATCGGCGTTTGTGAGCATTTCTCGGCGACGATATGTCTGTGTACCATATACAAAGGGTGTTCTCGAAAGCGAAGACAAAAAGCTAAGTTTGTATATTAGTTTAGCAAATGCAGGCGCCCAAGGAGGATATGTACCACCAAAAAAGGGCTTTCGACCTCGTCAGAGATTCTCATTTTGTTCAAACTCAATCTATACTGTTTTTCTTTTGTTTTGATTGACGGTTCGCGGCGGTCCTCACGAATTGCCCCAGACATGTCAACGGCGCACTGACCACCACCAGCATTCCTATTCCTACATTCCGGCCACAGACCCAAACAGCAGAGCGAGCCGATGCGCGTCTCCAGACTGTTTCTATCCGGGAAATAGAGGTGAGTGAAGCAGGACACGAGGTGGAGGCGACAAAGATGCAGCTTACGAAGTGCGTTATGTTAGACCACATCCTGCTAGTCCTGTATAGCTTTATAGCGGTGTCTACGGCGCAATCAGGTCAGGATTTCGGTATCACATCAGAATCCCCAATGCTCACTGTCTTGCAGTCTCAACGTTGCCCAACGGTTGTTACATTACCTCGTCAATTGTCTACGGGAACACCACCGGGTCAAACACTGTGACCACCACCAGCCAGGACCAGACAATCATATCCACGAGCTCTTCAGCTTCTACATCAAGCTTTAGCAATGGCGCATCGTCATTCTCCTCCACAATTGCGCCCTCCAATACCTTCAGCACAACGAGTCCCACGTTGCCAACCACAACAGCCTCGTCTCCAACGTCCAGCCCCTTTGTGATCACTGTCAGTGGTATCGGCAATAAACTAAGAGCTCGCGCAGTGGAGTTTTTGACGTTCGAAGGAATTTATGCTTATCTCTCCCCTAACGAGGACCTTGCTGCTGTTTTCGTCCTTACCATGGATGGCCAGTTGCAAGTCGGGAACGCCACCGTCGGCACCAACGGAAACAGAAGCGCCTTGCCTCTCATGCAATTCTCCGGGGTGACCCAGCCAAGTGGATATATATGGTCTTTCAACGCCACAAATCTGATATTTGGAAATACCATATTCTCGGTGATTCCTGACGGGCTGTTGTTTGCCGATTTTCCTGGCAGTCAGCCGCCCGAGGGAGCTGTGCAAGTTGGCATGGCGGCTGAGTTCGTGGATGTCTCAACCTCGAGCTCGAGCCTAGCCACTTTGACGAGCACCAGCTCGACTTCTATAGAGAGCATAAGTATTCTGGTGACAACTCCGAGCACAGCCGAGCAACAGACGAGCGAGAGTACTCAATCGACTCCTGGAAGCTCCTTGACAACCAATCAAGTCAGCTCTTCTGTCGCCAGCACAGAGTCAGGTCCTCCCTCTGATACGACAACGACGACGATAGAAGCCACATCTGGGTCTTTACAATCCACGGAAATAACATACACCAGCACAAGCGCCTCATCATTGACGACGCAGGAGACTTCTACAACTTTGGCGTCTCAGTCCTCGGCTCAGATTTCAAGCTCCATTTTGTCCATACTGCCCGAGTCAACGACCTCATCCTCTCTGCAATTGTCTCTTTCAGTCGAAACAAGCAGCACAACGGTTTCAAATGACTTCACCTCGTCGCCTTCCAGCCAGACTACGAATGCTCAACCTAGCCCAACGACGTCCTCGTCGAGCACGACCATCGTGGCCACCACGGAGGGTGCCTCTCCATCCAGTCCAATGTCCACGCATTCTTCCTTAGCAACGACAGCCTCACCGAGTGCTACGCTTTCATTTTCAATCAGTGCATCTGCAAGCCAATCTCCAAGCTTGTCATCTAGTGTGACGACGCCAACAACCACGTTAGCAACTCCAACATCCCAGTCTACAACCAACAGTCCATCCGGGCAGGGCACTTCCCGCTCGGCTTCTACCTCTTCGTCTTCAACCACCATCACAACCACCACAAGCAAGCCGAGCCCCACAAGCTCTTACACAGTGTCAACGACCATATCCACCAGCGTCTCACCTACACCCTCTTCTTCCCTCACCCTAAGCAGCACATCATCTTCAACTCCCATACCCAGCCCCTACCCAGCCAAACGCGGCCTGGTCTACACCAACGTCACAACCCTCGACTTCTACCCGCCTCCCTCTCCTTACATTTCCTGGTCCTACAATTACTACTCCCTCCCCAACGCCAGCGACAACGTCGGGCCCTATCCATCAAGCCAATACCGCTTCATCCCGCTCTTGTACAACGACGCCGACTCCCTGACGAGCATTTGGCCCGCGAACGTCAATTTCTCCATTGCAAACTACGGCACCGACGCCATCTTCGGGTTCAATGAGCCGGACGCAAACTTCAACGGCCAGTCCAGTAACATGCCCGTGGCGGAATCCGTACAGGGGTACGTGAACTTCATGCAACCCTTCGCCGGGCGGGTCAAGATCGGTGCCCCCGCCGTGACCAACACGGGCGGCGGATTGACCTACCTCGCACAATTCCTGGGCAACGCCACCCAGTTGAACCTGACGATCGACTTTTTGAACATCCACTGGTACGCCTCGCCCTACAACATCGACTACTTTGAGAGCTACCTCCTCCAGACGTATAACCTGTCCCTCCAGTACTTCCCGGACGCGCCCGTCCCCGTCTGGGTCACGGAGTTCGGCATGGACATGGACAACTACGACCAAAACACCACGGTCCAGTTCCTCAAGAACGCCTCCAGCTTCATGGACGACACCTTCTGGGTCGAGCGGTACGCCTGGTTCGGCAACTTTGCGGGCGGGTATACCAGCTACGGCGCCCCGACCACGGATATGCTCCTCAACGTCGACGGCAGTGCGCTGGGCGTGTTGGGCGAGGTGTGGTATACGTATAACGGGACGAATTAGGGTGTTGATGATGAGCAAAGGGGAGAGAGAGAGGAGAAGAAAAGGATGGAGTAGGCCAGCTATATCACCGTAGTAGGGTGTGGATGGGATGGGTTATATTGATCTTATAATCGTGGACTGCGCAGTATTCCCAATCAGATACATTTCTAGCACCGCTCAAACACACGGTACAGGCCCTTCAAATTGGCCACCTCGACGACACCTTTCAACATTCCTTGCGTCGCGACGATTCTTGACCGGAACGCAGGGAAGAGCACGTGCTCTAGTGCGTATTCGAGTTCTGTCCTCCTTTTCTCCGTAGCTTCGTCGACGTCGTCTCTGCTGTTCTTGTTGGTATCGTCGTCTTGCAGATCTTCAGGTGCATGTGTATATCGCCTGTCACCTTCTGGCTTGTTTCTGACATCTTGTACATCTTCATCGTCAACATCAGCTTCTCCCTCCTGCTTGTCCTTGCTTGGGTCCTTGACCGTACGCGGTTGTGGTCTAGGCGTTGGCAGCATCTCCGGCACGTAAAAGCTCGCCAACTCCCTCAAAAAGGTACGAAAACACCCTTCCTCTTCCGTCCAATCCACAAAAGGCCCCAACCTCAACAAGAAAGTGGGTAGCTTGGCCATGCATGGTGTATACCCTTTCAGCAGCAGTGGTATCGTCTGCAAATGACCGTCGTCGGATATCTCGAGGGAGAAATATTCCGCTAGCATGGCTTTGCTTTTCATGAGTTGGTCATATACCTTGTCTACGACTTGGCTTTTGTTCAGCCCTGTGCAAGTCGGATCAGTTGAGATTTGATGCTCTGCTGCTACTTCGAGAAGCTCCTTCAGGTTAGGCGCAGGCTCGAACTGGATGAGCCCGAAATTGCCAAAGTCGGTCAACCCGACCTGATAGAAGAATTCGTTACAGGTCATGCCGTAATCGATGAGGTACAGTTTGACGCCAGACTGGATGGCTGCGAGTCTTCTGTTGCTGTCCACAATACCGACATAGGTTAGAGAGGCGAATACTTCGGTCAGACCATTGTGCATTGCATCACGGACTTCAGCACGGAGATTTTTCACGGATGTGAGGCGTATTTGGATTTGTTCTCGATCGGTGGTTGCGTACCGTATACCGGCAGTTGCCAATGTTTCGTCTTGAGAGGTTGAACTTGTCAAGGCTGGCGGAAGCATTGAAGTGATTTTTCGCATTTTGGAGTCGGTGCGTACTAAATTGTTTTCATAAGGCTTTTTAGAAATTGAGGTCCGTCTTGAAGTACTCTCGTCTGCAGCAGCTGTTTGATCTCCAGCCAGAGTCCTTGGATTAATTGGCGTCATCGGTGTGACTCCAGGCAGGAGTGTCTGTGTCTTGAAAGTCCTGCTCGTATCGACTTTTGCCAGATTTTCCCGGATGTTTGCACAAACCAATTCGATAATCTCGTCCTCGTTTAAGAAATGGACTTCTCGCTTAGTGGGATGTACATTGACATCAACTCGGGCAGGGTCAATATCCAGACTGAGGTAGACAAATGGGTGTCCACCTTTGGGAAGGAATAACTGATATGTCTGCTCGATAGCTTTCTTGACGGCTGATGACTCGACTGACCGATTGTTAATGAAGAGGAGTATCACCGTCCGTTTGGAACTGTAATTAGCATTGGTAGCATAGCCCGCAGCTTTAAAGCCCCAGCGTGAATCTTCGGTGCCGAACTCCACGATCTCTTTTGCAATACTTCCACCGTATGCCTGTCTGAGTCTGTCGATTTTGGTTGCAGCAGCGGCCACCGAGAAGCCTATGCCTGTTTCACCGTGCTTTTTCACGGAAAAGGCAACCCCTTCGCGGTGAACGGCATATCGGGTAATAACATCAAGCACCTTGGCATACTCTTCTGACGGAGATCGAAAGGCTCGACGACGGTTTGGAATATTGTAGAAGAGGTCTTCAACAGTGATCTGAGTACCAGGACGACCAGCACAGGGTTTCGGGTCTGGAGATTGACCAGGTTTGGGGGCAGTTAGCTTTCCATCTTGATAATGCGCTTGCCATGCGCAGCTCGAGTTGGCAGTCCTGGTAGTTACTTTGAGGTGAGCAATATGGCTGATACTGGCGAGGGCTTCTCCCCGGAAACCGTAGGTGCCAATGGACATAAGATCCTCGAAGTTTTTCAGTTTGGATGTTGTAAACCTTTCGCAGAGGATAGGCAAGTCGTCTTTCTGTTACGCGTTAGATCTAAAAACCCCCGTCCGGTGTAGGGCGTACCTCGATTCCGTGGCCATTGTCAGTGATTTGCAAGAGCTTGAGGCCGCCGTCTTTGACCAGTACCTCGATAGAAGTTGATCCAGCGTCGATAGAGTTTTCGAGCAATTCCTTGAGAGCGTTCATAGGAGCGACAATGATTTCACCGGCGGCGATTTTATTGACGACATCTGGATCAAGTGCCTTTGACAGCCCGAGTTAGCAAGCATTTAGACCAACTGCTCCGGAGTCCTCGACATGCCTTGATACGACGCGGAGCCTCAGGAGGCAAGCCTGCTTCTTCCGCCGTGCGTTTGACGCCTCGTGGTGGCCCAATGTCGACATCCATGGGCTCAGCCATCGTGCGTGGCAACCAGATGCAGGAGATGGTTTTCCTCCGTTCAAAGGGGCGTCATCGGCCCAGGAGAGATATTGTCAAGGTGGCATATGATCTTGCGTGGAAGTACTGAGTACGTACCTCGTAAATGTACCGTCAAGCCGCATAATGTGGGGGAAAGCGCGACGTCACATGCTTTGATTGGGGATTCAGTCCAGAGCCTGATGCCGTTATTAGCGAGGCAAGCGAGGCTTCCTCCACTGCAACCCAAAGCAAAACTAAATCCACAGTTCTGGACCCTTTTTTGTTGCATTTGCGTTTTCTCTGCAGCGTCGAGCACCAGCGATCGGGAGGAGCAGTCTCCCTAGCCAAAGTCGCCAAAGTGAGCATCTGGCCCATGGACGAACACCGGTAGCACGAGCAGCCGCAGCAGCAGCAGCAGCAGCTGACCACCCACCATGGCCATGAACTTTGTGACATTCAATCAGGACTATAGCCATTTGGCCGTAGGTACGTGGCTGTCACGATCCCTCTGCCCACTGGCTATGTGCACGACCTGACTCGTCTAGGAACCTCGAGAGGTTTCCGCATCTTCACCACCGAACCCTTTGCCAAATCCTATGAATCCCGCGATGCCGGCAACGTTGCTATCCTCGAGATGCTTTTCTCTACCTCTCTCGTGGCCCTCATTCTGTCTCCAAGGAGACTCCAGATCAAGAACACGAAACGAGACCTGATAATATGTGAACTCACCTTCCCCAACGCTGTCCTCGCCGTGCGGTTGAACAGAAAGAGGCTGGTGGTTGTACTGGAAGATCAGATTTACCTTTATGATATCCAAACTATGAAATTGTTGTACACAATCGAGACATCCCCGAACCCGGCAGCAATTTGTGCCCTCTCCCCGTCTCAAGACAACTGCTACCTGGCATATCCCTTGCCTCAGAAAGCCGCAGCCTCTTCCTTTGCTCCGCCTTCGCACGCTCCGCCAAACAGTACGCATGTTCCTCCTACTACTGGGGAAGTGCTGCTGTTCGATGCCGTCAAACTAGAAGCTGTGAATGTCGTGGAAGCTCACCGGTCCCCTCTCTCCTGCGTGATCTTTAACAATGAAGGAACTCTGCTGGCTACGTCCTCGGACAAAGGCACCATCATCCGAGTCTTCTCGGTTCCCGATGCACACAAACTCTACCAATTCAGAAGGGGTTCAATGCCTTCCAGGATCTACAGTATGGCCTTCAATATCACTTCGACTCTGCTCTGCGTGTCCTCAGCCACAGAGACTGTCCACATTTTCAAACTCGGCCCTCAACAGAGCCGGCCAACGGAAGAGGGCGACGAACCTGCCTCGCCCAGTAAGATGAGCAGCACGGCGAGCCGGAGGTTAAGTCAAGGTAGCGACACCCTTGTGGACCAACCAGTCGATGAGGAGGACGGAGGGGAATCCCCTACCACAATGACGAACCGCAAACCCAATGGAACGCTCATGGGCCTTCTGCGCAGGACGTCGCAGCATGTAGGAATAAATCTGGCCTCCACAGTAGGAGGATACCTCCCAAAAGGAGTTGCTGAGATGTGGGAGCCGTCGAGAGACTTTGCATGGATTCGACTACCCCGATCCAGCTCGGGTGCTGCACCGAGCCAGTTGCGTAGTGTGGTGGCCATGAGTGCCAATTCACCCCAGGTCATGGTTGTGACGAATGAGGGGAATTTCTACGTCTTTACCATTGATTTGGCCAAGGGAGGTGAAGGAACGTTGACCAAGCAATACTCGTAAGTTGCTGCCTTTTCTGGTCTATCCATCGGTGCTAACGGAAAATAGGGTTCTTGATATAAATGACAAGATGGGAGCATCAGGGATGGACTTTTGATTCCAACAAGCGCGATAACGTGGGGGCTGGACAGTCGGTCGAAGACCAGATATTGACATGCACCGACTTGTGACATTTAGCGCTGGCGTTGTGGTGTCTAGATATAAGGGACCTTTACTGCTATCGCGGTAACGAGCGGGATGTGGGAGGGCGATTAATAGGTTATTCCAAATGAACGAGCTGGATACACATGACAGCCTCACTCGACATGAAGCAGCTGTGGAAGCGATGGATTGAACCTCAATCTTCAGACGAGATGTTAGTACGAATTGAGGAGTCAGCTGTGTTTGCTGCTAGTTAGCCCTCATTTGGTAGATTCCAATGTGTCGTCGTGATCGTCTATAACGTGGAAATATGTTTCCCGTTATCTCCCTTTGCTGCCAAACAACGTACTGTTTCTACGTAGGATAGAGGCCAGGCAGGGCCCATGTCTCGTCATCGAACAAGGTGGATGGATGGGAAAACAGCAATATCAAAGAGGTTCACTAGGCCATTTTCAACTGGATGTGGATGTTCATTTTCGCTCAACGAAGGGACCTACATACTGTAGCAGCTCATTCGCGAAATGATGATCTCCAGCCACATGTTTTGCATAGGTATCTTCAAGCTCCCGACCTTGCCCTGATGTATCGATACTCTTTTCGTAACCACAGCCCTGCACGCTCGGATGTCCAGCTCTCCTTTCAAGGTCATAGGTATCCTACCATCGTGTCTCCCAATGCTCCGAAGTCCAAGCGTCTCAAGCGTCTCAAGCTCAATCGAATCGGCCAATATGTGGTCTCTTGAAGTCAACTTCACTTTGCCCTCCAAAGAATCATGTATCCAGCACATATGTTTCTCGTCCTCGCCCTCTCGGTCTCCAGGAAAACTGTCGTCGTCAATCAGCAACATTTCATCAGCAGCCTCTCACTGGACTCGGTAAGGTGGGCTGACCGGCTGTCGCTGTCTCTAGTTGCGGAAACCTTTGTCTGTCATATTGTCCAACTCCCCGTGCTTCAGCCAGTCGAATGTCGAATCATCAAAATAATTTGTGCGTTCTTCTTCGGGGTCATCCGAGAAGATCCTCTTTCCAGAATCTTGCTTGAGCGTACCAGATGCATCGACGTGTTCTGGCTGGTTCTCGGTCTGTGATTGTGGTTATTGTGTTGGTTCAGGTTCAGGTTCAAGGCCAACGGCTTGCTTGAAAACCAGTTCGGCGCTGTCCACAATATCCAGAATCTTGTCGAGTGAGGCTTTTCGTTCTAGCGGCCGGGCCTTTTGACGAACCACCACGCTCTTATAGTCTCTCCGGACAGCCTTGAATATACCATTAATTTTACGGCGTAGAGATTCTCTTACTCCGCGTGGGATTTGCTGAATAAGTTCATCGACGTGATCCACCGCCTTATGGAACATGTGCTTCTTCTGCTTCCGAACATATCGCTCCATCTTCTCCTTCATCCGTTTGTATTGTCCTGAGCCTGACTCATTATTGCAAGCGACATATACTGGGCGCATATGTGCAGTTATAAAAGGCTCAAACTCCCGGTGGCAGTCACGCTGCTGCTCGGTGACCCAACTTTTCGCATCAGTGATTGCAACCTTCAGCTTTTCCTGATACACAGGTATTTGCTGCTTGAGCATCCTGAAAGAAGACACGTAGGAACCATTGCGGACAGCACGGCGCTCAACAACGTTGTGGAAGGCGGTGATATGGTGAGCCACACTTGATGGAAGTTCATCCAGGGTAACTGGTATTGTACGAGAAAAGGTGAATTCCCAAGGTCTAGCGAGGCGACGAATTAGCGGTTCAAGCAGCTCCTTGTTGAAATTATGATAGCCTTTCTTATTTGTGAAGCGTCCGTCGCGGCGGACCACAGCTTTGTACGTTTGCCAGTGGAGACCTCCCCATTTCCGAACAATGTCACTTGCCTGATCTCGCGCTGTTGCTGTGGCAAAGGGGTATGCCCCACAGATTTCGTCCTGAAGCTCGTCGGAAATCTTGTTGACGACATCGTCGCATGCCTTTTTGAGTGTCCGGTTCGGTTCCTTGAGCTTTTCTTCTAGGATTTGGGCTTCTCGGTCCGATTGTCCCGCCGTCAGGTTTTTGGCCGCGCTATCGTTTGAGGCCCACAGTCGAAGTGAGTTCAGCAGCTGAAACATGCTAGTCAGGAACTTGCGGGAGGTTGCTTGACGAGCTTCGGCGGTCAATTGCACGCAGTGAGCTTGCAGGGCGGGAATTTCTGTCGCATTTAAGTGTAGGAAGCCTGGAGGAGTTGTATCCTTATGAAGTCTCCCCTTCAACTTCTGGTACGCGCGAGAAGATACGCAGAAGACAGGAAGATTGCGAGCCACTTCAGCATAATCGCGCGCATCCACTTCAGGATCGAATTTTTCTGCGTCTTCTTCCTCAGCCAGCTCCTGATCCAATTCACGTATACCTGCCGCGTAGTCCTGACGAATAGCAACTCGTGAATGGTCGTTGCGTGCTGCGATACACCGAGCGGTAACCTTCGAGGGGATGCTTTCGTGCTCTTTGTCGACTTCTCGAACTCGAGCCCGCAGTGCCTGGATTTGTCCATCAACTTTTTGTATTTTGAGGTCTCCATCCCTTTTGGAACCTAGGGATTGCGCGATTCCCCTTGAGATTTCATCTGCTGTGATTGGTCCATCCTGACCGCGGCAAGCGTTGGAGGATGCGTAGTCGGATTGCGCTGTACTGGCACACTGACGGTTGCCACTGGTGCAGTCACGCTCCGGACTAGGCTCTTCAACTTTGAAAGCTTGCTCCGCCCAGCTGCTTATATCGGAGAATTTGCGCTTCGCTGACTTTCGCTCGGGCCTGAAGTTAGCTTTACCCCCAGCCAAGTCGCGTTGTAACTGTCTCAAAAACGCTAGCCGATCCTTGACTTTATCGATGGCTTCCTCCATTTCGTGCCGGGAGTTTTCGAGATTTTTGATCTCCTTCTCCAGTTCTTCTTTCTTCTTTTCTAGGCCTCTCTGTTCCGCCCACATTACCTCCAACTCTTCCCCAAGCCCAAGAGCATCCTGAGCCTCGGTGACTAAGATATCATCAGTCTTGCTGCAAACGAACGTCACAGAAGTGAGTCCCCCGTCCATCTTCAATTGGCATTTGAAAGAGTCGCCAAGTAGGGTCTTTGCTGTTTTGTCGTCGATCGCTCTTGTGATAGGTGCAACAATCAACAACCTACTGCATTGTTTCATGTAGTCCTGTATCGTCGTTAGCTCGCGAGGCTGTCGAAAGGTACAATCCTTTGAGTGGAAAACACTGATATAGGAGGAGTTCGCTCATAAAGGGACTTACTCTTGCGACAGCTGCACGAGCCTGGTTGCTGTCGTGCATACCCGGGAGATCCACGATGACTGCACCAGTGGCTAGAACGGGAGCTTTTACGTAGAGTTTGACAACCCGAATGAGAGGCCAAAACTCAGTCTCACGAGTTTTCTTCTCCTTGCTGCCCACAAAGCCTTGCAGTTCCTTGTAGAACGTTGTAACATCCCCAGATTCGATAACACGCTTTGTGTCGAGGTAGGCGACGTTCTGGTGCTCCATCAGTTTGTCGATTGGGACCTGGACCATTTCTTCTTTAGTCAGCCTAGGATAAACTGCCTTAACCTGGGCATATGCACTGCCGGATTCTGAGTCTTCGTTCGTGTAATCGGAGAAAACCTGGCCTGAACTGTTGACGAGATCTTGGAAGAGAACATTCAGCGTCTTTCGCCAGTCTTCCTTTGAAATAAATTCGACCACAGCTCTATACGGGGCACCCCCCTGGTGATTGTAGCTGATCTCAGTCACAACAGCGGTGCAGGCTCTCATACAACTGGTCGGAAGCAAACGTTCTTCATCGAGAACAGCGTTGATGACTGAGCTTTTGCCTGCGCCTGTTGCACCAACAACACCAATGACAGTTTTGGGTGAGATGGCTTGAGATTGAACAGAAGCAATTTCCCTAGACCATCGACTTACTATTGCGTCCGATTCTTCTCCTAGAGTTTGCTTGATCCTCTTCAGCAAATCCAGACTCTTTTCCACGCTCTTCTCAAGCTGTTCAGGTGTACGGCCATCGAAGAGATCGGACATATTCAGACGAGTGGATCCGCTATCTTGTGGACCAGGGTCGTCTCGAAGGTCGTTGTGAGAATCTATTCCGTCCGTCGGGCCGTCGTATTGAGGAATCATTTTTGCCTGAAAAGCTGAAGCCAGCACCCGCTGCCGACTCAAGCACACGATATTCTGATCTGGGCTTAGCGAGGACTGAGCGTGGCCGACAACACGAGTTTCTCTTGCAGTGAAAGCACGTGGTGATGTTCCATCTGTCCGTTGCGGTCTTGAGCTGGCGCTCTCTGCCTGCGAAGATTGTCCCACTTGTTCTGCTCTGGTAAGAAGAATTGGTGACTGGAAAGGCTGCGAAAAGGCACGGGAGATAAGTGTAGACATGACTTGAGCTCTGGAGGAATCGAGTAGGCCGCTTTCCAGTAAAGACTGGGAAGCGTAGGGCTGCTTGTCTTTTGCCGGAGACTCGCTTTGTTCTTGAGGCAATAAACCAGAGCTTTCGCTTACGTGTGGTTTGGCACGGTCACTGATCTCGCTCAACACAGTACGTGCCAGGGCATCCATGGTAACTCTCTTACGAAGGTCTTCGGTGCCAACCAACTCACCGGGTAGTGAAAGATAAGTGAGGCGACTTTCAAGTATTTCTCAGTTTGTTTGAAGTTGTGTCCGAGATGAGTCGCCCCACCTGCGATTTGATGAGTGCGGACTCTTAATGAGCGAGCAGGCTGTTTCTGTTAAGACATTTGAGTGCCTCAATTGCCGAATCATTCATGCTCAAGGCAGAGTCCGGCAGTAGTAGGGGATTTTGTCTACTGCCTCCCCAGAGCTTCACGCTTCACCTGCACAGTGAGGTTCTGTGGGTTAGTGAAAGACAAGGTGTGAAGAACTATGGTTAGACACTGTCAGCATGAAGGGAGAAGACAGCCAACCTAGATTCTCACATAAAGAATCATCTTCTGCGTGAGCAATCGTCCACGAGTAACGGGTAGTGGCAGTGAGTAGTACGAGTAGCAGTTGAGGCAGCAAGTGCAAGTCACATCAAATTGTTAGCGTGTTAAAAAGACGCGTCTTTCAACAATGGATGCTTGGCACAATGTATGGCGGACCATAGAGATGTGAATGGCGGCCGGCGCCACTTGGTCCACCGTATAAAATGCCAAGGATGACATGGTACGGCATAGCACCACTAGCATTCGGAGTGATTGAGAATCTCCTCCGCTTCTTGAACCACCAGCCACTCCCACGACTGCCAAGTGGATAACAGCGAATAGTTCAACCGAACAATTCAGCGAGAATTCATGGGAGCCGAAAGCGGGATCTAGGCTGGCACTTGTCTGGATCAGGAAAATCAGCCTGGATGTTGTTCGCCAATATCGGCCCGCCATCTCTTCACGGTCTGCGAGCCAACTCCGCGTGGCTCATCTTCGGATAAGTGAGATCATTCGTCTGTGTTGACTCGTTTTCTCTTTCGTAAGAGGACATTTTCCTCCACCGCATATTCCTGGGACATGAGGAGTCCAGTATATTCAGGACCTAGCTATGCATATATGTCGTCCTTAGTTGTCCCAAAATCCCGTCTCAGGCCCTTATAGCTACAAGCGAAGCCTTTAATTCTTTTCTGAGGATATCGAAAGCCATATAAGGGGTTCGGCAAAATGCAGATCAATAATTCCTCGTCTTACGGAGGCTCTACGGTCGTTCTTGAGCTGCCCTCGAAGTCCCATCAACCGCAAGACACAGGCAAGAGCGTGCCTGTTCAGGAAGATTTATCGGCCGGAGCCTTACCTCCTCCCTCGACTGCTACGCCTCAATTGCAAAAATGGAACTCCCCAAGAATCAACATGTGGCGCTGTCTAGGGACCTTCTACTCCTTTATCATTTTGGGTGCTAATGATGGTGCATACGGGGCGCTAATCCCCTACCTCGAAACATTCTACGGCGTCAACTATACAGTCATCAGTCTGATATTTCTGTCACCAATAGTTGGTTATACGATGTCTGCTCTGTTGAACAACTACATCCACACAGTGTACGGACAAAGAGGCGTTGCATGGATCATGAGCATATCCCACTTGTGCGCTTATAGTGAGTACCTTGAGGTTGAAATGGGATCCAAGACCAACATGTTGTCATAGCTGCCATATGTGTTCATCCGCCGTATCCTGTCTTGGTAATAGTCTTTATTCTTGCCGGCTTTGGCAATGGTTTGGGCGATAGCGGATGGTGAGTTGAAGTCATTGGCCTTCTGGTCCCATGAATGCTAAAATTGCTGCCACAGGAATGCCTGGATTGGAGACATGGCCAATGCAAATGAAGTGCTTGGCTTCTTGCACGGGTTTTACGGACTCGGCGCAGCACTCTCGCCTTTGATCGCGACAACGCTGGTCACTAAAGCGGGCTGGCGATGGTACGAATTCTACTACCTAATGGTGGGTGCAGCCCTCGTTGAGGTTATATTTCTCGTTGGCACTTTCTGGAAAGCGGACGGTCGTGCCTATAATGCCGAGCACCCTCAGACTGCCAACATGGATATTTCTGAATCAAGTACGCCGACCACCTCGGATAGTACGGGCCCTGGTGGTCAAGTCGACCAGCAACAAAACATTCTGTCTAAACTCAATCCGCTCGGCAAAAGAGCAAAGGGCAAGAGCAAGACTTTGGAAGCGGTCAAGCAGAAAGTGACCATGCTCGCCTCGGTATTCCTGCTTATCTATGTGGGTGTCGAGGTAAGTGTTGGCGGGTGGATAGTGAGCTTCATGTGGCACGTCAGGAAAGGCTCGCCGTTTGCCTCCGGTCTCACATCGATGGGGTTTTGGCTGGGCATTACCACTGGTCGGTTGATACTCGGCTTCGTGACGGCTCGGGTATTCAAGACAGAAAAGCACGCGATAGCCGTGTACTTGTTGTGCAGCGTGGCCCTTCAGTTGATGTTCTGGCTCATTCCCAACTTTGTCGTCAGCGCAGTCATGATTGGCATGCTAGGTTTTTTCCTGGGGCCTATGTTCCCCGCAGCCATTGTGGCCCTTACCAAGTTGCTCCCGAAGAGGCTGCACGTACCCGCGGTGGGGTTTGCCGCTGCCTTCGGGGCGAGCGGTGCCTGTGTGCTGCCGTTTGCTGTTGGAGCGATTGCAAATGCCAAGGGAGTCAAAGTGTTGCAACCTATCATTCTGGCAGCCTTGGTGCTGTGCCTAGCTGTGTGGCTGTTGGTTCCCAGGCTCCCGAAACAGAGGATGGCTTGATCACTTTGAGAGGATATGGTCCTGAATGATACAGAACCTATCTCCAGCCACAGCATCCTCAGCATACCTCGCATCGACCGAGGGTGGTCTTGGACGTCGACATTGCGTGGCACATTCCAAAAGCTCTGTCGCATTGACCTTTTCAGCAAGCGGGAAATTGTTTGTGGGCGCTATTTATAGCAATGTGCCTGAGGCTCCTCGCAGATGCGTTCAGGGTTAGCTGCAGATCTCCCAACGGCGGGGATCTCATGCAAGTCATCGACGGAAGAAACGGGCATCTGTGGCACCATAATCTTTGAGACGAGCGTTTCATCCTTGGCGGTGTATTCGTAGGGAATGTCACCCACCTTCTACCATGTCGAGGAATTGTCGCATCCTGGTCTGATGAGAAGGAAAAAGGGGTGAGAGGCGGCCAAGGCGCAGCATCAAAAGTGAAACAAAGTGGAGCCCAAAGTGGAAGCGACAGCCGAGTCGCGCTAGTCCACATGGGGAGATGGGGAGATATGGGAGGGGGCAAGGGATACGAGTTCTTCAGCTTCTCGACCAAGTTTTCTGACCTCCATCTTCAACGCCCCCTTGTTGGTTCATATCAGATCCCTTTTTCAACGACATCCCACTTGTACCTCTGCATCTCTTTCCATCATGACCATTTCTGAGCAATCATTTAATCTCGTACCATAGACTAGACTGATTGGTTTTTTTTTGGAGATCTGCTGCAAAGGCGTAAAGGGGAAGAAATTGCCCCCTTGTCGCGTCTGGAACGCGTGTTTCGCCACTTATTAAGACGTCGCTTTTGACTTTTTGGGAATATCGGCCGGCTGAAACGACATCTGGCATCAACGTCTATCGGTCGGACTGAGCAATACTCAGCGACTATCACTGTCGGACCTCTCAAATGCGCTCCCCTGGAGGCATGTTCACCCCAAAGCATGCGCCCCTCAAGGAGGGTCGTTCTTTCCCTGGCTTACCATATGCGGGACCAACACGACGAAGTCTACGGTCACGGCAGGGACTTCTTATAATTATATTACTGCTATGCGTTCCTCTAATATACCTCCTCACCTCTGGAGGCCCAGCCTCGACAATCCAACCCCAGATTGTATCGCCTGCCGATAGATCAAAGGAGCTTTCGTCAGACTCCGACCCCTTATTTCGAGCGACGCCAAACGATGCTCCAAGTCAAGAACAGCTCTCAGGCAATGCGATCGCTCATGACCCCACAGAACCCAAATCAAATCCGGAGATGCGTTTTGAGGCCCCTCCAGTTGAAGCACCCATGCAAAAACCGAACACCCCTCTACAACCAGACCAGGAGGACGGACAGCCTATTTTCTCCAAACAGGATGATATAGCTACAGAGCCAAAGTCTTATTCCCCCAAAGGGTCCAGCCATTCAGGATCAACCAAGCCACCGGCTAACCCCAGCTCATTTGCCGAACGCCCCAAATTCGAGAAGGCTCTCGCAAGAGTAATTAGTCTTCTTCCCGGTGAAATGGAAGGTAGAGACCTGCTACGAGCTGTTGAGGGAACCGGAAAGGAGAAACTTCGCGAAATGGGTTTGCGGGTCCGCGAGTATAAGAAATTCTTCGAGGCCTGGGAAGAGCTTCATCTCACCTTTGACGAAGAAGGCGGCAGCTACGTGCGGGACGACGTTATCCAGTATCTGCGGCACCATCAACACCAACCTTCCGACGAAGACTTCGGCGAGTCCCCTCTTGCTCAAACAATCCATGCCTATGAGGCATATCGATACTTCTTGGTTAAGTTCGGACAACTACTCTTCCCATGGACGGCACCCTACTTCCCTGATCACATGACTCTCCATTCACATTTCAAAAAGGGAGGCAGGGGTATTGTCCTGACAGCAGGTGATGACCAGGCCCCTTTCCTGCTCACAATTATCCCCACATTTCGGAAACTAGGATGCACATTGCCAATTGAGATCATGTACTTGGGTGATTCAGATCTCTCTGAAGACTACCGTTCTGATCTGGAAAGCCTGGACGGTGTGCTCACTCGAGACATTGCGCAAATGGTGAATGATGAGGGCTGGAAATTGGCGGGCTGGGCCGCAAAGCCGTTCGCAATTCTATATTCCAGTTTCCGCGAGGTCATTTTCATTGATGCCGACAGTCTGTTTTTCGTCAACCCGGAAGTCTTGTTCGAGGATCCCGCCTACCAGAAAGCGGGTGCTCTTTTCTTCAGGGATCGTCTGATCATGCCAGAGTCGAAGAAGCGTTGGCTTCAACAGATTTTGCCCAAGCCCATTTCGAGACAAGTGAAGCAAAGCCGCTTCTGGACGGGCGATAGCGGCCACATGCAAGAATCGGGCGTTATTGTGGTCGACAAATGGCGCCACTTCATCGCCCTTCTCTTGGTTACGCGAATGAATGGCCCTGACCGAGACGGAAATAAAGACGAAGGCAGGGTCGGAATCTATGATATGGTTTACGGTAAGCTTGGTCTTTACGTTCCAGCGGCTGCCTTTGCTGACAATCTTTCCAGGTGACAAAGAGACCTTCTGGCTCGGTTGGGAGCTTGTAGGAGACCAAGACTATGCTTTCCATCAAGGCGACGCTGGCACCATGGGTGTCGTTCAAGAGCCCAAAAAGGAAGAGAAGAAGCCTGTAATGGTGAAGAAGAAGAGGCCAGTCATGGACGAAAACGGCGAGCCCAGACGGGATGAGAACGGGGAGGAGGTTATGGAAGAGTACGAAGTCCCGGAAGAAATCGAAGAGCAGGAACCTGAGGACATGCCCGAGCCCTTGAATTACACTATCTGTGCTCCACAGCTTCTCCATTTGGATGTGCATGGCAAACCGCTTTGGTTCAACGGATGGCTTTTGGACAACAAGTTCGCCGACAAGAAACAGAAGAAGTTCGGCAAATTCGACCACTACCTAATTGAGCCACGAGATATCCGAGAGCCCGGTGCCTGGCAATTGGAGGAAAGCAACATGTGCTGTCTGACAACCGACGCAGAACTGAAACGAGATTTTTCACCGGACGAGAAGGCAGTATTGAACATGATGATCGCCCAAGCTAAGGAGGTTGGTGTCGCTGGGTGATTTGTAGGCGCAAAACAGTTGGAGAGGAACATTTGAAAGGAGTTCCGAAGCATTAATGAAGGCGTCATGATTTTCTGGATGTGGTTGGATTTTAGGTCGCAAATACCGACTTGATTTAGCGAGTGTCTTGCGCTTTACAGCTCGGGTGCCGGTGTCAGCATATCATATTCGACCAGAGTAGGAGCCGAGAAGACAGGGTGAGTTAGGATCAAAAACGTCGAATCGACATTTTTCAAAAGCTACATTCTCCGTGTTTTGGGATCGAGCAATATACCCTCGCGACTTTGGATTGAGGATCGATCGAGCCAGGGCGAAGAGGACGCAATATCTGAAAGAGGTCAGAAAAGAGAGGTATTCGAAGTCTTCACAGAGAATCCCGTCATGTTGGAGAAAATGATGTCTCATATCTCGCACGGCAGCGTCTGGAGTACGAGCAGCAAATAGTGGTGTTGCAACAGGGGTATATTGAGCCGCGTTGTCTTGAAGACCTCCTCCCAAAATGCCAGAGCCACCGGCCTTTGAGATATACACATAGATCATCGTCGCGATATCTAGTAGCATTTGTGCTCTATGGGCATTCGGGACACTGTATTGATTCTCTTCATAAGCCTCGTCGACGCGGTCTGCAGGGAAATGAGAAGCACTCTTCTAGTTGATAGCCAATCAGAGACCATGCCTCGTCAGACAAGGCTGGAGGGCACCGAATGTAAAATCCTTTCGCCAGCGTCTGCACTAAGGCCCCGAACCAAGCATTGCGAGGCGGTCAGAGAATTGATGAGGAAGAGAGTTGTATGGGATATCACTACGTAAAACATGAGAAAGACACCATCCCTCGGACACAATGCCGACAGAAACGACACGACCACAGGGTCATTATTCGCCGCAAGACGGCCGACCCAAGTTGCCCAAGAAGGAGAAGGCTCCGAACAATCCTCTGGTCAGAGGCATTGTCGAGTTCTGCAAAGCACTGCAGGCTCGGCGCGATGACACTGCAGACAGCGGCACCAATGGCTCGACTTTGATCTCTGCCGCGAATGATGGCGAGCAAGATGGAGGACCATCATCGGCACTCGCAACTCTGCAGGTGGCTACCACGGACATGCCAAAGCGGTATACACTCTACCCGCCGCTGCTCCTCCTTCCACCGAATTTCGCGATGCAGAATCCGCGGTGGACGGCATTCTATCATGCGCTTGGTGAGAGAGACAGGATGGAGCTGTTCCGATACGTCGCTGAAGAGGGTTTTAAGGGCATGGGTGTCTCGCGGGTTGCGATCAATGCGCCTATTGCGGCCGAGGTTGATAATGGAGGACGCGGCGCCGATGGTGTCGATGATATGGACAGGTCCGTGGACACCACGGTGCAGACTACTACTACGCCCAAGGAACAGAACGTCCTTCGCTGTCCGTCAGGTCTGGTCCCCGTGTACGGCGACTGGGGCCCCGTGCCCGATGACCCACACCATCGAGGCAGGCTGATACTGCACCCCACGGCCAAGGACTTCGACGAGGCTTTCTGGATATCCACGTCGCAACACCAAGGGATCGTGCAGTGCTGGGCGCCATTGTACACAATGTTCAGTCGGGGAAATATCTCCGAGAAGGCCCGGATCCTGGGCCTGCAGTCGCATTTCCCCGGCCTCGGCCAGCCTGAGTTGTTGCACCACCAACAGATTGGCGAGCTCGATGTGGTCGATTTCTACGTCGGCATCGGATACTTTGCATCCTGCTATCTCTCGAGAGGGGCGCGGCGCGTCTACGGCTGGGATATCAATCCGTGGAGCATCGAGGGGTTGAGGAGGGGATGCGAGAAAAATGGATGGAGGTGCTTGGTAGTCAGAGTCGGCGAGACGGGGTGTCTGCAAGGGCAGCTAAGTATCAGGGATTTGGTGGAGGAGATTGAAAGGGGCGATCACGCGGGCGAACAGGAAGCTGTCGTCAGATGCGTGGCCTTCCTGGGAGACAACAAGTGGGCGTGGAAGGTCCTCGAGGAGATGCAACGCGAATATGGAAGGATTGAAATGGACGAGGGAAGGATAAGGCTACGATTGAATGTCAGGCATGCGAATCTTGGACTTCTCCCTTCTTCGAGAGCTAGTTGGCAGGGTGCCGTCAAAGTGGTAGCGGGCTTGAGCGACGGGGGGACAGGTGGATGGTTGCATGTCCACGAGAACGTCGATGCCCGGCAGATCGATGTGATGGGAGGAGAAATTGTGAGAGAACTTGATGGACTGACACGGCGAGAAGCTCGATATCCTTACGCAGCCTCTTGTGCACATGTTGAGCAAGTCAAGACGTATGCGCCGGGCGTTATGCATTGTGTATTTGATATCGAGATCAAACCCAATGGTTGATGTCCGTTTCTCCTTCCAATCATTTCTATTTTGTATTCTTACAGATTCTTTTTCCACGCCCGTGACCTGCCGGGAACGCCTTGCAAACCTCATGGTTGTCTCCTGAATTTGAGCGGAATGTTCCTCTCCACAATGCTCTGTTGTTGTTCTCTCAGGATGCGATCAGCCTCGTCTTCCCTCATGTCGTGCTTTCTGAAATGCTCGATATCTTCGGGATGGATGAGATCCTCCTCTTTCGTATTCTCATCATGGTATTTCTCAAAATGGTGGATTTCATACTCGTATTCGTCGTCGCCGTGATGACCTGGGCCCAAGCCAGAGTCTGGCAGCTTCTTGCCGGCACGTATGCCCTCAAGCCATTGCTCGCGAGTGATGAGGCCGGTGCTATGAGGGTCAAACAATTTGAAGACATTAAGGACGGCCCGATCCTTATCATCGGCGGGTGTGGCTTTTAGAGATTCATCGTCGAGACCGTATGTTCGGCGCACTTCGTCAGGCGTCCATGCGCCATCGTTGTTGAAGTCATGGAGTGAGAAGAATGAGGCTGGATCAAAGTTGGAGATGTCTGTACGTGTCTGTCAGAAAACAGTCTAATCAACCAGAGACCAGTAATCACGTACGGTGTTCTTCCTGCATATGGTACAACGCCCAGTCGTCTGCGGGATTGGCCAGCTCCTCTTGTGAGTGAGAGCCATGGGCACTGGCCAGCGCAAGAAGCGCAATGAAGGCGGCGAAGAAAGGTCCCATTGCAGCTGTGAACTTCGTCTGTACCGAGTATCTCGTGGGTTGTCGCCTCAATCCTCAACGTGGTTGGAATTGAGGATTGCCCCAGTTCATACCTAGGTAATTGTTTGGTGGCTTGTCGCGACAAGGAATGACATAATGTTGGAGTGCATAGAGTCCCCTTGAGATCCAAAATTGCCCCTGGCTAAGGTTGGTCCCTGGCAGTCGCAAGGTCCAATGGGCTCGCTAATTACCCACACAACATCGCTACTAGTATCTACTCGCTAGGTATTGATGGTTTGTGATACGGGCGTCCCCCATCTACTTCCTTCTATATTCTGCCAGATGGAGAGGGAGTGTGACTGCTGCAAGATTCTTGGACATGATGTATTGAGGTAAGAAGGCGCGGGTTAGACACTGCCGTGAATCCGTTTGCTTGCCTGCGCGTTGCCTACCATCCCCAACTCTCGTCACTGCGTTTTATTTATTCACTCTCTGCCAAATGTTTTCAATCCCTGAACTACAAATAGTGACATCGGTTGCGGCCACGTCTCCTTCTTGATGTCTGCAGCCTTATGCCCCCTCTCACCGTCGGCAGGATGGAGGAAACCGATAAGCTCGCCGTCCTGGAAGGCCACAATTCTACGCTTGATGTGGATCAATCTCAGTCAGACTACCTTACAGAGTCCGAGAACGAATCTGAACCTGAGTATACCGATCCAGATGGCTTCGCTGAGCAAGAGGCTAACAAGATTACTCTCAACAACTATCTGAACAACCACGATCAGAACCAGACCCCGAACCACGAGGAGAATCAACAGTCAAACGCCATCATCGATCGAGCCCGTGAATATCAGCAAGAACTGTTCGAAAAGGCCAGGGACGAGAATGTTATCGCTGTCCTGGACACAGGCAGTGGCAAAACCCTCATTGCGGCGTTGCTCATCAGACATTACCTGCAACAAGAACTCATCGATCGAAGCCGGGGCAAATCACCAAAGATCGTCTTCTTCCTTGTCAACAGCGTCCACCTCGCTCGACAACAGGCCCGCTTCCTCTCCAACAACCTGCCGCAGAAGGTCATCCCGCTATTCGGTGATGCCTCGGACGCTCTGTGGGAAAAAGCAGAATGGGACAAAATTTTTGCTGAAAATGGTGTGGTCGTGTGCACAGCTGCGGTACTGGACTCGTGCCTCATGCACTCCTACCTGAAAGTAGGCCAGATCTCACTTCTTGTCTTCGACGAAGCCCACCACTGCAAGAAAAACCACCCATACTCGAGAATTATCCGAGATTATTATCTCAAATGGCGTGGAGACAAACCCCGTATTTTCGGCATGACCGCGTCCCCTGTCGACTCTAGGCGGGATATTAGCAAAGTTGCTGAGGACCTGGAAACATTATTGCAGAGCAAAATCGTGACCACAAATGACTTGTCCGTCTTCGACTTTGCACCTCGAGCCAAAGATGTCAGATGGATTTATCCTCCATTGGAGGCTGAGTTCGAAACTCCCCTCTACTCGCAACTCAAACCCCTATGCGGCTCGTTCCAAGAATTCGAGCCATACTTCCGCTTCGCTCGCACGGCTTCCCGGCAACTTGGCGCCTGGGCAGCAGACAGGCTCTGGCAATACGCCTTCCCGACTTCTGAGTACGAATCGACACTCATTCTCCGAAAATTTGAACGAAGCAAGGCTTACACTGACATCACCGAGAACAAGGGTCGAGGGGCGGCTCTAGATTCTCTCCGTGAGGCATTTTCGATCGTCCAAAAACATTCATTTGAGGCCCCAGAGGTTGGTTCGGACCGTGATCTATCTTCCAAAGTGCAAAAGCTGTATAGCGAACTCAAAACCCGCTTTTCGCATGCAGCCACAACTCGGTCAATCGTATTTGTGGAGGAGAGGTTGACGGCACTTATTCTTTGTGACTTATTCGAGTCTCTCAGTCTCCCGAATCTACGAGCTGGCGTCCTCATGGGTATCACATCAGCTTCGGATCTGAAAAGTTCATGGAAGGATCAAGAGGCCGTCATGGAGAAATTTCGTACTGGAATCATCAACATCATATTTGCCACCAGCGTCGCTGAAGAGGGCATCGACATACCTCAATGCAATCTGGTGATCAGATTCGATCTGTACAGGACACCAATTCAGTACATGCAGAGCCGTGGCAGGGCTCGGATGAAGGGCTCTATTTTTGTTCATATGATCGAAGAAGGCAACCAGTCCCAAGAAGCAGACGTCAATTTTGCCATGGATCAAGATGAGTATATAAGGAAGTTTTGTCAACAACTACCCCCTGATCGCCTGCTGGGGCAGGGCTCAAAATTGAAGCAGCTCATGGCCAAAGACGCAAATTGTCGAAGTTTCGAGACCTCTTCTGGCGTCCTTGCGAACTACTCCAATTCACTATTGCTCCTGAGTCGGTATGCCGAGTCCTTGAAGAAGGTTGGAGCGGTCTCCTCAGAAATTTATGAGGAGATGATCGATGTCGAAGAAAACATGTTTCAGTACCGAGTCATACTTCCCATCACGGACGACGAGCGCACTGCCCAAGTCAAAGGTGCCAAAGGCGAGGCGCGATCAAACAAGATACTCGCGAAGCGGTCCGCTGCCTGGCACTGTCTCCTCAAGTTACGCAAAGCCCATCTGTTGGATGAAAATCTCAATAGCATCTTCTTCAAAGCCAAGCCAGCCAATCACAATGCCAAAACCGCGGTTCCCGAGAATAAGGAACAATATGATAAGAAGGTGAAGCCAGATTTCTGGATTGAGAGCGGTGCGACATCGGCCATGCTGCCAACAAACCTTTTCGTCACCCATGTCACTGTTGGGCCGAAATCACCGTCCTGGTGCACCGACGGCTTGCTGCTTCTGACGCGCACACCACTTCCAGATATACCCAAATTCTCTGTCTTTGTCGACGACAATGTTGAGAAACACGTCCAATTCAGTCGGTTCATAGGGCCGGTCGCAGTAACGCCAGATCAGGTTGGAGCTCTGACGACATTCACTCTTCGTGGTGTGTTTCACGACTTTTTCAATAAAGTCTATGCTCAAACATCGACCTCTATGAGCTACTGGCTAGCACCTCCAGCCAAGGGAGAGATGAAGGAGAGTTTTGAGTCAATTGTGGACGTAGATGAGCTTTTGGTCGCGCAACTCCAAGAACGCCACCGATGGAAATCGTCTACAAGTGCGGCAGAGGCAGGGCAAAACGCAGAGAAATGGTGCAATGCATTTGTCGTCGACCCAGGAAGTGGGAAATACCGCTATTTCACCAGTAATGTCTTGCCAGGAAAATCTATTTGGGACCCTATTCCCGAGAGTGCAAAGTCGGCTCAGAAAAGCACGAAGAACACCATCATTGAATTCTCCGACAGCACATGGGGAGTAAGGAGAAAACACGCTCAGTCTATCGCCAAGATGTACGATTCAAATCAGCCCGTGTTGAATGCTAAGGTTGTTATAGCGGGTCGCAATTTCTTAATTGAATGCCCGAAAGAACGAACACGCTATGCTATGTGTCACATTGCCCCCCAACCACTGGAACTTGGTCGAATCTCGTTCTCGGTGGCCCAAACTTGTCTACTGTGGCCTTCCATCCTGCGTCGATTGGAGAGTTACCTGATTGTGCAGGAAGCTTTCGAAAAGCTTGATCTTAGCGGAGTGCCTCTAGATCTTGCTCTAGAGGCTTATACGCAGGAGGATCATACCAGGGCCGATAGCACTGAAACCGAGGCACTAATTCTAGAAGGGCAAGATGTTGAAGCACAGCTCGGCAAGGAGGAACCGAGGGCAGTTATGAACTATCAACGATTAGAATTTCTCGGTGACTCTCTGCTCAAGATGATGACCACGATTACGGTATTCAACCGCTCAACATGCGACGAAGAAGGAATGCATTGCAAGCGTATGAACTTACTCTCCAACAACCGGCTGTGTACCACTGCATCTGCTCCACACTACGAACTTTTTCGCTACATCCGCTCTCCAGACGTGCACTGGCGTGATACATGGTACCCTGAATTCTTGGAGCTCGAGAAAGGTCGACTCATCAAAGTGACAGACAAACACCGCAAGCATGCGCTTGGAAAAAAGACGATAGCTGATGTCTGTGAGGCCACTATCGGAGCATGCATCATGAGCACTCGTCACTTGCCCACGGAGGAAAAGTTCGATCTCGGGATCAAGGCGATCACTAAGTTGGTGGAACATTCAGACCATGCCATCAACTCGTGGAAAGAGATCCTACCAATGTACAAGCCGGCGTCTTGGGTAGCAGAATTGAATGACCCAATTGCAAATGATATTGCCGATAAACTCTTCACAGCTACCGGTTATCGCTTTAAGCATCCTCGTCTCGCACGCTCAGCCTTTACTCACTCCTCCGACCAGCACTCGCCCGTTCAAAATCTGCAACGACTCGAGTTCTTGGGCGACGCTTGCCTAGATTGGGTTTGCATATGGTGGTTATTTTCCACCAACCCAACTCGCGGTCCTCAGTGGTTAACCGAGCACAAGATGGCCATGGTATCGAACAAATTCCTCGCTGCCTTGGCGGTCGTCCTGGGGTTCAACAAGCTTGTCTATGCGAATAGTATGGGTGTCTACGATGATATAGCCCGCTACGCATCCAAAGTCCAAGAGGCGTGGGAACAGAAGGACGTGAGAGCCGATTTCTGGACTCGAATTTCTGAAGGTCACGTACCAAAAGTCCTGGCTGACCTCGTCGAGAGTTATCTGGGCGCTGTGCTTGTCGACTCCAGCTTCGATTACCGGGAAATTGAGTATTTCTTCGAAAAACACGTCAAATGGTTCTTCGAGGATATTGAGGCATACGATACTTTTGCAAACCGCCACCCCACCACGTACCTTGTGAATCTCCTTGTTCATGAATTTCGGTGTCGGAAGTTTTCGCTCCCTGTCCAAGAAAACAGCGTCCCGCTCACCACAAACGCCACGAGAGGCAACGATCAAAGTGAGGATGAAGGCGACGAAGCTGTCTCTGGGGTTATGGTGGAGGTAGGCCTCTTCGTTCATGGGAATATCGTGGCAGCGGATCGTGGACGGGGAGCGAAACACACCAAAGTCCGAGTGAGCAAGGCCGCGCTGAAGAAGCTGGGGAAATTGAAGATCGACGAGTTTCGGCGTCAGTGGGGTTGCAATTGTGCGAGGAACGAGGCCGATGATGCGAGGGGCCAGGAAGAGACAGGAAACAGAGCGGAGAATGGGCTTGTAGGCGATGGTTGAGAGAGAATTGCAGGGCCACGCTGAGGGTAGTCAGGCACAAAGAATATCCTTATGCGACTCCATTCGAGTTGACTTGACCGACTTGCTGGGAAAGCAGCACGAGGTACCACGACATTATCACGAAAGTCCTTCTTTGGAACAGGGCGTGAGAGGAGCGATACTGGATGGGATCTTTCTCGACGGTTGGTGAGCTGGGGAAAGGGCGTGACTGGCTACACAGCCAGCCTGCTCCCAGCGCGACCAGTGTCGAAAAAGTATTTGTGATGAGGAGAAAACGCCAGCAGAAGACTCTGAGAGCCGAGAGTTGAATGAATCAGTCATTCTCTCCCGTCTCCTATTCCTACAGGAGACGACTCCAGGGTGATAGCCGTTAGCTACCTAGTTACAGTACCTAGCTCGCTAGGTAGCTAGAAAAGTGCCCCCAAGGGCCCCTCTTCTCTCTCCCATGCGAATCGCGAGTTACGGAGTAATGGCGGGAGTAACGGTTACCTAGGTATGTTTCTTTCCACTGTTTTTCATCTCTTTTCGCCATCCCTCGTCTGCGGTCGTGATCCTGTACTGCCCCGCTGCTGTTGCGGCATCTGTCCTGCAGGCGGTTTACGATTCTCGTCTTCACGGCCGCGGCCTTCACCACCAGTGGTAAGAGTACCACCAGCAGACGTCTGTTCAGGTCCGGGTTCGTGTTCGGGTGGGAACAGCTCCTGCACCAGACCAGGAAGAAACCTATCCAAGCGCCTCACCGTCTCGGGCCAGATTTGAACCTCTCCCGCACTTTCGTCGAGCGCGAGTTGTGGGCTGCGAGGGGTAGCAGCAGCCTGTTCCTGACGACCAAGATAGCCCGCCCCGTCCATGACGAGCAGCGTATTCTTGACACCTTCCCGGACAGCTTCTGCCAGCGCGTCGCCTTGCTGTTCGACCACAGTCCCGGCATTCATCAGGCGGTCGAGAAGCTCGAGGGTCTTGATCCAGACGTCGGTCATTTTGTTGCCACTGCCACTGCCACTGCCACTGCCTTGTTGGCCACCTTTTGCTGTAGTGGTGGTGGCGGTGGTCTTTTGCTGCTGCCGCTGCTGGTCTTCATCATCATCTTGCTCATCACTTTTCTGTTCATCCTCTCCATTTCCTTCTTCCCCCTCATCATCTTCGCTATGAGGAAGAACCACTGGGATCTCGTTCAGCCTGTCGAGATACCTTAGAAAGACCTTGCAGAGTAAGCCGCCCATCTGTGCTCGCGTCTCGTTCATGCCGGGCGGATCCAACTGGTATATCTCGGGCTTCAGCAACCTAAGCGTCAACGGGAATAATACCTCGTCGAATATGGCCGTCCATTCGGTATGTAGGTCCTTCTTCGCCCTGCCTTTCTCATCCGCCACCATCTCGGATAGCAACGTACGCTGCAGAGCCGACAGTGCACGATGTCTCACTTCGCGACACGGATTCACACACTGTGCGCACAGGGCTCGAAAGATCGGACTCCAGTATGCAGCCCAAGCCTCATTCCTCTCCAGATGACTCTGGTCGATCAGACCCGGGACACGACCGGTCAGCTGATAGATCAACCCGATGGCTTTGTTCGCCCGCTGGACAATCGCAATGTCTTCCGGTTTTGCAGGCTTGGCTTGCCGGCCGTGTTTCGCAGCAAAGTCACGGCGCTTTTCTTGGATGGAGCCGATTGAGCCGGCAGATGCAAAGTCGTTTGCAAGGGAAATGGCTGATTCAAAATTATCTGCGGTCAGAGCTTGTTGGTCTTGTGCCTTGCTCGGAGACGGAGAAGAAAGGAGGGTTAGAATGTCAAATACACGCTCGGCTTCTGTTTTGTGCTGGTGCAGTCGCTGTAACGTCGACCAGAAGTCGGGGGATTTCGTGATCTCGTTTCGCAGTGCAGAAGGACCACCAATGGCATTAGAGAGCCCTTGTATTATAGTCGAGGCCGTTCGGTCAAGCACAGCGTCATCGAAGCTTGAAATCGCGTGGAGTACGACGGGGGCACGCATAAAGTCGTAGGTCTGCAAGTTTTTTCGGTGTCAGTCACAAGCATTTCACACCAGAAATGGGTGGGATAGTTTGTTGGATAGACTTACGTAGCTATACCGCAATAATTCAAGAAGATAATGCACGACCCTTGACGCTGCGAGAGGATGGAGATTTGAGGCGTCTCTGACTGCATTCTGTAAGGAGCCGGTGAGTTGCTCTCCGGCCGCTGCGATCGTTTCGTCGTCTCTTAGTGTAAGCAGCGTCGCGAGCTCAAGTAGGAAAACGGAGCCAGGGTCATACTCGGGACCAGCTTTTGGCATTCGGTGGCCATTGACCCTGACAGTAACAGGGATAGGGCGTTCAGGCTTGACGGTCACGACTGGCGACAGTTCTTCCATCTGAGACAGAAGAGTGGACACGACACTTTTGATTTGGAAAGTAGGAAGTGAGGCCACATGTTGTAGGACGTTGTCCGGTCGACATGCCTTCACACAGTCAACACATGAAAGTGTATTCTCCAGCTCTTCTTCCGAGGGCTCTGGTGGATCGTCGGCGGCATAGCTTGAGAGGTAGGAGGTAAACGTCGAGAAGATGCCGCTTTCGCTGAGTCGGCCATCTCGGTCGATGACTTGTGATGGTGGTTGTAAAGGTATCTGGCCAAGGCTTTGAAACCTGCTTTGCTCAAACTTTGGTAACGTGATGAGGGAGTTGACAAACAGGTTCCTCAAAATGCGCACGACGTAAATCCAAGTCTCGCCGACGGCATCTTCATGACCCTGTAATATTCTGAATAGTAACACGGTCGATAACTGGGCGCGAAAGTCTCGTCCGAGCCTCACGGCCATTTCACTGACCATGATTCTCTTCTTCCCAACTTGCACTTCAGTATTCAAGGAGGTGCTGGGAGGAACTTCTGCAGCCAATCCGCTGATGTGACTGACGCTGTAGACAATGCGGTCAAAGGCTTCAGTAATCCCATATTTTGCCGCTATCTGCGCGCATTGGTCGAATCCAACCACAACTCGGGAGAAAACAGCGTCATCGGAAGCTGACATGAAGACATAGCACAGAGTCGCCACTATCGGTTTCCAAGTAGCTTTGAACATTTCTGCGTCGAAAGCGTTGGTGTCACACAACTCCAAAGATCCGGCGTCGTGCGTCTTCAGCAAGAGTTCCTTCCAAGCGTACTCAAAGGCATGTTTGTTTTCGTGCTCGTCCGGGAGAATGATCTCGTTCTCTTTAATGGCGTCGTATATATCCTGCAGCAGTTCCGGGGAGAAGTCCTTCCCAGCGTTGACGCCCCGAAGATTCCTCGCAAAGTCCTCGTAAGACATTCGCTTCTGTGTCTTTGCAACGTTAGGATTGTAGAGATCGGTGTTCAGCATGATAATCGCATAGGCCAGGACAAAGGCAGCATCCTTATCTGCAATCTCCTCGGGTGCGACGGTGCTGCAGTACTTTTCGGTAAAATTGTTGACGATTCGTTCGATAAGTGCCGCTTCACCAGGAAGACGGAACGATCCCAACACTTCCCGAAGAGCTTCGTCGATGCGTTTGTCTTCAAAGTCAAACAACCCGATGAATGCTATCAACAGTGGTTCATTCGACTTCTTCGTCAAAAACTCTCCTAGCACCTTTTTGGAAACGTGAGAGGTGCCTTTCAAAAATTGAGCCACCTGTATAGGATCATCTGGATTTGCTATGATGCCGTTCCTGACCAGATATGCCACTCCTGCTTTCGGATCGTCGTTGAACTTGGACGCACCACTTTTGATAATCTTCTTCCTTGCTCGCTGCAAACGTAAAGTGTCTATCCGCTCATGCGCCCATGCTGGCAGTTCCTGATCAAGCCGCTCGGCAATGAACTGCACGAAACTCAGCAATGAGTCCAGACACAGTGGTGGCACATTTGTAGTACTCCAAGTAGCGGAGTCTGGGAAGGCGTTCCTTGAAAGAAGTCCAACCATGTCTTCGCAGAGGTCTTGCCGGTCGACCTCGCAGTCATAGTTGAGGAAGAGCTCCACCATAAAGCCAGGGATGCGGACCAAGGTGCCAATACTTTCAACCATTGCTTCTCTGGCTTCCGGCCTCCTAGTACCACCCTCTAGTCCCAGCTTTTGCCTATCCTTAATCGGTACCGGGGTTGACCGACCGCTGCTCGGCTGCGATGGTGCTGGTTTCACCAGTTTAGGAGACTGGGGCACACCCTCATACAGCGACGGATCGATTCCTGGTTCTTGGGGAATATCCACACGAGGATGCAGGCAAGCGACCAAGTAGGAAAGGAACAGCTCTTGCTGCAGCTTAAGCAATTGTCGACATGTAGCCAGCAATGTTCCAGCGACTCGTAGAGAGCTGTTCAGAAGGACCATATTGTCCGATCGGACGAGCTGGAATAAATGGCGGCAAAGGTCGTCCTGGACTAGTGCTGCCAGAACAGGTTGTTTCGCTATTGAAGGCCCAGAAACTTCAAGGGCAACGTCAATGATTCTCAGGGCCATGATTCGCATCGCGTCTGTATGTGTTCTGTCGTGTGGATCTAGAAGGTCGATTAGAACCCGGAAGAGCTCTTTGATTGACGGTAGGGCGTATGGCTCCACGCTATCGAACTCATCTTCCCTCGCCGGTGCCGTGGTATTCTGCGGATCTTTGGAAATCTTGGATCCAGTACCGTCTTCGACACTGGATCGCCCATCAACATCAACACTCGGTCTCTCTAGTTCACCATTGCCCATGACGCTGCCCGTCATAGGCGGTTCAATCTTCAATTCTTCGGTGGTACTGAGCAGAGTTGTTCTCGTATTCGACCGGCTCCTTGACTTCGGTATCTCTTCCACCTTCAGGGACTTCAGTCTGCTGAACACCACCTGACACATGGTGACCATGGCCATCTCAGCAGACCGTCTGAGTACCTCTGACAGCCTTGACTGGCAGCACATGCTTAACCCGGTGCTCATCATTTCGCAGATACTTTCGTCGCCCAGCAGCTGGCCCTCCGGCCTTGATATGATTAACTCCATGAGCCTGAGAATGCGCAGTAGGACCACCTCATCCGCCGCCGTGTCACTAGCTTCGAACCGGCAATGGGTGATTGCCGCACTGAGAAGGTGCATACCCTGAGAGATTCGTGGCGACCTAACCGTGATGATATTGTACGCAAAGAACTTTGTGATTGATATCACCGCCAGACTAGTAATCGCGGCGCTCGTCGAGGAACTGCGTATGACCTGCAGGAAAGGGTGTAACAATTCGGGAGCATCCACGACAGCCACGTCTCGGCAGCCAGCCAGGTCTCTTCTGAGACGCGCAAAGGCAGTCAACAAGGGGTTATCCTGCATGCTCTTGCCCTTCCGACCTCGTAGGCCCCATCGACTGGCCAGGCTGGAGTTTTCATCGTCCGAGGTGGTGGGGACGTTCAGCCTGGCCATGCCAGGATCCAGAATCACCGGCCCTTTGCTCCGGCGACTCTGCGAGGATGAGCGTAGAAAGTCCTTCTCTTGCAATCTTGTAGCCCCTCCACCCAGAATTGCAGACACCGAAGACTGCGCCCAGCGGGCATGTTTCCGCATGGCAGACGTGATCGTTATGCATTCTTGCGTAATGAGGGCGATTGGGTCGATTGCAATCGCCAGTGTTGAATCAGGGACCATGTCCATCGCAGCCGGTGACGTGGTCTGTATTTGCGAGGGAAAAGGCTGAGGCATCGCGACGCTGGGACGGTGTATATCGTCGTTACGCTCAACATCATTGACGGCGGCCATGGTGGGCCGTGGTGCCGGGGGAGGTGTCCCAGGTGTCGGACCTACGGGCGTGAGGAGTTCATCCTAGTTCTGTCCGATGTCTGCTTTCTTCACCTTTCTCGTGGACTGGGTTTCCAGGTCGATGGAAGACGCTCGGCTAAGCCTATTGCAACAATTTGCCCCAGAAACATATATACCTGACCACAAATGGCCACCTAGTACGTTCGGTCCTCACGTCCGCGCCGCGTTGGACATTGAGTGAAGTGTCCGCAGTTCAATCTGGGAAAGTTTTCCGGGTGTTGTCCACGTGATATTCAGCCTCGTCGGTCTTAGTGTCTTTCTCACGCGTTGGTTTTGATCTCAGCTGTCAATCCTTGAGATGGTGATTACAGTCGAAGGGAAGATGTTTTAAGTATGTCCATGGAATCTATCTATGGCAATGACCGTAGCCGCAGTAGAACGACACAGGGTATACCCGGAATGCAGTCACCTCCAAACGCCTTTCGCCATGCACTCAATAACTGCGGCGACAACGAGTCAGACTCTCGTTTCGTGTCGAACAAAAGAGAAAATCGTCCGAGCGGACACTGACACTCTATGGTCATAATCTGAAATAACCCTCTGTCTCATGAAATCTAAGCCCCAGCCCAACATGTTCCGTGGACGAACTCAGGAGCTGCCATGCTCCTCCGACAACGTCTGCTCTCCTTCCTCAAGTAAGTCCGATATCCTAGCAAGGTTGCCAATTGTTTCTCTTCCTTGCCCCATCAATAGTAGTTTCTCCGCATTTGCAGGTAGCCCCAGATACGCTGGGGGTTCTCGCTCAGGTAAGTGGTCCACCCAGACCATGAAGTCGCAAATTGTTGTCCCAGAAGGAACTTTGAGCGCTTGACCTTCATCTGGAGCTGACACCAGTTCATGGTCATTTTCGTATGCTGCAGGGTCGAATACCTTGTTCACAATTTGACTGAGCAATGAGAAATCGCCTTCATCATCAATCTTGCCACCGTACATCTCGGTGATCAAGGTCCGAAGTAAATCCCAGGGCAGTTTGACAGGTGCGATATTCGATCTTCCTTGTGCAATTGCATCAATCCAGACATCGATAATGAAAGAGCAACACTCGTAGTCACTGTCGTTGAACTCCCAAAGCCCTTTCCAGCCTAGAGTCGGGGCATATCTAAGTCGCTCTTGGAGTACGGCATGCAAGAAGCAGAGCAGTAGGTAAAGCCTGCCTTTCTCGACAGGGGTTCGGGCTCCCCGGTCTGACACCACCGTCAAGGTGTCCTTCATGTTCGCTCTCATGCCGGCTGGCTGTTCAAACACGAGTGTCCTGGAGGCTTGAAGGAGATTGACGGGTATTTTCGGGCTTGACTCCATAGAGAGGAACAATCTGAAGTCATTGTGCGGTTTGAGGGCCGAAAGGCGCTTCTCCAAGCTCTGCAGCCATTGAGGTGCGAGATGGACGTTCTTGATCAAGACCCAGGTACCGTTTGCGGCTGCACTGGTGATGGCTTTATCAGCACTCGCAACACTTTCGTCAGAGCCCATCGCAACATTGGCGCAATTTGCGTTCTGCTTCTCCACAAGGGCATCGACCTTATAACTTGCGTCAAACCCGGGGTTGGAGCAGAGTGCAATCGGGATCGAGGAGTTGACTTGATTGACAATCGTTGCCAGGTCATCAGTACCCTGAAAGATTTCGGATCCAAAAACATTAGCGACGAGTGCCTGTGCTGCGGGCAAAAACCTGTCCGGTCGGGCCAGCTTGACAAGGAGCAACTTATAAAGGTTTTGGTCGATCATATTGTCAGTATCGTTCCAGAGCGTGGGAACACAGTGCTCTGCACGCTCCGCCGAGAGGAACTGTACCCAACTCTTGCTCGTCGGGCCAATCTTGTCGCTCTTGAAAATAGGGATACGGTTCACAGCTGCCAACACGTCCTCGGCGCGAGTGTCACTGGGCACAGTGCCTCGGGAATGCGGTCGGTCTTCTAGTATCAATTCCATGGCAGATCGATCAAATTTGTATGGAGAGGCGCGGACTAGCAGCATTGCCAGGGTGATGCGATCCTTTTGCAACAGAGATAGGGATGTTCGTCGATAAGTCTCAACGAATATGTCCTTCAGGATGATCTCCCCACGTTCTTCGTGATTTGTCTCGTTGGCAAGATGTGGGTTGTTGTGGAGCACTGAGTTGAAAATGTCGATGAAATATGGTAGTGAGAAGCGATACCCATGGTTGAGATGGTGAAGCTGCTCGAGCAAGGCAAAGATGGCACTGCAGGCGTTGGCGATGTGACTGTAGCCTTGTGTGATACGCTCGACTTCTGCCATGACGCCTTCCGTTTCCGCGACCTTCTTTGTGATGACCGCAGCCTCCTTTTTGAGTGTTTCGAGAGTCTGGATGACGTTGTCATCATCAAGAATATTACCCCGGGATTCGTTGAGAGCTTGCAAGAGCCTCTTCTCCAATTGCCTAAGATTTGTATCAAACTCGCCCTGCATTTTGATCAAGTTTGTTCTTCGTTTATCGACATCTGGTCGCTCGGCTTTGAGAACTTCGTTCAAAGACTGTGTCCGTAGACTACTGCGGGTAACGGTGAAGTTGATGAAGGTAGTTCTGCTGCAAACGTCTGGAGCAAAGGCCGCCGAAGGGTCCCGAGTAGATAGATAAAGCTGGAACTGCTCTGAAAAGTCGATCTCTTGCTTGCCAAGCTGGATAAGTACTCGCCCACCAGTCTTCTGGTATTCCTTGTTCAAGACATGCGTCAATATAGGATCCAGATATTCGGCGTCCTGAATCAGAATCGGATTGCCAAAGCGCAGGGCGCTCTCAAGCTGCTTCGTGAAGGCGTCGTCCAGGAAGCTTGTCACCGTTAGCTTCCGTCCTTGGTGTTCTTGTTTCAAGAATTCTGTCACTCTGCCGGGTGGATCAATGATCAACGGATATCGATTGAAGCGCTTGAGCATGATGGCATTCTCCATGCACAAGTCATCAGCTGGAAGAGAGTGACGCTGCCATTGAAGGCGTTCGTCGGCGGACGACAGATATCCAAGGACAGAGCCATCGCTCTTGCAGGAAATGCCGGATTGTGACATATGATGCATCCAATCATCGACCATTGTCTTCCTGAACTGTTGATCGTAGAGACCTCCATATGCCAGGAATGCCGATGCAATGACTACATCTCCAACCAGCGTCTGGATTTGCGTCTCAAACGACTTACTAGCTGCCTCCCATCTGACTCGTTCGGAAGACAGACTGTCGAGCAGACGGAGACTGCGGTCTACCTTCGTCTGAACTCGTGCCATTTCACCCTTGATTGCTTGCGTTTCACTGATGAGGGCAGCATATTCTGTTTTGTAGGTGGCAATGCTCTCCTCTAGCTTAGCGATTCTGTTTTCAATGGCTTTCGCTTCTGCTTTGGTTTGGAGAGCCTTGTCTTCAAGTTGCTCTACCTCAGCACGCAGAGGTCCCACTCGGTCAAGAATCTCAGAGTAATTGACTTGGGCTTCAACCCACTGTACCAGAGGCCCACATGCTTTGCTTGCACGGTTGACCTTCTCAAAGGTGAAGTCATCGTTGGACAGGTAGTCGTGGCGCATCTTCTGCCGTAGACTTGGGGTCATGTCTTTCTCATTGTCGTAATTGACAATGTTTGCAATAAAATCGTCCCGTCGAACAACAGGTTGAATGGCTTTCCAGTTCTCGACCTTGTGACCAAGTAAGGTGCATACTGATTCCAAAGCAAGCTTAACACCAGCTGGAGGATTAGCCATGGACCTCACCTCGGTGAGATGTTGTCTCTTGATATTGCTGACGCTTCGCTGAGCCTCTATGACAGCGGGTTCCGCCTTGGCCAAGTCTTCTAGCACGATCTCCTTCCGGCTAGCGATCTCTTTCTCCTGTTTCTCCAACTCGGTTTGTATCTCAATGGAGGTGGTTTTCTGCGACTCCGCAGTTCGTTGATCTGCAACCATCCGTTGAAGCTTTTCATTCGCCTCGGCGTCCTTTAGCTCCAGCTGATGCTTCTTCTGAGCCAAGCTTGCTCTCAAATCACGTACTTTATCGACAGTATCCCGAAGCTTATCTAGCCCGACGTTGAGGTGACGTTGTTGTTCTTCGAGATCTTCGCGCTTCTCCCTGAAGAGCTTGCGGAACTGCGTAACGAAATCAAGGTAGTGCCGAGGAGTGAGATAAGTGACAATGCCCTGTTGACTCTCCAGTCGCTCATTGGTCTTCTGGACAGAGTAATGTATGTGCACCATTGCGTTAATAATCGTATCGCGGTGCGAGGCAGGAAGCGACAAACCACGATAAGCGACAGGAATGCTATCAGGGGCGGAAAAATTCGGCTTGTCAAGATCGATTGAGTGTGTGAGCTCGTAGCCAACCTGAAAGAGAGCTTGATCCGACCAGTCGCCCATCCAGTTGAGAACACATCTGTTGAACAAGGCCGGGCTGGTGGCTGCCTTCGACGAGAGACCGTCCTGTGGCGGATTCATTGTGAATACGACATGCAGGTTGCGGACAATTTGCTGGGTGAACCACTTGTAAAGCTCTTCTTGCGAATCTAGAAGAAGACCTTGTCGTTGAGCGCCTTCTTTGCAAGCAGTCATGAGAGCAGAGTATTCGTCTCCCTCAAAAAGACCGGGGACTTCTCCATTAGCAAGCAATGTGTTCATCCGCTCCAGGAAACCAGAGTCTAGCACATTGGATTCGTCCATGATGAAGCAAATCTTTTGGCCTCGGCAGCCACATGCTCGGAGAACCCCTCTCAAATCATCATCAAAGTCTTCTGCAGAGTACCGCCCATGGACTTTGATCTGGAAGATAGTCAAACCGTTCATCCAGGCTACGAACCTAGATAGCGTGGTCTTGCCGCTACCGCTGGTGCCGATTAGGATGAGATGGCCTTGTGGTTGCCGGAACACTCGGTCAATGCGCAGAGCATGCTCGAGTACATCATTGAACAACACGAGAGGAACATCAACCTCTTCCTCGCAGAACGTCTTCAGACGTGCCTTGACAAATTCACGTAGTTGTTCTTGCTCAACAGAGACATAATTCTTCGAAAGCCAGTTAGAGAACAGGATCGGTCCCTGTAAGGCTTGATTGATGTCGGCCGTGGGGAAGTGTTCTAGCGCCGTCTGTCGAACCATATCAGATGTCCAAGCCCGCTCGTCTTGTTCTACAAGTCGATCTTGAAACAGTCGCAATGCCTCGTGCGCCCAGATACGAATCAGTCCCTCCAATGAGAGGTGTTCGAGAGGCGCTATAGCCTCGTATATGCCGCGAACCCATCGGGTGAGTTCTCGAGGCGAGTAAACATAGTGAGGCTGAATATCCGGCGTAAATCTGGCTTGAGACTTCAAGTAAAACTCGACCATTGCGTGCGTGAGAGCTTCTGCAAATCCCCGTAGTGACGGTACCACCTTGAGAACAGCGTTGTTGAAGGTCCCATAGATCTGGGTTAAGGAGACCTCGCCAGGATAGTCGACCATGACCACGGGTGCGTGTCTCAAGAATCTGTCTCCCATGGGATGACGTCCCACATCTTCTGGTGGATTGCAAGCGCCGACGAATTGAATACGTTCCAAAGTCACCCACACTCTGTCAGTCGTGCGCCAAAACCCATTTTGTTCCACAAGCTGCCGCAGGAAACTTATAGCGCGCTGAGTACCGTATTTATCGGGGGCAGGAAGATTGATCTCGTCGCAGAAAATGACCAGCCACCGACCAAGTTGGGTGGGGGAAAGCACCATTCCATTGAGGGTCTTCTTATACTCGCAGTATTGCTCAAATGTCTTGATGACGAGCTCTGGCTGCGTGGCACTGGAAAAATTGAGACCGACAACCTCCATATCGGGAAGTTTCCGAAGGGCACTGAAAAGAGTCATTGTTTTACCAGAACCCGGGGGGCCACACAGCATCAATGGTTTATGTTCCGACAACCACGAGTACAGGACATCCTCATGTCGGACCGTATCGATCGTTGGTATGATAACATCAGTTTGCGTGATTGAATGTGTGTTCAGGTCAACTGTTGGGACTTGCGCCTGCCATGGCACCCACTGAGCGTGAGGCAAGGTCACATCATGATCAATGAGAGAAGTAGAGCTGTCGAGGGTCGGTATGTCGACGTTCGTCATTGAAGACAGGAAATCACCGAACTCCTTACGGACCCCTAGAGAAGAATCGCCCACAAAGCTCCAGACGATCGCCAATAGAAGCTTCTTCGAAATAAAGGCCTCTGTCTGCTCGGGATCAAGGGGGAATTCGGGATGGTTCATGTTGTACTCCAGGATAGTGCGGCATCCTTTAGCTAGCAGACTGAACAGACTACCAAGAGCCCTGGCAGTAGTGAATTCCATGATATGCTTGTGAACTGCTGCAGACGATAGTGCTTTCAGAAGAAGATCATCACGCTCCATCAAATCTTTCAGGGTCTCAACCACGTGGCGCTGTGTATCTTGAGCTTTTGTGCTGAGCCCAGCTGCTTTGATCTCATCATCCAAATCCTCAAATGTCCGATCAGCGAGCTTCTGAAGGAAGTGATCTATCATGAGCGACGGGCTGACTGTGTCATCGGAGAACCACACCATGCCACAACGACTGACCGTGGCAAGGGTGGCATATTTGAGGCTCTCGACTTCGAACATGATTCGAACATTTGGCGGCAGGTTTAATCGTTCACCATTCGGGAGCGTCAGTAGTTTGTTGTCGTCGAGAACGCTGTTCAAGTTTTCAACCCATTCGGGATCGACGTCTCCGTCAAAAACGATCCAATGCCGCTTACTGTCCTCGCCACGAAGATTGTCAACGACTTTCCGTAGGATGGCGGTGAACAAGCCATCAGTCCACTCTCGGGTCGTGCTGTCAAGGCTGCCATAGAGTGCTTCCTTGGACATAACCTTCGGGTCAATCACATGGTATACTCCTTCGACTCCTTCGACTTTTTGCAGGGCTTGAAGTAGGACCCTCCATATAGCAGATTTGCCAGAAGCGGATTGTCCAACCATCATGACGCCGTGGTGGATATTTTGTATTTGATACAGCTGAAGGATCTTCGTCATCCAAGCCTCGCTTTCTGTGAGATGCTGCTCTTGCATTACTTGCTTGATTGCCTCCGTCAGCTTGGTCATGTTTGCAGGAACATAATCCACGCCGGGAAAGTCTTCTGCCTGAACTTCGATGAGAATTTCGACGTCTTCTTTGATCAACTTTGGAGACACGGTTTCTCGAATGCTTTGCACAATGATTTGCGGCTCAATGATGCTTTCGTCCCCGGGAATCCCTTCTGGCGTTTGCATCCGGACCCTCTTGAGCCCGCCAGAGCTAATCAGGACACTTTTCAGCGCTCTTAGACCGAAATCGTAGTGAGGTTGCTTCGAAAGCCGCTGCGCACAGTGGTCGAAGAACGGGACGACCTGGTGTGAAATATACCTGGCTTGCTTGAAGCCTTGCGAGAAAAGCATGACTTCGGCGATAAGCTCCTTGTCTGGCTTAGACATTGCAACACTCCTAAAGAGCTTCTTCAAATTGTCTGGCAGGTTGGAACGGCCGGCGTATCCAGGATTCATCGTGATGAACAAGCCAGAATTTGGGTTGACTCTGAAGCGGCGCCCAACCAGGTCGATTTGCGCCTTCTGCTCGTTGGTGGAGTTTTTGAGGCCAATTTGTATATTTTGAATCTGTTGTGACACAGCGGAGAGAATTCGTTCTTCGAGACGATTAAATTCATCAAAACAACCCCAAGCCCCAACCTGACATAGTCCTAGGAATATGCGGCCCATTGCCTGGAAGTCGAAGGTGTCGTCGCAGCAGAAGACCAATGTGAACCGGCCTAGTTGAAGCCCTAGGGCCTTGACTGATTCAGTCTTTCCAGTTCCTGCAGGACCATACGGTGAACCCCCGAGTCTTTGGCAAATAGCTTGTGTAAGGGTCAAAAAGCAACGATCGGTCAGTGGTGTTCGAACCAGGCGATCTGGCACACCAAGATATTCATAACCATAGTCCAGGTCTGCATTTGCCATTTGAATGCGAAGACGGTTCATCAGATCTGCATTGGGATCATAAACGTACCGCATCTGCAGAAGCCAGAGATAATGTCCAGGTGTATTTGCTTCGGCTTCCATGAGCTTTGCGATCACGTCTCGTTGATGAACAGCCTCAGTGATGAAGTGCTCGCACTTCTTGCGAGTTAAGGCGGGAAGGTCTTGCAATACGCTCTCGGCCAGGACGTCGAGCAGACGCACTTCATACTCGTGAAGTTTCGATAATCCTTGGCCGCCACCTTCAAGCGCTTCTTGAACAAGCTCGGTCCATACGACTTGCGCCGCTAGGATCATTATCTGAGCAGGGAAGCACGTCATATACTCTTGAAATTGGTGAACGTCGAGTTCAGGCGCAGTGAACAACGGCTTGAAAGCAGTGGCAGCTTCCGCAAGCAACTCGGCCAACGTCTGCTTGACACTGGTATCGAGAGCTGTAAGCCAATCGTTGATTTTGGGGAGTTTGATGAGAGAAACTTCCTTCTTCAGCCTGACGATCTCGCCTTCCTTTGAGGTAATAGCTGCAATGGTATTGTCATCAGTCACTTCCGCACCAGATATCCCAGCAAACATCTTCTTGAAGTGCTTTGCGACGCGGCTGCTGTCATTGCTGTTGCCAATGATCTCGAGCAAGTCTTCATCACCAACAAAATAGAATCGAGGGAAAGAGACACGCTCCCGTTCGAGGTACTCGCCCAAGGCCTTCTGAATTTTGCTCAAGAGTTCCGCTAGACGTTCTAAAGATTTCTGCACTCCAGGGATCGCGAGGACATCCATGACAAAGGGAGATTTATAGACCTTCTTCATGACCGCGGAAAATTCTGTGTTGATGTTCGAGAATCTGCTGGACTCGGTGGGCAGAAGATGTTTGATATCGTTGTTGCCAGTGAAGACGCCTTCTAAGTAGACCCACTGTCGCTGGACGTCAATCCAGATATCGAACAGAACATGGACGCGATTCAGCTTGTCTTCCCACGACGAGGCTTCTTCCTCAAACTCTTTGTAATACGGAGAGTGCCGCATAGCTTGAAGGGAATTCAGGTTCTCACTGCATTTCGAGAAAAGGTCATCCCAGCCCCGAATGAGTCGGCACTTGTTCTGATAGTTTACCAGATCAAGTGGATAGCTTTGCCAAGTCTCCCGTACTTGTCGAACGAACTCTTCAAGGGCCAACTCTCCCCTTGCTTGCACGATAATGTCCCGGATAGTGGCTTCGCTGGTGATCAACTGAAGATCCCAGACATCGCCCAAGGTCATCGATACCTCGGAGTATCTCTTGTTGGGCTTCAAGGCTTTGTAGATCTTCAACCAGTGTCTTTCTCGAATGGCATCGGACTTGAGGTCGTTCAGAAGTGGATTTGCCTTGATCAACTGGCGTAGAACTGTCTGGACGTGCTCGAAAGCCGCATATTGCCGCATTCGACTGGGCATCTCTTTCGTCATCTTCACTAGGCCATCTAATGATTGACGAAGCTTTCGTGGTTGTAAACTCGTCCACAACATATCGCGGAGTTCGTTAATGCTTTGCCATATCGTTGACAGCGCCGACCAGACAGACTTGAAATCGCTCACTTCCTCCAAAGCAGCAGCTAAAGAATCATCCCGGGTGGATGGCAATGCAAGGGCTTCTTTTGCTCGCGAGACAGTTTCGGCTTCTGCTTGCAACTTCTCCATACGGGCTTGATACACACGCAAGAGCTCGGCGGCTTCTCCAGGTGGTATTGTTCCGGAAACCGGCTTCTCCTCTGTCCACTGAGCAACCACATCAGCAATGCGGCTGCCGATAACGCGATCTTCTGCAATGATGTTGGCCCGCAACGCATCTGTCTGATCTTCAACGACCTTGCTTTTGCGATTCAATATCTCTTCGAAAGCATCCCATTCGTCACTGAGTTGGTTTGCAGAGAGCCAATCACTCGCAAAATTGTACCGCTGCCTTGAAAGTGTAGTCTGGCCTTGCCTGAAGATCTCGACTTCAGGCCCCCAAATCATAGCATTTCGTCTGCATTGTTGGACAATAGTGATGAATGCAACGGCTTGCGCCGTGGATGACGCCTCAAGGGAGTGATTTTCGAGCTCGAGGCGCGATCGCTTCATATCGGTGTACACTTCCGCCATGCGATTGCCGAGAATGCCACCAAATTTGCTGGTTATCTCATATTGCCATTGATCATACTTCTGCGTGATCTTTGATTGGACTTGCTCATAATCGAAGACAACACTGCCAAAACCCTTGCGTCCCTCAGAGGTATCAAAAGTCGAACGAGCATGACGGACTTCTTGTAGTAACTGGTGCCATTGGGCGAGATCGTCACCAAGGCTCTCATGTAATTGATCACTCCGGAGATCCCACAAATTCTGATAGGTGTACCACTCCTCGAGGTAGACAGCCATGTTTTCGATCCTACTATCGATGGCGCTGTAGGCGGACTGCAGAACCTCTACATTCTGCAATGGCAGATCTGTGAATGAAGGCGTTGCTTGTGGTGAGCCGATATCCGCAGTCACTGAGTATCGAGAAGCTCTGACCTGCGGCAAGTGACACAAAACCTCCAGCCAGTCTTCTAGCTGGAGTACCCACGATGCCCTGACGAAGTTGAGAGGAGGGTCGACGAAAACTGTTTGATTGTTCATCATTATCTCGACTTGTGTGAGGGGAAACTGAACATGGTGCATTGCCTCCTCTGAGGCTGGGTATTGTTCATCCGTTGAAGTGAAAGACGCGATCCAGTACTTCAGTGCAGCTCGTAATCGTTCCTCAAAGATATGGCGCAGTTGCAAGTTTAATTGAGACACCCAGTTAGAGAGATTTGAGTAGTTCTCCAAGTTCATCTTGTCCACAGCGTTCTGGATAATGTCCATTTGAGCTTGGAAATTCTTCGCAGTGTAAGGGCAGCTCTTCATCTCCGAAAGAGCAACTTGGATGCTCTGATCAAGGCTTCGTACAGTCGCAGTCTTGCTTTGCAGAGTTGTGACCGCGGAAGCCAAGTCACGAACATACTGCACATGAGCCGAGTCGTTGGTAGTGGCTTTTCCTTTGATGTGCAATTCGTAGGAATGGATGAAAGAGTCCCATCGTAACTTGATGCCGGTGGCAAAGAGACTCTGCACTTCCTTCTCATAGCCTGCCATCAGAGGTGCGGTGTTGGGCATTTCCTGAATGGCTCGGACAGCGGAAAAGTACCCTGCAACACTTTCCATAAGACTCAAAGCGTACGGATACACGCGCTGAGCTTGTTTCGCGGTTGTTGCTATCCGGTGCGGGATTTGGTAATTCAGCCAGCTCAGATTTCTGACCTCCTTGAACAGAGAAATGGCATGGTTGTCAAAGTTCACAATGAGTTCCATAGCACCGTTGGCTGTACGACTCCGGGAGATGGAGAACAACCTACCGGTAACGGAGATGTCTCTCGCTTGAACATCCCTAAGCCATGCTTCATAGATGTCTCTCGTTGTGAGCTTCTTTCGAAACAGGTTGCTCTCAGCTTCCAACTTCTCGCCGTCTGTATGCAGCATCCAGTCCTCTCCCAGGACGGCTTGGACCTTGGACATGTAGTTATTCAACTGTGCTTCGATTTGACGGACCCATAGAATTGCACCTGCTACAGGAGGGATGTCGCGAAGTTGAGCCATCATCTGTGCTTCGGAGCCACCGTACTGTTGTTTGAATCTTTCGTGGAGAGAGGCGATAGCGTTCTTGACATTGTCCAGGAGCTGAGTTTGATATGCTGCGATGGCCCCTCGAACTTTCGGTCTGACCAGTAAAGCGTTGAACTTTTCGAAAACTCGAAACATTTCGTTTGCCGTCTTCGCTTTGCCCAAGCGATCCCTTAACCTTGCAATGATAGAATCCTCCACTCGAGATGTCCGCTCGGTGTACTGCATCTCAGCCTGGACCCAAATTTCTGTTCCTTTTGGAGACACGTCCAGCACATCCACGTGGCGGACTATGTCATAGGCACCGGCAACTTCTTCAACGGCATCAACGTCTCCTAGCTCCTCGATGATAGCAGCTCCGCCATCATCCGCTGGTCGGGTTGAGTCGGTCGTGTGGGCTTTGGATCCAAGTACGTTGATAATCGTTCGGCGCAGTTGTTCGTGGTCGTTTCGGAAGCGGTAGACGTACCGCAGTCGCTCCTGAGTTTGGGCGTGTCTAGGAACTATCTTTACGGGCACAAAGTCGGTGTTTTTGCGTCTTGTAATCTCCCGAGCAACAGCTGTGAAACTTTTCATTTGATCATCCCAAGTCTCCCAGACCAGATTGACCGAGTTCATCAGATCGGTAAACTCATCCCAGCTGAGTGACATTATCGAGCGGCCTTGAAGGAGACGCAGAATTTGAGTATTCATGTCCTCCGACATACCCTCCACCAGCCTGAGTGCTCGGCGGATGGGGTAGCTGCACACCCTCCATTTCTTGTTCAGGTGATTAAAGATTAGGACAAGGGCTTCTGCCAGCTTTTGCAGGGACGTTGCAGAAGACAATTCCTCCAACGGGAAGTCTCTCATGAGAGTGTTGTAGTTCCGCACGACTTCGAGGGCGTCTCTCCAGCCGGTGTCGGTTTCGAAACTTACGACCGCCTGTTGCCGCTTGGCCTTCTTCAGAATGTCCAACGTCAAACGGACGTGGTCGAGACTTATTTCTTCCACTAGTTTGTTCAATGAAGCCTCCAGAGACAGCCAAAAACTGATCTCTTGCGCCGCAGAGGTCTGTGTCGGGGTTGCATCCTTGACATCCTTGGTCAATTTGGTAATATTCTGTATGGACTTGATCCACCCAATGACATGATTTTGAATGCTGTTCAGAACAGTGGTATTCTCAAGGACGTGGGCCGGAATCAATTGCACAGAAGGTGACATGCCTTGGGCTTCGGCATTTTGCAAGGCTCCCATTACCACTTCGTGAATTGGCAGGTGTATCATTGGAATATCAGTGTTTTGTTGCAGGTGCAGCAGGCTCATTTCCAGCTCCGCCATTCTTCTCTTCGCACCAGGAATCCCGCCTTTCGCCTGAGGATCATACCAATTCCGGTTTGTGGAGCCATGCTGTCGGGTGTACGCCTCAAAGTACGGGCTGAGAACGTTGTGGAGGAGTGAGTAGACTACTTCGTAGGGTGAGATAACATCTCCGCCGGTATTTGCTTCACCTCCAATATTGTAGGAACCCGGGAGATTGAAGACTTGAATCTGACTGACAATCGACTTTCGTCCATCAAGCGGCCCAGAGAGTTTTAGAAAAGCGATTGTGGCAACAGTCGTCGGTGCAGGGGACAACTCGGACGAGAGGGTATAGAGGTGTTCGATTTCTGCCAATCGATTAGAAGTCGTCACCTTCAGAGGCCGGTTTGTAACTGACTTGGAGTATCATCATGGCCGTTAACCAAATCTTCCCGTACATCCTTCTGCGCATAGAGAGTAATTTGAGGATCGACGGCAAATCGAGCACATTTGTTGAGGGACTCGGGACGACTGGCTTTGGACAAAAGGCTGCCAACTGCTTCGAGCTCTCTTCTTGCGGCACCCAGTGTAGTCTCAATCAGATTCGCGATGTGTTCGAGGACGTCAAGGGGATCCACGGGTTCCAAGATCGTCGTAGAACCGGGATCCCCGTTGGGAGTGCTAGTCGAAAGGACGTCCATAGGGAATAGGTCTATCAGTCTGGCAGAAGAACAAATTCGACGACTGAGACATTTGCCAGCATATCAGAAGGCCTCCGGCGCCGGCGCAATGCTGACAAGAACAGGCGTCCGTGGCGACGGAGAAGAGTTGGGGATGAAGGATATAGGGAGAAAATAATTGATGATTGCAGGCGTCGATTTGTACAGGTATCAACTGGGAATCGCGCAGGGCCCGCAGACGCGTTGCGTTGGTTGCGTTGGAAGTGGCCGTGCATGGTTTGGCTCTGGGAGGCTCGGGAGGGTCCTTGTGCCAAGGAAACGGTTGGGGGCTTTTGGGAGCCCGCGGGCCAGTCAAATCGCGGGCAGGCGAGGGTGGCTAATCAAGCTAGTCAGTCCCCTGTGGGTGCCCTGGATGCGTCCAGGGGCCGCTTGAACACCTGCTCGTGCTGGCTACCTGGGTTAATATTATTGAGACATACGGAGTACCTGGTGACATGGCAGATGTGTACTTAATTTCGCATGCAAGCAGATACTTTAACGCAACAGGAGATCACCTGAGCACATGAATTTGATGCTATTCCTCCTTTCAGTCCAGGCCGATTTGCTGTATGTCAACTTCTCGGCAATATCATGGGGTATCATTGCGATGAAAGCTTAGAAAATGTTCCCGGATCCGTTCCTTCGTCCCTCATTCCTGGAGTCCGCATGGGGTACTCCACGCTCGTTGAGAGTCCACTTGGACGGTTCGTGCAGTCCTTGCAATTGCTTCCTGTGTGGTCCTGTTCTGTCGAATCTGTTTCATACCACTCTTTCCATGAAGAGTGGTTACGCGACCACTTTGGAGGGGAGAGCACGTATTGCCCGGCATTCGCGTACCAGGGAAAGGTGTCTCTGGCAGTTTCGACGGCGAGACCAGTGTCGCGCGGGACAGGCGGTGAAGCCTCCCTGGAAGCCAGACCAGAATTGTGTCAAGCACGCGGACTTTCCAGGCTGGCCTAGTCCTTGAGCAAATGTTGCGGCTGAACCAGATTGTCAGGACCGCGCCGTGCTCCTGAAGCTCTGTGCGGCAGCTGTTGGAGAATCGTTGGAAGAGGTGCCCGTCCGAGGGCAGACCTCCAAAAATCACTTGGCGATCCCTATTGATTTGCTCCTGTTACGTTGTTGTTCCATAGAATCATTGGTCATCGACCGGACCGCCATGGCATATTCTATGTCAGCATCGGAGGAGGTATCTTCAGAAGACCGCCTTTGCAGCCAACTGGTTTGGTTTTTGAGCATTCGAGTGTCACTGGACTCTCGTTGGGGATCGGCGTAGTCAATCGCGTCAAAAGGGTTCTCCTCCGGGTCCCGATCTCTCGAGCCATTCCGAGCAACGTCTCCGTTTTCCAGATGGGCCGAGCGGCCGTCTTTCAGCTCGTCCCACCGAGGCTTAATATAGTCATCCTCAGGACTAGGTAATATTGGTAGGGGCCCGACCGGGAGAGGCCTGTCCCCATTTGGTGGTGGAGGCGGTGCGGTCCAATTATTGGCGGTATTCACGTCCTCCTTGTGCTTCTTGTTGCGATGATCTGCCGCGTCCAAAGCAAAGCTGCCGAGCCGGCTCATTTTGAAGGCCCTCAATCGATCCAAGGCTGTTTTGAAATCGTCCAAGACAACTGAGTCGGTCAAACACTTGAACACAAAGGACAGCTTCCAGAATGGGTTGATGCCCACGGGTAACGCAGACTTGAGGGCCGAGGTGACCGACAGGACATCCAGAATTATAAAACATATGCTGAGAACCATGGCACCCAGCATAACAGCAAAGCGAGGAGATATGCGAACAATTTGCGTCAGAGTCAGATCGTACTTGGTTTTGATGTTGTAGATCAAGAGGCAGGCCGCCAATATCCACCAGGGATCCCGACATAGTGCTTCCCACGGCCGTGTCCTCAGGAAGATCTTGTTGACATCGTGAAAGTACGTGAAGTTCGCGTAGATCTCGACAATCCAATACGGAATGACCAAAATTATAGTGCCGATGAAAAATCCGCTGACAGTTTTGTTGAGGAAAGGCCTCAATTTCATCCAGGCGATGACGTTATGCAACCACCAGGAGGTATTGAGCGGAATGGCGGCTATGGAGAGCCACCAGGCGTACACAGGCGGGTTGAACAGAATGAAGAAGCCTTGCCAATACCCGAGAACGAGCTGTCACACCGAGTCATCTGATCAGTGACCGTAGCAACAACATAAAGGGTCGAAGGAGCGGAAGAACTCCGAACTTACCTCGAGCAAAATCAGCTTGTGCAGCAGAACGCCTTTCCGCATGTTTGCCAATGTGATGCAGGACATGATGATGAGCGACCCGACCATGTAGCCCTGCGCTGTTGTCTCTCAACAGATTTTGGTTGTCAGCCATTTGTTCTTATACGTGGATTGTACAACGGCCGGAAGACAAGGCACTACCCACCCCACGCTTCGAGCACAAGTCCATTCGGGTCAGTAGGTCTCTGTTCTGGATTATCAGGGTCATCGCGCCTAATCCAGGTATGCAGGACATGTTCAATCGTCGGAATAGGGCTCATGTTTGTCCGGCTTCCAAAGCACCGCAACCCATGCGCAACGAGCAAAAGGGCGATAGTCCGAGTGCGCCCATTAAGACTGAATGCTCTGCGACACCCTGCGCATAGCCGAGCTGAAGACGGGTAAAGCTGCCCTCAATCGATCTTTGAAGCGGACAAGTGGGCTTTTAGACGCTGAGGAACGTGAAAGCTAGTCGATGGGCGACAGGAAGGGGAGCGAGTGATGTAGACGGAGGCAGTCGGCGGACACGCGATAGGTATGTTCGCTAGGTGAGCGACGAGCGACGACGACGGAATGATCGCACAGGAGTCGAGGAGAGAAGTAAGATGTAGATGGTATGGACAAGAGGGACGAGGTAGGAAGCGAAGTATTATGGTCATGGAGCCAAAATGAAAAATGCGGGTGAGTGGGAAAAAAGGTGGAGGGCCCATTGCCCGTTGGCCGGTGGCCGCACATCACTGACGTTCCAGCCGGTCGAGGTGAAAACCGTGCACTCTCCACACCGACACACGCACGAGACAGTCAGACCCTGCCTTGCCTACCAAAACGCCATCGGCACCTGAGACCCAGACCTGGTCCTGGGGAATTTGGGGGCAAAGGAATTCCGCAACAAAAGAGCGTTGGCCGGGGGCAAGGATGGTCAAGGCGGGTTGCTAGTGGTGGACGAGATGTTCTCGTTACGCCATTTTTCGGTCAATCAGTCCCTTCTCGGGTTAAAGCGAGAGCTTACGACGCCCAAGCTAAAAGCACACGCACCGGAAAAGAGCCTATTGACCACATCCCCTAGGCGAGATCCAAGCTGAAGCCCAAGACTCCAAGAGGCAGGAAGTCCACCAGCCGGAGCCCCAGATCATGAGTTGCTGGCAATGCTGGGCCGCTCGCGTGTTTCGAGTGTCGATCAACCTCGATTGCCTCGTATCGGTCCCCGTGTCCATTTCATTCCCCAACAAACAACCATGACTCCTTTACTCGTACGAGGTACAGCGTTGATGGTCACAGATTTCGATTAAACCGAGTCGTGGTTCACGTATTCTTTCCTCAGCCGGTACAGCATCGAGTCCGGTCACACAGCCGAGCTCAACCGTTTGGAGCTCTACCAACGGAATATTTCCACCCCGCCCACAGCAACCGTTTGAGCATGTCTGAATGCCTCGATGTGTCTGAGCCCTGAAACCTGCAGCAATGTGAAGGATGGACTTCGGCAACTCTGAATGTGGCCCGTTCAGGACAATGAATGCACACAATAATTAGGTGGTCCAAGCTTTGATGCAGCTACTCAAGTTTGGTGGCTGATGGCAAACCGCTGGCTGGTGCTGGGGTGCTGGCCACCACCAACGGGGCCACCCCATTTGGAAGTCGGGTGCTCATGATTCATCTGATGACCTCGAGTCTTGACTCTTGGATCATCCATCGAATCAATGATTATCCGATCAAGCCCCTTCTCCATTAGCAGTCTAGGTATATTATCCATGCCACGTAGAGCAGAAGATGCTCCGTATATACACCCCTTTCTCGAATACAAAGGAAAGCTCAGGGCTTCGTCGAGTCGTCAGAACCACCCTCCGTACTTGATGTGACGGTGTTTTGTGACCCTTTCCGCAGTAAATGCGTTGGGTGTTGCGGGGACCCCTGATTCTCATTCTGATTGTGATGCTGATGCCGATCCTGGGCTGGTCCTTTGGATCCTCTTGGTTGAGTCCTGCACCTTGGACCCAGTTAAACGGTCCTGGCCAGTGGCCAGTAGCTACCAATCCACAAGGCCATTTTTCCTTTCGCTTGGGTGTGAGTTTGCACGAGTGCTGGGCTCTGCATACGCGCCGCTGCCCTCTGCAAGGAGTGCTTGTACAATTAGTTCCGTGACAAATTGAGGAAAGCCCCTCGTTCAAATACCGGTCCCGAAGTTTCTTTAATGGCCAGCAGAACCTGCCACAGTACGAGAACTGCAAAACTCAGGGGCCTTGCCCTGCGTCGTGCGTTGCTTCAACTTCACAGCTCCCCTCCGAAACCCCGGGGTTTCTCCATGAATACTCGAGGCTTATCTCCTGCCTGTCGATCGATGGTCCTCTGTACAATCGAAAGGCAAGCAATTTCCTACGTTCTGCTGCCCACTACCAACAGTCGCAGGGGCACCTAGACGAGACGAGCATGACGCGCCCGTCAAGGCATTGGCTCGTCACGACAAGCCCCGCTCTTGAGTTTCCATGCCTGCGAGGACGCCGGCACCAATGATGCCGCCATCCCGCGCTTCTCTTAAGAACACACTCTTGCCGCCGTCCTGAGGACCTGCTCTCATCACGAGGCGGTCGATGAACCGTTGGCATTGTTCTTTGAAGTTGGGGTAGTGCTGGATAATCCCACCGGTGTAAGCGATGACCAATTCTTCTGGTCCTGACTTCCAGGCGGTGGCGCCAGGAGCGGGCGAAAGACCATCTCTCGCGTCACGCTGTGGGAGAGCAGGAACGCTTGACTTGGGAGATGCTGGCTTACTGTCGGTCAAGACCATGCCCTCAGTGAGTGACGCAGGGCTGCCGGGCTCCGTCAACGCGATCTCGCCCACGGTAGCCAGAAGCCCGACCGTCGCAGCAGCAATAAGTCCGGCGGACCGTATCTGAACCATCTGCGCAATTTTGCGAAGCGCGCCCGCCGAATGCGGTGACCAACCCCAGTTCGAAGATTCCGGAGGCGGGATGCGACGCTTCAGTTCGCCCGCCAATTCGGAATCAGACCGGGCCCGTGCAACAACTGCACTCACAAACGTAGTGCTAAAACTATAGCTGTGTACAATCGTGGCGGGGAGAGACGCTGCTGGCACCGGTGGTTTGTGGGCACGCGTCATGTAGTCAAAGAAAATGATGCGAATCAGCTCCCCAATATACCGGCCTCCGGTCATATATTCAAAAGGTTGAAAGCCGGGTCGCGCACACTCTCGATCCAATTGACGATCCCAGCCAGTGGTAATATCTTGTAAAGGTCCGCAAGCACCCGCGATCGTCATTTCAGTATTCACGACCGTTTCGGTAGCGTCAGGTTTGTTCTTCTTGATTGGGTCCACTTTGGTCTCACCCAAGCTGGAGAACTTCATAGGTATCGTAGCGTTACACCCTGTGCCGACAATGATACCAGCAACAACTCGCGAATTTGGAAGGGACTTGACGCTGTATGCCAGGGAAGCGAGAGTGGCAATCGTGTCGTTCGTGATGGCCGTGATCTTCAGCCGGGGCAGAGGTCCCAGCTTTCTTCGCTTTGCTTTCGGAGACGAGCTTGTAGGAGACTGTCGCCGAGTGTGGCGGGCGTAGCCTTGTAATAGAGTAGATCCAAGGTCAAGGTCAGAACTGATGGTGAACCCTTTTCCCATGGGCATCAACGTCGCAGCGGATATCTCGGTTTGCCTTGATTCCCTTGTCAGTAGCTGGAGGTCTGGATGAGCCGTCGGACTTACATCATCGGAAAGCTGAAAGTGATGCCCATTGGGAGCTCGTCTGGAACAGCCACTTTGCCCATGTCTGAAGTCAACCGATCTCCAACGACCTCGGCTATACAGTCGCCAATCCAGGCGAAAAGGTCCTCTGTCTTGTCCATCTTCAAATGCTCTCCGATGGGCCATGCTTTCTCCAACGTCCGGCGGACGCGAGGACGTTGAGCGTTCCGAATCGTCTCACGTGACCGTTCCACGCCATTGGCTGTAGGCAGCAGTTCCTCCGCGTCGCCCAACAGTTCTATGAATGCGACTCGCAGGTTAGTGCCTCCAACATCGATGGCCAGAAATTGGCCAGTCTCATGTCCAGTGGGTAGTTTGGTGACGGGAGTAGGCAGAAATTGCTCCTCGGAACAAATGGCTAGTTCCGCATATACCTTGGAGAACTTGTATGCCAGGCTGTGTACCACGTTGTCGTCGATAAGCAGCGGCTGAATAAACGCGTCGAGTTCATGCTCGAGGTCATCGGGCGGGGGGCTTCCATTGCTGACTGACCGGTGCGAGGCTTGCTCTGACATAGTGGTGGCCGATCTGGGAGTTTTGCAAACTCGGATGGCTGAAAGGTGCCCAAATTGGTACGGAGAAGACTCGTACACTCACGTGCGAGGCGACCAGGTCAGCCTCGGAAAAGGAGGATGAGTTGGAGTGACCTGGCAACAGGTGCCAGGGCAATTGGGATATTTCGGATTGTCAAGGTCAGTTCGAGAATCAAGTTTCGGTAGCGGAACAGTGAAGGTTCATAGATGAAACAGACCCCGGATAGAGAGTCTGTGCCCGTGAAGAACAGGAGTCGATTGGTATATCTCGTGGTTCAGATGTGACCCTGGGAAGTCGGAATGTGACGCTGGGACTTGAAGGAGGGAAAAGGGAAAAGTCAGCCTCAAGCACTTTTTTTTTCGAGTGCGAATCAGCAAGCATCTGAAAAAGGTTTCAGGGCATCTTTAGGCGCACAGGCCCCAGCGGAGACCAACAGCAGCTGGAGGCTTTTTGTGCACAAGGTGCAGTGCAGTGGCTAAGAATGAATGAGGCTTGGGAGGGGTGGTAAGAAAGGGGAGGCCAATGTGGGAGGCCACAGGAGGCTGCCTCTGATGTGCGGGAATGGTGGGAACGGGGACGGAGAACGGAGTACTCCAGACCGCCTGCCACATGGCTACTCGGCCCTCCTGTACTAGTAGGCTGTAGGTACTAGCCGAGTACCTAAGGTTACCTAGGTACCTAGGTACCTTAAGGTAGGGCGACCACCGCTTTTCGGAGCTCGCTATGGGCCACAAAAGATGAAGTCATTCTTGATGCCTCCATAAAGATCCCCCTTAACTGGATCTGGGCCAGTTGGACCTGCGATAACGGCAGGGCTGGAGTTCAGGCTGGTGGTACCGAGTACAAGGTACTTTCTGTCTTTACCAGATCGACCCCCGTAGGCTGCCTTCCCGAGGAGCTGCTCGAGCATTCTTTCTTGCCATCTATCTATCAAAAGGGTATCAGGACCTAGTAGGTAGGGATCTTTCTGTCAAGATGATTTGTCACATCATCTCGAGAGTTGGTACCAAGCGCCGCAGGCAGACGACTTTTGGCAGTGAATAAATGTGCCACGGAGTACTCCGGGGTCGCCATTATTCGGTTCCTGCCACTGACTGTGCTGCACGAACCCCGCAGGGGTGTCCGCTACGGGCTTGCATGACTGGAAAGCTTGTACCTAGGTAGGTAGACTTGCCAAGACGATCCCATCCCCTCATCTCGACATACCGACAACTGCAAAAACCACTTGCATCCAAACCCTCCCTCACGCTAGTACACACTGAAAGCACTCGCACCCACCATGGCTCTCCAGACGCCGCATGCCGAGGAAAAGCTCCCGCTACACAAACGCGCCGAGTCTACGCCTCATGCGCTACCCAGGCAGCACGGCCTTCGAAAACATTACTTCGTAAGGCGAGTCATTCCAGCCATCCTGACGATACTGGTGATCTTCTCCCTGTTCCGCACTACGTTCGTCTGCCATCACCACTATAACCCAACCTTGTCCCGAACGTCCTCAAATGTCGCGGACAATGAGCCCTCGGGAAACAAAGTCCCTCTGGAAATACATGTCATGTCCAAATGTCCAGACGCTCGGGATTGCCTGCGCCAGCTGATTGTGCCGACCATGATCCAAGTGAATGAAAAGGTCAATTTCACAATGTCATTTATAGGAAGGTAGGTTATCCTGCCCCTGGCCGAACATCAATTCATAGCTGACACGGCCACAGCATCGATCCCGACTCCGACGCGGTTTCATGTAAACATGGACCGGGCGAATGCTTAGGCAACATCATTCTCCTCTGCGCAGCTAAAGTCTATCCCGAAGTCAAACTCTGGCTCGGATTTGCCAACTGCATGATCTCCGAATTTCCAGACATCCCAAAGCGAGACCTGGTCCAGAGCTGTGCCATGGAACACGGTCTTGACTTCCAGCAGCTCAATTCATGCATCAGTGACGAAGGAGAAGGAATCGATCTGCTTCGAGCCAGCATCGAGAGGAGCCAGGAGAACAATGTGACAAAGAGTTGCACAGTTAGGCTGGCAGAAAAGGTTCGGTGCATCCGTGACGGAGGGAAATGGTATGATTGTCCAGGAGGCAGTTCTGTGAACGCTCTTGTTCGTGATATCAACAAGTTGTATGGCTAGGATGGCGTGTCGCTTCTTGGTTGCTTGCCAACTCTGGGAGATTTCGGTGTTGTTCAGCTTGCATGATACCCGAGCCCGACATGATCAGCTCTCCTGAGCTTCATAGATGCGGCCTCATCACATTGGCGTTCTGCAGGCTTCGATATCGTCATTTGTGGTTTGATCCATCCATTCAGATATATCTGAACATGTTTTCCCGGACGCCTCGCTTCATGGCAACAGGCTTGCCGTCCTCTAGCTCGACTCCAGACTCTCCCCCATCTCCTGCTAGATTCTCCATCGCTCGCCGCATTTCCTCATCAGCGTCAGCCATGCTCTTGTGTGTCTTCTTCAGCTTGTCAAAGCCTTCTTTCTTTTTTGCACTGCCCGCTGCATTGGCTGATTTGTCCCCAGAGTCCGTCTTAGCACTCGACGAAGACGTGAAGCGATGCTGGCTTAGCACGTAATTTGTGACTAATGGTCGGCCACGACAAATAGCCGTGGAGAGAGCTAGTACCTGCTGTTTCATTATTGCAGATACCCGAACTAGGAATGCTCTTCCAGCCCCAGATTGCCCTTGAGAGAAGGGCAACTTATTAAGACAAGCAAATATTCACGGTCGGAGGTATTGCGTAGGGGTGCACGACCAGAATCACTTGTGATCCAATGATATGCAAGGAAATTGCCGAGCGCGGGGATTTTATTCCAGCCAACCATGTTCCTAGACTACCTACTAGCGCGGCTACTAGCAGGTAGACATTTCCAAGCCCCGATAGAGTCACTTACATCTCAGATCTCAGATGTGACTCTCCCTACATCCTGCGACTTTCACCTTAACCTCATCTCTGTCCTATTCCTTAAAGAAAAACCTCTGAATCTCGAGCGCTTATCTAGTACGGCCCGGACTCTGAGGAATACAAGAGGGCGAGGATGGCGACACAACAGTATTATGAGCTGTACCGGGGCAGCAGGTAGGTCGCCCTCTGCCACCTGGCGCCTGTTGAGGTGTTACGTCCTTGCCGCACAGCGACACACTCAGGAGATTAGCCTGAGAAGATGTTGACCGATTATGCAGCATCGGCGAAGCGCTGATTGATACAATTGACGATCTCATCAACGACGGCCGCATCGAACCCCAACTGGCTATGAAGATCCTCAGCAACTTCGATCGCGCGATCGCCGAAACACTCGCAGAGAAGGTCAAGTCGAGATTGACGTTCAAGGTTGGCGTCACAGTTCGACAATACCACGTTAGATCTGCTGACGGTCACTTTAGGGGCACCTGGAGACCTATCGATTCTGCGACGACGTGTGGACATTCCTCGTTAAGGACGTCAGGTTCAAGAGCGACGGTGGTCAAGAGTTTCACGCGGACAAGGTCAAGATTGTCAGCTGCAATTCAAAGAAACCCGGCGAGGCATAATTTGCTTCATACTGTCAGGATGCTTGAATGAACGAGGGCATGATTATTCAACGGCGGTGCTCTATTATTAGGATTGCATTATGGATTGCGCATGCAGATTTCGGATGCTGCTACGATATACCCTTTGGTGAACGGGACAGAACACGATCGGGAACGCTTCCATGGAGTTGATGGCTTTGGTATGGGTTATGCGCAGTCGACATGAAATGGAAGAATGATACCCCGGGCTGATTAGATGCAGCTGAGGCTGCAAGAAGGCAGATATCAAAATCAAATGTTCTTGCATAATCGCTTCTTCGTGCTGAAGTTCATTCATACTTCGTTAGCTCTTGACTGTAGGCATAGCATTCAGCTTTGTGAGAGAGACGCAGACTGAGGGAGGCCGGGGTGCAGAGTGGGGCACCAAGATTCAGCAGTTGCGGCCTCAGCAAACACGAAACCCTGTTGTTCACACTTCCCGTCGCGACCATGGATCACTGCCTTTGACGTCTGCCTTCAACCAAGAGGGCAGACATGCATAGACTGCCTTTTGGGAAATGCAATCCGCAACGGGCAAATCCTCCTTGAGCTTCTGCACGTTAGGGTTTTCCAGGCTGCAGTCATCTAGAACAACCGATGGGCCGCACTTTGCCCTGGGCGGTTGACCGTCTTCCGCCAGCAAAGAAAGCACCAGAGGCTCGCAGGCCTCGTATCAAGCATGAAAGAGCATCCTCCCCAGCCCGCAGCCAAGATTCGGCCGATAACGTACGCACGACTGACCAGGAACGGCCGGTCAAGTCACCTGGTTCAAAGGATCGAAGTCGTGCGTTCTTCACGAGAATAAGGTGGAAAGGAGTGCGCTGACAGCTGGGTAGGGAGGACACCTTCTTCGTCTCCTATTCGAGGGCCTCCAACTACAGAGTGGGTGATAGTAATCGGATACACAGAGCACGTTCTAATAGCTTTTCCCAGGCTCATGCGAGAGGGCTACGATGGCGACGACATCTATATCATGGTGGAAGACGAGTTCCAGACCGTCGCACAGTCATATACCGCACATCTGCATCATGCCGAGTATAAGAGACTCGTCAAACAAGCGCGAGACGCAGCTCCGAAAGCTCTTCCTGAGCCGACGTCGCCCATGTCCGAGAAAACAAAGAGACGACTCAAATCTGCCGCCTTGCGGGACAAGCAGAACGAGACTCTACGAAGGGTCATCAGAGATCCGACACTCGAAGATGAGGAGGACGAAGACACGGTCAACGACTTGTGGTCTGGCACCAGTCTCGCTCCGCTGATGGCAAGCAGCAGCCAGCAGAAGAGGTCACTCGTTGGCTTGGAGGGAATTGCGAGCAGTACAAAGGCTGGCATGGGTCTCGCCAGAAGTGGGGGCAGCAGGAGAGACACCAGAAGCAACCTGGAAGTGGATGATCTCGCTCAGCGGGCCTTCTCAAAACGAGACAATACCGATGCCCTGTCGACTTCTGGCGCGGTGCAACAGCAGGAAGCTCTGCAGAACAGTCTACGACAAGTTTCGACATCTCGAGTGTCCGACGATAGTGTCCGAGAACGCAGGCACTCTGCAGTACGTAGCGGATCCGATGAGCGACCTCCAAAACGTAGGTTTGTGGTGGACCTCGATGAAGATTCTGGCGCACCAGAAGCCGTGCATGACTCTCATGGTGGTGTACGCAGATTAAAAACAGCACCGCAATCAAATGGAAAACCCTTGTTGAAGGGCATGGCAAATAAGGGTCAGGACAAGAAATCGAGACTGGAGGAAGTACCGATGTTCATAATTTGAATTCCCAAGAGGCTTTGTATCTTTATCCTATTTGCATCAGCCTATCCAAGGTTTCGCCCGGCATGACGGCCCAGAAAACCACAAGTTGACCAGCTCAGAGTTCTTCGAATACCCAGCACATATTTCAGGTCTGCCGTCATCCGAGCAGACGTCGATTTTTTGGGTTCTTTTCCCCTGGATCTCGGTGTGTTGGTGTTGTGCGGGTGGCTGAACGGTCCTGTGGGGTTTGTCCGATGTATGTCTATCCAGCTGTGTTCTCTAGGGGCTGTGTTTTCGAGGCAATGTGCATCGCTTGGGCATCTTCTCGAGCCTTTTCCACGAGTATCGCATTTCTGAGGGGGACATACATCAGCAAGTGTTGTGTAGGAAAGGGTCCATCTCGGATGCTAGTACCCGTCAACGTCTGTTCCCAGAGTGATGTTCTCACGACGAAAATCAGTTGGATGCCCCTTCGGTCGGTACACATTAGCAACTCATTCTGCAGACACCTCGCCGTCCTCGACTTACTATGATGAGTTTTCTCTCCTCAGGAGCTTTTTGGAGACGTCCTCGCAGTTTTCCTTTGAGCCATTTGCGGCCCGAGCGAAACTTGTTCATTGTGGCAGCTTTGAATTCTCGAAATGAGGGCATTGACCGCTTCGCAGCGAAAGGAGCGGACTCGGGTGGCTGGTAGGTGCGAGCGAAAGGTGTTATTTCGTCCTCGGATGGACGCCCTTGAGACCGACTTCTTCAAATATACACAGAAGGAATGTGAGGTGAGGCAGAGCTGTCGACGCCTGTTTGTCGACCTGACTTGGTCCGTTTGAACAGCAGAGATACCAACTTTTGTTTGCCGCGCTATGACAGGACATGTACAAAGGAGTGACTAATGAGTTGGATGTGAAATGAAAGTTGAAGGGAAGGAAAGGACAGGAAAGGATAAGAGACGAAGGACATGCACCTCGCGAAGAAAAGAAACTGGGAAAAAAGAACGAAGGAGGATCAGGCCATGACTAGGTGTCGTGGCGCTCAGGTTGCCTTGGTGAGGAACGGTGAAGACAAGGTGAGATGGAGAAGTGATGGCAGAAATGCGCAGTATGCGGAGCCCTTTCAAAATGTCAAACCGAGGATAGCTCATTCATTGTTCAGGACGCACACGCCTCATGCAAACAAGACAATGAGAGGGGTTGCGCTGTTGAAGAGGGAGTCTGCCGTTCCATGGCCCCGAGATACTCAACGAACACAAGGGGTCACAGCTCCCTTCTTATCCTTGTAATAGGATCAGCAAGAGAGAGATCAATGAGGATTCCCAATTTCTAACACGACCGGCCAACTCTTTTTCATGGCACCACCTTCTGAAACAGTGGGGACCGTTGACACATACAAGACACATGAGGACGCATTTCCGTCCTCTTACAAAAAGCGTATCCTGCGAATCATGTCCCGTGTTCCCATTCCTCGGGTTGATCCGATGGATGGCGTGTGGGCTACAGGTCCGGGCTCCTTGCAGCTCATGGTTGGTGCCCTTCACAATTGGCATCTCTTCAATTACCGGGTTGCCTCCGAGTTACACGGCATGTGGAAGCCAGCGAGAGGAGGGGGGGAGGGCGGCTTCCAGAAGAATGCCCATCTCGCCGTTTCTCAATGCTCAATTCTCCGGGAGCTGAGCCCCTTGCATCGGCGGGGAGAAAGTTGGGAAGTGGTTGTGGTATTCACGACGAGCAGCATGCTTCAAGGGATATATTACGGATCAATGGGTAATGGGGTTCAACCCTATAACGCTGGTCCAGACGAGGTGTAGTTGAGCTTGCATGAAGAGGCTGGAATCAACTCGGCCTGGATGAAGAAGAAACAGGACTCACTGCTCGCGACAAATCTTCCATCTACGCAGTTTGAACAACCGACAAATCCGCCAGCCCGCCGACGCCCTCCTATCCGTCCTTTTGCTTCGACTGGAATGAGAATGCATCTTCAATAAAAAAGATACATCCCCACTCAATCCTGGCTCGTATCTGCCACCGCCGCCAGAGCATACTTCTCATTCTGCTCCCTCATCTCCCTCGCAAACTCCCTCACATGGTCAGGGACATTGTCGACCCGGTTTCCCTTTTCATCACCCTGCACGACCCCTTTGTATTCCACGGGCTCCCCAAAACACTCCCACACGGGAATCACGCCGGTCCACACTTTGTCCCGGATATCGTCCCTCTTCAAGTCCTTGAGTTCGTCTCGCGGGCCGCCGACCCGGACCTTGCCGCTACCGCCCACGACCTTGACGCGCAGGATACTGGTGCTCTGCATTTCGGCGCCGTCGGGGGGAACGCGCGTGTGGCGCCAGCGGTCGCGCACGACAGAGTTGGTCACCTGCTCCATGGCCCAGAGCTTCTCCTCGAGCGAGGTGACGAGGTTGGCGTAGCCGAAAACCGTGGCGGAGCGGTAATTGACGTCGTGCGTGTTGGGCGTGAGCGTCAAGACGAGGCCGTCGACCAGCGTGGCCGAGATGGTCACGGGCAATCCTTGTGCCGTCTCTCCACCGCTCCCGTCCGTCGATGCAGTCGTCGGGTTGTCCTGCGCGGCTTGGCCGGCGTTGCGCGACAGATTCATCAGCCGCGAACTCACGTACCCGTGCAGGTAGATGTCGAGCGGCTCGCCCAGCGAGGACGATGGGTGCTCAAAGCTCGCCGCCACCCCAACCATGGGCAGCGTGACGGGGAACGGATTCGACGCATCCGGCGTGTTGAACGAGACGTGCACGACGGTGCTGGTGTTGATGATGGTGTGGATCTGTTCGAGGTCGTACGTTGCTGATTTACACACCCCAACATTAGAATGTGTGACCAAGGCGGTTTCGTGGCAGGTAATAATGAATACTGCCCCCAGCTCCTTTTTTGCATGGGAAGCCGAAAAGGAGAAAGAGCAGAATCATGAGAAAAGAAGACGAGGGCTGGGGCTCGAAATATGGTGTTGTGCTGGCCCATAGAGATATATCGACAGGAGGGCAAGAGAAATGGAGACGTCTCCAGCGAAGGAATCGACCACGCCACAACCACAACACGACCACCTTTATCCGTCCGTGTATATCGCTCCGTCTGTCTGAATCTCTGTGTCTCACCTTGACGCGCTGGGAAGCCTGGAGAAAGATTCGCTCTCTCTCTCTCTCTCTCTCTCCCATCCTTGGCCGTCTGCTCTCCTTAGGACACATTTTTATCCCGTTTCCGTTGCTCTCTCTCTCTATCTTTCCCCCTTCTCCTCTCCTCTGTATTCCTCTCCTCTCGCGCTTTCGCAAACACGGTTCACATACCACACGCATCATGTGTTCGCGGACTCACTCACCTCGCTGATTATACCGATTGACCCGGTTCACCGGCGTCTTGGGGTACTCGAGCGTCCTGCCGTGACCCATCGTGACACTTATACACACCGAAACTCCAATACACCTAGATACTGTAGGTTTCTGGTAGGTCCCTGTTCCTGCTGGGCCTGGTTCAAATTCGGTCGCGTTGGTATAATGGGATAGAAAGATGGATCCTAGACTTCGAGGGAGAAAGGGGTGTGAAGGGTGTCGGTAGAATATATTGATTGGTGTTGACGATGTTTGTTGTTACACAGCTCAGGCCTGTCGTTTACTTGCTCCGAGCGAAAGGTGTAAAGTGGCCAGACACACATATACAACGTATATATGTATGGGAGTAGGTAGGTATAAATACCCATGGTCATGATCATCATCATCATCATAATCATATAGCATCTAACTAGTTCGTCGATTCATTATCAACACCAACTGCTCGTTCGATGGCATGCACCCAGCGACCCAATCCCCAACCTCCACAGCAAAACGTTAGCGAAGTGGTCGGAGCCTTATCAGAACCATACATGCTCGCTCGCGGTCGCCTACCCTCTTCTCTCCTTTCCACCTCCAGTCAACCAATCCTGGTGTATCTGGCCCATCATGGACTGGGTAGGTCTGGGCTGTGTAGGTGCGCTGAAGACGAGGGCCCCGCAGAAGACCGCCCCCGCAAATAGCAGGTCCACCCGAGCACAAAGCGAGAAACAAGCGAATCGGCAAGGCTCGTCAAGATAAGGAGCTTCCTGAATCCTGAGAACCTCTCTGCTTTGAAATTGGCGCTCTTCCGTTCGGCCATTTGGCGCATGTAAGCGTCTTAGACGACATTGTATCTTCCTCGTCGGCAACAGAGCTGTTTGTAAAGACCCGGAATCTTGAGAGGTAGCCAGGAACTCGCTGACGCGCTGATTGACGTAGGTATATTTGCTATATATCCCCTCACGTGGATCTTCTTCAGATTGATGCCACGAGATTATTGACTTTTTGGGCAGGCCTGAAACGACCTGCCGCAATATCACAATTTGACTCTTTCTTGACTGCCGCTGAGCCTTCGTATCTGAGGTCGGAAACTGGGACTTGTTGCCAGATTCGCGCTCCCTGATGGCTGACTTTCCGAACTCGACCCCTGGCCTGACCCATCGGTGTCCCCTGATACAGAACTCCTCGCTGACGACGCCATGTTCGAGGCCTGCGGTTGAGCTGACGGTGCTCGACCACGCACTAGCCCGGCCTGTTGCTGCTGGCCTATTCGTTCGCGGTTCAGAAGCCATTGGACTTGTGACCTGGTGCTGAATAAGGCGGCGTTGGTATGAGCCAGCTCTTCTTTTATTCGTAAAGTTTCATTCATTATCTGCATCGAAGATCGAGCGTCCAGATCTGTAAGTGCATTGGACATTGCTGAAACATCATGCTCGAGACTCGACACGGTGCCGCGCAATGATTCGTGCAAAGCAAGGAGGTGCTGTTGTGTTTGAGAAATGGAGGACGCTTCAGGGTCTGGGGAAGGTGTCAAGGCGCGAAGATGTGCTGGCATGAGGAGATCACGGTGAGAGATGGCTGACGGAATGTGGTCTCGCTCAATCTCCTCGATGTCGGAAGCCTCACCGGCCTGAGAATGGTCAGAAAGACCGATATGAGGCAGGACACGGTCATTGACAATGTCGTTGATTTTGTCAAAGCCAGCCTCGAGGACTTCGTTTCGGACCTTGACCATGGCAAGTTGTTCCTGGAGAGATTTGAGCAGCTGAGACTGTTTCTGGAGGTACGGGGCCATGCGCGCCAGCGGGCACGACTTCACGTGATTGTCCCGATCATCAGGGTGGAAGTCATCTGTACAGCCGTACATTCGACCGGGACAGCGTTGGTCTTCGTCGGCTCCGCAAACATGGCCAGTAATGCCGTTCAAATAGTCCCTGGCTGAAATCCTCTGGCCACATCGTTTACACTTGACGCCGGTATTCGGACAGTCTTCATCCTTGTGTCTCAGCCAGTCGCCTTTGCCCAGCTCGATGACGGCGCCGCAGTCACATTCAATGTGTGAAGAGTGGATACACTGATCCGGCACATAGTTCCTTCGTTTCACCAGTTTCCCACAGTGTGGATCCGGACACTGAAGCCGCTCATGCGGACATTCTTTGGTTGCGTGTCGTTCGACGTAGCCTCGCGCGACGACCTCTTCACAATCCTCGTTGGGACACTTGACTTGGATATCATTGCACATGTTGGTTATGAGGCGGGAAGCCTTGTGGGCAGTGGACAGGACAAATGAACGACACGAAGGACATTGATTGCGTGAACCGCTGGACCCTCCGTCTCGATATTCCTTCAAGCAAGAGTCGCAGAATGTGTGATCGCATTCGAGGACAACGGGCTCGATGAAAGGGACGTGGCAAATGGGACACATTAGATTGGCGTCGTAGTCCGACACATATTCGAGAGCGCGGAGGTCTATAGTCCTCTTCTCGAGATCCCTTGACAGTGGCTCGGGAGACAGAGACGAGGGCGACCGTGGAGGTGAGACTCGGGGGCGAGAGCGAGCGAACTCGGCAAAAAGGGTGTCGAACTGCGACTGAATCGGACTCGGTGAGGGGAGCGAAGCATAGCCTGCCCCAGAGTATCTCACATCATCTTCATCCATTTTGCAACTTGACAGGATTGAGTCGACAAGCTAGAGGAAGAGTAGAGGAGAACCTCGCATTCGGCGGCCAGAGGGGCATGTTTTAAGAAAGGCCGCTGTTTGGTTGAAGTCGGTTGTGTTGTTGGAAGAGGATGGGAAGACGACGTGTGGAGAAAAGATTCGTCGGCTCGGGCTTCGGAATGTGGTGGCCAGTGGCCACTACGAGCTACGAGGGCGTGCATGCGTTGTTCCTGGGTCTGGGCACCGCCTAGCGAGGCCCCTAAAGTGGAAGGGTCAGGGGACCCTAAAGAGACCTCAAGGGACCTTGGAAGAGACCCTAGACTCTATCCGGGTCCCTAAGTTCGCCTGAACCACTGGCAGCCACTCGCTCTCCTCATGCTTGGCAGGTGCAGCTCCCACCTCGTCACCGGCCACTCGGATGACGCTGCACTCTGCCCCGGACTTTCCGCTGGTATTCGTTCTTCCAGGCTTCAGCTGACTTGTCACTCTTGTCCAGGCCATTCTCTATACAAAAGAGTCTCCTAGCCCATGCGATTCGTCCAACTGTGTGAGACACTCTCTACAAGGACATGCAAGGACGTCCATAATCTTCATCCAGCCTCTCTCGTTCTCTTCCCCGTCCCTTGGCATCGACCACGGTCCTTCCAGTGACATTCAGCCTCCCCCGCAACATCTCGCCTCAACCGCACCCTCAGTCCGAACTCACAATGTCCAATCCATCCCAACTCCTGCTCCTCGCCGACCACATTAAGCTTTCTCTTCTCGAGCGTCAGCGCGCCATCTCGCTGAATCTAGATGTCAACCCGTCGCAAGACTCGAACATTGCCCGCTCATTAGAATCCTTCCGAGAGGGCATCGAGGCCCTCTCCAACCGCACCCCCGAAGACGAATCGCTCTCCCAACTGTGGAGCCAATATAATGACCTGTCGCGGCAGTTTCAAGGAGAAAGCTCCGCAACGGCCGAAGACACAATCTCGTCGCCGAATGACCCGGCCTTGAGAGAAGATTTTGAACGCGCAAAGACCCGCAAACCTAGTGACGCTGCCCAACAACAGAAAGCCTCGAACCTACGGAAACAGGATGCGGCGGTGGCGCAGAACCCGGGCGCCAAAAATGTCCGCTTTCGCGATGATCCTTCGCAAGAATCACTGGATGCCCAAGATGAAGCGAACCGAGCGGCTCTCTTCCCTGCTCGCTATACGGATGAGGAGGACTCTCGCGCTCGTACACCTGACCCCACAGCGAATATGGACAACCAACAAATCCACGTCTACCACCAGCAAGTGATTGCTGAGCAAGACGAGCAGCTTGACCGGCTGGGTGAATCTATTGGCCGCCAACGTCATCTGGCCATGCAGGTTGGCGATGAGCTCGAGGGTCAAATTGCTCTCCTAGATGAAGTCGACAGGGGCGTAGACAGGCACCAAGGTCGGCTGGATGGCGCAAAGAGACGGTTAAAAGGTGTGGGCGAACGGGCGAAGCAGAATTGGGGCATGACGACGATCGTCGTGCTGATTGTTATCCTGGTATTGTTGATTGTCTTGTTGAAATGAAGCGGGGTTACACGGCGAAACTGTATTTGTTTGCGCAAGAGAGCAGGCGATAATGTATAGACGGTATACCGACAGGGATATTGGGCCTCGTGCAGATCTAGGGGCCACAAAGCGAGGCGAGGCGAGAGGATGGATCTCGTTGACATCCATGTCGACTCCCTGCCAGAGAGGATTGACGGATAGCGTTCCCTCGTCACCGATGAAAGCGTGAATACGGCGGCAGAATATCGAGAGACCTAGGAATCCCTGGATGCGTGCATGTATTTGTATGTACAGTACATGCAAGGGAACTCAAATAATGCGCACTGTGAGGGACCTTTTAATGAACCAAATCATGTCATGCATGCAACTCCCAGCCTGGTGACAACAGCCTTGGGGTACAAAATAGGCTCAGCTTTGCCTAGCATCTTTCAGGACTGGATCTGGATCTTGGTCCACCAGGCGAACATGGTATCTTGTTCCCTGAACCGTAGCCCTCGTGGCCCGAAGATTTGTCTGTCCTTGCCCCTCTCGGTTCCCAGATGCAATGCGAGACAATGCAACGCAGCGCATGTAGCTCTATGCTCTAGCTCATCGATCGGATGGACCGTTTCGTAAACCATTTCATCTCCACATGCTGCGCGTAAATGTCATTTTGTGGCTTTCCCGACCTTAGGGAAGAGAAGTGCCGCTTTCCGTCCGTCTTCCTCGACCAAACCAGATACACCTGGGAACCTGTACCGACTGGACTAGCGAGTTCGGTCTCGACACCGATCGACTGAGTCAATCACCTCACAACGGCTCCCTTCAGCGTCTGAACCGTACACTTGCCCTTCCCCTCCACGATCAGCCAGCCTTTCTTCTCCTTGTCGCCTTCAATCTCCACGCCCGGCCTGCCTGCGTCGAACCCCACCACCAACTCCTCGCTCGTGAAGAAGCCCGGTTGTACGCTCTCCCACACTTTCTTCTTGGGGTTTAACTGCTTCTCCGGTCCCTTGCCTTCGCCGTACGGCCAGCCCTCAAAGTAGACTTTGTCGCCTGCTTCGCTTCCCTCTGGAGGATTGACCAGCTCCACAACGCGATCGGCCGCGTGCGGGTCTGCACCCTCTTCCGCCGGTGGGGAGGCAGCCAGAACCATGGCCGCGGATTTGATGCTGCGCATATTCACCGGCTTCAGGTTCGCCACGACCACGACTTTTCGGTTTTGCATTTCCTCCAGCGGCACCAGGCCATTCAAGCCTGAGCATACTGTCCGCACGACTTTGCCTTTCTCCTCGTCGACTTGGGTGTGTTCTGTTCCTTCGGGGTCGCCCATGGCAATGGTGGAGACGTAGAGGGAATCGGCATTGGGATGTGCGATTGCGCGAAGAATGTGGCCGACTCGCAGGTCGATGAGGGCGGGCGACACGGGCGCTGCAGGCGTGGCGGGGGCTTTCGGCTGCTTGGGCTGCTTGGGGGCCTTTTCCTTCTTTTTGTTGCCAGCAGCGGACGGGGTCGCGGTTTCGTCTGCGGGTGCCGGGGCTGAGGTGTTGGATTTGACGTTCTCGGCGATCTCGTGGTTGAGGGCCGCCTTGGTCTCGGCGGGGATAGCCTTGTCTACAGGTCCGCCACTACTCGATGAGGCATCCATGGTGGCGGGAGACTGTGGTTTGGTACGGCCAACGACCAGAGGTTTGTGCTGTGCGGGAGCAGAGGTTGACGAGGAGGAAGTCGAGGGCACTTCGGACGTCATTGATGATGTGATGGTTCGAGAAGGTACGGCAGAGAGACCTCGGCCAATGCTGAGGAGAGAAGGCGAGGAAATAAGAGACGTTGACGAGGCTCTTTGTTTGGCAAAATTTTCGAGGATGTGACTGCGTCGCGGAGTGACGATCAGCGTGCGGAGTTTCATTCAATGTTGCGCGTGTGTCGCCTTCGCCCTGCAAGTCGGTTAAATGCCTCTTACTAGGCACGTGATGTCCACTCCGTCCAGTTTACAGCGTTCGTTCTTCTGCGCAGTCCGCTGGATCTTATAGGTTTCTGGAGGTGAAGCCTTTCCAAGTCGTATCAGGTGGTGCACGTCGCAAACTGCGCACAGGGGCCATGACGCGGTGGGCTTGGCGGCTAAAGCAGTATTACTACTAGGTACCTAGTCAAAACTGCTCGCGAGTCACCCCTCAAAACAAAACACAACTCTCACCACGACCACCATAGCAGACCTGAATCTCCTTGGTCTGCAGCCAGGTACTAATGGGTTGGTGCAGAGCTATCACAATATCGCCTAGAACTTGGCGAAATTTCCAAATATATACACCTGCGCTTGCCGAAGGCAATACTGTTCAACAATCCCTCACGCAGCTCACCACTCAGGTCAATCAATTGATTGAAAAAAGACACTCTCATTGCTCGACAAGTCGACATCAGAAATAAGTGGCACAGGCCTGACGAGAAGAGCGTACGACAGGCTAGTAAGATAGAAGTGATTATGCCATTTCTTTCACGGCATCACTTATAAGGGGTGTCCTATCTGCTTTCAAGCACAGCGGGATCCTCATCACCGAATATTAGCTATCTCCTATATGGCGACCTTGTCGTCGTTAGCTATGTCAGACTATGCCATTTATTTCTGACCTCCGCTCGATGGTTACTACAGTGGAAGACGAGCGGAGGAGACTGATGCTCCATGCTTGCAAGGCTGGCGCCAAGCCTTGCACCTTGTCCTGTCACCGGCCTGTGGTACGTTATCCGCTAGAACATAGGCCCGACCCATCGGCTATTATATACCCAGTGCAGAGGACATATAGTAGTGTGACACTCCTCCTCGAACGGCCCCGGAAGACCGGAGGCCTTGGAAAACAGTAAGTACGCGGCATGGGGCAGGTGCACAGAATATGTACATTTCCTTCCCCTTGCCCTTCCTCTGATGAGACTGATCTGGGCTATCTGTTCCATTACCTGCTGCATCATCAGTATTACCACAACCATCACCGCCGCCATGGCTCCTCCAATTGCCATCGTTACCGGTGGCTCATCCGGCATCGGCGCAGCCTTCGTGGCACACCTCGTTTCTCTAGGGTGGAACGTGGTCGTCGCAGATATCCACCAACCCAAGCACGCCCTTTCAGGCACTTTATACATCCACACGGACGTGTCGTCGTGGGAGCAGCAGGCCGACATGTTCAAACAGGCCTACGACTGGGGCGGCCAGCGGCTCGATTTCTGCGCGTTGAACGCCGGCATCGACGACCGAGACGACATCTTCAACACGCTGTCGCACGACCTGCACAAGCCGCCGAAAAAGCCAAACACGGACACTTTTGCCGTCAACATCACTGGAACGTATGCGATAATGTTTTTTGAGCCCATTATGATTTGATTTTTTCCCTCTTTTTTCCCTTTCTTGTTGTTTTCTCCGGGGGAAAAGTGGTGGACTCAAGAGTGTGTACCCCGACTAACCCCCTTTTTCTTGATTTCCGGCGTTTATTAGATACTACGGCGTCAAGCTCGCCGCGCACTACATGACACTCCCCGGCGACCCCGGTACTGGCAAGTCCAAGCCCGGCGGCAAGATCATCATCACAGGATCCGGAGCGGGCCTGTTCCCGTCCTCATCAACGCCTCAGTACACGACCAGCAAGCACGCGCTGATCGGCCTGGTGCGCGCCCTGGGGAAATCCGACGCCGCCCTCGCGGCCCACGTGCGCATCAACACCCTCTGCCCGGCCATCGTCGACACCGGCGAAGGCATGCCCGTGGGCCTGTTGGAGAAGCTCCTCCCGGGCCAGATCACGCCCATGAGCACCGTCCTGCGCGGCTTCGACACCCTGGCCGACTTGGCTGGTGCGGGAGCGGAAGACTGGGTCGAGCGCGGACCGGCGGGTGAGACTCTCGAGGCCAAAGTAAATGACTTGATTTGGCATTATTCGCCGGAGAGGCCAAAGGGGGGGAAGGGTAAGTCAAGTTCAGGCGAGAGCGGCGCTCAAGCTACCTCAGCAGCTACAGCAGCCACAACAACAACAGACCCCTACAAAGACGGATTTCACCAGGGTGCAGCCAGGGGAGAACACACGCACTTTTGGTATGAATAGAAAGGGACAATGATCGGGTCTGGACTGGGACGATACATAATTATAATTCCGCGCTTACCTCTTCCTCTGTTTTCATTGTACTAACTAGCCTACTTTAATCAAACACACGATAATGAAGAAAGAGACACATTTACATGCTTTGGAAAGCAAAAAACCGGCGTCTTCCACCCAATAAAACAGATCAATGGTGAGAAAAACGGCCAATGGGTTTTCGAAGGTAGTTGATAAAGACATGAGAGCACAACCCTGGCTTTTTCTCAGGACTTGCTGTCTACGATTCAGGCCATCCAAATGTCTTCCCTTGCGTTCACTATAGTAATTCTTTGTGATGGGGACTTGGTAGGGTTCATGCTCGAGGCATATTAACGTCGTTTTCAATCTGGGGAAAGCTCAAGGGGGTCCCATGAACGTCGGTGCTGTCCGCTGAACAAGTCATCTCACATAGACCCGTGCCGTCAATCTCGCAGTCGGCAGTGCCGCAGCAGCTTGCTACTACTAACAAATAATAGTACAATCCGAAAAACTCCCTTGGTGGAGTTTTCTCGACTCTTAGCCTTCCGAGTCGTCTTCCTGTCCGTGCCCGAAAACCGGAACGCCATGCAGTCTCACCCTGTACAAACACGCAAACTCGGCGCCATAGTTTTCCGTCACCCTCAGCACGAAATTCTGTGCCGCGTATGCTAACGACGAGCCCGAGGCCTGGTTCACGTCCAGCGGAAAGGCCTGGACATGACTGGCTTCGCTCGAGGCGTCGTATTCCATTCTTCCAATCAGTGCATAGCTGGGTCCAAAGGGACTCCCCATCACCCCTTGCATTGACCTGATGTTCAATTTGTCCCACTCCAAACTGTCCAGATGTTCAAAATCGGCCCACAGCTCGAGCGTTTTGGGTGTCGACCCTGGCGACAAAGAGCCGGCGCTGGGGTAGTTCTCTAAAACTACTTCCGTGGGATAGATCATTTCCGTCACCCTCACACCTAGTCTCATCACGTCATCCTCGTGGCCTAGGCCGCCGCTTTGAACAGCCGAAGCGCACCAGCAGTCGCCCACATCTTGCCAGGGAGCGAGAGCTGTAATGGGCGGCTTGCTAACGTACCGCGTCGCCAGGAGCATTCGTAGCAGCACTCGGTGCGCAAGTGTCAGTGGCTTTTGCATTGTCGGTGAAGTCAGTCGTGGCTCAACCATGGCTCCGTTGTTTGGTGCGAAGTAGTTGATTTTCGGGATGACAGGGGAGGGAACGTCGCCAGAGAAGGCTCCCGACCCGCCGCCCAGCCTCAATCCAGCCATATGGCTTGACAGCTCTGAATGCTGTCTTTTGAGAGCCTCGATGTCCTTGTCCATTGCCGCTGTCTGTGTGTCGAGCTTGTCTGTCAGCCGTGTCTCAAGAAGTCGAAGTTGTTGGTTGATGTTGTTTATTGCTGCTGTGAGCTTTGACAAATCATTCCCATTGGCTGTGAGGTTGAGAGAAGCTGCGCTCGGGCTCCGCGTACATGTTCCGCAGAGCTTCTGAAGAGTCAACCCGGTGGTGGAAGTCGATAGAGGGTCGCACGCAAAATTAGTGTAGGTGTAACATAAGAGGAAGCTCGCCCCACCGACAAACAGTAATGCGAAAAGAATGCTCGTCATGATGGGGACGAGAGGCGAATTCGGGAGATCTCTTATCGCTCTGCCACTGACCTGCAATAACCGCACCGACCAGTCCGATATCGAAGACAAAACGTCCGAGGAAGTCTGCCAAATTCGTTGCACAGTATCTTTTCTGCTATTCCACGCTTTTCGAAACCACGGGTCTTGTCGTTCTCGTATCGTGATGTTGGGTTTCCGAAGGCCCCGCTCATAATTGTAGCTGTGATCAAATATCCCGCTTGGAAAGCTGGAGGGGTCTGTCTCCTTGTTGGTATCATCATCAGGGGTGCTCCGAGCGGCGCTCTCGTTGTCCATGCCAGTGTCCGCATATTCACCTTCAACTTCCTCTGCTTCTTGACCTTCTTCTGGTATGCCGTTTAGTCGGTCATCGTCCAAACCACTGGCCCACGCTGCTACTCGCTGTGTCCGCTGTTGCTCGGCATCATCACTCGCCACCGAGGCTTCCCGCGAGTGTTCGCGAGAAGCTCTTCGTCGAGCCCTTTCGGCCCGAGAGTCCTTCTGTAGATTTGCATGGGTTTCTTCGATATGGTTCCGAAGATGTTGCTGCGCCTGTTCGACGCCAGCGTCGATCGTTTCGGCCATCTCCTTGAGATTCATCCTACTTCGCGCGACCAACTGGTTGGGTAGCACGGGAGTTTTGCTCGATCCATAGGCATAAGACTGCTGGATCTGGACCTCGGGCAGTCTCGGATTGTTGACAACGCCATCTGCGACGTTAGGCTGTTGAGAAGTCCCCCGAGTGACCCGACGTGGGATGGCGTCCTCTGTCGCCGCGGCACTGCCCGCACGAGTCGACCGCTTTGCCGGTGAATCTGCACGTACTGGCGTCGCACTTAAGCCTCTGGCCGTAGATCGACGAGGCGCCATGATGAGTTGTTATGAAGCGGGGAATGATGTCGACGGCTTGTGCAGCCTTTGGGTGATAAGTTGTGGATGAAGGAAAAACGAAAGTCGGCTTAGGCAAGCAGGAATCGATGAATTCTGACTCGCGTGTGAACAGTCACCGCTCCTCCGACCCATCGGCACCGACTGAATGTGAATTTAAGGACCACCCGTCATCGACTTTTGGCGCAATAAACTGGCACGGATGTTGCCAACGAAACCGGGATTTATCAACCTTCCGAGCACAGGGATTTTTAACAAAGTATTGAGGAAACGAAGTCACTGTGGCGACGTCGAACAAGTCTGCAGGAAATCCGTGTTTTGCCCAGGTGATTTCTCGAGTCTAAATGGTGCGAGAAGGCAGTGAGAGGTGGGTGGAGGCGGTTAGAGGAGGATGGGCACGCGCGATCAGATGCTGTGACTTTGCCGGCATCCGAAGACCGTGTGCAGTGAAGCCAAAGGTGTAGTCGCGGCTCTAGAGTTTAAGCTTGCAGTTCTATAGTATCCGAGATGGCCTTTGAAGTCGTTGTCGAGTCCTGTGTGTTGACTTTGTCCAACAAGGACGCGTCGAAATGTGGTTGTCGAGTGGCCGAAGTTTGTTTCTCGAATTCCAGAAAAACCTTGTTACGTAAGCCTCGGCAAAGTTGCAGCCGATCGGGCGCCTCCATTCAGCCTCGCCAGCCTCGTCTTCTTCGCCCCTTTTTCCACTCCAGCACTCAGTATTATCCCACAGCCCTAGTCAGTCCTCCGAAGCTTCTCGAAGGAGCGATGAAAGCTACAAATACCAACAGAGCAGTTACTTGTTTGGGTGATTGACATTTCAATTACGCGCGGAGTCTTACATATACTAGGTATTCTGCGCTAGTCAGGTATGGGTCCCACAAATCCATAGTAGCATACCTTCCCCTTCAGGTATAGTATCAAGAGCTGGACGAGGTGACTTCTTCCAGAGTTCTCTCCAGCTGAGCATCAAGGTTCGAGTGGCTGGCTGCATGGTACAATGACCAATGCAATATTGGTAATCACAAATTTCCTAAGCGCATGCTTTTTCATTTTAGCAAGATCCCCCGACGTGTGAGTCCGTCAAACAGGAGACCCTTTTGCCTTGCCTGGCTCCCGTTCGATCGGCACATGATCGTCGAACACTTCTTCTTCGGAGTTCACTCGAGTTGCGACACTGCTGCCACCACCGCTGTCTCCCACTTCCTGTGGCTTCTCTTGGGATCTTTGTCCCGCGCTGTAATCCCCAGGGCCTTTGCTGCCATTCGGAATGTGGAATCGACGATCGACCCTGAGCAGGAGGTATAGGTAAATGACAATCGTCTCGAGCGTGAAGTTGAAAAAGTAGAAACACCACTTTTTATCAAACCACGCTGGGTTATTTTTTGGTCGCGGTGTTTTATATGCCGTCGCTGCGCGGAATGATGATCCCAAGCACAGGAGGACCGACGATGTGAGGAGGACGGCAATTTTAGTCCGCCAACGGCCCTTTCCAAACTTCTCGACTCTGGTCTTGCGAGGAATGATGACGGCCAAGATGACGATAGGAATGGGGAGGAACGACAGGAATAGGAAGTAGGTCACCGCAGTTATTGTCAAGTCTCGGATAGTGTTGTGAGCGTCGGTTTTGAGAACGAAGAAGTTGTCTACCGTTGCTGAGATTATGATGGCAAGCATGACGACTATTAGCGCGTACAGGATCTTGAAAGCGGTTGAGACGGCTTTGTTCCACCCTATGTGAGGATGGGAGGCTCGAAGGATTCGTTGTGCAAAGATAAGATTGACGAGGAACAGGAGGAGTACGCCGATGGGAACGAAAATGGCTGCAGCAATGGCAATCTGGGTGTCGTTCGGGTAGACCGCCCACACTGTTCGCTGCAAGAGCTGTTAGCCCGAGAAACAAGTGCGACCAACTGAGCCCAGAGCAATGGGAAGAGACCCTTCGCACGACATATGGCAGATCCCAAGACACGCGGGTTGATGGAGTGACTTACTATAGTCAATGCTACCTCACGAGCCATACAGAAGCCGAACAGGATACCGCTCATCAGGAACTTGTGGCCTCGCCTCAGGTTGATTTGCAGGATGGTCATGTGGCAGATGGCTCCGACGAGGAAAAGGAACATGAATACACTGCATATTGGGACGTCGACGTCGACGGTGGGAATCCCACCAACGTTCACGGTTTGCGGGGCGTACGGAGGGCCTTGTGGCTATGGATAGTCAGTAGGCAAGTCAATATTTGATTTCGAAGACGTACGATTTTGGAAGAGGTCATCTTGAAAGAGTTCCTGGTCCTTGTCGTTAGTGTGGTTGTTGGTGACCCGGACGGTGTGCTCTCCTTGAACGGGAATGCGACCTGAGTATACAAATATAGATGGAGAGAGGGAACTCCTTCCTGGATTTTAAAACTGCCAAAGCGGCTAAAGGAGGTTTGGAGTATGTATGATGTCGTAATATCTGTCCAGGGGCGTATTCAAGTTTTAATACCCGGACACCGACAGGTAAGGGTCTTGCGGTGGCTCGCGCTAGCGAACATGAGATCGCGCATCGTCCGTTTGCCTGGCACGACCCTCTTGAGTAGTTAGAACTCATCAACCTACCTTGTCACTACAGGTGCCGGGATCCATGGTCCCAGTCCTTACACGCGCTACCAGGAACGAGCTATGGTACGTTGCGTACCTACCTTGCTCAGCTTTATACTGTATCCAATGGTCGATTCTTCTACCCGGTGAGTGAGACACATCTTTGAATCGTCCCAGGGCAGCGATGAGAATGATCCTGGATACAGAAGCGAAGTGTCTCCAAAGGTTAATTGAACCACGTGCCGCATCAGTCGCTGGCGTTGTGGCTTCGCGCTCGAGATAGACATGGTGAGCTGTGTGGTGACATGTGCATGTTGGTGCTTTGCGTGCAATTGGCTGCAGGATGAGATAATTAGGGTATACACGATCTGGGGGCAACACCGATCATGGAATGAAGATGTTTCCTGCGATCTCGATCGACGACTCAGATGTAACTCGGGTCCTTGGAAGCGGTTGTATTTCGTGAATGCCACACTCACGCTCCTTCAGATAGCGCGCTAGGGTCGGCGTTTAACAGACGGCCACCATCTCGCTAATATATCCGCTTACGTACAGTAGCATTCTGCCACGGCGGCCGAGCGATGGTCGATGCGCTTGTACTGTTGCACCCGGCAAATAGCTGGACAAGGTTAATATGATCCGCTAGGATTTGGAGAAGTGAAAATGTCTTTGGCGTCGAAAGAAGCATTCAGTGACAGGGGCCAAATGCAGCAAAAGTACCCAGGACCGCAAGCTGCATGGATGGAAGATGCTGGTCTTGGGGCGGGGTGAATGGAGGACAAATTCATGCTTCGGAGTTGGTTTTATGGCGGAGATCTGTTGGCGGTTATCACATCCTTAGAAGGTGCTACCTTGTTCACTGATTGATCTGAATTCAGTTCATGTCAACTGACCTCTTCGAACGTCGAACTGATGAATCGATATCGAGCTGGGGAACAAGGACTTTGGCGGGGGAATGACAAGGGCAACTTAGCCGACACCAGCCCTGCGAGTCCCGATGATGTCAGGCCGGAGTGTGTTGCGCGTGTCTTGCAGCCTTGCAGCCTTGCAGCCTTGCAGCGGGGAGCGCGTTCCACACAGCGGCGCAGGCATCATCGAGGCCAACACATCGTCAGGTCGCTACCTGTTCTTCCATAAGAACATATCCACCGCATTTCCCGCTTTAGTCGAGCATATACTTTCCAACCCAATTCGATTCCTGACATCGCCATCATGGCCCCTGCTCCGGCGAGCGCTTTGAGCGCAGACTCACTCCTCGACTACATGGTCAAGAGCCTACCGACCCCGCCTTCTGACTCGGACCAATCCACCGCCCTCATCAAAGATCCATTCGCCGCCATTGCCCTCTTCTCTCATGCTTGCATGCTCGCAGTTGGCTTCCGTCTGGTTGGACTGGGAGAAGACCACAAGATAGGTAGGAATTCTGCGTTGTTTTGCAGCAGTGATCCAGACATCATCTCACCACGAGCAGAAGCACAATCAGACCCTCAGGATGTTCAACCCTTGCCTTCCGAGTGGGACAAGTCTTCCTCCTACGCTTTCCGCTATGCTCATTCACAGTCCGCCATGGAGTATCTCATCAAGGTAAATCGACTGGGAGGCAAGGCTATCATATTCGGGGTCGGCATGGGCGACGACAAGACCGCCTCGTTTGAGGTCAAAGCCAATGACTACATCTCTGAGGGGTCAATAAAAGAGGCAACAGCCTCGACCTCCAGCAACCTTCCCGCCCTGCGGAATGTCTTCATATCCAATGGACGGATTTCAGACCTCGCATCGCTTTTCAGGCTCAACATCATCCAGAAATTGGCTCCGGGAATCCAAAAGGCCGGGTATGAGGATACAGGTTCTTCCACCCTGGAGCAGCCACGACGGCATGAGGAAACTCGCCCTCCCGAGCGCGACCCGTTACGAGACGATCATCCTCCACCTGCCCGGCCCTACCCTTTCGACGACCCACTAGCTATACCCCCTCGAAGACCTCACCCGCCTGGAGACTTTCCCCCGCCGGGTTTCGAAGATGAATACGAAATCAATCGACCTCCACGGGGCATGCTACCAGGGAGTCATCAGCCTTTTGGAAACATAGGGGAAAGAGACCTCTATCCTCCCGGGCTCGGTCCACATGATCCTCTTAGGATGGGACCCGGAGGCGGTTTTCACGGCGGTGGAGGCATGCACCCTACGTTTGACGATCCTTTATTTGGCGGCCAGGGGGGTCAGAGACCTTTTGACCCTCAAGCGCCTCCGGGAGCTCGATATGACCCGGTTGGCCCCGGTGATGGTCCTCCAAATCTTCGAGGAGGGCCCCGGTTTCCAGGAGGCGGTGGTAGAGGAGGATGGGGCAACAATCCGTTTGGCGGGTTTGGAAGCGGTGACTTTATATAGAGAGTTACAGACGGCCGCCGACCAAAGCATGACCGGGGCTAGTCCTGGGCGAGGAGGGACAGTTACAAAAAATGCCTGTTGCGTAAGTAAGCAAAAATCACGACAACAGACCCCGCCGTCGAATAACTGTATGAACTTCAGAAGCAGACATCTCCTTGAGAAGACCTTGTAACTTCTCTACGCATAGTACTATTTCCCATGCAAAAACCTCACTTTAGACGTCCGAGTCGTTGTATGTCGCGAGTAGACGAACCAGCGCCGAGTGAGAAAAGGACCAATGGCCACGACTGTCTTCATCTTACTCAGTAGATAGCATGCACAACTTGGATCTCAGGATCTCTCCCACTAAGTCTCGTTTCCGCATGCTCCAGTTCTTCGCCTTCAGCGTGTGTGGCCTTCGTCAAGTATCCAGAACATGATCCTAGCCCTCAAACCACCGCCTAGTTCTCTCGTCGGGGGGGGGGCTGCTGTTCTTTTCTTCTCTCCCTTTCAGCTCCTGATCCTCGCAGCAACCCGGTCAGTCATGTACGTGGAGACATTGCCCAAGAACAAGCAAGCGACGATGGCACAGCCGCCGAAAGCGATGCTGGTCAGCCAGATATACTGGAGACTGTCGGCGTAGGCCCATCTGCTGGCCATTGACGCCGCGGTGATAATCTGCTCATTCACACCGGGAAGTCGAGCCAGCTCGGACAGAGACCCGTTTCCGGCCACAAAGACCTCGACGAACTCAGCCACCTCCGCCACGGGAAGCCCCGCCTGAATGGCACGCTGGGCGACATATGCTGGGAGTTTGGATTTGAGTTTGTTGATGAAGATGTTGTAGTAGATTGCGGCGCCGATGCTCCCTCCCACGGCGCGGATTGTCAGGGAGAGTGCCACACAGGTTGCGATCGACGTGTCGGGGGCCACGGTGATGGCAACAGTGGCAGCCGGCACCAGGACTGCACCTACACCCAAGCCTGTACTTATGCCTAGGCCTATCGCCAGGCTTTCTCGGTCCGGCGTCACAGCTGCGAAAGCTCCGCCAAATGCAGCTTGAGACACACGTTAGCGTGCACAAAATCGGGGTTATATTTGCCATCGCGGCACGAAGAAGGTGGCAGGAGCAGCACATACTCATGACGACGCATCCGGCCAGCAGGATCTCTCTGTTGTGGCCCTTGAACCACGACAGCGATGAATTAGCAAGTACAGCTCCCAAGGTAGTGCTGATACCCGGACCCAGACCTCTGAGCCCTACTTTGATAGGATCGGGAGTGAAGACCCTCTGGAATACCAGCGGGAAGAAGTTGATCATTGCGTAGAAGTTCATGCCTGCGTAGGACTTGTCAGTTTTCTATGTCTGAGAATACTCCAGGAAACTTGCCTGCAACGAATGCAATCCCATATGCCATGGCCACAATACGCTGCCCGGTGAATAGTTCGTGGGGGACCATGGGCTCTTTGCAATATTTCCACTCCCAAACCACGAATGCAATGAGCAACGCAATCCCTACCAGAAGCTGAGCAAGGATATATCCGCTCTTCCAGGAATGGGGGTATCCTCCAGCTTCGAGAGCAACCAGGCTGGCGATATGTCAGTGCTTATGAGCATCGTGACTCGACGCCAACCGGGCTTACATTAGAGTCAAGCCTGTAACCGAAGTGATTGCGCCGATATAGTCGATCTTCTTCAAGGTCTCTTTCGACATCATTCTCTTTGTCCTTGTTTGCGACTCAGGAAAGTAGACCACCAGCAACACCAGCCACCAAATTCCGTTCCAGATTCTGATAGCTCGTTAGTCCTACTGGACCCGGAGGACACAGCGTCGGTAATGACGAACAAACAGATCCACAGACCCCAGCGCCACGTATGGTATGCTGCTAGAAGCTGAGCATATATAACATACGGAGTAAAGGGGAGGACAAAGCCAGTGACTAACGCCAGATAGGTGCCACGCTTGTTGACAGGCACTAGCTCAGACGTCCTGGTTCTCAATTGTTAGCTGAAATGAGCCAAAACGATATAGAGATAACTGAACAAAGATTGACATGCTCACCCGGCAAGAGCACTAAGTTCTCCTATTGCTGCTCCGGCTCCAGCAAACCCCATGCCCACGATACCTTCGCGAAAGTGGTGTGCAGTCGCGACGATCACACAACCCATCATGATGGCAACACCACCAGCAAGCGTGATGTTTCGGCGCCCTAGCAGATCTTGTAGGTAGCCACAGAAAGGGGCTACAGCTGCGAGAGGCAGAGCGTAAGCCACTGACAACCACGACGACGCTTTGACTCCACCGATGTCGGCAGCCACATATGATAGCACCGCTCCGACGAAATACAGAGGTATCTGAGATCCAACATAGAGGCCAGCCAATGCGAGGGTCGCAAGGAAGGTTTTGAATGTCCACACCGTTTGATTTTGAGTTTCCAGAGGGCTGCTCCCCGTATCCGAGTCGGCCGGAGCTGAACTTTCAGCGGTCGTCGTTTGAACCTTGTGGTCTTTCCCCACAGTGGTAGAGGCGTATTCATGATGGGTGGCAAGATCGTGAAGCCTCTCGAGTTCGAGCTTGTCTGTGTTCTCCAGTGGCACGACACTCATGGTGATAATGTCTCGCAATCACATAAGTATAACAGATTTGTCCACAGCGGACGCTTGCAGGAGCTTGAGAGGTGTGCTTAAGGTAGGACCACAGGAGCAATGAATCCATTTGGAATTATATGTCTTGGAACATCTGCTGAACGACCAGACACCCCGCATTCGCCGTGTTCTGACAATGGAGCTGTGGAGGCATTGCGTGGATACAGGGGATGTTAATCCAGGGAGTTCACTGCCGAAGAGCATACCGCTCCTGTTGACTCCATGGTCTGGTGGGCCGATCCCGAAATTCGGCCCGGTGCAGATGATGATTGAGTACGACTCCCTGAATACACTCTCAGATCAGCCTTGGTTAGTGATGTACCCCAGACAGACGTGGCTTTCCATGGGAGAACAACACGATGATGCAAGCTGAATCGAAGTTGACTGGACTTCTGAATTCTTGGTCCTGTCCATGGACGGTAAGACTTGCGAACTCTGCAGGCTTGCATATCTGGCTACTACCAGGCAGTCAGCAGGCCCTCATTCAGGTGAGTTTATTGGATATTGCGACGTTGGAGACTTTAACAACAAGTCTGAGAATAGGTGCTCGAATGACTGGGGCATTGCTTCACCTCTCTAACCCCCCGATCCTCCCCACCAGCTGGAGTCGTTGCCTAACCCTAGATCGGCTTCTGTAATATCTAGGTAGACGGACCAGTCTTCGATGCTGAACGGAAACAGATTCGCGTTTCCTTGGACGTCCGCCATAGTCAGTCTGGTCGCATCCACACTATCAGCTGCCGTAGACCCTGACATGGCTACATCCATGGAGCCGGCAGCTCTGCTCATATTTAACGCTGGGATCGTGCTGCCTGCATGATTACTGTTGTTATTATTAATGCTGTTGCGGCTATTGTCTGTTGGTCTGGGGCCTCTCTTCGAGTTTTGGCGACGCCATCGGATGGCAGTAGCAACAAGTTCAAGCCACAGTGAGGCGCCGAAGCGGGACTCGACGGTAGATTTCCCTCGGACAGAGTCAATCACACCCTTCTTGCAAAGAACTTCCACTACGCTCGCGGCTCTGTGGAATTCGTCGCCCTCTGAGGAAGAGCCAGACATAAGCGCTCCGTGGCCGAGTCGAACAGCGTCGTCCACCTCGCCAAGTTCTCGTAAGGAGATCTGATTGAGGACCGAAATCTTGAGTAGCATCAGAAGTGCGATGGTCTCGAATCGAAGATAGAATTTAGGGTAGTATCTCTGCGGGCATGGCTGAGAAGTTGATGGATTATCGACGGGCAATGGCGAGCTTGAATAAAGCTTAATCAGCTGGCAGGCAGCCTGTGCGGCGGAGCTTTGGATTATCGTATGGTCGGGGTCACTAAGTGAAACCGGAGTAGACCAACGTAGACAGAAAGAATATAGGTTGAGAAGGACAATCAGATACACGAACTCGACAGAAGGGTTCCACTGCGCTGGAGACTGGCGAAGCCCAGACACCAACGTGTTGACGTCTTTCTCCAATAGACGTACCATCCTCAACCGGTGGCTACCATCTTTGCAAGTATTGTCGCCCAACGTGTCATTGATTCGACTGACGTATAAAACGATGCGAAGCCTGGAGATGAAATCTGCGGGTAGGGCGGCTTCATCCCCAGGTTTGATTTCGAGTGCATCGAAGGGGACGAGACAAGGGAGGCCAAGTTCGCAGCTAAGTCTGAACATCGTTAGCCAAGTATACCCCTCCAGGGCAGGGTGGGAGGCAAGATCCACATACACCGCATTGACAAAACACCAGCAGCGCCATATTCGTGTATGGCTCCGCTCGTTTGAAAGCGACTTGGAATATGTGTACGGATGATACTCATGCTCGTAACCAACACGATGGCATCCGGCATGCATTGCCATCTGCATAGCCATGCCACTGTACAACCACCGCATATCGTCAGATTGCCGCTGAACCGGCAGGGGCCACATGCTCAATATGAGCAACGCTTGCATTGTGTAAGTTGAGTCTTGACGGGTCATCATGAGGTGGCCCAAAAGGCCAGGCAACTTGTTGCACAGACTGCGATAATGATGTTGCTGCGACGGGAGATTCCGGCAAGCTGTGAAGACGATGGTCCAAAACAGGAGTGGACTCTCATCTATGATGGCAGCAGGTTCAGCTTGCACGTCAATAACTGGAAGCTGCTGGTGATAATGGAGAAAGTACCTATGTGGAAGCAACCCGTTAGTGTATCGCCCCTATCTCAAGGCTATTGTCCGATGGACCATGGTGGAGGATGCGCACTCTCGAAACAATTCATCCACATCAGCCTTCAGCAAAACGAGATCCTCGAACTTGAAAGTCTTGTCATGAATACTCTGGAAGCTTTTGAGCGGTGTCGTCGAAGCAGACTCAGGGAGAACTTCAGCTCTTGAGGAGGAGTCGCTACCCGTAGATGTGTTGAGCTGAGTTGGTGGAGCCTGGTTCGGCCATCTTTCGCTCTCGCTTGGCAACTGAAGACCTGACTTGAGCCTCTCAAGTTCCTGAGTGAGTTGTTCGACTCGACAGTGTGGTCGTTAGCAAGTGTCACCTCGATAAACGTCCTGACCCTGGGTGCATACTTCCTCGTGGGGACCCGCTTGTAGTTTAGATCAATCCTGCAGGCTATATTCCGTGTTCCACATCTCGAACATGGCGCTGGGAAGGTGGAAGATGCATTGCAACGAAGTTTGCTCTGTCTGCATGTTATACAGCTGGCTGGTCTAGCCATTCGTTCGGTAGCTTCGTCAGAAGTCTGAGACTGTGGTTCGGAAGGTCTTCTAGGAATTGTTTCCTGATTTGTGATTAATAACAAGCGTCTTAAGTCGACTAGTTGGACGGTCATCGAGATGAAGCAGGCATGTCAAAGAGGTCAAGAGAATGGCGAGAGTGGGTGGGAGGAGACGGAAGTAAAAGGTCTGCAGACTTTCCAAGGCCAGGCCTGTGCCGAGGCTTCAGAGTCAAATACCCCCCGACTGTACATACATTCATTCATTCTGTGGACTTCCCCCGGTCTTCACTAATCCGGTTCATTCATCTATTGAAGCGGGCAAATCTTGACATGTAAATGTTATTATTCTGATACATGGTCTCTGGCTCGTTCTAATATGACTGCCTACCCGGCTATAAATCATCCCTGGACGGTTGTTTCAAACACGAATTTGCCCGTTTGTGAATGGAATCCTCCTCGCACCGTACCCGGCCTCTGATCTCTGTAGAAATCCACGACGTTGTGACTCAACTTCCGGCTATTGGGTGGACACAGCCACAATCGCAACAGATGCCGCTTTGTCTCGTCCGTATCTCCGTCCTCAAACTCGGTGCGGGCGTGCAAGGTGATATGGTTGTTCAGGAACTGTATATCTCCTGGCTCGAACATCATGCCAAAGTGGAACTTCTCTTCGTTGGCGATCTGCTGAATGAGCATGATTGCTTCCTTTTGCTGCTCGGTGAGACGGGGAAGCTCAGGGTACTCTTCTTGAGCGGTGAAGATGTGCGGCGGAATGTAGCGGCATGAGAAGCGCCCGCCTTCCTCGCTGAATATGGGAATTTTATAGTACGGACCAGCCCCAGGAGGAGAATTCCCTTTCCAGCTCCAGTAGAAGTCTTCGTACAAGACCTTGAGCAGGTCGGGTCGGCGGCGGGCAATTTCGTTCCTCACGGCAACCGAGCTGCAAATCATGCTAAGCCCGCCACTCTTGGCAACTTGCAGTACCATGAGGCCAACAATATCCGAACTATCGGTGTGGAATCCCAGATGGACACGAGACATGTATCCGCGGCCTGTCTTGGAGGATGGGTGGATGTTGTCGCCCAAGTTCTTGACATCACCCAGAACATCCCCCTTTCCACTTTGCGACACTGCCACGCCCATGTTGAGTCCTATCCCCCAGTAAATCATTCTCATTTCTGGCTTTGTGTACTTGCTTGCAGGGATCCCACGCAAGACAAAGAGTCCCATGTCATTCTCCACATGCTCGAGGACCTGTTGCAATGGCTTCTCCGATCGACCTAGCGGGAAATCCTCCTTGGTCATCGTTTCGCAGGTCTTGTGGCCTTTACTCAACGTCGTCTGCAAAGCATGGTCGATGTCCTTGAGCTCTTCCTCTGTGAAGCGATGGATCCATCGGTCAGGATTGTTTTGAGCATCCACAGCCAGCCACTCTGCCCAGCCCAGCGTCAGATAAGTGTGTGGACAGAATACTTCAAAACAGCACCGAATGGGAATGGGGCCACAAACGACCTACCATGATCCAGAAGATTCGATTCAATCTGGTTTTCTGCCATTTTCCCTCCTCAAGAAGTGATTCTGCACTTTGATTCTTTGAAATGGTCAGTCTAGGTCAGTGTAGCATCAAAGTGACCATGTCTCTTATATCGGACTCGCCGCCCAGGTTTTCATTTCATTTGACCAAAACAATAGTAGAATGGTAAAAGCCTCAGCCGACCTTGGCCACTTCGTTCCAGACTCCATCCTCAGAAGCCGATGTCGTGTAAGAGGGGTTCGGCAAGAGGGAGACGGCGCGGAGACAGTGGCAGGCTGTGGGAAAAGAGCAAAAGGGGGTCAAGCCGAGCGAAATTCGGGCACTAACGGAGCCGGGGCTAGCGTTGCCGAATTTCGGGGTGGCATATGGTCACTGTAGAGATTCCTCTGCTCCCGTCAATTCTTACCCAATGTTAGCAACACACCTTGAGACCGACGATGCTGGCTGAGCTTGGGCATGTCTGTTGCCTGGAACCTGTGCCGATCCCATGATGCTCGAGCTCTCAAGCCGAAAAGTCGAATCCTTAGCTGCGGCATGGAATCAATATGCTGCCGAAGCCAAACCACCGTGGTCTGGAGCGGTCGGCCCTTGATGAGCCAGGACCTAGCGATTCTGACCTGAGGTTCATGATTGTCGTCCAGATCTTGCTTTCTACAAACTTCGAAAGCTTTGCCAGCAGTTGAGTGAAATTTTGCTATCAACAGTCTTCAAGATTGTCTCTGGACACAATGGCACCAATCGCAATTCCATCAAGCGACGCCTCTGCAAATGGCGTTGAATCAGCACCGAAAGAGACTCAGCCGCTCTGTGCCATTGTTACCCCTCTGGGGATGCTGGGCTACGGCTTCGAAGAACATCTCCTGACTGACAAGTTGGACGAACTGACAAGGACTAACCCGTCAGTCCCCCTGGCCGTCGTCATGGATTCTGGTTCAACCGATTCGGGCCCTTCGAAATTGGCATTGGGCACCATGACCTGCCCCGAAGCATCCTACAAAAGGGACTTGACCAAGTTGATTCGGGCAGTCATCAATTATCACGTGCCTGTTCTCATATCGTCGGTTGGCGGAGATGGCAGCAATGAGCATGTTGATCTCTTTGTCGAGATGATTAAAGAGATTAGCGCGTTGTTCGAATGGTCAGTTTCATTTACAAGGCCAAGTAATCTCTGACTAACAGTCGCCATTTAGCCCTCGGGAACTGAAGGTGCTTGCCGTTTACTCGGAAGTGTCCAAGGAAGTTGTAGAGCAGAAACTTCTGGCCGGAGACATATCCGGATGTGGAGATGAGGTTCCTCAGCTAACAATTGAAGAGATTCACGCTGCTCCACGCATACTGGCTCAGATGGGCCCTGAGCCGATCTTCAATGCTATGCAGTCGTACCCTAATTTTGACATCCTCGTCACGGGACGTGCATACGACCCTGCGACCTTTGTGGCGTTTTGTGCCATTAACAGGCTAAAGTCTTCATCCTCGTCCTTCAACTCACTTGGCAACAATTTATTGGGAGGTTTCTGTCACATGGGAAAGGTCATGGAATGCGGTGGCCTCTGTGCCACGCCAAAATCATCTGGCGCAACAGCGTTGGTCTACAAAGACGGGACGTTCGATATTTCGCCCCTGGATCCCATGGCAAAGTGTGTTCCTCTCAGTGTGGCTGCGCACACCCTCTATGAGAAGTCCCGTCCGGACCTCCTGCACGGTCCAGGTGGATATCTGGATCTAACCCACACCACCTATGAGCAGTTACCGGACGGAATTTCAGTACGAGTACGGGGAGGAGACTTCCACTTCTCGGTTTCCGAAGGATCACCTTATACGGTCAAATTAGAGGGCGCTCGCGTCATTGGTTTCCGCAACCTCTTTATAGGGTCATTCAAGGACCCGATTCTCATCGGCCAGATACACGAATATCTCGAGGCTGGCAAGAATCGGATCGCACGCCAACACAGAGATATGGATGGTCGGTGGAAACTCGACTTCCACATCTATGGTGCTCCGGAGAGTCGGCCTGACGGGTTGACTTCTACCAATGAGACCTGGACTCCCAAGGAAGTCTTCATTGTCGGAGAAGTTCTCGCAGACTCACCGACGCTGGCCAAAACTGTTGCGTCTACAGCGCGGGTATACTGTTCTCATGGCGCTTACAAGGGACAGATGGCCACTTCTGGAAATTTTGCATTCGGCATCGGTGGTGTGACGGAAATAGATGTTGGTCCCTGCTGCCAGTTTTCTATCTATCACCTGATGAATCTTCTCGAGGGAGAAGAAGATAGCCACTATATGTCGGACGGTCGTGGGAAGATAGTCGCCAAAGACCGCACCATGGATGGACTATTTCCGTGGGAAACAACAGTCATTCCGGCTTCCACGTCTGGAGTCATGATTTCGAACGGAACGATTCCTGTCCAGGAGACAAAGGTCCCTACCAATGGCGCTATAAAGCGCCCCGCCCAGAACGAGACCAAGCACTCAATTCAAACAATGGGCGATCCCAAAACACTGAGAGACGTGGCAAAGGTCATTCGCTCCAAGAACGCAGGCCCTTTCCAGCTGACCTTTGATGTCATCTTCGACGACCCCGTCGTCTACAAGGCGGTAAAGACGTCCGGAATCTTGGATGGGGAAGCCATGGCCCAGCTCTTCGGACGCTCGGTCGACGAGGTCGTCTATTGCGGCTTCTTTGACCAGGCGTTGGCGTTCAAGCTCACCCTGCCTAGGAAACGCGGAAGCGAGCTCAGCTGCTCCGGCGGATACATGGAAAGCGACGTGCATGGGTCCCAACAGTACTTGCCTTTGATGAAACTACCGTTGACCGAGGACCTCAGAAGGTCTCTGCTGGCATTGAATTCTGCCTGTATGAACTAAGGGCACTTTGGGGGCACGACTAGAGTCTAGGAGGCGGCATAGAGTTGCCTTTCAGTAGATGGCTCAATGGAATATCCGTATCATAGGCATTGCCAGAGCTTTTATCATCCAAGATGGGGTTTGGAACGATAAATCACTACCTTGAAATGATAAACAGACTCAGAAAGCGTAGGGGTGACATCAAGCAAATTACAGAACTGTGAAAGATAAAATTAACAGCCACATGCGTTGCAGGAAGCCAGCGATCCGGATTGGTTTAAATAATGCCTCTAACAGTACTGACTGGCTACATGCACTGTTCGTCGTGGTCTCCCAGAGATGAGCCTAGGTTCTAAGTGCCTTGGTGAAAACGCTCAGATCGTCCTGGTTCTCCAGGTCGTAGAACAAGGCCAAGATATCCCTAGCACCCTGGACGCCGTAGACCTTCTCGGCCATGGGGAGGAACTTTAACCTCTCGACCTCGCGCAGGCCGATGGGGTTCTCGGGCTCACCGAGCGGGTACTCGACCTTGACGCACTTGTCGCCGAGCTGGGCGACGGTCACAAGCGAGCCGTCGCGGAGTGAGTCGTCGACGTGCACCTTGATCCGCCGGCACAGTGCCAGCACCTTCTCGTCTTGGAGGAGTTGGTACGAGTCCCAAGCGTTGGAACCGTACAGCCAGGCCACGGCGAACTGGAAGTACAGGCTGAACTGGCCCTCGACGACGTTGGTCGGGCGGAACTTGTTGGCAGCGGGGCTGCCGACACCATGGAAAGCCTTGGGGCCGATGGTGACTTCGATGTCTTTACCTGACAGTGCCGCGTCCAGGTCAAGGTCGTCTGGAAACTGCTTTCGCAGTGCGTAAGCCGCCTCGATCGGACCGTGGACCAGGCGGCACGACGGGTACGGCTTGATGGCCGTGTTGGACGTCTCCCAGAACGTGCCCAGGCTCTCGACAATGTGCAGGTCCGGCTCCGACAGGCGTGCGTACGAGTGCAGCAGGCCGCGCTTGCCGTCGATGGCGCGGGCGGCGCCCACCATGCCGGCCTTGACGAATTGAACGCCCAGCAGGGCATTGTGCGCCGCGATGCCCGGGTGGAAGCGTTTGTTCCAGCCGCCGTTCTCGAAACACTGCAGCGACCCGCTGGCCATGCTCCCCACAACCCCAAACAAATGCTCGATTTGGCTCGCGTCGAAACCCGCGAGTTTCCCAGCCGTGGCTGAGGCTCCAAAGACCCCCGCCACGCACGTAGGGTGGAAGCCGACCCGGTGCAGCACGTCGCTGATCGATCGTCCTAGGCGGCATGTCACCTCATACCCAACCGCCACCGCCGTGAGGAACTCGCGTCCCGTTACCTTGCGCCCGGCACTCATCTCCAACTCTGCTTGGGCGAGAGCTGCTGAGATGGCAGAGGCGCCCGGATGCAGAGAAGCCACACTGTTGGTATCGTCCCAGTCCATAGAATGCACCAAGGTTCCGTTCAGCAGGGCGCTGTATTGCGCTTGGTACCTGCGTGAGAGGCCCAAGACAGAGCCTGGCCCCGTGGCGGACAGGTTGTTGACCGCTTCAATAAAGACCGGGCTTGAGGCGACATGCTCGACGGCGTATGAAGCAAGTCCAATGTAGTCCAAAAGGCCGCACTCAAGGACATTGCGGATGGGTTGGATGTCGTCCCATGTCGTGCGGTATACAAATTCCGCCAACTGTCGAGTAATACTTCCAGGCACAGTCTCTGTCGTGCGTTTGATCAGCTTTTCACATTGTCTCAATGATCAAGGAGTGGCCCCTCCTTCCCTTAACCTACCTTCCGGGGATGCGTGAGGCATCTTTTCCTTTGCACACTGTATCTTCCGGAGCTGATGGGGATAGCGTCGCGTCAAAGGCCAGAGAGCGCCCAGAAGGAGAGATTAGCCTACTTTTCAATGAAGATGCGTGAGACACGACAGCTAACCCATAGTTAGATTTTACTTCGCCATACAACTAGATGCTGGTTCATTGGGAGGTACCGCACTATGTCAGTCAGACTTTGATTGCGTCGCCGCGTTGACTTCGCCGAGAATCGGGCTGGGCCCGAAAGTGAACATCGGAGCGATTCAGACAGTCATCGGCGTCAAGGAGGGGCGTCGGCCTGTGCGGCTTCAGGCGCCCGGGGAAGACAGCTCAAGCTGCTTAAGACCCTCCGGACAAGATAGCTATGGGGACCAGTGAGGAGATAGAATCAGCATGTAGAGAAAAGCCTATGTTTTGCTACGGTCATAACGTCTGGTCCGAGTCAGCGCAATGTCTATAGACTTTGTAGAGAAATGAATGATATTTGTCTTACGACAAAGTAACAGTCTGAGTGCCTTATATGCTATTACAAGTCTCTTTTGAGCCTCTTCCCTCCTCCCAACCCCCTCTACTTATTCTGCGGAGACAAGGAGGATGACAGCCCCCAGTCCCGCTTTCTGCATTGCTTCTACTTCGTTCATGTGAAGTAGAAGAAGTCCGGGTGCCGGTTGCCAATGTCCTCGATACCCAAAGAGCGCTGGCTTCTGGCGAAGTCCGTCTCCGCGTCCCTACGCTTCTTCGCATTCTCGTTTCTCAGATCAAAGTACAAGACTATGGTGGCGATTCCGCCAATCACCGAGGCTCCAAGGCCAAAGCCATTGCCACGGTAATAGTGGGGAGGATCGCTATACACCTGTGTGCCGACGATGGAAAAGCACTGGCCTATCGCCCCGAGCGCACCGAGGGCAGCCGCTCTGAACCACATTCATCGCCACGTTAGCCAGCACATTCTTTTGGGAGGATCAGACAGGTCGGCCAGCGTTGCTCACCTTTTGGTAAACCCGGGGGTATTGTTGTTCATCCAGACCTGGCCGACAATGATACCAGGATAGGCCCCAATGCCGATGAAGAAGCAGCCCGCGAATGAGAGGTGCTGACTCTTGCTGCATATGAGGATCAACCATCCCATGCCCACCGACACGAAACAAGCTAACAGGACATGTGCCCGTCGCTGTAGTCGATCCGACGCGATACCGAACCCCATCGCTGAGACTGCCGCACTGAAAAACACTGGAATCGTCAAGGCCTGAGTTTCTAGCGGCGAATATCCGAATGTCCTCAGAATAACAGGTAAAAAGCTGCCGAAGCATGCCAGACTGAGATTTAGGCAGGAGTATAAGATTACTATCACAACTGTCAGTACCTGTTGTAATCAGCTTGAGGACTCCAATTCGACGTACTGTAAAGATAGGTTCGACGGTCCTTAAAGATGTCGAGGATCTGTTTCGGCTTGATCTTGGCATTTGGCTCATTGTATCCCTCCACGCCTCTGCGCCTTGCGATAACCTTTTCTTTCTCAGTAAATCCCCATCGGAGTTGCTCGGGTAGCGGCGGCAGCAGAGCGAGAACAATGAAGCCCCAGGCGACCGAAATGACACCTAGAAGTCGGTCATCAGCAGAGGGGCGGAGTCAGACACAATATGGATTGAGTTTACCTTCAATGAGAAACAACCATCGCCAAGCCAACCAGCCGTCAGCGCCATTGAGGTTCTTCTCGATGCCGTAGGCGATGATTCCGTTGAAAGCTCCGGCAACGGCGCTCATGCCAAAGAAAATAGCACCTCGTGTTGCCAATTCATCTCGTTTATACCAGAGAGACAGATACAGGGGCCCAGCCTGGAGAAAAGCTTCTCCAACCCCCACTCCTACACGAAGACCTGCGACGGCTTGGTATGACTTTGCAACACAGATTCTAGCGAGAATCAGTGTCTGTATGAGGGAGGCTATGATTGATGGCTTCCAGTCTTACAGAGTGTTAAACGTCCCCCAAAGCATGAGAGCGAGCCCAAGCTGGACAGGAGGCCGGACGAGTTTCAGACATAGATAGCCTGGCAGCTGGAAGACAATGTATCCAACATAGAATATAGTGATGCAAGTGCTGAGCTGGTGAGGTGTAAGGTGGAGTTCATCCGTCATGCCAGCTACTGCCGCGTTTCCCACATCCCCACGATCCTGGCACTCTTGTCAGCAGCCATCTAGATGCTGATCGATGATGGTCAAGGAATTGGTACCAGAGAAGCAAGGAAGTACATAGAGGCGAGTAGTGGAAGGATGATGAGGTCGGTCTTCAGGACAAAGCGCTTCTCTGCTTTTGCTTCCTCAGGCGTTCTTGCTTGCGCCAGATGTTTTCCAATTCCACTGACGGGTTTGTTGGAGGTATCCTCCACGTGGGTTAGCGCCACTAGGGGTATCTCATCCTTTTCAGGGTGCAGGGAAGTCACAGGGTGGCTGGAAGTCACAGTGTCGGAGTCCATAGCCGTATACGTCTCGATGATGAATGTAGGGGAACAACGGGTTCGTGAAAGAGATCCTCGGGAAGAAGGTAGAAATGTGACTCTGCAGGATCAAGGAGGCCAAGTTGGATGCAAGGCATGGCAGATATTATATGTACATAGCCCAGATGTGCTACAGAGAGTGGCCATAAGCATAGATCCAACCCATGCTCCAGATCTGCTTCTCCAGACCAGCTTCTCCAGAGGCTGCAGCAAGGGGTGGAGCAGCCATTGCCAGTGTGTGGAGACGATTCTATTCGCACACTGTGCCAGAATAGTGTGTCTGCTTGTTCTGGGCCCTCGTGTAGCCCGTCGTAATCGCGTTTGAAGGAGCCAAATGGCCGAGCGAGCTTCATTGCTAAGTTCGGCGCAGGCCTGTGGCTTGCCGAATTTCGGCCACGTCTTCTGTAAGGGCAATTGAGAGCTTTGGAGGCAGGTTTAGGGGGAGCCTTGACTCTCAGGCACCAATCAGGACTGTCAATGGACTTCAAAGAGAATCCTTTCCATCCCACATGTGAAGTGCAATAAATTGAAGCTTCTCAAACATCCCGGTCGAACTCGGATTAAAGTAACCCCGTTCTAATGACTTGCATAGTCACGTGGATGACCAGCAAGGGCCTGTAGTGACATACTCCATACGACGTACGAGGTAGGTATCCCGAGCTGGCTAAGCACCTAAGCGGCTAGCGAATTATTAGTTCCGAGTCCATGCCAGACACAGGATTTCGACAGGTTCAGTTTGTCATGCCGCAGCAAGTTGACAACCACCTTAACAGCATCCTTTGTGCTGTGAGCTTGGTGACAAATATTGAAGCCAGCTGAACTTCACCTAACGTCCATTCAATTCCACGCCTGATCTTGCCTTTACGCGCTACTCCTCCCTTCGACTGCGCTGCGTTGATAATCTCTCGACTGAAACCACAACTAGCCATCCCACCCTAGCACACGACACCCTCGATCCCTCTTCACGACCAGTCTCCCTTCTTCGTCCCTTGCAATTCTTCGTCCAATCTGACATTGTGAACGGATCTCCGCACAATCATGGATACAAAGATGGACGTTGATGTGGGAAAAGCAGCGCAGCCTCATGGCTTGTCGCCCGCCACCGACCCTCAATCAATACCGACCCTCGATGGCTGGATTGAGAGCTTGATGGACTGCAAACAGTTGGCGGAGAGTGATGTATCAAGACTTTGCGATAGAGTAAGCGATGTTGACGTCCATGTGCAAACCGTAAGGCTGACTGTGAGCGCGTGCAGGCTAGAGAAGTTCTCCAAGAGGAGTCGAATGTCCAGCCAGTAGTGAGTTTCCCGATCTGGCGGCGCGAGGCTTTGGCCAGATGGCTGACTTCGCGCAGAAATGTCCCGTCACAGTGTGCGGCGACATCCACGGCCAGTTTCACGACTTGATGGAACTCTTTCGCATCGGCGGCCCTAACCCAGACACGAACTACCTCTTTATGGGTGGGTTGGAGAGACTTTGTCCCTGGTCAACACCAACTGACAATGACAAACAGGAGACTATGTAGACCGTGGCTACTACTCCGTCGAGACCGTGACCCTTCTTGTCGCGCTCAAAATCCGATATCCTTCTCGCATCACTATCCTCCGCGGTAACCATGAGTCCAGACAGATCACCCAGGTGTACGGCTTCTACGACGAATGCCTCCGAAAATATGGCAACGCCAACGTCTGGAAATACTTCACCGATCTCTTCGATTACCTGCCCCTTACCGCCCTGATCGACAACCAGATCTTCTGCCTGCATGGCGGCCTTTCTCCCAGCATTGACACCCTCGATAACATCCGATCGCTTGACAGAATTCAAGAAGTCCCTCACGAAGGTCCCATGTGTGATCTTCTGTGGAGCGATCCTGACGACCGATGCGGATGGGGCATTAGTCCAAGAGGAGCTGGATACACATTCGGTCAAGACATCTCAGAAGCGTTCAACCATAATAATGGCTTGACGCTGGTGGCCAGAGCTCATCAATTGGTCATGGAGGGCTACAACTGGAGTCAGGATCGGAATGTGGTGACAATCTTCAGCGCGCCTAATTACTGCTACAGATGTGGTAATCAGGCTGCCATCATGGAGATTGACGAGCATCTGAAGTACACATTGTAAGTGTAACGCCTTACTCTTCCTTGATTGCTATACTGACAGAACTGACCTTCAGCTTGCAATTTGATCCATGTCCCCGAGCCGGCGAACCAATGGTCAGTCGCAGAACGCCAGACTACTTCCTCTAAACAAGAGATGTGCACCACCTTGCCCGCATTACACGGCTAGAGTCCCCAGAACTGGCACACCTTGGAATGGGTGTGGTTCGTTGATACGCTTTAATAGACTATGGTTTCACACAACCCAGCCGGGTTTCAGAGAGAAAAAGTCGTGTAAGCAGGGGGATCCACAGAGCAAGAGGTCAGGAAACAGTGATTCCAGATATCATGGAAAGAGGTGCAACCATGAGCATGACGAGTGTGAACGAAAACGCAAGCAGCGTGTGAGCGAAATGCCCTGCCGAAAGACACAAAGAAGCGATGTTCAATAGACATACAGCCCCAATCATGCATGCACTTGCCAGATGGGTATGGTGCTCTACTTCGCGTGCGCTGCCTTCGCTTGGGCTGCGACCTTTTGTGCAATGTATTACAAGACCGATAATGAAGGGGTTGGGAAAGAGATTCGCAATTGATTGGCCTGCCCTTGGTGTTGCTTTATTTTGGTCGCTGTGCCGTTTGCCTGCCCCGTGTGTGTCTCTGCCTCTCGCCTCTTCGACGTCTTCCAGCCCCAATTCACACGTCGGGACAACTCTCTTCTTCTAACAACACATGCCCGCCACCACCACCACCACCACTACAATAGCACCAGTCTGCTCACAACAATCCCACCTCTTCCTGTCTATTTCAGCTCTTCCGCGAACTCGGGCAGAGCAAAGTCTTCAGACTTGCCCTCTCCTTGGGCAGCCTTCTTAGTCAAAGGCCCGTTCTTGACCATGATTGTCATGACCTCGTAGAGCACGTCCGCGGCGGCCATGGTGGTCAGCTCGGCGTTTGTATCGTAGGCCGGAGCAACCTCGACAATATCTGCAGCGACAAAATTCAGGCCCTCGAGGCCGCGCAGGATGGTACGCAGCTCGCGCGTGCTCCACCCCCCAGTCTCCGGAGTTCCCGTCGCGGGGGCAAAGGCCGGATCGAGCGTGTCGATGTCGATGGACAAGTAGACAGGTCTGTCGGTGCCGACGCGGTCGCGGATGCGGCGAATGATGCCGTGCATGCCAATCGTGTCGATCTCGCGGGCCTCCACCCTCGTAAAGCCGCAGTAGCCGTCGTTCTCGTAGTCCGAAGGGCCCGAAAGCGTGGTGCGGATCCCCGCGTGGATCGAGCTGTCGTTGGCGAGAAGGCCTTCCTCGGACGCCCAGTAAAAGTACGTCCCGTGGTTGATGGCCGCTTGCTTGGACGGCGCCCCGCCAAAGACCTTGGGCTTCCACGTGTCGAGGTGCGAGTCGAAGTGGATCACGCTGATCGGGCCGTAGGCTTTGTTGATCGATCGCAGGAGGGGCAGCGTGATTGTGTGGTCACCACCCAAGGTGATGATGCGTGGTAGAGTCTTGCCTGCCTTGGAGATACCCGGTTCGTTTGCGGCCGTGTACGGCGTCCGCATCAGCAAAGTGTTGTGCCCGTCTTCGATCTGCTGCAGAGCGTAGTGGTTGTCGTATCTAAGGGTCGTTTTTGTCAGGCACGTATGCACAGGGTGGCGCTCCTCGTTGGAAAGCCAGGGGTATTAGTTCTTGGTACTCACGAGGTAACTGGGATGTCGCCGCAATCAATAACTTTGCCCCAGAAGTTGAAGGGGTTGGATTTCATAGGTCTGTTTGCATTTTATATCCTCCCAATGCGTTAGTCTCAGTTCTTCTTGCCACTGCCACTGCTGCTGCTGGGATGTTTTCTTATTCTTGTTCTCCTCCCACGGGTCCCAGCATGTACATTGGATGAAAGGGCGAAAGGGGGAAAGGAGCAGTCACGTACACATTATACCCGCCGCTAAATCCAAGCTTTCGTGAGCCTTTTCCATTCGGTTCCAAAGTAAGCCTTTGAGCAGGACAGACGTACTAGAGATTGAGGCGTCGAGAACCTTGCCTGATCCCGCTGGGTCCAAATCGAGCTCCTGGTCGGTATGAAGTGCCCGTGTCGAATGGTGCGCCTATTGTAATAAGAAGACCGGGGCAGTTAGCTCTTCAGGTCTTGTTTTTGGGGAGACACATCAGTCTCGTGAGTTGGCCCACCAAGGAATGCAATGTCATATTTCTCCTCGTCGCTGGTCAAGCAGGGGAAGTAGGGCAGGCGGCCGAAGGTCGAGATGCCGGAGAAGACAGAGTCGGCCTGGGTTACAAGAGTGTTAATGAAGCTCATGCCGGCGTTTGCACTTTCCGATATTCTGCTCACCTGCGTGCCACCGTCGCCTGGCAGGGTGTTGTACCAGAGAGACTTGTGAGGTCCTTCGATGGGAGCCTGGTCGTGGTCATGGTCGCCATGCGCGAGCGCGCAGCTGGCACACGCCAGTAGAACAAATGACTTAAGCAGCATCTTACGCCGTGAGTTGTAAGATAGGTTAATCTCGTCCAGACACCCACGACGAGGACTCAAGCAGCCAAAAACTGAAGAGAGGGCTTTCGAAAAACACGACCCCACGAAGAACAAATTCGAAGCTCGAAGTGAGAGCAGCTTTGTTGTTTTTTTCCCGAGGAGCTAAGCACCAGCTCTCCCAGTCCGCGAGTTCCTGCAGATAGCTTCCAGCTCTGGCAGGTCAATGCACCTTACCTGGACCATGGCCAATGATGCAGCATTTGGATTTCTTCTTACCTAAAGCTTCCACGCATAACAAGTGGGCGCGGGAGTCTTCCGAGCAAGGCATGAAGCTTTCCTATCGATAATCAATGCAGGCCCCGCCGTGTTGACAAGAGGAATTGCCAAATCATGACGGCATGACAACTTCCAAGCCGAGCCCAGAGGTCGAGACCAGGGAGGGCTCTAGGGAAGCTACCCTTGGGCTTCGGAGCTGGTGTGGAACATTCCTCGAGCATATCGCGGGGGTTGGCCCATCAGCCAGGCAAGACCAAAGAGCCGGTGAGCAGCAGGAGAGCCACATGGGTTTGGTAGAAGGGAGAGCAGCGCGCAAGTCCATCCGAGGGGCATGCAGATGGACTTCAGCGGCGAAGTGTCAGACAACAGAGCCGTGAGCGAATGTTGTGTGTCATTGAAGGCGTGACGCAGTCGTTTGTCGGGATGCTTATCAGTGGGAATGAAGGGAAGAGAGAGAAGCTCGTATCATCATCATGCGCAGGTTTTTGTCCGACGTGGATCGAGGCCGATGCATGCGACACTAACCCGAAGAGGAAGCTTGTATCGCCATATATCAATCATGACAGGCAGCTGGCTGTACCTCTTCCGACAGCACAATAATCCCAGAACCAGATTACGTTTTATGATCTGTCTATCTATCTTTAGTTCGTCATGTACATGCATCATACCGCTCATTGAGGGCCATTTCCCGCGGGCGCTGGCACAGAGCCCCCTGCATGACCACCCTCCACTAGCTCATCCTTGTCCATCCGGGCAAAAGCCTTGTCGACTTCGTGCTCCCAGTTGCTGAACGCCACAATCGCCCATTCGGCAATCCCAACCAGGTACAGGGCAATGCACTGGCCGACCCAGAGTCCCGGAAGGCCCCAGCCATGGAAGGCGAGCCAGATGCCGAGGGGCAGGGCGCCGCAATAGTAGCTGACAATGTTAACGGCAGCGCCAATATGCTGCCTGCCCATGCCTCGTAGCGATCCGCCACAGCTGCCATTCAATCCATCGGCGATCTGGAACAGCGCCACATACGGCAAGACGTGGGCGGTAAGCTTGACCACCCGCTCGTCGTCGTTGAAGATCTTGGCAAAGACGTTCTTCGTGCCCATCAGGATGGCCAACACCACGGCTCCCATGAACATGCTCAGCCAGGCAGCCACGTTGGCCGATCGTGCTGCGCCTTTGGCATTGCGTGAACCAAGCATGTTGCCCACCCGTGCGCTGGCGGCGACGCCAATGCCAAAGGGGATTGTATTCATGACCTGGTCTGCTGTCATGATGACACTTTGAGACGCCAGAGGGATTTCTCCAAGTCGACCAGCCGCCAACGCAACAATCTCAAAAGCCCACCACTCGGTTCCCACATGAATGACCCCCAGGGCGGCCAATTTGGCAAAGACTCCCATGTTCTGGAGGCATCTCTTCGTCCAGCCGCCCCAGCATTCGCCGCCCGCGACAAACTTGGCATAGAGCACGAGACCCAGGAATGAAAGCCAGTAGCCGATGCCTGTTGCGAATGGCGCCGCAAAGATGCCCCAGCCGGCCACATAGACAAACAGGTAATTCAGTAACGCGCTGATTGGAGAGGTGATGAGGAGCACATAGGTGCCTGGGCGCATGATCTCTTGGGCCTGAAGATATTTCTTCATGGTCTCAAAGTAGATATACCCCAGTCCGCCCGGAATTAGACAGCTTAGAAATTTTGAACTGTCGCGCGATAACTGGTCGCTTTGGCCCAGAGCTCTAAAAACCGGTCCCGAACACAGCCACAGGATGGCGACCGGGACGTAGAACAGCGTCAGGACGATGAAGGCCCGCTGGAGCAAGATGCCCAGGTCATGCTTGTTCTTGCTTCCGGTGAAAGTGGAACTCGCCAGGGTATCCAAGGCAGTCGACCCTCCCATACCGATCAGCCACCCTGTACACATGGCGAACATGTAGGAGAAGGCAGCAGTGGAGAGATCTTGTGGCGATGCTCGGCCGACGATCAAGATCGATATGGTTTGCAGCGAGTTCTGTAGCGAGTAGGCCAAAATGACGGGCACAGAGCCTCGGAACAGGACCCAGAATTCGTGAAGAATGAGCTTCCGCCTCGGCGTCTCGTCCTCTGGGAGGATGTCAAGCAGCTCGCCTTCCTCCTGGCTGGATGCTTGCTCTTCATCGTGGCGCTTCTTGGGCAAAAGCCCCGTTTGCTCGTCAGGCTCTTCTCGTTGAATGTCCTCGCTCATCAATGCCACTGAACGCCGGCGGTCGTGATCCTCTTCTGCAGAGCCGTCTCGTGAGCTGGGATATTTCTGGGTGGCTGTATCAGGTCGAGACTTACCGGTGGAACTATATCTTCGCATGGCCTGTCAGCAACGCCGTATAATTTTCTTAGGGAGTACAAAAAATTAATTAACAATCTGACATGATTGTCCTCAAAAGAAAAGGACAGAAAACTCCGGACTTTGAAAGAATCAACAGAAGGTAGTTTATGGAACAGTACGAAAAGACATGTGGAAATGGAAATATCGGTTAGTCAATGTATCCATGAGACGCCCCATCCCAGATACCGATGTCTGGACGGATCGCTGCGTCCTTGGAGCTGGCAGGCATATAGCCAGATGCATTGGCGCCGGTCGGTTTGGGTCCTTCGAAATCTGATGTCAAATGGCAAAACGTAACGGAGAGACGCCTATCAACACCGAGAAAATGCAGTGAACCCTGGAATTGATGCAGCTGTGGACTGATTTGCGTCTTCGACAAAATCATTGCGTTATCCAATTGCCGCGACGCTTTGTTCTTCCCTTATCTTCAACCCATATCTGACTCCTTGCCGATTGGGAGAGCTGATGTCTGGGGACGGGGAGGGCGGAAGGCAACTTTTAACTAAGCCCTAATCATAATCTTTCCCGCCCTGTGGGTCTTGGCTGGTCTCACGGCTGAAGACAATGCTTTTCTGGAAGCCCATCCATGGCGTCGAAAGCGGTGTATGTATGTACGCCTGTGAGAAGGACGAGCGTTGGGTGGTGTGCGGTTGCGTCGACCTTGAGTCACTGTGAGCTGGACTTTGAAGCCTGAAAGAGCGATTCCACGGATGAATACCGCCTGGCAGTCGGGTCTCTAGAACTCCCTTCCGTGTAAATCATCAGATGCTGAGCATTAATTCAATCCAGGAGCATGTTCTTCGTCAGACATAAAGTCGGGTACCAGGTGTCTTGCCCACTGCTTGTTGGCAATGCTTGGAATGCCCCTGCGACAAGGCTGCGTGAACTGATCTCTGATTGGCTGAAACCCCACCTTAGTATAAAATGGCAGCCTTGTACACTGAATTCTCTTCCTCTTCATTCTGTTACCACTCAATGATACCTGCAAGATGGACAGAGGTGATATCCTGGATGTTTTGTCATCTGAGCCGGAGAACGAGCGTCCCCAGACTAGGGTCCTTCGCCGACAAGCTCACTCCATCATCTCTGACATCCCGTCCGATGTAGACCAAGAAGGTCTTCCAACAGCGCTCCTCGAGCTTCTTACACAGATCATCAAGCCGCTCTTTACCAACACGAAACACCCCCAGCTGACATCCACGGGCCGCAAATCTCTCGTTCCAGGACCGCCACCATCGATAGCAACATCGCGTTTCCTCTCACCGCTAGACGACGATGAGCAAGAAGCGATCCAGAAACCATGGAAGAGAACGCCCTTCACAGTACCCTTGCTGAAATACATCTTGCAAAGTTATGCACTTCTCCCCAAACCGGCGCAGAAATCTACCATAGAATCCCACTTCCACTTCCTCGTCCCACCTGTTCTCAACATGATCGACGACGCTTCGGCCCAGTACAAATCCGACGGTTGCCTTTTACTGCGCCTGCTTTGTACGACGTTAATCTCCGCCCAAAGCGACATGCTACGACGTACTGGATTGACGGACGTGTTCGTCGACGCGCTCAAGACGAATTTCCTGCTGCTGCCCACCTTGACCCCGGAGGAAGACAGCTTGCTGATCTTGAGGGAGCTCTACCCGGCCTACTTGGCGCTTGTGGATGCGAGGTTTGTCAACTTGCAAGTCGCCATGACCGAAGGGGTCGACATCTCCACGGGCAAGAAGACAGACGCCGGAGGAGCGACTTGGACCATAGGCGAGGACTTTACGCTCCGGGAAGCCCTGCTCACCAAGCTCTACAGACACGGCATCATGGCTTCGCTATCCCACCTGTCCTCCTCTACGAGTTCATTCTCAAACACAATCTCTGCCCCACTAACAACGTTCCTGCTCAAGCAGATCCCACCGGTATTTAGACGACTAAACATCCACGCCGTCAAGCATCTCCAGACCCTGCTACCGATGATGCGGGTGGCCTTGATGGACCCGTTCGTCCTCGCGGCGCCGGAGATGGCGCTTGCCTCGCTAAATGTTCTGGCGGTGGTGGTCCAACGGTGCTCAGAGCGGGTCCGGGATAAGTGGTGGCCGGAGATTCTGAGGGCTTGTGTGGCATGCTGGTGTAATTGTTTGGACGAAAAGGAAGGCGCGAATGAAGGGGCTGCGACGGCGTTGCAGGAGGTCATGGACAGAGCCAAGGGGGTGGTGGAGTTGTTGCAGGATGCACTGGGAGAGGAGGAGTGGGAAGATGTCAAGGCGAAATTGCTGCAAGAGGAGAAAGATTTGATCGGGCTGTTTGAGGATTAGAGGATCCTTTGGAGACATGCTCCCAAGAATCGCCATCGCAGAAGGGACGCATGATACGCAAAGGGAGCGTGCGGGCCGTCCGCAACAAACAAGACGGAAAAGGCACGTAGTGTCCTTCTGCCTCTCTCACAGCATCTTTTTACACGAGCAAACAGTACTGGAGCAATGAACCCATGTTCCACGAGAATGTCAATCTATCTGGGTATCACGAAGGGCAACACAAAGAATAAACGTTCGCACCAACACCTATGCCTCGCCGTCGAATTCCTACGCGTCGACAGCAACACATCAATAACGAACGAGCGCCGGCCTACCCGACGACCGGCCCATCAGCATTTCCCGCCACCTCATCGCCGACGACTGGCCTCTGTTTGAACAGACTCTTGCCCCTCAACCACTTCTTATACGCCTTGTACCGCTTCTTCCCACCGTCCTCCTCCATCACGGTCAGCGGATCCTCGACCTGCCCACTGGCCACATACTCGAAATACTCAGCAATGCTGGCTTCCGCTCTCTCTTCCATCGTCAAAGTCACGGCCCCGCTCTCGTCGTCGAAATGCCTGAGCACCTTGTGATCGGCCGGGTCCGAGGTAGTCTTTGACAGGTACTCGAGGTATTCGAGCGGCGCCGACGAGTAGTCTGTGTCGCTGGACACCACCAATGGGATGGTCGATGGGTGTGCGACGTAGTGCTGATACTCGTCCAACTGGCGGACCTGCGGGCTGAGCGAGTTTTCAATGAGGGACGTGAAGGCTTGAAGGGCAAGTTCGGCCTTTGTGGGCGGGCCCAGCAGAAGGGAGCTATTGGTCAGGTCGCTACTGGTGGTGGTCGGCAGTCTCGGTATCTTGGGCACAGAAGTTGACTGTACCTCAAAGGATGGCTCCTTGATTATCCCCGTGTATCTGCGGCCTCTCAGGGCGTTGTGAAGTTGATGCTGCGCGTCGAGCCAAGGCCCCAAGGTGCTAGGTTTCGGAGTCGGCTCAATTGCTGAAGGGGTGGCGGCCGAATCCAGACGTCCGTCGGCGGTGGAGGACACCATCGTCTCTCCTCCGACGGTGGATGCAGTTTCGTCCGACGGCGCAACTATCTTGACGCCCTTCCGGGTCCCCTGCCCTTTGTCGTGTCCTTCTCCGTCGCTGCTTTCGTTCGTCGTCCGCACCCTAAACGGGCTGAGGTCATATTTTCCGGCCGAGGTGGAGCTGATCGGGATGTATTGCAGGTTCGAGCGCATTTTGAAGGAGAACAGTTTACGGAATGACGAAATGGATATAGGTCGGTAGTATTCGACCCAGTAGTCGTCGAAGCACGCCAACGGTCGGTCGCGCAGCTCGCGCGGCCAAAGCGACGGTGGCATCTGCGGCGTTTGGAGGTACTCGTCCGTGTACCAATGGCGGTAGCTCGGTCTCCGTTTGCCAAACATGGAGCGCGGGTCGGAGTGGTGCAAGTAATAGTCCGTGGTGAGATCCCAAAGCATGGGCTGACCCTGGGAAAAGACATAGTTCCCCAGGAAGAGGTTGTACGCTTCCTGCCGTTGCGCGTCCATGAACGAGTTGTTGTAGTAGCGCTTGAAGCTCTCGACCATGTCGCGCGAATGGCTCGTCCACTGGTTGATCTTGCGGTACGTGGCCATGGTGTTGACCAGATGCGAGCCACCGTACTGTACGGCTATGGTGTCGCCGTGGTCGTGCCACATGTGAGTGAACAAGTTCACGGCATCCGAGTCGTACTCGACCGATGGGTGCTCAATCACCCCTAACGCTTGGAGTTGATAACCGAAGGCCTTCTTTGCGATGACAAATTGTGCCGCATTGGTCCGGTCGAGACAGTCGATGCAGTTGGTTCTCGCGACACCGGTTTGGAGCCGGAGGCCCGATTCCTCGTCGCTGCCGTTCTGGAAAAAGCCCGTCTTGGGGAGGATATCTTCGGCGATTGCCTCGAGACTGCCAATGACATCTTGATCTCTACTTTTCGATGCTCGACTCATATCCCAGGCGTGATACAGAATCTGCTTGTCCTTGGGTAGGAACTGGTTGAGGTAATTGACGGCCAGAGTATACTCTTTCAGAAGCTTGGACTCTCTTGGGGTGCGCTCGCGCGCCTTGATCAGGTTGAGCACGTAGATGGGCGTTCCGTACCGCTTGAAGAGATTGTCAAAGTGAAGAGCAGCGGCACTGAAGAAGGGGTCCACCACGTTAAGATGGATATCAGGTTTCGGCGAGACACCGGTACTGTCCTGAGTCCAATGTAATGGGATACTGCCACGATGCTGCACGTAGGAGGTATATTTGCTGTTCGCGAACAGCTCCGGGCCTGGGGCGTGGAATGAAGTGGTCAGCATTTCTGAAACAATCTGTTCGGTTTCGACGTCGTTTGCCACATATCCAAGGTCATTGGCACCCCGTTTCAGGAATCTGGCACCGGCGAAGAATCTCGACCGGCGGGCGATGATTGTCACGTAGACCACCCTGCCCCAATATACTGACAGTGCACTCTGGTCGACGTAGCCATGTACGACCGACAAGCACCAGTCGTACGGGTTCTTGAGAACCTCCTTGGCGGGCCCCAAGAGATGATGATTCCAGACAAACATGTCATTGTGGTCCGGTTTGTGAGGCTGCATCCGCCCTTCTTGGAGCGCTTGCCGTTCTCGCATGATGTTGTGCTGTAGCGTTCGAGTGACGTCGTACGAATAGCTAAAATAGAAGGACCTGGTGAGATCGAGATTGTTCAGGATACCGACAAACCGCGTCTCTTCGATGTGGCGATCTGACTTTGTACGCGAGGATGCCGCCGTTACCAAAGGCATGAGTTCCGTCTTGTCAATTTGATAGATGTAATGGCCACCAATCATGGCCACTTGACTCCTTTTCGTCACATACAACATGTAATACTGCGCTGTGAAGCGGATGAAACCCAGCAGGCCCCAGAAGCTGGTTTTGATCTTCAGCCCGCCGGTCGCTCGATTGCCCTCATCGATGGCATTGAGAATCTGCTGGGTCTCTTTCTTGGTGTAGACAATGTCATCTTCGGTAATGTTGAGCTCGCCAGGTTCTGACGTCCGATCGATCTTCAATATCCGGAATGCGGAATCCAACAGATCTGAACCAACAATGTAATAATAATTGGCGGTTTCGTGAAGGGTGAATTTGTGCATTTTGCTGACGCCTTCCTCTCCCACTTTGCTGACCAATGCGCCCTTATTGCGTTGGAGTGCCGTTGGAGAGGGACTCGCTGTGCGCTGAAAAGACTTGGACAGATCAAATTCGTCCTCATCGTCCTGATCCTCCTTCTGGCCCGGCGCCAAAGGCGGAGAATCTGGCGGGTTATTTGACAGTTTGGGATACTTCTGAGGGACTATCTTCTCCGTCTCGTTCTGATCGGACTTGTTGACTTCCAGGGCGCGAGGAGCGTGGTTGCCAATCTCGACTTCCTGCGAAGGCGGTTTGTGATCGGTGTCCTGCCCGTCTGTGCCATTGGCGGAAGCGTCTTCGGTTGTCTCTGCATTGTCGTCGCCAGATTTCACCAGGACCTGATTGGCGACGAACTCTTTAAAGGATTCCATCTTGGAATATCACGTCTCACGTTGCCTGGAGTGGCAACCAACAACACCTGTCCCTCCCCATCTGCGGACTCGCTTTCGAGGTTGATCAATATTGTGACGAGGAGCACGGAAGGTTCAACACGCCCAAGGCCATGATACTGGCGGTAATGATGCGGGCTTTAACACCTTAGAGGCTTGTGAGTTTATAGAAAAGAGATGTTTGATAGAACCTGGAGACCCCTGCCCTTGTGATGCAATGAATTCCATGTTTGGTTTAGACTCGCCAAGCATTCGAGGCCGAGGCTTATTTCGGGCTCGCGTCCTTGTGTATTGCTTCCCCCACGGCATGTACCCAACTTGGGGTGTTGCTCCTTTCCCAGCATTGTTATTTCTAACAATGTAGACAGACGTACTTGGAAGCTTGTGCTTCCTCACTACCTTGTTCTATAGTTGAAGCACTAGAATGGCTCCCACCACACCAGCACCCTTCTCCGAACCGCTTCTCCCCCAGCTCGACCTCCCCGCAAACCCATACTATACCGAGAAACACCACCGTCTCCGCGCCTTTGTCCGCAACTACGTCGACACAGCAATCGCACCCTATGCACAAGAATGGGAGATAGCAGGTCAAGTGCCTGACGACGTCCGTCGACGATACTGCCAGCTGGGGTTTGCGATCACCCACCCTGTCGTTGATCCAGCCGATGCGGGCGGTATTCAGCAGCCTGCTGGGATCCCATACGACGAATGGGATACCTGGTGCAGTGTCATTGTAGGTGACGAGTTCAATCGACTGGGTTGGTGCGGTCCAATATGGGGCTTGAATGGGGGCGGGAGTATCGGCCTTCCGCCAATCTCGAGGTATGGAACGAAAGAACAAAGACAAAGGTGGCTACCGAAAGCTGCCAGGGGGGAGATCAGGTTCTGTCTGGGGATTACGGAGCCGGACGGAGGAAGTGATGTGGCCAATATAAGGACGACTGCGGAGAGAAGAGGAAACATCTACATCGTGAACGGTAGCAAGAAATGGATCACCAATGGAATCTGGTGCGACTTCGTTACGGCTGCTGTGAGAACCGGTGGACCTGGCCATGGAGGTATCAGCCTGTTGGTTGTACCGCTGAAAGCCAAGGGCGTTACAACGAGACGAATGGAGAATCAAGGAGTCAACGCAAGCGGTATGTTATCCGACCTGTGTACCGGTATCTTGACCCTCTAACATTCCCAGGATCTACTTTTATCACTTTCGAAGATGTCGAAGTTCCAGTTGATAATCTCATCGGCCAAGAAAACAGGGGATTCCAACTGATCATGTCGAACTTCAATCCGGAGCGCTTATCTTTGGCCACCGCCGCACTCCGTCTCGCCCGAGTTTGCGCTCAAGATGCATACACTTATGCCTGTGAGCGCGAAACCTTTGGCAAGAAACTCATTGAACATGCTCCCATCAAGTCAAAGATTGCCTCTTTCGGGCTTCTAATTGAGCCCGCCCATGCATTCCTAGAGCAGCTGTGCTACATCATTGAAACGTCCCGCGTTACAGGGAAGGAGGTCAACGTTGGCGGCATGACTGCCTTGTTGAAGGTGATGAGCACGAGGTGCCTGGAGAAAGTCTGCCGAGAGGCTCAACAGATCATGGGCGGAGCTGGCTATTCCAAGACTGGGCGAGGTGCTCGGATCGAGCAGATCAGTCGGGATGTGCGTGTCCATGTCGTTGGCGGTGGTAGTGAAGAGATCATGCTTGACCTCGCTGTCCGTCAGGAGGCGAGGGATGTCAAGCTGAGAGCTGCTAGGCTTGCAGCGAGCTCAAAGCTATAAAAGAATAAAACTTTATCCAAGTAGGTTTGGTTCACCTTCAACCGAGCCCAAATTCTGATCTTTTGCCAGCGATCATTTCGATTGCTTCTTCCTTCGTTCCTTGTGGATTGTTGAACTGCCAGAGTGCGAGTTCATCGACGGCCTTCTTGAGCCAGGGGCCACCCTTGGGATCGCCCAATGCATGTTTGATCGCATTGCCCTTCAAAATTGGAGCGATAGCATACGCATCTTCGAGGTCCTGGTCGTGAACGTACGCCACAAACTTTTGGTATCGGTCCGCTGCGGTCGAGAAATCGTGCTCCACGATATCGCAGAGCAATGAGAAAAGCAAGTGCGACCTCCACGCCTCTTTGCACTGTCTCAGAACCATGCCCACGTCGCCTCGAGCCGCCTTCTCGTCGTTTACTATTTGCACTGCTTCGAGGATGGAGGGTCGCAGGTCGATGGCATCCTTCAGGACCTTGCTCATGCTATTGGTGGCCTTGATGCCTTCCCTGGACGCCTGATATGCTTTTGCGGATGATTTGTACCATGGCGTATACGCTGCGAGGAACCAGCTCAGAGCTTGGTCTTCCTTGGGTCTCAGGCTCAGGCAAATCGAGGACTTCTCGTCCAGGATCCGTCGCAGTCCGTCGTAGGCGGTGACCGCGTGACTAGCATCGACCGAGTCGTCGGTCGGCGATGTTGCCGGGTCGGCGAACACAGTGAAGTAGAGATCAAACTCGTTAACGTATCTCAACCCGGTATATGGATCCGGTCCAGCCATGATCTTGCCGATCTCCACTCCCACACGCTCTCTGCTTATCTTCAGGCGGAGGGCTTCGTGGATGGTTTTGTCCTTCATCGCCTCCTTCGCAGTCGCCTCGATCTCGTACTGAAGACGGCAGGCGAATCGGATGAGACGTAGAACCCGTAGCGGATCGTCCTTGAAGGTCTGGTACGGTGCAAGGGGCGTGCGCATGATCTTGTTCTTCATGTCCTCGAGCCCTCGGTGGGTAAAGTCCTCGACCGCTTGCGTGTCCAGGTTGTAGAAGAGGGCATTGACGGTGGCGTCTCGACGGAGGGCATCTTCTTCCGCGGTGCCGAATTCCATTTGAGGATGGCGACTTTGATGGTCGTAGACTTCTTTTCTGAGATTGACAAAGTCGACGTCGATCCCGAACATTCTCGTCGTGATGGTCTCCAGGTGCTTCGACTTGTCTGGGTTCGCGGCGATCTTGTGGATATCCTTCACCTGCGAGTTGAAGCCTTGTTTCGTGGCTTGCTCTTCGTACTTTGCGCCATGCTCCTTGATGAAGGTTTGTAGAGCTTGGCCAAACTCCCATCCGGTCATGGTACTCAGTGCCACGTCGATGTCGTGGCTTTGCACGCCGAGCAACTTATCCCGGACCCAGCCTCCCGTCCACCGCAGGACGAGACCCTTCATTCCAGGGACCGATTGCATCTCCTCGCGGCAGTCTAGCAGGCATTGCCGAAACAGCTTCTCGGCCGGTGTCAATGGGAGCTGTATGGTGGTCATCTTTGAGAAAGTCCTCGACTGAGAGATATTGCGGAATGGGTTTCGAAATCTCTTGACGCCTTTGAGGGCTCGTAAGGTCATACTATATACCCACGTCAAGAGTCTGATGTATCTCAGTCCGAGTAGCCGCGTTCCATTTCACTTGATAGTGTTCATCTCGCGAGCATAGCGTTATGAAGAGTGAAGACACATTTTCATCTCCAGCGTGAGTCACCGCAAGCGAAGGTGGTAAGGTCAAGCCTGAGGGACACAAATGTCACAAATTTGTTGTTTGTAGAATTCTCCAACACCCTTATGATTCGCGCTTGTGACTGCTTTCACGACATTGTTCCACGACCTGTTTGGTTTTGATGTGATTTTCATTAACAGGCAAAACATCAGCCTCGCCCGGTGTGTCACCAAGACGGAATATTGTTATGCCGCTCTCCGAAGTCGACCTCGGCCATTGTCGGCATTTGCGATTGATCAGTGCCAGTGCTGTGGTGCCATTCAAACCACAGTGAACTTGCACTGCTGCTGTTCTGCTCGATATAAAGCTCTGCAATACTGTCTCCCAGACTGTTTCATGCTTGTGTAATACTGGTCCTGCAGAGAACGCGAAAATGCTTGTGATTGGTCTCACAGGCTCGATCGCAACGGGCAAATCCACCTGCGCCCAGATCCTGTCCTCCCCGCCATACTCGCTACCTTTGGTTGACGCCGACTTACTTGCGCGAAAAGCAGTGGAACCGGGCACATGGGGGTACCGCCGCATAGTTGCCACGTTCGGACCCACGACACCAGACCTCCTCCTCCCGGCCTCGGATCCCCAGTGTGGTGGTAAAGAAGACGGGCCGAACGGGAAAGGGAGACCGCTGAACAGACCGGCGTTGGGGAGAAGAGTATTTGGCAATACAGAAGAGAGGATACGCGACCGGAAGAAGCTGAACGCCATCGTACACCCCGCGGTACGGCTTCTGATGGCGCGCGCGATGCTTTATTACTATTTCCGGGGTCACTGGGCGGTCCTGGTCGACGTGCCCTTGTTGTTTGAGTCCGGCCTCGACATCTTCTGCAGCACGGTCGTTGTCGTCGCCGTCTCTGATCCGGCCATCCAGATGCAACGGCTTCGAGAACGAGACCCGCATCTGTCGCCCGAGGACGCTGAGAACAGGGTCAAGAGCCAGGTCGATGTCCGGGAGAAAGCTGCTCGGTGTGAACGTCGAAACAACGGCAAGGCCGATGCGGGGAAGGGCTATGTGCTCTACAATGACGGCAGTAAGGAGGATCTCAAGCTTCAGATCGCAGACGCCATGGCGAAAATCAAGTCCAAAAGCCCGAGGTGGTGGAGTCTACTGCTTCTTGTTTGTCCGCCTCTCATGGCCACGGTCGCTTCCTGGGAAGTATTCTGGAGCTGGTATGCACGACGGAAGACGATTAAGGAGAGAGGCGAGGAAATGGCCAAACCAAAATAAAATGATCAGACCTTGAACAACAGTGCTACTCTACATTTGTATACGATCTCTAGCCCGGTAAGCGGCCCATCATAAAACGACTGGGAACTAATAATACCTTTGAAGAACTTTCCAAGAGCTTTATAAATATCGCTATGGCCTTCTCCTCCCTCCCTCTTACCCTTCCCCTTCTGAAGAGGTGAAGTTCAAGAAACCAAAAAAAAGTTCATGGCCCCACCGCGATCTGATCTTACCTTCTCCCCTCCCCCAACAACCGGATCCTTGTCCCGGGGTTACCGCAGCTGCTCCCTCGCCCTTCTCCCAAGAGGGAAGGGTTGGTATGAGCTATGCCACAGTACCTGCCGGATCCAGTTGTTGGTTTTGTTGTTGTTGTCGTTCACACACCCACAATTCACATATTGATATATGTGATGTGAGTGTGTGAGAGATACCTTGTCTGAAAGGACGAGCAACATATGGCCCGAGACCTTCTGCTACCACCCCTTGTGGGGTTTTTGGGCAACAGCGAGGCGCATATGTTATTTTTGCTTCGTCTTTCAAGACAAGGAAGGGGGGAGAAGGCCCCGCCCACCAAACCCGATGTGTTTTTGAGCCATGAAACTTTTTGTTGTGACGAAAAGTCCCATATATCCCGGACTCGAAGTGGTAGACTGTGTGAAGGTCTCGATTGTTCGCAAGTTGCCCACTCCTTTCTAATTGGGTGTATATGTTGACAAGACTTCAGCGATTCAAGATGATAAGGGTGATTTTTTTACGACTGGCAGACTTGGCGAGGGTGGTGTGGTAGGAGGAAATCACTCTGGAGTCTGGTGGTGAAGCATCGCAAGGGATGAGGCGGCGCGAGGCTGTGGCCGAACTCGATCCGACTCTCTCCAATACGGCGCTATTTGGTTTGCACGCCTACACAAACCCATTCGAGGGCGCCGGGCACATATATCGCTGTGCTTAACAACCAGGTATCCAGCTGAGATTATGGAAACGGCGTTACATCACTCGAGTATCATGTCACAACACAGAGGTGCAGTCCATAACCGGAGTTGGAACTCCTCTACAAGTTCTACCTTTTCTCACTGGGTTATTTCAGCAGATGGGGGTGAAAGACGCAAGTGTGCAGTGTTTTATGGATTACATTGGCTTGCATGGTGCGAAACAGATTATCAGAACTCCTACTGAGGTGGTTTCCACCCCATCTCGGTTGCTCGCCCCTGCCATCGTTTCTTCTCCGCTTCAATGGTTACCAGCTTCTTCTCCAGCTCTCTTATCTTGTCAAGCTTGTTTTGACGATGTTTTCGAGAGTTCATCGTATTACGAATTCGCTGAGCTCCCTTCTTGTCGGCCATGTCGACGAAATGAATTTGTGGACCGTATTTCGCCTTCGGGCCGGCCAGGACCTTGGACGCCAGATGTGTGTCGCTTGCATTAGATGGAGTGTAAACAGTCGACTTTGGCGTTTGCATTGGGTTGGTCAAGTTGGATATCCCGCAAAAAGCTGTATCAGATGTGACGGGAGACGGCTTGGAGCTAAGATTTTCTGGGCTCGATATTGACATTGAGGTGCATCCCGAGATAAATTGGCTGCTGGGTGCTCCTGGGCATGGTATATCTCCCGGGAAAGAAACAGCAAAAGGATTGGCGAAGAAGCTCTCTGGAAAACTCAGAGCCACGCTGCCAAACGGCTCAGCTGTATCTTCCCCGGGAGGGGCCACGTCCTCCGGTTGAGAAGGACCCTCGCGCATTCGGTGTGCGGCCTCCTCGAGTATCCGATATGTGTCATCATCGCGGCAGGCGTCGCGGATGCAGTCATCAGAGATGTCGAGGTTGTCCCAGCCTAGCGCCGAAGAGCTGTCATTATGGCCGACGGGACAATCGTAGTATTGTGATTGAACAGTTCGCTGGCCATCATTGATAGCCAGAGGATAGGACCGTAGGTAAAGATTCTGTGAAACCGAAGACTCCCACTCGGGCCATTGATGGTTCTTATGGCGGGAAGAGGGAGCTGAAGTGACGGGTTGGCTGGGCAGTAAAGGTAGCAGCCATGGTGAACAACTGTCCAAAGTGACCTCCGGTCAGGACAGGTGGAAGAGAGAGAGAGGTGCCTTGCTTCGTTTGCCTAGTTACAAGGCAGAGGGGGAAGGGGTGTGGGAAGGAAAGAGAGGAGAAGAAAGAGGGAAGTGGGATAAGAGCATTGAAAAACCACTTTGAGCCCGTCGTCGTCCGGGGCGGATGAATCTATGCCAAATGCAGTAACTGGGACGGTGTTTTGGTCTGACGGCATGAAACTCAAAGTATCGCCGAGATTATACCACAATGTCCTGTCAGACAGCGACGCTTTTCTGTTCCAGCGGCAATGACTCACTCACGTTACAACGAAGAATGCTGCGCCTCGCTCTGTCCGACCAAATAGTGTAACCTCCTCCAACCGAACGAGACGGAAGACCGAGAGGTCGAGTCTCGAAGCCATTCCCCTTTCGATCGTTGCACGAGCATGGGAGTCTGTGCCGGAAGAAGCATCAGCAGATTGTTGCTACCTTCTCTACTCGCCCTCTCCACAGTATCAAATTGCCAGACTCTGCCAGATACCACAAACGTCCTGAGGCACGGGATCGAGATGTCGCCGTCGGTCTTCGATTGTTCTCACCACTTGCCTGAATAGGACCACAGCAACAACACTGATGGAGACGTTGTATAGACAGACACTTCGTCCTCAACATGAGTATCGTCTTTAAAACGAGACGGTACTCCATCCTGCTGTTGGAAGAGTTCTCTGTGAACAATCCAGCAGCAGTGATGAAGAACCTTTCTCTCGATTGTCTAGCCGACATCGTTTGACATCCCTCGTGAAAATCACACATTTTGCCGATCTGAGCTCTGGTTTTTGATTCACTACCGTTTTGCTTCTCGTTGTCATGATGATTGGCCGTCTAGGCTGTTGGAAATGTAGGATGGAGAGACTGAGTTGAGGTGGTGGAGCACCGATCGAGCTGTGCGCAAGTGCGTCAATGGCAGCTGGTATGTGCCATGGTATTAGATATCTATGGATCTATTTGGAAATACAAGAATTCGGGTCTCTTTTCCGCCCAGGGTTCTCCCTCGTACCCCTGCCAACCGCGCTATGCAAATATGTAAAGGATCGGACAGCTCATGGTGAGCCAACGGTATAGTTTGTGTCTCATGCTGCACTCGATTCACCCTACGAACCGCAGGTCATGTCGATGAGAGGGTCGTAGTTGGAGTCGACAACGGCAAAGCTGGGCGAAGCAGCGAAATCGTCGACATCATAAAAGAAGTAGTTCAGACTGTCGAAGCTTGCGCACGAGACTTGCCACCAGTAGGTTTGCAAGCTGTCGACCGAAGGGACAGCACTGCCCACAGCGTCGCCTGAAATTGGCCAGCCGGTCTCAGTAGTCCAGACGTCGCGACCGCCGGCGACAGCTCGCACTTGATTGACTGCTGCCCAGTATGCGTCGTTAGCAGCACCATTGTCGATTGAAATGCCTTGCCAGTAGGGGTATGCATCATTGCCGAGCCAGTCGACGGCCTCAATCACCGCGGTGTTGGCAGGGTCCACCCAGGCGGTCCAGGTGTCAACGTGCCCGACAGACTTGCTGCTAGCTCCGAGACCCCAAAGCATGCCACGAACATCATTGATCTGTGACGCCAGGGTGCTGGCATCAGTGTCGCCTCGGTACAGGTCTTCAGAACCGACAGAAACAGCCAGGATCCAATCAGACCCATATTGTTGAATTGCTTCCAATAACGCTTGCTTCTCAGCCTCGTAATGGGTATCGTCCTCGGTCCAGATACCGACTAGGAGCGTGGTTCCGGTATTGATGGCGGCAGGGACCGCATTTGCTAGGGTATTGCAGTCGCTGGAGGCGTACAGACGGGCGTTCTTGAAGTTCCCTGGAAAACTGGCGATCTTGTTGAAGACAAATTCCCAATCTGACTCGCTGCGACAGGCGCCGTTTGCCAGGTTGGCACCAATATTGAAACCTTTGTAGTATGCCTCAGCTCCCGAAACGGCGGCAGCCGCAAGGGCAAATAGTTGACACGATTTCATCACTGAATTAGAGACCTTGGAAGGGGAATATCTTTATACTGGAGTGATCAAACAGAAATACAAGCAAATAGACAAGCGAACGACTGTGACAAACGTAGCACCCAAACGAAGAGACTTTTGTATGATCAAGCGATTGACATGAACAACGAGGATGAACAAGAAGATGAAGACGGCGACCAAGAAACAAGATTATGTGCCTCGACGAGAGACCCAAAGATCCAGAACATTCAAGGTTGGCCCTTGCAACCAACGAGACATTTACCAGGGCTACCATCTGCCATCTGCTCATGGTGGAGCAATTGAAGCTTGAAAGGCACGAAAAGGGGCGCCACCATCCGCCATCCGACAGCCACTGACCCATCAACCTGGGGCAGGATCAGCGTCCGCTGTTTGTGGCTGTACCTGCCTTAGCGCAGCCTGCGAGATTGAATGGGCCTGCTCGTTGACGAATAGGTTCCAGATTCCGGGGTGCCTTGCCAACCGGTGGACCATGAATTCAGAGACATCCATTTCCGGCTTTGACCACTGATTTCCTGGAAGATACAGTAGACTCTGAAACGGAGTCTTGTCTCGATTCTGTCAAAGATAGAAAAGAATGGGTTGACGAGTTTCTTCGAGTATCCGGACTCGTAGGTGGAGGAATCGACACCAACGCCGGCTTGCCGGGCGCGAAGATCATTCAAGGCAAAGGTGTTTTCGCCTTCCGTCGGCCTCTAAACTTGAATGGGCATGATCCCCTGGCGTGGTGTTTTGAAATGAAGACTCCATGATCCAAATCCTTCATTACTCCATTCGAGCATAAAATCTGCCGAAAGCAAGATCATAGACTTGCACAAGCGCATGAGCTCTTACCATACCCTCATGTACTGATGAGGCCAGAAGGAAGAGAACAGAGGGGATCTTACTCGTCAGCATGACTTAGTGGACCCATTGAAATATTGCACCTTGTCGTGCTTGCCATGCGATGGCGGTCCGCAGAAAAAGGCTGATGCTCGTGGTGGCTTTTGCATGCGCTCTGTTCTTCCTCTTCTTTCATCTCTATGGATCGACCTTAGAGGTTCTTCCCACTGTATCACCTTTTGAGTATGGATTGGGTCATGGTGATCCTGCAAGGGCTGGCAACTTGAAGCCCGTGAAGGGCCATCTGATCAATCCCATCACCAGCTTTATTCCTCTTCCCACCGCATTTCAAGTTCTGCCCAAGATCCAACATGACTTTAAGCCCGAGAGTGAGGCTGCTAGAGAATCTCGACTGGCCCGCCTGGAGGCGATCAAAGAGGCCATGATGCACTCGTGGAGTGGATATCGAGAGAGGGCATTTTTGCATGACGAATTGGCCCCAGTGACCGGAGGTTATAGGAGGACCTTTGGTGATTGGTCTTTGACGCTGGTGGACGCACTGGACACGCTCTGGCTGATGGGCTTCAAGGATGAGTTTGAGGCCGCGGTTCAGGCCGCCGCCAGCATCGACTTCAACACTGCTACGCAATTACCCATCAATGTCTTTGAAACCACAATCCGGCACCTTGGAGGTCTTCTCGGGGCGTACGATGTGAGCAGTCGAAAATATCCTAAATTGCTCGAGAAGGCCATAGAACTCGGTGAAATGCTGTACGGCGCCTTCGACACGCCGAACCACATGCCAGTCACAAAGTGGTCAAAGATTGGTGTAGAAGGCGCATCAGGCCATACGCTCGTTGCTGAACTTGGGACGCTGAGTCTGGAATTTACCAGGCTCACGCAGCTGACCGGAGACCCGAAGTACTATGATGCGGTGCAGCGCATCTCCGACTGCCTCGAGAGCCAGCAGAACCAGACAAGGGCACCAGGGCTTTTCCCGCACATTGTCAATGCGAGAGAATGCTGGTTCGGGGACGGTGTGACCTTTTCTATTGGCGGGTCTGCTGACTCTGTCTACGAATACTTCCCCAAGGAATATCAGCTGCTCGGAGGCGCCAGCGAGCAGTACAGGAAGCTCTATGAAATCGCCAAGGATCCCATCAAGGAGTTGATCCTCTTCAGACCCATGACCCCTACCAACGAAGACATACTCATGGCAGGCACTCGAAAGTCCTTCAGGCCGGGTCATACCGAACTCATACCACAGACCCAACATCTCGCCTGCTTCGCTGGAGGCATGTTCGCATTGGCAGCGAAGCTTTTTGATTCTCCCGAAGACCTGGAGACGGCGGAGAAATTGGTCCGCGGCTGCATCTGGGCATACGAGCAGACCGCAACAGCAATCATGCCGGAGATAATCCACCTCATCTCGTGCCCTGCCGACGACGGTCAATGTAAATGGGATGACAAGGCCTGGTTCAAACACATGCTCCTCCTCAACTCCCACGACGAAACGCCTCAGGACAAACTGCTGCCCGAAGACGAACGCCTCCGCAAGAAGTCCCAGCGGCTGCGATTGCCGAAAGGCATCTCGGCCATCGCCAACCGCGCCTACGAACTGCGGCCCGAGGCAATCGAGTCGATCTTTGTCCTCTATCGGATCACCGGTGACGAGTCCCTGCGTGAAAGCGCGTGGGCAATGTTCGAGGCCATCACCAAGCACACGCGCACAGAGTATGGGTATTCGTGCATTGAGGACGTGACGCAGACCGATCCGAGGAAGACGGACAAAATGGAAAGCTTCTGGATGGCAGAGACGCTGAAGTACTTTTGGCTGCTGTTTGAAGATCCCAGCGTTGTGAGTCTCGACGACTTCGTCCTGAACACAGAGGCGCACCCGTTCCGATTGCCGAAGAGGAGATGAGATGATACGTGGATGATGTGAACGTGTTTTTAGCCATAAACTTTGAATATCTTGAGGGCTGGCTCCTCACAATCTGGACACTCAGTCCAGCGTAGTGCAAGCGACTAGAAGATCCTGTTCAACACTTGTTTCACGTCGTCACTTATCTTCTCGGGCCCAGCAGTGTCCTGTCCTTTCTTCTTCCCCTTGACTTCATTTTGCCTCCAAGTTCTCTTGACATCCACGGCAGCCTCACCTCCACCTCCACCGTGATTGAAGGGGCCCTCCTCGCCGTCACCCTTCCTGGTAGCCTTTTTCCTCCTGATGCCCTCGACCCTCCTCCCCTCCTCGACGCCCTCGATAAACCGCCTCGTCTCCCGCGCGATGATCCTCCTCTCTTCGTCCCTCCTGCCTTCCTCCTCCCTCTTCTCCTCCCTCACTCCCGCCATCAACTCCTCCCACCTCATCCCCTTCAAGTACTTCATATTCCACACGTCGTCCCTGTACCAGCCGCCCTTCTTGCCGCCTACGTTGGTGGCATTCAACGTCTCCGCGCATCGTCTCGCGACTTTTTTCGACGAGAATTCGATCCACCCTTCCGTGTAGAGTTGGCGCGAGTTCTTTTTCGAGTTGTGCGCGTGGCGCGAGGCGGGGGACAGGAAGAGCCGCTTGATCGGGGTGAAGCCGCGCTGTTCCAGGAGATTGCGGAGCGCGGAAGGTTTGAGATAGGGAGGGAGGGATGAGAGGTAGACCACGCCCGGGGTTGTCTCTTTGGACTTGGATTTTTTGGATCTTTTCTGCACTGAAGGCTCGCCCGTTATGGACGACGATTGCATTTCTTTGTCCGCCGCCGCCGCCGCCACGCTTCCTTCTGTGACCCGGCCTTCGTCCTGAATGTGTTTTGTACTCTCGTCGCCATTCCCAATCTCATTCTCAGGTTCATCCTCACCACTGTCGGGCTCTGGCTGGCTAGCAGGCACTCCGCTCGTCATCTTTGTTGCTCGACTGCGGTTCTTCCGGTCGAGCGCAACAAGTTCTTCTTCTTCTTCTTCATCGCTGCTTTCTTCGTGTTCGATCTTCCGCCTCTTGCTTGCTCGGCCCGCTTTCGACACTTCGACGGCTTCGGAATCGTAGCCAGCGTCATCCTGGTCGGATTCCTCTGAGAATCCTGCGTCGAGGTACGCATTCCTCCTCTCGGGACTCATGGCGTGGGCGAGCCCGAAGATTTGATTCCACAGATCGGGAGAGAGGGACGAAGTATCTCTCGCGGAGGTGCTGGATAACCAGACGTTCTGTTAAACAGGACGAAACAGCCAGAGACTGGAACGGCACGGAGTATGAGTTTGAGGTGGTGGGTGGTTGAGGGTGAGTGCGGAGAAAAATTTTGGTTGGAGAAATGCTGGCCGCACACTTCGCAGAAGGAAGACCTCGAGTTGGTGTTAACTGTACGAGGTATGTCAACTCATATCGCAATGGTTGCACATAGATATTTCTGTTCATAATGCTACAAATAGTCTATCAGCCCCTTTGATGTCTTCCATCTATAAACGGGCACTTTCACCCTTCCAGCGAAGCGCTTTTCCGTCGCTGGAGACAGTCTTGCGTGCAATGACGTCTTGGACTTTCTCCCTCACGCCGGCTTTGTTCTTCCATTGCCTCAAAACCTCATCAATAACCCTCTTGGAGCCTTCCTTGCCCAGATCCTTGATAACAGCCTCAATATCTGACTCCCGAGGTAAAGCAAATTTGGCGTGCGGGTAGTCTGTGTAATGCTGATTCAGTGCTCCTTGGTGAGGCTCCACCAACTTCAGGGCCTCCTGCTCTGTGGGCGTGGCAAAGAATTCATCCACATCTGCCGTCGAGACATCCTCTAACTTGGCAGGTTTCCACACGGGCTTCGTTGGCGGTTTGTTGATCAGGCGTGCAGAGACGCCCTCAACAAAGTCGGGGTGTGCCATGAATCTGCTAGCCATCTTGTGTTCTTTGATGAAGGTCTCGGAGATATTCCAGTGCTTCCCTTCTCTGAGCTGACGTAGCGTGACACGCAGACTCGTGGGTGATCGGATAGCGATGGTCTTTTGGGTTGCCTTGGCCCATTCGGCAATCCTCTCGTTGGAAGATTCCGTTTCCTTTTGGAGAGCGGCCAATATCTCCTCTATTGTGTTGTACTTGAAAACTCGATCGACAGCTTCCCGCAAGTCGCCGGTGAGGTTGCCATTCTTGGCAGCTTCGTAGGAATCGGGTGAGGGTAGACTACTCGAAAACTCAGAGATCGTGGAGTCGATAAGCTGCAGTCGCTCGTTCAGGTCCGCGTAATCTTTGAAGACGAGCTCGGAAAGCCGGGTGGTCATTTGTGCCAACACAGAGCTGTCAACGTAATGCGTGGCAATGCCAGCGTAGAAGGTCTGCACGCCATGGAGTCGTTCGGAGGTCAGTGATAGATATGTGCCAATCTCGCCATCCAGACGAGGCAAAAAGAAACTCCCACCAACGTCAGGGAAGAAACCAATGGTTGTTTCAGGCATCGCAAAAACGGTCTTTTCAGTAGCAATCCGGAAGGGCGCATGGACCGAGAGACCAACACCACCGCCCATTGTTATACCGTCCATGATGGCTATGTATGGCTTGCTGTATGTGGCAATCAGGTGGTCCAATTGGTATTCAAGAGCAAAGTAGTCCGAAGACTTCTTTTGACCTTCGGGTCCCTCTTTGTTCTGTAGCGCAAGTTCCGCAACGTCACCTCCTGCGCAGAAAGCTTTCGGGCCAGCACCACTGATCAGAATGACATTGGCCATTTGCGACTTTTCCCACTCCCGGAGGCGAGGTAGTATTTTTCTCGCCATCGATCCGTTGAGCGAGTTGAGCTTCTTGGGTCGATTCAATTCGATGGTTCGCACACCGTAGAGGGAATTGAACAGGACGTCGTCAGGATCGTCTGTGGGAAGCTCTTTCGGCATTGCGCCATACTTGACGACTGTAGAAGACATCTGCAGTGCTGTGAGCTCAAATTCATTCTCCTATACTGAACAGAGCCTACTGTTCGACGGCCCAGTGCCAATGGAGAAAATGGAGCTCTGGACCTCGCGGCAAAGGCCGCTGTTCTGGCAGCAGTACCGGGTGCGACAAGAGAGGCCGCGTATTTCGCACAGCAGGCTTTCATGTCGAAGAGGAAGAGAAAAACACAAAAGCAATCACATTGAAACCCAGTGGGCGAGGGTGGCCTGGGGGATTTGTTCAATATGAGGACGAACCTCGGGGATTTGTCCGCATCCTCCACGCCGAGGCTTTCACTCCTCGACTCGCACTGGCGGCTCCCATTCGGCCTGATCCATCAAGGAAGGTGGAGCGAGACGATACACGTGCAAGGCTGCGGTATGCAAGTTTTCTTGGCGCCGACCGGGGTTCAACACGCGGGAGGCGAAATCTGAATAAGAGACGGTCACTTTTTCTCACATCTGCCATTCCAAACCGTTTCTTTTCTTTCCTCTCGAGTCCTTGACTTCAAAATCTTGCGGCTCCTGGCTGTAACTGTCGATCAATATTGGAACTGGACAGCATTACGGAATCTCACAATGTCGATGGACCTGGATGCGCCAGTGGCCCTTCCTTCTGTGAACAAGCCACAAGCAGCGACAATTCTCTGCTGCAACTGTGGCGCTCCCATCGATGGGACTGCCTCTGCAGGTGCTTTATGTTATGATTGTATCAAACTCTCTGTCGATGTATCGGAAGGGATTCAGAGGGAAGGCGTACTTCACACTTGCCGAGATTGTGAAAGATGGCTAAGCCCACCCTCACAATGGGTATCGGCTGCCCCAGAGAGTAGAGAGTTGCTCGCGCTTTGTCTACGAAAACTTCGCGGGCTCAACAAAGTCCGAATCATCGACGCTAATTTCCTGTGGACGGAGCCTCATTCCAGACGGATAAAGGTGAAGATCACTGTTCAACAAGAAGCGTACGAAGGAACGATTCTGCAGCAGACTTTCGAGGTGGAGTACGTGGTCGCCTTCCAACAATGCCCTGAGTGCGCCAAGTCGTATACACCGAATGTATGGCGAGCCTCAGTACAAGTTCGACAGAAAGTGCCTCATAAGCGAACCTTCTTGTACCTGGAGCAGCTCCTCCTCAAACACCAAGCACATAAGGACACGATCAACATCAAGGAAGTCAAGGACGGGCTCGATTTCTATTTTGCCCAGCGGAATCATGCCGAAAAGTTTGTCGACTTCCTCACCTCTGTGGCCCCGGTCAGAGTGAAGAAATCCCAGGAACTCATCTCCATGGATATCCATACTTCGGCAAAATCATACAAATTCACATTCTCGTGCGAACTGTTACCGATTTGCAAAGATGATCTAGTTGCTTTACCTATCAAGATGGCCAAGTCCATCGGCAACATTGCACCCTTGACCCTTTGTTACAGAGTGGGCACGTCAGTCAACCTACTGGATCCGACTACGCTACAGACAACAGATATGCCGACGTCGACTTACTGGCGTAATCCTTTCAAAAGTCTGGCAGATGTGCGGGAGCTTGTGGAGTTTGTCGTGCTTGACATCGAACCTTTAGGCACTCAGAATGGGCGATTTTTTGGAGCCGAGGCAACGGTGGCAAGGGCATCCGATCTCGGGGCCAATGACAAGACTTACTACTGCAGAACACACCTCGGCGGAGTATTGCATGCTGGCGATTCGGTGCTTGGTTATCACTTGACAGGAACAAACTTCAACAATCCGCAGTTTGAGGATTTGGAGCAAAGCAACAATTATTCATCAACTATTCCGGATGTGATACTCGTCAAGAAGTTCTATGCTAGGAAGAAGAAGCCCAAGAGCAGAAGCTGGAGACTGAAGCGAATGGCCAAGGATGAGGGCGAATTGTTGCCCAAGAAAGCCGACCAGGAGAGGATGGATGCCGACTATGAAATGTTCTTGCGAGACGTTGAAGAAGATGAGGAGCTCAGACAGACATTAGCGCTGTACAAGGCGAAGCAGCAGAAGAAGAAAGATGCAGATGAAATGAGCATGGTGACTGGGGAGAGCAGTGAGGATGAAGTGCCCCAGATCAATATGGATGAGCTGTTGGATGACTTTGAAGATCTTGATGTGAACGATGAGGTATGATGGAGAGATGCGAAAAGGGAATATGATACCCAGGCCACTTCATCCGTCACTTGAACAAATCAATTGCCTGTACAGCTTTGACAGCCTCGTCCTCTTTCAACTGTACTTTACGTGTCCCGTATGATGTCACTCTACATTCACTAGTGCGCGTGGATTATAACTTTTTGATTCCGCGTGGTGACTGAGTCAGCTATTAAGTGGTTAAATTAGTACCTGCGAGCGTGTCTTATCCTTCCAATTGTACTGCCAACATTAGGGCTGAACGTCTTTTTTGACTCCTGGTGCCTGCCTTGTCACCTTGTCAATGTGCGCACGCCCTTCGGCTTTCCCAGTCTGGACCGAACGGCATCGAATCGCGTGGCACGCTTCGCCAAGCTATGAATGGCTACCTTACTAGTAGTAAAGGTGTCCAATATCCTTCCTTTACGTGAAGGGCCGCAACACAATTGTGCCAATTGTATAGTATAGACAATTAAGCAAACACTTAGTTTCCCAACCCCTCACGGGAAGCTACGATTGTCTCTCGCCGCTCATTACCTCACCCAAGACCCGACCACCAAGCTCCGATTTCCTGCCGAATTGCTCCTTCTTCGTGCGATGATCATTATCCTTGAAGAACTGCCGAGAGCGAGGTCGATTGGTTGTGATTGAAGGGATGAGTTCTGCTTTCTTCCGACGACCTACCGATGGAAGCTCCAGCTCCAGCTCAGACAGCGATAGCTCAGGAGAAGATGAGATCCCGGAGAATCAAATCAATGAAAGTATCGGAGAAGGCCAGACCATCATCACTGAATCACTTTCCAGCCATGGCAGTGTCTCGTTCGGAGACGAGATGGATGTCCCAGCGGGTTCGGTTTCTAACATCGACCGGCACCGCACCAACTTAATCAGCGCTCTTCTCGAAGACTTTGCCAGGAACAGAGCATGTGAAATCATGAACAATGCAAGGCCAGGATCCAGATTCACCAGATCATCCGTGGAAGTCCAGCCGTTGGCGGAAAAGCTCTACGAGCAACTCAGTCAATCGTTATCTCTAACTGGCATCCTTTCGGCCAGCAACGACAGGGACAACGAGCAAACAAGAGCGGCATACTTGGCCGGCATCGAGAGTCTTGCGCTCGGAGCCGTTCAGAATCACGATCTGCTCCACGGGCCAGCTCGAAGTCAACTTCCATTGATAAATGCTAACGACCAACCACACTCTCTCATTCCCAACTTGGTCGGATCACGTATGGCGAACCTGTCTCTTCGCAGTCAGCCTCATTTGTCGCCGTATAACGATCTAGTCTTGTCTCCGCCCGCAACCCATCGCAGTCACTACGAGTCCAGCTTCCAGCAACTGAGATTACTAGGAAAAGGAGGCTTTGGCAGAGTGTATCATGCTTACAACCTGTTTGACAAAAAGGAATACGCTGTGAAGAAGATTCCTCTAAGCCCTCGGTTGTCGCAGCGATATCGGGTATCTGGACACAAAGAGCTGGAAAACGTACTACGGGAAGTCCAGGCATTGGCACAGCTGGAGCACCACAACGTGGTTCGTTACCACGCGACATGGATAGAGGAGCCCAGAGGGACGTCTGCCACAGTATCCGAGCTCAGGAAACAAAGCCTTACAGTTCAGGGTCGGAAACTCATTGCTGACCGCCCGAGGCATTCCCGACCGGCGGATCGAACTGCTCCGACAAATTGGCAGGTCTCGGACAACGCCGACGGCATCGTCTTCGGCTTTGACAGTAGACCGCACACTCCTGCTCAGGACGTCGAGAGTGTCGCCACTCCGGCACGATCCATCAGTGAGACCGATCACGACCAATCCTCCGCACGAGCTTCTGAGATTTTCACAGATGGCAACGCAAGGGCCAACGTTTCAGAAGATCCGGCCATGGATGAGTCGGTGTATGTGCTACATGTGCAGATGTCAGTATATCCCATGACTCTTGCACAGTACCTGGCACCTGCACCGGCCAATGCAAGAAGTGCACCAAGCAACCCCATTCGCAGACACTGTTTTCACCTGGTCCCAGCTCTCCGACTGCTCATGGGCATTCTGTGTGGGTTGCAGTACGTCCATTCCAAAGGACTTGTGCATCGTGACATCAAACCTTCCAACGTCTTCATCTCAAGCTTGAGCTTTCCCACGGTAGGTTCAGTTTCGGACGGATATTACGACGTGGGATCCTGTATCGGTTGCGCAAACCCTAGTGCATATTACATCAATCCCCGCATTGGTGATTTCGGACTTGTTGCACAGCTGGCAAAGGAAGATGACCTCGAGACAAGCAACAATGGCGGAAAGACCAGCAAGGCGGTGGGGACAGAATACTATCGACCTCCACCTTGGACCGACTCCAAAGGCAAGACAAAGGCCAACACACAAATGGACGAGAAAGTGGATGTATTTGCGCTTGGTGTCGTTCTCGTGGAACTTCTGTGGCCCTGCCAGACCAGTACAGAACGCATGCATGTTTTGCGGGACCTACAAAAGGGCAGGATTCCCACTGGCCTTGCTGAGAAAATCGACAACGAAGGACATGCACCACACACCGGCGAGATGGTTGTTCGATGCATAATTGGAATGCTGGAACGGGACCCACGGGGCCGATGGGGATGTCAAGAGGTTGAGCAATGGCTAGACAAGCTCCTGACCAGATGTACGACCTTGGTCAATCGTGGAGGCGTTGGCGGAACCGAAGGCGTTGACATGAGAAAAGTCCACAATTTAAGCGAAGCGGATGGAGAAGCAGATGGCCAGGCAGAGAGATTGCCGCTGAGTCAGGAAAATCAAGTCATCAACGGCGACAGTGCCTCATGATCAGAAAATTGAGAGAGTTGAAATAACAAACCAACATAGGTGTTCGCAGGTTGGGGTTCCGGAAGGCACGCAAATCGGAAGTGCCACGACGAGGTATTAATTCGACACCCGAGAGTGATGCCGCCCTGTACTCACCCCCGGCTCGCGCGAGCCCGGTGAGCAATCCACCCGTAAGCGGGCAACTCACGAGAAAAGCATCTCAACGTCGAGAACAGCCGTGCTGGTCCCATGGAAAATGTGATGGTTGCATCCATAAACAGCCGAGGACCCGATCGAGTAACTCATGACTTCCATTGTAGTCGTAGCAGGCTCTGTACATTTGAGTTCCCAACGCTAGCTGCAAGACGTCGCACCGTCAGCCCATGTCGCACACCAACCTCAAATCCAACAGCAGAATCTTGCTCCATGCAGCATTGACGTATAAAGTCGGTCAAAGACGTATACGGTGTATCAATCGCCACAAGGGCATCGAAGCCATCCTCGTCGGGTTCGATACATCGAGCTTCTGCATCAATGTCTGCTCCCCTGGCAAGTAATGACGGGATAGCCAATTCGCATTCCAGAAAGACGGCCATATGCAGGGCAGTAATGTCGTGTCTAGCCTTCTTTTGGACGTCAGCCCCGAGCTCGAGGAGCAATAACGCAGTCAACTCTTGTTTGTTCTCGATCGCCCACATCAACGGCGTCCTGCCCCACCGGTCGACGGCGTTGAGATCCGCTCCGTTGTCTGCAAGGAATCGCAGTGACTCGGCCGAACCGTGCTGGGCAACCCAGTGCAACGCCGTGCGTCGGTGATAGTCATCTGCATGGACGTCTGCCCCATGGTCGATCAGAAAATGCAAGATCCCCGTGTGCCCCCGTTGAGCGGCCAGAAGCCCCGGTGTCCATGTGTGGGCACTCGAGTTGACATCCGCCCCGTGCTTTACCAGAAGCTGTGCAACCCTCTTATGACCGCACTCCGAAGCCCAATGCAAGGCTGTGCGGCCATCATACCCGGCAATGTCGACGTCGGCACCATTGTCCAGCAGTAGCTGTACACCTTCCAGGGAATTGCATGATGCGGCGATGATTAGAGGCGTCCATCCTCCACTGCCCTTCTCGTTCACATCCGCCCCTCTGTCGATCAGGAACTGGGACTTGCCAATTTGCCCATATTGGACCGCCGCACTCAATCTCTCGACTACCGTGTTGGCTTCCGCCTTCCTTTCTGCGGTATGCTGGAAAAGCGCTTGCATTCTCGTGTCCTGTAATTGCAAAGTGATTTTGGACAATATAGAGGTCCCTTGGTCAACAAGGTCGATTAGTCGCTGAATCAGATGTTCGTGTCGCTTGATCGCTGCCACGTGGAGAGGTGTCCACCCATCTTCATTTCGAATATTGAGATCGGCGCCGTTCTCAAGTAGTACAGAGACCATCGCTTCGCGCCCTCGGAGAACTACTCGGTGTAACGCCGTGAAGCCGTATATGTCCTGCGTGTTGATATCCGCTTTATTCTTGAGAAGCAATGCTGCAACTTCCACGTATCCGTCTTGTGCTGCCCATAGGAGTGGTGTTTGTCCAGCGTCATTCTTAGCATCAACTTCAATCCCGTACTCGAGCAATAATCGTACGATTGATGGATGGGGAGTCGCCCAGTGCAGGGCACTATTTCCATAAGCATCCCTCGATTTGACATCAGCACCATGTCGTAGGAGCACGGTAACCGTCTCCATGTGGCCCGGTGGCACTGCCCAATCGAGCGGGCTGCTGTCCAAGTAATCCTTCGCGTTCACATCGACTCCGCTGTTCAAAAGCATTTGCACCGTCTGCTCATGCCCTTCGTCGCTTGCCAGAAAAAGAGCTCTTCCTCTTCCTTTGGTGCTGCTGACGCCATTCTTCAGCAGGATCTTCACCACCTCGCTGTTGCTCCCCACCACTGCCCAATCCAGTGCGGTCCATCCTTCGTCATCCTTCATCAGGACACTGGCGCCCTTTTTCAGGAGGAAATCTACCATGGCCTCGTGTCCATTTCTCGCTGCCCAGTACAGGGCCGTCTCTCCTCTGTTATTTCTTGCGTTGATTTCGGCCCCCTTTTCGAGAAGTAGCTGGGCCGCTAATTTGTGGCAGTTTTTGGCAGCAAGGATCAAGGGCGTCGTTCCATAACTGTCCTGGCTGTTAACGTCCATCCCGTCTCGTAGGAGGCTTGAAACGAGATTGTCGAGGCCCCAGTACGCCACGACGTGTAAAGCACCGTGCTGCTTCGGGAACAAGTCATACTGATTATCTCTTCGTCGCAAAGGAATGGACAGGATCTGCACAGAAGAAGCAAGCTTATTTGGCTGTTCCAGAAACCTAGAAAGCAAAGGCGCCAACTCTTCATGAAGTTGATTACCGACAACATGATATCCCCAATTGTTAGAGACATATTCCGAGAATGGATAGTTTTTCAAGCGGCCTTGTAGTTCGTTTTCACTGATGCTGGGTCCTTCGTCGAAAATATCGAACGACAAGTAAGCAAGACATACCTTTGCAAAAGCAACTTCAGGCTCAGGCACTAGTCTGTCACAATGAGTTTCAAGGTGCTCCTGAACGGTGGAATGCACCAATCGCACAGTAGCACCTTGCTCACCGATCGTAATAAGCCCAGCACAAGCGTGACGCAAGATCTCAGGCTCTGGTGAGGCGTATGGATCGAGATCGGTATCTCCAGCTTCCACAGCCAGGATTTGAGTTAGCTCTGCCAGACTTAGCGGTCTCTTAGCATAGAAAACATAGGTGAGAGCTTTCTTTGCCAGGACTTTGTCTTCCTCTGGTTGGTCCTCGATTCTCTTCAGCACGTCTTCGTAGTATTCGGAAACACCTTTTGGCATCGCTGTCATGGTCGCTCGTACAGCTTTGAGATTTGTTTGGTTACACAAGCGCTCCATCTGAAGATGTGGAAGCAAAAACCTAAGCCATCAAGTTAAACCTTACATACTCTGACTTTTGGAGGAACCTCTATCCGCACGTATCAGACTTACATGCCGGTCGCTTTTTGACTCAAGACCTCCACTATGTCTTCCCTCAACTTTGCGTCCTTGCGAGCGAACATGGAAATTCTGCTGTTTTTGTTGATCGTGTGTGCCAGATATGCCTTGATATCAGCGATATTGGCTGCAATATTGATGCAGCATGTATTGGCAAAATGTTCTCGCGGGTCGACATGCGGACGAGATGTGAGGAAGATCCTGAGGAAAGGTTCTAAGTGCCCGATGAAATATAGAAAATTCGCCCTGTTGGTCTCAGGACACTCATCCTGCATCCCAGCAGAAGCAGTTAGCAAATATGGTTCCTGCTGTACTCTGGCAGGCTGACGGGGAGCACTCACTAGCGCATCAATGAAGACGTAGGTTTCCTGAAAAAGATTACATATCGATTGGATCAGATGAACCCACTCCTCACCGGACGGGTTCCTCCTTCTTCCAGTATTCCTGTTACAAAATTCTGTCACGGTCACAGGGATTGACGTTGTTTGCTCAGTTAACTGCCTAGCGATACTCGCTAAAAGGTTGAGTTCAAGATGCGTCCTGGGATCTTTGTAATCGCAATATATGTAAGCAATCGCCGTTCTAGAGCTTTGAACAGTTTCCTGGACATGGTTTACAACAAGAGATCTAGTGTCAATCAGCCTTGAAACCAGTGGAGTTGTGCGACACATACGTCATGACAGTCTTCCCAGCGCCGGCTATCTCAAAAGTCAATCAGTGCGACCGACAAGTTAGGTGGGCAAGGTGTGGAGTGATTTAGTAGCTTACGATTTCCAAGACACCAGAGAACCATGGCCTGTGGAGCGGTGAGCCACCTTTCGAATTCGGCACACTCCAGCAGCCACCGGCCCGTACCGCGATGATATTTGGCATATACTTCCTTTTGCTTTTGGTGAAAATCCAGTGTCGAAAGCCTGGGCAGGATCTCGCCCAGTTCCTCAGTAGCTTGTCGATCTGTAAGATAGATTAGGTTCACAGCATGGTGTAGAAGCGAGGCCAAACCATACTCTCTAAGACTTTACGAACATTTTCCGTGGTGTCCAAGATCGACTGAATGTTAAGGTCTGTGCCTCTCGCCAAAGTTAAATTTTCTTGTACATCTGTCCTGATATTGGTGGATTCTCCGTGAAGTTGCTCCACAGCTACCAAAGTTGCATTCCCGACAACGCCACGCTCCTGATTGACCAGCTTGCGAAAGTGTGAATATGCGGCCGAAAGTTCGTCGTCTTCGCCTGAGATCAGGGTTCGAAAGGTTTTGACTAGGGGCACAATCCCATCAGTTAATACCTCGTGTTGGTATGGAAAAAGGAAGATCCCAAGCTTTCTCGAACAAATGAAGTGAGTTTTACACGACTCTGGCGAACTGCGTTACCCTAAAGCTAGTAGAATTCCAACCCTGGGCATCTTTGGGATCGGGGGACATGGTGGCGCTCAGTGGGAGATTCCTTACCTATTCGTCTCATCTTTGTGTACTTTGCGCAGATGCCACATAACACGAAGACAGATGCAAGAACTTCAGCTACGGCAACACCCACTTCTGGTACAGGCGAGATTCGGCCTTCCAAGACCTTGAGTCTCTTGAGATATAAGTCCAAATCTTCGAAGAAGTGGAAATCTTCTCGTAGTCAGCTGAGACCGAGTTTGCTATCTACTACTTGGTCAGCGCCGTACGCTCAGTATCACGGGGATCGGGCACAGCTGCCTCTCTACCTTTATGAGATAGCCGACTGCCGTGAAGATAGCGGTGCTGGGAGGAAATGACTTTGTAAGATCCAAATAAGCGTCAAACAACCAAGCAAGGGGTCAAGTTTGTCGCCTCACAGATGAAGCTGCCGACGCAGCTATCTTGCTGAGTTGTTCAATAGGGTCGAGACTCTTGCTCACGAGCGACCGAAATCTGTCCAATCTTGAGCCATCGTGGCGATGGGCCTTGAAGGATGCCACATTTCCTCGAATCTGACTCAAAATCTCGTCAACATTGTTGGCTTTCGTCCAAGTCTCGATCTTCACCCCGATTGCCATCTCATAGCCATCTATGGCCTTTGCCCAGATGGCGCCAATGCCACTGTGGTAGCGGTTCTGGATCTCACGGGCAAAATGGTAGCAGCTGCCATCTTTTCGAGTGTAAGTGAAGGAGTCAACGCAGTGAGCCAGGGACAGAATGTGCTTTAGGTGATCATGGTCAAGAAGTCTCCCCAGATCTCAATGTTTGCTGTCTACGAGGCACCCAGCGGTACCACGAAGCAATCAATCTTAAAAATAGGCACGTACGCCTCCAGTCGAGGGTAGTCTCGACTGGAGGCGCACGCCTACGCTAAAGGCGTTTCACTTCTGGCGCTAGCGCACTTCTGTCGTATGAGAAGACACCGCGGCTGAAGATGAACTGCGCCTCCCAAAATGCTCCCGCTACATTCTCTGGAAGTACCAAAAATGCGTTCTTACAACATCTTCGTGAAACACCCAACAGACGCCGCGTATCTCAAAGCGACAGAATTGCCCTAATTGAATGGTTGACGAATCCCTACAAACGACCGGCATCGCAGGAGGAGTCCAGCCGACGAAATTATGCCCAAAAGACCTTCTCGTGGGATAATGAAACCCAAAGTCTTCTCGCAGTTGCGAAGAACCGTGGAGACCATGCTCGAACAGTAATCACGACGGATATGATTGCAGATACAGTGGAGAGAGTTCATGAAAACAATGGCCACGCCGGATGGGATGCGACTTGGAAGGACGTCAGCAATTCATATTATGGTATTCTACGATCCGACGTGATATTTCTGCTCAAGCAGTGCCAGTTGTGCTCGAAAGATCCCTCCAAGCGGCCGAAAGGCTCGGCACGGACAGTTGACCAGACCCAACAGAACTCCTCTTCGATCTCTGATTTCCTCACTATGACTAGGGAGCAGACGGAAAACATAAATGACCCTATGCTGGACCTATCCAAGGCCGACACGCAAGGAGGTGGAAATATATTGGGATAGTCCTAAAAGGAGTGTTGATTTGAAGAGGCGGTTTCTGTCCTGAGGTGCTGCTTGATTGTCAAAGCAGATCCCCGAAAATTGGTTATGGTGCTTCATTGCGCGAGCTGTGGATCGTGGGAGCTGTTTTTACCAGCACGGGGTGCATCCTTCAAGATTCACCATCCGGTGCTAAGTCTGAAAATCGTTTCCACGCGATATATTTTCAAGGTTGCTCTAAGCTATGCGCGCAAAGTGTCGAGTGGAAGTTGAGCTACTCTTTTTCATGGTATCACTTTGGCCTCCTTAGCCCACCTATGCCACCATCGACATGTTTCCGGACAAGTGTATTGTGTGACCTTAACAGCTTAATGCTGCTCATATTTTCGTGTCCACCTCGTATTCCAAACAGAAATGCAGCACTAGGTCGAAAGTTGACCATGCCATTCTTGAACTGGATGCGAGTGCTTATAGTCGTCATGAGAGGTGCAGACTCCTCGATCACATTATCCACACACTGTCAGGTCACCCTTTCCATTCCAAGATAGAATTGCTGTACGACGGCGCCACAACGTCCATCCGCAACGGCTCATGGTGTTAAATTCTAGTCTTCAACAGCTCTTGCTTCCGTGACATATCTTCCTTCGATCGCTGGTTTCACCATTTCTGGCACAACCTTCTGGACTGAACGTGGTCACTTGCGTCGAATTGGAGGAAGAGAGTGATACGAGGACAGAGTTGAAGGGCATTCTTCGGGAGGCCGGGTTAGTTCGACGGGGAAATATGAGCCGATCGAAGCGCAATGCTACATAAATGACTCTGGCGGTGAAAGATTAAGACCACAGAGACTCTCCATTTTGGTTGAGGCGACTTCACTGCGCTGCAAGTTGCTACGCGTCTTGTGAAGTTGTTCCTGATAATGATGCTGGCGACTCCTGTCTGGGGCTTTTCCACAACTGAAGTCCGACAGAAATGAGGCACGTGAGCGGTTTACCCGGAATGGACAAGCGCCTCATTTCCCGGAGAGTCGCCGCGTCCTTGGCATTTGACTGCGCTCCCCCTCGTGCCACTCCTAGCAGTCAACGGCGCGAACAGACACCCACAGCGTTTCGAGTCTCGAGTACTTTCTGTCTCCAACTTATCTCCTAGCATGAACGTTGGTCGTCGGTTTTGGCTCAATCCGGCCCATCTAGCCCAAAGGACGAGCCAGTTCCTGCAGCTCACTTCCCAATCAAGCGCGTTGTCTCGGGAGTGACCAGGCAAGATTTGCGACTCTTTGACGTAGGACTTGGACAGTCTGCCAACTTCATCTTAACGTCAAATTTCGCTTGGCCTAGAAAGCATATCGGTCCAGATAACGGGCGTCTGTCAAGTTGAGTTCTCCAGCACGAATATCTGATGCGTCCAGGTCATATTCAGTCCGAAGATCTGAGCTTTTCAGAAGCTTCAACTGTTTTGTGCAACTTGGTTGAGATTCAAGAGCCTCCGGAAAAATTGGGAGCTCCAGAAACACAACCCGTGTTCATCACATACAGAGTTGTTGTTTTGCTTTGACCTCTGTGGGTACTTCCAATCGGCTTCCCCAGTAACTTACTGGTTGGGGCACGTGCCGCACGATTTTGGCGCATCAGCAGCTTGCCAAGATATCGGAATGAAACAAAAAGGGGCAGTTTGAGGTCCTGGTCCGACACCATCGACAACTGCCAATTTCCCCTAAAAATGCTCCGGAAGTCGGGAAAGGGTCAGACACTGTCTGTGGAGGGACTATGAGATGCACCTCTTTCCCCAGCCTGCTGTGGCTTTTCTTCTCTTTCCGTCCTGACCTCGTATCTTCTTGAGCCTCGTCCGTCATACACACACAACTCGCCGCAGCGTATAGCATTGAGAACATGGTCGCGATGAAGAGATCAGCAATCGCACTGGCGATGGCTGCCGCAGTCAGCGCTCAAACGTCGTCCGTTATCAATGTTTTCATTCCTGATGCGGACGATCAAACTCTTCTGGGTTCCCTCATTGCCTCTGTATGTGCAGGTTTTCTGCCTTTAGCTCGTCCACACTGACTTACCTTCCCAAAAAAGGATGCTTCCAAGACCACGATGGCCATCTCGTGTCCATCCAACGCCGACATGAGCGAATGTGGATTTGGCCCTGACGCGGTTACCATCACTTTCGGCCCATCAACTTTCCGCGCGGCAGAGACCCTCGACCCGTTGTCGCTCATGCTCGACTGCAATGTCAAAGGCACAACAGCCGCAACATGCACAGAGACATACATTGGACCCGCAGATATCCTGAATAGGAAACAGCTACAGCCACGGACTCATCGACGGCGGACGACACGGATACTAGTATGATCACAACGACCACAACGACGGTCCTATCGCAGTCCGAAATGTGAGTTTGTTGTTCCCAGCTTGAGTTTCGGGAGTGGCCAAAGATGTTTCGAAGGGCTCACGATGAGATAGTGTTTTCATCCCAGTGACGATCACTGCATTCGCCGATTCTAGCAACAATACTAGTGCCAGCACCACCGGAGCGAGTGCAAGTGCATCCACAGCTACGTCAACGGGGTCTGCGACGAGTGGCGCGGCGTCTAGCAGTACGAGTGCGAGTGCGAGTGCGAGTGCGAGCGCGAGCGCATCGGATCAGAGCAGCAGTGGCGGACGCGTGGGCGCCACTCGCTGGGAGCTGGTCTCCGCAGCGGGAGCCGGGCTGATCGGGCTGACGCTTATGCTGTTGTAAACCCAGGTGTGGGTGGTTGCGCAAATCGTCAAAGCATAGCAAAGGAGCACGGGGAAGCGCGGCAACAATGGGGCATACAAGGACAAGTATGACGGCATATCTCTGGCTGCAAGTGGGACTATGGAGAGGAGAGATAGACCATAATAATAAGACACCTGCCCAACAAAGACATAATCGACAATCGACTCGTCCTTCGATTGCCCATGCGGCTCGATTATCCGCACCGCAGCTTCCCAATGGTTACAGTGCCCGGATCTCATGTCCGCGGCAGATGTTTGGTGCCGAGGATGACGTCGCCGATGTAACCGGCGACGGCACCGCGTTGCTCGTTCCAGTCCTCCCACCTCCCACCTCCCATCGCTCTTTGTTCTGTTTCAATGAAAAGCGAGAATGACACCAAATCACGGGGACGCTGGTCTAGGGATTCTCCCATGTCCAGTTTAGTTTTCCCTCCTGGGGCCCCCCGTCCTCGGCTGCCACGAGGCTTTGTCTTTGGACTTCAAGGATGAGGTCGGTGATTCGTGATTCGCTGCCAATTGACGTAGCCGAGAGAGTCGTACGGATGGGCATGGGCGTTTATGTAAGACGGGCGATCAGTGTGGAATCGTCTATGGCAAAAAGCTGCGAGCTCAGCCTCTCGGCGCTTTTGCTGAGGCTTGCACAGGCGCATGATTCGACGGACTGTAGCCCCCGAGTGGCGCTCAGTAGCGAGAGGATCAGCCCAGCAGATGGCACTTTGATAATTCCCATGACCAGAAACCCACCCAGAAACTGGGGGGATCTCCGCCGATCTCCATGCCCGATCGTCGATGACATAGGCGGCGAGCGATCCCAGGGCTAGGGAGCTGGGGCCACCTAGGGGAGCCTAGGGAGCCTAGGGGAGCCTAGCGAAGCTAGACAAGGCCCGGCAAATGGAGGGGGCGTCGATGCAGGCACAGATGGTCGATGAAGACACCCAATTCGCGCCCCAGGCAATCGTCTCGGCAGCAGTGACATGCTCACGCCAACTGCAATCAGTAATGTTCAGGGAGAGGAGAGTGCGACGGAATCTACAACTCCTGGCGCACCTTGGCCTGTACTGGGACTGGGACTGGGACCTCCAAAGCAGTGGCTGCTGCATGGCCGTTTCTCCCCACTTCCACCAATACCACTTCACCTGTTCTTTGTTTCCATCGCTCCCATCGTTTCCAGCAACCTGTTTTTTTCCTGGTACTTTGCCTGCCCCGCACTTCAGAAAAGCCTCAGTGCCGTTCCTTTCCTTCACATGCCGTTCTTAGACACTGCGACCGACATCCTCCTCTCGCTTCTCATTTGCTCTCCTAGACTTGCCGTCCTCTCTTCTTTGTTTGCCCCTCCCTCGCCTCCCTCTTGGAAGTTTGTTCCTTGGGCCCTACCATCGAATCAGCCACTCCAATCCTTGCCGTGTCGCAGCCACCTGGCAGTTCTTCAGGTGAGAAAGCCACTTCTCAGCCCGCTTTTCCTCCAGCTCACCCGGGTCAAGCATCCGCCGCTACTACTACTAGAGCATCGGTCGATCTGTTGCTCTCTCCCTCTTACCATCTGGCTCCACAAGCCGCGGCCCACCTGTGTAGCAAGACAGCCCACCGCGTCCACCTGGAATCCTCAACACGTTCACAAGAGACCGAAGCCTGCCTGACATTTTTCTCCGACCCTTCCTTCAGTTCCAAGTTCGAAATTACCTTCGTTCGAATTCCACCCCCCGTGGCTACCCACCGATTGCTGATCCTAAATAAAACTCGATCCCTTTTCCGAACCCAGTTACGTGCCCTACCTTTCTCTCCTGGAAGTACCTGCTCTCCCTCTCTAGAACATTCTGCACCCTCAGCCACCCCAATCCCACCAACGGAATCATATATTCCTCTTCTGTACCACCATTCTAGATACGTCTGGAGCAAACACATTGCCATCCGGCAAACAGACCAATCCAAGCGCCACGCTCTTACATTCAACCCGGGGTCTTACCAAACGGAACTTGTCTACAAGACACATTGTTCCTGGGGCATTGAAGCTCTCTTCAATTCTTGCCTACTGTGCTTTCAAAGAAACAGCACTCTCCCCCGACAAATATGGGAACCCTTGGGAGCCAGTCAGCCATGTCGTCAGCGGGCATCTCATCCGCCACCCCCAGCATCAGTGACCTGGATGGTTACACCTTCCGCGACTACCAATTCCCTGCCAGTTCTACCTTTGCGCCTGTCCAGCTTGAAGACGACGAGTTCGGCTTTGATCCGCCACAGAAGCCTCTGACAACCAATGACTATCAAGTCTACAGCCCGCCAGATGACTATCCCATGTCTCAATGGCCCGAATTCGACCGAGACGACGACTTGAAAGTATCCACAGAAAACCCGCTCAACGTTGACAACTACGAGATGGACAAGTTCATCACCTCGGTATTGCCTAATCCCTCCACAGCAATTGCACGATACGGCCAAATGACCCCTCCACGATCGAACTCCACTGCCAGTACCGATTCAAAGGAGGAGAAGTTGTCGCCCAAATCTCAACCACTAGAACCTCAACCTCGAAAACGAGGAAAGGGTCGGCCTAAAGCTACAGAAACAGCCTCCTCTCCATCGAAGACGACAACGACCGCGGGTCGTAAGCGAAAGGCGACGCGGAAATCCTCCACCACCATCGAACAAGGAGACTCAGCAGAGGAACAAAAGAGAAAACAGTCACTCGAGAAGAACAGACTAGCTGCTGCAAAGTGTCGAATCAACAAGAAAGAAAAGACGGAGCGCTTACAACGAGACTCGCAAGAGAAAGCAATCGAGAACGCGTACCTCAAAGACCAAATCATGCGCATGAAGGATGAGATCCAACAGATGAACGCTATTCTTGTTGCACATGGCAACTGTGAAGGATGCAAGTCTCCGGAAGAAATTCAAGCCCACCTCAATGCCCTGGGGAACGACTTCTTCAGCCAACAACTCGCCCTTGCCAGTCAGAATTTTGGAGAATTCCCTCCGGTGAACTTCACCAGTCTGCCCGTGATGCCCGACAATTTCTTTGCGGGGACCACCGACGACCAGATCCTGCACCCGCCTCTACCAGAGTTTAATCGCTCTGCAGAGTTTGAGGTGCACACTCCTGCACCGACGGATTGAGAGAGACAATCCTGGCGATTACAGCCAATAATCTTTGTTTTAGTCCATGTACCAATTAGCGCGGAATCACTTTGCTGCCTCGGAACCCCAGCCCAGGCGAGCAGGATCTTCTCATCCTTGCCGGACGAAGGCGGCCTTTTCTTTCGATGATACCCCTCACAGAAATTTCTATCAACCTTTCAGCTGCTTCGCGGCATACCAAGGATGACTCAGTCAATCAGATGTGCAGTTGTTCCTATCGAAGACAGTTAGCATGTCTTTGGTGGGGTCAGAATTCTGCCTGTGCCCCGCTGCATGTGGCAGTGCGTGCAAGCAGATTGACCGAAACGCCCCCGATTCGACGCCATTCGGCTTAACACCGCCGCTTCAGCTTGTTCCGTCCAGGCTGCGCAGGCCAGATTCCATCTTTGCGGACCCGGCTGAGGCAGCACCGGAGTCGGCTTGAGAGTGGCTTTTGTCGTTGGCCAGTAGCGACTCCATCTTTGCTCGAGTTGACGAGGTATGAAAGGTCCCGCTCAGCTAACTTCCGACTGCGTCTGATGCGCACAGCTTGATGTGTGGATGAAGCGGAACAAGAAGGAACAACAGGACACTGGCAGGAAGTGGCATTTCCACCTTGAAAAAGCGGGGTTCAGCTGCCTTGTAATGATTTTGCTACGCGCAGACACGAAAAGGGATTTGTGCCGGATCGGGCTCATGACTGGTTTCCGAGAAACGAGATATGTAATGGTAGCTATTAGTTGCAATGCGATATCCAGTATATTATTGGAACAATTACGTGCAGATATCTGCCCACACTTTGGCCAATCTGTGGTTCCAATGCGCAGTCGTGCCTTTGTCCTGCAAAGTATAAACCATTTTGGTGCTCGATGATCGACTGGATGGCCTGGAACGTGCCGGCGTTCTCACGGCATTCGAGGATCCAAAGCTTGACGGATAGCGGACCTCAACTTTGCAGCATTCCGAAGAATGGTGATGCCTCTACTCTTTAACTCTGAGACAGTGGACGAAGGGAAACCTGCTCGTTCTTCCAAAGCGATTGAGAGAAAGTTCGAGAGCCCCGCTTGATTCGACGTGTGAGCTGTCTTTGAAAAAAGTGTGCACTGCTGTTTGTCCACGCTTGGGTCCTGTGACCCGAGACGAAAGACCTTGTTGAGCTTTGTCCAAGGTGCAAGCTTGACTTTGATCTCTCACACTCTGATATCTGCTCGCCGAGCCGGACAAGTTCGAAACTGCGCAAGTACCTATCACAAAGGCCGGTGTGAGCCGACGTGAGCCGCCGACCAAATGGGTGCTCTCCCTCACTATAGGTAATAATCTGCTCAGAAGCCTTTTTCCTCAATTGGTAGGGACGGGAGGTAACCTGTGCGAGGTCCAGGGCCACCCAGGGCCAACCTAGGGAGGGCCAAGGGCACCCATTGACGATCCGGATAACTATGATCCGGAAAGTCACTGGCTGGCACCAGGTAACCAGCTAATAGCAGATCGGGGGGTTTACTTTTCCTGGGAGGTTGGTCTTTCTGCACGATCTGGTTTCCACATTTTCGAAAAGGCCATCGCCCATCAGCAGCCAAGCAGGAAAGAGACTTTTCGATCACACGCATTTGTCCAGATCGACACACAAGGCCAGGACGAGGAAGCGCTGGAAGTTTGATGCAAAAGTAGTGGAGGGGAGGCGAGGGGAGGAGGGGGGGTGGAATTTGAACCCCTAAGACGCTGACGTCAAGTTTGTACGAAAGAGCCCAGGGACAGGAAGTGAGATTCCATCGTGAGATGCAATGGGCCAAGCGAGTCTGTCTGTCAGAGAGAGCCACTTTTTTCCCATGGTGGAGGGAGGCACCCGGGAGTGGTGGTGTCAAAATCCTTGTTCATAATAACCCGAGTACAGGGGATGGATGGATGGGTGCGTGGGTGGCATTGTGCTTCACTCGGACACGCCATTGAATGAACACTCGTACCTACCTAACCAGCCTCGCCAGGTACGTACCCAAGGTATCGGATTGACATCATCAGCCCACGGCGCCCCTTTCCAAGATGACCTCAATTGGGGACTGGCTTACCTGACTCGTCTTTACCGTCTATTGGGGCTGGCGAGAGAGAGAGAGAGATCCCGATCATGGGCAACTCAGAAATGCCCAACGCCAACACTGCAAGGCTAGGGCTGGGCTGGGCTGGAGGTTGCATGCAGTGTCGCCGCCTAGCGAGGCTGTAGGGCTGTAAGCTGCAGTGGCCTGGTTTCCTTCGCTACCTAGTAGCTAAAGGCGCTTCCTTGGCCGTCCTCATCGACTTCAAGTTCGGTAATCACGGTAATCACGTCACGTAGCGCGATCTGACGACAGCCAGCGCGCACAACAGCCCCCAGACGCCCCAGACGAGCTCCTTTTCAATGACGCATTGTCTAGCACACTGGAACAACTGGTGAGCTTCTTGCTTGACATCATCGGCACAATCCCCTTGTTTCCCTGCGGCGTGATAGAAGATGTGGTTACCCCCAAAAACCTCAAAAATTCGTTAATTGCTCCTAGGGCCGTATAACTTTGCACACACCACTTACCACTAACGTAGGAACCGCCAATCTGCTCGGAGCCTACCTGTGGGCTGTCATGAGATGCGAATGCGAATGGAATGCATGTGTGTGCTTGCTCGTCATCTCCCTCGAATGCCACGCTCCACGAACACTACCTCGAACAAGCTCCCCTTCTCCCTGCGATAAGAGATCGGTTCATTTGCAACCCTCCACAAGAACGGCCTCCATGTTCTGAACTCTACGACGAGTCCCCTATGCTCGATGCGTGGAAAGAACGGCAGGGCCGTGAATGGAGAGACAAGAGAATAGAAGAGCTGGAGAAAGATGGATATCATGACCGCAACTGTGACTGCGTAGATTTGGGAAAGGTCATTTTTATTTTTTCTTGCACACCTTGAACGGATCTTCCCGACTGGATATACACTGAACTCCATGCCTCGTGATGAATATCGGTAGGTTGCAAAATATCCGCATATCTGGCTCAAATTCTGTCTAGATCCTTCGCTGCCGTCCCTCCTTCGTTCCTCCATACCTGCTTTACCTTGACCGCCGATTGCGTCTGTCTGAACTTGGGGATGATGGAAGCCCCTCAGTTTGGGCAGCCTGTGACGATGGTGTAGGCAGCCATTCACCACCGCCGCCGTCCATGCTACCTTGCTGTTCCTCGAATCCAAGTACCGCGGCTTCGTTGACATCTCCCCCGGTCTGATTGAGCAGATACTCCGCTCTGGCTCTGCTGATTCCCAGGGCCGCGAGTTGTTGGATCTTGGCATGGTCTGCGTGGGGACTTTGTGGCACATCGACCTGGATTGGTTGGGCGGCGCGGGAATTTGGACCTGGCGCTGGCGCCGACAGTACTGGTGGCGCAGGAGGGGCTCGACTCGGTCGTGTCGGAAACGATCTGTCCTCACGACCTGGCTCCGGGAATGGCTGTGCACTTGGCTCCAGTCTAACATCCTTCCTCCGAATCGGTGCAGTCGAATGGTCGTTGGAGAATGTTGCGCGCGGTGGCGGCATGGGCGGAAACTCTTGGAAAAAAGGATTGCGAGGGTCGTGACTGCCTGCTTCGTGAGGTGGAAAGCCGCCTGGAACACTGAAAACATCTGCTCCCTCTGCGTAAGGGCGGTTCACTGCATTAAGTTGCTCTGGTCGGGCCGCGGTGGAAGGAGTATAGGTTCTCTCCGCCTGCGTGGGGATCTCTCGCCTCGATCGTGATTGTACGGGTCGCTCAGAATCCGTCGGACCCTGCTTGATGGGTGTACTGGGGCTATTCGGAGCAACAGGCGATGCTGCTGTTTGACCTGACCAGAATGGGTTTGAGGGTACAGGTCGTCGGCTGGTAGCGCTTTGGACTGTTTCCGCATCGCCAGCTGTTTGTCTCTCGGGCGTTGCTTCCACGCCAGGTGCTGGTCGAGATCTCCGTTTGGGCCGTACGGGAATACTTGGAGCTCGGGCCTGCGCTTCCTTGATGGACTCGGACTCGGAACTGTGCCGCTGGTACGGCATCGTGGGCTGGAGCTCTTTGATCAGATGACAGGATTGAAGATGGCTCTTGAGAGCTGCGACCGAGGTCTCGATGGAAGTCTTCCCCCTCTCGAGGCAAGCATAGCACGAATAGGCGGCCCGCCGATCGTGCAGCGAGGCACACGCCTGGACATGGCAGCTCACGACCAGCGGCCAGTCCTTGTCGGAAGACATGGTTCGGAGGTTGTCAGCATCGGGGTCAGCGTCGGCGATGACGAGGTAGCAATGTTTGCAGGTCAGGTTGCCGTTGGGTCGTTGGACCAGGATTGCATCTAGATCGGCTTGCGAGTCTTGCAGCAAACGTGCGCCTTCGCAGTAGGTGATGTCCATGGTGGTGGGAATGATGGAAACCATGGTGGCAGGGTATTCGTCCCGAAAAGGAGTATTTGAAGCCGAGTCGACGATGAACAGATAGTAGAGATGGGGATGAGACAGCCTACGGTAAGAAGAGGTCAAATCACGAGCTGCAGCATCGAGGTTGAGCAATGGAATGAAGTATGACCTGACTATTGCAGGCGAGGTCGTAGCTGAATAGGTACATCACAACCACAAACAGACAGACAGCCAGACACACGCGCGCTGCAAATGTGGCGATAACATACACGTTGGCCCTTCAAGAAGGACGTGGCAGAGCAAAGTAAATCCTTGCCCTATTTCGCAGAAGGTCTTTCTCGTCCGCCTTCTTCTGGAAACGAGCATCGCCCACTTCCCAGCAGGTGGGTTGAAAGTGGGTAGGGCGATCAGGCAGGGCGTTTTGTTTGATCCTCAGGGAAACTCTAGATCAGGCTGGGCTGAAAAGATCCCTGTCATTGTTGTGCTGCGTTATGCGGGCACAAGAGCAACGCCACCGAGCCTGAGGCTGGCTTCAAGTTCTTTGTAACCGAGGCATTAGACAGCTCTAGACATGAACGAGTACCTAGGCATGCGAGTACTCGGTACCAGGTAAGAGTAGGAAGAACGGATAGGATGGGATTTGCACAATTCTACCTACCAGGTAGGTAGCTGATGGTAGGTCTAGGCATCTATCTTTCTATCTGAGGTTCCAGTGAGCTCCTTCTCAGCATCAGTTCAGCAAGTTGGGGATGGGGTTATTCTCCCAAACAAGGCACCACCACATCCCATCATCACCTTTCATCAGCTCATCCTCCCGCGAAAAGTGATGGACGGTGTTAGGCTGCAGCCATTTCGCCCTGCGCCCTCGCCTTCGCCACCGGCTCTGCATGCGTACCAGCCACGCAGCGCCAATCATCTTCGCCTATCACTGCCAATCCGTCTGCATCAAGTTACGCAGTACGCGGCTTTCTCAGGAAACCCATGGTTACCCTCAATCTACCTTTTCGCTGTAGCCTGTTCGGGACACCGGCTTTGGTCGCTTCGACTCGAGAGGCAACACAGTTTAGTGGCCTGGACTCTCTGTGTGGCCCAGCCCAGCCGCAAAGACGATGTGCAAAGGGCCACGCAATGATGGCAAATTGTGCAACCAAAAGGTAAGGCTGAATGAGGAAGACATCTGCGTGCTTGCATCTACCGAGTGGGATATCCATCAGCCCCCCTTGGCATGGTGAAGACCACGTCTAGCGAAGTACATGTGGCTGTCCTGGAACATCTATGTATGTGCCTCGTATGTGTGCTAGGCCTCGCTGTATACGGTTGTTCTCTTAGAGCCTCTCATCCCATCTCTCACTCGCCTCTCTTTCTTGACCAGACTGGGCATCCTTTTCATCCTACAACTCCCATCCCGCCCTTCTACCCTGCTTGCTTCATTCCTATTCTATTCATTTTCCCGTCTTGTTAGCAAATGGCGTACCAGCAAGGCTATGGCACGCCAGTGTCAGATTCATCACAGACCCCGACCACAAATGGATACGTCGACGTCCCGAACCCTTTCACAGACCGCCTCAAGGGTTTGCAGAGTCAGGAGGAGAGACGCTTGTTTGACCTGGTCGACCGACTCAAGGACCTCGACGTGAACAGAGAGCTCCAATTGCCCCAGCTGGTCGTCTGTGGGAGCCAGTCGTCCGGCAAGAGTTCCGTCCTCGAGGCCATCAGCGGCTTGTCATTTCCAAGGGGAGAGTTTACTTGTACCAAATTCGTGACCGAGTAAGTTCGTGATTCTATTCTTCCCAGTTTGTGGGCGCTGTCCTTTTGCTAACCGTGGCTATTTTCCAGACTTCGGTTTCGTCCAGGAAATGTCGAATCAATCAATATCGAGATAGTGCCCGACACAGCACGGAATCCTGACGACCAGGCCCGCCTCAGAAATGCCAGGTTCAAATCCAGGAGATTGGCCGAGCTGGGCCAGATTGTCAAGGAAGCCGAAAAATGGCTGTTGGGCGGTCGTGGAGGGTTTGCGACTGACGTGCTCAAGGTCGAGGTTGTCAGGCCACATCAGCAGCCGCTGACTCTGATTGACACCCCCGGGCTGATAGCCTCGCACAACGAAGGCCGCGAGTATATTGACATGGTCCGCCGCATCGTGGATGACTGGATCCAGCAACCACGCACTCTGATCCTGGCCGTCGTAGAGGCCAACCTTGACCCGCAAAAGCAGTCCGTCCTCACCATCGCCAAAGAAGTCGATCCCACAGGAGAGCGGACCTTTGGCATCATCACAAAGCCGGATCTCGTCGAGTCGCCGTCGGGCTTGGAGGACTTCTGGGTCAAGAAAGCCCGGAATGGCGCGGATAGCACGGCCGAATTCAACTTTGCCAAGGGCTGGCATGTCCTTCGCAATCGTGGCGTGCGCGAAACCGGAAACGAGACCTCGACGGCCGAGAGAGACGAAGCTGAACGCATGTTCTTCATGTCTCCCGAGCGCAAATGGAGTCAGGTCGACCAAGCATACTGGGGCATTGACTCCCTCCAAGGCCGTCTGAGAAGCATCTACTACGACCACACCCGGCGGCAGCTCCCGATCATCCAGGACGACATTTTACACCGGCTCCAGAAGGCCATGAGGGAAGTAGATGGCATCAACGAGAAGCTGGCAGATGCCGACGAGATCTGGGGTAAATTCAGTGAAGAGCGCACGGGTCTGGCCGTGCAGGCCAAAGGGTGCGTGGACGGCACTTACCTGGACGGCGCGGCCGACTGGCAAGACGCTCCCGACTACTACCTGCGGGCTCGGATCGAAGAGGATCACGACGAGTTTGCGCGCGAAGTGGAACTGAACGGCCACGGCCTGCGTCAAGCAAAATCCGCGCGCAGCCTCACCGAGGACAGGGACGGCTTCCGCGCCTATGTACAGCAAATGCTCGAGTCGACCCGCGGCCGTGAGTTGAAGGGCAGCTATGATCCGAATCGGCTGAATTTGCTATTCCGAAAGCACTCGGAACCCTGGTACGGCATTGCCAGGATGCATCTGGACCACGCCCACCGTCGATGCGTCGTGTTTGTCGAGCACATTGTCGATAATGTGCTGCGGAAGGAGCTCCCCGCACTTCCGGCGCGAGTCTCGCAAGCCATTAAAGACCATCTATACCAGGCGCTTGAGATGCAGAAGAAAAAGGCCGAAGACGAACTCAAGGCCATCGAGCAAGATCGAAAACAGCCCGCGCAGACAGAGAGTAAACGCTTTGAGAGGCTGGCACGACAATTGAAGGCGAACAAGACCTTCGCTCTGGTCAACCGTGTGGCGGAGGAGGAGTACCCGTACATGGCAAATGCGTCGTCACCAACAAGAACAGAGAACCCAAACGAGAGGGAGATCAGGCCGCCACCAGCTACTCCTGGGAGCGCCACACGATTTACCCCAGCACATGTCGAGCGGGTTCTGGCTCAGGACAGCCGTGCCGAGTCAGCGGAAGAGATTGGCCAAAGGATGATCATTTACTACGAGGTAAGTAAAAACAATGCTATTGTTTCTAGGGGAGGATCGAACTGTTACAGAAGGGAAAGCTGACTCTTCCATGCGCAGATCGCACGCGAAGTCTTCATCGACAACGTCGTTGTCCAGGTCGTCGAGCGACATCTTCTACGGCCGCTGCATAAGCTGTTCCAGGGCGACTTTGGCGTTGACAAGGACGCCTTCACGCGCGCGGTGGATGCTGAGAGGGACCAGAACCTGACGGCTAGGAGGAACGCGTTGAATGAGAGGGTCAAGCGGTTAAGGACCTTTGCTGACCAGCTGCGTGCCATTTGATCGATTTGGGATTACACGGTGTTGACGGGGGAGAGTGTATTTTACCTGGGTTCTTTGACAATTGTTCGCTTTGGAGACTTCGATTTGTCGCATGGACGGCATCAAGCAAGAAAGGACAATCCTATACATAAGTTATTGAGAAGGATTAGAGGAGGAACCATGTCAGTCTGGTGGGTATACGAGACGAGGCTCGGGCGTGTTTGGGGCGAAGATCAAGCCGAGGCTCAACTTCCCGCAAATCAGAAAATCAAACTTGCGCAGTGTCACTTTTCGATGTCATTATGTCCATCAGTACCTGTTTCCTAGACTCCAGCGATTCAATCTGAGACGACCCGTTATGCGTCTGTTGCTTTCGTTATCCCAAAGATGATACCGACGTCGTCCATTAATCCCTAACGCTGCATGTGATCCGCGGGATATACACCGACCCATCCATTCCTCTCCTACTACTCCAGCATCCTCCGAATCCCGGTCGTCCTGCAAGTGACCTAAACCCACCACCAAGCCATGGAATACCTCTCGGCGCTGCAGTCGCCCGTGGACGACCTGAAGCCGTCGCTGTTCGAACTCCTCTCGGAGCAACAGCTGTCGGCCCTCCTGCCACCCACGATCCGGTACCTGCTCGCCCTGCTCACGCACCGCTACCCGCGTTACCTTCTGCGCGTCCTGAACAACTACGACGAGGTGTACGCGCTGCTGGCGCTCGTGGTCGAGAAGTACTACCTCGAGCACTTTGGCGGCAGCTTCACCGAGAACTTCTACGGCCTCAAGAGGGAGAAGGTCCTCAGCCTGCGCGGAGGCGAGGTCAAGCGCACCCAGATCGCCGTCCCCGCCGAGGTCCGGGAGCGGTTAAAGCTCAAGGGCCGCGATGTCTGGACCAACCTCGCCGTCTTGGTCGGCGTGCCCTATCTCAAGAGGAAGTTGGATGAGAGTTATGATATCCATATCGCGCCGTCGGCTGGGTTGCTGATGGGTGGAGGAGGGTTGGGCGGAGTGGAAGGCAGGAGGTATCTCGACCGAGACGCCCTGCCGCCAAACCCGACCATCAAGCAGAGGATTATGTGGTATTACAAGTGGTTTCTACGGCATGTTTACCCGAGTTTGAACGCAGCGTACTACTTCAGTATCTTGGCTTTCAGCTTGGGATACTTGTTCGACGGAACCAAATACTCGAGTCCATTCCTGTGGATGGTCTCCACGAGGATGCGGAGAATGGGCGCCGCGGATCAGCAGGCCATTGATGCCGCGAGAGAAGCTGCTGATAAGGCTGTCGCTGCCGCCGCTGCTGGGAGACCGGGACAAGGGTTGAGTGGCATCTTCAGTCCGCGGACGCTGTATCCCCGATTATTGTCAAGCTTGAGGATTCTCTTGCCGACGAGTATCTTCGCACTGAAATTCTTGGAATGGTGGCATGCGAGCGATTTCTCCCGACAGTTGAGCAGAAAAGCAGCCGAAGGGTTGGAATTGCCGCCTCCGATCGTCTCAGGGATGGAACTCGCCCAAAAGACTATGCCGGAGCCACAGGGTGCCGTGCGTAAGTTATCAACAAAGAACGCGACGGCCAAACGAACCCCGCCGGTCTCGAGCATCACTTTCCTTCCGATATTCACAGTCCCGCCGCCACCGACGAGCGACCTGTGTCCTATCTGTCTGCATCCGATCTCGACAGCGGCAGCGTGCCAGACCGGATATGTATTCGATTATAAGTGCATATTCCAGTGGATTGAGGGCACGCATGAGCGGCAGGAGGCATTTATGAAAGGAGAGAAAATGAGTGAGTGGGAAGATGATGACGAGGAGGAAGACGACGAACACGGACAGGCCGAGGACGAGCAGAAGAAAAAAGTGCACAAGAGCCGTGAGGGGAGCTGGGAAAGCGGGAAGGGAAGGTGTGCGGTCACTGGCAGACGAGTCCTCGGCGGCACCAGCGGGTTGCGCAGAGTCATGGTTTGAGCAGCCTGGCCTAAACTGTTACGCCGATGTGGAATGAGATCTTCAAAGGCACCAACCGGACTATTCTATCTGAGTCGTGAAAGAGTCAATTCGCACACGATCTGATCGATACTCGCCTGAAACCTGAAGCTTGTCATCAGGACTGACCCTTAGGGACGTTGCTTTCACTTGGTCAAATCCCCGCGCCTCACCTCCAAGCCTTGCTGGAAATGGATACAATACTGATCAATGGGTATCATTCTGAAAGTATCACATCACAAAGCATCAAGATCTGACTACTACGACTATATAAAACACGAGACAACCCAAAAGATTCGCACTTCAAGACAGCTAGGCAGCAGCAACCTCTTCTTCACCGACCTCTGTCTCAAGCACAGACACTGCAGGCTTCGCGGGTATGGGAACCTCTTCGGCAACATAGTTGATCTTTTCCGACGCGACGTACAGAGGAAGGGCCGGCTCACGCCACGGCTTGGGCGTAAACAGCAGGATGCTCTTCAAGCACCAGCCGCTCAGCGCCTGGGTCTGCGTCGCATCCAAGAGACTCAACCCGGGAGCTTTTCTGTGCATGCATACACTTGCCATGTTGATCCGGTCATAGCTGCCTGGTCCACCGTTCTTGATGGCATCTTCGGCCAGCGCCCAGGCAAGCGAGCTGTACATGACACCTTCGTGCGAGTACGCAAGCCCGGCAGGCTTCATGAACGCCGCGACTTGCAGCTCGCAATTGGTCACTCCAACCTTTCTCTCATCCTTCATTAAGGCCGAGGCGTGGGACCCGAATTGTGGCTGCACGACCTCGTCTGTCGCCGAGTATATCGACGTTGTGGGCACATAGGCCGAGTCGCCACCATTCGACCGCAGCGTGGCGATGAACGTCGAATTCATGGTCTGGTTCCACACGGCTGGAGTGCCAGGGACCATGCCTTTGAGCGGTGTCAGACCCCAAGCTTCGACTGTGCCTTTAAAGTCGGCCGAAAGACAAATGAAGTTGCTGACTTGTGCGCGGGTGCTCGGCCAGTATTTCAGCGCCCACTGTGTTGACAGGTTGCCCTGTGACCAGGCCACCACTGCCACTTTCTTGCCGCACACGGTTGCGATGTAGTTGATGGCATAAGCAACGTGCTCGGCATTCTTGGGCGCTTCGTCACACATGCGGCCTGGGATGTTCAGCCACACCGGGTCGGCGAAGGAGCTGGCGCGAAGGAGTTTGGCGAAGTTGTGCTGGAACGCTTCGCCGCCATACGAGCCTGTGCCCGGCACGAGGATCACGGGCGTCTTTCCGTCGGTGCCATGCTTGAAGTCGGTTGGGATGAAGATGGCAGAGCGCAGAGGCTGCTCCTGGATGGAATAGGGGGCGTCGGATATGTGGAGGGCAGGGTAGATGGCGATCGAAGGATCGGGGTTCTTGTTCTGGTAGCTATTGATGTTTATGCCGCTGAGCCCGAAAACCATGTTGAGGGTTGGGGTGGGAGATGAGGTCTTGAGTCAAGCACTTGGTGAAGATGGTTTTCTGAGGGCTTCAAGTGTATAGTTGACCGGGCCAGAATTTCCCCTTGAGAGAACTGGGATGCTGAATGAACGTCTGACGGAGGTAGGGCAAGTCTCAACGGACCTTGGAAATGATATACTCGTGTTCGACTATCATTTGTTTCTATCGAGGCTTTGAAGCTACCACTCGCAACTCACGACTCAAAAGCGGCTGAGCCATCCCAAGAAGCATCAGCCCGTGCTAGCCAAGTATAGTCCGCTGCTCGTATGCTGTTGCCAACTCTCTTTCGCCAGCCATCCCGAGCAAATGAACAGTAGCTGCAGTCACTGCAGTAAGTGCATACCTAGTGAATGCAGCACCAGCGAACCGGCCACTCCGTCCACTTCCCCCGCATATACCGAGCATCTACGTAAAAAAGCCACCCGCTTCGCCAACAACGTTAGCCCTACTAGTCCCTACGAGGAGACGCGAACACGGTTGGACTCCAAAGCGCCCAATGATATGGGGAATGAGTCGGGGCGCCTGCCGAGCGAGCCGTGGGCCGTGGACTGTGGTTCTGCTTCTTTTCTTCTGGCCTGGCGTCCTCGCTTACGAGTACTCGAACTCGGTTCGCGTTCCCATTTTCTTCTCATCCTACTCGGTACAGCCAGTCCATATCCCGCTTGGGTTTGGACACGTCTTCAAGGAATGGCTGAAGAAGTAAGTGATCGTCGCTGCAAGGCCTAGTTCGCTCTTCGCCAGTTCATGGCACGCGCACATTTTACGTACACGGCGAGTTAGCCTTTGCCTTTTTCCTGCGCAGCTACTCTAATGCTCCCTCTTGGGTACCTAGGTATGCTTTGGGCCATGTCAGCTCTCTCTGATTGTACGTACACGGCGATAATCCCGTCAGAGATCAAGGCTTTTCGTGCAGCGGCACCAGCGACACAGGAACTGAAATTCACATTCTGTGCTTCGGCGGGCGCAGCCAACTCTATTGTGGAAACTATATGCATTCTAGAGACGCAGAACAGCTGCAGCCAGCCCATCGCTACTGTTCGCGGGCGTCGGCGCTAGTGCAAACTTGTGTCAATCTGGTGGTGATACGGTAATGCCTCCTTTCCTGTGCAGCCAATGCTGAAGCGAGAAAACGGCCTGGAGCAGGCAGAGGTACTATGCCACTACAGAGTACTCGCAATCGCGATGGGGGGTTTCGTCTCTACGAGGACTCGGAAATGCCGTTCGTCCTTTTGGACCAGGCTGGTGCCGGACTACGAGTAGCCAGCATGCAAATCTTGGGTAGGTGTTATACTCGCCGTCCATTTTTATCTTCCAGGTTGTTAGATCTTCTTGGTCGCCTACTGACGATCTTCAGCTGCGATGGACAACTCACTCCTAGAAGGATAATCTGCAAAGTATAAAGCTCTTGAGTCCCAACCTAGCACTCGGAAAACAGCCACTCCCTTTTCCTGGCAGCAGAAGACATATCCGCGCCGTTGAACATGTCGTACCTCCTCAACAAAGCCACCAGCGCTGCGAAAAGCGTCCAGAGCACCGTGGTCAGCACAACTCACCTCGAAAGCGTGACCAGCAAATTCGGGTTCGAAAGCGTCACCAGTGCCGTGACGAGTATAATCACCAGCAAGGATACCGGCCCCAAGCACAGATACTCCAGCTCGGCGCCCATCTCGGAGGGGAACAGCGTCAAATATCATGTCAGTGGATGCTCGTACTTTTGGGCTGTCTCTGAGGCGTTGGAGAAAGCTAAGGAGTCGGTTTGGATCCTCGGGTGTATGTATCCTTCCAAACTTCCTGCGAAAATCTTTCGAGTCTATCCAAATGATACGAGGCTGAATGACTGCGTCAGGGTGGGTTTCACCAGAAGTATATCTGAGGCGACCGCCCTCGGAGAATGAACAATACCGACTCGACCGGATGCTGCTGGCGGCTGCTGAACGGGGCGTCAAGGTCAACATTATTGTGTTTAAGGAGATTCCTCAAGTTATGTACCGTAAGTCTTGCGCCACCCATTTTGAGCTCATTCGTCTCCATTAAAGAGACCTGTACTGACATTTCGCTGCCATCGAAGTCTCCTCGCACCACACACAACGCGCACTGGAGGCGTTACACCCCAACATCGCTGTCTTCCGATATCCAGACCATTACACCGGCGCAAAAGGAGTGCTATCATCGACCAAGAGCCTGCTCCAGAACACAATAACCGGAGGCGCAGCAAACCTAGGCAAGGTATCCGACGAATCGTTGCAGAACCTATTCGCATTGGCCGGCGGACCGACCTTGCTCTGGGCACATCACGAGAAACTCGTCATCTGCGACCGACAAACTGTCTTTATGGGCGGTATCGACCTCTCCTATGGTCGGTGGGATACAATCCAACACCCGATCGCCGATGCTCATCCTGGAAACCTGGACGACATCGTTTTCCCGGGCCAAGACTACAACAATGCTCGAGTGATGGATTTCAAGAATCTCGATAACTGGGAGCACAACAAACTCAGTCGGCTGACGACATCGAGGATGGGCTGGCAGGACATCTCCATCAGCCTTTCCGGGCCGGCGGTTGTAGACCTTTGCAAGCATTTCATCGAACGCTGGAATTTCGTCCACAGCATGAAATACAACACGGGTCTCCCACGGGACTCGCGATACGAACGCATCCCACCAATCGCCGATCAACCTGCTCAGGGTGCATCGTCTCAACCCGCTGGTCCCATGGCATGCCAGCTCGTTCGCAGCATCGGCAGCTGGAGCGGCGGTCCATCCCTCGAGCACAGCGTGTACAACGCGTACATCAACATAATCGAGAAGAGCGAGCATTTCGTATACATTGAACAGCAATTTTTCATCACAGCGACGGGAACTTGGCTGGGAACGGTCTGGAACCGCGTCGGCGAAGCTCTTGTGCAACGAATCCTCCGCGCCGCCCAGGAGAAGAAGCGATACAAGGCAATTGTTATCTTACCCTCCGTACCAGCATTTCCGGGAGACCTGCAAGCTCTGATAACAGGCCATCCGCCGCGAGCGATCATGAAGCTGCAGTACAAGTCCATTTCTCGCGGTGGGTTTAGCATCATGGACAAGATCAGACGAGCCGGCGTCGATCCAAAGGAGTACATCAGATTCTACAACCTGAGGAACTATGACCGTATCAACGAAAGCGGAGTGATGCAGAAGGCCGAGCAGGCTAGTGGAGTCGAGTATAAACTTGCCAGCCAGGACCACGACGATATCGTGGATCCCTTCGGTTTGCGGGCGCAGAAAGAGATGGGCGAATTTGAAGGCGACAATGTCACTGCAAACCACGAGGCGTACCAGAAATATCAGAACGCCACGGATCATGCGCATAGCAGCTGGGACTCTGTCAGTTCATGTTATATGCTCGGTGGCACCGACATCCGCAAAGTCCCCTGGGTAGGCGGTGGCAATATCAAGGAAATCGACGCCTTTGTGAGCGAGGAGCTCTATGTGCACTCCAAGGTGCTGATCGCCGATGACCGGGTCGTGCTGTGCGGCTCGGCAAACCTAAACGACAGGTCTCTCAAAGGCAGTCGAGACTCGGAGATTGCGTTGGTAATCGAGGATCCGACGCCCATCGCTACGACGATGAACGGGCAGCCATTTCAAGCCAGTCGCTTTGCGGCCAGCATGCGCCGATACCTCTTCCGGAAACATCTGGGCTTGCTCCCTCCGCAGGACATGCGCAAGCCGGACGGACACTTCATGCCCGCCCCGGGCGACAACGAGTACGACTTTGGGTCCACGGAAGACGTCCTCGTCGCGGACCCGCTCAGCGACCGGTTCCTCGAGCACTGGAACGGCGTAGCGGAGCAGAACACGCTGGCGTTCCGCAAGGTCTTTGCGCCGATGCCGGACGACACGGCGCAAACCTGGCTGCAGTATCAGATGCTATTCTGGAAGCGGTTCACGGGGCCTGACGGCCTGCACATGGCCCAGTGGGGCCACGTCATGAAGGACAATTTCCCCGCAGGCGACGAAGGGGTCAGTGCCGTCAAGGACGAACTGGCCAAGATTAGGGGTACGCTGGTCGAGATGCCGCTCGAGTTCCTGGCCAAAACAGACATTCAGATCGAGGATCCGGGGTATAATATCATTACGCGGCAGGGGTATGTGTGATAACGCAGCGTCTAATGTGTATCGAGTGAATGAAGCCTATGAGGAGACTAGGATAGATGGATGGGCAGGGTCCGACAGATACCTAGGTATGTTACATCGCAAGGCTGCGATTACAAGGCTGCGCAGTTGCCTGCTTGGGCGCAGCATCTCAGCCGCAGACTGCAGGGCCACGTGGCGGCCATCATTTGGACTGCACGGACATGCTTCCTCCACAGCCTCACTTCGGTTTCTCTTGCCCTCCCCGCCTCACTCCCTGCCTCCCTGCTTCTTCCTCTTTCTGTCCATGTGTCTCCCTTTCCTCTCATCTCCATTCATTGTGTTTCTCATTCAGCGTCGTCCTCCTCGTCAAGCACAGCGACCATGACAGATCCGTTTTCCATTGTGACGGGGTTCGCTGGGTTGATATCGCTGGGCATTCAAGTGACTGAATCTCTTGTCGAGTTCTATGCTGCATATAAGGACCAAGATGCCAATGTGGCTCGTACAACTGCGAGGATTGAATCTCTCCTGACGCTTTTCCGGAGTCTCGACGCTGCGCTGAAGAAGCGGACATTTCAACCAGATGAGCAGGACCTGATCAAGAACATTGAGTCTTCGGTTCATACCTGTGAAGACATCATTCGAGAAATGCAAGATGAGTGCGCGAAACTAAGCAAAACTTCTGCCACTGATTTCAAGGGCGCTCTCAAAGTCGCGGGGCGACGAGTGGCGTATCCATTCCGCCAAAGCACTCTGCAGAAACTCGACGAGGATGTTGGCGAGATCCGGGATAACCTATCACTTGCCTTGGACGTGCTGCAGCTTAGAAACCAAAAGAAAGCCCAAGACGATATCGCCGAGCTCAAGCTGCTTCTCACGCTCGTGAATTCGGCACAGATCTCATCATCGGTTCGCGAGTGGCTCAAGGCGCCGGATGCGAGTGTCAACCACAATGCGGCGTGCGCGAAGCGACACCCAGGCACAGGCATGTGGTTCATCAATGGTCCGGAATTTACCACTTGGCTGAAGCAAGATGGTTCGTTCCTCTGGCTGAAAGGGCCCGCAGGATGCGGCAAGTCCGTGCTATGCGCTACTGCCATTCAACATACTTTCCGCCAGAAGAATTCCGTTGTGAACGCGGGCATTGCCTTTTTCTACTTCACTTTCAGTGAAAGTTCCAAGCAAGACGAGTCTGCAATGTTACGAGCTTTACTCTTACAGCTCTCCGGACAGCTCCCCAATGGGCAAGATATCCTTAGTCGATTACAGACTTCATCCCAAGCTGGCACACCTTCAACCCCCCTTTTGATCGAGCATCTCCGAGACGTCGCACAAAGATTCCAGCACGTGTATATCTTGCTGGACGCCTTGGATGAATCTCCGCGATATGGTAAACTGGACCAGGTCTTGAATGCACTGGAGACTATGAGGAACTGGTCACTTCCAGGATTGCACCTCCTAGTCACTAGTCGAGACGAACCAGAAATTCGTGATTCCCTCAATCCAGCTCATGAGCAAACGCTGATCATGCAGAATGCCGGAATTGATCAGGATATCAACGACTTTATCACCAGCCAGCTCGATGTCGATCCAAAACTCCGATGGTGTCACTTGCATCATGGACGCATCAAAAATGAGTTGGCTGGACGAGCTCAAGGCGTGTAAGTAGCCCACGGTCGACGGTGATAAGTTATTGGCTGATAAAGTTAGGTTCCGTTGGGTCGAATGCCAATTTGAATCTCTCAGGCGATGTCTTCGTAGCGAAAGACACCTCGATCGATGTCTCGCCTCATTACCGCGAGGTTTGGACGAGACATATGAGCGGATGCTGTCTAATATTGATGAAGACTCGATTGAGGAGGCACGACGGATTCTTACTCTGTTATGCTTCACAACCCGACCCCTAACAGTGCCGGAGCTTCTTGATGGAGTTGCTGTCGACCTTAATGAGCCTGCAGGACTGAATCGTGGACGTCGACTGCATGGTGAAGACGACATTCGCAATATCTGCCCAGGTCTGGTCGATATCAGGTTCGAGGGGACCCTTACTGGGAAGTACCCAAATGAGACGCGAGTTGTGAGGCCAGTTGTCCGTTTGGCTCACTTCTCGGTCCAAGAGTACCTGGAATCCGGTCGCATCACGGAAAAAAGGGCAGCCACTTTTGCGTTGCAAAGTGCTCCTGCCCACGCAGAGATTGCGCAAATATGCCTGGTGTATCTATTGGAACCTGAGTTGTTCAGTGGGCCATCAGATGAGTCGGTGGACAGCAAGCTTCCCTTGTGTCATTTTGCTAGCCGTTATTGGGTCGACCACTACAGAGCCGCCGGGTTCGTGGCATCCCGCTTGGATGAGCTAACTTTGAGACTTTTCCGCCGACCAGACTCTCTCCGCGCCTGGTTCAAATGGTATAACGAAACAATGCCCTTATACTATCGAGCCGAAGATGTTGAGAGTTATTATTTTTCCATTGCCTTGCCAGTTTTCTGTGCTTCCTTTCTCGGGCTTGATGAGGTTCTCTCTAAAATACTTGCCCTGGAAGACAGTGACAGTGAGAGACGAAATCTGATAAATACCGTGTTTGGTCCTGGGCCCACGTCTCCGCTGGCAGCAGCAGCACGAGGAGGTCATGACAAAGTGGTGTGCATGCTCCTCAGTGCAGGCGCAGATGTAAGCGTTGGAGATTACGAGGCACTGTCGGAGGCATCAAGCAAAGGTTACAAGAACATGGTCATAACACTTCTACATGCTGACCCATGCAAAGGAGGGCTTCATAGAGCACTTGTAGCTGCGTGTTTTTATGGGCGCACAGACGTCGTGAAACTACTCCTGGATGCTGGAGCAGATGCCAACGGCAGGAATCATAGCCGGGAGGCCCTATTACAGATAGCAGCTATGAAAGGCTCCAGGGATATAGTGGAGATACTATTGAGCGCCGGAGCAGATGTGAATACTGCGGTACACGGATATACAGCACTACAGCGAGCAGCGGAATATGGAGACACGGAAATGGTGAAGATGTTGTTGAGTGCCGGAGCAGATGTGAATGCTGTGGTGTTTGGATATGGAGCACTACATTATGCAATAAAAAATGGAGATACGGAAGTGATGAAGGTGTTGTTGAGTGCCGGAGCAGATATCAATGCTAGGAGACAGAGCTACGGGACTGCTCTGGATCATGCATTGATGGCCGGCAAATGGGATATAGTGGAGATTCTACTGGATGCTGGGGCAATCGACGACGAGGGCAAAGGCCGACGTGCCCTGGGAGATGGCTCTCGAGTCTCGCGAGCAAGGTTCTGCTGAAGGACTGTCCGACTTCGAGGACAGTGAGGCGTGAATGGAAAAGAGCGGGAAAGAACCTACGTATATGGGGAGTGATGATCTGAGAGTCATCAGGGCCATGTTGGGCCGTTGAACCCGTTTCTTCTGGACCAGTACTGCGGAATCGAGACACCTGTGTACCAATCATGAGCATCCTTGCTCTTTATACGCAGGTCTCCTCCATATTGTTCTCCCGCTAATGGCCAGCTTGCGTCTCTCGCACATCTTGAGCTCGGACATCTCTCACATAACTCGGCAACAAACGTGTGTCTGCATCTGTCCCAACTCAAGGATCTCATGGCAAGTAGAGATCGGACAGTCGCCACGGGCAATCATGTAATGAAAAGAGCTTGGGCCGGAGCAGACCAATCCACGCTGCAGGCAAGTCGATTCCGAGTACAGACAAGGTGGCACTGAATGCAAACAGGAAGACAGAGAGGATGCGCTGCGCATAGTAAGTCGGAACAGACCAGAGCACCAGCAAGACGAACCCGGACGTGATGGCTGTCGATCTCCACAGGATCACACGGCCCAGGACCCCATCAAGCAGAGCGGGATCGGAGCCGGGACCGCGTTGGCGGTACCACACCGCCCAGTGCGGGTAGAACCACCACTTGATCAGCAATCCGTCGTGGAGGACGAAGAAGCCGGCCATCGACACCCCCCACATCAGCAGCGTGGCTCGGGGACTCCACCACCACAGCCGCGTTTGGGAGCAGCATAGCTGGAGAGCCAGGAGCAGGACCGTCAGCATGTGCAGGTTGCACAGCAGGACACAGAGCACGGGCAGTCTCGGCTCGCAGCCGATCCGTCGCGCAACGCTTTCCAGGAATGCGTTGTAGTCGACGAGCGTGTGGAGGTCGGGGCTGAGAGAGTAGTACTCGCGCGAGGCTGCGGCGTCGCGCTGCGCCCGCGCCGAGTAATCGGCTGGAAGCTGCCTCTCTCCTCGGAGCAGCAGCGCAATGTATCGGCTCAGCATCTCGGCCATGACCGGCACGCCGCCCTGGTGAGGGCGCGCGTACCCCACAAAGAAGAGGCAGTGGCCCAGTCCCTCGGGGAAGCAGTGCAGATACCACGAGCGGGGGTTTGATGACAACGGGATCTGTTGTTTCTCAGGCAGATGAATCCATGGAAACTCGACACGGAAGCCGGTGCAGAGAACAACGACGTCGAACTCGCGCCGCTGGGTCTGGCCGTCGTCGGCCAATGGAAACTCGCATCTCCGTCCGCGGGCGGAGATGGACGGCGCGACAACCACCTCGATCTTGCCGTCATGCAGCGCCTCGCACATGCGCTGGTTCTTGGTGACATACGTGGCTTGATCGTTTCGCACAAATGCCGACGCCGTGCTGGCCAGCGACATGCGTGACAGCGTGCCGTTCAGCACGGGCGTGCGCCAGAGCAGCCTGCGGAAGACGCCGTACGTGTACACATTCTGGGCGGCGCTCATGCGGTTCGTCGTGGCGGCCTCGAGGAAGCCGTTGGCCGGGAAGTCGACGGTCATGTTGGCTTGCACCTGTTCCATCTCGTTCTTCTTGTTGAGGTAACGCGGGCCGACGCAAACGGGACGGCGCAGCCACACGGTGACATTGGGCGACAGCTCCCCCAGCTCGGCGGCGATGTCTGCGCCGCTCTCCCCGCCGCCGACCACTAACACTCTCAGCTTCTTCTCCGAGACCTCTTGCTTGAACGCTTCGTCGTACTCTGACGAGTGGATTACTCGGCCCTCGAACCCGGACAGCCCTGCGGGTCGTGCATTGGGGAGCCCGTTCGACCCGGTGGCGACGATGAGCGCGTCCGCCTGCAGATAAAACGTGGATTGCTCCTGCTCTTGCTCTGGACCGGTCTGGCTGTTGTTCTGGATTTCCAAAGACCACTGCCCGTCACTCTCCAAGATCGCGCTGCGCACCTCGGCGTGGTATCTGATATGGCGCTCGAGGTCGAAATGCCGCGCGTATTCGTGGAGATAGTGTAGGTATTCCGCGGCCGTCGAGTAATGCAGTCTCGTCGGATCCGGGAAGTCGGAGAAGGCCATGGCCCAGTTGCTGATGGTGAGGTGCAGGTTTGGGTATGCTGTTGCACTGGCAAACACGCCGCCCAGCCGTCCCGATCGTTCGAGCAGGACTGCCTCGTGGCCGCTCTCGATCATCTCCTTGAGCGCCACCAGCCCGCATGGGCCGGCTCCCACGATCACAACACGTTTCATGGCGACAAGAAAGGCGGAAAAAAGAACAGTTCTGAGAAGGGTACAATGCTGAAAGAATCACAGAACAAGATCAAAGTCGTTCAAGGGTAAAGAATGACACAGTGGCCCGAAACGAAGAGGAAAACTCTACCTATGGCGCACATCAGGATCTCTCACATTGAGGAGCAGGGCGCAGCCAGGGCCAGGGGGCCCCGTCGTCGCCACTCTTGTCGATCTAGAATAGTATAGACACAAGGGCCATATCATCGAAGAGACGGGGTTCCAGGCTCTATCCATACAACAATGTGATGCAACACTGATTGACTTCAGGGTGGCCCCCCCAGAAAAACCGGCTAGAAGCCTGAAATGACGCTGCGAAGCGTAGGGTACAGGGGATCCAACGATGCTAGCGTCTGGATAGTCTGAGGCATCTCTCGATCGGAGCGAAACCATCAGGGGACAGCTAGCGCCGCCATACCATAGGCTACCATCCAGCAAACTGCAAAGATTCCTCACTTGATTACTTGCAGACAAACTTCGACGATACTAGTTCAGCCCTAATCGGCGACTGGGCGCTCCTGCTTCCATATGAGTTAGATCTTAGGGCTAGGAGTATGTACCTACAGACAAACAAGGTTCTTCGCGCTTCTCGGGCCACAGGTCTAGGCCATCTCATTCCTCGTTGCACAACTGAAGCGACCCTCGAAAAAAGCAACTAAGTATCGGAACGTAGAGCCCCCGAGGGTGAAAGCGAGATGCACGCGGATTCCGAGTTCATTCTATCTCGATCGAACGCTGGCCCTGAGTCACTCGATTTGACTCGACGCGAGGTTTTCGGACATAGGCTATTGACATCAGTGATCAGTGTTTCCGGGCTCGAATCGGGAGAGCTCTGCTCGACAATCCACCTGGGTTTACGTAAAATCGCAGCTCCCTCCATGTACGAGTACTCCAGCCAGCAAGACAGCCAGCAAGCATGCATGTCATGATCGCCTCCACTCACTACTCAGTACACGCACCCTCACTCGTCAAGCGGCATTGCGGGCCGCCATGCTGGGGTGCCTGTATCTCTCGTCTCGGGTGGATCTACGAGTAGCCATAACAATATGGAAACGGGAAACGGGATTACCCGATCAGGACACAGATTGTGTTTTTTGATTGGCCAGCTCGGCTACGTGCGCAAATATTGACTTTCAGGATAGTCCATACTCCATACTCCCAGATATATTTCTAATACTCGTACTAGTTCGGTAGGGTATCCACGATTAGGTACTCGAGCTGAATACCCTCTTACATTCACCATGGTATAACCCACCTCCCCGCGCCGGGACCCCATCGTCAGCTTACAGGAGATTCGCCGGATACATAGTGCATAAGTCACTCGCCTGATCTTGCCTTGTGGGGCGGGTATACGGGTAGATCCTGCCGCTCTCGCTGCTGAAGGCTGAAGCACACGAGCTCTCGAGGGCCGCATTTGTCATCCATCGTGTCCGATGGGCGACAGTGTTGGCCCTTACGAAGAGGTGAATTGGGAGACAGATGCCCGTCACAAGGTGTATGTTATTCTCTTAATATGGTTTCGATACTACTCGTAGAGACTGTATGCCGTGCGACTAATCGGGCCCGTATGAGCAGGATGAGGATCTAGACCCCAGACTTGGATCGGCCTCCAAGGGGCGAGCCTGTTCTATGGATCATACACCTATCTACCGAGTACTAGTAGGTACTCCTTCCCCCCACCCGTACGTACGAGTGTTGTCTTCTTGTGGGCCTGAGCGAGTATACTCGCAGATATTGGCGGTGACTGGGTCGGCCGGTGTATTCCTGCAATACTTGCTTGGTTCCCGGGGAAGGTTCCCTGGTCCCGATCTCCCTTCAGATCCCCGACGAATACTACTGCGGAGTACATGTGTGCCTGGCTGGTTTTTGGTTGTGAATAGCATTATTACTCCACACACCACATGCCACAACAGGAGAGAGATTCGTCCTCAGCTCGTACATAAGGATTCCGTAATGGTCGGCGTGAAGGCACTCTCTCATAGGGCGCCAAAAGTTCCTTTGTTACTCGCGAACTGGTTCCCCTCCTCGTTCGACCCTGCAGAAGAAGAGACCCTATCATGCCATCGTCCAAGGCTGACAAGCCTGCTGCGCAGCTCCGCGAGGTTCTGGCCCTCCTCTCAGCCGCGGTGGAGAGCCTAGCCTCGGAATGGGAATCATCCCCGGGCCATGATGACGCTGCCGCTTCCGCTACCGATACCGAGAATGCTGCCGCCGCCACCACCACAACCAAAAACACCAACACCGTGTCACATGCCGAGAATGATGCGGTCAAGGTCATCATTGCCGCATTGGGTTCGATCGAGAGCCTCGTTCTAGACCCGCACACTCGCCTGCTGAACCTGTCCATGTCCTATCTTATCGCTCGAGCCTTGCATGTCGCCGCCGAGCATGGTGTCGCCGAATTGCTTGCCCGCGCCGAGCAGGGCGGAGTCAGCGCTGTCCAGTTGGCCAAAGAGACTGGCATAGAAGAGGGGAAGCTCTGTATGTTTTTTTCTCAAGCATCTCCACGTGATGTAGTAGTGGCTCGCTGAACGATGGGCAAACTGCCATAGGTCGCGTCATGCGAACGTTGACGTCGCACCATGTCTTCCAGGAGATTGAGGAAGGCTGTTTTGCCAATAATCGCATCTCTCAGGCACTTGTCGGCGACGCTGCCTTTCAAGCAAACATTGTCATGAAGTAAGTTGTTTTCGCTCCGCGCTCTGCCAGATCAAGACTGGTAGAGGAGGAGGAAAGCCCAGCGAACAGCGGAGACGCTCGTCAGCCAGAAGGCGCCCAATCGTGTAGTACTCTTTTTGACCATTCCCAGAGGCCAGCTCCAGTATACCGCCAGCGACTTCCTCCCACAAGCTCTAGTAAACCCGGCAACTAGGGACAGTCACGACCCGAGGAAGACGGCCTTTCAGCAGGCTGTGGGCACGAAACTGTCTCTGTTCGAGTGGATGAACGAGTTGGTGCCCGAGTCCGAGGTGAATTGGCGGCCTCGAGCGGTGCGCAAACATCCATGCGAGGAGGATGATGATGATAATGGACCACTGAAATCCCATGTCTCCAGCCAGAAGATGGTCCCTCGCCCTGAAAAACAACTCTTCAATCTTGCAATCAGCGGCCAGGGCAAAGGGACCGAAAAATATTGCGTGCTGGACTTTCCTTGGCAGGACCTGCAGGATGGTGCAACGGTTGTGGACGTTGGTGGCGGGATTGGCAAGTCTTCAACTTTCCACACTCTGTGTCAATGTACCTGGGAGCGTCTTGGATTAACAATCTTCAGGTTCATTCTGCATGCAGCTCCACGCCTACCACCCTAATCTCAGCCTGATTGTCCAAGACCGAGAGCATGTGATCCAACAAGCAATCGCCGTGTGGGAGACCAAGCATCCGTCTGCCGTTGCTGACGGCCGAGTCACGTTAGCGCCGCATGATTTTTTCCAGAAAAACCCAGTAGTAGGTGCTGAGATATACTGGTTACGATATATTATGTAAGTAGCTCTGGACAATTTGGACATCCGTGGCTAATGCTTATCGCAAACGCAATCAGCCACGATTGGGCAGACAATGAAGCCATCGCCATCCTGTCGCGGGTCGCAGAATCAATGAGTCCAAGCTCCCGCATCCTGATCGCGGAGATCTTGATGAACACCACCTTACCTTCGAACAAGCTCAAGTCGGCCCCTGAGCCGCTGCTGGCGAATTACGGTGTGGCAATGGCTCCCGCACACATGATGGACTTGAATATGATGATGATGACGAATGGGAGGGAGAGGACCCCGGCTGAATTTGAGCGTATTGTGCAAGCAGCTGGGTTGGTGATGGACAAGATCTGGGAGTGCCGGGGTCCCTTGAGCATCATTGAGTGTCGTTTAGCCTGATTGCACGAGCATGGTCAAGTTGTAACGGTATGTCAGCCTGAAGCTTGTACAAGATCATGATTGAGACGGTCCCAGAGTATTTGCACCATATTGTGGCGGGGTCAACTAGACATAAGACGGCGGTGGCTCCCTTTCCAGTCGGAATGAAGGGGAACCTTGCTGTCAGCTCAAGTTGAAGACTTAGGCCAGGTACCGCACTAGTGCCACTGCCCTTGTTAGTTTGTTCGGCTGGCGATGCTTCTCTCTCTTCTCTGGGAGGGCTGGAATATGTAGCTCTTCCGTATTGGTGAGAGAGAGCTGGATGCGTTGAGTCTTCCATTGATGTGTATCGATGTGTACAAGGCGGTATCTCGAGAGAAGGATGGCAGATAAAAGTCCGTGCTATTATGCTTCTGAGAGGAATGGTAAGTCCAGTCACACGGGCCTTGGGACTCTGGGATCTGGAAAAGTCGATTATCGAGGATCTTCTCCGATTGAGAGGACTCCGTTATGTTAGAAGGGGGAGGGGCGTTGTTGGGAAAATTGACTTCTCAACAACCACACACCTATCCAAGAAACCTTCGAGTTGAAGTAGAAGGTGGGTTGCTTTTTCACATGAACCCGTCATCTTGAACCATACCCTTATTTTAGTTTCAAACATTCAAATCCACAGGCTCGCCCTTCTTCAACGGGCCAAAGCATTTCTTCCACAACTCATTCTCCTCGCCCAGGAAATAGTGCAGATCGAGTTGGTGCATGCCGGCCTCATCGTCAGCCATGCCTTCCAGCTGCGAAATGACATTTCCGAGCCCAAAAGCCTTGCCTACACTCTGCGTCGTGCCGGCCTCCAGCATGACATGCACCACGTGGACGTGAAGATGGTAGTACGTGGGCTGGTAGTGAAGGTAGCACTTGACCTCGTCAGCGTCGATCTGACCCTGACCGACGTTTGCAATGGCAGCGGCGACGATCTGCTCGCGCATAGTCTTGAGCCAGGGGACGTGCTTCCTCCTCAGGTCTCTCAGGGACCAGATGTCGCGCCTCTGCACGAGCGCGAGCAGGTGCATCCCCTCGACGGTTTTGCGGTCCCAGTTCAAATCCGGCAGCAGCAGAAAACCCGTCTTGGACGGAGAGTCCCAATCGACGCGTGCCAGGACGTCTTCTTGCTCTGTGCGCCCTTCAAGGATGTTGAACACCCAGTCGAGCCGCCCCGCGGCGCGTTGGCGCGCCATGTACGGTTGGATGTGCGTCGCGTAGATGTGCGGCGTCTCGGTGACCATGCGCACTCTCTGGGCCGAGTATTTCCGCACATGCTGTGACGAGCATGGGTAGATCAGGTTGAGTTTGAAGTCTGGGATGATCGGGGGTAACCGGGTCGCTGGTGATGATGGTGATATTGACGAGGCGCTGGTGGAAGATGGAGATGATTCAGTTGACCGGTTTGCCATGTACCACCGATAAATGTCGTTGGCGCCGAGGTTGGTGGTGTTGATAAGAGATTTCAGGAGGCTTGACACGAGGTCTGGCTCCGTGGGGAATGCTGCTCGTTCGAGAGTGATGAGCGCCGGCAGCTCAGCAATGCTGCCGAGCAGAGAGATCCGTCGCCCATTTTGGTCTAGACCTCACGATCTCGCGTCAGAGTTGGGGTTGTGGCCAAGTGGAAAAGCAAGCAACTTATTCAGAAGTATACAAATCGACAGCGCCTGCGTCGTCGGATGCGTAATGAAAGCGGTCGTATCTCTCACCTTGATTGAGCACCCTCTCGAGCTTGAACCGAGGCACAAGTGCTTCGGCCTCAGCCTTGGTTTCCGGCTGCGGTGTAGACATGATACATCATCTGGAGAAAGGAGATTCAACTTCTGAATATCGCACTCGAAAGAAAAGTGTGTTATCCACTGCTAAATCTTGAGTGGGTATGGCGCCCCAAAAGCCTCGGACTCGGTGGAACTCTTGTGCCCTTGGAAAGCACGCAAGGCTTCCAGTTCAAGACCTCGACTGCAGCGGTATGCACTGTCGAAGTGATTCGAGAGTCCAAAGGCCGGGACCACACACGTACCTGGGTCAACGGTCGTCGCAGACGGTTCGGCTGGGGACAAGATGAAAAACGCTCCAGGCGGTGTGATGCCAAGCAACAGACCGGCGACCCCTGGATGAAGTTCGCCGACGCCGGATGACGTCGGCAACGAGGCTGACTTCTCCGTGGTCTTGGCGAAGGGCTGAAGTCGGCGAGGCTGAGAACAGTATCAAGGTCTGTGTTTAATCTGCGAGAGAGAGATGCGCATCGAGGGAGGATAAGACCTCTTACAGTTTCCTCTACTTCTCGGAGGATCCGACACTGGTCGGATCTTCATGGCTTCTTTCAACTAAATCAATTTTCTTGTCAGATTCTAAGAGTTCTCTGTGCGTGATGCCTCTTTAAATCTCTATGACCGAGAAAGATTTTTTTTACACGCCTGCTCGAGCTCTATTATGGTCATGTAAGAGGCCCTTTAGGATCACATCTATGTAATTTTTCCAACAACTTTCTGCGTTCTGCCCAACAAACCCCCGTCATAAATGGACAGGGAATTTTCTCCTGATTTTACCGCCATGCCTAACAACAAATTAGTGCAAAGAGCCCTCACAGGGTATGCCCGATATATCATACCTGTAAAATACCATGGGAATGGGAATCATGGCCAAGGCCAAAAGGCCCAATAGAGTATTGCCCCAGCCCAAGCCCAAGCTCTGATAGAGCGGTGGCCCAGCAAGGGGCAAGAATGCCGCGAAGAGCGAACGCATGATTGTTGGGGCAGCAACAGCGGAGGCTGCATGAAGCGGGAAAGCGTCGACCATATAGGTCTGCAATGGAAGGAAGAGCCCGAGCATGCCAATACCGAAAGGCACGGTGCCCACAATAGCCGAGACCCTGGTCGGGCAGGGTGAGTCAGTCTTGGTCCAGTCTGGGCCTCTTCGATGCTGGGAAAACACTGACCAATGAGCGCGTTTGTCTGTTACCCAGCCATACCATATCAGAGACATCGGCAGCATGATTCCGCAGTACGTTGTCGTGGCCAGTCGCATTTCAGCTGAAAAGCGTCAGTTTGACACGGAAAGTACGTGCGGAAGGGCGATATCCTCACGCTCGAAGACCCCATTGTTCTTCTTCATAAGCTTGACGACTTGTGCGTCGTTGTACTTGATCAAAGCAAATAAAGAAATCTGATGAGGCGGTGCGGTTAGAAAGATGTCTCGAGAAGGGGTCAAGCTGGCAATGCGCACAAATGTCCCTATTCCGACTGCGTGGATGGTCAGCTATCAGATCGTGACCACTAGTATGGAACGCAGGGTGAAGACTCACGGCCAAGGTATGAGAGGCCGGTGAGCTGGAGAGACCAGCCGTACGCGTCTTCAAAAACGGTTGGGAGTGTGGTGAACATTAGATCTGCATCGTGATCAGTCCAAGAACAAGCATTTTGTCAATCACGGTGGAAAGTAAGAGCGCTCACACAGCAAGGCATAGGCAGTCGCAACATAGATGCTGATGAATAAGACAATTGGGGATTTGGCCAGCAGCTAAGGTCAAAATCAGCCAGCATTCCGATCGTCTTCTTGTCAAGACTTAACTTCAGTGGCCTGACCAAGCTGACTTTCAACAGTTCATGAGCAGACATGCGGTGTTGAACTGCTGACACCAGCTCAGATCTCCCAAGCGTCTTCCTCATCTTTCGTACTTTTCGCTCCAGAAGGACGACTGCGTTGGATTCCTGCATGAACAGCGTGATGACTGCGGTGGTAGATCCAGCACAAAGCACCAGGATCCAGTATGACTGGGGTCGATATTAGCGAGAATGTTTCCCAATCTTCAACAAATGGCCAGGAATGGCGTACCCATCGCCAACTCAGGTATTCCGTGATAAACCCTCCACAAATTGGTCCCACTGCGACTTTGCGTCAGTCTTTGAAACAATACAGGTCTAAGTATTACCGCCCACCTATAGGACCGAGAGATTGGCTTCCCACAATGATGGCCGAACCAAAAGCTCGTCTTTCGACGGGATAGAGATCTCCCACGACGGCGGGCGAGATGGTGATGATGGCTGATCCACCGACTCCAGCCAGAAACCGCATCACGATGAGACTCGGCATGTCGGGCGCGAAGCTACATCCCAGGAGCCAGGCCATGAATATCCAGGACGATATCATGACCACTGGATATCGACCGTAGATCTCAGAGAGAGGCGCCAGAAACAACGGACCGATGGCATAACCGAGGACGTAGATGGTGATCATGAGAGATCCAAGTACTTGAGACGACTCGTGTAAGTCCTTCATCGTACTTTCTATACCTGGAGCACATAATGAGGATGCCATGGGGCTTGGGGCTCAAGTCAGCAACCCATTTGGCGATTGTCCAGCCCGCTATTCCGTGTGTCCCAAGAAACGCACCTGATTGTCGCCATGGTGGCCATCTGCAACATCAAAAAGTCTCGTTTCTTCCTGTTCCAATTTCTGAAAGTGGTAGGTTAACAAATGAATCCCAACGGCCATCAGAGGTATAGGCCTCGCTCACTTCGGGTTAGCAGGGTCGTCTACTGCATCCCAGCCAACGATGTCTCTCTCCAAATCCATCAACGGTACCGAATTGTGTGCTAACGGCCTCCCTGCCACGGGTACCTCGACCGCCTTCTCCTGTAAGTCGACAGTGCCATCTGGGGCAACCACCCCGAGAGCTTGTTGATCGTAGCATTCGGATTGGGAGACTTCTGGAACGCCGTCTGTCTTGGTCATCGTGTCTGGTCTAAGGAGACAAGAGACAAGAAACCTACACACCTTGGAAGGAAAAGTCACATCGACTCGTATCCCGAGTCATGCAATTTGTCCATTCTACCTTGGGCTGGTGCAGTCGACCTAAAAAAAGGCAGAGTCAGGTATTTCCCCCCATCGACAGCCCTCGGTACCTGCCCACAGTCGTGATTGGTAGAGATGTTGAAGTCTCAAAATTAAGCCTCGGCTGTGGTGCCGATTCTCCGGATGTGGATGCTTACCATCTGAGAATAGGGGAGGCAACGCCGTGTTAATTCTGTTTGTGTCGGTCGATTAAAGCTCTAAGTGTTCCAGTCTAAGGTAGAAGACAGGATATGGATAAGGAAAGGCGTAAGAGAAGGGAAGAAACTCGTTGACATTCCATCATGTGAACACGACTGTCTTGTTACGGAACAGACCCCGGGTAGGGCCAGGGTACGCTGCGAACGAAGGAAGGTCAACCGAACATACAGCCTCGATGGCAAGGCTGAGGAAAGTCACGGTACTACCCAATTAGGAAACATCCAATGTTGACAATGTTGCACATGCCAACATTGCACCACATTGCAGAATATCCATTGCCTGTTCTGGCACACAGGGAAAAGTATATAGTCGTCACTCTCTCCATAGCTTTTCTCTGTAGTCAACTTCGCTCACAAATAATCGAGTTCCTCTCGGTTAAACGCTTTACGTATAGGTCGCATGCTCTACTCTTGGTTTCCAGTCTCAGCTACGACAGTCCCACTGATATTTCACCAAGTAAACCACCTCGGGTTTGCTCGTTGACACCTCACGTGTTGTAAAGCGGCTTGTAACACTTTTGACTACCTTCTTGGATAGTTAGGGGAGTCCTGCCTTCTTGGATAGTTATGCGGATGGAAGGCTGACAGGGAGTGACGTCTAGGGGTAAGTAGGAGTTGGCAACATTGGTTAACAAAGACTTCTTTCCACCGCTTCTACTGGGTGACGCTATACTAGTCAAAGAGAGAGGTCAAAGAAAGTTATCCACTCTCTGTGACTACTTGTGACCCCATTAGTAAAGCTTAAAAATGGGTTATTAGTCGCTTTCTCCGCATTTCCCCACATTTTCAACACACCTCACTTTTGTATATCAAACCCGAAAAATCTCCTAAAATTGGACAAAATGAAGTCGCCGACGACGATACAGTCTTCCGGCGACAATTCGGCCTTCATGGCGCAGGGGTAACGGTATAAATGCAATCTATCAGTTCTCACGGTCTGAAAACTGACTTTTGTATTTAGCGTCGCACTTGTAATGCGCAAACGCAATACATGCGAAGATCACAAGTTCGAATCTTGTTGGAGGCATATAACATTTTTGGTGTTTTTCCTATCAGATAAGGCCCTCTTCAGCTAAGCTTTTGGCCTTTTTTTTCATCAGAAAGGCCAAGGCCTGGGTCTCAGAAACCTGCGGACATGACCGACAAGCTGACTGGGGTACATCTCCTAGAAGGGTCGGAACAAACTTTTGGCTAACTGACAAAGCTGTGCAGGCACCACCACGGACGTTCAGCTCAGGACAAATCCCAGATGTGCTTCAATTTGTCTATTTTGTCAAGAGACGCTAGCATCATCAACGCTTATGATCAGCCCGAATTGCCTCCTCTTGGCTAGAATTGTGCGTAGTTGTAATTCCAGTGCTGTAGAAGTTCGTAGAGAGCACCAGTATCTGGAGCGGACCAGTGTAGTTCGTTCCAAGTGTGGACTATTGGGGTTCATCAGCCTCAACACCCTACACAAGCTGATATGAGGGCAGGGCCTATGAGGTTTGCTAGATTCGTTCTTTTCGCTCGTAGCAGAATCACCTTTCCACATACCAGGTAGACAGCGGCAGAAGTCTGCAATCACCGTCCAACAGCCCGAACGAGGTGACAGGATCGATTCCACCAATTTTCCAGCCTTCTCTATCAAGACCTCCATACTTTTCAAATCAAAATAGCAATTCGAGTATTCAACCCATAGACAATCAGGCTTGAGACCAGCCTCCAACCAAAATCCGGACGATTTCTTTCGCTGTCTTGGCATTCGATGGGGGAGTAATGTCCTGTGCAGTCCTCGAATCCTGCGCGCCCCTTGAAAGGCTTTTGGATCGGAATATCCTAGATTGCGAAGGTGAGCCTCGGACTGAATATTTAGTGATATTATGAAATAGGTTTAGTGTATACCAAGTTTTTGACTATAGTCACTAGTCAGTCAGTCAGAGGCTGTGACTATAGTCAATAGTCAGTTGACTAGTGGTTGACTGACTAGTTGACAACGCCGGTAGAAAGCCGACTGAAAGAAATCCCTGGTGCCGAGCCAATTTTTGGAGCCAGATCACTTCTGTGGGAGTTTAAATCTCAAAGCGGCTACTCACTACAACTGTAAAAGCAGCTCCTCAGGCGGCTAGATCTGACCTATACCTCGCCGACTTCACCCAGCTTGGGTTCTAGATCTATATCTACACGCCCGTGTAGACCGATATAGTCTCTCCAAAGGGGCTCAAGGGGCTCCAACAGTGCCTCAGATGCAAAGAACTCCTGCAATATGTCCTTCACTCCCGTCCAAGGGCGTAACTCAGGATACTTTTTGACCAATTGGAGCGACAGCGAAGTCCCCGAGCTGGACCTTGTCCTATTTGCAACGGTCCAGGATGCGATGAGAACCAGCCACATCCACATAAGGCACTTTGTTTCGTCTGGAGAACTGCCGGAGAACAAGGTGAGCTCCTTCGTCAAAAGCGACCGAGGGATGCCAAAAACCAAATGGCATGCTTCCAGAAGAGTTCTCTTCGGACTGAAAGTGATGCTGGAATATAACAACAAGGAGAAGCTCAAATATCTCTCCAGGTTCGGTCCAGGTATGCGAAGTGAGGGACAGGCTTCATCAAAGTCATTGTGTCGTCTAGGACGTGCAGAAGATTTATCGGTCAGGCCTAGCTTTTGGTAGTGTGCAATCCTCTCGAGGAGAATGATCATATCCATCGAGAAGATTCCATTTTGGGCAAGTCGCTGGAAGCCTGGCGGGATCCTGTCAATGATCTTTCGAATCTCGGCCGTGAAGGGTGGCTTGGGACAGAACACGATACGGGCAGTCTTGTGCTCGGCGAACATAGGATCTCCATGTAGCCGGCTCCACCAGGTCTCAAACCTGGAACACAGTAAGCAATTCGCCCGCGGATAATGCATAGGGACGTACTGTTTCACGCTTGACCTGACCGACATATCTCGGTTCAGCTTGTCAAGACCGCCCCTTGACTGCACCATATCTCTAATCGCCCTTCGATGCATTCGGAATGCAGCCATATCTTTGAATACCATCTTTGAATGTAAGCACTGATATCAAGAAGTTGGAACCAGGATCAAGACATACAGCTAGATGCGTCAGGAATAAGACTATTATGATGGTTGCATCATCGTTGCAGTAATTGTGTCTTGCGATTCGCTCCCGTAGCTTCGAAATGGCGATCTGGACGAATCGCAGAACTTCTTCGGAAAGCCCGCTCTGTGAGGAAGAAGACAAGAATGTGCCTCTTACGACCTGCATTGCAGCTACACCTGCGTGAAGGGCATCTTCATCTTGCATTTGTCTGTAGTAGTTCTGTTCGCGTCAGTGAGTACATGTCACTATGTTTCGAGTTCATTCAAACGGCCATGTTGGTGGTTGGGGCGGGAAAGCCTGACTCATTGGGACATTGAAAGTCCCTGGCAGACAAGGTATTTTCATCCCTTCCGGCGTTTTTGAGATAGTATTTCATGCTATGGTGACCACAATATCGAAAACGAGGCAAAGCAGAAGTTGACTCACATTTCCGAGTATGTTGACAACGTCGAAGACCTGAGATATCGGAGCGTAGTTGGCATCGACCGCTTCGAGATCTGCACGAGAGCACCGGTGAGTACAACAAATACACAACGTGGGCGATTGACCTACAGAATTCGTTGGCCGCAGCAAACCCTTGAGAATGCCGATGCAGGATTCCCGGTAGGGAGTCTATCGTTGTGGATGGTGATGCCTCCAGGAAGGTTCGAAACCTTTTGTCGTCATTGAGTTTTAGAGTGGAATCCCTTTCCTCCATTATTGCGTGTCTGTGACTTGTGGCATCAATTCGTTTTCTGGTGATGGGTCCTGATCGCTTCTCGGCCAGGATTTGATTCTCGGTAGGGACTGCAGCATCATCATAAGTCACAAGGCTGCAAAAAGATATCAGACTAAGTAAGTCAAATTGAAGACTCACAATTGATGAAGCTGAGCGAAGAGGCTTCCTCATCTGACTCCAATGGGGTCTCTTCTGCTCTCTTTTCTTGGGTCTCTTGAGAAGATCCATGTTTGTCGCCCAGACAGCCCCGTCGTCCTATCCAATATGCTCTGGTAGACACATATGACTTGACCTGGTTGCGGTGTTGTCTGTCTTGGAACTGGGAAGGATGGGTATAGCAGACGAACACTCGACGATAGGGCATCGTGTAAGTCTGCCGACCACTTTCTTCAACTGTCCTTTGCTGACTGATTTGACACCATAAGCGAGGAAGACCCAGAGTCCATATGTACAAGTGAGTAATGGAGATGAGCAGATCATGATGACCTCAATTATTAGTCAAGCAACGAGACAAACGTGGAGATAGGATCCCCTGTACCCGGTGGCGGCTGCAGGGCACAACAGCCCCTAGGTCTCTAGGTGCGGGACGGGATCGTTGAAGATACTCCTCCTGGTGGGACCAATTCAGTCTGTGGACGCGCCAACCAAGCCCAAGGTGAAGATGGAGGGTGTCCCGGTTAGCGGGACTTGTTCTGCGCCTCCAGCTTGTCATGCGTTGTGACTTTTGCTGATGTGTTCGTGATTTGCTGAAGCGAGACATCTCTGATGAGTCTGGCGGGGAGATTCAGCGGTCTTGACGCTCGCCAGCTGCGGACCCCAACCTCGTGTGCTAGTCCTGACCAAGCAGTAAATTTTTCAGCAATCGAGAGGCCTCGCTTAGCTAGCAGCCTCGTCAGGTATTGTCACATCCACATGCCACTTTAACGATCCCACCGCACCGCATGTCCAGGATACGCCGGGCCAGGTAGTCCTCCACCCAGACATGATGTCTCTGTTTAGTAAGTGATCGGTAGAGTCTGCCCTTGAACGCCACCCGCGTGTACGGCCGTTGGTGGTGCACCCATGAACGGGCAGGTTCTATTGATCCCGTGCCTGCATGGTGTGAGTAGTCCTTTAATCGCCACCCTAGTCTCTCAAAGAAATACGGAGGTAATTCGCGGATTACGAGACGAAGCCAGCTCCGACCCTGGGTACAAACACCACTTTGAGCCTAATGACTCGCCGCAGCCTGGGGCTAGATGGTCTATGGGTCACTCGTCGCCTCGATTACCACCCCAAGGATAGGATCACCGAAACAAACAACATAAACAACATAATTTTAAAAGATTGAGAGATTGCAGCTTCGAAGCATGAAACTCCTTCGCTCAGCGTCGATATGCGCCCGAGTAAGGCGACATCGACACAAGCCGTCCCCTCGTCATATGGATAACCTCAACCTCGTCAACGAGAGCGGGCTTCTCGGTTTTGACGAAACATGCACCCCCGAGCTTCCTAGCTGGAACGAGGTATATATGTTCTTGGAGCTCCTTCATACGGGGAAAGCTGACCCTTCTTAGAAAACGGCCATAGTGCTTCCTCTTGCCTCTGAAACGTCGTCTTTGGTCGCCTTGACACCACCATATTTCTTTCCTCGGAGTGAAAGTCTCTCGATATCAACAGCACAAGAAGATCGTACGCTTAGTGACGTGCATCTTGTGGTGGTGGACCAGCATGGCAGGGAATGTGAAGTGGTTCAGACTCGAAGCGAGGTATGTGTCATTAAACAGACGGCGGCGAGGAAGACCTGCTGAAAAGTCACCAAGCGGCGACGCGCACAAAACAGAAAAGCTCAGCGAGCATATCGAGCACGCAAAGAAGCTCAGCTGAAGGCTGCATCATCGACCTTGGCTGCGAATAACTCACAGCTGCGGACTCTAGCCCACCACAACCGCGAGCTCCTCGACACGATCAAGCGACTCAAGGCCATAATTCTCCAGCTAGAGACGGAGAATCAGCTCCTCAAAGAGGTACAAAGCCCAAATGTCAACGAAATGGATGATCAGAGCGGGTGGATGCTGGACGGCCCGAGTTTCATGTCACCCACTCCCTCAGAGCTGTATTGGCGTGCGGAAGATACATCTGATACCTCATGATCAATGGGGACTTATGGCGCATCGATACCCAGAGTTGCGATCCAAGCACGTAAAGGGCTGAGGTTTGAGCTTCACCGAGAACCACGAAAATGATCCCTGGGAGCGAGAAGTTCCGTCGCATACTGTTGAAGGGCTGCAATTGTGTGTAGCCGCTGTTTTCAGGGCCCCGGAGTTCAGCTTATGACTGGTGCGAGTCGGGGTAATCCACAGAGCAATCCCCAGGCATTTCAGAAGCTCGATCGCGCCTCAGGTGATATCAGTGTAATATATACATCGTATGGCAACATTAGCTTCGCTTAACTCAACAGATGCGTGTCTGTCGCGGTCTGCCACAGCACGTACCATCCGTGAACTACTTCTGTGGCAGCCTAGCGGGCAGTCTCTTGCTGCGTTAGCGAGCTCGTCTCCCGCTCGCTGTACGAAAAAAAGTCTTTCCTAGCCAAGCCCAGCGAAAGGTATGTACTTGTAAAAGCCATGTCCAGGCAGCTAACAGTTGCTTTTGCCGTTCAATGGCGAGGAAACTTTCCAGAGGCCAGCCTGAACACCCAGAGTACCTAGGTATGGTTGTGGGGTTATGCTCCGCCAAACCTTCAAGCCGCCAGCGCTACACTGAAAAGCGATAGTGCCGCTTCCTCATCTGGAAGCCGAAGAGGTATCTGATTGGCCGTGAATAGCGCAGCGGGACGCTTAGTACTTCTCCCTCGCCAGGCCGGAGGGCCGGAGGCAAAAAAGGCTGGTCGTGAAGGCTGGCTGACTTCGCCGAAGGCGAGCGCTTAGTAACTCCCACCGGACTCGTAAAGTAGGCAATCAAACACGAAGCCAACGGTTATCTGGCATGCTAACGGCGAATAGTGCGGTATTGATCGTGAAGCCGGTTGGTCGAGGGAGGCCCCTGGCTGCATGCCTAAATATTGCTTCTCATGAACCTCTCCCTGTCTTGGGCACGTTCGGGTATTCGGATAATGTGAATTGAACAAGGATCTAATAATTGACGAAGCTGTTTGACCAATCTGTGTGACCTGGAAGTATGTCGTGGGATGAAGGCATTGTCGCTGCCCTAAAACGGCTATTTGTGGCTTGCATGAATTATTATCTAAGGTTGTGCCATCTGGCGTTCCAGTCGATGATCCATTCAACGCTTGCATTGGCCTTATTTGTAAGCATTCGATTGTTTGATGGGTGACAGCCTGGTCCGCGTTTCAGACGACTCTTCCAACCTGTGCTGTCTATAACCACGGGACGTGATACCAACAGGAAGAAGCCATGATGCGAGTCAGCGCAGGCAAGCTCGAAAGCCGCATTGAATCTCCTTTGAGGAAATGCCTTGTTGATTTGTTCGCTCCCACGTGTATTTTTCAAGGTTGTTCAGCAGCCCCACGCGCCGCCCATGTGCTGGGCCTATTTCGACTCTTCCAGGCCCGGCCACGACTGTGGTAGCAATGGTTTTTGTCACCCATGAGCTTCGCTTGAGAGATCAGGGTCTTCAAAGGTCAGCTCGTGGCATGGATGACACTCCCCACATGAAGACCGCGCCTTATCACTAACGACGTCGACGACGTGCAGCAACAAGAGGCTTTCGTCTACTGCGTAGCCTCCCAAGCCGCCATATAGCACGAATGACAAAGTCCAGACCCTGGCTACCTAGGTAGGCAGGTGGTGTCGGATCCAGATTGCTCCTCACACCAGGAATTCGTACCTTTTCAGTTGGTGGGCGAAAGTATGAATGTTGGCCAAAAGGCGAGAGGGAAAACAGACTTTTGGTCCAGAGGTGGCAGATCTGCAAGCCGCCCGTGTCATTGAAATCGAGTGTCGTCATGAGTGGTCTGCGCTTTTGTTCCCCTTCTTCACCGTCCAACCACTTCCGACCACTGCAGGAATGATCATTTCTGCTCTTCACTGCAATCATGCCGAAGACGTCGCTCGAAAGCCTAGCCCCTCCAAGTCGCCCTTTGGATGCGCCGGCTTTGAATGATCTGCAATTGCGATATTCATATGAAATTGCACGAGGAGAGATGGGCGTCTTGTCGTTTGAACCGTACAAAAGTCTCATCTTGCCTTACTGGGCTTTTCGCACTGTTCCGCTTGCACAGAAATCAGCCGAGGTCTTGTGGTCCATCTTCGAATCGTACGTGGAACGTGGGGATTTGGTCGGGGCGGACATGACTCGCAAATTCATCCAGATGGGGATGACGCGCGCCCGTCGATACGCCAATCATAAAGGCGGTCGCAAATATGCCGCCGACGGGAAGCAGCTGGCGAAATGGACCGAAGACGACGTGGATGGGAAGAGGAAGGAGAAAGAAGAGGCTAGCGAAATCTTCAAGGGTTACTGGAGACGCTGCATCGGTTCGGAGGAATACATTCGATTGAAGAATGAATGGTCGAGAGCCAAACAACAGTATCTGAAGGTTCATCGCAGCTAGGGCGACGAGACTCGCGTTGTCGTACGTGTGTCTCGATCATCTTCCCTTTTTTCATTCTCGGTGTCGGTCTGCCGAGTGGGCTTCGTGGAAGTGCCGTGGATCGCCTCGGCGAAGGCAATCCATTCTTCAATGCCTTTCACAAAGGTGTCTTCGTTCGTTGGCACGGCGTCATGACCCCAGACTATAACATCCTCGAAGGTCGATAATTCTTCGAGTAGCATGACCGGCTCGGGAGGCTCGTCTTCGTCTTCTTCATCGGCGATCTCAATGTCTTCATCCACAGCGGTATATGTAGGGCCACTCTGCATTCTGCATGGTTGTGGGAGGAATCGGTCTGTTGTCTTTGCGACGACGCCTGCGAACATATCAATGTCGGCCTTCCTGGGGGACTCTCTAGGGACATTCTCACCTCGGTACCCGGCAGGTACCTTTATGGAATTGCCTCGCAACCGGCGACCTCGAAAGTAGGACGTTGCCGTACCGTCTTCCAGGACAAATGTCAGCATATCCTTGCGATACGTAGAAACAGAGGCTGAGAAGTACCTTTCTCCGCTTGCGGCGACCAATATCTCTTCGTCACTTTGGTTGGCCCATTGTGGTGGATGCGGCAAGGGAGGATGTTGACGACACATTTATCTTCAACATTTCCGGAGCGTTGTAGGGCAAGCATTTCGAGAATCCTTGGAGAATATCAACGTACAAAGTCTTAGCGGTTGTCGTGGTGAGGTGTTGAATTGGAAGGCTTGGTTTTCTCAAGCCTGAGATCTGAAACGCGTCTTGGTTGTTCGAGCGACGCGTCGAAGGACCCGTCGAGCCCGTTCAATTAACTGGATAAACCTCGGGCAAATATCCACAATGTCTATTGCCCCACGATTCCAACGCAAAGGCATAACGCATGATCTTATGGATGCTTGGAGAGTTCAGCCATGAATCCTTGATGCAGCACCAAGTGTGCGTGCAACATATCAACCTACAATACATACACATGATTAGGCCGTCGCTGGACAATCGCACTACGGCCTGGGCGTTCTCAGTAGAAGCGTCATGTCCAGTGATGTACAAGGCCCGTCCGTCATTTGAGCAGCCTACCGTCACATTCGGCTTTCCTAGAGACACTCTTGAAGATAGCTTATCTCCCAAACGCCGAGCAAAAGGCGGCCCAGGACGTGCAGACTGTGGGTGCTAGACAGGGTGTTTGGCCATGAAATTCAAAACCAGGGACTATGCCCCGAAGAGTGGCACTAGCTAGGGCAGCTTTGCCATCACTGTTCATGAGACCGCCTGCTGTATCAGGAAGAGGTAGGGGACTCTGCTCTATGCCCAGTCGCTGGGCGCTGATTTGAGGAGTTCTCCGGCATCTTCCCGTTCATCGTGAGAACGCATTTGACACGAAAGCATGGGACGATGCGACCATGACGGCAGCACCGAGGCACCATAAGTTAGAGGACATACCAACCCGCTGTTCATAACCCCAGCAGGGACAGCTCGACGCCTGGCTCAGATAAGTCGCTGCCCTGGTCAACGCGGTTAACGCTTTCTCTTCTTCTTTTTCTTATGTTTGCGAGGTGTCTTCTGCTCTTCAGCATCCTGTTGCCTTTCCACAGGAGGCTGTGCCGGCCATCGCTTAGAATGTTCTCGGTCGAAAGCAGGTTTGTCTTTCCGGAACAGTAGTATGCAGGCCCGAGCATCTTCTACACTTGAATGTTCCCCTTGCTGTATCTCGAAACCTAACAGTTCTGACGCAAGGATTTTCAATCGCGGTGATCCACCTCCTGCTATTTTTCGATACGGTGGATGGCGAGCAGTATCCCGGATATCTCGTTGAGGGTGGCTAATCATCAATGCTTCTAGGTCATGCCGTATGGAGTGTCCAATTATAACTCTGTCTTTGAGGATCTTTGCCACTTCCACTTGAACCTCCTTGAAGTGTCTTGCGGATTTCAAGTGATGGTGTGATATCCCGCTGATATGGGTTCGGTAGTCTGTGACGGCCTCAAGTGGAAGCACATAGGAATCGTAGACTTGGTCGCCATTGTAATTGACGATACTGACACGAGCGAGCGCGGATTCTCTTTCTGGGTTCGGTCCAACGCCGACCATCTCGCAATCGAGGGCGACGTACCTGCCAATTTCTACCCTAAAAGCGGGTCAGGAGAGCGCACTGAAAGGGACATGTCAAACATACTCAGGAGACAACCCAGCGTTGACCTTCTGCGGTGGTGGGCGAGCAGCAAGACGTGGACGAGGAAGGTTGTCGCAATTTTCTACTTCTTGGATCGAGGGTGGTTTGGTAGGACTGTCGCCATTGAGAGCCATAACCCTGTGGCTGCGTGATCTCTTCCTGGCCTTTGGGGTCTCTGCGGAAATCTTGGGCGCGATGTGCTGCACGACTTCCCTCTTGCGTTTCACGCCATGCTTTGACGGCTTTGCGAGGGTGCTCTCAGCCTTGGTGTCTAGGGTCGCTTGCAGTTTCTTCCAGTTTGCTGACAAGTTGCTGAGGTCCATTGCAGACCATCAGCTTGGGTTGAAAGGAAACATTGTTGGGAAGGTAGAGGAGAGACTCGGTGGAAGAGAATATTGCGGAGAATATGCGTGGAAAAGTATGAGGGAGCAATGTTATTCCGTTCCGGCCTACAACCATCTCTCACACTCCACTCACCCACCACCCAATATCACACTTCGAACAGCTTTCACCAGTCAACACCGAGCATCTAAGTGTCTGCTTCCTCATATTCCATTACGCAAGATATTTTCGTGATTTCGTAGCTCTATTGGAACTTGCATTTAGCGGGCGACTGGCGTTGACTTATTGAATGTGGTTTCATGAGCTCGTCATTGTCCCCGGACATTCTTTGAAAAGGTCGTCGACTTGCTCTGGCCTGGCGCCATAGACCCTGCTAAGAGACTTTGAACTGGCCTGTAATCCGCATTGAGGCGCTCTCTCAACGGTGATCAACGAAATGTCGGGCTCTACAGATATCAGCAATCTCTCCATGCTCGCATCTGCGCGGAAAGCGGCAGCAGCTGGAGAGATACCTCAGAAAGCACACTACTCCCCACCATGGGCGGACATGAGCATAATTGGGATAGCTGGATCTTCGGGCTCCGGCAAGACAAGTCTGGCGGTGGAGATCGTGCAGTCTTTGAATCTGCCCTGGGTCATCATCTTGTCTATTGACTCATTCTACAAGTCGTTAACGCCGGAGCAAAACGCCTTGGCACATCGAAATGAGTACGATCTCGACTCGCCAGAATCAATCGACTTTGATCTCCTGGTGGAGAAATTGATAGATCTCAAGCACGGGAAAAGAACCGACATACCGGTATACTCTTTCCAGCAACATCAGAGGTTGGACAAGACCGTCTCCATATACTCGCCGCACGTTGTGATCCTCGAAGGGATTCTGGCCTTGAACGATCCACGTGTGCTCGACCTCCTGGACATGAAGATCTTCGTCGAAGCAGATCCCGATCTCTGTCTGTCAAGGCGGATCGTGCGTGACGTGAGAGAGCGAGGTCGAACCATTGAAGGTGTCATCAAACAGTGGTTCAGATATGTTAAGCCCGTCTTCCAGAAATATGTTGATCCGCAAAGAGAGATTGCCGACCTGATTGTACCCCGAGGTATGCAGAACAAAATGGCCATCCAAATGATCGTCAACCAGACTAGACAAATCCTGAAGGAGAAGTCCATCAAGCACAACGCAGAGTTGGAAAAGCTGGGCCAGCAAGTTGAAGATTACACCCTCTCCGAGAACGTCATGGTCCTTGGCGAGACACCACAAGTTGTCGGCGTGTCAACGATCCTGCGAAACCCCATAACTGACCAGGTCGATTTCGTCTTCTACTTTGACAGACTGACAGCTCTTTTGATCGAGAAAGCTCTCGACTGCCACAACTATATCGCCACGGACATCACAACTGCGACAGACTGTAAATACTCTGGTCTCAAATCAGCCGGCAAAGTGTCTGCCGTGGTCATTCTTCGAGGCGGAAGCTGTATGGAGACAGGGCTCAAGCGAACAATTCCTGATTGCCTGACAGGTCGACTACTCATCCAATCCAACCTCCGTACCGGTGAACCAGAACTGCACTATCTCAAGCTATTCCCTGATCTGGCGCAACACGAAACAATCATGCTTCTGGACCCGCAGATGTCGAGTGGCGGAGCGGCGCTGATGGCCGTCAAGGTTTTGGTGGACCACGGGGTCGCTGAGCAAAGAATTGTCTTTGTGACGTGCATGGCTGGGCGACGGGGTCTCAAGAGGCTGATGACGGTGTTTCCCAAGATCAAGGTGGTGGTAGCCAGGATTGTCGAAGATAATGAGAAGAGGTGGATGGAGGAGAGATATTTTGGCTGCTAGTTGGGCTTTGTCACTTTGACTTGTCGCATCCAGTGGCCAAGGCTCGCAGACTTTGAGGGAGGAATCGCAGCTGATTGGCTGACTCGACCAAGACCCATGGTTCAAAGACTACTGGGGCTGCAAGGACGAACACATCCGATGGAACATGTACACCTACCAGGCGGTAACGTCGAAACCTTTGGGCTTGCAAGAACTTACAAGGCCGGACAACTTTGGTTGGGGTGGAGCCCTGATCATGCGCGATATTCGAGTCTCTCCCACCACGGATGATGAGGACCTTCAAGAACGTATATAAACCCCCGGGGTTTTCTGTTCTCAAACACTTTCTCAGCAAGGACCTCAACATATTAACAGTTTCAATATTCCAGACTTGGCTATCACCGCCTAAGACACAATCGGATGCCAGTACGAGCAATCATTATTGTGCAGCATCGACATCCCCACCTTTCGAATTTCATACTCTTCAAGTCCAAGGCTCGCATATTTCTGAGACGTCTTCAACCCCGCAACTAAGAACAGCTCACTTTCACCATGGTTGCGTTCACCAAGTTCGCTGCGGCCGCAGTGCTGATGACCTCCTTTGCTGCAGCTGCCCCGGTGAGGACACCCGACTCCCTCGATGCACGTGTCGAATGCATGTCTCTCGGCTGCACAACCCCGGATAAACCACACCGGTACGTGGGCGGCGCCGTGCACCTCAAGGGAAGTGATGTGTTTCCTCCGAGTAGCGACAAAGTTGAGGATCTTGCCAACTCCGATGCGGACAAGATACTGGTGAAGTTCAGCATCGTCGACAAGCCGCTTGAGGAGGAGGCGGCCCTGGACCAAGAAAGACAGGACCCTGAGCCTAGTAAGAGGGACCTCCAGGAGCATGTTGAGCAGGAGGGCGTGAATGAGGCGGAGGAGGCCAATTCCGATGCGGACAAGATACTGGTGAAGTTCAGCATCGTCAAGAAGCCGCTTGAGGTTGAAGCGGCCCTGGACCAAGAGAGACAGGACCCCGACCATGGCAAGAGAGACTTCCAGAAGCATCTTGAACAGGAGGGCGTGGATGAGGCGGAGGAGGCCGTGGGCGTGAAGAGTCAGGACCCCGACCATGGCAAGAGGGACCTGCGCGAGCAGGTTGAGCAAATCGGGGATATGCACTCCCGTCTTGACGATTTCCCCGCCCTCGACAAGCACGAAGAAGCCGCCCGTCCTGGCAGTGATCGCAGTCCGCTGGAGAAGGCGGAGGACAGACTGCTCAACGGTCTCGAGCATCTCACCCACGAGAAGCACGAATCAGCCCAGTGAGGCAGGGCAGTCTGACTTTGGCAGAGATCCTGGGGAGGATCAGACCTGAACGGCTTTGTTCAGAGGGGGTCATGGATACGCAGTGAGCAGGACGAGGGAGGGTGACAGGAGAGGCCGATCTAGATCTAGCGAGAATGTAGCGAATAGATCAGTGAGGAAAATGCTGCGCAGTGTCTTCTCTTCCGTATCCACCAGTAATTAATATGCACTAGACGTGAGCGGCTGAAAGAGGCACTCGACAGGGCACTGGGGAAGCTAAACTCCACCGTACAGCTCTCTACTGCGGAGCATTCAAGTTGCCTAGTGCATTATGAAGAACGCGACATCCATTGCATGCCTGCAGGCCGACCTTCTTCAATTCCACAACCACAAGCCACAAGCACTCTCACTCTCTCAACGTTCGAGTAACGATCACGGCTATCCCGATCCGAATCTACCTTTCATCCACTTCTAGAGTCTCCCTGCCTCAGAAACCTGTGACCTGCGCAGAAGAACATCGGACCGTCGCCCTTGTTTGAACCTCAACCATCTATCTATCTTTCACCCTGCGCCTTGCCGATCCATCATGGTGAGTTCTACTTCCTGGAAGAGACATACCTCGCAGTCCCAAAGCTGTGTAATCAGAGGGGATAGGCCTTATTTACATGAACCTATACTAACGCACCGGTATCTCTTTGTGCAGTCTCTCCGCGTCGCCCCTCCCGCAACGCACCCAAGCAGCACCTCCAACACCAGCTCTTCCAAACTCTCTTCCACTACAAGCAGCACCAAACCCAGCAAAGACACCCTCGACCGCGGCGCCCCCTCCGCGCCAGGACTCCACGACACCCTCCGCGCCTCTCTATACCCACCATCAGCGCCGTCGGCCGTGTCGTCGTCGCACCCGCTCGAATCCCGCCTCGCGAACTGGCAAGCCACACAGGAATCCACACGCCTGCAACTCCTGCGCCGGAACTTCGGGATCGCGGAACCCTTGCGCCGGGGCATGGAACTCAAGCTCGTGCGGGACGCGGACTCGTTCCGGCCCTCGGTGCTGGGTAAGGCCGCTGGTGTGCACGAGGACATTTTGACGGGCAGGGACGCGGAGATTTCCTGGGAGGATGTCTATGCGGGACAGGACGGGTTGAGGTTTGTTGCGGGCCAGGGGAGTGATGGGCAAGGCGTTGGGTGGATGGAGGAGATGGAGAGGAAGGTCGGGATGGGGAAGTGGTGAGGATCTTTGAATTCTGGCGTATTCGAGAAGAACGAGAATAAGAACAACGAAAAAGAATGGGAAGTCCGAAAAAGAGCCAGAGGCGTTTCTCGTCGGGCTGGCTTTCGATCCTTCTCCCTGATGGCAATACGGGAGCAATGCGCTGCGGTGCTAGCCAGGCAGCTAGCTAGCTATCCAACCGGGAATTGCATACATCCCTAGGGTATCTTTCTATCCTTGTGTAGGAACAGGTCGGTCGATAGGTGTGCGGCGTACGGCGAGGGCGCGACTACCCGCATGGAATACTCAAGAAAAGAAAAAGAGACTGTGCAAAGAGTCACAATCAAATTGCGAACATTATACCAGACTCAATCCTGGGAATCAAAAGACGCAAAAACATGTTGTATTTCTCGTGCCCGGCGCAATATGTACTCCATTGCAATGCTGCAAGATCCTGCCTGCCTGCCTGCCTGTGCCCCGGCCCAGAGCCTCAGCCTCGCCCATCAAATCCCCGGCTGCTACACCATTTGACGCATGACACCCCCATTGCCACCAACAGCCGATCATGCCCATCTATATACAGCAAAAGTCTCGACTTGCGTGCTGCGATGCAACTCGTCTCGCTAGCTTTCTCCTTCGTTCCTGCTTCCGTGATCCACGCGGCGTGTTTCTCCCCAAACGGCCTTGGAAGGCTCATCTGCGACTGCTCACAGATAGAAATAGTGGATTGAAATAAGGATCTGCGTCTCGGTCCTTGCGCAGTCCCAGTTCAAAGTAAAAAACATCCCAAAAACCCGTCGATTCCACCAACGCCATGCCATGAATTCGGGACAAAAAAAGTGTCTTCCACAAAAAGTCTCGATGAAGCTAAATGAGCCACCGTTGCTTTTGAGGAGCGCATAGATCCTTCCTGATCACTCTATTAGAAGGGACCAAAATGTCGTTCGCCGCATATTGACCGTGATTCAGGCGCGCTCGCTCCATTGACTCGTATTTAACCAATTCATGTTTGATAACGTAGCCTCTTCAAATGGTATTTGGGCCATAACATGTGTGGTGAATTGAGACAGAGATTACATAATGATGCATCGACAGCCAGGGCTTCGACCCTCACCCTCGCGGTGTGCTGAATAGGTGGATTTGCCACCTTTGGCGTCTTCTTCCTCAACGTAGTCTTGCGGCTTGATTGTCATGTGCAGCACATTCGGTGCATCGATTGAAAACTTGTAATCTGTTGTGCGCGCCCACAGAGGAGCGGAAGTCAGTTCTGAAGTGCACAGGCAACGGACTGAGATCGCGGGCTTCCGCCTCGCCTCGTGTGCATCGGGCTGTTTGCTCACCTTTTAGGGATGCCTTGTCATCCAACAGCTTGCCCATACTTATCAGCCGAATAGAAGTAGGACTGGACGGTTTTGTCTCCCATTCTTCCCGCCATTCGCGCAGAATCAGTTCCTTCAGCTTGTAGACACTTAGGTTGAACGGATCATTTTCCGGCACCTCGACATTGCGCTTGGCGAAATACTTATTGTCCAGCTTGAAGGGATGTCGTGCTCCAGAAGTCAGGAGCAGGGTCACCGTTAACGCCGGCCCTACAGCAGTAGTTGCTGATGCTTCATCTTTTGCGGGGGGAGCAGGCGATGCCTCGTCTGTGGAAGGGCCAATCGCGGTGGAAAATTGTCTTGATATCTTCTGCTGGGGTTCGGCGGCTGTAGTAGAAGGCGGAGGAGGATTCATCGATTGAACCATGGCGGTGTTTGTGTCGGTTCTTTGGGGGCCAAGCGAGGGCAGTGAAGGCTCGGGCGTAGCTGAGGACATGGTCTCTGGAGGAGATGAAGAGGTAGGATGAGCGTCGGAGGGGTTCGCAGGGTCCGAGGGAAGGTTCGACATGTCGACGGATGTGGTTGAGGAGAGGTCTTGTTGTTGCGCACGAGATTGCTGTTGCAACCGAGGACTATCTGGGGCTAGCGGGCTAGAGCCTAGAGGTCTGGATGGGTGCGCTGGAGTCGTGGGCAGCGCTGTCGTTGGAGGTTTCAGTCATCAACTCATCTGAGGCGCAAACAGAATCGCAAGACCCAACAGATGTTCCAACAGAGGACTGAGAAGATGGGATGTTCAACAAGTCAAGCGAGTAGTGACTAGAATGGGAAAACCATGCCAAGTTTGCTGGAGCGAAACAGGGTCAAGGATGGCCTTTCCGGGAGATCGAATTGGAGTGATGATGCGAGCTGAGAGACTCCGAATTGAGCCCGTGCACGCTTGTGCCGCAGAGGGTGTCGCAAGAATCACTCCTCGAGCAGGCGGGAGGGAAGCGGCCAGACCAACAATCGCCACGGAGCACGCAGCACACGGACCTGGACCTGGAACGGACGGGGTCCGGAGATATTCTGAAACTGAGACACAATGGTTGATGCACCTCCGACAACAGATCTGGAAGGTGGACTATGAGGTGCAGCACCGTCGTCTGCTTCTTTGGCCACGGGTAAAGAAGAGAAGAGAGGCGTAGCGAATGGTGGAGGATTGCAAAGGGAAGAACGGATTCCAGGCGATTAAGGGCAGAGGGACGAGGGTAGAGAGAGTGGGCGGCATTATCCGGGGGTGGCAAGCACCTTCGGGTAACGACCTAGGTATGGAGGTGCCTATTGGGTGCCTGTCAGATGCATCGCTAGGGGCAATAATGCGGGTAAGTTGGGGGCTAGTGAGCCTTCTCCCTGGGTACTCAGGCACTAGTAGTTAGGTCTCCCCTATAAGTCCTCAGTACCACTCTGTACCTGAAAAACCTTGGGCCTGAACGCTTGAAGCGAAGGAGCCGCCCCCGGCACTCTCCAGCCCCTCGCCTCGTCGCCCTCGCCCACCTCCCACGGCCTCCCACATTTGCTGTTCCGGCGCTCGCATAATCACCCGCAGTTGCAACCTCAACCCCGGACGGACACTTGCCTCGCGCACCATTTGTATCACTCTATCAGACCACCCACTCCGTCCTCTTTTGCCTTTTGGTTCCTGTGCCTCGATCCTGTCCCTATCGGCTATTTCCCAGAGGTACCGAGTACCTGTGGCGCGGTGCGGAATGACGACATGCCTCTGAGATCCGCTTACAGCAGTTCTACAACCACTCCCCATACCGCCCTGGGTCTTCGACTCGGACGCCCTCGTTGTCCTGCTTTACGCCCAATAACCTGACATGTCCGATTGTCGCTCCACTCGCATCCTGACTCTTCCACCCTTCCAGTCTGGCTTGTAGTGTCTTGACTGTATCGCCGTCGTTCTTCACCAGCAGAGAGACGGCATCATACCCTCCTGCACCCGGCGCAACCCCTCCCACCACTCCCGGCAAACTCGTGCAGAAATCCAACAACTCTGTAATCACTGGGGGCTCTATTGGCACTCTGGACTTGGCCGACATTTCCCTCACAAGACTTCGAACAGTCAGGATGATATCACTCAATGCTGTGAAATCGTGCTCGATTCCCTGGACCTCGACCAGCCGCCGCAATTCTTGGCACAGTTCCCCTTGACCTTGTTGTATCGCAGTCCACAGCAACGTCGACTCCTCGATGTTCTCCTTGCGCCATTGCAAGACCTTCTTCACCATCCCCGGTGTCTCCGACCCACAGTCCACATCGCACATGACCAGTGAGAGGCTCTCTGGAATTTGCACTGCACGACTCGCAATTTCGACATCCCATTTTGCGTCCAGATCCAAGTCGTCCACACAGCGGTGTAATCGTTCGCCGAACCCAGCGCTTGTAGGTTCGCCCACATTCTCCAGGATCGAAGGTGTGAACCGTCGATAGAGGCAAGACCCGTAAACCGCTGCCGCGACGTCAAAGCCTGAGCCCACTTTCCCTTGAGCCGCACAGTGTGCTGCCTGAGCTAGATTGTGAATCGTTTGATGGTTCAGCTGTGTTTCTTCGCCAGCAGCAGTCTCCTTCTTTGAGTAGAAAGCAAGAAGAGCAGAGACGAAGGCCGTGACCAGCGCCGCCGACGATCCCAGCCCAGTCTTGTGAGCGTCGCTCAGCTTGACTCCAAAGCTCGTAAACCTCGCTGAATCGGCCGGTAATGAGTCGGGAGATTGAGACTGCGATTGGGAATAGTAATCATCGTCCGCGAGTATCGTCACCTTCACGCTTTGCAGGACATGATGCGAGCCCGAAACGTGCGAGAGATACGTCAGCCCGTACCGCAACGTCGTCTCGACGAATCTGTTCGGACTGGCGGTGAACCCAGACTCTTCTTGACCTCCGACTTGCTCGACTGTGACCGCGCCTTCCTCTACCCCTCCAGCAGCGTAGTCGATCCGGTACAGCCATTTGGCATCAATGAACTGCGGCGACTGAACCAGGACGTGTGGCCCGCTCAGGCCGTTAGGCACGTTGTCTCGCCATGGCTGCACGATTACGTGGATCCGGGCATTGAGCCCAAACACGAGGCCCGTATGCTGGCGGTCGAGGACCAGGAACCCACCGGCGAAGAGGACCTTGCCTGGTGCAGAGACGGCCACTGCTGGGAGCGACATCGAAGAAAGAAGGAGAGGGAAATGCTATATGGGATAAAATGGATATTTGGGTTAAAAGGGGGACGAATTCTATGGCCGATGCCCGACGAGACAGACATTAACAAAGCTGTCCAGCCAATCAGCGTTCTTGCGCAGAATTTTGCTGCCAATCATGGCGGCTCTACGAGTAGCATCGAGAAATCTAATACCAAAGTGCTCGAGACCCTTGCGCATCTATTCGGTCTCTAGTCAAGGGACGTTGACCCCTCAGACGATGGTGATGTCCTGCGGCGGAATAGCCCTCAGCATAGCATCCACTCTGTCGAACCGGTCTTTCAATCCTTCACGGCTCCAGTCCACCACGATATGGTCTTCGACAATTTCGACGTAGCCGATGCGTTTATAGATGCCACCATTTCCCCTTGCTTGCAATACCAACGCTAAATGTAGATTGTTGTTGTTCGACCCGTTGCTGTCATCTCCATCAGGAACCAAGGTCGATACCGCAATTGGCACGATAAAGACCTCGGAATCCCATGGTATGTGGTGCTCTCCGGGCAAATCGTAGTCGTAGTCCGGATAGTATCGATTCACGTCCATTTTGCCATCTTTCATTTCCGCCATCCTAGTGAGCACGGGCCATCGGCTCCGAATCCATGGCTTTTTCCAAGTTGCTTTGAGAAGGGGTCCACGAAGGGTAATTCGAACCTCATCCTGGCTGGAGGAGAAGTCACCCATCTCCGGCGGTCCCTTGGTGTCACAATGGACGTCCAGTAGTTCGATCGCCCCAAAAAAGAAATGCAGCCTCAGGTCCCAAGCAACTTGGCACTGGACAGAGGCCCAAGACCAACTCGGAGCCCTCCATTCGGCGGGTCTTGCGAATTGTGGCCCAGCCGGCGTCCGCCACATGAGATCCAGGAGAAAAGTGTCTTTCCAGAGGCCTGCTAGAAACATGTCTTGTCGCCTTAGCATTTGCATCCGTTGAGTCAAGGCGGCCAATGCCGGAAAAATATCACTTGGATACGAAATATGCAGCCGCGTATACTCTTCCACGGTCCGATACCACAGAGTCCTTGGGCCTTCTTGCCCATTTTTGCCCAAAGTCTTCCAAGAAGGGTCCCAGCCGTGCAAGTCCGACAAATGAACGAGTTCGTCCGTCGCATCCTCATCGCTGACGCCGCTTTCACTTCTCCTCATGCGCCGGCAGGACCACATTACCTCTTGAGCGCAAAAGTGGAGAACTCGAACGGACAAATGCATCTCTTGATACACCCACGCGCGGTCCAGCAGAGGGAAATTCTCTAGATCCAGGTGAAAATCGTGCACCGGATAGCTCGGTGGCTTCAAACGAACGTAGACATCGCTCCTCTTCTCGACCAGCCGAGCAAGGTGGCGAGGATCAGTGGTGCTGTAGCACCCTTGGCAACCTTCCTTGGACTTTGAAGCGGCAATAGTGATGACCGCGTTTTCGTATATGGACCCGACCTCGGTGGCGTTCAGGGACCAATCATCCTTGCTGTCCTGAAGAATGCAGAGGGAATCGATCCATAGAAAATCGATGCCGAGCCTGCGACAGATGTCTATGGCGTCCTGGAATGTTTTAGTGAGCTTTCCCCACGGCACTTCAACTTTGAATTGTTCTATCGTGGCCCGTTTCGATTTGAGAATGGTGCTTTCAGGACGTCGTGGGGAAGGGCCCCAACAGTGGCTCAAGCATGCGTAGGGATGTCTCTTTTGCGCCGTATCTTCACGGAGCACTACTTTGCCATTCGCAACCTCTAGAAGTCGCCGAGGGAGCGAGGGAGTATGCTTGTTATTGCCAACGTGGGATTTGGGGCAGTCTGGGTGATTGTCCAGACAGTCTGTCATCCAGGCCCGGATCTTATCAAATGTCGTCTCCGACGAGGTATCTCCCGGAAGCAGATGCCGAACTTTGTCAGATCCCAGGTGCCTTCGAGGCTCCGCTAGATGTCGTGTTAGTCTCTCAAACCGGACATCCTAGCCTTAACCCAGCTCAAAGTTCCTTAAGAACACGTCCCGCCCTCGGAGAAGCAACAGCACTCACAGCCAGGAGAGAAAATGTCAAGCTGGAGTTCCTCGTCCGGATTAGCTCCATCTCCGTCCAGTGTCAGATCGAACCAGAAATCCCACGATCCATCCAAAGAACCGTCACGAGCGAGAATGTTAGGGTCATAGCACGCAATGCACTTAGCCAGGAGAGAGCATCGATAGCAGCCGAGTTCTGCAGCGAGTCGGAAATCACTGAGGGCGCAAGACAGCGTCCAGCTAGGGCTGGGCGAATCTTTTGGCAAGCGACAACAAAGACACACTTCTGGAGAAGTAGTAGCAGCGAGCCGGAGTCTACAGAAGGCGAGCCACGAGGCCAAGGTCATTGGGAGCGTCTTAAGGGTTGGGATTGAGGGAAAGAGAGTGAGAAACAAGGACGAAGTCGTTGCTTATGAGGTGCTTGGTTGCTGGCTGCGCTAGACCGCATCCGGCACCAGGCCAACCGCCCATCATGCAGTGCATAATTTTCCCAACTCCAGCCCATGTTTGCTCTCCTCCTCCCCCAATCCCTCCTCATCTCGGAAACAATCACACCCACAGCCCGCTTCTCTGACTATGGGGCGCCCTGTTGTCCATCACTCCACGGCACCTGACGGCCACCTCATCCAGTCGGACGCCCTGGGACGCGGATGACGTGGGAGGGCCGTCGAGCCTTATGCTCCACGTCTATACGGAGCCTTGCAATTCCGTCGACATGGCCAGGATCTTATCTCTTTTGTGCCTGTGTCGCGTGCCCATGGATGCCCATCTCCATTTCTCGTGGAGCCTCGCTTGTTCAAATGGCATTCATCAATCTGGCACCTGAGGCCACTCTTACCAACCCAAAATGTCTGTGATCCCGGCACCTCCGTCGGCGAGGGAGTGCCGCCTGAACACCTGCGTCACGCCTTCCGCCTTTATTTTGCCTGCCGTTTGTTGTTTCTGCGCAGATTCCTGTTCCTGTACTTGCTGCGTTCGTCCTCCCTGTCTCTCGCACCCTTGTTTCCCTTTTGATTCTTTGGCGGTCGAGGGATGGTAGCTGGCTGGGTGGAACTCGTGGGCAGCCCTTCCAATCAAATCAAGAGCTGGGACTGTGAAAATACACTTGGAGGTGCTCACTGTGTGCATACATCTCGGTCGGTCGCCAGAGAACCCATTGAAGATTCTCGCTGGAGCAAGCCGGGAGGTGACCGACGCGACCGTCGAGGCCAGATTCCTCCCCGACCCTTAGACGAGGCCAGTCGATGTGCGCAATCCTATCTGGTCCTACGCGGCTTCGGAGGATACATAATGGGGTTTCTAGGTCTGGGCGAGCCATCCTGGGGAACCCTCATCATTTTCCTCGGAGCATGGATTAACCGCGACTTTACCACACCAGCAGCACGACCAAGTCAAGAGTCTTACGTCGCACTCGTGGAAGATGTCGGCGCTGAAATGGGACTTGAGGCTGACTCGGGTACTGGAGACGTATCTATTGCATCTTTACCCAAGGCCGCTCGACCGGGCTACTGGCGTGGCAGAGAGTTGACCTTCCTCGGGCTGAAGACGACAATTCAGACACCAGATACGGCGGTCTTCCGCGACAGGATATTCAGCAAAGTACTCTTGCGCTTTCCATTTTTGATCGAGATCGTGTACTGGGCTCTCATCTACGGCGTGAGTTGATGCCATGCTCGTATTCTGAGCCGGCGACTAACACCTTTTGCAGGTTTACCAGTTTGGCCGGGGCCAGCTGGCTATTAGACTGGTCGACCAGACCGTCGACATAGCTTGCTATCATGCCTTGTCCGTGATTAAATTGGAGCAGCGGCTTCACATCTTTTGGGAGCTGGCCATCCAGCAATTTTTCCTCCAGTACCCCAGGGGAATGTGGTGGATCAACCGGATCTACAGTTTTGTCCACCTCCCTGCGACGATAGCTTTCTTGGTCGGCTTATACTATTTCGCCATAACGCGGAATCGATCCAGTGTCAACCCGAACTGGTCTGATCAGCCTCGAACTTCGATCGGCCCTGAGCTGTACGAGAGCAGGCGTCGGGCCCTGGCTCTTTGCAACCTCTTTGCCTTTTGCGTCTTCAGTAGCTGGCCATGCATGCCTCCTCGTCTGTTGGGAGACTCGACATTGCCAGGGGAGCCCGGTGCGCTCGCCCGAAGCTTTGGCTTCGTTGATACGATCCACGCGCGCGACGGAGCCGCCAGCGTTTTCAACACCAGGAAATGGACCAATCAGCTAGGTAGGAGTACAACTGTGTGGTCGAAAAGATAGCTGATCTCCGCCTAGCCGCGATGCCCTCACTTCATTTCGGATATTCGCTGCTGATTGGAGTCTCTATCATGCGACTTCCTCTCGCTCCGTCCACCAGACGTTACAGGGTATGCGTCCCCGCCGTGCCATTCCTCAAATCCCGCTACACCAGCTTCATCGTCCGAATGCCGTCTCTTCCCAAGCTCATCTGCGAGATGGTCGGCTTCTTGTACCCGTTCTCGATCTTGATCGCCATCGTGGCGACTGCGAATCACTTCATCTTGGACGCTGTGGCAGGAGGCATGATTTGCTTCATTGCACTACGGTGCAACAACTTCATGAAGAATTTTCTACCCCTCGAGGACTTGGTCTTCTGGTGCCTCCGCGCTCACAAGCCGGTTCAAGAACCTCTCGTCCAGAGCGCCGCGTCTGGATGACAAGCCGTGCTCATTGCAGTGGCAGCATCAGTTGGCTTCGATCCTACGCCTTGGCACGGAACAAACGCTTGTTGAAGCCTTTTCTTACAAGGCACGATTGGTATGTAGGACCACCCGGTACCAACCCTGAAAGTGTGGCTGATGAGACAGCAACGACGAGCGGCAGAGCAGTGCAAGCCAATTATGCCACGGAGAAAGGAATTGGTGGATGTGAATACTACGAATAGTGAGACATTGAATACTAGTCCGCAGCAACAAACGATGCCTCACTTGGCCGGATAGTTTAGCCTCGATAGCAGTTTGGAAATGGAGTTGAGAAAACGAGAAGGGATGGACAGTGGAGCGAGCCACAGCTGAGCCCGTCAAGGATGGATTGTGGGGGCTTTGAGTATGAATAGTACATAATAGTTCCATTGATACTAGACATATATCTCCAACCCTAGCACAGGGGCCGATAGTCAGAAGCTGGCAGGAAGGCAGGTAGCAGTGGTAGCTCAAGTATCATCATCTTGTCACTCACCTTCATCCTCGCGAGCATATGGCCACTCATTTCATTCCAGCCCCCGCTGCTCTAGTTCGATCGATTTCCACAGAAGATCCCGGGAGCCGGACATGGAACACCGGACATTGAATACCGGGTCATCCTCATCTTCAAGGAAAGGCAAGCTCGTTCAGGCGAAATGCCGGAAGACTAGCTAGGTAGTTGACGCGGCGACAAGACTGGCACTTAGTTTCTTTTCCGCCCCCCAAAAGCTGTGAAATACTAACTCAAGAGGAGAGCCGGCAGCAAAGTTATCCAAGGAGGTCAAACACCGACGGGGGAAGCTCTCCGATTTTCACTATAGCAAAATGATGGCCCCCGGCGAGAGAGAAAAATGCATATCTTTTTGTGGCCCCATCGTCGTTTGCGAACACAAGTGTCTCCCGAGGTCAAAGTGCAGGAAGGCAGTCTCCAAACCCCCTTTCGCGCTCTTTTTCTTTCCCCGCTCCCCACAGGTCTGCGCTAACGCTGTTCTGCAGGTGAGCAGCCTTCAAATACATACTCAGCCTCGTCCCTCGGCCTTCCTGCTGTCAAGTTTACCCCCCTCGCCTTGCAGAACTGCATTCATTGTACGGGTGCGCTCAGGGAGTCCACAGGGTTATAGTGCTTAGCACCACCGAGTGTAGCACGATTGTTTCGACAAATAGAGCCATACAGCAACACCGGCCATCCGTTGCAGACAGTAACGCAGTCATTCCTTCTGAGGCACCTTTGATCTTTTTTTTCCAGCAATGGCTCCTTCTGCGACGACTAATGGAGACGCCGCGCCGGTCAAGGCGGACACGAGCAAGAACCGTGCTGTGATCATCTCAAAGATGGATGATCTCACCATTCAGGACTGGCCTCTGAAACTGGATTCGTATCGAGATAGTCCGCCATACGTGCCGGGGTCACCTCTACCGAGTGGTAAAGCCCTCGTCCGCATTCGCGCCGGCGGTATCTGTGGCTCGGACGTGAGTGGCCCTCACCTGATAGTTGACAAAGCACGGGATGGGACGTTGACGAGGGTTTCCTAGATACACTTCTGGAAAGAGGGCAGTGCAGGGCCTGACATAATCAAGGATCCCTTCGTCATCGGGCATGAAGCTGCTGGGGAGGTTATCCAGGTCGCTGATGACGTCCAGTCATGGGCACCGGGTGATCGCGCTGCGATCAAACCTATGCTTCCCTGTCTCGCGTAAGGGTATGTCGGATCAATCCTTGGCTGCGATGCTGAAGTATAAGCAGTTGCGACCAGTGTACGACCGGGTTTTCCAACATCTGCAGTTCGATAGAGTATTACGGGGTTCCAGGACCCGGCCGGCAGGATGGATTGCTCACCAACTACAAGATTGTCCCGGTAACGGCACTGGCTCGCCTGACGCCCAAGATTGGATGGGTCGAGGCTGGTACGCTACAGCCCTTTGCCGTCGCCCTCCAGATGTCGCGGCAAGCCGGGCTGAAGGCGAATCAAACCGTGCTGATCCTCGGGGGCGGGTGTATCGGGTTGCTGCTGGGCGCAATCGCCAAAGCGTGAGTCCTGACGTGACAAATATGTCTGCCAACGCTGACCACGGCCTCGAAGATACGCTGCAAAGAAAGTAGTTGTCTTCGAGGTACAACCTCACCGGGCAGAATTTGCGAGGAAGTATTGTGCGGACCAGGCTTTCGTCAACCCACCACGCAACCCCGGTGAGACGACGGAAGAATACTCTAGCAGAGTTTCTAAGCACATCCTAAGCTCAGTAGACGGGCTCCACCGTGGTTTCGATGTGGTGGTGGAAGCTTCAGGCGCCGAAGAGTGCATGCAGATCGGAATGCATGCCTGTAGACCTGGAGGGACTTGTGAGTGTCTTCAACCTTTCCATATGAGATCAAGTCCGTAGTATTGTCCAACTAAGCTGATGTGTTTCCTAATAGACGTCCAAGTCGGACTGCATAGCGGCCAGATGCCTCGGCTCCCTATCATGGATATATGCTCCAAGCAGCTCAACGTGCGCGGTAAGGGTTTCTCAGCCTGTTTTGGGGTTGCCTGGTGGCTCAACACTGATGATTACAGGTACCTGGAGATATACAACCAATTGCTTCGAAGACGCCATATCGCTGATTGACAGAGGCCTCGTCGAGACGAAAACTCTGATTAGCCACGTTTTCCCTTTTGAGCAGAGTTTGGAAGCGTTTGAGACAGTCCATAAGGTCAAGGCTAAGGATGGCAGGCATGTCTTTAAGGTGGTCATCTCTGACGAGAAGCTGTAGATTGTGTACCAGCCATAGACACCTAGGTTGCTGAAATTGCTGAGCGTGTCTAACGAACTTGTCCTAGAAGTTAGAGTGCCATCTGCTCAGGTTGTAGTAAGGGACATCGCTGCTAATGGTGTGATGCAAACAGAGCTCCTCACCTATAGAAGCCTCCTATGGAGGGCGTTTGATTTTTTCTGGCTCAGTCATGTATGAAGGACTTACAGGAGATACGTACAGGTGGTCAATGGTTGAAAGTGAGAAATCACGGTGAACGGGCAGACATGCCACTTGTTTGACTTCTTCAAATGACAACGTTATCTGCGAGGCTTGGGGGGACATAGCCTTCAAATGACGACATCCCACCACCATACCTGATCCTTCGCTAGAACCCTTCATATCCTTCGTACAAAGCAGTTTATTTCCCTACTTCCGCGTCTATAGACCTACTATACAGTCCCTGCTCTGATAACGCCTTACTGTAGCGGTATAGGTGAGGAAGACTTGAGAAAATGTTCGATACAAGCACCGTCCGTATTAGACAGCAACCCTTCATTGTGCTTAAGCACTCGACATCCATTAGATCTATAGATATGCGTCCCCAACTGCTCTTCATCGTTAGAGGCCGTTCCAATATGCGCTCTGCCAGTTGAAACCGTCCCAATTGGTAACGCCCGGATACCGGTTATATACACCGTGTGGAATTTCCCTTATTGCTGGACTGACCTCCCAAGCCTTCTCTCTCCTAAACCTGTAGCGTGTCCTTCTCTTGCGCATCCACTCCCCACACAGTACCTCTGTAGGTTCACACGTTCTGCGAAGGAGGCACTTGTAATGTCATCTTGTCCCCCTCCACGGTAGCAACACCAGGGACAACACCCGGAGCCGGCGCTGGCGGTCCCGTTCCCGATCGTCTTCTCCTCTCTCTTTCGGTAGGTCCACTTTCGATTTTACTGAGCATGAACCCACTGTCCTCGCCAGCAACACCGCTCTTGCGGAATTTCCCACCCATGCCGTACATCCAGCTATCATCCTCATCACTGCCCAGCCAGTAACTCCGGCCGATGCCAATCAAGAATCGGCCAAGTTTGCCTCGCCATCCCTGTCCCTCGGGTCTGCTTTCGGAGAATGGGTTCTCTGCCAACTGCGCATTCGTTGATGCAGCGGTGTAATCGACGCCCGTCTTAGATCCTGTAGAGGCGATATGTTGGCGGATCACCATGCGGGCGAAGGCGAGCATGATCAAGCAGAAATACGCTCGAATGGTCCACATGGCGATGATGACACCCACAGAATTCATGTTTTGGGTGTCTAGCACGGCGGATTGTAATGCGCCGTTGCTACCGCTGCTCGCGGCACTGGAAGCAGGTACTCCGCCAGCCACGGCGTCCTGACCGGAACCAGCCAACGGAGGATTGGGTGTAGCCACGACTTCGACTCTTGAAACGTTCAGTTGGGGATCCGTGAACCCTGCTACTTCGTCCATGGTTGATGCGCCCGGTCCTTTCTTCTCGCTCTGCCCCGCGTCATGCTGCGCAAGCACCAAGAACCAAGTCGCTGCGAAGACGGCGGTGTATGCGGCGTTAACTATACTGTCAAGGACGTAGAACCATGCAAGGGCAAGACATTGCAGGGGTGACTGCTTTCGGATATGTCGGGCAAGGTAGGCGGTAAGCACGAGTGCGATCGTGGAGTAGATGTACATGGACAGCTGGAAGGGCGAAAGGTGGTAGCCTGTGAACAGTGCGAGAATGCCGTAGAGACCCGCAAGTTTGTTGACAAGCATCGAGAGGGTAATGAGGCTGGCGCCAGTCGACAGCGTCATGGTGTAGAAGAAGCGCTGTTCAGAATCAAGTCAGCATTGAGAGAAGAAACTCGAGGCTCGACGCCGTTGTCATACCTTTGGCCGCGCCAGGCGCAGCAGGCGAGCGGAAATGCCATAATTCGCCATAGTCAATGCACTGCTACAAAGGCACAAAAAGAGATACTGTCGTTACCGTTGACAAAAGTCACGCGAGAGGAAAGGAATGGAGGTGGCGGCAACGAGCGGGAAATTAAACCAGCCGGAGAATAAGAAATCAGGGAGCCACCCACGGCCACCCACAGCCACCCAAAAGCGGCATCACCGGAACGTTGTTTGCTTTACATCATCATGCACAAGGCTGCATCAGGCTGCATTAAAACGGCTTCGCATGAGAACCATATCACCCAGGATGAAACAATTACAAGTCATCGCCTATGTATCCACGACGCCTTGTTCAGCCATTCTATTATTTTGCATGCAATCTCGTCTGTCTAGCTAGAAGGTAGAATACAAATTTGCCAGGCCATTCAATGAATCTGACGGACATGCGCCAAGCACAGCCATCAAGTTCACCATTTCCAGCAGCACACCATGTCCATGCGTCCGCCGAGCCACATGTAGGGATGGTTCTTGACGCCGTTCACTTTCTTTGCGCCTTGTGTCTGTGTAGAATAGTGCTTTCCACCCAGCCCGTCGACTCAGTCTCAATCAGTGTTGTCGCAATCGCCACCACCACTCTAGTCATACAAGCTGTCGTCATTGCCAGCATCACCGAACCCAGTACCGTTTGCTGCATCAGCCTCTTGACCGGCAGAAGGGAATTTGAAGAAAGCACTGCCACCGGTCTGTTTCATGGCTTGAGCAAAGGCCTCGTAGCGGCGGATCTCCACATCGCTAACCGACCGCCGTGCAGCTTGCATAGCTTCTTCAAAGTGTCGTCGGGTCAACTCTGGGACAGGATCTTCCCCTTCATCGGCGTCCATAGCGTCCTCACCAGCGGCCTCACGTTCCTTCTGTCTTTCAATATCCGCTGCGATGGATTCCTTGATAGCGAGTTTGACAGCACGTTGTGTGACGAATCCCAAGTCGGCACCAGAGAAACCATGAGTCTTGCTGGCAATGAACTTGAGGTCCACATCTGATGCGACAGGCGTCTTGCGCAATTGCGCTCGGAGAATGGATTCACGCGACGCCTCGTCGGGAAGGGGAACGTACACCAAGGTGTCCAGACGTCCCGGTCGGCAAAGAGCGTTGTCGAGCTGCTCGGGTCGGTTGGTCGCACCAATAACGAACACGTTCTTCTTTGAGGTCATGCCGTCCATCTCAGTAAGCAGTTGGTTGACAACTCGATCGGATGCGCCACCAGCATCGCCCAAAGAGCCACCACGAGATTTGGCGATCGAGTCAAGTTCGTCAAGGAAGACGACACAGGGAGCCGCGGCACGAGCCTTGTCGAAAATGTCTCGAATATTGCTTTCAGACTCGCCGAACCACATACTCAGAAGCTCAGGGCCCTTGACAGAGATGAAGTTTGCTGCACATTCGTTGGCCACGGCTTTGGCAAGCATAGTCTTACCAGTACCAGGAGGACCGTAGAACAAGACTCCTCGAGATGGTGAAAGGCCGAATTTGAGGAATTTCTCGGGATGGTCCACGGGGTATTGCACCGATTCGATGAGCTCGCGCTTGACATTCTCGAGACCACCAATGTCGTCCCAGCGGACATTGGGAACTTCGACAACGGCCACCTCGCGGAGAGCAGACGGGTTGGACACGCCCAGAGCATACCGGAAGTTGTCCATGGTCACGCCGAGCGAATCCAACACCTCGGCATCGATGGTGTCCTCGTCCAGATCGATGAGATCCATCTTCTCTCGAATCTGCTGCATGGCGGCCTCAGAGCAGAGCGACGCAATATCGGAACCGACGTAACCATGAGTCTCGGCGGCGATAGACTCGAGATCGACATCCTCCGCCAGTTTCATGTTCTTGGTATGAATTTGAAGAATCTCCAAGCGGCCTGTAGGGTCCGGAATACCGATATCAACTTCGCGATCAAATCGACCAAATCGTCGAAGGGCGGGATCAATCGAGTTGGGTCGGTTGGTGGCGGCCATCACCACGACGTTGGACCTCGCCTTCATGCCATCCATGAGAGTGAGCAGTTGCGAAACAACACGTCGCTCAACCTCGCCATTGGTCTTCTCTCGCTTGGGTGCAATAGAATCGATTTCGTCGATGAAAATGATGGCGGGGGAGTTCTTCTCGGCTTCCTCAAAAGCTTTTCGGAGGTTGGATTCTGATTCACCAGCCATCTTTGACATGATTTCGGGGCCGTTGATGAGGAAGAAGAAAGCACCCGTTTCGTTGGCGACAGCTCGAGCCATCAGAGTCTTACCGGTACCCGGAGGGCCAAACATGAGGATACCTCGGGGAGGTTTGATACCGATTGACTTGAACAGCTGCGGATGTCGCAGTGGCAACTCGACCAATTCACGGATCTGTGCCATCTGCTTTCTGCAACCACCAATATCATCGTACCCGACCTCGTTCAGGTTTCCTTCCTCGTCTTCACGCTGGATTGGATCTCCCTCACAGTGAATGACGGTGTCCTGTGCCACAATGCCATATTCCGGCGGGTCAACCTCGACCACCTTGAACTCGACTTGTCTCATACTGGCTCTAACTGTAAAGAGATCTCCTTGTCGGACGGGCCGGTAGGCTTCGCGGAAGTAGGGAGCGAGGAAGACGTCGAAGAGAGATCCCGTAAGACCCTCGACAGTGTCTGCAATCGGAAGAACAGCGATGCGCTTGGCCTGGGGAGAGCGTCAGTACTGTGCTGGAAGCGTTAAATAGGACGGTACTCACATATTTGATGTCAGGGCAAGGGTGGACAGTGATGATATCGCCGTGCTTGACTCTGAGATTGTGGCGAACCACTCTGTTGATGCGAGCACTGCCGTCATCAAGGTCATCATCGGCCAGGACGATCAGGACGGTGTCCTTGCGTTTCTTTCCTCTGACCAGGACGGTGTCGCCTCTGAAGAGTTGTAACGTCTCCATAGTGTTATTTGACAGGGCAATGATGGAGTTGTCATCGTTCGTAGCATCGGTCACACTGCGTCATTTGTCAGCCCGGTTTGTATCAAGACGTCCTTGATGTCCAACTTACATCAACGAGTTTGGCTTCTTCTTCTTTTTCAGGATAGCAGTGGCCGTGTCGAGCTCCTGAAGGGCCCTGTTAGTCTGGGATTCGTCTCCAAGCAGCTTGTCGGGCGTAATCCGTACCTCTTTCTTCTCTGCGCCAGAAGCATCGCTGTAGCTTGGGTTAGCGGTGGATCTTGCGAATCTCATGAGTGTGACACATACTGTAGGTTAACCTTCTTCTTGTCGTGGGTATGATCAGGTTCTGCAGACATCTTGATGTCTTTAGCAGATCAAGTAGGATAGGATCTGAGAAGGAGGGTGCGGAGGTTTGTTGTGATTTCTAGAGACCAGAAACAAGAGCGCTGGTCTTCGCAACAGTGTCTAGAGGGTGGAGGAAAAAATGGATTGGTATCAAGGAGCTCCTTATAAGAAGAACCTTGAGAAAGCAGAGAGAAGAGATGGCAATAAAAGGGTGAGGGCAAGCAAAGCGTTTGTCGGAGGTGATGAGTGAACTTCTGGAGGACCTGAAGCGCAGGAGAAAGCCCCGTCTTGGCGCCTTGAAATGACGGTCATTTGAGCCCGGACAACATACGTTGCCTCTGGCAGCCTACCAAAGAGAAGATGGTCGAACCTTCTCAGACGGCCCAACGATCGCCTTGCCACGACTTCTACTTGACACGTAGCAACTAAGCACCTGTATATCTGGCGCTTGTTAGCAGCGCGATAAGAGAAAGCTCTATTTCGCTTTAGCCTGACCTACTACGTGCTCCTTCTCGTAATTGTATGCCTTCCAAGTCGGCCTTCCAAGTGGCGAGGCTGAATCCTAGCCTTGCCGGAGGGGCACATCCTGTGCTCAAATCCGCCGCCCATGACGAGTAATGGAAAAAAATTGCCCATTCAGTGATGATCAATCAATAATCTAATTGCACAATCACTTACTCGTACGCCGGCAACAGGTCCGGGGCAAATCCCACTGTGATTCGTAGCGTATCCCCGCTCCGCCAGCCCACGCCCATTTGTGCTTCCGATTTTCGAAGTGCGGAGCGGAAAGATTCTCAGGCCCAAGCCTGTCTCGTCCATCGTCTACGCAGCCAACACCCTCCTTTCTAATCGCGCTGCTGGACAGCCCGCTGCAGAACGTCATCTGCAAACGACAGCAATTAGCTGCTTTCAGGCATGAGCCTCCTGATCCTCGAATAATCATACCAGTCCCCGTTCCCCACCAAAGACAGTGTTCACAGCTTAAAACACTACAGCGCACACTCACCTCTACCTCCTTGCCTGGGCATAGTGGGAAACAAGATGTCGACCTCGGGACCCTCAACTGAGACAGCGAGCACGATCCCCATCCCTCCCTCCCTCACCAGCTCCACCACCTCCTTACCGCCCGCGACCTCACAAGCCCTCATTCAACATCTCCGACAGACCGGCGCTATCCCCGACCTCAGCTCTCTACTAGCGGATAGCCTTGCCCGCACAGGCTGGACAGACCGCGTCCGCGCACTCGCACTCGAGTTACTCAGGAATGGCTCATGCGACACTTTTCCGGAGTTGATGAGCGAAGTCATGCGACGGGCCAAGTTGCCCAAGGATGCCAAGGAGAAGGAAAGCAAGGATGCGAAGACGAACGGGACGAGCACGCCCGCAACGACTACAACCACAGGCCCTGGAGCAGGAGGCCCAGCTGCGCTGAACGGCGCAGTGGTGAACAGCAACAACGCCATTGCTCTTTCAAAAGAATGGTCCGGCGGCCCGGATGGATTGCCAGATGTAAGGATACCCGAGGTCACTGTTGAGCTAGGGGTGGAATTTTTGAAAGAAAAGATCAAGGATGTCGTCGAGCCGATCGACGACGATAGCGATTAGCAGGGTCTGGCGTTGGTATCAAGTCACAGTTTGGGGATATTTGTGTACAACACGGCATAGCGAGCGGCGTTGAATGTTGCTGAGATGGTGGGAGGGCTTCAGTACGGCATATTAGATACTGGAAGGACCACAGCTATGGTGGAATATCTCGCTCTACATCGAACTGTTGGCAGCTCTCTCAGGGCTGGTGCACGACTTCTCGTCATGGTTTGTAGCATGAACGGAAACAACATGGCTCTTCGAACCCGAATCAATGTCGCTTTTGCATCCCTCGCTAATCCTCGCGTATCTAAACAAAAGGCGAAGCAATTTATAAAACACCGCCCGGCAACGTCTGCGCCGTTGGTATTGTCCTCACGCTCGCTGCACCACTAGGGACGAGTCCTGTTGCAGCTGTCCCTCCACCACCCAATCCTCCCAGGGGCGGCTTCATCCCCACCCCCGCGGTTGGCGGCATGTCCCCAACCATTACATTCCCTAATTTCCTCAACATAAACATCGGCTTCTTCCCCTCTCTGTCCAAATCCTTGAATAGAGCGAGGGGTTTCTCTTCCAAACCCACACACCTCTCCTGGTCGCCATACACGATATACAAAGCATATTGACGCCAATCGGCCTGAATGTTGTACTTTCTGAGGGCCGCTGGGAGAACTTTATAACATGGATCTTCTAGTCCGACACGGAAAGATTTGAAGATTTCCACAGAGGGCGCATCGCCTCCGCTACCATTGTCTTTGTTGCCATGCGGAGTATGGCCCACGCTGGCGCTTGAGGGGAGCTGGGGCGGCACCGAAGCTGATAGTTCTCTTGAGGGTATGAGAGTGGATACATTAGAGATTGTACTGTTTGTAGGATTGAGTTTGCCGGAAGCCGACTTTGCGGAAGTGGGAGGGTCACGATCGCGTTCGATGGTGACCTGCCGGTCGTCGATACCGTCATAGCGAGGGATAGCACTAGTAGCGGTTCCTCCCTCACGTTGATAGGAGCGCGGAGCAAGTGGTTGATGTTGGTAGGGGAGTGGCGAGGTCGGAGAGGGGACGCCTGGAGAAGGATGTGGATGTTGCGGTAATGCGCCACCTGACATTTGTGCGGTTAGCGAGTTTGAAGCCAAACTTGCTGCAGCGGAGGGGTCGAGCGAGTTGCTTTCGGCGTAACTCCTGCCCTCATGGATCGTACTGGGTATATGTGTTGGAGAGTTGTTCTTGGGCGTTGAACTGAGACCCAGCTTCTTTGAAAATGTGCGTGTGAGGCTGGTCTTTTCGGGCACTGGCTGGGTCGTCAGGGGAGGCGAGACGACGTCTTGCTGGTACATCTCCGGACTAATCGTGGCGCTTTGATAGGGGGCATAAGGGAGAGGTTCTGATCGTTCTTTGGCCATCTTGAAAACCGGCAGTAATTCCTGCCGCAGCTTGCGGTAGTCATCCGCCAGCCGGGTCAACTGCGCCTCCGCCTGAACAATACGCTCGTCCCGTAACCGGAGGATAGATCTCGCAAGCCGATCAATGTCTTCCTTGGTTGCCATTTCATGCTGAGGGTTTTGCTCTGCCGCTAAGACGGGAATCAGCGATATAATACCAGGAAAATGCAACCTGAATGCCTACTGGGAGGGACATAGTCATCCGGCTCAATGGGAATGTCCTGGTTGACTTTCATGTCATAAACATTCTTGAGAATCGTCAAACGGTGTCCCACACTGGCGATCCCCATCTCTTTCAGTTCATCATGTTTCAGTGCGACGAGGGCTTCCCCTTCGATGCCATGTTCTGTAGAAAGTCAGTCGTCAATGTCCCATCAGCGTTCTGTTTGTGACGTAGCTCACCGACAAAAGCATGGCAATATTGTCTCAAGTTCAAACTAGACACAAACTGAGCGCATTCTTCTGGTGTCCATTCTGTTATGATAGTCCTGGGTAGGCTTGGATCTTCCCCCGAGTTTTCATATGTCGTCGGCGTATGTTCATTAGAGGGAGGCTCAGAAGAGGTCTCTGAATCTGTGTGTAGCTGTGTAGGCGAAGTCATGACGCTTCTCTCATATTCATCGTCGGCGTCAGAGTCGGCGTGGTATGTAGTTCCGCTAGGGAAAGCCATGGTGTTTGCGTTGAGATCCAATCGACCTTCGGCGCTTGGACCAGGTTTAGGTTTCAATCCTCCTCACACCCCAGCCACATGAAGGCTCGGGGGCAGGGTAGAGACGTGGCAGTCGATATGATGATGAAGAATATTGAGTGCTAGACAGCCTTGCCTGATTGCACACTCCAAATTTGTCGTCCCTGGATCGTTGAAGGATCTTCGGTCGTGTCAGTGCGAAGGGGGCTGTGCGGAGAGGCCTGCGGTGGAAGGATCTCAGGAGAGGTTCTGTCTGATCGTCGGACGTCTGCTCGAAGGGTCAGAGACGCTCGGCCACGCTCTCAACAAGAAAGAGGAATCTCAAGATTAGGACTACAGGCGCCCAAACTGAAAAAGACTGCGTTAAAGGGAGGTTCGAGGGGACATGGGATCGCAGCATGCGCATGTACGGGGGCTGCGACGGGGCCTGAACGAGGCTAGCCCCATCAATAGTCGATAGCCAATAGCAAGCCGAGTCGGCTGCATACGCTTTCGTCCCATTTTGGCCATGTGATATTTCGCTTCTGCTCCAGTCCAGCCTGAATGGGCAAGAAGGTTCACAAGACATGATTATTCAGGAACTGGGATCCGCTATCCATTCTGCAAAGCTATCGACCTCACAAAGCCAGTCGCTCAAACGAGTACTGGCCTTTGTTCCTACTCTCCAGCATCTTTTTCTGTCGGTTAGTCCGACGCTTTAATTGGCCGCCACCTTTCCTGATCTTGACAGGGCTGACCACATTCTCAACCTTTAAGCTGAGAGGGAGACCTGGACCAGGCTGCAGGTCGTCTTCCCCCTCAACAGCTTCTGAGTACAGTGTCACTATGGCCCCTGGACGCTGGTTAGCGACCGACAACCCAGTGCCATAAACCGCGACATGAGCCCCAGCAGCCCGTTGTTTCCGCAGAGATTCCTCGTATCTCAGAGTCTCGCGGAGGATGCCTTGCAATTCTACTACATCCTCCAGACTCTGCTTGGTATGTGTAATCTCTGCCACAAGGTCAGGCACAATGTTGCCCATAAAGTCTTCGTGATCCAAAGCTCCAAAAAAGCCAAGAGGTCCAATGGCGTCGACACAGCCTGACAGTATCTTGATATTCGTAGCGAGCTTGACAGTCGGCAGAGACTCGGTTTGGACTGGCAGATTTTGGAGAGATTGAGTGTGGCCCCCTTGAAAGAGCTGTTGCCGTAAGAACTGAATGAGAGCCAGCGCATCTGTCTGGGAGAGCAGAGCTTTCAAGTTGACGGAAATGACTGACGTTGCAGCAGCACTAAGTCTGTCCAGCGCCGCAATCAATGCTCTCTGCAGTGTAGGGGGCAGCCACGGGTTGTCGGTTGCTGACGCCGACAGTGTTTGCACTTGCGTGCCGGCGATATTCAAGGGAGTGTCGACTTCCACTGGATCTGTTCGGCGGTCCGCTTCAGCAACGACCGTTTCAGACGACGAAGTCAGAGCTCGTTGGATGAGCAGCTGCACCACGGCTGCTTGTTCCTCCACGTATGGGCTGAATCCGTTTTCGAGACACTCTACCAGTAAGCCATACGATGAATCGGCTTCAAGCAGAGCTCGAGCAACTGCGTGGATACCAACAGATGTCAAGCCAGTCCCAGAACCAGAGCTCGAGATCGCATTTTGCACGTTTCGAGCAGACAGGAGTCCCACCCTGCACAACCATAGGATAAGTTTGAACGATGGAACCCGGACCTCTAATGACGTCTCTGCTATGTCGGGCGTATTGCCTTGGGCATTCGGCGTTGCCCGTATCTGAAAGATCTTTGACAGAAGATAGTTGATTTTGAAGTCCGAGATCGCTATACGGTCTGGAGGCAAATCTTCGCTCGTCCCTCTAAGAGCTGGGGAGTGCAACGTAGTCTGCCGAATGTCATTGACGAAGGTGTTTTCAAAGCCGGCAACGTCATCTGTCTCGGCTAGGTGGTCGAGACGTTGCCTCACAGGCCGCCAATCCACGCCGGATCCTGGAGTTATAGTCGCGGTGCCGATCGCCGACCACTGCTTGTCGAGGGTGTCAGGCGTGATATCTTGGCCACTGATGCCACGTCCGATATTTTGGAGAAGTTTGCTCCCAGTCCCCAGAAGCTGTCGAGGTGAACCAGTGGAAATATCTATCGCGAGCAGTTGATGCCGCCTCCGTCCGATGACACGCGCGGATTGGGGAAAGTAACCGAAAAACTCAATGGGGCCACTCCGGTCTTGGACAGCCATTCTCATGCGTTTCCGCTTGAGGTTACCCTTATTCGCGTCGATTTGAGCTTGCACAGACTGAAATTTGAGATCGTAAAGCTGGACTGACTCTTCGAATGAACATACAGCGAACGCAGATGAAATGGCCATGATTTCGTGTGAGCAGTTTAGACCGGTGTGTAGAGCCGAAGACAAGGAAGGGACCAGACCGGTCAAATCATACGAGTAAAAGGCGTCTCCGGCGCGCAAAAACAGATTCGAGGCTCTGGAGTTAAAGGTATAACATCGATCCTTCGGCGAGAGTGACTTGGACTTGCTGCCTCCCAACGATAGTTCATGGTCAAATAGGGGATAAATCGATGCTCCCCTGGCCTCAGCGTTTCGATTCATAGGTTCAACCGACCACAGACCGTAGAACACGCTGTTGAGGTTAGCATAGTGCTCGGTTTTGCAAAACGCAACTGCCAAGTAGGCGCTGTCGGGGGCAGCCTCGCTGAGCAGATCCGGCCTCTGCTTTAACACTGTCTTCCGTGCTTCCGAACTCGTGAGATGTTGAACGGCCAAGATCTTGATATTTGGATAGCGTTTGGAACAGAGGATTCCTTTGAACCACGTGGTGTTCAAGTCTTCGGAGAAAATTGCAACATTTCCATTTTGCTGGATGGCCACAAGCTCTTTTTCCCTGCCTTTCACCACCACCTCAAGTAGCACAAAGGGGCTCTCTTGTTCATCCAGCGCTCCACTAGCACTGGATGCCGCACGAAATGTGTCTTCTCCTGAGGTCTGGAAAGATTCGATCCGCAATGTGTCTCGCTTTATGGCGCAGTAGGTCGTTCGACGGAGGAGCGCCTGTGATTCTTCGCGGATCGAACAAGGAGGTCCATAAAAGCGAGCAGTAGGAGGCACTGGATAAGAGGCGAGAATAGTGCCGTTCTGGATCTGTATTCTGTCAGCATGCAGTCTTGTGCACGGATACAACTGTATTGGTACCTCGTACAGGCCAAGGGAATCACCATCCACGGCCACGCAAATTTCTTTTCTCCGCCTCTTCAGCCCGTCGCGCACAGTATACACGGTGCCGAAACGAGTCACAGCATCTTGTCTGGCAGGACGAGGCAGTCTTGCCAGGACTTGGGGAGTTGAGATCTCCATTATCGAGATATGAGACTTTGAGGCGCTGCCAGAACTCAGTGTGCAGACAAAAAGTTTTGAAATGGGCTCCACAAAATTTTGCGGAGGCTGCGAGGTTCCTCCGGCCAGGCTTGCCAGGCTCGCTAAGCACTTTTTACAGGGGCTGCTTAGCGCTTAGCGGCAGATCTCCCGGGAAGGCAAGCCTATCAGCGACTAGTCGACAATGGCAGACGCAGCCGACTGAGCCTCCCATTTCTGGGCATGGCCCCCATGGCCATCGCGTCACTGACGCGCTTCCTGTCATTCAGTTGCGCATCGTGATCACGCGCATCGCAGTTCACCATCAACTCTGACCTATCTCACACGCGGGCCTCGACACGACTCACCGGATCCTTCAGTGGCATAGGTACCGGCCGGTTCACTCACTCACTATAAAGGAAATGCAGAGATTCTAGACCTCATGACACCGCAACGTACGGAAGACTGACTTGCAGGTCAATGGCAGCGCTGCTCGACTATGGCGCTGCCCCAGATCACAAACCCCATATGCATCCGTTCTTCCAGAAAGGTGCACAAGCATGTCCATCCAGACCTTTCATAAGTCGCTGACACTGCGTATAGCTACCGTAACCCACGCCTCATCCAATCGTCCTGCCACTCCAACGCTGGGAAGTGAGGGCACGGTTGAAGACGACTCTACGAACTACGACGAAGACGCTGGTTACACCTCTAGCAATGCCGCCCACACGGAGCCCGCGGAGGCTACCCCTGGAGGGAAGTGGAGTGTGGATGAGGGTGACGACCTTGAATACGAGAATACCAGAATAAAACGACGAAGAGTCTCTGTCGGCCAGGGGCATCCACTCTCTGAGACAACGAAAACTTCAAATGCAGATCAAACTACGTTGTACGACCAACTTCAAGCTGCAGCAAAGACATTTGAGGGGTTTGAGCCACCCCTGGATTGTGCTGAGGATCAGATAGCCGCGAGTGAAGATTTCGTGAGCGACAAGGAGGATGCGAATTACTCACTGCCACCGATCTTATCTGAAGATAGTGTTTCTCAGTTGAAAAGGCCAACTCCTCCTGTTGAGGCTCCTCTTGACGCTTCGTCAGGTTCGGTTAACATCGACCTCACAGGATCCCCAGATCATCACCCTCATTCAACCGACGGCGCAATGGATGACCACTTCTCCAAGAAAAGCAAGCCCTGTCCACCTTCCAGTAACAAGGTTTTGCGGACTGGTCACGGTAAACTCGTCTTTTCGCCCAAGAAGTCACCGAAACGTGCGTCAGGGACTGTCTCAACCGACGCGAGTGGGGAGACCAGTGATGCGAATAAAAATACCAATAGATCCAAGAAACTGCAGATGAAGAACGGGAAGTTCGTTTCGTCATTGCGGGTTACGTTGTCATACTCAGCGCCAGAGTCCGCTCATAAGATCAACGACATCTTGTCCGGCAAGTCTGAAAAGAGCGGCATTCAAGTCCAGTCAGCTCAGGCAGAGTTAGCACGGAAAATGCCCTCTACGGGCAAGGGAACGCACCCATTCTTCCTGGGAAGATTGTCAGGCAACACTCAAAAGCAATCCGACCTCAAAAGTGATACCTCCTCGGACGAGACCTCGAAGTCCAAGGCACCAAAACCCTGGAAAGAGATCGTCTTCGAATCCAAGAGGGCATTCCAGAACAAAAATGCATCTTTGTTGCATCCCGTATGGCCTCCGACTGACATTCAACATGTACGACCGAGTCAGGTTCCAAGTGATGCTGTCACAGTTCGGACGCTTCCCATGCCACGGCCCAAGTACAAACATGCTCTGCGCGTCAATGCGGATGAAGATGTACTTTGGAACTTCTCTCGGCGCTTGAAGCAGGGAGTCGATGAGGCTCTCGTTCGCACTCCCGAGCGAAAGGTCATGAGTGGCAAAGAATTAGCAAGACTAGCAGGAACGCTGTACGAGATGGACGAACCCTTGAACTGCCAGTCAGCTTCAATTTCGCGTCTGGAAGCAGTCATCGAATCGACACGCAGTTTTTTTGACAGGGGCATGGCCGCCGGACCTCAGCTGTGGTGTCACGAGTACGCACCCACTTGTTGGCAAGAGGTCTTGGAACCGCAGAGTAAAGTTTTGCATGACTGGCTGAGTAATTTGAAAGTACATCAGGTCCAAACGGGCAAGTTGCAACCGAAGGCGAAGCCTCCAACTCCCCAAAAGCGACGCAAGAGGAAATCGGATGAGATGGACGACTTCATCGCAGACTCGGACGACGACGATGCTCGCTCGGCAGCGAGTGGAAAGAATGCAATCCTACTCACGGGCCCGCCAGGCTCGGGAAAAACTGCCTCCGTCTTTGCCGTTGCACAACAGCTAGGTTTCGAGGTGTTTGAGATCCATCCAGGTATGCGACGAAGCGCAAAAGACATCCAGGACAAGGTAGGCGACATGACGCAGAATCACCTGGTTCAACACTCCGACACACCGAGTCGAAGATCAAGTATATCGCTTGAGGACCGAGACACGGGCATCGCTACTTCTGGGCCCCCGCCCGAAAATCGCAACCCTCTCACACATCTCATAGGTCTCGGCAAGGGTGGCAAGCAGTCTAAAATCGCCCAAGCGAAAGAGGTCAAAGACTCCAAGACCAAGGCACAGAAGCAATCTCTCGTCTTGTTTGAAGAGGTCGACATCCTTTTCGAGGAGGACAAGGCCTTCTGGAGTGGCGTTCAGTCACTTATCCGAACCTCAAAGCGTCCGGTCATCCTCACGTGCAACAGTGCCGACTCCGTGCCGCTGGCCGAACTGGATCTTTTTGCCATCTTGCGCTATGGCTGTGCCGAGCCGGGCCAAGCTGTACAGCTTCTGGGATCCATATGCGCTGCTGAAGGACATCTTTTGAGTAAGACAGCCTTGCAGAACCTCTACCTCACCAAAGGCCACGATCTCCGTGCGTCAATAATGGAGCTTAACCTCTGGTGCCAAATGACAGTTGGGTCGCAGCAGGGCGGTCTGGATTGGATGCTCCCACACAATGACGAGTCCAAGCTCAAATCAGAAGGCTCGGTGACTCGAATCGTGAGCCAAGATACCTTTACCAGCGGTCTTGATTTACTGCCAACAGACTCAGACGACACAGAAGGTCTGATCCGATTCTCACAGGACAATCTGAACATTCCGGCACTGGGCTGGGTTCAGAACGACGTGTCCTCACGCAGCACTGAGTCTTCCGGTCTCTCGATGCTGACCGACATGCTCATCCTTTCTGAGGCGAGAAGCGCGATGGATCTGATTGATGGCACAACAAGACCTATGGTGGCGACCTCGTTACGGAAATTGGCCAATCCAGCTCCCGCCGACGCCAGCCCTTGCACATCCCAAGGTGATGAAGTCGTCCGCCTGTACCTCGATGAACTGAACGACTCGCAGCTCCTTCCATTATCGATGTACGACGCATTCGCACCGCTGCTGGAAGAATCCCGCATTGGCCTCCCCAGCTCTCCAGGTCGAAAAGCACCGTCGCTGGATAACCCGTCCGCAATCTCACTCGTGACGGAAGTCGCCCCTTACATCCGCTGCATCGTATCACACGATCAACGGCTGGAACAGTTGCGAAACGAACTACATGGTGGTGCAAGGCAGCACGGGTCATCAAAGAGGCAGCGCCGCACCAGGGCAGCAAGGGCAGCATTGGAAGGTGCGGATAAGAGTACAGTAAGAAGAGATAAGTGGTTTCCCGAAGAGTTGGATTGGGGTGCAGTGATGAGGACGGCGGGCAATGAGTGGCCTCAAGCCAGAGACAGAGACGTGGAGGCATGGGACATCAGTTCTGCTGCTCAGACACCTTCCTCGTCGATAGGAATGGAAGTGGACGCTAATGAGCCTGCGTCGCACAAGTCCTGAGACTTGCAAATGTGGTGGATGACGGTTCGCTGACACGGGAAACGGAACAAACCAATCTTTTGGCCTCACAAACGCGGGAAGCATACGAGGTAAAGTTCCATCTGATATCAAGCGAGCTAGTTCGTGGGGATAGGGGCTCTGGTAAGGAAAAAGGGAAACATATGACCAGGATGATCATTGGCATCGGCATCGGCAGCGCAATACACATGTCCTGACAAATACATCACATACTAGGTAGAATGATGATATTCTACCATTACCATGACTTTGCAATAAAACAAATAGAGTCGCAAATAATGGCCGCGTTGGGAGCCAGCTATTGGAATTGGAATGTCGGATTGTGGCAGCTGTAGTTGCATTAGGACCACGGAGAACTTAGACTCCACCAAGCCAGTCTCGGAAGAATCAATGACTTTGTCGACCGTCTTCTGTCCGATTTCTCTATAGCGGTCGACGACGAGGTAGCTCCCCTTCGGCCGGTTGTTACAGACATGGTTGTCCTGCCGAATGATAGTCACCTGATTTACCCCTTTTCATTAGGACGATGGTTTCCCCGTTTTCGCACCGACGCTAGCGTGGCTCTAGCCGCATCTGTGACTTGTCGGCATCTGGACTATGTCCCTAGGGTCACCGTGAATACTATGTGGAGGGAACTGAGGGTGGTCAATGGGGCCGCTTGTCTATGGGACCAAGCGATGACTTCAAAGATAGGTCAACTTCGGCCAGGCTGTACGAGGTATATCAGTTACAATCTTGGCAGAACATTGGAAGCGATCTAAGACCATATAAGACTATTTCTCATTGCGAGGCCCTATGAGATCCATGCCAACCTGCATTCTCCCACCTGGATTCATCTCGTAACTGGTTCAATGGGTTCAATTGCGCCGGAAAAATGCTACAAGGTTTTGATTGTGGGGGCGGGCTTCAGCGGCCTCTATATGTTGAACAGTCTCAGGAAATCGGGATACTCTGTACGACTTTTGGAGGCGGGAGCCAAAGCGGGAGGCGTCTGGTCAGTTCGACTCGAAGAAACAACATGGTTGACATGTTACTGACCTAGCCGTCTAGGTACTGGAATTCCTATCCTGGAGCCCGGGTAGACTTGGAGGTACCACAGTATCAGTTTACAGCCGAAGAGACCTGGAAGCGATGGGACTGGAAACAGCGATACCCGAGCCGAGACGAGTTGGTCGCCTACTTTGAGCACATTACCAAAGTCTGGGCCTTGTGCGGCGATATCGACTTCAACACGAGGGTCGAAAGCGCTCGGTGGGACAAGGACACATCACAGTGGCGGATTGTTGCCCAAGCCGGTGAACAGCAGTTTTACCGCAGCAAGTTTCTGTGCCTCTGCACCGGCTTCGCCGCCAAACCATTCGTACCACCCTACCCGGGCTTGGACAGCTTCAAAGGCACCATCCTGCATACATCCCACTGGCCACAGGAGAAGGTCGACCTGACGAACAAGAGGGTAGGGATAGTTGGCACCGGCGCCTCCGGAGTCCAAGCCATACAGGAAATAGGCAAGGTCGCTGCTCATCTGACCGTGTTCCAACGGACTCCGAACAATGCCATCCCCATACGCAATCCCACGCTGGATCGAGAACAAAACCAAAACCTGAGGGACAGGTTCGTCGAATTGCGCAAGTCACAGCTGACCACCTTTGGCGGGTTCCTCTATGACTTCGTGCCGGGAAAGACGACCGATTTGTCCGACGCTGAACGACTCGGGTTCTACGAGAAACTCTGGGGCGGCGGAGGGTTGCAATTCCAGCTGGGCAATTACACCGACATGATGTTCGACCCGGCTGCGAATGCCCTGGCATACCAGTTCTGGCGCGAAAAGACATTGCCCAGGATCAAAGATGGCAAAAAGGCCGAGATCCTGGCACCCAAGAACCCGATCCATCCGTTTGGAACCAAGCGGATAAGCCTCGAACATGATTACTTTGAAACCTTCAACAGACCGAACGTGGATCTGGTCAATCTGCTGGAGAACCCGATTGCGCAGATGACGCCCGAGGGAGTCCAGACGGCCGACGGAGTGACTCGCGAGCTTGACACCCTCGTCATGGCCACGGGATTTGATGCCATCACTGGGGGAATCACGCAGATCGACCTTCGTGGAGCCTCCGGGCAGCGCATCACGGACAAGTGGCACGACGGCGTCTACACGTACCTGGGCATGACGGTGCACGACTTCCCCAACATGTTCATCGTCTACGGTCCGCAGGCACCCACGGCCTTCTCTGCAGGGCCCGTGTCGGTGGAGTTCCAGGGCGACTGGATCGTCGACTGCCTCAATTACATGAAGCAGAACGATCTGACAGTCATCAACGCCACGGCAGAGGCCGAGCGTGAGTGGAAAGCTCACGTCAATGACATTGGTGGCCGGGGCTTGTTCGACCAGGCCCAGAGCTGGTATTTCGGCGCCAACATCCCTGGAAAGCCGCGTGAAGCCCTGCTCTATATGGCCGGCCTACCCGCCTACTCGGAGAAATGTCTGAACAGCTCTCGACACGGCTATAAAGGCTTTGAGATCAAATGATCCCTTGAGTGTACAGTGTCATTGGTAGCCGGTATTGACTTTAGAATTGAGGCTGTCTATATGCTAGACTCTCGCTCTCTCTCTCTGCACTGAGACCTTTCTCCCCTTTTCCCCATTCATTATCGGGCTTCTACCTCGTTTTTTTCGTAACAGTCATAAACAATCTAGACCGATTTGCTCGGGAAATCCCATCCGATGTATATTCGGGCTTCCTCATTCTTAATTTCTATTGTGTAGCGCCGCCGCGTTTTTGGAACTCGGCCAAATTCATCGGGCTGGCTTTTGCAACAAGCGGTCGAGAGTGACGGAAATCATTAGACCGCTTTCGGGCCGGGAGCTACGTGAACCACCACCGCCGTCTCTCTCTCTCTCTGATTTAGGCGCAAACTCAGGAGGGAAGAAGGGGGGAAAGGGTAACCGGACACGGTTGGGGGGACTTTGTCAACCCTTTATGCTTTTGAGAGGGCCGGCCACTAAAATCGAACCCTTACTTTCCCATTCACTCAGCTAGACATACCTGAGCAACCAACCGCCTTCTCTTGCTAACAGGTTGGCAGCACCGCGAGGGAACTCTGGTTGTCCTCCTCACGATCAGGTTGCAAAAGAGCGTGGCTCGACACCGTTTGAAGTATTTGTATGGGCCCTTTTTGGCAAACAATGGCACAGCTTCGAGACAAGGTGATTGCGATCACGGGCGCAGGGTCGGGGATTGGTCGCGCGACGGCACTCACGGCCGCCAGTCGAGGGGCGTCGCTGGGCCTGTGTGACGTGGACGACAGAGGACTCGATCAGGTCGTCGAGGAGATCCGCGGTCGCGGCCGTGGAGGAGGAGTCGGAGTCGGAGTCGATGTAGTGGGGACGGTGGTCAACATGGCGGACTCGAGCGCCGTGGACGCGTGGATGGCAGCGACGATGCGGCATTTCGGCCGGCTGGACGGCGCCGCCAACGTCGCCGGCGTGGAATCCAGCCCGGACGGGACCGTCTACGCTCCCATCGTCGACACCACCGACGCACACTGGAATCACATCCTGGGCATCAACCTGACGGGTCTGTTCTACTGTCTCCGCGCCGAGTTGCGCGTCATGCGCCGCGGCGCTTCCGTCGTCAACGTCGCCAGCGTTGGCGGCCTGGCCGGCCGGGAGAGCTTTGGCGCCTACAGCGCCAGCAAGCACGGCGTGGTGGGCATCACCAGGACTGCGGCCCGCGAGGTTGGCGTCGACGGCATCCGCGTCAATGCCATTTGTCCGTACGTTACATAACGACCCCCTCCACCGCGATGACTGCTGCCTTGACCTCGTTACTCGGGATGTTATATTACATTTGTCAGAAACTGACTGCTGACGCTCGCTTAGTGGCATCACGCAAACTCCTATGATGGACCGATTGTCCGATGGTGCGCCGGCCTCGATGGTCGCGTCCATGTACATCCCTCTACAGGACCGGGGCACACCTGAGCATATGGCCAAGACCATTTGTTTTGCGCTCAGTGACGACGCAGACTACACAACGGGTTCTCTGTTCACAGTGGACGGGGGCATCATGTCATAGAAAAGTGCTCTAAACATTTTTGCAAACAAGACCTATTGCGTCGCCAAAAGGCGTGGCTGCTGTGCTCTCGTGAATGTTTTTTCTGCCTCTCATTGTGATTCTTGGACACGTAGCTAGTTCTCTTGCGTAAATGGTGGAATGCCGCCGTGCCTTTCACTGATTCAGCGACTGTAGCCAGCTGTCGTCTTCGATCGCATGGTTAGGGTAAGGATCGAGCTCGTCAAAGGACATCAGATGGGAGTTGAGGATGGTGATGTCCCACGACATACCGTCGTCCTGTGCCACGGTTTCCAAGGCGTCTGGGCCAGGGCCGGGCATCGTCGGCCCTTCAGTGGCGGTACAAGGGATTGGATCGTCGACCGTCATTGGCACAGGAAGATTGAGTGTGTCTGGAGATTGGTCCGTGATAATACTTCCAGATCCGTGGCGTGTTGGCGAAGCTGCCGAGGGCCGTCGCCGGCGACTTATTGCGGATGCCGTGCTGGAAATATCCGTAAACGCAGGCGACATGAACGGAGGTGGGAACTTGGGCGCTCCATTGCCTGGTTGCCCGGCGTATTTTGCGCGCCACAGCCACAGGGAGTCAAAGACGATGCTGACCAGGAGGCGGCATTTGACCGAGACCCGCGGAGGCTGGAGACCCGTGTCGGGCTGCTCTCTGTGCAGATTCCAGATTTGCGCCAGGATTTTGGTCGTCCGACCGGGCAGATCGTTGTCCTCGACCGAGGACTGCTTGCAGAATGAGACGCATATGTCCAGGGCCCGTTTGCCTTTCTCGACATCCACGAATTGCCGGTAGCTTGAAGATGAGACTTTGGACACAAAGACCGCCAACGAGAAGCATAGCTGATATCGTGCAAATGGTAAGTACTTGAAAGGACTTTCGGTCCTGTGCCTCGCCGCGAAACAAGAGACAAGGTCGATGGCATCTTCATAGGCCTTGATGACGCCATTCCGTCGAGCAGTCGACTCCTCGTCGTGGAATAACCAGTATGCTCGGAGTTGGAACCGTGCGGAAAGAAGGTGCATTTCTGTTGATATTGTTAGCTTTTTCGGAAATACTCGTTGACCAAGGGTCGTTGACTCGCCATGTTTGGTGTCGGCCAGCTGTATTTCCAGCATCTGAAGATCACGCTCCAAGTCCTGCAGTATTGAAACTCTCGATGGCCGAGGGCTAGGTCCTTGTTGCGTCTCGACTTCGCTCATGGCTCTATGGACCTTGTTGCAGAACCTTTGGGCCATGACTGCGCCGTGAACCTCCTCGGGAAGCTCAAATGGATTCGTGACTTCGGATGCCTGCTCAATAGTGGCATCTTTGTGGAAATAGGGCTCTTGCCCGGCCATGGTGGCCGCACTGCAAAGATGAGTTTTAGTTCTAGCACGGTGGCAGCTACATCGTCCCCGAAGTTCTGCGAGACTGAACAGACCAAGAAGGCTTACCTTTCCACGGCAACGTAAATGCAACACCACACCTTGACAAGCTCGCGGAGCTCCGCTGCTTGCAGAGAGACACGTAGTCGCGAGAAATCGGAGATGTTGTCTGCGCGATGCATTCCAGCATGCATTGCCACCGATCTGAGATTTCCAGCCAGGATATACGTGGTGTCAAGGGGCATGGATGACGTGGGAAAGGGCCAGACACAAAGAATCGCCATGGCCTGCAGGGATGACAGCGTGTGAGGGGGATGTGCTATCGTCGACCAGAGCAGATCCTGGACCGCGGGAAGCAGTGCGTCCAGCAGGGAGAAATGGAGGCTGTCGTGGCGAGCTGCGGTTAGGATGATGGCCCAGAAGAGTAGCCTAGATCCCTCGCCCACGGGGTCTGCTGACGAGGGTTTCTGGAGGATCGGAAACAGTGGATGGTAATGAGTGAAGTATCTGCCGAGCCTTAGCAAGATTCCCAGACAGTGGGCTGAAGAGGTCAATCTTTACACCTGAAACAAACGCTGAATCTCCGCTGGACTGACCGTGGTGGATCGGATGGTCTGCTCTCTCGAAGCTGGGAACGCCGATGCCGGGTCAAAGGTTGCCAATGGAATTTGGTGCCCGCCAAGTGCGGCGTCACCACTCGAATCAGCAGTATAGTCTTCTGCCGAACCGCCGTTCCAGTTGTGGTTGGCAGATGGACTGTTTGCAAGAGGAACAAGGGCGGGAGCACCTACGGATCTGCTGCTGGCGTTCTGGGAATGAGCCAAGCTGGCCGCTTCCAATGGAACGCGCCTCGATACTGCCGCGTCGTCGATCTGAGCTGCCCGCAGCAGCTGAACCTGGTTTGCTATATCGCTCAGAGTTCTGGGAACGACTCGTCAGCGTGAACGACCGCGGTCTTGTTGACGGGTTCGCGTGCAAGGGAGGCGTACGTTCTCTTACTGAAGCGCCTGTACTGGGTGTCGACAATACACTGCGTCGAGAGGTCCTGGCATCTGTTGCAAGGCCGAAGGCCGCCCTCTGACCGCTCGCAGCGTAACTAAGACGACTCCAGTCAACACACTGTCATCTGGCCGAGACTCCCACCACGAGGGCGTCGGGCTGAAATATGTACCTTTGCTTGACGACATTGCTGGCAGGCAACAATGCGAGGCCGCTTGTTACGGCGGTTTGTATCGCTAGAGGTCAAAACACCAGCGTTCAACACGCCAGCATCGGACCTGCGAGCTCTGGAATCGGTGGTAGTCGCCCTGGGAGCAAGTGGTCTGCCATAAGTTTCACCCGGCTGGGACAAAGCTGGCACGGCCATTGCGCCAGTCGGGGGAGCGCACGGGGGACTAGAATAGAGACGCAGGTATTTTCAAGCGGAAGCCAAAGTCATTAGCAGACTGTTACATCAGATTCCGGGGAAACAACGTGGGGTGAAGATGAGATGTTGAAATGGACGGCAGATTAAGTCTGTCTATGAAAGCTGCGGCTTTTTGGCCATCAAACCGGTCCCGGGTGTCCTCGAAATACCTACCTAGGTAGGGCTCGCTGTAGACCCAGTACCAGCATCCCGTCAGAAGCAAAGAGGATCATCCCATGGGGCGCCCCTCCATCCCCAGAGGAGCACCGGCCCTGCGGGTGACCCCTCCACCCACTGGTTAAGCATTAAGCATTAAGCATGTAACCAATACCTAGGTACCTAGGTAGGCACTATTACTGGGATACCCGGTGGTCCGCAAATTACCTGGTATGTAATGATCATGGTGGTCATTCATTCATTGCTGCATGTTATAAAGCATCGCCTCCAGCGCGAACACACTACTTCGTCAAGGAAGAGGAGCGGCTAGCCCTCAATTGAGGTGTACCTACAAGGGCCCCATTGATACTGCTTGCAGGGTAACCTAGCAAGCTCTACTCATAGTCCGAGTGACTGACCTTAGGCTAGATAGAAACGTTGAAATCGTCTTTTCAATCCGGGACAGTGCCCAGATCTGTGTTCTACCTCGGATCAAAAGCCATGACGCCTCAACACGAAGGGAAGAAAACCAATTTGCGCAAGTCTGTGCCGTCCATTGGGCTGGCTGTCGAGAGCCTTGACTTCATGGCGCTCTCGCAAATATTATACTTAGCATTCGAAGTTGGTCGTCTTCGGCACCCTAGACTGCACCGTGTGCTTCGCATCAAGCATGGAATTGAACTCGCTTCGGAAAATAGAGGGAAAGATGTGCTCATCCTTGAATCTTTACTATTCACGAGCAACGATTTACAACACTTGATCAGAAGCATACCCAGTCAAGCCACCACATACGACGATTAGTGCGACTTTTGGCAAGTACACAGCCATGCGAAGCTCTAGACAGACGAGGCTTTTGCTTCCCCCCAAAATCCCCAATAGCCGAAACTTTATCACACCTTCTCGGAGCCTGTTTCTTCATGATGGGACGTAAACTCGAGCTGGGTCTGAGCAGCGCCCTTGGAGTCGTGATGGAGGTCTCGAATTGTGTGCGTTGCGGTGTCAATTTCGATTTCGTGCTGGTAGATGGCCACCTCGTCGACATCACCGAAAAGCGCCGCGATCTCCTCCAGCGGCCGACCCTTGGTGTCCGGAAACCAGACCCACATGACAACACAGGCGATCGACCCGGGAATGATGAAACAGAGGAAGAACCGCCATCCGATTGTTCGCAGGGCCACGGGCGCAACCTGTAGCCAGAGAATGTTCTGGAATGATATGTGCGCGATGCCTAAACAGACACCCTTGGCGCGTAGATGAGTGGGAAAGACTTCTCCTAGGTACGAAAACTGAGTGCCATCGATGCACAGGTTGAAGAAGAGGGTAAAGATGAAGAACATGGCCACTGCAGCTTGGAGGGCCGCGTTGTTGGTGGATGGGACAAAGTTGGCTATCAAAGCTGTCTCGACGATCAGGCTAACCATACAGCCAGCCATCCCGAAGGCCATGTATTTCGGGCGTGGAAACCGGTCCACGAGACCGATGGCAGTGAGGTTGCACAAGACGTTGAAAGTAGACCATAGTGAAGGGATTAGGAGTGCTTTGGTCGTAGAATACTGAAGCAACTTGTACAGCGTTGGGCCGTAGACGTTGATGACATAGATACCGGAGAAAGGTGTGAAGACTGTAATACCGCACCCGATCACGGCTCGCTTTCGGTAAGAGGGCTTCTTGAGGATATGCCACCACGTATTCCCAAGGGTCTTGTCGATGGCGATCTGCTTCTGGATCTGATAGAACTCGGCATGGGCGGCGTCGTTGTTCGGATCAGTAGGGTCCAGATGGAGCTTCAGCAGGATATCCTTGGCCTCAGAGGCCCTGTCCTGCATCATCAGCCACCTCGGGCTCTCCGGGACGAAAAAAAGCCCAAGCAACAAGACCAGCGGCCAAAAAGCATTGGATGGCAATTGGTGGTCTCCATGCATTTGAGCTTCCCTTGCCGGTCCACCAGTAAAACCCAAACCCGATCCAGGCTTGGATGGCGTATCCGCCAGAAAACATGGAGGCATGTATGTCGATCAAGCCACCGCGCATATGCACCGGAGCAATCTCGCCCATGAGCAGAGGCACTGCAGCGAGACACATAAACGACCCGGCGCCCGCGAGGAAGCGGAACGCGATGAACATGCCAACGTTGACGCTGCCCGCGAGCAGGGAACCCGACACGATTGTCAATATGGAAGACTGCACAACATTAGAAAGTTCATTTCAGCTACACAATATCACAAGGCACAACGTACCACAGCGCATGCCCACTTGCGACCCCATTTGTCTGCAATAGTGGGCAGCAGCAACGTACCGATCACACCGCCGGCTGAGAACATCCCGTTCATGGTGGCGAGGAGGTCTGCGCCATTGGAACGTGTTTCGAGTTGGAAATAATCGTTGAATGATGGTTGACCTGCTATTCGTCAACTCTGCTCCAGGGCCAGTCGATATTTAGGTCGAATGGATCTCTTACCTGAGGTGATTCCCATCACGGCCGCAGAGTAACCAGCGGTGACGGAGCCGAAACCAAGGAGCACCAGCATAACAACGGTGTGTACGTTGATCTTCTGTCGGCTGAGGATGCCCTCTTGGCTTGAACGTCTCGCCATGTTGTCAATACGGGGAGGCAAGCCTCTGAAAGAGTTTGAATGGGGATGCTACGAAGGAGGTAGACAAGATCAGGAGTCGAAAGGCATGCAGACGTACTTATGTTGCAAGGCTCGACCAGCATGTCTGGTAGATAGACTGCCTCGAAGTTCTTCTCATAACATCGAGTCCAGGCCTGACATAGAAAGGCACTACAAGGCGGCGTGCAGCATTGGCAGGGTGGAGTTGTCATCTCCAGCACCCCCCTTCCCCGGACTCTAGGCTGGAGGAAAACAAAGCACTCCGCAATGAAGGACGGGGAGATCATTGCGCGGAGCTTTGATTGGGCGGAAGGTAGAGGGTTTTCCAGAGACGTGCTCGCTCGCAGTCTATTCAAGTGGCCACGGCTCGTTGGAGGCTAAGACGCAACTTGCGAAAGCGGCGCCGAACTAGTCAGAAGCCTCGTGGATATCCAGAAGGCATCTGCACCGCCTTTAGGCAGGTGTGTGAGCGAACAGCCTTTTACTACCCCATATCCATGCCTGCTTTGTGGAACCCCTCTTTACGCACCCCTCAGCCTTACGTTGGCCGATGCCCATGCGCTCCTCCGATTGGAACGCTCAGCGGACACGAGAGCTTACCTGCCAGCGGACCTCGGGCGAGCCTCCGGTCGAAGCCTCCGATTGATGACAACCAGTAATCGGCGAATAGACATTGAGTCGACATTTCGTTGTATAGATGAGGACCTCCCACACGTCCAAACGTCTGGCCCGAAGTTTTGGTGAGGCCAGTCAATACTCCTCCACGAACCCGACCAAAGTCTCCAGTGGCCGATATGGCGCTGTCGAAGCCCTCCGTGTTCTCGCTCGACACCACGTATCGTTTGAATTCTGGTCACGAGATCCCCGCCCTGGGTTACGGGGTATACCTGACTCCCCCAGCCACGTGCGAAGAGGTAACGACCTACGCACTACGTGTTGGCTACCGACACATTGACTCTGCCGTCGCCTATGAGAATGAGCAACCCTGTGCAAAGGCTGTTGCCGCCTCGGGCCTCAAGCGAGAACAAGTCTTCTTCACCACAAAAGTCCAGCCCCAGGACATGGGCTACGAGAGGACGGCGCTCTCGATCCAGACGTCTCTCTCCACGACTGGTTTCGATTATATCGACTTATATCTGATCCACGCCCCGTTTGGAGGCAAGGAAGCTCGGCTTGGGACTTGGAGGGCGCTAAGTGAGGCTCGAGATGCGGGCAAGATTCGAAGCATCGGTGTGTCGAACTACGGCATTCACCACCTAGAGGAGTTGGAGGAGTATATCAAAAGTACCGGTAGCTCTAGTGTCATCGATGTCGGCCAATGGGAAATACATCCCTGGCTTCCCCGTCAAGATATTGTTGACTGGTGCGGGAAGAGAAATATCGTCGTCGAGGCTTACTGCCCTGTCGTCCGGGGTGAGCGTAAAGATGAAAAGGTCTTACAGGATCTGAGCCGGAAGAAAGGAAAGACCTGGGCGCAGATCCTGTTGCGGTGGAGTCTGCAAAAGGGATTCGTTCCTCTGCCCAAGAGTGAGACACCTTCCAGGATTCAAGACAACGCCAATCTCTATGATTTTGAGCTAGATGCAGACGACATGGAATCACTCAATTTTCCCACTTCCTACGCCCCGTGTGCATGGGATCCAACCACGAGTCATGATTGAGGGTCGACCTTTGAGTTGAGAACATCGCGAAGTCGATACTTTACTTTCAAATTGGAGGTGGATTCTTCGATCTGGGCGTGTTGACGTCCATGCTTTTGTGTGCGTTCCTTGGACACTGTGCATGGGATGCACTACAAGATGCAGCCCAAAATATGTCAAAACAACCTCGACCCATATCTCCATAAGGACTGCCTAGCGATAAATTTGGCGTGCTGACAGTGTTCAAACTTTGCTGGAAACGCTTCTGATGATCATAGAACATGGCGAGCATTCTTGATCTTGTCACTTGAGTTCTAGAGGATTTTTCAATTCAAGCTATGAAATTGGGATGAACTTTAGAACACATTGTTTCCCTTTGGGAACTAGCACAAAGTGGCACGCCATCTCCATATCCTTGTGTGTCGTCGCACTGCCAATCTCAACGTTGTATCGCGTGATCAATGCGGCCGTGGCCAGCTTGATCTCCATTGTCGCTAGACTTCTCCCCAGACAAGCCCGCGCACCTTTGCCGAAGACGGTGATATGATTACGCATGGTCTCCAACTGTTCTGATCCCTCGGCGTCCAGCCACCGCTGCGGGTTGAATGTGTCTGGATCCGGGAAGATGAGCGGATTTCGTTGAATGGTCAACGCCTGGCACGAAACAATCGTCTGTAGTTCGAATTAGTCCAGGGACATGAGATCTCGGTCCTGCACTTCGCGAGGCGTCTGTAATTGGAAAGGGCACAGCAAATTGAGAGAGAACTTACGCCTGCGGGGACGACCACATCGTCAATCAACCCCCCAGTATCAGGGGTGATACGCTGCAAACTGGCCGGTGCCGCTGGTCGGAGCCGCAGTATCTCTTGCACGACAGCTTCAAGTACCGGCAATTCAGCCACGACATTGTATTTGTGAGGAATTGGCACGTCCTTGAGCTCCTCTCGTAGCCGCAATTGCCACTTAGGCTGCTTTGACAATTCATAAAACAAATATGAAAGAGTGTTTCCTGTGGAGTCGGTCCCGGCAAACACGAGGTTCGTGACTTCGTCGATAATTCCCTTGTCGGTCAAGGCCCGAGGTATGTCGGAAGCGTTTCCTTTGAGTTCTTTCCTTTCGTTCAGCATTTTGGCGATCAGGTCATGTCGCCCTGCAGGATCGACGTGGCGTAAGTACTCATAGAATGCATCGCCGCAATACTGGTGTCACGTCAGCCACGGCCAAGCGATATTGCAGAACGTCGAAGTGCACACCTGATTGAAATCATCACCAGCCCTGAGGAAGTCGCGGACGGCTTTGAACGGGGCGTACTGTAAGATTTTGGAAGTCGTGGGAAACATCCACCAGACCCAGAGAGAAGGGAACACGGCGTCCAGATCGAGGAGTAATTGAGGCGTCTTTTCTGTCTCGAGGCCGCCAAAGCTCTTACCTGCAAAGCCCTCGCCTATTGATGCGAAGTTAGGACAGCGATCTTCAGTGGCTGAGACCCGGGTAGACCTTACCGACAACGCTGAGAGCAAACATTCGAAACCACGGGAGGACGTCCAGTGAGATGTTCACCCGTTTATCAAAGCACTTGACCAGATTTGCCACGTGTCGGTGAATCATGTCCTCCATCTGGGCGATTGAAGCTTGACTGAAGCTTGGAACGACTCGTTTCTTGGCAACTCGGTACTCGTCCCGGTCGCGAGTCGTGAAGATGCCTTTTTGACCTAGTGATTCGTAGATCTCGGCCTTTGTGTATTTGGAATTGGCCCCGTAAATGTCCTTGAGGGCTCGAGTGGACGAGAAAGACAGCTGGTTTGGAGCAATTCGCACGACAGCGCCATGTCTCAGATGCAAATCGTGGATCGTTGTGCTTCGATTTCCTGACAGGTCCAGTAATATGATCCAGGCGCCCGATAATTTAGCCCAAAACGGCCCTGGTATCGAGCGAATGGGATCTCTGAGATATCTGGCCTGTCAAAAGTCACTCAAACGTCCCTTACTCTAGAGATTGAGCATGAACATACGAGGTAAACCAGCGCAAGGCACAAAATGAATAGCGGGGCCGCCAGGCCTTGCCACCAGGCCATTGCGAAAAGATGGTCCATAACTTGGGAACAAATAACTGCCGCCGATATACCGGCCGGTTATCTGGGTGAATCTCGTCGACGACTCGCAACCACAGGAGCGCCTTATATACAGAGAATGCTGCAAACAATGCGCGCCAGATTCTGCCCACTACCGAGAGGGACCCTTCCAGAAGTGTGACGGCGTTATTGGCCTGCTCGCAACGACCCTAGAGCCAAAGGTCTATGCAATCAAATGTTTTATGCAGATGCTTCAACGGTGTGAAGCAGTTGAATCCACATCTGAAGTCGGTCCTTGCGTTGTAGCTGTTGCGGACGTTTACGATTGGACAGATTTTCGTCGGCCCGAGAACGGCGACATGAGGGCGAGATTCCTATTGGACGGGGCCCGACGTTCTGACCAATCTCAGCCGGTCCATTTTAGAACCCAAGACCAACGTCAGTTGCTCTGGTTGCTTTGACGATCCTGTCCAGTCGCTGTTGTAGCTATCTTGTCCGCAACGACAGCTACTCGTTTCTACACAATACGCTCTAGAGTGTAACTGGGCAAAGATGAATAATTCTCTCGGCAGCATCTAAGGTTGTCCCTGGCGAGGCATGCAACATCGGCTCAAAAGCAAGCCTCCTCACCCTCTTACACCCTAACTCAACTATCCAAGTCTACTCATCAATCAATCGAAATGAACGGAACATCCAACAGGCTCCATGTCGAAGCCTATTTGCCCAAGAACACCGGGCTGTTCTACTACGGGTCTTTCAAAAGCCCTATCGATGGAGAGTACAAAGACGTCGTCAGCCCAGGCACAGGCAAGTCCATCACCAAGGTCGCTTTCGCTGGTGTAAAGGACACGGTGGCCGCCCTAGAGGCCGCGGACAGGGCTTTTCCTGCGTGGAGCGCCACTCCGTCAATTGAAAGGTCGAAGCTTCTCCGCAAGGCGGGCCAAGTGATCCGTGACCATGCTGATGAATTGGCCGCACTTGATGCCTGGAACGTTGGCAATCCAGTGGCAATCATGCGCCAGGACGTGGAATATACCGCCGACAATTTTGATCTGTTCGCCGGACTCTTACCCGCCGTGACGGGCGACACACATCATCTCTCGGAGGAGACATTCAACTACACGATTCGAGAACCGCTGGGAGTGATAGCGCGAATCGTGGCGTACAACCATCCGGTCATGATGCTTGGGATGAAGCTTGCCAGTGCGATCGTGGTGGGAAACACCGTGGTCCTGAAGGTGGCCGAACAAGCCCCAATCTCGGCGCTCCGTATAATGGAACTCATCGGACACCTCTTCCCTCCCGGAGTCGTCAATGTACTGGCAGGTGGGAAAGAGTGTGGTGCAACCCTGTCGAGTCATCCAATCGTCCGGAAGATTACTCTGGTCGGTAGCGTACCTATCGGTCGCCTGATCCAGCGCGCTGGTGCGGACACTCTAAAACTGACCACTTTCGAACTGGGCGGGAAAAATGCTCTTCTTGCGTACCCGGATGCGGATGTCCCGCAGCTCGTCGAGGGCATTGTCCGTGGTATGAACTTTGCTTGGTGCGGCCAGTCATGTTCATCGACTTCACGCATCTTCCTGCACGAATCCTTATATGACAAGGTCCTCCAACTGGTTGTAGACACGGTCCGGACAAGTTATCAGCCCGGCGATCCGCTCAACCCCGAGACGTCGATGGGAGCTCTCGTGGATCGAAACGCTCTCAATCGCGTCCAAAAGTACATCGAGATCGGTAAGAGCGAGGGAGCAACCTTGGTCCTAGGCGGAGTCGCTCCTGACACGCCCCGTGATGGCTTCTACATGATGCCTACAATCTTTGGGGATGCCCGATACGATATGCGCATTGCGCAGGAGGAGATTTTCGGGCCGGTCATGTGTGTTTTGAAATGGTCGGACGAGCAAGACAGATCAATTCGGTGGAATACGGATTGACGGGCGCAGTGTACACTTCCAACATTGTGACGGCGCAGAAAGCGGTCAGGAAGATGCAAGCTGGGTATGTCTGGGTGAATACGGTCAGCACCCACTTCCTGGGCATACCATTTGGGGGCTACAAGCAGTCAGGCATGGGCAGGGAGCATGGCCTCGACGAGCTTTTCGAGTTGACTCAATGTAAGGCTGTGCACGTAAAACTCTCATGAGTTTTACCGTGGCTTGGAAAAGAGATAAGAGCACAACCTCAGACTTGTGGCTGACCGTCCTGTAGTTTGAATCTTTGCACTTGGAGAATCGCGCACAAGTCTTCGCCAGTAGCATGGTCAACGCGCAGTCTTTCTCAACCATCAGGTAGCGAAAATTAAAGAGATCAAGATCTCAGGAACACGCACTGACGGGCAACAAACGTGCGGAGACTATGTCTTGCTCGAAATGCTCTTTTGCGGAAGGTATATAGTATATGCTGCTTCACTACCCATTCAATGCTCGCCCGCTTCAGTTCTCAGACGCCATTTTGATAACTCGAACCTCCAGCAGCCAGATCAAAGCCTATCAATTCGTTCAGACCGCAAACCTCGAACAGCCTCTTCGGCCCGCCGACCATGACCTTGGCTGGCTTCACCGTGCCGGTGTGCATCAATTCGTTAGCCACGGCGCTGATTGCCTCATAAGCAGGACCTAGTGCAAGAGCAGGATAGATGATTATTCGGTAGCCCACCTCTTGGGCCTCGTCGACGCTGATATTGGGTGTGATGCTGCCGGTGACCATGTTCAGCAAGACCGGTGCCGGTGCGAGGTCTTGACACACGGCACGCATTTGCTCAATCTTGGTCGGGGCCTCCAGAAACGCGACATCTGCTCCTGCGGCAAGGGCCTTTTTCAAGCGACCGACGGCGGCATCGTACCCGAGCCCCTGTAATGCATCGGTGCGGGCGATAATCACAATGTCTCCGTTGGGGATCTCGTCCCGGGCCAGGACAGCGGCCCTGATCCGTGAAACGTAGACGTCCTCGTCGACGAGCTCTTTGGAGCCGAGGTGGCCGCATCGTTTTGCTTGAACCTGGTCCTCCAGATGTAGGCCGGCGACACCGGCTTTGATATATTCCTGGACGGTCCGCCGCACCGACAGTGGCCCACCGTACCCGGTGTCTGCGTCGGCGATGAGAGGGACTGTTGAATCGAGGCCGGCGATCATGGCTGCGTTGGCCGTCATATCGTTCAGGGTGGTCAGGCCCAAGTCGGCCATGCCCAGTCGCGACATGGACACGCCTGCGCCAGTCATGTACATTGCATCTGCGCCCGCTTCAATCACGATTCGCGCACTGAATCCGTCGTACACTCCCGGACAAACGACGATCTTTCCTCCTGCCATCAACTGGCGGAGACGTGCTGCTCCTGTCAAGGCAGGTTTCCCGTTTGCGTGTGCCATTCTGTGGTCACTTAGTAGTCGAGGCAAGAGAGAATGTGGGGGCCCAGCCTGGGTAGTATGGTCGACCACCATCCAAAACAACGATAGGACCTTTGGTTTTCTGAAGACCTTGACATTTCGAAGAACTTATCTGCCGGAGACACGCTCCCAAGCCTTTAGGTTTCACGCAGCAGTGTTCGCCAGCGCATTTGGCAAGAAGTGGTCAATTGACGGAGAACAACCAATCGGCGTGCTGTGCGCGAAATCGCCAGGACCATTACAATGCCGTACGAATCATCTTCACGCATCTACCGAAGAAATGCTGATTTGCGGAAGTGGAATTCTGAAAATTCAGCCGTCAGACATCTCGTAAGTACTGTAGACTCAAGTGGCTGAATGTGTTTGATTATCACTACGGGCATCTGTGGACACTCTAGGGCCGGGTGTGGTACTTGGAATGGTACCATTCACGATTCGCCTCACCACTGTAGCTTTGCCTGTTCTCTATCCTTTTCCGCTGCCTCAAAGTCCCAAGCAGTCGTCTCATTCTTGATGTCATGGTCTGGTTTCTGCGATGTCAATGCTTCCCAGAGACCCTTTCCCCACCGCCCAAATGCCTTTGCAGCTCCACCACACTGCATGAGTCGCCGTTGCATCGGGCTCAGGGTAAAGTAGAAGGTCTCGTAGGTTCCATGGTCATCTACTTCCAGCTGCAGGAGCGAGCGATCAAGATGGATTTTCATCCCTCTGCCATCCTCAACGACCTTCCAGAACCGTGGATCCTTCATTTCGAATCCGAGGAGACCCAGGTTGGACTGGTTCCGGCTGTAGATGAAAGCAAAGCTCTTCGCAATGACACATTGCACTCCAGCACCCTGTAGAGCCGCGACTGCGTCCTCACGACTGCTCCCACAGCCAAAAGCTTCGCCGGCGACGACAATATTGTGGCCGTGCTCTCTGACCTGCCCACGGAAGTCTGGATGCGTATGGTACAGGCAATATGTCCCAAGCTGGTCCCGTGTGATATTTGGTTTCGATATTGCTTCATTCGGGGCTAGCGCATCCGTGTCGACGAAGTCTCCTAGTCGTGCCACTTTGCCTATGATTACCGAGGACGCACACTCGGGCTCTTGAGGGTTGGGCGTGATCGACTCTGTTGTTGCTGTGTCAATATTGATCTGAAAGTCGCTGTACGAGTTCTGGGATTCCTGGCTCTCTCGAATGGTGAAATTTGAGAGCGCCTGACGGTCATCCAATGTGATTTGCATACTCAATCTCGATCCAGGCTCGACAAAGTCCAGCCGAACGGGTGAATTCTGTCGGCTTTCTCTGCCCAGGATTGCGTCCACGCGACTCATGTCAATGAGACTCAGCAAAGGTGCCGGATTAGCGATCTTCATGTTAAAGCTACTTGCCGCCACCGTGACTGCTGAAGCGAGATTGCCAAAGGCACCTGACCAGATCTGTGAGTCCAATCTGACATCAAGGTGAAGAAACAGGTCATGGACATTTACCTGGCCCCATTCTATTCTCGAAATTGCGATTCTGGCTTGTTAACCATGTTTCGCCTTTCCCAGCCTGATCGGCAGACATGCCTACACAGTAGCTGCATCCTGGAACCCCAACTTCCCAGCCTGCGTGCTCGAATATGTCGACGAGCCCATGCTTTCGCATGTTATGCAGGATGGGCATTGAGCCAGGCACAACCTTGCGTTTCCCGGAACGTATGGGTATTGCCCCAAGTTTCATCGCCTGCTCAAGGACCAGTGCTGCCAGGACGAGATCTTCCTCGGTCGTGGTACAAGCGCCGATGAAGCATCCTTGCAGTTCCAAACCCACCACCTCGGTCACTGCTACAACGTCGTCTGGCCTGGGATATCGTGCCACAAACGGTTCGACTTGAGCAAGATCCAAGATATATGTTTCTGCATAGACAGCATCATCATCAGGCCGAAAGTATAACGAATTGGATCGATGCCTAGACTGTGCACGACGGTTGACGAATGTCTGGGTTACGGCATCCGGGACGAAGATTCCAGTAACGCCTCCAAATTCCTATCAAAGCTTTGATCAGCAGAAGATGTCTTAAAGAGGGAGCTGCGAGCATACTGTGGTCATATTCGCGATGGCAAAACGGGCATCGCAGGACAAATATTGCACCCCGGAGCCAGTGTACTCCACGACCCGGTTCGACGCAACAGTATTTCGCTTAAGCTCCTTCAAAACGTACAGGATCACATCCTTACCCGATATACCAGGTTTGGGCCGGTTGATGAAACGGATTTCCACCGTCTCGGGTATCTTGAACCAGGTTTCCCCTGTTATTAGGGGTAGGATAACGTCTGCCACCCCAAGACCGATCGCCAGGCAACTGACTGACCCAGCGGAGCAGGTGTGCGAGTCTGAGCCAATGACAAACATGCCCGGCTGGGCTCGCTCACGACAAAACTCAGTATGCATTATCGTGTACTGAAGAGAGGAGAGGACGTCCAGCGTCAGAAGAACTTGTATCAGTGAGGAGGACAGGGCGTGGACAGGCAACTCACATTCATTCTCTGGCTGTCGGTCATCTTGAATTCCCTCCTTGCACACTCGCTTGATTCAATGAACGATCTGATCTTCGGAGTGTCGATGACTCTGGGATCGACTAGATGGTCTCCCGCGAGCCAAAAGCGGTCATTCCTGTAAATGCCCGGCTGGCCTAGTCGATCGTACCATCTTTCCATACCCTGACAAAGAGCTGTTCAGTGACCATCTCTCTGACATCCGAAAACAATACCTCTCGGGCTTGCGTCACTCACCTTCCAAGACAATTCAGACGCCAATATCCAGTCGATGTCCACTCTGATCACATCGCCAGGTCTGACTTCACCCTTTTGGTTGATGTCGTGTGCGGCAAAGATCTTTTCAGCCAGTGTCATACCTCGACGTCCTCGTGGCCGCGACGACAACGGATGTAGTGGTGACCTGGCTCTTTCTGCAGAATTTATCGCCTCCAGGTGAGCAGAGACCAAGAACACTAGCTCCGAAACGTCCTGTTCAGAAAGGATTTCACAATCTGATCGGAGGCCTAAACCGCCAAAGTCAGTCGATAATGTTGCCAGTCCATGTACATCCCGAAATGCTGCAGCATCCGCTGCGTGACCTGTGCGCGCAAGAACATCGGCTAGGTATCGGATCTCGTCAAGGAGGGTTCTCCTTCCTCGATCGGTGGGCTGAACGCGTCGGTCATTGCCACGATCGGTCGAGAGGACCTTGATCTTTCGTGTATCCTCCAAGATATGCAGCAGGTTGTCGAGTTGCAAAGAGGCCGGCCCTGGTACGGTGATGCATGCAGGAGGGTGAGTGAGACCGGCCATGCTTGTAGGTTAGATGCCTGATGCCTTCCAAGTTCTAAAGAGACCTCACTCCACCACAAACAGAAGATCGTGCAGTAGTTTAGTACGGAGTGAGTCGCATACTTCAGGTAGAGGCAGCATGAACCGGGTGCTCCTGCGGTGGACGTAGACGGCACCATGTAATTTCCAAGCACCCTTTCCAAGCACCCTTTCCAGGTGGCCGAGATCCCTTAACCATTCTGTCCCCAAGATTCCCCGGCAGTCTCGCTCGACCGGTTTTGCCTGTTGTCCGTTGTTACGGCCGGGGTACTTCTCATTCAGCGTTCGGCGCCGATTGGTGCAAGGCTGCTGGCGGCTAATGCTTTCCAGCACAAGGACGGACAAACGAACCATCTCCCACCCAAGCTTTTTCCAGGATAAATAGCAGCTAGACTCATTCTGACCAACCTTAGGTTTTGACGGCAATCCCAACCCCCCTGGCGCCCTCTGAAACAGATACCTACCTTAGTTGGCCCCTTTGTCCCACAGCCTCGTCCGCATCAGCACTTGACCTCTGGCAGCATATGTCACCAGAACTCTCACTGCCAGACCCTTCCGGACAAAGATGAGGCCTCCATACAGCTTATAGGACGAAATGATTGATATTTCAAAAGTTTTGTGTAGTCGATGAGAACGTTGGCCATGACGTCCACCTTCACTGAGCGCGTGCACAATCCAAGGCTTTGAATAGGGCAGTACTCGGTGCTTGAAAAGCAGCACCTACAAAGGATCAAGCGATGCTCTCGACAGGAAAGTATTGCGCCGAATGGAAACAAACAATGAGTCGATGTGTTCATATTGATGCATTGTGAGATCCATCTCTCTAGTAACTACATGCTTAGCTAGTAATGCAATCTGTCAAGACATAGTACCCTGCAGCTCTCCTCCGACGCCTGTAACATCAACATATTGCCTGATCCATGTTTTCTTCCATCAATACACAACGATCAATGAGTTGCTGTAGATGGCTAATGAGTGCCGTCTCTTTTCATGCTCTGTATATGTGGTGGTGACAAAAGCGCATGCTCCAGGTGATGACTGTGCATGCTCAAGGCAAGAATGAGCAAAAGGAATCAAGATGGGTAGTACCAGCGGACCAAGAACAAATGCACGCCAAAAATAGTTGGAAGCATGCGAGAATGGATGTCCTTGGCAGTTGTGGCGTCGCTGGTTCATTTGCTGGACTGTGGAGTAGTGGTGGTGTAATTCTCCTTGCCACTGGCCGGCTCAATTTTAATGGTGACCTTCTTGGGACTTGGTGTCTTTGTCTTCTTGCCGGGGTCACCACTGTCCGGGATGATTGTAACTGAAGCGGCAGACTTTGGGGGGAGCTCAATATAAGGATGGGAAGCCCGAACAGTGGTGGTGTTGGTGATCGACTGCAGGCCCCCGTGCATCGGCCAAGTCGACGTGGAGCTGCGGATCATGTTCGCTGCCTTGTTGTTGACACCTGGAAGCTCACTGCGGAGCTTCAAATTAGTTCACTTGGAAGACGAAGGAGCTTGGGCAGTAAGGCCAGACTTACGGCGGAGAGACTGACGTCGCTGGAGTGAAGCCGTTGGTAGTGCCAGCAGGTGACTGGTAACTGCCATTCGGGCTGATGTGGTTGTTCACGTTCTGCAGTCGAGACAAAGTAGGAGACGGAGTGTGCTCAACCGAATAGCTGTACTCTCGGCTGCGCCAGTTGCGACGCTCTTGACTCTGTTGTTTGAGTTGCTTCTGAGCCTTGGTGTCGGCAAAGCGGAGGAACAATTTGATGCCATCACGCTCGTTGAGGACAGAATGGAACTCTTTGATGACACGTTCCGCAATTTCGCGTGTTTCGAATCTGGAATGGTCAGCAATGTGGACGGCACGGGCTCCAGGCATCTGTGCATACCTGGCAAAACCGACTTCCTTGCTGACTCCGGATGGAGCATCGCGGCAGATCTTGGTGGAGACAGCGTGATACGGCAAGAAGTGTTTGGCCAGATCCTAGCCACGCTGGTCAGTATAGGCTGCAAACAAGGGTGGGGGTCCCGAACCGATTCATTCCAGTCAATGGGAACCCCGGTGCAATAGATGTTGGTGGAGTTCTTATCTTCAAGGTCCTTGAGTCGGGAGTTGCGAGATTTCTAGGAGTGTGAGACGACAATGAAATGGAAGAGGAGTGCTGCCAACCTGAGCATAGCTGGCTTGAAAGCCAAGATGGAAGAAACCACGGATACAGTTCTCTGCAGCGGCAGGAGAATAGTACATGACGAATCCAAAACTCAACATTGTCAGCGAGTGGGAACACACCAACCAGGTAGAGCAGCATACCCTTTGCATTTGCCAGTGTCCTGTTCGATGATGGCCTTGCATGACTCAATCTCTCCAAAGCGAGAGGCCCAACGTTCGAGATCCTCGTCGGTGGTATCCGGCATGAAGCCACGAATGTAGACGTTTGTGATGCCCTCGGGATTTTGGAGACATTTGGCCAGGCTGAGCTCTTCTTGATTTGTCCACATGGCGGGCACCGCACGAGGGATCGGAGGGTCACGGTTGACGAGGTCGTCAAGATTGACCATCTCGTACGATTTGTTGTCCTGGCACTTCATGGGTTGAATGGGTCCAGCAATATAGTGTTGGCCGGCGGTTGCCGTTGGGAGGTAAGCCATGGAGTTGTAGTAGTCCGATTGACCTTGGAGGGCAACGTTTTGGTTGTTGGGAGGGTTCTCTTCGGAAGACCACGAGCCTCGACGACCAGGGTCGAACCCTGTGACATTGGAGGCGAGATTGTACGGCCAACCATATCCTGGGAGCGTGCTTGTGGCCATGTTGGTGTTGCCAATGAAGCTTGGAAACATTCCGGTAGGGACATAAGGCAATTGGGAAGTAGCATCTCCAGTCGAGTTCTGGTTCTGGCCATAGAAGTTGGGGAGTGGCACGGCTTGACCGGACGGCAACATCATCAAAGGACTATTGTATCCGGGACGGCTGACTGCGCTCATCTCAGTCTCGACAGAAGCAGAGGATGGCAGCGTAGCTTTGAGGTTCGACATGTTGGCAAGGGGGTTGGAATTGGCCATGTTCACCGCTGTTGCATTGTGAGTAATTGTGCCTTTGACTGAGATCCCAGCTCTTACCTCCATTGTACTGCGGATAACCAGCTGCAGTGTACGGCATTCTTGACTGAGTATAGCCAGCATACGCAGTGCTTGAGGCAGACTGGGTTGACGGTTTGTCAGACATGCCTGCTGGTCTCTGGTACTCGAGGGTCAGTATGCTTCTGGTGGCGAGACCTGGGGCTGGGCCTCCTGGTCCAGATGGGCTCACCTGCAATTCCGTTGCCACAAGAGCAGCGTCAGACCTCGTCTCCGTCCGGGCTTTCTGGGATTTTGGAGTGTAGAAATGGGATGGGACCCAACGAATAGAGCAGCAAAACGGGGGAAATGAGAATGAGCAACCAAGATGCAGTGCTGGATGGATGATAAGAGGGAGGAGGTGCTAACAGCGGGGGACTTGTGCAAGCAAAGCTGTAGCCTTTGTATTAAGAGAAGTGGAATGAAGAAAGTAGAGGAAGTAGAGAAGAGGAAGAAAAAATGAAGCGGGTTGAAAGAAAAGAGAGAAGACGGAGGGAACCCATTGAGGGCGTGTGCGTTCGTGGCTTCGGCGGCAGGAGCAACGACAATAGGCTGGGCAACAGCAATCTCAACCTCTGAATAGCCCAGCACAATCAAGGCATATTCAAGTCAGGTTCTTAGAGAGCATCAATAGGAAGCCTTTCAATGCTGCCACACCTCTTGGACCCACTCGAGTCTGCAAGAGGACGACTGTCATATCCGGGAGAAAGCATGCTGACGGCCTGGAGAGGGAGTCTTAGGTCTCTGTCATCTTGATAGCAGAATGAGCTCTCGCTCTCTATGGAAGCCACGGTCAGCCTCTGGCTTCTCAATCTTCACCTCGCCGACTCGGCCTCACGACGAGTTATGCTCCTCTGCCAGGTCCTCCGTAGTTGGTAGATACATGACCCAACAGGCAAACAGCACGCATCAATGCGCAGGGAAGTGCTTTCCATGTCTTAATCCAGCTGTCTTTGCGGGCAGCGACTGGTGAGGAATGTGCGATGGTGGGCAGTTGGACAAAGAAGGAGTGAGGCAGTCCTGATGACTACGGAGTCTGAGGTCAAATATCAGCAGAGAAAGCGGCGGAGGATTGAATACTCTACCGTAGCACTTCGTACGGTGCATCTCCAAACGCCCGCCCAACTGCACATTTTCAAGGTTGGAGAAATCGCAGACTGCCAGTGTTTGGCCGATTTCAAAAAAAAAAAAACAACCCGCCTTCAACTTGCTCTCCCGTTGGAGGCTGAACTGTATTGTCAAAATGGCCACAGAAATTAGTGATGAAACATGGAAAGCAGTATGTGGAAGGTCCAGACAAACCCTTTCGCATCAAGATACTGACCGAGGCCGCAGTTCTTAGACCAACACAACTCACTCTTGACCTTACTCGACTCTCACGCTTCGCTGTTGGCAGAAATGCGGAAATTTTGTCTCGACAATAGTCAAACGCTAGGCTTGTTGCAAGACCGCCTCAATGCCACAGAGAACTTAATTGCAACATTCAAGTTATCTGCCGAGTCATTGACAGACATCACTAAGCGGGAAGAGCAAGTCCCCAAGGAGGATGCAAAGGTACCTGAACCGGAAATCCTCAACGTCCCGATTCCTGTTGCCGTACCCAAGCCGAAACCTCAGCTGCCTGCCGAGCCCATCTTGGATCCCAGCGGGTTTTTTGCAGTCGACACAAATCCGACTCCGATCGAGCAATTATACAAACAGAAGCCTACCGTCGCAGTGAAAGCGAAGGATGGTCCCAAGCGAAAAGCTTCTGGAGAGCAGCTCGATCCTAATAGTGTCTCTGAAAATGAGCCCGTGCGCAAGAAACCAAAACAGAGCCACAAGAGAGAAGCGCCGGTCATACAGGAGGAGGATGATTCATTCGTGAAGAGAGTCGAGGCGAGATCACGGGCGAAAGAAGAACGCAAAAAGGCCAGGTTGGACAAGAAGCGCAAGAGACAAAGCGGTGACTCCACCGGGAGTGTCAAAGCCCCTGAAAACAAGAAGCAGAAAAAGAAGGACGATGCGAAGGTCGCTACAGCGAACCCCTCGGCGGCAACCCATGCTGACCCGCAGATGCAGAATGGCAAGAGACCGCACCCTGAGCCAAACAGCGACGGCACAAATGGACGGGCGAGCAAGAGGGGCCGCCGGGGGAAGAAGTAGTTGAGATGGAATTGTCTGAGGAGAATGCTATATCATCTCACGATGGCTCTTTGAAGATGAGCAAGTGAACACCAGTGCATGTTCGGCCTCTTTCTCCACGAATCAACGATCGCAACATGCACCTCTGCGCACGCCTCTATCCAGTACGCAAAATAAGTTCATGTTGTGTCACCCAACGCAAACTTGACACCGTACCCTCCATAGTACCAACCATCCAATCTCCGCCTTTTCGTCCTCCTGTACCACCTGAGCAATCGGCATAAAATGGCGGCTCGGTCTGGTTTGCAACGTCAGAAACAGCCCACCTATTTCTGGACCAGGTTCACCCTGGCTCGACATTGTGCCCATTCTTCACTTCCATATCGAAAGTTAGCCATTGGCAATACTGCAAGCCATACTTGGGTTGGATTTGACTGCAAGTTTCAGGCGACGGACTGGACCATGTTCACGCGAAGCTAAGGCCGCCTCCAAATCGTCATCAGTCCACACCCGTTATCAGAACATCAGCTCTGAACTTCCTGATCGGTAATTCGACTGATCACGTCGCCGGGAGAGCAGACATTGACGCCACTGAACGAGACAGGACCACGCAGACATGAGCAAACCACCCAAGTCCCCACTTGCAGCTTGCATCTTCCCACCACCAGTTGAACCCACCTGCCCACGGTTGGACATGGCCAGTGTGATCGCCAAATCGGCGAGTAGGCCTCAAATGACACCACTCCACAGACGAACCTGTGCTGCTCGCGTTCCCATCATCATCACCGACGGGGAGGCGAAACAGCGCCACGAGCAGACCGAACACAGCGAAAGGGCGCGTGAGGAGGTGCTGAGACACGGCGTGAAAGTGCGGGATTTTCAGGCTGAGGCGGATGCGAGAAGGTATGACAGAGGCCACGCCAGTTGTGCTGATCAGAGTATGCCGAGGTCGGATTATGTGCTCGAGTAGATGGTGTGGGAGGTGATGGCGGATGGACTTCGTGTCGAGTCTCGACGGGCCATGAAGAGCAACAATGGTCTGCCAACCTCTTGCATAGCACGGGGCAGGATACGCCGTGTGTCGAGGGAGATATCCCACACGTGGATTCAAATCACACCGAGGATAATAGACCACAGCCGGGATGGCGCAAGAATAGCAAGCAAGTACTCGTTCTTCACCCACGGTCCCGTTGCTTCTGCACAGCTTCCTCGTCCCTCTCTTCTAACTCTTCGACTTTTTTCTCGCCTTGGTTCCAAACTTCCCAAATCTGGTCGACAATCATGCTCCCATAACCTTCCCCTTGCTCGAGTTTCTCCTGCTCTTCCTTCAACCGGCGTTGTTTCCAGTCTTCCTGAGCTTTATCCCGCAGCGTAGACGACGTCCCATTACTCTCCCGCGCCATATCCGGCAGTGGTGCATGTTCAAAGCCTGGAAGACGTTGGGTTGCACCCGTTGCTGTTGAACCAGCACCCTCCTCCATGCCATTTCGGAGGCGGTTATGAAGGAACGGCCTCGAAGCATGCCCCATGAACCCCAACCCCGTGCGCTCTCGGAGCTGATAATTCGCGGCCGCGACGAACGCGCCCGTCAATGAGAAAGTGTAGAGATCCAACTTCCGGGGTGGGAGGGCGATCAGCGCGGGCGCGAGGAATAACGCCGCGAGCGTCGAGTTGTGCAGGAAGGTGTGGTAGTCGGAGAAGAGCCGCTGCTGATGGAGCTGGGACAGGTCCTCTTCTGGAGAGGAGGGCGGTGCCATTGGGATGGACCAAAAAAGAGGGTAAAGGGAGAGAAGGAAAAGAAGGTAGAGGAGAGAGGGAGGGCTATGTTGGTAGATACATGTACCTACTGAATGTCCATGGTACTGTATGGTTCTACTAGTAGAGTGAGTGCATTGATTTTCCGCAGTACCTATATAATTCGTCCTTGGCGGAGCATATATTCCGACGGAGCACACTGCCTGAATGACTCGCACTATTGGCCTTTCTCTCTGCACCAATTTACTCCATACTGCACTCCGCTCTGGGTTTCAAAGTCCCGATCAACCTCTACCTACCTCACCAAAAAAATTGGATCCCTTCAACTCAACTCCAAAAAAATTTTCGACAGCTACAGGATTTGAACCTGTGCGGGCGAACCCAGCAGATTACGGGTGAGCCTACCTGGTGAGAGAATAGGCCGTTCGAGTCTGCCGCCTTAACCACTCGGCCAAACTGTCTCGAATGTGTGTGGGATTTACCCTTAATTTTCGGCTATTGTAATATATCATAATTCTATTCTTGGTCAAGGTAAGGCACACGTGACCAAGATGTTGAAAGCGCCTTTCCAACTGCTATGAAGGGGACGGATCTATATCCCTTCAGGTGGATCGAGGAAGAGGTCGATTTCTTCATGCACATCTTTCCCTAGATCAATGAAAGATATGATAGTTTGGCATCAGGTTTTGGCAGAAATACTGAAAAAGCCAGCCACGAAAAAGGCAATCAAATTGTGTGGTGGGGACATGGAGACAGAAGTGAAGGGTATTCGCTACATACGAAAGACTCCCCTGCGTCCAGAGGAATCATCTGCAATCTTGAAAATACCTCCTCTGGCAAGCCGACCAGCCAGGGAATGGGAATGGCAGAAAAGCACTCTTGAGCCTGAACAGGTGTGGAGGGAGACTTTTACTTCCAACACCAATGCTTTCTGCTCGCTGTAACCCTATATATCATAGCAAACAACATGCCATTTCAGGGGAAAGAATTACTGTGCCACGGCAGGTGACACAAATGTCTGGCGACAATCGTGTAGATTGAGAATATATATTTTTGAATGGAAGGGGAAAGAACCGGGAATAGGTAAATCTCGCGCCGTTATACCACTGAACCAGTAAAAGAGCGGCGGGTCTCAGCATCGCATCAAGCATCTCAGCGTGCAGCGCAAGAATCACGCCGCGCGAGAAGGTTATCGTTGAGCGGTGTTCACCGGCCGTGGCGCGAGGGCATGTCGAAGATGATGTCGTCAGAAGGCGCCGGCGCCTCCCTGCGTGCCGCCATTGCGAGGGAGCACGCTATTGAACGACGCATGTGTACATTTGTGCAGACATCTTGATGGGCTTTTGGTAGAATGTGACCGAGAATATTGTCTCTGTCGAGGTTGGGGTTGCGTTTTCGGAAAAGATTGAAGAAATGGCGCTCGTCTACTGGACGACGCAGGTGTACATTTGGGCAGACATTTTGACAGTGTATTGGAGCACGGAAAGGAGTGACTCGTAGTTGGATTTGAATGAGAGTGTGTGTGGGAGAGGCAAAGCAGTTCAGAGTGGGAAACGAGCGGCATAAATACTTTACCAAGCTTCCTGCATAAAGACCAGCATACTGAAAGCAAGTAGAAAGAGATCATTTCCTGATATCCCAATTGGGTCGCTGAAGGCTCAGAGTCGGCGCCAAACAAAGAGCGCGCGGCAAGGCTGAGCGAAAGGGACGAGGCTTAATATTGTTCTCGTTAGTATTGTTCTTCTGACACAAAGCATCGGAATACTGAAATGCTGGCACAACCAAGTTATTTCCGGCAAGCAAAGGCGTTGGGAGTGGATTCCCTGGCGTGGAATGGTTTCGTCCACACTCCTGATAGTGTATGAGGTGCATCAGGTCGACAATGGTTTCGCCGATTTATATTGAGTATCTAAAATCGAGTGAATGGCAGCCATTTGCCTCGAAGTTTTATATTCACCTGGATCAAATCAGCTCAGGGCTCCAACAAACAGTGGCGTGAATCTTACCCATGTGTTGCCGTCCTTGTCAACCTCTTTTTCAACGTGGGTGGAGAAAGAAATCGCGCTCATGATACCATCACCAAACTTCTCATTCAGAACCGCTTTATATGCATATCCGTAATTCTGTACAATCTCGAACAAGCGGTAGATCAGCGGATCCTTGGGAGGAAGAGGCACACTCTTGCCGCGGTCTGGGAACCCGCTCAATTGTGCCTCGAGGGTGGCATGGTCGATACCAAGATAATCCGACAGCTTTTGGATATCTTCTGGAGAAGCCTTTGCTTGTCCGTAAAACAGAGCAGCCACCGCGACCTCGTCTCGACCAATCTCTTTGCCAATCGCCTCAAATGACACCTTCTTTTGCGCCTTCGCCTGGAACAAGGTTTCAGAGGATTTGGGTAGCCCTGGATGTTGTGATACCTGGTCGTGTTAGTTGCGGCGTTTAAATTGTCCTTGGGGTATAACAACTCACATCCAGCGTTGCGAGAGACATGTTGGATGCTGATCGGTGAAATTGCGACGAGGTTGGTCTGAAGTAGCACAACGCAGTACGGGGCTTTGACCTGAAAGCTGTGGAGGTGAGACGTTGAAGAGGACGCAGAGGCAGAGACATGATGGAAGCAGAGACCGTCGAATATATAGCCAATCCCCAGATCGAATCCCGTGGAGATATGCACTCGTCAGTCTTTGTATTTTCTGCTTGTCACAGCGGCGATCAGGGCTAGAGAGGCTTTGAAGCTGTCACTGTGCCCCCCGCATCAACCATCATCCGGGCTAATTGCCGTCGCGCTGGTCCGAGACGGATAGCTCCCGCCATCAGCCGTGTAGCTCTTCGAGAAGCTGCATGACCGCTCAGCCAGATCAAAGAGGATGCGACAAAAACCCATAGTCGGGTTGTGTCTGTGCCAATACGAATGATGGGATGCTGCAAGTTGATGAGCAAAAGACCGATGCTCCCAGAAGCAGCAGCTTTCAATTGCCTTCCGCGGCGAGGGGCAGCTCGCCAGGAGCTTTGTATATTCGCGGGGCCATGAGGCGCAGCAGCTTCGAAGGATGTGGCACCAGTGGAGAGGGTTGCTGGAAGCCTGGAAGCCTGACGGCAATATGGTTGGCTCTATCAAGGACACGGTGCCCCAGGCGCCCTCCATATCCAGCTTGGCATGTGCTTCACTTTCTGGACACGCCATGAATCAGCTGAAACGTCCATCACTCACTATGGCCGAAACAATTCCTCCATGACTGTCCACCCCGTTTGAGTCCACTGCTGGGCCATCATTTACCCTTTATCGAGTCTGAGTGCGGTTCTCCAGTTGCCATCTGTTCCCTTCTATCCCTCCTACTCTTCCGAGTCCAATCCGGTTCGAACTAAGGTTCCCGCCATGTCCTACCAACAGCAACCGGAAGACGACGGACTCGCATACGGAAACGACTATTCGCAATCTCGTGGAAGCGGTGGGCAAGACGGCACTGATCGATCGCTACTTGGTGACACATTCAAGAAGTTCAAATCCGAGCTGGACAAGTACAAGTCTGGTTCTTCCTCGTCCCCAAATTATGGCTATTCTGGCTCCGGCCCTGGCTCCAATCAGCAGTATTACGGCCAACAAGGTCCCAGTACTGGATATCCCCAGGTCGGTCAGTCGGCTTATCCAGGAGGCCCGCCTGCTCAACAACCTGGAGGTCGACCTGATATCGCGTCCAAGCTCTTTGGTGGATTGCAGAACACTCTTCAAAACATCGGCTCAGACGTCAATAACTTGCTAGGACCAGGAAACCGACCTCCTTCGCAATACGGGCCGCCAGCTCCAGGACAGACTAGTTATACAGGATATGCCAATGCACCAATTCCGCAAGGCATCCCTTCTGGCCCAAACCGCTTTGACAGCTTCGCTTCAGAGAAACCAGGCAACGATGTCAAGTGGTATGTTGATGGGTGTGGCTACTTCTGGGCAGTCAGCCAGGCGCTCGAAGGAGCAAAGCACTCAATCTGGATATTGGATTGGTGGCTGTCCCCCGAACTGTATCTCCGCCGACCACCCTCTCAAAACGAGCAATGGAGGCTCGATCGAACGCTGCAACGGGCAGCACAACGCGGCGTCAAAGTCAAAGTGATTGTATACAAAGAAGTTACTCAAGCTTTGACTCTTTCTTCGGCACATACGAAACACGAACTCGAGAAGCTACATCCCAACATTGCGGTGTTCCGTCACCCAGACCATCTACCAGATGCTCAAACGGCTCAGTCGTCTCTAGCGTCTTCTTTCCAAGCTTTGAAGCTTGACGCCGCCGGAATTTCGAAACTTGGTGCAGATACCCTCAAGGGAATATATGGCGTGACGGACGACGTTATTCTATACTGGGCACACCATGAGAAGCTATGCTTGATTGACGACAAGATTGCATTCATGGGTGGCTTGGATCTCTGCTTTGGTAGGTGGGACACAAATCAGCATTCAATCGCCGATGCACATCCTTCGAACATGAACGATATCGTCTTTCCTGGTCAAGATTACAACAATGCTAGGGTCATGGATTTTAGCGATGTTGCACAGCCATTCCAGAACAAACTCGACAGGACCAAGAGCTCGAGGATGGGTTGGTCGGATATTAGCATTTGCCTTCAAGGAGCTTGCGTCCAGGACCTTCGTCACCACTTTGTTGACAGATGGAACTTCATCTTCGACGAGAAATACAATGTCCGCAAAGACCAGCGGTACTACAGGCTTCTCGACGATTTCCCTCACCCTCCAACTGGTCCAGGTCAGCGACCTCAATCACGACCACAGTCTCAAGGGCCTCTCCAACCTCCAGCGCCAGTCGGTGGATATGCACCACCCCCAGGCAGTCAACCCTACACAGAGCCGGCGTGGCATACAACTGCCCGGCCGCACACGCCCAGCGCAGGTCAATACCAGGGTCAGCCGGGAACAGATACTGGTGCATATGGCGGTGCTGCAACTCCTTCCGTCCCGGGCGCTCAGATTCACTCCCAACATTCTGAGACTCAATATGGTCAAACCGCCTCCTTGGGTCAAGGAGTACAAGCACCGCTTCAGACTTCTACCGGTGTTTATGGCCAAGTCCCTCCTCCTCCGCCGCACGCTCCTATCCAGACTTCTGCCGGTGTTTACGGCCAAGCTTCTGCGTCTCCAGCGCAGGCGCCCCATCAATCTTCTTCTGACTCTTATAATCAGGTGTACAGTCCTCCGCCAGCCGCAACTCCGCAACCTGCCACACATGCTTACGGTCTGGTCTCCAGCCCTCCACCGCAGGTCGCCCCAGTTCAACAACCGGTGAACACCGGGAGTAGTTATCAACAACCTCCGGCCCAGTCCATGCAGCAGAATTTTCCTCCTCCACCTCCCGGCCAACCTCCCCAACCATCAGCGGCCCCAACACAGACTTATGCGGATTACCCGCCGCCTCCTAGCGCAAGTGCTCCCTATACGCCGTACCATCAAGGACCGACGGAACTTTCGTCGCAGCAATCACCTCCCCAATCGTACCAGCATCAACCCTATCAAGCTTATCAACCAGCGGATGCAGCGCAGGCTCGTGATTTCGACGAATACGGTCAAGAGTCTAGCAGAGGCTTCGATGATTATGGACAAGGTGGCGAGTCTGAAAGAGGCTTCCGAGGGAGATTTGACCAGTACAAAACCGAGGGGAAACTTCTTGGTCAGCAACTCTCATCGATTGGCAATGTTGTCTCGGGACAAGCGCACCAACTTCAAGGCAAATACCTTGGTGGTACTGACTCCTATGGCCGCCCGTATAATCAGCCAAGACCCGTCATGACCTGTCAGGTCCTAAGAAGCTGTACAACGTGGAGCAATGGAACTCCCCTTGAGCACTCTATTCAGAATGCATATATTGACGTTATTCGGAACAGCCAGCATTTTGTCTACATCGAGAATCAATTCTTCATTACTGCGACGGGCGATCAACAGAAACCTGTCAAAAACTTGATAGGCCAGGCTATTGTTGAACGAATCCTTCGAGCAGCCCGGAACAATGAGAAGTATAAGATTATTGTGGTCATTCCGGCAGTGCCAGCATTTGCAGGTGATCTTCGGGACGATTCTTCACTGGGCACACGAGCGATCATGGAGTTCCAGTACAACAGCATTAATCGTGGTGGACACAGCATCATGGAAAAAATAGCGCAGGCGGGCTTCAATCCTATGGACTACATTCGATTCTACAACCTCCGGAATTACGATCGAATCAATTGCAGCAATATTATGCAGCAAGTCGAACAGCACAGCGGGGTGAGATACGATGATGCCCGGAAACAACACGATGACGCAGTTGGGGCCGGCTATGGGCAGTACGGTGAGAAGACAGGGACGACTCAACTGTCTCAAGCCCCTCAGTACCAGCAATATCAAAATACCGCACAGCAGATGGCAACCCCTGGAAGCGGCCGGTGGGACAGCGTGGCGGAATGTTACATGCTCGGCGGCCAGGACATACGCACTGTCCCCTGGGACGGCCCTCCTGAAGCCGAGCTCGACGCATTCGTTAGCGAAGAGCTGTACATTCATTCAAAGGTATGCATGACGGCTTATGTGAGTTGTCCAATATCTAATCAGTCGCAGTGTCTCATCGCCGACGATCGAATTGTCATTGTAGGATCCGCCAACCTGAACGACCGAAGCCAAGTAGGATCACACGACAGTGAAATCTGTCTGCTGATCAACGACTCTACGCCGGTCCAATCCTATATGAATGGCCAACCATACCAAGCAAACAGTTTTGCAGCCTCTCTACGCAGACAGCTGGTCCGGAAACATCTCGGATTGATTCGGCCTCAACACTTCTTCAGGCCTGACCCCAATTTCGACCCAGTCGGGGTTCCCAATGTATATGACTGGAATTCACCCGAAGACAATGTCGTGGCAGATCCTCTCAGTGACACTTTCCAGGCACTGTGGAACAGTCGAGCAAGGACGAACACCGAAGTTTTCAGAAGGGCGTTCCGCGCTGTGCCCGACGACTTTGTGAATACGTGGGCCGATTACAAGGAGTTTTACGAGTACTTCTACCGGCACGCTGACACAGATGCGCAAGGGAAACCAAGCAAATTACCGCCCCGGGTCGAGTATGGACATGTTGTAAGGGCAGATTTCCCCGGAGGAGTGAGCGAGTTGAAGGAACTTCTGAGTCAAGTCAAGGGCACTCTGGTGGAAATGCCACTGTGTTTTCTTCAAAGTGAGTCAGATATTCTGTCACCTGCTTGGCGTCCACTAACTTGTACCACAGATGAAGACATTGCTAAGGAAGGGCTGACTTTGAATGCGCTGACTGAAGAAGTCTATACATGAGTCGGCAATTGTGCCATCAGACTGCCACTGAACGTGGTTGTTATTGACGGCTGAGCTATGACTGAATGACTGAATGAACCACTGCATTTGCCCTGATCGTTCTTTCTCTTATGTAGCCGTGGAAGATCGGAGACAAGATCTGTTAGAAGCTGCAGAGAGATATTGTCACTCCACAATCAAGGGGCTGCGCGGCGGCGGTTTGTGCTTCCGCGTGACACCCGGGACCGCCGGGGTCGTGCAATCCGGGGAAGCAGCTAGTTGCGCACGCTACCCAGCCAAGCAGCAAGCCAGGCAAGCCAGGAAAGTTTCTCGTCACCCCGCTGGTTCCTTCAAACTCTCCTTTGTAGTTTGTGACTTGAGCCTTTTCTCAGAGCTGGATTTGATGGCTGCAAAGAGGCACTTCCTCTGGGTCAAGCTCCATACCAAACTCGTCGACCAAGAAACAAAGGGTAGAGTTTCAGGACCAGAAGGAGATTCACCTTGTCACTCTCAGCGAACAGCTGCCAGTGGGAGCCTGTTTGATGTCTTCCCCACTTGCTCTTTCACTCTGCCGTCTTTCTTGACCTTCATCCTCTATCTCGCTCACCTTTGCTTCCTTGCGTCTTTTCCTTCATCACTCAGCCCTCTATATTATTCTCCTCCTTCGACTCGTCGGAGCTTTGCCCTTTCCAGCCTTGAAATCTGATCTTTCCACTCCGCCTTTTGACTTCTACTCATCCTATCAGTTCGGTACCTTGGTACATCAACCCTCAACATGAAGATCAAATGCACCTACGAAGATTGCTTCAAGCACTTCGACACCCATCAGGCTATGATTCTTCACAAAGTCAAAGATCCTGAACACTCGTACTGCAAGCTCTGTGACGTCGACTGTGCAGACGACATGTTCCTCTTCATCCATCAGCTTGGCAGCCCGGCCCACAGTGAGTTGGCTTGTCCTCCGCCTCATGCCTTCTGTTGGCCACTGACAATATCACAGTCTGCTGCCCGATATGCGGAAGCGAGGTATTGATTCCACGCCTGAAGAAAGTATCGCCAAAGCTGACTCAGAACAGTTCAAGAGCCCAATTGCCAGGGACAGCCACATGGATACTGTAGGTGCAAGTGACAGATCTGAACTGAAGGTCGGCTGATTCGAGATTGCAGCACCATCGTTACACCCAGAACATAGAGTGTGCTGGTTGCCAACAGAAGTTCCGATCTGCGGCGGATCTGATGCAACACATCGAGAGAGATGAGTGTCCAACCATCAAACTCCAGGATTTTCAGATGCAGCGAGCCGAACGTCAGATCCAGAAAGATGCGTGGGAGGCAGAGACAGACCCATTCGCCATCAATCCGCCCACCTGGGACCAGACGAGCGCTGCCAGCAACAATGCCCGGCCCGATCTCTTGGGCATGTCGACCGATGACTCTGGACGATCGCTCAGCAACGCCCGCGGCGGGCCAATCTCTACCGAATCACACGAGCAATTCCCGCCACTTTCACAAAAGATGGTCAATGCCAGTGCCGCTCCGCCGCAGTCTAGCTCTGGGCAAAAGCCGACAGGTGACCTCGACGACCTTGACCGTTCTGCGAAAGCCATGTCGAACTTGCAAATCTCTCAGCCGGCATGTGGAATGCAACAAAACACTGATACGCGACAAGAGAATATCAGTGGTGGAATGGTCAAAGGATGGCTCAATTCGGTCTCTGCCACCCTTGGACCACCCTCCGATGACTCGACTGAAGTTGCCTCAATGTACGACAGAAGGGCGTCATCGTCTGAAACCCCTGGAACAATCCCACCGAGTTCGCAGGCAAGTCCGAACCAGGATGCCCCTCACAAACACATTATCCAGATGCCCGCTCACTCGATCGTGTCGACAAGTAGTCGATTGGACCATGAAAAGTACTGGGATTCCATCCGCCAAGTGTATTCCTGTCCCACCATCAAATGCAAACGTCAGTTTAGAACGCTGGCTGAATTCCAGCAACATCTCTTGTCTTCGGCACATATTGGCGGTCAGGTCACTTGCCCCTCGTGTTTGAAGAGGTTTGCGACCACCGCAGCTTGGGTGGCCCATACCGCTTCGGCCAGCAAGCGTTGCGACATCCGCAACAGTGCCAACTTCAATCAGGTCATGCGAGAACTCACCGGCGGACTCCTGGGCACACAGGGGTACAATGACAATGGCTCGGTCAAGTTTGTGGCACCAAAGATCGAAGATTGGTGAAGCCGTCGTGGCTTTCTTGTGCATACCGCAGACTTCTCTCCGAGGTGTGGCAGAACATTGACGACATCTGCAGTTCTGATCAACAGGGGCTCGATATTGCCCAGACACTTTTTTTTTCTTTTTGAGTCAGTACCAATATTGACTCTTTGACTTTCGATCCCTCACGTCTCAGTGAGGCGGGGTGGAAATTATCACGACTACGAAGACGTATCGAGCTGGGAGGCTCCTCTGAAGGACTTGGCGCAAGGGGGGGATATGATACGGAACGCGGAATCAATGATACCCTCTAACAAAAGAACAGAAATAAGAACATGGGCGGCTGGGATTGATTGAAGAACGGGGAATGTTAGTGCACAAATTCAGCATCACTACCAGAACGGAAAAACATTATGGACACGAGCTTTGGGGGAATTACGACGATACAGATAGCTCTTCGAGACTTAGAAGCGAGCAGATGGCAGACATAATCAATACATACATGGACGCTCAAGTTCTTTTCATTTGGTAGGGTTTTTGGTTGGATTTCTCCATGCCAGCCAGGCCTTCGCCTTTATTATCAGCTCCTCAACTTCAAAAACGGGCTTGTGTCTCCAATTCACAACCGACTCGCAAACCCGTCCCGATCGATCCTGCAGAGATACTCGCTCGAAATGCCCTTGACGCTCGTCACTCCCGCTAATCCCATACACAGTCTAAACTCATCCGCCAGCAATCTCAAACACAGCTCGACCCCCTCCTGACCCTTGTACGCCAATCCCCACAATATCGGTCGTCCGACCCAGCAAAAGTCCGCTCCCAGTGCGAGGGCTTTGAAAATGTCGGTGCCGTGCCGAATCCCGCCGTCGACGTGGACGGGAACGCGTTTGCGGACCGCGGATACGACTTCGGGCAATGCGTCGAGGGTTGCGAGGGAGCCGTTGAGTTGGCGCCCTCCGTGGTTGGAGACGATGATCCCGTCGCAGCCGTGTTGGACTGCAAGTTCGGCGTCTTCGGCTGTTGCGATGCCCTTGACCCAGACTTCCATCTCGGGGCCGCATACGTCTTTTAGCCACGGGATGGTGTCGTCCCATGATAAAGTAGGGTTCGCTGCGTGCGTGTGGAATGTGATGGGCCCGCTTGGCGGGATGCGTCGTTGGCCGTCGTGGTAGCCCGCCGTGCTGGGACGGCGTTGGCGGGGCATTTTGGGCCGGCGCGAGGATGGGGTTTTCTTCTCGTCTGTGGCTGTTGTGGTTCGACTGTGCTCTCTCCCCACCGCTGTGTCGGTGTCTTCGTCTTGTTCTGCGAAATTGGCGATGGAGAGGTGGGCGGGCAGTTTGAATTGGTTCCGGATCTCGAGATTGCGCCGGCCGAGCATTGGCGTGTCGACCGTCAGGAGCACGGCTTTGTAGCCTGCCCTTTTGGCGCGGTCGATGAGTTTCAGGGAGTGCTCGCGCTCTTCGAACAGGTACAGTTGAAGGACATGTGGTATGTCGCCGCAGGCTTCGGCGACGTCTTCGAGCGTGCTGGTCGCGAAGGAAGAGAGGCCCATGACGATCCCGCGCGCGCGACACGCTCGTGCCGTCGCGACTTCGCCGTCGGAGTGGGCCAGCCGTTGCATCGCCGTCGGCGCTACACCGAAGGCGGAGCTGTTTTTGTGTCCGAATACTTCGACCGTGGTGTCTATCTGGGATATGTCTCGTAGGACCCTCGGACGAATGCGGTATTTCTCATAGGCGCGAATGTTCTCCGAGAGAGTGCTCCCGCAGTCGGCGCCTTCGTTGTAATAGTCCCGCGTCTGCTTGTCCATACGCTCGTAGGCGAGGGCTTCGAGTTCGGAGATCGTGAGGCAGTTGAGGTCGTGAGGCTCGGCCTGGGGGGCTCGAGGAGCGGACTGAGGGTCGGGCTTGGAATCGGCCTCGGGGGCCATCTTGGATGGGAGGAGGACAACAGACGGGAGGTGATATATATGTGTTGGTGCCTTGAATGCTGGCTGGAGACGAGAACGAGTACACAGTCACGGGCACACTCACTCCTTCACAACGAGAGACAAGAGAAAGCTGATCTAGAGCGATGATGCGTGGATGGGTACTCACGATATCAATCAGACTCACCTGTCTGCAAAATCGATCTCCTCAGCCATGGAATCGGCGCAGATGACGCTGTTTGGGCGGTCGAATCTGGGGTCTGGGGCCGGTCCCTATCGTGGATGAAATCAGCGATCGACCAGCTGGACTTGAAGCTGCTGGAGCATGACGTCGTAGAGATGAAAGAGGGAAGATGGGAGGCACCAGGAGGGAGGAGAAGCCATGAGTGCGGGGAGAAAATAATGGGAACGGGCATCGGGAAATGATGGTGTCGCGTCTCGCATTCAGAAAAAGAGGAAGGTCGATAATAGCCTGATTTCGCTCACGCTGGAGAACATTTCTCTTCCACGCGTCGCTCACGAAGACGATGGAGACGACCATGATGCCAGATATATTATAACAGAAAGCTCTCCTCCCGCACTGACTGACGGCCTTCTCTGTCCGCTTGCGAACTCCTTTTCGAAGTCTCTGCCACCATGGACCTCTCCGTCAAGAACCTCCGCAGCCTCCTCACGGATCCCACACACACGAGATGGATAGCACCGCTGATGCTCGTCGGCGAGGCTGCCCTCTGCGCCCTCATCATCTGGCGAGTGCCGTACACCGAGATCGATTTCACCACCTACATGGCCCAGGTGCGCATGTTCCTCTCCGGCGAGCGCAACTATGCAAAGATCACGGGCCCCACGGGTCCTCTTGTCTATCCGGCCCTTCATCTCTACATCTACTCGATCCTCTACGCCTTTACCGAGCAAGGGACAAACATCCTCCGCGCCCAGATCATCTTTGCCGGGCTATACCTCGTGACACTGGCCGTGGTGTTTGCGTGTTACAGGCGGGTGGGCGCGCCGCCGTGGCTTTTGGTGCCGTTGGTGCTGAGCAAGAGAATGCATTCTATATTCTTGTTGAGGCTGTTCAATGACTGCTGGGCCACGCTGGGACTTTGGCTTGCCATCTATGCCATGCAGCGACGCTACTTTGGAGGGGGAGCGGTTATATGGGGACTAGGACTGGGAGTGAAAATGACTTTATTGCTCGCTGCACCCGCGGTGGGAATTGTCATTTTGCAGGCCCTCGGTACAAGCGACGGGCTTTTCACAGGTCTCTATGTCTTTGTCCTCCATGTTATCATGTCCATGCCCTTCTTCGAACATGGGACAGGTTTCTCATACGTCCAACGCTCATTCGACTTTGGGAGACAATTCCTGTACAAATGGACGGTCAACTGGAGATTTGTTGACGAAGAGACGTTTCTCTCTCCCAGTTTTGCTATCGGTCTCCTGGTCATCCACGTCTCCTTGCTGCTCTTTTTCTTCCAGACAAAGTGGATCAAGCCCAGTGCTTCGAACTTGGCCGAGTTTGCGAAGAAGTACACCGGCGGCATGAAAGAGGCGGAGGAGCTGAGGGTTTCAAAAAAGGTCACCCCGAGTTTTGTCATGGACGCAGTCCTGGGAAGCATGGTGATTGGGATGCTGTGCGCCAGGAGCCTGCATTACCAGTTCTTTGCGTATCTCGGCTGGGCAACCCCCTATCTGCTATGGAGAGCTGGTGGAGGTCCGCTTTGGGTGCTGCTGAACTGGGCCGTGCAGGAATATTGCTGGCTGGTATATCCAAGCACGAACGTGAGCTCGGCGGTGGTGGTGACAGAACTGGCGCTGCAGGTTATGTGCGCTCTTGTTGCACCGCCCGTGGATCATATTAGTCCTCCCCCGGCAAGCTCACAGGAGTTGAGGAGCTGAGAGGCACACGCGTCACCCACTTTCGTCCTCACTGTCCGAGGGCGGCAGCTTCCCCACACGCGAGTCATCGTCGTCACTGTCTGCCAATGTGGTCTTCTTGACGAACTGTTGCGGCCAGAACGGTTGTTTCCTCCAGGCTTTTTCGTCGCCTACGATATTCACGATTTCCCCCCGGATCTTGTTGTCACGGTCAGCTGTGGTGGTGGTATCGACCAGAACATAGCCGCCGCGCTTGACGAAGATGGTGGCTCTGAAACGGGCTTCGAGTTCGACGAGAAAGGTGGACGAGTCGGGGGCCTGGACAGTATAGAGGTCTTTGCCGTGGGTCTGGACGACGCGAGCGATCAACTGACCGGGAGCCAGAGAGTCGGGAGGAGTCAGGGTCTCTTCGGCGGCACTGCGGATCTTACGGCGCGACATGGCACGAGAGTGAGGAGGGTGCATACGTGTGAGAGAGTGGTTCGACTTGTGACAAAGGATGGATCAGGTTGCATGCAGATTGCGGTGACTTATTTTTTTCTGGGCGTTGATGCAGGGCGGGCTGCACCTAGAGCGGGGTGAGTACTAATAGTAGTATTGGGCGCAGGCCCTCGCAGCTCTTTGGAGGTCCTCGCAGGTCTTTGCAGGTCTTTGCAGGTCCTCCACGCATGGTCGGGCCGGGCGGGGATCATTATGAATCGGGAAACCTTGCCGCATTCACCCACCAGGGCAACCACTCGTTCATTGTCTGCTTGTCTGCCCATCTGCCCATCATTGCATCAACCATCAACTGCGGCTAAAAGAGAAAAGACCCTCGAATCAACCGTCGTCACCCAGTGGTCGAGGCGTATCTTTTCGCAGCATCTGACTTAGCAATCGATCAACAAATATCCAGGCCCACAGTGAGTCAAAGCCGCAAGGTGGGCTATTACCACTGCCTTACGGAGCTAATTACCACTGTTCCACACCGAAAAATGCTGCCCTCTTATCAATGCAATCCTTCGCCGAATATGGCATGATATGAATCAAGAGAAAGGTATATGTATGTTTTCTCTTTCGCTCTATATCTGGTGTGCTTCCCAACTCACATCTGCTGTTGTCTCGTCTCATTGCGTTTCACTATCATGGCGTCAGTTCAAGTATTCGGTGCCTTCATCACCCACGAAAGTGAGCCTCCCATCGTTGTCAATGGACCTGCCCCCGTCATCCATCGAGATAACATTACCGCTGTGCCGCCCACCGAGTATGAGCTCGAGGAACTACAATGGGGCAGACGCTTGAATGGACCACACAAAGCTCTCTCTCGCGATACCTCGCCGGTCAAGACTCCTGGCGAATTGGAACGAAGTCAGCCTCCTACGCCAAAACAAGATCATGCCGTTGATGCTCTCGTCCAGTCTATTTCGAATCCACCCAGAAATCGATGGCGGGTGGCGGCGGCCACTGTCATGTTCTTTCTGATGGGCATGAATGACGCCGCTACTGGTGCTCTGATCCCATACCTCGAAGAAGACTACCACATCGGATACGCCATTGTCTCTCTGATTTTCATTACCAATGCTCTGGGTTTCATTACCATGGCGCCAGTCATTCAACTTATCGAGTCTCGCCTCGGCCGAACTCGCTCTTATATGATTGCAACCTCGTTGATGAGTATCGGTTACATAGCCATCGTCTGCTCGCCACCATTTCCTGTGGTTGTGCTGAGTTTCTACTTCCTCGGTTGCGGGATGGGATTGTTTCTGGCCATGACCAACGCCTTCATCGTCAACTTGCTCAATGGAACGGTCATCCTTGGCTTTTGCCACGGTTTATATGGAGTGAGTTCGCACTAGCTGGCACGAACTCTGACCGAAGCTAATTTCTGCCAGTTGGGCGGCATCGTATCTCCTCTCATTGCTACAGCCATGGTTTCAAGCGGCATCCACTGGGCGCATTTCTACTTCATCTTGCTCTCAATATCCTTGATTTCTATCCTGTGCATGGGCTGGTCCTTCAGAGGCTTCGAAAAGGACGCCGCAGTCCAGCTACTTTCGTCTCTCGAACGCAACGCTTCACGCCAAAGTGAACTCACCAGAGCGCAGGTGCTCAAAAGGGCCGTCAGGAACAAGACAACGCTCCTTGGAGCCACCTTTATCTTGTAAGTCACCTGTTTGAAGTTGCAATGCATTCCTTTGACATCTCCTAGCTTCTATCAAGGTGCAGAGGTGGCCATTTCGGGCTGGGTCATCTCTTACTTGATTCATTACCGCAAAGGCGATCCATCGCATGTCGGTAACGTCACCTCTGGATTCTGGGGGGGCATCACGGTTGGCCGTTTTGTCTTGACCCATTTCGCCCACAAACTCGGGGAGAAGGTTGCTGTCGCCCTCTTAATCGCTGGAGCTGCGGTCTTTCAACTTCTAGTCTGGCTTGTACCAAGCATCATCGAAAATGCCCTGGCCGAATCCATTGTCGGCTTGTTTCTTGGACCAATCTACCCATGTGCCACCGCCGTCTTTGCCAAACTCTTACCCAAGAGCATCCAAATCAGCAGTCTGTCAGTCGTGACGTCGATGGGGAGCTCTGGCGGTGCACTAGTGCCTTTTATCACTGGCATATTGTCACAACAATTGAGCACGGTCGTCCTGCACCCGGTAGTTTTGATTTCTTTTGCGTCGATGACAGTTAGCTGGGCTCTATTGCCACGCATTGGGAAGAGGACGGAGTGAAATATCATCATGTCTAATGCAGAGATGTATTGTCATGACTCATCCAAATCAACTTCCGCACCGTTTCATTTTCTTCGCCAAGTCGCCATTGGACTACATTCCCACAACTTGTACCGATATTCGACTATCAACTGACTCTTGTTTGTCATTGGAGGAGTCCGGTGCACAAAACCCATCCACTGGCTATGGACACGGGCAAAACACTTCTGAAACAGATTTCAAAGGTTGTGACCTCCAAATTCTCACTTGGCCCTCACATGCGGAGTTTGTCACGCATGCTGCTCATTTGAAGCCACGGTGACACAGTCTTCGATCTCGTATCACCCGACGACCGATCGCAACCAAACAACAGATCCAGCACCATGGACCGTGCAACAGAGGAACCACAACAACCTCGGGGAGTCCGCAGACGTCTTCACCAATGGGCCGCTCAGGCGGTCAACAAATTGCTTGACACTAGCATGGGGCCTACTGCTCTCTCAGCCCCAAGTCATCAGACAGACGGCACCTCTACAACAAAACCCACACATCACGCTGCTGGTAATAGCACCTTAGATTCTACTACATCGTCTGATCATTGCCGATTGCGGTTTAAGGTGCGTGTTACTCCTGCGGGATTTTCTGCTGCACCCTGTGTCGTTTCTTGAATACAATGCGAACAATGGCCGGTTGCTCTCCAGTCGCTATTCAGATCAGTTGCGTCACTCGCTATTGTACTCGATCTGCCGTCTGTTTTTCTCAATCAATCTATCAATCACTTACGCAACACCCTTGCGCTGTTGGCGTTTCTCTGGGGATATATTGAGAATGCAGACCCCCCGGGTCGAGCAATTTTCTCTCGAGCACTGTTTTCACGACAGGAAACCAGTCCTCCGTGCATCAAGCAATATAGCGATGCCAAAATTGCCTCGTCCAATCGAGCCATGGATTGCTTTTTCACAATATTCGTATTTTCCACCCTGACCTCTCTGCTCCAGGCCTCACCACTGCCAACGAACACTGCACCAATTTCTGTCAATACTTCGAGTGCAACAGCGACTCCTTGCCAGACATATCCGCCTAGCATAAGCATTGTCTGCGTTGACACTCTAGGAGACGTCCATAGCGCTACAACCTACGTCAAGCGCGACTTGGGGTTTCAGGGCCAGCTCGGCCAGTACGTCCTCCTCAGCTATGGAGACACCCTGTACAGTGATGCCAACTACAGCGATACATGGCGCGGCATGACGAGCGACTCGGTCGCGATAGCCACACAGGATCCGACCGTGGTCGTAGATCCTGTCCTGAACTCGGATGGCTACCCGCCGCAGTTCTGCCCACTGTTGTCATCTTATGGAGAAGATGCGACCACATGCGCTTTGGGCATCACCAACGTGGTCGAGACCACCGCCCCGAATCAAGGCGTCATGTTCTTCCTCCTCAATCACCGTCCCAATGGAACAAACAATCTGGTCGGAGCTGGTGTCGCCTCCATCACCCTCGACACATCGGCGTATCCGCCCGTTCCTCAAATAAGCCGTTTGCCTCCGCAATTCTGGTGGGACGCTACAACTGAACCTTGGTACGGAGATGTCTGCGCGCTGGGATGGAACGATTATGTCTACGCATATGGACACGGTCCACAAGGCAACCCCTGGGTGTATTTGACCCGAGTGCATGCCGAGGAAGCCACAAACGTCAGCTGTTACGAGTACTGGAACGGTGAGACATGGCAGAGTGACAGACTCAACGGGACAACTATTGGTGAGAAGGAGAGTGTGTTCTGGCAAATCAACCAGGGACAGGTGATCTGGTCCAACTATTTTGGATGCTTTCTCTTCGTGTATTGTGGTAAGTTGAACCCCCTCCATATGGGAGAAAGACCCTAATATTTTTGCGTGGCCAGACAACTGGATGAACTCGAAAGTGCTTATGCAAACCGCTCAACAACCGGAAGGGCCCTGGTCGGACCCCATCACGCTGTATCAAGCGACGCCCATCACGCCAGGCAGTTCAATCTACGCGGCGGTCCCGCATCCGTATTTTGACGAGACGGGGAAGACGTTGGTTGTCACTTTCACGAACGATCCGAATACCGTGCAAGCCATCCGGGTTAATTTTGCTTGAGGCGAATACGAAACCGAAGCGTGCTGAACGACATTGAAAGAGAGTAACGAGAACACACCGAGTGCCTGCATACAATATTCTGAATGGCTGGCAGATTGATTCGATTCGACCTATCCTGAGCTCTCTTGAAACCGGGTCGAGGTAAATATTCGGGTCCTACATCGACGAAAGACATGAGGATGTGCTTGTCGCTAGTGCAACAGGTCCCAGCTCGACTCCTTAATGTCGGAGTGTCACAGCCCAAAGATTTGAAGCTAGTCCCTCCGACTAGGATGCGGGAATACGGGAATCTTTACAACAACGACACAAGTAATCGCTGCACCGTCCCTTGTTCATCAACTTCGCTCAACCATAGCGTCGATCGGCATGGCTGCTGGCGCGAGTCTGGGGTATTTCTCGTTGACCTCGCTACAAGACGAAGTTGAACAGATTATCTGCTTGCAAGCAGAAGGAACCAGAACAGAAAACACCTAGCATATCCAGACTAGACACGAAGACTGAGCATATGGATTCCACTCAATGCAATGCGGTGCAAGACTAGTTTTGCCTAAAGTCTTTTCATGTCCTAAAACAGCCGACATACAGACTCTTTTACTAGCTGTCCGTGCCATGTGCACCAGCTTTCTCCAACGTGCCTATTATTCTTTTCGTCCCTTATCGCTTGTTGTATTCCGACTTTAACAGCCGGATAGATGTGTGCATCCAATCTTCGCATTGACGCCCAGAACCCAGGAACCCAGGCTCAACCCCAAAAGGGTCCTCTAGCCTCAGCCTTGATCAGCGTAGAGAAGTGAGGCTGATTGGAGAACTTCAACGGTAACCGGGGGAGGAGTGAGGGTGGTATTTTGCGCTTCCAGAGCCCATTGACAGCTGTATGTCTTAACGTTATGGGCCCCTTCTCTCCTCCAGGCCCCATGGTCTGATCCCTGGCCTGATATACCAGTATACAACTATAAAACAGGGGAAAAGGTGACCCCAGGTATTTTTGGCGGAAAAGAGAGACCGCCGGAAGCCATACCTAATATATCGGGTCGGACTATCGATACGCCGAGGCCTTGCTGGGTGCATCTTCCGATCATGGACTGATTGCCCTGCCCCGCCACAAATCATTTCGTGGGGACGTCTGAGGAAAGGGACAACATCAAGGTTTGCTGGCATTGATCATGACGGCCCAGTGGATTGTGGACTTTCGCCGATAAAATCCGGGTCTTCTTACTGACGCACAATATATTAAAAGACTGGTCATCTCCTTGCAGACGTCGAGACAGCTGGAGACATAAAAACACACCGGACCAACGGCCCACAGAGTGACAATATCGGGGTGTTCGTCTGACGGGATTCAACTCACCACCCAAGCCGGGAGAGATATTCCACTGTGACGAAGAGTCGAAGACACGGGGCTCAACCTGTGCTAAAGAAGCTTCCCCCCCTTTCCCTGATTCCTCCCATCGGACGACAAAGAAGACAAGTATGGCGACCTCCAAGGACGACAGCGAGTACCGGCAATACCTGCCGGACCTGAGCATCCCGCGGTTCACGACCATGGCTCAGCAGGACGCGCACGTCTACGCCACCGCGTTCAAGGAGTCCGGGATCCCGCCGTGGCTGCACGCGCTGTACCTGCACTGGCTGGAGCTGCTCAAGGAGCCGTTCCGGGGCGTGACCAACGACGGGGTCGTGCGACCTGGCCTATTCAAGATCCAGGACGAAGGCATTCCCATCGAGAAGATCGTCGCGGCGACGCAAGCCCTCACGCGACAACTGACCCCGGCCCAGCTGGTCAAATTGTCGCACCACATCGACTCGCCCGAGTGGCGCACCTGGTCGAATCCAGAGTTTCTGCTGAGCGATAAGGGCATCCGTTTGGACGAGCTCACGCCAGAAGTAAGGGATAGCGTCATGGCCGTGCTCCGCGCCACGCTGTCCCCGGAGGGCTACGACAAGGCCGTGTCGGCGATGCGCATCAACGGGTTCCTAGGCGAGCTTGTCAAGGGAGAGGCCGTGATGAACGAGTACTCGTACAATTTCGTGCTGTTTGGCGAACCCTCGACCACTGCGCCCTGGGGGTTCAGCTTCTACGGCCACCACCTGTGTCTGAACATCTTCCTGTACCGCACGCAGATGCTTGCGTCGCCGTGGTTCACGGGCGCGGAACCCAACATCATCGACGACGGCCCCTACAAGGGCACGCGGATCCTGCACGAGGAAGAACGCCTCGGTTTGAAACTAATGCAATCCCTCCCGGCCGACCAACAACACAAAGCCCAGATATTCTCCCAGATGAAAGACCCAGCCATGCCCGAGGGGCGGTGGAACCACGACGACCAACGCCACCTGTGCGGCGCGTACCGCGACAACCGCATCGTCCCCTACGAAGGCATCCCCGTCTCGTCCCTCTCCGACGCCCAAAAATCCCTAATCGACCAGATCCTCACACAATACCTGCTCTACCTGCCCCAACCGGCCCGCTCCATCCGTCTAGACCACTTCCGGGAGTTTTACAACGAGACGCACTTTTGCTGGATCGGCGGCTTTGGGGAGAGTGACCCGTTCTATTTCCGCATTCAGTCCCCCGTCGTGTTGGTCGAGTTTGATCACCATAGTGGTGTGTTTTTGAACAACAAGGAGCCCGCGAAGTTTCATATCCATACGCTCCTGAGGACGCCGAATGGGGGCGATTACGGGTATGCGTTGAGGCCGCTGTGCGAGCCGAGTGTTAGGCAGGAGTTTGTGTGGAAGGGGGATAGGGAGTGAACGAACAATACATATAGAGGGATAGGATGATGGAAAGGGTAGATGTGGGACGATCGGGGGATGAAATGTGGACCACGGGTCCTAAATTATATATCAACCTGCCATTTGAAAAGAGAACACCCCCTTGTAGCCAAAAACATGGATGCCTCTACACCGGTCACTCTCCCGCCACCACCGCCTTGATCTTCTCGGGCCTCAACTCCCCTTTCCTCCCCCACCCCCCTTGTCCGCTCTGCACACTCGGCCGGAACTGCTCGTACATGTGGAACGCCTTGCCGTTAAGCTCTTCTTCCTCGTGACCTTTGTTCTTCCACGTCTCAATCGCCTCCTCCATAGCGCGCTTGATCCTTTCGTACCCGTCCCCGTCGCCGAATTTGCCCTTCAACAACTCCTCGTTGGCCTTGTGCGGCTTCCCCGACACGACCGCGGCTCCATCTTTGAGTAACAATCTGAACCGCATGACGTTGACTTCGTCGTCCGCGCCCTCCTCGGCGGCGCGTTTCTTCCGCTCCTTCTCGTCTCGCTTGGCCGGGTCGTCTGAAGGCGGCTCCATCACTCCGATCGCCCGGCCCTTGGAGATGGCACATAGCGTGGAGATAGCGGAGCCGATGCTCAAATGCGTGCTCCATGGCAGTGCCGGATAGAGTGTCTGTGACACACATGCGGCCCACAGCTGCAGCACTGGCGCCCGGTTGATGACCACGGGTTTGCTGGTTTCCTCCGTCGGCGGGACGTCCTCGTCTGGATTGATCGAAGTCTGTTTCTGCTTCTGCTTCTTTGTTGGGCGCGGGGTTTCTTCGGTTTTGGTTTGGTTGCCAGGCTGTTTGCGTTTGTTTTGAGAGCGAGCTTTGGGGCTCTGCTTCTTTGTCGTGGAAGGTGGTGCCCGCTTAGACTTGGGATTTTGGTTTCTGGCTTCATTTGCCTCCTTATTGTCGAAGTCCTCCAAGTGCGTTTGCTTCTGGCTGCCCTTGCTCCTAGTGGTCACCGGCATGTTGTCTTCTTGGCCGTGGTACTCGCAGCATACAGGTAACAAGATAGATGATGGTTCGATGGCAAGGCTCGGTAATACTGGGCTCGCTGCTGTGGTACGATTGATGGGTGGTTGTCGATATCTGACGTCAGGTGGAGATATGTATGTGGGGCGGGCACTGTGTTCAGCCTCGCTGCGCACGCTGCGATGGGAGACTTCAATGCAGAACTGTGACTGGGCCACGTGTGTGGAATCAAGCGATTCGAGGCAGCTACAGCAGAAAGAAGGCGGATTGCGACAGGTTAAGGCATTAATTAAGGGTTATGGTCACAGGCTCAAGTGGGCCAAGGTCAAGCGGCCAACGCGATGCACGTGAGCAGTACCGAATACTTCACATGATACCTGGCCGCCTGGCGGATGGGCTGGACGACAGACACTTCACTTGCGTCTTCTAACATCCCGCCAAGGTCAACAGGCTTCACTTACACACAATGCTCCATCCCACAGCGCACAAACTGACTGCCACAACAAAGAAAGGGCGACGAAAAACACACAAACTTCTCGGGAGCAAAAACTCTCGTTGAGAGAAACCCTCATCGGTCCTTTCGAACCTCAGTTTTTTATTTCCATGACAGTGTGAATTACGTGTCACACCCTTTCTCTCTGCCATCATCCCCTCTACAAGAGAAGAAGGAAGAGAGGACAGATGCTGGAAGATCAGGTGATATTAAGACAGGCTTCAGGTCAAGGACCAATCTAGACATCAGTTAGTCAGACAAGCTGCTCCCTAACTGCTGTGACCCACGAGGGCTGTCCTCAGATTGTTGGGAAAGAATGGGCGACTATAATTGATGAAGCTCAGTTTTGTTCTGCACTTGCTCCGCTGCTGGTCTGTGGTAGGGAAAGGTCCGGCAGCGAGGAGGATGAGAAAATCAGAGGCGGGCTCACGTCCGTTGGCACTGGGAGCGCCGCGGCGCTACACGCAAACCAGTTAAGGCATTCGAAGATGCACTGAATTGGCCTATGAAACATCCCCAGGTTTGCTCCAACCGACATTGCTCGACGAGCTGTTCTGTCCTGCTGGTCGACGGTACGCTTATTTCACAAGAAATGTCCCCTCAGAGAGAGCGCGTCACCCAGATCCCCGTTCCTCCACCGTCCCAGCTTCCTATCAAGCCCCTAAGAGATACTGGGTGCCGGGAGGCAAGCAGAGTGTGTGACTTTCCCGGATATCCAAGACGAGCATTGTCCATTCGCCCCTCCATATCCGGCTTTTGCTATGGCCTCGTTCCAGTCTGGAGCGTTGTTGTTGAGACTGCCATGCAAGATTCATGTTAGTCAAACCCATTCTCGGAACGAGCGCTAAACTGCGGCCCCAGAAAACAAAAGGTAGAGATTAAGAACTTACCAAGGCGAGTTTGATCCTTGCGGACATTGCCTGCATTTGATCGATGCCGGCTTGTTATAGTTGTTGTAGAGGGAACCCAGATCCGGTGTGCCAGGGTAAGTAAGTTTCCCATCCGTCATGCCGTTGGTTGCTGCGCAGTTTGGGGCGTAGTAAATCTTACACTGCCAACCAGTAGGAGGCTGCAAGAGAGAATGAGGGGTCAGCAAAAGTCACACGGATCGCCACTGAAGGGGAATTGTTGGACGAAGAGAGGGCCAGTCCACTTACTCCGACAGATGAGCCTGCGTCCGACGGAAAGCTCATGCATTGCGAGTCGACGAGCTTGGTCCAGGTACACGGCGCCAACCAGCTCTTATTGTTACAGATGTAGACTCCGGCAGGTGGAGTCCTCTTGGCCAACCTCGCCCCTTCCGATTCATCGACGAAATACTCGTCGTCCGGTGTCAATTCGGGGGTAAACGCATGCACTTCATCTTCGCTGGTTGGGAGAACAGCGGGCTCGGTGATTTCTGGCTCAGCCTGAGCTGCGACGAGGTTTGAGAAGGCCACAAGGGCGGCTACGGTCGAGAGGCCCAGAGTAAAGGCGCGCATGTTGGGAGATCCGGAGGTAAGGTAAGAGCTGGATTGTGATGACAGTCGAGAGAAAGACGACGGAGAGCAATGTTGTGATCTCTTGCTTTCTTCATGCTTTGGGCCACGCCATATAAAAGAGGACCAGAACCACCGGCCATCCGTTTGCGGATCTCCTTGATGTGCTTCTGCGGGTATTGTCTCTCTTTGTGTTCATGATAACAAAGAGGTTCCTCCCGGTGGCAGAGCCCAAGTCAAGGAAACGTTCCATGTCTCTAAGGAATTGGTTCTTCCTTCAGTCAAGCACGGCGCAACAAGTGGGAGCAGGTTTATGATGATGGTTCATGAAGATGAAGTTGTGAAAGATCATTGACTGCTGGAAGTCAGGCATTCCTGCACTTTGCGACAGCCACATGCAGCGGGAAGAATCACCGCGCCACTTATTCATCATGGAATTGTCCGTGCACGCCCCAGCCTTCATGAAAGGAATGCAGCACGTTCGCAATGAGAGTCTCCGGCCCAGACCTAGGAGAGGAACCATGCCTGCTAATTCCACCTTGCCCCGGACGATGGATGATGGAAGCTCGCAATTCACGTCGAACAATGACATGACTGAAGAGATGGTAGATCAGATCCGGACTTCGGTTTCGTGGCCGGGCGACGGCAGCCCTCCCCTTTGCAGCTTGCCAGCCCGACCCACATTCTTGGTTCCACAGTCTCGGCCTCACAGTCTCCTAATGCCTTCTCTGATGCAAGGACAAGGCAGTGGTTCTATACGCGCCGGCACCAGTTCACCACATGGAGAGGCTGCGAAACACGCCAGGGCAAGGCTGGTGCCCCCTTTCTTCGGGTGCGATGCCCTTTTCGACCTACTGCTCGTGTTAATATCGAGGATACCAGATGATATTGCACGTAGAGCGTCGAATGGCGGAGGAGAGGACCAGTGGCTGTTTATATCAAGACGGTTCCCAATAGACTCCGAGACGATCTGACACTGATGAGCACTCATCTCGAATCGGTTCCAGCTAGGGAAGTCGGGTCATGTTGAGTCGAATAAGACCAGCAGCATCATGCTCGTGTGTCCGCTGATAGGGTAGAATGCGGACTGAGCCTCAGCTGACGACTGAGACACTGTATATTGGAGGTCACTGCTCACAAATTTGCGAAAAGACAAAGAGCGAGGATAGGGATTCTCTGGCGTGTCTGGATAATGGATGCGGGGAATCTTTCAGGGGGTCGCCAAGCCGGCCGGAAAAACGACATTGCCGCGTTCCGCCGCGTGGACAAACTGACGCAGTCGTGCGCGAGCTACGGCTCTCGACAAGACGCCTTACCTGTCCAGACTCGTTGATGGAATCATCCCTCGCCCATCGTGCATCTGCATCATGGCCGGGGAACCTGCGAAGCCAGCCACCGGCACGCAACGGCCCAATTTCCTGATCATCGTGGCCGACGACCTGGGCTTCTCGGACGTGGGCGCATTCGGCGGGGAGATCAAGACGCCCAACATCGACAGCCTGGCCCGTGATGGGATACGACTGACAGACTTCCACGCAGCTGCGGCGTGTTCGCCGACACGGTCAATGCTGTTGAGCGGCACAGATAACCGCGAGTATTACCCCGGGGAATTGATCCTCAAGCTGGAATAAGGGGACTCTTTCTAACGTGTTAATATACACAGACATTGCCGGACTAGGTACCATGATTGAGGCGATCAAAGAGTTCCAGGTGGGCCAGCCTGGCTACGAGGGATACCTGAACGACCGAGTCGCAGCCTTGCCTGAGCTTCTTCGAGATGCCGGCTACTTCACGCTCATGTCGGGCAAATGGCACCTCGGCCTGACACCGGACCGCTATCCATCCCAGAGAGGGTTCGACCGGTCATTCAGCCTGCTTCCCGTACGAGGCATCATGCCCAATAGCCAAACCATCAAATCAGCTAGCTGACAGAATCTCTCTCTCCCAGGGTGGCGCGAATCATTACGGGTGGGAACCACAGGTCCAGGAAAAAGTGCCAGATTTACTGGAGCGCAATGGCCCCTTTTACGCCGAAGGCGACAAGCCAGTCCCAGTCGCCGACTTGGGTCTAGACTTTTACTCGTCCGAGTCCTTCACGTCGAAACTGTTACAATATTTTAAGGAGAGAGACGAGGATCAAGCGCAGAAGCCTTTCTTCGCATATCTGCCTTACTCGGCGCCTCATTGGCCCTTGCAAGCCCCGGAGGCGGACCGCCGAGATTATCGAGGCGTCTACGACCAAGGGCCCGACGTGCTCAGACAGAAGCGCCTCCGACGTCTGGAGGAACTCGGCATTATCTCGCCCGAGACCCAGGCGCATGAGGTCTTTGCTCTTCCCCTCGACAAGCCCCTGAGCAAAGAATGGCGCAGCTTGACCGACGACGAGAAGAAATTCTCCTCTCGGACCATGGAGGTCTTCGCCGCCATGGTGCAGAACATGGACCGCAACATTGGACGGGTCATTTCCTATCTCAAATCAACTGGCGAGTACGACAACACCTTGGTCATGTTCATGTCCGACAACGGCGCCGAGGGTCTCCTGCTGGAGGCGTATCCCGTGGTCAAGGAGAACATCTTCGACCACATCGATCGGTACTACGACAACAGCTACGAGAACATGGGCCGGTACAACAGCTACATCTGGTACGGGCCTCGCTGGGCCTCTGCCGCGATGGCCCCCCTGAGACTCTACAAGTCCTTCTCGTCTGAAGGGGGAATCCGGGTGCCGTTCATTCTGAGGTATCCGCCATTGACGTCGTCACGGGCTGGGACACTTGATCGATCCTTTGCAACCGTCATGGACATTACCCCGACACTCTTACAACTAGCAGGCACTCAACATCCGGGAACCACGTATAAAGGCCGTTCCGTCGTTCCTATGCGGGGCACATCTTGGATTCCATACCTGTCCGACCCTGTGAAGCAACAGCACATCCATGGCGACGACTCGGTGATGGGATGGGAGCTGTTCGACCGGCAGGCTCTCCGGAAAGGGAAATGGAAAGCCGTCTTGATCCCCAAGCCCTTTGGACCGGGAAGATGGCAGCTGTACAATCTGGAGAGAGATCCCGGCGAGACAGACGATCTGGGCACGAGGCACCCTGACAAGCTGCAGGAGCTGCTCAAGCATTGGGACGAATATTGCAAGGAGGTCGGCGTTGCCGGCGCGGCGCCGCAGTATGGAGTGCTGAAGGTTGACGAGGGTAGAGATGCTCATTAGACGGCCTGCTGCCGCAGAATTCATGACCCTTGGGAGACAGACCTCAAAGCGCCCAGCCCCGGCGCAATTCTGGCTTAGATGGGTTTTGTATCAGCGGCCTTGGTGGTGGTTTGAGCGGAAAATACTCTGGCATGGGCGGCGACTGTATAAAGCGGGACCTCATAGAGAGAGCTTGCACAGGATAGATGACGGGCAGACATAAGCACATAAGCTCCCAGGTCTCCCTACCCATCTCACTCTACCGGCAATTTTTGTGGACAGAACATCAGGCACGAGCGGGCTGGCCTCTTTGACTTTGGCAGAGCCCTGCTCTGCCTCAGGATCGTTGGCTGAGCGGCGGGAATATTCCGAGGGTGGGGAGCCCTTTGGCCTCACAATGAGTTCCCCGCGATCATCTTCAGCCCCACGCTTCCTCTCAAACATCTCTTCTCCCGCAGGCATTGCTCGGCAGTCGCCTTCACAGAGATCGTGCGGATCACCATGAGGCACGATATAACTTCCACATGTCCAACGGTGTCCTCGATGGATGTCATTGCTGAAACTTATCTCTGACATTGAAAGGTTAGCATTTCCCGTGCTCTGCCGTGTCTTTCATCGTTTGTGTGTAATAGTGAGAACTGGGAGCGAGAAAATCAACACCCAGGCCCAACGAAAAAAAAACCATGACAGAACCAGCGACCAAAGTCGAGGGATTGCCCAAGTTTTCCCGGCACATCACCACGCACAATGCAGACGGAAAAGCGATATTCGCAACTGCGGACCCTGCCAACCCGTCGTCTTCGTCGAACACTTCTGGCGCAGGGTCAATATCCCCAGATCCTACGTGGACGAACTTCCCTACTTCTGGCTTCGGCCTCGCATACGCAACAGACACCATGCCAGCCGACTTCAACGGCGACGCTGACCTGGACGTCTACAACGGGTACCAGCAGAAACACCCAGGCATTGTCATCAAGGGTGGATCAGTGTGCCGGGTGGTCGACATGGCTCCCGGTGCAAAGTCGCCCATGCATCGCACCATTTCGATCGACTATGGCGTCGTGCTAGAGGGCGAGGTGGAATTGGAGCTGGACTCGGGTGAGAAGAGACTTCTTGCGAGGGGAGACATCTTTGTCCAGCGAGGGACGATGCACCAGTGGAGGAATCCCAGTGACTCCAAGCCGGTCAGGCTGCTGGCGATCCAGCTGGACAGCAAGGAAATTGAGATAGACGGCAAGGGAGCCTTGCCCGAACAGTTCCTGCCATAGCTTTGAATGTCAGCTTGTGATGAGAAATCCTTCTCTTCTCTCATTACCTAATATGAAGTATAGCTCAGTGGCCCAGAGAGCAGGTCTTAAGGCGCTGGTTAACGCGTAGCTCCTATGATTGATAACAAAGCTGTTCACGGGGAAAAGGCTGCGTGCGTAAGAACGTCTTGATAATAGCCTATCGAGGCCTCCAGCATGCGTGTCGCTGGCATCGGCCGTACAGACCGGGGACGGCGTCGAGCCGTGTCTCCGTGTCACCCCGTATGGCATTCGTGCTCCTGGTTCGCTCGCTTGCCACTGGTCGATAATGTGATCTCGAGGATGAATAATGCGAATTTGAAGCGCACGCTGGATGCACGCACCTTTAGGCACAGCGAGCCAGCCAATTAGTTATCAATCGCCACAGAAGGGTCACCACAGGGTCACCGCAGGGTCACCGCAGGGCCACCGCAGGGCCACCGCAGGGCCACCGGCAATTGTCCGAAGTGTGTTTTGACTTACCAGTTTCAGGAAATGCTCTCCAATTCTCAAACCCGCAACTCCACCATGGAGTGTAGATAGCTAATGTCCGTGTGGTCGAGGGGTAAATTGGTTACGAGAAGCTGCTACTGACAGTGCTAAATAGCCATTGTCGAGAGGCTCCAACCTCCAACGTCATGATAACGTGGCCCCGCGTCTGCAAATAATTTTTCTCTCCTTCCCTTTCTTTAAATCTTTCCTTCCATCCTCTGGTTCATGCAATCACTGCTGCGACCAAGCTCCCCAAAACTCATCTCCAGCTTAGCCAGAAGTGTGTTCAACCCGCAATCGCAGTTTCGTTCCAGATCACTAGCAAACATGGCTGTCCGATCCGCTTTTGACCCCAAGGACATGGTGTGTCTTCCTCCATCCCACAGAATTGAGCTGCGCGCTGGCGCCCGTCAAAACACGGTCACTGACTTTCACCGCACAATTAGGTCTTCCGCCACCTCGGCCCTACTGGACTGAAGGTCTCGGTCTTCTCGCTGGGTAGGCAATGGCGCATTGGTCGCAGTTGCAATGGCTGACAGCGTGAACAGGTGGCTGGCTCACATACGGTGGAACCCAGAAGGGCAACATTGTCAAGGAGTATGTCATGTGCGCGCATCGTCAGGCTCATGCTAACACGCTGGAACAGATGCTTGCAAGCTGCTTGGGACCACGGCATCAACTTCTTCGACACTGCAGAGGTGAGCAACTCCGCCTTCCAGTGGCAGACACATGACTTACGCCAAATCTAGACATACGCCAATGGACAATCCGAGATTGAAATGGGTAATGCTCTCAAGGAGCTCAACTGGCCCCGAGACGAGTATGTCTTGTCCACCAAGATCTTCTTCGGCACCGGACGAAAAGAACCCAACACCCGTGGCCTGTCCCGAAAGCACATTGTCGAAGGTCTCAAGAGCTCTCTGGAGCGTCTCCAACAACCATACGTGGATATCGTCCTGGCCCACCGACCTGACTATGCCACCCCCATGAAGGAGATCGTCGAGGGCTTCACTCAGGTGATCCGCAACCTCAACCTTGCCTACTACTGGGGAACGTCGGAATGGTCAGCCACTCAGATCACGGAAGCTACCTTGATCGCTGAGAAATACAACCTGATTGCCCCCATCGCCGAGCAACCTCAGTACAACGCCTTCCACCGCCAACGGTTCGAGGTCGAGTATGCTCCGTTGTACCAGGAGTACAAGTACGGCACCACCATCTGGTCGCCACTCGCCTCCGGTCTCTTGACTGGCAAGTACAACGACGGCATCCCCGAGGGCTCACGGTTCGCGAACCACAAGGATTTCTTCGGCAGCACCATCGAGTCGCTCCAGAAGCCCGAAGGTAAGGCCAAGATCGAAAAGGTCAAGAAGTTGACCAGCATCGCCGAACGGCTGGGCGGCAACATGTCGCAACTGGCACTGGCGTGGTGCGCCAAAAACCCCAACGTCAGCACCGTCATCCTCGGAGCCACCAAGGTCGAGCAGATCGTGGACAACTGCAAAGCTCTCAAGCTGCTGGAGAAGCTGGACGACAAGACCATGCAGGAGATTGAGGAGATCTTGGACAACAAGCCCGCCGCGCCGGCCAACTTCGGAAGATCTAGGTAGGCGGGTCCTTCTGTTGAGATACTTTTAGGAATGGGCCTCTGTCAGCCACTGCCTGTGCCGGTGAGCGAGTAGGACGAGCAATAGAGATCAGGCTTGGGATCACGGGCTGATTAAAACGTCCCTAGACACGAACGGCGCAAGAGATCGGCCAAGCTGTAAGAAGGCAAGGATAAAGACTGGGCTCAGTAGACGGGAATTTGGCAATGCAATCAGAAAAGTTTGTCGATAGACAACCTACCACCGGCCGATTCTTCCTGTGCCTCGCATTTTTGTTTCTTTCGCATATGCGCCCAGCCATGGTCAGACCTGCTCGCTGTGTCGATTCTCCTCCTCTCCAGACCCCATTTTTAGTGCTCCAAAATATATACAGATTCTGTCCAGCGCCTCCAGACCTCCCTAATACCCACCAGCCTTTGAACACATGGTATCGTATGCATCCCGCTACATCTCAGTGCTAATCAAAGACCACGGGCGGTGAAACCCCTCCTCCCCACCATCACCTTCGTCTTCGTACCTCTCAGCGAGCGGCGCCGCGAACTCGAGCATGAACTTGAGCATCCACTGGTCCATCTGGAAGTGCGAGTCGTCCTGGCAGCGCAGGCAGGCCTTGTGGAAGGCCTCGAAGCGGGCGAACGAGATGTCGATGCAGGGCCAGTACGTCTTCAGACGGGTCAGGAGCTCGAAGTTGCGCTCGAGGAGTCTGCGGGCGCGCTGGACGGCGTCGGTGTCGTCGCTGAACAGCAGGATGTGCAGTTGCACGGTGGAGGCGATGGTCAGGACGTGGCCGACGATCGAGTTGAGGAGTTCGGCTTCGGCGCCTTCGGTCTCGCTTGCGAGGTGGATGAGGTTGCACACGTCGGTCGAGTATTGTCTGCATTTCTGGGCGTACTGGGTCCTGAGCTGAGACTGAGCTGCTCCCTGGTTTTGGGGGTGGTATGTTCTGTCCGCGCTGCCGTGGAGGAACTGGTAGAAGAGGATCTGGCACAGGTGGTAGAAGTCCATGTGCAGGACGACGAAGATGTTCCCGAAGCCTTGCCTCGTCCAGTATACGAGGTTCTCGGGCGTGTTGATCATCTTGTCTGGGAGGTTGGAGACCCACGAGTCCAATTCGAGCGACAGCCGCTCGACAGCCTGCGTGAGCTCGACGCCTTGGAGTTCACCCGACACGGCTCGTGAGTTGACCTCGTCGATCTGGGAGAAGATCTGGTTCACCATCACCGAATGTGCAATCAACGAGTCCTGCGGTACGTGTGACTTCGCCATTGGGGATCCCCGGGAGGCAATGTAGGTTCGAGTCGGGGGGCTGGTGGACGAAAGCTCGAGAAATCTCTTCTCAGCCATAGGGAGCGGCACATTGCGCAACGGCATCATCTTTGGCAATCGTGTTCCGGTCGACGACCATGTGTCCGTTTCATACAACGCCCACCACACTGCAGCTCAGTTAGTTGTAGCCAACCTTACAAGGCATGCCGATCGGTTTGCGTACCTCTAAAGTTGAGCTCCTGTTGGATTCGCGTTGTGACCGGTGCGTTGGGGAGGTCCAGAAGCATTCCCATACGGCAGGCAATACTAAAGTAAACAGATTCTGTCGCCCCTTCACCCTCAACCACGGCGGACGCTCCCAGCAAAAGGCAGGCCTGGATAGTGGTGAGGGAGATGTCGTGCAGATTCAACAATCGCTCTGCTTCCTTGGTGAATGGTCTGCCTCGCTCCCGAGGTGGTGTCTTGAGCAGGCTTTCGTGCTGTGAAAACCGTGCTGCCATGCCGATGACGGCGAACAGGAGGATCCTCGAGAGGGAGCCATCCTTGAAGGCGGCCAAGAAGGACGGCCTGTGGAACAAGACGTGGAACGAATAATGAACGTAGCGGAAGTAGAGGTTGATCAGCTCCTCGCACAAGTCCAGAGGCGGCAGGAGCTTAGACTTGTGCGTGAGAGCGTGTATCCGCCGAGGGACAATCGGCTCGTAGCCATCTTCTGGGAAGTCGGTCTCCTGACTCAAAATGCACTGCAGATTCCTCTCCGTGCAGAAGTCGCACGCTGTTCCCTGATAAGACCGTATGCATTTCCTCCGACGCCTCCTACGACTCAAGCTGAGCGATTTTGGACGTCCCTGAATCCCAGACGTCGGAGAAACTTACCGACAGACAATACAGGCTGATTTGGGTCTCATCAGGAGCCGGGTGGAGGAATCTGGTCCCAGGACATAGGTCGGCGTTTTAGAGGCCTGGTCGCATCCACTCTAACACATTTTACGCACCATTGTTGTCACTGATAAGGAGAGCAGGTGGTAGAGAGATAATTAGATCGCGATTGACAAGTTGCCGAAAATGATTTGGCGTTTGCGGAGGGATCACGTGCAAATGCCCAAGTGCGGGGCATATTTGTGTGACTGGCACGATCTCTCTGTGATTGGCCGAGTGGCAGACTTCTTTATGAGTTTTGTTGTAGCAGCAACACACAAATTTACGAGCTAACCGAAGATGTGTGCAAAGGACGCTGCTATACGGCTCTCCGCCGACATGGCACTAACTGGATTGGGGGCGGAATCTCTGGCGGAGAAAAGGCCGCTCCGATTGGTTACTGAGCGGACGTGGATCGAGTTGATGAAACATAGCGTAGGCTTTGGACGCGGACTACCCCCGACTTTCATTTGTTCACTGCATCTTGCAACCAGCTTTCTGTGGAGAAATTCAACTCCATTCTGGACTGATTGCCATGGGGTAGTCTTCCCGCATCTTTCGGCCTTCCCAATGCCAGCCGCGATGAATCGGATCGGCAATGTCGCCATGGCCTGGGTCGACATTAAGCCTTCCGGCGTCCAGCGATACGGTAGCGATACGGTCTCCATGGCACGCCTCACCTTCAGGATGCGGAAAATATCATTTCATTCTCGCTGGCACCTTGTGAAAATTCCCTGCCTCTGCTGGCGAGGATATTCTTCTCGCATCTGCGGCCACACAACTGCTTTCTGCCACAAGTATGCTTGAATCAATCGACAGTCTGGGTCTAGGGGGCCCTTCCTTCCCCCAGCGGAGGGATCAATGCAGGCCAGACTATGCCAACGAGGCGATTTTCCGTCGAAACACGCTGCCGCCGCGGTCCTACTGGATCCCAAACACTTCTCTGTCACTCAACCGTGCCTGGGACTTTTATTACGCCGGCAGTCCCCTCGAAGCCGCTGATTGCGATCAACGACAAACCTCCTGGACCACGATCCAAGTGCCGGGCCATTGGCAGCTTCAAGGCCATGGCCGGCCTCAGTATACGAATATCGTCTACCCATTTCCAGCCTGTCCACCCCATCTTCCGGACGAGAACCCCACGGGCACGTATCGGCGGACCTTTTCTGTGCCTCCCGATTGGGACTGCAGTGCCCAGTTGCGACTACGCTTCGACGGTGTCGACAGTGCCTATCACGTCTGGGTCAACGATGATTTCATCGGGTACGCCCAAGGCAGCCGGAACCCCGCCGAATTTGACATTACGGCCGCCGTCAAACGCGACAAACCCAATAAGCTTCTGGTCCGCGTTTATCAATGGTCAGACGGCTCTTATATCGAGGATCAGGACCAGTGGTGGCTTTCCGGTATAAAGATATCTCTATTGGTCAAACGAAAGCCTTGCTAACATAGCGCAGGTATTTTTCGGGACGTCCATCTCATAGCCTTTCCAGCGACATGCCGAATTGACGACTTTTTCATTCGAGGGGACCTTGACTCTGCCTACGAGCATGGCTTTCTCCGCGTGACGGTCGATGTCCACAGCCCCAAAGGCGGGCTTGTTGCGGTTGCCCTGCGCGAGAGGGCCGACCGTGGAGGCAAGGCCATAGGCAGTGCCGAGAAAGGGTTTGGGGCAAATACGACGCAAGTCGAGCTTGAGATACGCGTGGACAATCCAAACAAGTGGACGGCGGAAACTCCTTACTTGTACAATGTCGAGATTACATTGACGGATGGCGACAATACGGACCGTGTCGAGCATTCAACGGGCTTTCGAAGGGTCGAGCTCAAGAATGGCTTGCTCACTGTGAACGGAAAAGCCATTCGACTCCGCGGTGCAAACCGGCATGACCACCATCCTCGGCTGGGCCGTGCGGTGCCACTCGAGTTCGTCCGCCACGACCTGATTTTGATGAAGAGACACAACATCAACGCCGTACGTTGCTCGCACTACCCGTCCCACCCGGGCCTCTACGCTCTAGCCGACGAGATCGGTCTCTGGGTCATGGACGAGGCCGACCTGGAATGTCATGGATTCTCCGAGGTCGTCGCCACCAACACCGCAGACTGGGACGGCGGAGAAGCTTCGTACGAGCGGTGGATTGGTACGGTGTCTAAGCAGGCGAGAAAATACTTGTCGGACAACCCGTCGTGGAAAGACGCGTACGTCGACCGAGCCGTCCAGATGGTCCAGCGGGACAAGAACCATGCCAGCGTAATTATTTGGTCGCTCGGCAACGAGTCATTCTGCGGGCAGAATCACGTCGCAATGTACGAGGTATGCAAGCGCCTCGACCCGAGTCGCTTGGTCCATTACGCAGAAGACACCGATATGGGGACGACGGACATCTACTCGTTCATGTACGCGGCTGTCGACGCCCTTGTAGAGAGAGCCTCAACGAGAGACGTTGCTGCTGACGGCACATTCACAAAGCCCGTGATATTGTGCGAGTACGCCCATGCCATGGGCAACGGTCCTGGTCTCCTCGAGGACTACGAAGAGGTCTTTCGCTCGCACCCACGCATCCAGGGCGGCTTCGTCTGGGAGTGGGCGAACCACGGCCTTTACCAGGTTCGCTCAGACGGCAAAGCGTTTTATGCACATGGCGGGGACTTTGGCCAGAAGGTCCACGACGGTACCTTCGTCATGGACGGACTTTGCAATAGCGAGCATGAGCCCACTCCGGGACTCACAGAACTGAAGAAAGTATATCAGCCTGTTTCAGTTCATCTGGTGGATCGAAACTTGATCATTGAGAATGCATACGACTTTGTCGACCTTGAGCATTTGGAGGTGACATTCAAAGTCGAAGAATTTGGGCGAAGGTGAGTGGTCTCTCTGTGCTCTTTGAGGGCTGTCAGAAAAGCCTGCAGGATGTTCAACATGGCTGATATAATTCTTTTAGCTCCACTATACTCTTGGACGGCCAGCTGAAACTTCCTCCTATTGTGCCAGGTGCCAAAACAGCTGTTGGCATTCCTAACGCTGTATTTGAGCACAAGTCCAAGTCCGAGTTGATACTCACTGTGGACTTTCGATTGAGGCAAGCTGCACGTTGGGCAGAGAAGGGTTATGAAGTTGGCTGGTTCCAGCACCAACTCTCGCCGGGATGTCGTCTCCCAATTCCCTTACCCTCAGGGTCATCCGTGCCAATGATCCACAACGACAACTCTACACTGACGATCTCAACACCCAAGTCCACATTCACTTTCAGCCGAGTACGCGGTCTTCTCAAATCTTGGACCACTCCTTCCGGCCCAGTCATCTCAGAGTCCTTGGACCGCAGGGATACCCTGATCCCTGGTTTCTCGCGACCTCCGACGGACAATGACATGCCTAGAGCTCTTCCCCACTGGCGATCTTTTGGTGTTGACAAGATCACTTCCCAACTTCGCTCCATGGTGTTTGACCAAGAGTCCCGATCTAATCCCCTTACCTTGACGACACAGACATACATTGCTCCGCCCTCCCTGGGTTGGGGCTGGCATGCAACCACCACTTACCAGTTTCAGCCGGACGGCTCCGCGTTGTCAGTCTTTGTCCACTTGGAGAAGCCAGTAGGGGCTGTCCCTAAACATCTCCCTCGAATGGGAATAGATGTTGTCCTAGCAAAGGCTCTCAGCCAGATCAAGTGGTTTGGTCGTGGTCCTGGAGAGTCGTATCCGGACAAGAAATCCAGTCAGCGCTTCGGGGTTTGGGAAGTTGACGACGTTGCCCAGTTGCAAACCCCATACGACGTCCCACAGGAGAATGGAAATCGCATGGACACTCGCTGGCTAGAGTTGACAGCCGAAGGAACAGGTCCGACAGTGAGAGTGACCAGTATTGACACGGCGTATCCCTTCGGGTCTGCCAACGCTACACAGGATTCAGCAGATCGATCTCGATCGACACCGCAACCGGTATTCAATTTTACAGCAACGCGTCACTCAGCCGACATGCTCGAGAAAGCTCCACATCCCTGTGATCTCCTCGAGGAAGATGCCACTTTACTCCGTCTGGACACGGCAGTCAGCGGTGTGGGAACGGGTGCTTGTGGCCCTGCTACGCGAGAAGAACATATGGTGAAAGCCGCTGGAGCCAGTTTTGGCTTCGTGTTGGAATTGAGATAGGTAAGGTCGAGTCTCTTGACGTGAGATATCCGGTCCTGGCATGTCCGACAGAGAGCGACAAGAGTGTTGTGGGACTTTCTGGCTACCACGCATGATTCTCTCTTGGCTCTGTGTGGACATCACTGCGTCTGTGGCGGATTGGATTAGCCAATGTCGCATAGCGTGGGTTTCGACCTTTGGGAACTGGAAGATGAAGAAAATAGCTCCACAACCACGTATTGATCAATATCCCGGCTCGCTCAAGCCATTATCACCTTATGAGTCGTCCTCAGAGCAAATTCCCGGCCAGCTGTCATGGCATGTATCGGTCATAAAGACCCACCAAGTAACAATGCCTCGCCAAGTTTCAGAGGCAGTGGTTTGATTCACCGATCAGACAATGAAGCTTCGGTGTAGAGTTCGGCAGCTCGTTGCCTCAGGTTTCTCCGCTACCTGCTCCTGATCTTTGCCTCTAGACGTTACAGCCGAGGCAGCATCCGCATCTAGAGCTCATTGTTCTCACACCACATTCTGCAATGTCAGGCTCGTGTCCAGCGAGTGTTGAACGGTGTTACTGGTCCCCGAGATATTGGGTGTCGCATCTAGGCCAAACGTGGCAATGGGATTCCACTTCTCGACATGTTGTTAAATTGACTTCAAAGGACGGATAGTCGAGTGCGCGTGGCTGTCCGTTGACGGAATCCTCCCCATCGACTGGAGGGCGAACCAAATGCAGACATACCAAGGGTTCCATCGATATTCGCCACGGTGCGTGTAATGCATGACTAGCACCGCAGGAGGGTTCACGAACGTTGAAAGAAAGGATAGGAACGAATGGTTAAAATGGCATGATTTGAGCTAACCCAATTTGTACCCTATGGAAGCCGCTTTACGATACTCCGAAATAGCCTAGCGTGTCTTGGCAACTCTCTGCAGCACAAACTTGAAGCATCGCGAATGCGCAAACCATTACCGGTGTACAGCTGACCTGACCTACTTTATTTTCAGCCCGGTCTCTCGACAGTGGCTTAGCTATGGCGTAGCCTCAAAAAGGTTTAGTCTATATAATACTAATATAGAGTAAAAATACTAGAACCTAAATCTAAAGGACTTCTACGGGTTCTTACATTTTATAAAGTAGTTTAGTAGTTCTTAATAAGTATTTTAGTTATTAAAACTATAAATCTTAAGCTTAATATATATCTATTTAAGAAAATACTCTATTTATTAGATTTATTTATCTAAATACTCTCCTAATTCTAACTCGGAACTCTAGACCTAATAAGTCCTAAAGAAGTATCTCTAAACTACTTCTTAATAAATCGACTATTTTCACCTCGACCTATAATAGTTAAATAAGTACTTTAGAAAGTCTTTTACTAAAGTACTTACGTCGTTTTAAGACTTAATTATCTTCCTTCTAATAAATTAGAAGATTTCTAGATAAAAATTTAGTACTTTAGTAGTACTAATCTCTAGTTTTAACTAACTATTAACTTTTTTAAGTCGGTAACTTAATTTATATTATACTAGAAGTATTTTATAAGTATCTTTCCTTCTAAGTAATTAGGATATTATACTTATCTTCGCTTATATTCTTAAGAAGGTTTAGGAGAGTATCTAATACTTCTACTTCTATAATATTAGGAAGTAGTACTTAGGAAGTAGTTAGGTAGCTTTTAGATAGTATTTATAACTCTCGTCTAGAGTTCTACCGTAATTCCTAAGAGAACTTCTTAAAAGTTTTATCTTCGCTTAGTATAATCTCCCTAAAATAGTATATTAGTACTAGTAAAGTACTTTAGACCTCCTTAAGAGTTTAATATAAATATTCCTAAGTAGACTCCTATATTTCTTATTAATTACTAGCTAAAGCGCTATTACTAGTAGATATATTACTCTAGTAATTATCAATTTTAACCGTAGACGGGAAAAGGTCTTTAAAAGAGCTTCTTTTCGCTCTTTTACAATTTTAAGGTAGCCTAAACTTTAACCTAATCTTAGTTAGTAATATCTAGTTATAAGATCTTTTAAGGTACTTATAGTAATAATAACCGCTAAAGAAGACCTATATTATTAATAGCTTCTAGACGATTTTAACCTCTCTCTTAGTCGAATTATATTCTCTATAATCCTCTATAACTATTAGTATAAGAACTATTAAAGTTTATAATAGATACTTACTTAAAGATATCTCTAGCGTTAAGTTCTTCTATCTTACCCGCTCTAAATAGTAGTTTAGTACTTATAAAGGGCTTAATAGTAGAAAATAGTACTTATAATAGCGCTACGATCTTAATAATATCGTCTTCTAAGGGTTCTTAATTATTATCTTTAAGAATATAATCTATAAACTCTCTAAGTCTTCCCCTATTAGTAATATTAATAATACTTTATAAGTACTTCTAAGTACTAGTTAAGTACTAGATACTTATATAATTAATCGTTTATCTATATCGCGATAAATATTAATTTCTTTATATTCTAAAGAGTAAGTTAAAGTACTTTTAATATACTTAAAATCCTTATTATCTAAGTATTTATCTATCTATAATAGCTCTTTAACCTAATCTCGAAATTTAGGAAATACTTTTTAAATAAGTCGAATAAAGTTTAGAGAATTATAAGTAAAGTACTTCGGATCGTTAATTAACTATCTAATAGTATTAAGTTAGTATTATATAATGTTACGAGTCGCCTTACAACACATGAGGTGTCAACGAGCAAACCCGAGGTGGTTTACTTGGTAATATAGTAGTGGGGCCTAATGTAGTAGAGACGGAAACTAAGTGTATAGTATGTAGCTATACGCAAAGCGAGTAACCGAGAATAACTCGATTCCTTTATAACTAAGGTTAACTATATCGAAAGCTTATAGACTTATACTAAGACTATATAGACAAAGGAGATTCGTATAGATCTATATAGCTCTATTTAGCCTTAGGAGTATAATAGAGTATACCGCTCTATATAGCTCTATTCAGCCTTAGGAGTACAATAGAGTACATCACGTGCCCTAGCTCGTGTCGTCACTCCCTTCGGTAAACCTTCTCCCTTATTCCTATACTGTGGCCGTCCTTTTGGCCTATTCGTAACACTTCCCCCTCTCTAGTCTCTTTGTCGTCCTCGATATACTTAAGGTAGGCCGTTCCCCGACCCTCCTTTCTTTATACTACTTTTCTTTCTCATAACTAACTATACGTCTTTAGTCTGACCGTGTTTCCAAGCCTACTCCTCGCATCTCCTCTACCCAACGTCGTAAAGCTACTACCGAACGGATTTAATCTCTCGGTCGCTAATTCTTTGAAATGGGCCGGTACTCGAACTATATCGCCTCGGACTCTCCCTATTAGATAATAGAAGGGTAGTCGATATATAGCATATGTCGTGGAAAAAATAAAAAAGTTGGCGAATATAATGGGTATTTTTCGGTCTCCGATTTCGACAGTCTCTAGGACTAACGCGAGCGAATATAGCGTAAGGTAGAGGAGAAAGATAGACGGATAGGGGAGCTGATTACTTCTCTAATGTTAATCTAGCGTGAGAAGGACTAGTTATAATAATAGATATAACGCCTCCTTAGTGAATAAAAAAGGATATTATCACGAGAGTTAGAGGCCCTAGACGCTATCGATATAGCGTCGGCCTCGGACGACTTATCGCGTTTTACTTTTACGTTAGACCCTACTTTAGAACCGTCGGTTTAACAAATAGCCGAGTTCGAGAGTCTCTTCCCTATCCTTAGTAACACTAGATAGTCCGCTCTTCCTACTTTAGCGAATCTATAATCTACTAGTTTCGTCTTTTTATCTCTTTATCTCTAGATATCCGCGCTATTCGGATAAGGTGTTAGTAATATTCGATAATAAGTAGCTTCGGTAAGTCTTCCTTCTTTTCCTAGGTTTATATTTCCTAAGTTGACTATCGTGCTAAGTATTTTATTAGTAATAGGTACCTTATACTGGCGATTAACTTTTCCGGAGTTCTACGTTCCGCGTATATCCCTATAAGGTTTTTACTTTAGAGATATTATTAGACTTCTTTAGGTAGTAGGTTCTCTACGACTTCCCACGTATTATCTTCCGAGTCGTATCCTAACTATCTCACTAGGTAGACTAGTTTAAGCTCTTCGGTTTCGGGTTAGTATTTAATAATTTTATCAATAAAGAAGTTATTTTTATCAACTAGTAGCCCGTACTTCCGGTGATACTTCCGTATATCTTATCTATCTAGGTTATCGAGTGACTTCTACGTATTTTCTTCCTTTAGATATCCCTTCTACTTAATTAAGTAATATAGTACCCCGTCTTATACCTTATATTTCTCGATCCTCTCGACTTCGTATCTTAGTTCTTAAGTCTTCGGGTCTATCTCTATAGGTCCTAGTGTCGCGTCCGGGTTCTTATATAACTCGAGTCTATCTTTGTAAAATATAGGATATACTCTTAAGTTTACCGGTAGTTCAACCTCGAACGTAACTAGTCCTAACTTCTTCTTAATACGATAGGGTCCGATTTTTATATGATCTAGTTTATCGCTTAGTCGTTTCGTTTTGATATTTTTTCGTCGTATATAGACTATCTCTCTCTCTTTGAGGTCTAGTCCCTTAGATCTTTTCTTATTTTCTCTTATTATTATTCTTTCTACTATCCTTTATAGTTCTTTTTGCATTATTTCATATAGTGTCTTAATGTTTTCGATTTATATTTTTACTTCCTCTAATATTAGTTTTCTAAATTTTAGTTCTATAAATATCTTTAGGTATTTCCTATAGTTCGCGAAGAACGGCGATATTCCTATAACGGCTATACTATTATTAAATACTATTTATACCGTAGGTAGTAACTACGCCTAATTGTCTTGCTTATAATTGACGTAGTACCGTAAGTATTATTCCAGCGTTTGATTTATTCTTTCCGTTTATCTATCCGTCTATAGGTAGTATATTGTCGACAACTTGTATTCCGTCCCCAGTAGATCCGTAAGGGATTGCTAGAACTATAACGTGAATAGCTTATCCC